ATATTTATTTTTAGACTATAATATATATTTTAAGACTAAGAAATATATATTTAGACTAAAAAACATATTTCTAAATTAAGAAATATATATTTAGACTAAGAAATATATTTTTAAATTAAAAAATATATATTTAGACTAAAAAATATATCTTTAAATTAAGAAATATATATATAATATATATTTAGACTAAAAAATATATCTTTAAATTCAAAAATATATATTTAGACTAAAAAATATATCTTTAGATTAAAGATTATATATTTAGACTAAAAAATATATTTTTAGACTCTTATATATAATTTTAGACTATTATATATATTTTAAGACTAAGATATATATTTTAAGACTAAGATATATATCTAAATATATAATTTTATATTTTATATCTTTATCTAGATATTTATATCCTCTTATATAAACCTTTATATCCCTTAATAACTTTATGTCCCTAATAACTTTATATTCTTATATAAAACTTTGTATCCTATATATAAAATTATATATCCTTTACCTAACTTTATATCTTATACCTAATTTGACGTTCAAGATATAGAATTTAGTGTCTTTGCCGCAGACTTAGTTTCATTCTACTCGCAATTGGACAAATCCATGTCCCCCGGCGTTTGGTGGCTGTGTGGAACTCTATATCCGCACAAAGTGCTATGGCCGACACGGAGATTGCAGGTTGAGACGCGACATCCGCTCCGAATACGAATACAGTTCGAGAGACGAGGTGTTGGTCGGTAATCGAGCCATGTGCATCGCCATCCCTCATCCTATGTCTCAGACCCGTCCCCCTCCCACTAGCCAACAACGCCATGCTCAAGCAAGTACTCTGCAAAGCAGAACAGTCCGTGTAGCTACCGCACCCTACGTCTCAATAAACCGCGAGCTCATCAACTCATCCACATGCGCCCTCTGCGCCTTCGCATTCCCCTCCTCCATCTCCTTCAGCATGACCGCCAACACCTCGATCGGCGGCTTTAAACCCAGCACGTTCGCCCGCTTCCACCGCTTCAGTCTCGCAATACCTATGCATGGCTTCAAACAGTCAGCAAAACCCCACAAGTCTTCCAGCCTGAATCGTGACACGTACCCCATAATGCCCCGTCATATCAAACTCCCTCAAAACCTTCTCATGCACGCTCAACCCCTCCTGATGGACCCGCGGCGCCAGTCGAACGCTCTCCTTCTCCCGCCAATAACGCTTAATCTGCGTCTCGGAGATTTTGCGCGCTTGCTCTTCTTCGTCTGCGACCCAGCCCGTGCCTATTGCGCCTCCTGTCGCTCCGACTTCGCTTTGTGCGGCGCGACCGCCGAGGACGTCTTCGGCCTTGACAGTCGCGCTGTGTTGTAGCGGGTCTGGGTGTGCGTCTTGGAGTTCCTCCTCTGCTTGCTGCTCGATTACAATGTCGGCTGTTGTTGGTTCATCTTCCGGCTCCGCTTCTGTCTTCGCATCCTTTTGAGCGAGCTCGTTTTGTCGAGCTGGATCCTTCTTCGACGCCTTCGTTTGCTGTGCGGCCGAAGGCTTCGTCACGCGGTTCTGCTTGCCATGGAAGGAGAGTTGTGGCTGTTGCGATGACTGCCGTGACGAGACCGGACGTGGACCAGTAGACTTGCGCTTCGGCGGCATGGTGGCTGTATTGTTAGTATGCTATGGCGCTACTGCGGAGGATGAAATTCGCGAAGAGTGTATGTCTGGTTCACAATGCTACGTTCAAAGAAAGAGGGTTCGTGCTTAACCAATGACGTGGGCCAGGGTTCAGTCGTTGTTATGGAAACCAGACGCGTGACACGCGCCGAAGTGTTCACATATCCTTATCATTACGATCTACGGATAAAGAATGTCTCTATGTAAGCGGTTTGTGCTCACGTACCGCCCCTCCATTCCGGATCAACTTTGCTCTGCTTAAACAGACTCTTTCCCCTCAACCACTGCCGGTACGCCTTATACCTCTTCTTGCTAAGATCCTCCTCGCTCACATTCAGCGGATCTTCTCTTTCCCCCAAGAACTCCCAGAAATGCTGTAAATCTTGCTCGCTAATCCCCGCTCCAAACGACTCATCCTGGTCGTCATCGTCAAACTCACTGGCGCCTGCTTTGTGCACGTACTCCACGTAGTCGATATACGCATCCGGAGGTAAGTCGGTCGATACGACAAGCGGCAGGTTAAGCGGATGCAACATGTACTTCTTGTACTCTTGCGCGGTCTTCTCCGAGACCGTAGGATCGAGCGCTTGAGCGTGGATCTGATTCAACGACAACAAGTGCATCTGCGCTTTGTCTGCCAACCGCGCTTGCTTATCGCTCTGCTCAATGGGCCTAGCGGTCCTGTCTGGTTCTTTCAATATGCCGGGCTTGTCTTCGATCGGTACCGGCCGCGGCCCATCCTCACTCGGCGGCAACGGAGTGTTTGGACGCTCGTCCTGCGGATCCACAATCTTGACACCCTTCCGTGGAGCTGGCTTCTTCTCGGGGGATTCAGGGGTAGGCCTATGCGGATCGAGCCTTGGTATGAATGGACTGAAATCATACCTGTTGTCTCGCGGATGCGGTCGATCCGGCAGGTAGCGGTTGTCGGTGTTCACGCGGTAGGAGTACACCTTCCACAGCGTCGACAGAGCGGCTGGTCGGTAGCACTCGAGCCAGTAGTCGTCGTACTCCGCCACCTCTTCCTCATGAATGTCCCGGTGGTGAGTCAATTCGGGCTCCGGCGGCAGTCGCCGCGGTTCGAGGAACTCTGGAGTGTACCAGTAGATGTAGCTTCGCCTATTGCGATCAAGCCACGCCTTGGGGTCGCTGTGATGTAAGTAGTAATCCGTCGTCAGATCCCACAGCATTGGCTGTCCCTGCGCCCAGATGTAGTTACCCAGAAACAGATTGTACGCTTCCTGCCGCTGACTGTCAAGGAAGGAGTTGTGGTAGTACCGCTTAAAGCTTTCGACCATATCGCGCGACTGACTCTGCCAATGATTCAACTTGCGGTAGGTAGCCATGGTGTTTACGAGATGTGATCCACCGTATTGCACGGCAATGGTATCGCCATGGTTGTGGAACATGTGCGTGAACACGTTGACCGCGTCCGTGTCATAGTCGACGTCTTCCTTGTCAAATACGCCCAGCGCTCGTAGCTGCAGTGCGAAAGCTCGCTTGCCAATCACAAACTGAGCAGCGTTCGTTCGGTCGAGGCAGTCAATGCAGTTCGTTCTTGCAACCCCGTTCTGCACTTGAGCATCGTCTGAGCTGTTTCCGCCGTTGTGGAAGAAGCCGGTCTTGTTGAGAACGTCATCCGCAATCACCTCAAGCGAGCCAATGACGTCGCCGCCGCGAGTTTTGGATGCTCTGCTCATGTCGAAAGCCTTATAAGCGATCTGCTTATCCGCAGGCAGAGACAGGTTCAGATACTGTACGCAAGTCTCGAACTCCCCAAGAAGCTTGGATTCTCTTGGTGTGCGCTCTCTTGCCTTGATCAGGTTGAGTACGAAGATCGGGCAGCCATAGCGCTCAAAAAGGTTATCGAAGTGGAGGGCAGCGGACTGGTAGAACGGATCGTTGAGACTGAGATCGATGTCCGGCTTAGGCGTGACACCGCTGTTTTCCTGAGTCCAATACAGAGGTATGCTGCCGCGATGATGTAGGTAGGAGGTGTAAGTAGGACTCGAGTAGAGTCTTGGGCCAGGCGCGTGGAAAGACGTCGTGAGCTTCTCGGCCACGATCTGCTCCGTCTCGACATCATTCGCCACGTAGCCGACATCGTTTACGCCGCGCTTCAGGAAACGTGCGCCGGCGAAAAAGCGCGAGCGTCTCCCGATGATAGTAATGTACACGCTGCGACCGAAGATGTCCAAGCACGATTGGTCGATGAAACCGTGTATGATCGGCAAGCACCAGTCGAACGGATGCTTCAACGCAGACTGTGCTGGCTTGAGCAGGTGATGGTTCCAGACGTACATGGCGTTGAAGTCTGGAGCAGCGGCGTGAAGTCCCTCATTGACCGCTTGCCGTTGTCTGATGATGTTCTGCTGAAGCGAGTGCGTGATGTCGTATGCGTAGCTAAAGTAGAAAGACTTGTTCAGATCTAAGTTGCTCAAGATGCCCAGGAAGCGCAGCTCTTCTGGGTTACGGTCACGCATAAAGCGGCTACTAGCACCTGTCGTCAATGGTACCAACTCGGTCCCTTCAATTTGGTAGACATAGTGACCCCCGAGTGTTGCCACTTGCTGTCGCTTCGTGATCACCTGCATGTAGTACGCCTCCGTGAACCTGATGAAGCCAAGCAGACCCCAGAAAGTGTACTTCATTCGTAGGCCTCCTGTAGCACGATTGCCCTGGTCGATGCTGGCAAGCACTTGATTCATTTGTTTCCGATCGTACACCGTCTCATCCTCAAAGAGCATGATCTGTCCTGGTGGCGAAGTGCGGTCAATGCGGAGCAGCCTGAAGTACTTGTCCGTAATGTCACCCCCAGTAATCCAGTAACGGGCGTTTGTCTCGTATAGGACGAATTTGTACATTCGATGTGGCTTTCCTGCCCTTTCGGATGGCGTGCCATCAACACCACCAACCGCCTTCTCCGTAAGGTGGATGTTCGCTTCATCCTCGTAATCTTCACCATTGAGCTTAGTCTCGGGATCGCCCACTCGCTGATAGAGAGGGGCATCATCGGTCGAGCCGGCTGATTCGCTGCTCAAGCTTGAGTGTCTGCTTCGGCTTCGGTGGCGGTCATCGCCATTTGGACGCTCCCTTTCGTCACGAGTATTGCTTCGTTGTAATGAAGCGCTCCGGAAGCCTCCGCCATGCCGAGGCACGTCGAGACGACTGTCGTCAGAAGACTCCGGTCTGGCTGTTGGATCGTCGTACTCGCTGTCACCGTTTGGAGCGGCGTCCGCAGGTCCGTGATCCATCATGGAGAGACGACCTGATGCAGTCGAGCCTACCATATCAGTAATGCATGCTGCTTCGACATTTGCCGCTCGCACTCCATCAAGGCAATACGGGGCGACGATATCACAGATTAGCAAGTTGAAGTGTTGCAACGTTGTGGTGTGGGAACAAGAGAAGTTGAGGTGCAGTGCTGCCCGCTTGGAGTTCGCCTTCGCCTACGCTCTCCCCGTTCGCCATGGTCAAGACATCTTGAACAAGAGACCAACGTCTGTGGTCAATGATGGCCGAGTTCTTCACGATAAATGATATGTGAGGAGGGTGGCGTGAAAGCCGTCTACAGCACTTCTCAGGTTTGTACGCCTCAAGCCACGCTGATCATCATTGCACTATTTCCATGTGTCTGTTCTATATCATCATACATCAATTTGGAAGCATGTTCCATCACTCATTCCCATAACACCGAGCGGCTGCTTCTATCTCACCCTCACGAGAAGTTATAAAACATCCCACCGCCGTCCGGATTGCCCAAACTCACCGGCGGCACATAGGAATTCATATATGGATGCTGCGGCAAACTAAAGTCCGCCTTCGCATAGAGCGGGTTCGGTATACCCGACGGCATCTTCTTCGGCGGCTGCTGTTGGTGCGGTGTAGGCTGTATACTCTGCGGGGGAGCAGGCGGGAGGGGAGTAGATTGCTGTGAGCCATGGTGACTGAAGTCCAGCGAAGTAGGGTAGCCTTGCTGCTGCATCGCCATATTGGCTTGCGCGGCGTGTGCTTGAGCCTCGGCGTGTCGCTGTTGGGCCTCCTGCGCCTCTTTCTGCTGACGGGCGGCCTTGTGCGTCTGCGCGTACTGCTGGGGCGCTGGTTGTTCGTTCCAGCCCCACTTCGACATCAGCTCGCCGTACACGAATCCAATGCGCCAGCCTGTCTCCTTGTTGATCTTCTCGAATATTGTGATGACCTCTTCCTGCTCACGACGGTCCGTCAACACCTCGGCGGCGTGCGCGAGAGAGCGGATGGCTACCGAGGCGACACCACTATTTACCGTTAGCACTTGCCTTCAATGTCGCTGAAAGCCAGCACTTACCGATCCTTGACATGAGCGACGATACCACAAATCATGTTCGCGTGTCGCTTACCCGCCTCCGACATCTCGGGGGTGTCTGATGCATAGTACGGATGCATCTGCGCCAGCAGCAATTGCGCCGTATGGAAGAACAGCCTCGCCACAACCGTCGTGCGCTTAACAAGCCACACCTCTGGAAAGGCAGACTTTGAACTCGTCTGATGTGGATAGAGAAAAGACATAGGCTGCATCGTCCGTGGTATGCCATCGTTCCACGCATCAGCCATCGCCTTGATCCGCGACCATGCCTCAAACCGATGCTGCGTGCGAATCTGCTGGTCTCGTGGATCGGCCTCTTTGTGACGCGGTATCGTCGCGCGGAAGTTGCACACTTTTGCGACGATATACAGCATCCGGTGGGTCCAGACTTCTTCTCTACCGTTGGCGATCTCGCGGCTGAAGTCCATGTCAAGACACCAATCGTCCGGATCCCACGCAACTTGCCAGTTGAAGTGTAAGCAGCTCAGCACTTCCAAGCCGACATTAAGCCAAAAGCAAGCAGATCCGATACCCTGCGCCCGAGCGTTCCATCCGCACTCCTTGATTAGCGCGCGAGCTCCTGCGATGTGGTTCATACGTTGCAGCGCCTTTTCGGACATGATTTCGTACACGTTGAGGATGACGGCTGTCGTGGCGCAGATGACAGTATCTCTGTTCGGATTCTGTAGGTTTTTGAGCAGATAGCGGGTGGCGGTGTCGTAGTAGTGCAGCGCTTTCTCTTCGGAGTATGCTGGATTGACCAGAGCCAAATGCCGCGCGCCGCAAGCAAGGAAAGCATTCAATAGCATGGGCTCCGATAGGGCATGGAACGGTAGAAGCCTCGAAAAGTGCTTCTGAGCGTCCATACTGTCCATCCACGAACCGACTTCTTCAACAAAGACTTGCATGAAGAGCGTCTCGTCTTGATTGTCGAGGTACTCTCTCCTCTCGCTGTCCGGCTGCTCTGATTGACCGCTGGCGTAACTTGTCACTGAGCTGTGGCCGGTCACGCTCGCTTGTGCAGAGCTTCCATACTGGCTGTTGCTGGTGGAGCCGGAGTTAGGCGCGATGAGTGGGTACGGTGCATGATCTACCTTTAGTTGCTGGTTGTACATAGCACTCATATCCGGCTGCTGAGGCACATCCATATAAGGGTCCGGGAGGATACCCTGAATAGGCGGAAGTGACTGTTGCATCATGGTTGGTGCGGTAGGTGTGGCTGACGAGAAGTCGTAAAGAAACGTGGGGTCATGCTGTGATACTGGTAGTGGCGGCGGTGGTGCATCCTGCTTCAACGGCGGGTACATTTGCGAACCGCCTTGATACTCGCTCGCGATGTCTCGTGACTCGTCCAGAAAGTCCACCCTCCACTGATCTGTGCCAAACAATGTCACTACACGCGGCGGTTGCTCGGCCCACATATCAATGAAGTTTAGCCGAATGCCTCGTTTGCATTCGCGGTTGCTCTTCTTGCAGTTGTTGCAATGCGGTAACGACTCGTCGCACTTGAGATGTCGTTCGCGGCATGTAAGACATCCTGTCCGCACCCGCTTTGGCTTGCTTGAGCCCTCTCCATCCTTCTCGCCATCACCATTCATCGCCTCTGCCTTGCCGTCCGACCTCGGGCCTACCCTCTTCACCTTCTTCACGGGCTTGGTGCCGGTTTGATGCGGCGGCGTCTTGCGCTTTCGGCCAACGCTTTCAGCAATTCCATCATTCAAAGTAGGGTCCGAGGATGTCGGCGACACACTGTTACTCTCGTACGGAGTATACAGCGGCGTTCCGAATCCAGGCTGCACATACGCAGTCTGGCTAGCAATAGACGCCAGCGTTCTCAAATCTCACGGTGCAGGGCGCCCCTTCGCCGACAGGATGCTGACGGGTAGCTCCAGTATGGCTATTGTTCTTACCGTCAACCCGAGGGCATGTCGTCAGTCGCCAGTCCGGTTGGTGCGTTGTTGCACTCTACGCAGAGTACATCGGCGCTAGGAATGCTTCGCTTACACTTGTCCCTTTTCCGGCAGCGTGGGACAAAGAAACGCCGACAAGACGATATTACTGTGCGACCGCACCGCGATAGCCGAGTCCTTTGGATGGGGTGCTGATGGTGCGTAAGTATCAGCTCTCGAGGCGTCACTGCTATAGCAGACCTATGTTAAGCGAAGCTTCCAAGTTTCCACGGATCAGCGGTACCGGCTGGATGGTAGTTCACCCGTTTGACGTCCGGTGACGCAGATCTGCAGCACGCATCATTTGACAGATGCGGGCGTGCAGACAAGACCGAAAGCTTCCGATATGTGCTTAAGCCACAGATTGTCCGTGAACAACACTGCGTGGGTGTTCACGACCACTGTATCGTAGCCTATCGAAGTGCAGCATCTCAACAGCGGACTGGACATGGACGGTATGTTGGAGCCCATCGTCTCCAAAATTCCGCGTCCCACTCCACAATCCACCATGAGCGCAAAACACACATGGCGTAGGCGACGTGATATCAGTATTGTCTACTGATCAGTGGATGTGAAAGCCGGACGATAGCCATGTCCGAATACGGGTCCCCACGTGAATTGATGCTTCATCTGACGACTATAGACACTATGGAACAACGACCATATCCATCTCCAGTAAGCACGAACCTGATGAAGTCGCCTTGAACAGATATTTGCAGTCGATTAAGGGAAAGGGGGTATCAAAAAGCCAACCAAACGCCTGCGCTCTCTCTCCATCATGCTGGCTTCTGTACAGCCATGATACTGTCGTAAGACTCATGTCACTTAACCATTCGCGTTCGGCCATCAGATGGGCCGGCAGTCCCAGCCGTCGTCGTCCGTCAGTTCAGGACGCTGTTCCAATAATGCTTCGCAATCGTCTGAGTCGAAATTGAACTCGAATGAAGCGATTGAGTCAGCCGGGTCCAAAAGAGGGCCCAAGCCAAGCTGAGAGACCATGTTGTCTCGTTCAGCATCAGATGCCGGTGCACTCTCGACATCGGTCTCTCCTGGAGCTGGTTCTGCTTGACTGAGCTGAGGACACGGTTGAGCCTCTGCAAAAGAAGCATCATGTCCACTCGGCATTGGTGGAGCTGGAGTGGCGATGTCTATGTCAATCAGACTTGCATGAAGCGGTAGCGGAAGGCCAATGAGGAGATCCGGGCGGTCACCGGAAGTGCGAAACATCGACCAATGACTGACAGACTGCCCTAGCTGCTCACCATTGTCGTTATGCAGCCAAGCCACAGGTGTACCCGGTTGATGGTCTCCGAGAACCTGGACTGACGGTCCGCTTAGACCACGCTCGTCGACCCTCGCGCCAGCGGTCACCACGCCTACCGCAACAGGGTATGGAAGGAGACCTCGTATCAGCAGGAAGTCGGTGATGGCCGTCAACTGTTCGATCCCAAACATGTTGCTCTGCGTAAGCTCTTGCCTCATCATTGCGAACTGTGGTTCACCGAGATCTTGGCGCACTGACCGCAAGCGATTCCGAACGAAGGCCTCGTAAGCCGGCGTCGGTTCATTTGGGCGGGTCCACACCGCTTGCGTAACGGTGGCGATGTCAAGCGGAACAGGTATCTGGTCTAAGCCTGCATTGCGCGCAAGCAAGTCGTTGAGCGAGCCGAGCAGGGCGTGCAAGCCACAGCGTAAGCCTTCTGATGAGGTCTCGGCTGGCAAAACACCATCCGTAACAGTCTCCCTCAGGCGAGCCATGGCGGGGTTGTCTAACGGATACATGGAGGAGCTGGCGAGGGCTGCAGCGTCGCTCAATGGGTTTGCCATAGTGCAATCGACAAGCGTTTGCGCGTCGATGTCGGTTGGCGCACAGTCAATTGGTTTGTGAATGAACCCGGCTTCCGGACAGCATCCATGAACTCGAGGCAGGAAGGGCGCATACGGCTCATTTGCTGCCCGATCCCAGCATAGTGGAGGAATGACAGAGGGCTGTTTTGCGTCGGCAACACCACTATCACTCTGGGCCGCTTGCGGAAGGTCATCATGTCGAGGTGCAGGACCAATCATCGAGGAGCGTTGGCGAAGGAGGCTATAGAGACGCCAGAGCATCGTCCGGACATCCTCCTGGTATTCTTCGAGTCTCTTGTGCGTGAAGGAGTTGCCGTGGAGACGTTCCAAGAAGTCACCTTCGTTCGTGTTGTCGCGGCACCAATCGAGAAAGTGTGGTTGTTCGTCGAGCGACAGCTCATTCATGCAGGCTTGCCACAGCGGCATGAACGCTTGCTGAGCAAGCAGGGTTGCCGCTTGCTGTCGCCAATCCCACCATCGTCGCGACTCTCGATGTCGTCGCTCAACGACATGCTTGAAGAAGCTGTCAAAGCTGTAGAAGACAGCTTCCCTGCACAACCCGCATGCAAGGGCGTATCTTTTCTGCTGACGTCGTACCGGCAGAGTTCTACCGTGTCTGCGTCGGCAATGCTTCGAGAATCTCTCGTTTCGCGGAAAGAGCTGCCAGCAGGAATGGCAGACAAACACTTGGTCTTCGTGTTTATCTTGATAGTGCCGTTTCAGCTGCTTCTCGCTATTGCAGAGGTGGTCGCAACAATGGCACGGGTAGCGTATGAGAACGGCATCAGCCGCTGCATTCTCGATAGACTGACGGAGACGCTGACGGTTGTTGACATGACGTAGGGCTGGAGGTTGTCCGGGCGAACGTTCGTCTAATTCCTCGCCCGCAATCTGAGCGTGCTGCTCGTCGTCACCGCGCTGATCAGGATCGGCGTGTTCGTTGACATTCTCATTCACACGAAGGTGTCCTTCTCATGCGAAATCAGTATGGTACGCATAACATGAGCAAGCGCAGCGAGCGAAGATAAGGGATAATATACCTGCGCGAGGAAGCGCCACTGGCGCATCTCTAAGCGAATCGACAGCGGCCGACCGTTGCTGCCCGCCATTCTCCTCCGCCAAGTGGCGTCGATCATAGAATCCAGATTCGGAGACGTTGGACAGGCTGTTCGTCTCAGGTATATTGGGCGTTGGACTTGACACCACGGGGAAAGTCAAGACGGTCAAGGCGACCAGCAGAGGGGCGATCCGCCATAGAATAGGCCGCATGCTTGCGAACCTCATGCGACAAGCTGACGTTTACGTGGTTCGCTGCCTGGTTACTGTCGGGAGGCTGATGACTGTAAGGCTATCAAGTGGCAAATGATGTTCGACGAGAAGCAGAGCATCATGGCTCGCAAGGGTAGTATGGAGTTTTGAGGCAACCCACGAGCACTGAAGCGTTTCATCCGCGCATTCAAAGGAGGGTACCCGGCGCCCGGGGACTACTCTGGGCACCACAATCGCTAAGTCGCCGCCCTTTATGGAACGATCCGCAGCGTTTCCCACAGCCTTCATTACCACAAACACCCGCTGTAAAACTGACGTTGGTCCTCTTATGTCCTAACGGTGCCGTACGTCTACCGATACGAGAGCTCAGCATGACGGCAGCGCTGCCATGATCTCGGATCCGGAACGCAAAGTAAGGGTCAATGCCAATAAATTTGCGGAGTCTGCATGTGGAAGGACCTCGAGCGGGGCTCGGCCCAGGCACAGACTCCGTCTTATTCGCTATGGCTCTTATTCACCGTAGTTACTAAGCACGTTCCTGGCCCGGGCACAGCGTCAGTAGAGTTTGCGGGTCAGCGCATAGTTTGCCGCCAGCACTATGGGAAGGAAGCACATTTGCAAGAGCCGGCGCGGTCGCGAAGGAGTAGGCTGCTGGCATACAGTAAGTTAACGGCTTGACCGGTTTTCGAGGCAGTGCCGCTAAGCATCGCTAGTGCATGTGACTGTGGAGGGTCTCGGAAGTGCTGCGAGTGCTTAGACAAGCCACAGACGCTTGGCTGCATCGGGAATAGAAGGTTGTCGACATGGAAGGTCGCGTGGTCGTTCTGCAGTTGATCGTGCAGTCGTGGCGGGAAGCCGTGGAGTCGTGGCGATCCCTGAACTGCCACCCTGTCTGCAAGAGCCGTGTCAGAGTCCATTGGACGTCTGTGTCTGTCTTTCGTCACCCTAATTGGTGAGGAGTAACATCTCCCTCATGACATGGAGTGGTCGGCAAACCGCACGGGGCCAGCCGCCCTGCCGCTGCACGTGGCCTGTCAGGCTCCACTGCAGCACTGGAGCACGGCATGTTGTTGGACCACACCATTGAACACCAGAGATGCCTCTGCCGTGACCGCGAAGGCCTTCGGCAGCAATGATCGCGAAGCTCCTCCTCAATAGCTTCAATGGCCATCATACTGGTCCCAGGAATGAAAGTAGAGGGTAACCCGGCAAGCTCTAGCTCTAGCCAAGGTTCTGCGACTTCTGCTCGCTTCACCCCCGAAGCGGAGTCTGACGAGGATGACGACCTTGCAGATCTGGAGGCGAGCGAAGGTTATGAATTGAGACCGCTATCCGAGAGCCAACGTCGAGCCAGCCGCAGGCCGCCAGCCGCGACCGCCACTGCAGGAGCAGCAGTAGACGATGCGGACGATGCGGAAGGTAGCGATCATGAGGCCGAGAGCTTCCTAAGCACACTTCGAAAGGCACGACGCGCTAGCGCGCAGTCCTTCGAGCTTTATACGCCTGACGAAGAGCGCCGAGTGCGGCGCAAGCTTGACACTCATCTTGTCCTATTCGTCGCGCTTCTGTACCTCTTATCGTTTCTGGATAGATCAGTAGGTGACGCGGTACCATACTTTACTCCGTAGCTTACACCTTTCGTAGAACGTCGGCAACGCCAAGATCGCAGGCCTTACCAACGATCTCAAGCTCTCGGACGACCAGTACGAATGGCTGCTGACGGCATTCTACATCACCTACATCTGCTTCGAATGGATGACTGTCTGCTACCAGATCTTCCCTCCGCACATCTACATCAGCTGCTGTGTCTTCACGTGGGGCGTGCTCGCGTCTCTACAAAGTCTGACACTGAGCTTTCCGTCTATGCTCATTCTGCGCGCCCTGCTCGGCATAGGCGAGGCTGCCTTCGTCGGCATACCATTCTACCTGTCATTCTTCTTTCGGAAGGACGAGCTCGCTTTCCGCATCGGCATGTTCATCTCCGCCGCGCCGTTGGCAACAAGCTTTGCGAGTACTCTTGCCTACGCAATAGTACGCTTTGGCCAGGGTACAGGCATTGCAAGCTGGCGGCTGCTCTTCCTTCTCGAAGGCTTCCCAGCGTGCCTCGTCGCCGTGTGGGCGTGGTGGTGGATCCCAGACGCACCAGAGAGTGCTCGATGGCTGACAAGCAGGGAGCGCAAGATTGCCACTTTACGAATGCGAAGGGAAGCAAATGTCGGAGAGGCTTCTGAAAGGTCCGCCGTCCAAACCACACTACCGCGGCACAAGCGCAAGTTCCAATGGCACGAGGTCTTACGCACGCTGAGAGATCCGAAAGCTTACCTGACTGCAGCCATGTTCTTCTGCTGCAACGTGGCGTTCAGTAGCATGCCAGTCTTCCTGCCGACAATTGTCCACTCGATGGGCTACTCTACGCTTGCATCGCAAGGCCTTTCTGCGCCTCCATTTCTGGTCGCTTTTGCTGTCGTGCTGGTTACGGCCGTCGTCTCCGATCGCCTGAAGAGCCGCGGCATACCAATGATGTTTCATGCCGTCCTCGCTGTAAGTGGGTACGTCTTTCTTGCGATTGCAGGCGCGGTTCAAGCAGGTCATATCATGCGCTACCTGGCTGTCTTCCCAATCTGCGCCGGCTTCTTCTCATGCGTCACCATCGTCATTACGTGGACAGTCAACAACCAGCCTTCAGATGAAGGGAAAGGGACTGGAATGGCTATGCTTAACATCATCGGGCAGATGGGACCTTTGCTTGGTACAAGGCTCTACCCCGATGCGGAAGCTCCGTACTACGTCAGAGGCATGAGCATCTGTGCGGTAGCAATGGCTCTAGTTGCGATTCTCGCCTTTGCTCTGAGACTGGTGCTTCAAAGCGAGAATGACAAGACGCGGAGCAGGTGGAAGCAGCTGGAGGCGGAAGGGCAGGCCTTGGTGACGGGCGGCAAAAGTAGCGAAGCGTTTATATACCTCACCTGAAGCTGTCCAATACCGCTAATATGATGAGACAAAAGATAAACCATTACACCCAGCGAGATTCGAACTCGCGACTTTCGCATAACCTCATGAAAGGCAGAAGCCATATCAGTCCCAAGGGAAAGATATAAGAACGACACGCTAAGCCACTGCGTCATGCTGTGAAGGGGGTTAGCACGTGCCCCAGATGTTTGTTCAAACTCGACGTTACGTACGGTGTGCCAATTGCGACGGGTGTACCCGCATATAATATATTCTACAGCCTTGCCAACCGCCGAAGTACCTCCGGCACAGTGAGAGCAATCGTAGCTCAACGCGAAGACGGAACACACTTACCAATCCAGGCAACAGAATACGGATACTTGGCGACGCGAACTTGAAGTTGTCAACAACTAGAATGGTAGTGGAGTGCGCACTTAAGACCCTCCTGTTCTATCGCTGTCAGCAGCGACGCCCTGCCCGTTTCCTCCTTCTTCCTCGGCAGCACCATCGCCCTTCTTCCGCAAGATGGCCACACCCTCCACGTGGCTCGTCTGTGGGAAGAAGTCGAACCCTCTCAAGCTCTCGATCTCATAAAGCCCTTGCAACACGGCGCCATCTTCGCCTTCGACTCCGCCAACAAGCCACCCAACATCCCTCGCTTGCGTGTGCACATTGCAGCTTACATAGCATATCCGTTCCGGCCCATATGCCAACAGCTGCCTGATGAAGTTCTGATCACATCCTTTGCGTGGAGGATCAATAACTACGACCGTCTCCGATGGCGGGAACTTGGTCGTGTCGATCGCAGAGAATAAGTGGTTCGCGTCTGCGGCTATGAACTTTGTCGAGTCCGGAGGCAAGCTATTGAGCTTAGCGTTCTGGTCTGCGGACTCGATTGAGTGAGGTGAGATGTCGATGCCGATGCTGTTGCTGAACATCTGCGACAGCGTGATGGTGAAAAAGCCGGAGCCGCAGTAGGCGTCAATGAGATTCTTCATTGCTGGTTCATGCCCATTGGCCTCGTTACCGCTCTTTGCTGGTCCGAGAATGTTCTCGCGGATGTACTGCGTGACGAGTGGGAGGATGCTGTTGTTGTTCTGAAAGAACGCTCCGGCCGGGTTGTCGAAGCGAAAGTCCTCCACGTACTCGGTCGAAGTAGCTTTGTGGTCCGTAATGCAGGTCTTTCGATGCACCCACTCCCCGCGGTCTTCCACAACCACATCTGTAGCTTCCATCTTGCCGTCTACTGATCCTTGCAGCTCACCGTCCGACTTTCTTACCCTTTCTGTGCTCTCCCTCAACAACAACGTAGCACCACGTTGATACTTATCAATCTCCCTATGCACCCTCTCCCTCTCCCTCCTCAATCCGCGCTCCACAGCTTCCGTGCCAATCGGGCATTCCTCGATGTCCATCGTCTTCCTTGTTCCTTTCCGCATATACCCAATCGGCGGCACCTCCTCCCAAATCACCTTTTTCCCAGCCCGCTTGTCCTTCCTCGCCATCGGAGGACCATCAAAATGCGGCGTCAGCTTCGTCCGGTAACCATACTGCAGCGGACTACCGATCGTCTCGCCGACGGCAGGTACAGCAGAAGCAGGTAAGCCAGAGAAGTTCGCGTATGCTTTCTCCACGATCGTCTTCTTGTGCGCAAGTTGGTAAGAGTAAGGCATGTGTTGAAACTGACAGCCCGAGCATTGTGAAAAGTAGCGACACTTGGGCGTTTCAGTGCGGTGCTGAGAGGGTGTCTTGACAGAAAGAAAGTCTGTGAGAGTGTAGCCTTCTTCTGGGAAGTGCTTGACGACCTTGGCCGAGACGCAATCGCCAGGGGAAGTGAACGGAACGACGTATACTTGGCCCTCTTTCTCCGCCAACCCGTCTCCCGTCGAAGAGAGCTCGTTGATGGTGAGCTCGACCTCGGACCATTGCTCCGGCAGCGTTCTCGTGGTCTCCTCATGATCTCCTACACGCGCCTTCTCCAGCAATCTCCTCACATCTACCAGTAAGACTTCCTCACTCGACCCTTCGACAGCTGCAGTTTTCTGCTTCTTGTTTTTCTTAAAGTGCCTCCGACCCTCGTTGAACGGTCTCTTCTGCGCCATGCTGGTTGCGCGAGGAATCACATACCGTGGCGTGTAAGTGCCAAGAGCGGTCCGACAGCGCGCAAGCAACATATATCAGGTCTCGGTTCATGCATGTTTCAAAGTCAACCGCGAGAAAGATCAGGGAGGAGGCACGAAGTACGGTCGAGCACGCGGCCGCTTCCTCCGCCTGCGTCGTGAAACAGCAATGAGACAAGCGCGTCTATGGAAGACGCAGTACTGCGGGGAAGAGTTACCTGTGCAAAGAGAATGTGTTGATCATCTACAATCCGACCAGGCGCCGCTATGCCGCTAAAGCTTCGTGTAGACGAGGAGTCGACCAGACGTAACACATAATAGCCAGCCGCCAGCGCCATGCTCAATCGCAGCATAAGAGCATACTCACGAACCAGCAAGCGCCTTACCCTCCCACTCGCGTAAGCCCCATTCTATCGCACCGCACCGGCCGTGATAATAGACCGTTGCTCGCTCGTATCGCTAGACCTCCTTCAACCACGTGAAGTGGTACCTCAGGTACTCACATCCCCCGGATCCTCGAGCAAACTATCACTCCACCCCCTCTGCGTCACCGCACCAGAGACGCTCCGATCCAGCGTCGCCATGCCCTCACCCTCACCCCGCTCGACATACTTCTGATGATGCAGCTCTTCCCAGATCTTCTGGAAGTACATCCGCAGCGTCCTCAACCCACGAAGGTACCCTCGATCTACGTCGTCCGGATGAGCCGGCGGACAGGGCTTGGTCTGCAAGATGCGTGGCATATCCTCCGCGGTCACGCAGTTGGCAAAGTCGACAATCTTCAACTTGATGTCGTGGTAATGTTGCTTGTGCTCCTCCCTTCCGCTATGCTCGCTCGCGCGGCTCGCTGGTCGTGATTTGCCTTGCTCATCGGCATCGCCGCGGTCATATATCAGCAGGAGACTGCTCGCATATAAGCGATAGCTTGGCAGTTGACGAATGATGCGGTCCAGCGATGTGATCTTCTCTAGTAATGATGGGATATGCTTGAGCGCCTGATTGTGACCGATACCGTCGAAGAAGAAACGGGTCAGCGCGTCTTTGAACTCGTTGCCGGCTTTGAGATCACGACCGAAGTACTTGTCCTCAAAAATGTATGACTGCTTCTGGACGTTGTATACTTGCATGCCGCAGACGCGCACCCCGAGCTCGCGAGAAGTCGTGGTCTTGCATTTGCTACGTTGGGAGGCTTGCTTCTTCTCATTAGCTTCAACGCCATATTGCCGAGTGCCCATCTTCAAATCGAGGACGCAAGGCTTCTGCATGCCTGCGGTGAGATCTTCCAGCAGCAAGAAGTGCTCCAAACGCTCGCCTTGGCGTACGAGCGACGTCTCCGGGTTGCGAGGCTCCGGCTCGTCAGCTAGTGCGATCGCAGGATCCAGCGTGGGTACGGGACGGTTCTCGGGCGGCATGACGTCTGGAGCCACAGCAATATCATCACCTAAGACTCTGGCGATTTCTTTCCTCGCTTCTGCGCCGTCGGCGGGTAGCTGTCGCTTCATGTCGTCCATCGCGAAGAGGTCCTCCTCACCGTCAGCGCCATAAGCCTCGTCCTCGTGGTATTCCAGATCTCCACGTTCGCCCTCCACGTAGGTAGGCTTGCGTGTCAGGCCACCGCCAGAATGTCTTCGGCGATGCCGCCGCCCGCTTATGGCCGAAAGCGGATCGGCATCGGACGCTTCGGCACTCTTACTCAGGCCTTCGATGGTAGTAGCACCATCTACATCACGAAGCAGCGCACTCAGATCGGTTGCGGCGCGGTCATTGCTGGCTATGCGCTTTCGCTCCATCAGGTTCTTGATGGCTTGCCGTCGAGCACTGTCACTGTCGGTGTCTCGATCTACCAACTGACCCGCATCTGCACTGAGATTTCCATCCTGGGCAGCTTGGTCGATCGATCCAGATTTCGACATCTTCCGCAACGATCTTGTATGATGGGCCCGCTCTCTGCGATCGTGACGATGGATGACGGGCGGAGCGAAAACTTCACGTAGGACATGGTCGCGAAGCTTACTGTTAACGGAGGTGAAACCCCAGCTGGAATGCGCTTTCAGCGAAGGGCGGCGACCGTTCTCTGTGGACGTCTCATCGTCGCCATGGTCCAAAGCCCGGTTAGGTGGTGATGACTGCGTGCGCTGCATGTCCGTGGTGCTTGACCTGGGCGGTAACCTAAAAAGATTCTCAGGAATGAGATGGCGGTTGTTCTCGAAGATCACTTGCGGTATGGAAGTCTGCGCTTGCTGCGAATGGCTGACAATCCTCTGCTGCTGCGCCGGCGCGTCATCTTTTGGCGGCGGCGGTGTTGTGATGCTTAGTTGCTCGGATGACGGTACTGTATCTTCGCCTTCGACATTCTGCGCCTTCGACTTCTTCGCATCTTTACGGTATGTCACGTTGAGCACTCCGATATACCGGGGCATGAACGCGAGCAGCTGAGGATGATACTTCTCCACAGTTTCATAGAACTTGTTCTCCTTGCTGTTGAGTTGCTTACAGACAGCACGACGAGAAAAGCGGTAGACGGTAGTATGTCCGCCAACTTGGTGCTTGTACGGCTTGAGCTCAACAGCGCCAATAGGTGCAGGTGGCGTGCGCTTGCGCTTAGTAGGAGACTCCATGGCTTGCTTGATGTGAAGGCTGGTTCTGGGTGTTGCCGTAGGTGTCATTTCTTCCTCTTCGTCCTCCTCGGAGACGGTAGAGTCGAAGCCGGAGCCGTAATCAGAATCCCTATCGCTTTCGGTGCGTGACAATGCAGGCTCCGGTAACTCGTCGAACTTTGTCGCAGACGCATCGCGAGGGACGGCGATTTCCCCATGTAATTGATCGCTAGTATCGCCATCACCGGACGTGATAGAAAACTGAATGTGATCTGCGCCACGGTCATTGTTACCTTGCATCTGCGCGGCTTGCTGGCTGGCTTCGCGTTTGTGATGCGCAATCTGCGCTTCGGTGGGTGAGTCTTCCAGCTTGAGTCCTTGATGCGGATAATATACAGCAGACAAGATGTGTTCCTGATCCGGCGAATCAACAGTGATGGCCGCTCCATCTTCATGCAGTGCTACAGTCTCGTTGTGCTGCGCAGGAGCGCTCGGTGCACCTGCTTGCTCATCTACTTTATTCGGCCGCTGAGGTGCATGTTGCTCATGGTATGGTATGTCCTTAAGCGGGTCCAGCGGCAGCTGGTGACCAGGCCAATCTTCAGCAACAGGCATACCCTCAGTGACTGACGCCAGATTAGACCGCTTGACTGGCCATGCTTTATCCTCTTGCAGCTGCACCACTGAGTCGTCCCTTTGCTGCGCAACATGCTTTGCTCTTTGCTTCTCGGCTTCTTTGCGCTTCTCAACTTCATTCTCCCTGAACAAACCAAGATAATGACTCCCTTTGCGGCTTCGTAGGTTCGTAGGTGCTATCTCTGGCCTGGGCATCCGCGCGTCGACCACTCTGTCTAATGCACCAACATCCGCGCGGCTTTGACGCCGTTGAGACTGTGCAATGGTCATGCCATTGAGCTTTGCCTTGCCCAACCGCCATGAGCGATACTGCTCGCGTTCTGCACTTCGCTCGATGTCGGCCGGAGCGCCTGCATCCGCTTTGCTAGCGATCGGCGTTGCCGGGGAGCGTTGCTTGGTCGATTCTTCGTCACTAGATGTTGCCGTATCTTTGGTTGTCTGCTGGAGGTATGCTGCCAGCGGAAGAGCACCAAATTCGTGTAGATCGTACCACGACCGCCGATGCCATTGTAAGGGCAGACTCTTTCGACTCGGACGGTTCCGAATGACACTCGCATCGGTTGCGGACGCCCGTGACTCCATGCTTCGTGCATATTCTGGCATGTCTTTGCCAGACGATCTTAGGAAATCGTTCAGTGGCCTTGGCGGAGACGTGACCGCCATCTCCGCCCCTTCGTACCTTCCCTCCACGTTGTTGGTAGCCTTGCCGAAGAACCTTGGTGATGTCACGGGACTGGTGCTGGGCATGTAATGGGTTGCGAAGATACTGTCCCTCTCGGACAGTTGAGGCTGGACTGCATCATGGGTGGTAGACCGCCTTGGACGGGAGCTATTCTTGGATTGAAGTTCGACAACCGCATTAGACGGTGTCACCTCGCTGCCCGCTTCGCGGCGCGCGGCATCACCAGTGGATAGGGAAGGCGTGGCATCGTGAGCGGGATGTTTGATCTCTTTGGATCTCAAGTTCCCTGGTAAACAACGCCCGGGCGCCGCGACCAAGTCGGGTGACATGAGGCTAACATTGGAAGCTCTTCCGTCACCCACGCGGCGTCAGAAGTAGGAATTGGTGGACGCCCGCTCGCGGAAGGCGGCAGCAACATTCGATCAGAAACGCTAAGCCTTACTCACGCATCGGCAAGTGGCTCGCTAGACCGCAGGTATGCGCAAGGTGCAGCCCTGTGTCCGTTTCAAGAGCTGCAGACCGGCCAAGACGCGGCCACGTTTGCATGCGGTGGGTAGCGAATGGGTGCGGCAGCGAGAGGCGTGGCAGCGAAGAGGCACCGCAATTGGCGGAGCAATGACGCTGGGGTTCCTCCTCGATCAAGCTTTTAGACACAGCAGTCCGTCTCCCAGGCCGCTTTCCCCGTACGGCACCTCCTCCCCCTGATCACCGCTGCATTTCCTCTCACACGTCCAAACATGCCGACGCCCATCTCGCGGTCACCCGGCAGTGCTACCGAAAGCACAGCACTACTCTACACGTGGGCAGGTGGCAGGCAAAGATCGCACTTGGTTAATGCGTGCGACAGGCGTGGCATGACGATCAGGGGGACCATCACGAGTATGACAGGTGCCCGACTCAGGAACTCGGTGTGACGACAGGCCAATTCTTTGTTCATTTGGAAATGCATATCGTTAGAAGCCTTGCTTTGTTGTACGCGGATACGACGCCCAATGGATGAGGAACGTGGTCAATCTCTGCGTGCCGAAGTCTTCGCAGTAAGACGAGAACCAGCTCGCCAGGACGAATGGAAGCCCAACCGTAATCAATCCCTACCTCATGGGGAGTAGGTGTACAAGGCTCTCCCAGCACCGGCTGGTCGATGATGTTAGCTGTTTTTTTGGTGACAGTACAGCTTCAATAGGCGGTAGTCAGCCCGTCTTCCGTCTACAACCGCTTGGCTCTCATTGGTGCTATCCTTGTATCTGCTTGCCTACACTGACAGGAAAATCTGTGATCAGAGACTTGAAAATCACCTCGACGATGCTGCGCTTCTGCACGACGTGACAACAAATCCAAAGCAGATCGGCTCCCATCTACGGAGATACCGCATTGCTCCCGGCATGTGCTAGGCTAAACTGGCTGCTGTTTTTACCGACAGTGAATGTGTGCCGAAGATGGTGAGTGAATACAGTGCTCCAGCATCATTCGTTTTAGCTATGGCATCTCGCCCGCTCTAGGGCAATGCGCACGGGAGACACCCATGTTCGAACAATGCCGCGGGAGGCTGAAGTGGCGCCTGCAAGCTTATCTCAACCCGCTTACGGGCCTGCCACATAATATGCACTTGTACTTCTGTGACGCTGTCTAACGCATTGTCAGCGCCTGCAGACCCGGTTGCTCTACACGCTACGGATCGAATCTGCAACGAGATCTTGATCGCATCGTGGACGAGATTGGAGCCGGCGTCCGTGCTGACAATTGACAGATGAGCTTACAGCTTTCCAAGGCCTCCTACTGGGGTTCATGCCGCGGGAAGCACCTCAGTTCCGTGCAGCCGCAGCACGGTCAACTTTCGATGCCAGGTAGCTGGAGTCTTACCATTGTTGATACATGCTCCAGCCCTACGGTTGACCCAAGAGAGCACCATCACGGCTGCCTGGACCGTCTACGGACAACTATGCCGTCTTACATCAACGGCTCCGTTGACTGACCATACTCGAACCCCAACCGCTGGTCGCCTACTCTCATGCAACTCAATGACCGCCTCACGTTCGCAAATCATGCTTGATGAACAACTCAACCACTATACAGCTTCATCAGACCCTTGTAGAACGCCGGCATCGTGTCGGGGTCAAGCCAATCCAGATCAGCCCGTCTTGTTTGGCTTGCCAATCTTGGTACCGCTCTAGCTCGGCTACGCTCATCTGTTCCGGAGAAGGACGCGTTTGTGGACTTACCGGCAGCCCGTCGTCCTGCTCTGGGTGGTCTGCGACATCTCTTGCTCTCCATCGTACGGGCCGGAACTCGACTCTGACCTTCCACACCTTCCATACGACTCCTTTCGAATCCTTGAGATAGCCTTGCACTCTGATCTCGCCATCACGCTGTTCGAATGGCTTGTTGAAGCCGTCAACCGGCGAGATACGGAGGGGCTCACCAGACTGCGTAGGTGATGCTTGTTTGACCTGCTGCGCTTCTCTATTAGTGGATTTGCTCTGTTCTTCCGTTTCAGGCACTTTCCGCTCAGTGCCTCTTGTCTGCTCTTCAACCTTCTGCTCCGGCTTCTGAGTGCCTGTTCTTGTTTCTTTCCGAATGTTCGTCTTCCGCTTGCTTCGCTTTCCAACTACAGCGTCCTGCGCTTTCCGTTTGTTCCCCTTCTTCGTCAGCATTTCGACTGCGAAAAGCTGCTCGGTACTCAAGTAAAAGTCCAGAAGCTCGAGACACGCTGCATGCTACGCTCTACCGGAGAGCGTTGGAAACGGACGGTGCCAGACAAAAATCAACGCGGATGCCGCAGTCCGACCTGCAGCATGCCTCGCCCTTTGCATACACAGCAGATCATCACGATAACCCAGCGAGCAGTGACAAGACAAAGCGGACATAATGAGAACAATCGTGTTGAAGGTGCAATCTAACTTTACGGCTTTGTGTATCTGCCACTCGAGATTACGATCAGGCTAGAGACAAAGCACGCCTCAGCCACGAGGCACCATACGTCCACCGTCCACGATGGGTGTTGCATATCGTGGCTACGCATCGTCCGAATCTCGTTCGCACAACGTCCGCGACCTCCCCAATCGACACTGCACACCATGCGCATGCTGAGCCATACCACGGACGCCGCGCCTCGGCTGAGCTGCACCCTTCTCCAATGGCCAAGTGGAGCGCATCATGGTTCTTTGACTCCGGGACACCCCGTCAAAGCAATCCCAGAGAGAGCACTGCGAGTCGGCTCCGCGTCAGGCCTTCTGATCCTTCTCCACAATGTGGCGACTTTCGTGTGGCTCTTCGAGACTCCGATCAGCCTGCTGTTTATAGGCCTTGTTGGTCTTATTCTTCCAGCTTGCTGATGCAGTTGCGGCAGGCTCGGCCGTCGTGGCGTCGTCGTGGTCAGTGCTTGGGTCAGTCGGCGAACCGACTTTGAAGCCGACTTGCGCCGAAGGATTGAAGAAGTGGATGTCGAACTTCTGTGCTTGGGGATTCCGGTGCCGTAGAACAAGGACTTTGGCGGTGCTTGAGTCTTGACTCGCTTAGACTCGCTTGGACTAGACATCTTTACGGCAGGGTTCAGCATCTTTGCTTTATTGCGCAACGAAGATTTCGACTATGAGATGTTGCACATGTGTTATCACTGCTTCACCAGCTAGTCAATCACTTTTTGAGACAGCCGTGTCAGTAGTGTAATCGGCAAGGCACGGACCCGGGAGTCCTTAGTGGATGCCAAATGGCGGAGATTCGAAAGCGTACAGTGTTTCGGTAATGTTGCACTCTGACGGACATTGGTATCACTGCAGGTGGGCCCGAAGTATGATAACAAGCAAGGGATAAAGGCTACGCCGTACGCTTGAGTAGCTAATATTGACGACGGAGTGATAGCAATTAACGGATGCAGTTATGAGTGCTGCACGTTCGAAATAGCAAGCCGCCAAGTACGTCAGAAAATCAAGAGTGTAAGCGTTCTAATAGACCGGTACGCATGCAAGTGAGTAAGGAGACCGTATGGTAGTGGAAGAGGTGGTAGTCCTTGCGCTGCCAACTGGGACCTACCTTCATATACGTGCCTGCAAGATGAAAACTTTGATCCGTTAGTATATAGAGCCTGATGCCGATACTTGATGCTCCTGGGACGACCAGAGGCCGCTGAAAGCAAAGAGTGCTGCCCGGGGCCTACGCTTCCCATACGGTGCAGGACAAATTGGTATTAGCATGAAACCGGAGTCGTAAGACCTATGTGTCAAATGGATGGAGGCCGTACCTTCTGGGAAGTACATTTCAGAGTATCAAAACAGAGGGGACCAGTACTGCAAGACTCGCTCGCATGCGACCAGAGCAACCTGGAAATCGAAGAGAAGCGCTGCCAGCGGTGAAATGTGAAGTGAACATCATGTCCGATTGAGCACGGACCGCATCGACCGTCAACAACGCCTTAGTCAGCGGTTGCTGTCCAGTTTCGTGATACAAATCTACAAACGACCCTTCAATACACCATCACCATCTCTTCCTTTTTCGAGCCCAGCGTCTTAGGACAAGGCAATGAATAGGCACAACTTTTGGCGTGCCCGGGCGAGATAAGATTGCTTTGCGCTACTGCTATTCCCGCCGCCTACCCGTTATGCCGCTGATAAGCCATACTGCACTTGTGCAGGCCAAACTCAGTCCTCGGACTCGCACGCTGCAGTGGCTACTGTATGGGCGGCTCTAGAACGGTACTGCCATGGCCCCCTATCAGTGTCGATTCAATGGCTTCTGTTCGTTATTGCAGCTCCGTGGTAAGTACGAGCTCTTTGATCCTTCTCTACCGAACGTCGTACCATTTCTGCCTTGTCAGCTACTCGTGGATCAATATGTCACAGACTAAGACCCAAACAATGGCCACATCTCCTTCTCACCCTCCCAATGCCCTCGACATCATTGCTCAACCACTTACCCTACCATGCGGCCTCACCCTTCCCAACCGTCTCGTGAAATGTCCAATGCAAGAGACCCAAGCGGAGGCGCCTTGGTTCGATCCACCACTCTCAACCTTTAAGAACCTGTACAGCCTCTGGGCCAAGTCGCAGTACGGTCTGCTCATCACGGGCCAAGTTCAGATCGACCGACGTTTCTTCTCCATCGCCGGTGATGTATGCTGCCATGAGAAGTCCCCAGAGCCAGAGAGATTGCAGATCTGGAAGGAGTGGGCGCGGATCGCACAGAAAGATGGCACGCCGTGTATCGTACAGCTTGCGCATCCGGGACGCATGAGCCCCGCGGGCGCCGGTATCAGGCCGAAGGACATGAGGACGCTGTGTCCCAGTGAAGTGCCGGTAGAGCTGGGCGACACTTGGCTAGATAAGATGGCTCTGCAGTCTGTGCTCGGAACGCCGAAGGCTATGACGATCGAAGACATAGACGAAGTGGTTGGGATGTGGATTCGCGGTGCTGAAGTCGCGAGAGATGCTGGATTTGCTGGCTGTCAGCTCCACGGCGCGCATGGCTTTCTGCTCTCCCAGTTCCTGTCTCCTCGAACAAACAAGCGGACTGACGAATACGGCGGAACGCCGGAGAAGCGCATGAAGTTACTGAAACGCCTCGTTACGGAGATCAGAGAGCGATGCCCGCGACCGTACTGCCTCAGTGTCAAGCTCAACAGCGCAGACTACATGGACAAAGGCGAAGGTCTTGAGGTCGAGGAAGGCCTCGAGCAGGTCCGATGGCTGCGTGAGTGCGGCATGGTGGACTTCGTGGAGATCAGCGGCGGGAACGCCGAGCAGAAGAACAGCGGATTGCATAACTCTTTCGGCACAAAGACTGCAGAGCGAGCGAAGAAGATGAACGAGAGCACGCGCATACGGGAGGCCTTCTTCACGGACTTCGCGGACAAAGTGATGGCTATGCCATCTGACGTGCCGGTCCAACTCTCTGGAGGCTTCCGCACGAGGACAGGCATGGCTGATGCGATCTACAGCCGGTCCTGCGACCTCATTGGACTTGGACGGTCTGCGGTTCTCGAGCCCGAGCTACCGCGTAAGATCCTGCTTAATCCTGAGTACGACGACGAAGGCGCGCTTGCGAAAAGCCATATCATCCGCGGACAATGGCTAAGCAAGGCCATACCGGTGAAGGTCATTGGTGGTGGCCTACCCATCCAGTTTTTCTACTACAACATGCGAAGGTTGGGCAAGGGGCTAGACAGCGACCCCGACATCAGTCTGCTGGGCATCATACTGATGGGTATCTACGAAACCCTATTTAGCGGCGTGCTGCAGACGTTGCAGAGGATTGTCGCCGGCTTCAGTAGCAACCAGGCTAGCGGAAGGGTCAAAGTTGCGTGAACGACTGGATGATGGAGCGGTAATCGAGGCCTCCTGACGAGCACTACGACAACGAGTTCAGGATCAGTGTTCACAGATGTCAGCTGCGAAATGTTTGCTTTCAAGTAGAACTTACAGTTAGAGGCGTTTAGACCGAACTGTTTAGCGTAGCGGCACGTGAGGGAGACTCTCCGGCAAGCGAAGTGCGGCTCTGTGAACCTTTCCACAGTTCTTTCGATCGACCCACGTCATCTTGGCTCAAGATCGACGTCGCTCACAGCGGCATACCGGCACCTTTTCCATTGGGGCAACGCCTCTCACTCTGGCGTTAATGGCAATAGTTCGTTGAACATGTCGTCACTGCCCCTTGGGACAAAATGTCATATGTAATCTTGTGCTGCACTCATATACCGGTAGGTCAGAGATAGTATTCCCTCAGTTATCAAGCGTTCGGTCCCATAGATTGGCACTCCTCTTCGCTTCGAAGATGAGTACGCTCAGACCGGCTGGTCTGCTCAGTTCGAATGGCAACCCGGACCCACAGGAAGGATTCGCGCAAGGCACTCGACCAGTATCATCTGAAGAGGAGTCCAAACTTGCCGACTCCGAGAAGGACGAGGATGGTGCGCGTGAACGCGGCAACGACGAGCAGAACAACGAGGAAGAAGAGGGTGATGAGGAGCAGCAAGGTGGACCGCCCAAACCAGTAGGCTTCTGGGATCCACGACTGAAGCATGTACGGCACGAAGCGATGTTCAAGTGGACCGTCACCACCGCCCTTTTGATGGTGTTCATCCTGGGCGTCTTGTCGATATACTGGGGTGCTCTATTCCACATCGAGCCGAACCTGTCATCACTCGTGGTGTACGTGGTCGACTTTGACGGACAGGTCGCACCATACAATACTGCTGGCCACGCTCCTGTTGTCGGACCTCTCATTACGGAACTTGCAGAACAGATGGTAGCGAGCCCTGTGCCGCATCTCGGATTCGGCGTGCTGCCACCTTCCAACTTCGCCAACGATCCCATCCAAGTTCGCCAAGCGGTCTTCGACTTCGATGCCTGGGCAGCTATCGTGATCAACCCGAACGCCACCGCCATGCTGTATTCCGCCATCCAGAATGGCAACACGTCGTACGACCCCATGGGCGCATGTCAGCTCATCTACATCGATTCCCGTGACGACACGAATTGGTACGACTTCATGTCGCCGATTCTGAGCGCTTTCATGACCGAAGCGACTAGCATGGTGGGTGAGCGTTGGACGCAGATGGTGATGCAGAACGCGAGTACCGATGCCACGCTCATTACAAACGCAGCCCGCGTGCCGCAGGCGCTCAGTCCAGCGATCGGATTCAGCCAGTACAACCTACGGCCCTTCTTTCCTTACCAAGTCATCCCGTCCGTCAGCATCGGGCTGATCTACCTGATCATCATCTCGTTCTTCTCTTTTGCTTTCTACCTGCCGATACATTTCAAGGTAAGCAGTTTCTTCGTATCCGAGGGATGCCGTCTCAGACTAACCAAAACCTGCAGTATCTCAAACCCGAAGGTCACCCTCCGCTCAAGTTCTACCAACTCATTATCTGGCGTTGGTGTGCCACGATGTCCGCCTACTTTATGCTGTCGCTAGCCTACTCTCTTATCTCGCTGGCATTCCAGGTCAACTTCTCGGGTGGTAACCCTGTCACTTCTGAGACGGACGTTACCTGGACTGTGGACGGTTTCAAGAACGCCGATGCTTACGGTCATGGCACCTTCCCTGTGTACTGGTACGTACACTTGGCAGTGATTCTGCTTGCAGTTTAGAACAGTACTAACGCTTGATACTTCGCAGGATGCTCAACTTCTTCGGTATGATCGCACTCGGCCTTGCATGCGAGAACGTAGCTATGATCGTTGGTCAGCCTTGGACAGGTCTATGGCTTATCTTCTGGGTCATTACAAACGTCAGTACAGCATTCTACGATATCGATCTCGAACCGGGCTTCTACCATTGGGGTTACGCATGGCCTCTGCACTACGTCGTGGAAGGATCAAGACATATCTTATTCGGATTGCATAGCCGGATAGGCCTCGACTTCGGCGTGCTGATTGCCTGGGGTGCGGTCAACACTGTATTGTTCCCGTTTTGCTGCTACTTCATGAGGTGGAAGTCGAAGCACCATGTCCATGAGTACTATAAGTAGATAGTAGAGAAGAACATGCAATACATGGTTTTGCAACCATTATGAACTCGGTGCATTAATTAACGCCTCCCTTGCCATGGTACACATTATGTTGAGGTGCTGTTTGGTGGATGAGTAGAGTGACTCGTGCGCATGTAATTGTGACAGACGAATCGCATGTAGAGGTCTGAAGTACGACTGATACCAACTCTAGGTGGGAATATTACTCAATAGCATTGGCATGTTCAAGCACGCTTGACACGATAGGTGAGGAAATATTGCTTCATAGCTTCGTTTTCATTTCCTCTGTACATACATAGCTACAGGAAGAAGACGCCATTAACCCATTACGCACGCATGTCGTTTAACCGAACAGCGCATCGCCGAGTCTGATCGAGACGGTCTTGGTCTGGGTGTAGTTGTCAAGCGCAGCCTCGCCGAGCTCACGACCGAGACCGGACTCCTTGTAGCCGCCGAATGGCATCTGGTGGTGGAGGGTGCTGTAACATCTACGTCAGCATCGTGCGCTCACAGCTATGTGACTGGCAATACTCACTTGTAGGTGTTCACCCAGACGGTACCGGCGCGGAGGGCGTTGGAGACTTCGATGGCAGTGTTGAGGTTCTTGGTGTGGACGGCAGCGGCGAGACCGTAGGTGGTGGCGTTGCCGACACGGATGGCCTCCTCCTTGGTCTTGAACTTGGAGATGGAGCAGACTGGGCCGAAGATCTCTTCTTGCACGATCTTCATGTCCTCGGTGACGTTCGAGAAGATAGTGGGCTCAATGAAGTAGCCCTTGTCGCCCTTGCGGTTGCCGCCGATCTCGACCTTGGCGCCAGCGTCCTTGCCGGCTTGGATGTAGCTGTTACAGAGTCAGTAAAGTAACTGTCATGTTGATGCTGCAGCAAATGCAAAGGGAACGCTTACCTCATAATGCGGTCAAACTGCACCTGGGAAACCTGGGGACCCTGGAAAGTGTCCTTGGCGAATGGGTCGCCAACAACGTTCTTCTGTGCCCGCTCCTTGAACCGCTGGACGAACTTGTCGTAGATGGACTCTTGCACGTAGATACGCGAGCCAGCGCAGCAGCACTGGCCGTGGTTGAAGAAGATACCGAAGTTAACCCAGGAGATGGCGTTGTCGATGTCGGCATCCTCGAAGACGATGTTGGGAGACTTGCCACCGAGCTCGAGGGTGACCTTCTTCAGGTTGGAGCCAGCGGCAGCCTTCATGATGGTGCGGCCGACAACGGTGGAGCCAGTGAAGGCGACCTTGTCGACGTCCATGTGCGAGGCGATGGCGGCACCGGCGACCTTGCCGAAACCGGAGATGACGTTGATGACACCTGGTGGGAAGCCGGCCTCCTTGACGAGGCGGGCGGCGACGAGGCCACCGAGAGGGGTCTGCTCGGCGGTCTTGAGGACGACGGTGTTACCGCAAGCAACAGCGGGGCCGATCTTCCATGCCCACATGAGGAGCGGGAAGTTCCATCTGCAAGCGTGTCAGCGTTGATGATCGCAAGAAAGACGGGAGACAAGCGCTTACGGAATGATCTGACCGCAAACACCGACTGGCTCCTTGCGGATGTAGTTGAAAGTATCTGGGGTGGTGTCGACAACCTTGCCCTCGATCTTGTCTGCCCAGCCACCGTAGTATCGCAAGCAGCCAGCGCACATGCTGATGTCAACCTTGGCCATGGCGATGGCCTTGCCGTTGTCGAGCGACTCTACTGCGGCGAGGAGGTCGAGGTTCTTCTCGAAGAGGTCGGCGAGCTTGACGAGGAGTCTGCCACGGTTTTCTGGGGTCTCCTTCCGCCATGGGCCCTCAAAGGCCTTGCGGGCTGCGGATACTGCAATGTCGACATCCTTCTCGGAGGCCTCGTGGACGGAGCAGATGACCTCTTCGGTGGTTGGGTTGATGACCTCGAAGGTCTTGCCGTCAACACCCTTGACGAACTCGTTGTTAATGAAGCTGTTGCGTTGGTCAGTGTCCGCCTTGATTCGACCGTTCTATCCATCACTTGACCTCGGTGTTGACTTACAGACCGGTCGGCTGCTCGTACTTGCCGGAGTGCGGCGTCTCGAGGTTAACGGAAAGGTCAGACATTTTGTATGGTGTTGTTGGATTCAATGGTGTGTCAGAGAGGGAAATTGACAGTGAAGTCTTAGAGAAGGGGCAATGATGTACCGAAGAGGGCGAAGTGGGGTTAAGTAGTATGAAGAGACCTACCTAGGCATCTAGTGAATGGGCCCTCGGGATTTGCGCCGCTAGCAGAATGGAGTAGATCTCCACCCGCATGTCTGATCCCTTCTCCACTCGTCCATGAGTAGTCCGCGTAGTCAAAGCCACTGTATTTGGCATCGCGGCCTGGTTGCGATGATCTGAATGGTCGCTCGGTGAGATGGGTGCGAGAGCATGGCGTTTGAGCTAGAGAAGGAGGGGCAAGCGGAACTGGAACGCAACTGCGGTGCTGCGGGGAAAGCTTTGCGGACAAAAGTCTCTCAGCTGACAGCGTCGGAGGATCTTAACTTCATGTTTGCCCCAGCTTGATTAGTGTTATACGGGCAGATACGGCTGCTGCAGTGGCTCATGGCGTAGAGACCAGTTTTGAAACCTGTGCCTGAAAGTGAGCAGCATTGCGAGGCCTGTTTCATTCAGTCGAGAGCATTTAACATTTGCGTGGATACTGCGCGAATAGTATCCACTTTCCAAATGACGTAGACGTCGTATTGTTGCGAGCACAGCTTCTCCCACTAGAGGGCATCGGACGGTCGCGGAGCTGGATGCAATAGAGCAGCGAACGATCTGCGGAGCTACGGTGGTGGCCCGTCATCCCGAACAAGGCACACAGGGGTAGAATGCAAGCTCGAGGTGTTTGTGGCCAAGTGTTTGGAGCTCCGGATATAATTACTAATCGCATAGACTGCCCGGAGAGTCTAGGCCTTCTCTCTGCTGGGCAAGCAGACAGGGACGAATGGTGGCTTAGCACTCGCCGTTGGGCGGCCTGCTGAGAGCACACCGCCAAGCAATGTCCCGCGAATACCAGAGCACCGTTGCAAGTCCGGGACGTGAGCGGCTTGAGCTTCACCGGAGAATGTGTGGAGCCCTAAAGGTTGTGCTTATGAGAAGAGTATTCAGACAACGACCCGACTTGGCGAGACGGCGTCTTATAGAGTACCTTGAAAAGGCTTGGCCTACCAGATTGGATGCCGCCGGGCAGTGGACTGACCGTTGAGGGAGTGGCCAGAAACCCCAGTGCTCTGCTTGTTGAGGTCCAGTGTCGCGGGGACTGCATCATGAAACCTGCGGTCAGCGTATCGAGGCGCAAAAAGTTGGATCGCTGAGTCGTGAGGACAGCATTTCACATTTGCAGTCTTATCTCGCCGTCAATCCATCCTCCGTCGCTCGAGTTCAACTTCTGCAATGACAGTCAGATGGCCGCTGAAACGTCCAATGCTCAAGGAGAGCCATAATGATACAGTCTGGTTTGTGTCAAATCGCAGAGTCGTCAAGTAGCCGAGCGGAAAAGTCTCAGCATCTCCATCGTGTCGTCGAACCATACCACCACGGTGGTCTTGCGCTTCACCTGCTCCATCCCTCTCTTACAACACCTCATCCATGGCGGCGTCGTTACCGTTCGTGGCAGCAGGCTGCACGGCGCCGTTGGTGGCAGCTGCACCGTTTGGAGCACCCTCTCCACCACCGAAGTAGTCCGCCATCTCAGCATCGAGCTCGTCCGCCGTCTTCGCCTTCGGACGGCCGGCACGTCCGCTTCTCTTCTTGCCACCACGACCCGCCTTCGCAGCAGCGTCGGCGGCCGGCTTCGCAGCATCCTTCTTAGGGGCAGCGGCCGCCTTGGCACTTTCCTTCGAGGCGTTCTTTGGCTTGCTAACGGTATGTCAGCAATGTGCATCCAAAACAAAGCATCATCGGCGAAACTCACGCCATACGATCGGCCATGGTCTGCTTAGCTGGTGCCGCGATCGAGCTGCCGACAATCTCGATCTGGGTTGCTGTTAGAAACTACCTCGCTCATTGCACTGTGTAAAGCATTGCCGTACCTTCATGGGGCGGTTGTCGACCTTGACGTTGTTGAACTGCTTCATGGCTTCGGCTGCAGCATTCGGCTTGCTGAAAATGACCGTGGCCTCACCGCGGCTGCGCCCATTCGGCCCGTACGAAAGCAGCACCTTTTTGACGCTCCCGACTGCCTTGGCGAAAAAGTCCTGAATCACGGAAGGTCAGTCCGTTGCTGTTAGGTTGCGCTTGAATCGCTACGAGAAGAAAAATCGGCACGAGCATCTTCGCGTGGAGTAGCCCATAACTGCATTGGAAATTTCCATGAGCATGAGCAGCAGCAGCAAGAGGCGGTGTGACCTGTACAGGCACATGTGCTTGTATTCGTTCTTCTGCACAGAGCTTGTCTTCCTTTTAGGCGGCCGGTCATCCAGGCTCTTGCAAGCATGCCAGAGCTTCAGTGGACAAACGCTCGTCCACACTGGCGCCCTCTTGTGAGCATATTGCCTTCTGCTCGGACACTGCATCCTTGGCTTGCTTGCAGCTGCGCTAGCTGCTTCGGCTTCGCTGCGGATACCTGGAAGCCTCGTACCAAGATGCTGCTACTGCTCTGCTCACAGACTTCCCATCGATCGTCTGCACCTCACACTACGCTACTGCTTGCCAGGCAGGCGTTTATGTTGAGGTTTATTGCAAGACAAAGACACCCGCGCTTTACCTAGTATGCCTCGCGTCTGTGAACAGATGAAGCAATACCGGTTCATAGCGCTACTCGCGCACGACGGTACCAAGTCCAAAAGAAGGATGGTTACAGTTGCAATGTAACTGCGGAGAAAGAGTACCGAGGAATCCAAGCCGGTCAACGTACCTTGAGCAGAAGCTCGGTGATATCCTGAGGAAGATTGCTGACTATGATCTTGCTATCGCCGGAAGCTGGGGCGGTAGGAGCGCTTGCTGTGGTCCTTGGCGCTCTGGTGGTCTTCTGAACGCCGCCGGTTGGTGCTGCGACGGCGGGCTTGGCGCCAGCTGCGCGACGAGCTGGAACGCGCCTTCCGCGCCTGCCGCCTTTGTTGCCGCCTTCGGCCATGATGGTGTCCAGAGACTGATCGAGCTTTCCGGACATGTTGATTTTGGTGAAGGTGTTGATAAGGTTCGGTCGATCGCTTGGTTTTGCTAGTGATGTGTGATGACTGTGCTGGTTATCGGACTGGTAGACTGGAGTCTGGGCTCGTTACGCGTATCGTGAGCTGAAGATGACTGGAGCGTAGTGGAGCTGGCGGTATTGAAGGGTAGTATCACCCTTTGGGCTTTGCGGTGACGGCAATGCTGTTGGGAGTCTGGCTAGTGCTCACGTGTCGCTGCCACTGGGCGGGGGCAGTCTTGAAGGTATGCGTACGCGACTGGAGTGTTGGGCGCGTGTGAGATACTGTCAACACCCTTTGGTATTGATGGCTTTAATGGAGGGTTGGCGTTAAGGACAGGAACGCTTTGAAGAAGTCGCGAAGGTTAGGGGCGCAGCGCAGCTTTGCGAAACACGCACAGACGCCGCACTAAGCCGGACTTGGCCGGAGTCACGAGACGTGGAAACATTCGCTGAACATCGCCTTCCTCAGTCTACTCGTCGCTATGACTAGAACCCCTAAGTAAGTTGCCGCGCAAACTGTCCACCCACTAGTGATTCTCATGCGGCGCGAAACGCATCTCGCTCGCGCCAATGTCATACACAGCGACCACGTTCTTCAAGAAGGTGTCACCCAGAATGTACGGCCCACCGAAGCCTGGCTGCACACCAGTTATACATCCGCCGGTGTAGGTATCTAAGAGCTTGCGTCAGCCGTGGTCATACCGTGGGCGTTACTCTGGGAAGTTTTACCTTGTCCTCCCGCACCCGTCAACAACATTTCTGCGCTGTTGATATAGAAGTCCGTGCCATTGATCCGGATCGCGAACGTCGGCGGTGTGGCATCGCAGTAATTCTCAAAGACACCTTCCTCTTCAATGTAGACTGACGGCGGGTCGAAGAGGGCGTTGACCGCCTGCGCTATGTTGTTCGGCAGGTACATAAGGGTTGTCCCGCTATCGACAATAGCATCGTAATTCGTGGCCGGACTCTCGCTGACATTGCGGTAACCGCGGTATGTTTGCTGTTGTCCCGACAGCAAGAAGCCGTCCGGTACGATAGTGTAGAAGCTGAAGTTTTGGGCGGCATTCGCATCGTCCGTTAAGTCAACAATCTGCAGCGGCGTCGAGGTGAAAGTCTGGTCGAATGGGATTGTTGGTAGTCCACCAAGCGCCAGTTGCCCTCCGCCGCCATTTGTTCCACGTTCGATCGCCAAGCTGAACATCGGGTCAATGAGACCTTGTTCGATGGCATTGAAGATCCAGTTTGTGTAGGGCACGGTGTTGTTCGGGTTGTCCAGAGCAGGATTGATGCCCGGGAAGGCGCTGGTCAAGCTGGGAAAGGCGAAGCCCATGAGACCGGATGTGACGTTGTCACCCACCCAGTACGCTTCGTTGACCAGCGCAACCTCCTGGTTTGGCACGGTGATCCCGGCAATACTGACATCCTCGTGACCAAGCGTGCCAATCAAGAACTCGCCATCGCCGTAGGAGATGTTGAAGTTCTCATTAGCGATGCTACCACCTTCGAACGTGCTATCTGCCAAAGGGCCAAAGCCACATTGAGCCACGGTTACGGAACGGCCGTTCGCGTTGACGCATTGCACTCCGGTCTCGGCCAGCCATAGGTCGCTTGAGCCAGTGTCGAAAACCACCTCGAACGTTGTGCCGCCGAAGTCTATCTGGATGGCATAGCCACCACCTCGTTCCGCGGATATGAGCGGCGTTGTGACATTACTGGCAGCGCGAACAAACCTTTGCAACGCTGGAAGGCATCGTCAGTCACAGAGCGTTGACATAATATGCGCTGTACAATGTCGCCTGTGTGACGGCGAGACATTCACCACAGCTGTAGTGCACCTACCGGATGAGCCTTGCGCTTGGATACTTGTCCCCTGGATGGGTAGGATGTGGGAAGATGTCTCCAGCGGCGTTGCATCCCTCTTCGTAACTGGGTCTCTGCGGTGGAACTCAAAGCTTGGCCTCTCAATCAATGCATCCCTTTCAGTAAACGGTAGCGGAGTAGCTACGATGCCCTGCATCAGCCAGCCAGCCGCCAAAAAGCTTGTCACGAACATCCCTGCAATCAATTAGCAGTAGTACAATACACGAGGCGAAGTAGAAGTTAAGAAGAGAATGTAGACTCTGTTCTCTGAATGAAGGTGGCAACGGCATGATATATTCGGCGTAAACTTCCTCGAACCATTGACTAGGAGCGCTCGCTGGCTGGCAAGCAGAGTACACAAGTAGATGACGCCGCCGTGCATTCCACAGCTTCGAATGGTTGCCGTCCCATCCACGCACATGTCCGCATGGTACAGTATAGTGTTGGCTGCTTGTCAGGCAAAAAGCATCGTTATAGAGTACTGTTGTGCGGGGAATACGTTAGCGATCGCAGGCTAATGCAAATGCAAACGCTCCTCGAGCTTGTAGGGTGCCTGTATAGTACGCTTCCACCAATGGCAGGCGCGATCGACACACTTGTAGATGAGATCGCAGAAGAATGCGGATCTCGGTTTGCGGCAAGGTGCATCTGGTGTGTGTCTGACGAAAGTACGACGCAACAGCCGCCCATTGAGTTCGGCCGAGTGATGGGAGATCTGTCACAATAACCCATGTGAGATGACGAGTAGCAAGCAAACAGCGTTTATGGGTATCCTAGATATCTGCAGTGTGATCAGCCAGCTTCTGTAACCTTGCCGTCCGCCACAACCAATGCAAGCCCGGCCGAACGAAGCAAGTGCGCCTCCAAATGCTGCGAGCTCATCATCTAGTTTTTACCCGCATCAAACACCCTTGCGCCGTCGCAATGCAACAAGTTCAGTCGCTCGTTTGTTGTCCCTCGAAGATGAAGGCCGCGCAAATGGAACACACTTGTCTGGAATTTTCTACAGCTCGTCTCGAGCCACGCCCGTGGCTGTTGCTGTTGCCGTTACCACAACGGGCACGTCACTTCCCTTGAGGTGCCCGTTCAGGTGGCCATTCATGTGGCCGTTCATGTGGCCGTTCATCTTGATCTCGTTGACCATACTTGACCTTTCGGCAAGCTCACGGAGATGCTTCTGCTCGTCCAGATTCACCGCCCATAGCATGAGCCGTGATACAAGGACGCCGGCAACTACTGCGATCACGGTCATGATCCACAAAGCGTGCACCCACTCCGGCGTGATCGGCGGTCGTGGTGCAGTGCTTTGGCAAAGCGCACGAACCTCTTTGTCAAGCGATTCCGTCATCTTCGTATGACTGAACTCAGCAAGCACTCTCTCCCTGCCTTTCTGGCCCATGGCACGCAACGACTCTTCGTTGGAGGGTATCAACGGCTTGCGCATGACGCTGGTCCACTCCTCGATCTTGTCCGGATTCCGCAGCCAGCCTGTCCGTCCGTCCCAGATGGTTTCCAGCGGTCCGCCGGTATTGGTTGCGAGCACTGGCACGCCGGCAAGCATGGCTTCCAATGGCACAATGCCGAAGTGCTCGTTCTTCGGAGTGTACACCATTAAGCTTGCAGAGTGTAGTAACCGCTGCTTGAGCTCATGTGGTATGGACAGGAGGAAGAGCGTGTCCACGTCTTCCGTGGTCAGGTCGGTGTTCTCAGTATCATTATTGCGGAAGGTGGCGTGTGTAAGGTTCAAGGACTCGGATAGTGTCTGCATCTCCCTATGCACATTGGCATTCTCAGGTGCTCGAGGGTCGAAGCCACCGGCTAGGATAAGCTTGGCTCTACTTCGCTCCTCGGCCGTGAGGCCGGCGTATGCGCGTAATGCAAGGCCAAGGTTCTTCTTCGCCTCAAATCGGTTGATGCTCAGCATGATCTTCTTGTCCGGCCATAACTTCGTGTCGTTCTTCGGATGTCCATTGCTGGTATCTACGCACGGGTATATGACTTTCAAATCTCGACTTTTCATGCCCGCGAAAGTGTGTTTGAAGACGAACCGCGTGAACTTGCTGTTCACCACGATATCGTCGGAGCATCCTGTACTCCATCCCTCTATCGCATCGAACGGTAACCTATATGCTCTTTTTATGTGCTTTAGTATGCCTTGGCCTTCCGATGCCAACAGTCGGTCTGGGTAGTGTCCGTAGAATAGCACCTTCGCTTTCGGGTACAGTATTCGAAAGAGAGGCACACATGCGCTCAACTGATCGACAAATATCACATCAGGCTGTAATGTCCTGAGCTCGTTCGAGGTGATGCCGGTGCTGATAACGAGTGCGAGTTGCCGTAATATGGAGAACAGGATACTAAGCCGGCCTCCTATTGACGGCGGGAAGAGGGCGTCGCCGCGCACTCGTACGTCGAGTGTTCCTTGATTGAAATCTCAGCCTTCGAACTCTCTCTTAGCTTGCGTTCCCCGCCAAGCACAGTTCATGTCACAGTATCGCTGAGTGGACGGGGATGGGGGGGAGGTGCTGTCATGCGGGCGCGGACTCACCATCTCTGGCCTCTTCGAAGCAGTGCTTGGGATCGCGGTAGGATGTGAGGATAGTGACCCTATGGCCGACGCTCTGCAGGCCTACGGCCGCATCGATAACCAGCCGTTCTGCGCCTCCTATGCCAAGATCAGGGTGGACGAAGACGATGTTGAGGGCCGCGCGCACCGCCGCGCTCGCGTTCGCCATTCCCTGCAGCGCTCGAAACACATCAACGGTACCACGACGATGGTGGCAGGCGGGCAGTCAGGTGTCAATGGCACGCGGCTCAACATCTGAGGCACATCTTGCGCCGCTCTCGACACGCAACCAATGGTGCCCGTCCCAAGCGTCCAAGTCCCCACTCCAGGCCATTCTGCTTTTAGCCTGGGCGCTGCTGAAACGCCTTGGCGCACTTTCCCTCCACCTCGTCTTCGGTCCCTTCTTCCATCTCGTCGGTCTCACCCTGAAACGGACATACCAACGACAGGCCGTAAGTGTGTTTCATGCCGTACTGTCGCACCCAGCGTCGTGGGGCTATCGGCGTATTATGTTCCTGACAGAGAATAAATACCTCGCAGTCGGACCACCTCACGGGGCGCCGGACACCGCCAAGGTTCGTGCGATCGCGCGGGCAGGAAGGATTGACACTAAACCATATTGAGCGTCGACTGCGAGCGGACGAACTGCACACCGGCCGTATGCTCGAGGGACGAGAGACACTGCACCGCGAGCTCCTCTCTCGCGAACGGCCGAATTCTCCCCATGTCAACGCATACTACACCCTCGCGGTGACGCATCGCTACTTGGCGTGCACCGTACGGGCGAAAAGCATCGCAGTATATGTAGAGGGTGAAAGCACGGTGAGTATGGCTTCCCTTCCAGCATCACCATCCAAAGCAGCCACCAAGACAGATCTCTTCAGGCATTCTGCCCTCCACATCAGACTCAGCACCCTTCATACCATTCCCCATCCCAGTCACCATCATCATGGCTATCCACAACCCAGAAGCCCACAACAATGCCTTCGTCCGTGTAATGCGGAAGGCTTACCACCCGATCGGCTTCAAGAAAGGCTACAATGCCGTTCTTTGGTTCATCTTCGCAGGCGCCCTCCTAGGCTTCTCCCTCTCGAAACTCCCAATCATGAACGTCAATGGCGTCTTTAGCAAGCAGGCCGCCCCTGGAGAATGGTTCTGGTATAGCAAGAAGTTCTATAACATATTCATCCACATTCACCTCATCTGCATCATCCCTGGCAGCATCTTCGCGGTCGTGCAATTCATCCCCATCATCCGCTACAAGCTGCTCCTCCTGCACCGCATGAATGGCTACCTGGTCTCTCTGCTGCTGGTGGCCGCAAACATTGGCGCTCTCGGCATTGCGCGTCACGCCTTTGGCGGCTCGATCTCAACACAGACAGCTGTTGGCGTCCTCGCTATCGGTACCACAACGAGCTTGTTCCTCGCAATCTACAACATCAAGCGGCTCCAGATCGATCAGCATCGAGCCTGGATGCTCCGCACCTGGTTCTGGGCGGGCAGCATCATCACGGTCCGCATGATTATGATCATCATCGCCACCGTAATCAGTCAGACGAGCAACTACTTCACATACTACACCGTCATGCGATGCGAGCAGATCTCCTTCACAGCCGGCGAGCACATTGCCAGCACTTACCAGTCGTGCAAGGCCAACCCTACCGGACTGGCTATTGTTCGCGCCAATCTCTCTGACCCTGCAAACGCGCTAGAGGCAGCCGCAGCGCTTCAGCTCGGCTTCGACACCGCGATGTGGCTGGCAATCGTCTTACATGTTGTCGGCATTGAGCTGTACCTACGTCTGACCCCAGCCGAGACTGAGCGTCTACGAAAGGTTTCATACGAGCGCCAGCTCGAGCGTGGAATGAGGCAATCCGGTAGCGCTGGGCTTGTGGCAGAGAGGCTTGGTGATGCAGAGGAGTACAAGCCTCCAGTTCAGACTGACAAGGCTGTTGAGCTGAAAGACGGGTCGCAAGTTGGACGGGCAGTGACTTTTGCTTTGGAGAGAACCGTGAGTGACTCGAGTCATTATTCGACCGACATTAGCAAACCGGCGTCAGTGGTCACCCGCTACAGCTGAGCAAACGGTGCTTTTGACCGTGCTCGTAGCTAGCGAAATCAAACTCGTTTCACATAGAAATACCTGCAGAGCCATGTTCAACTGTTGCGCACTTTCTCTGACTCCATGTGACAACCTTATTATCTTTGCCAGAGTCCGTATAGTGTACTGTTGCCGTGTTGTCAGACTTGTACAGCAGTCGATGACTAACTGACCACGTGACGTGCAGCTAGTTTACCAATGCCACGGCGCCCCTGACAACATCAGAAACCTTCCACAGGAATATATGCTGAATGTAGGACAGGTAGGTTAGTCAATCCTCCACTTATAGTTGGCGGCATGCTATACAGAACTTCACTCCTGAGGTTGTTGGTGCCACCGTTCACATTCACTACTCGCTTGCAGAGCTACGCAACAATGGCAACATCACTTCCTACATTTGCGTTGGACTCCAGCTTGTTCAACCAGACGTTGTACGCTGAGTTACATGATCTGTGGTTCTCAGGCATCCCCGATGGAGCGGAGTCGGCTAGCTTCCCAGTCGTGCAGAGATGGTTCGGTGCAGGCTGGTCGGACGAGCAGAAAGCAGCCTTCAATGCCAAATGCAAGGAAGTCGCTGGACCAGCTTTGGAAAGTATCGGACCCTCAAAGATCACCCTGCCGCCGTTCGTCAGCTACGAGAATGAGATCGAGCATGCCGGTACGCTTGCCGCGCCTTTTCTGGACGAAGTCGACCAAGCACAGCAACATAGCGACAAGCAGGGCGCCGACACTTTGCTCTCAATGATACTACTGCTGGACCAGATGCCACGCAACATCTTCCGCAAGCGAGAGGAGCTTCCACTGGTGTACAACCACTATGACCGTCTAGGCTTCGCCCTGGCTCGAAGCTCCCTCGCCACCCGTCGTGATCTGGTCGAGCACCCTTCCCTTATGAAGCGTTATTTCTGGTGCTGGAGACTCATTCCTCTGATGCACGCCGAGCATCTCCCTTCGCATAAGTTCGCCCTGGAAACGGACGACCGCTGGAAGCAGATGGCTCCTGAGCCCACAGAAGGGCCTGCTGTTCAGTTTGCCAAGGGCAATCTGGAGGCTTGGGATGATCACGAGGAACCTTTGAGGTTGTTCGGCAGGTATCCGCATCGCAATGAGTGCTTAGGTAGGCAGAACACGCCTGAAGAAACGGAGTATCTTAAGACGGCGAAGACGTTTGGGGTGGAGCAGAGTAACAAGAAAGGCGATACGGTGCCAAAGGAGGAACTATAGAGTGAAATAGCAAAAATTAACTCCTCGCAATGCATCAATCGCAGATGCGCTGACATGTTGCGATGGTCTAACCAGCAGTTCACGAAGCCAGCACACACCGGTCGTTACCTCGCCGCCATTGTTTCTAACACCGCCATCCGCTTCTCAGGCGGCGTGTAGCGCAACTCCCGGCCAGTTGTATTCCTGAACGCCTGCCTTTGCAGCTCAAGTAGCTCCTCCCATTCTTGCCTTTCCTTCTCCCGTCTCTGGCGCAGGGCCTCAGTGGTACGCTGGGAAGCTTCGGTTTGCACGGACGATACAGGTGCCGTCTGTACAACAGGCGTACGCCTGGTGACTAGCCTCTTGACAGTAGCGTTTCGCTGCTCGACAGCCTTTTCAGCAAACCTTAGCGTGTTGGTGGGGTGGATAGCGCGTCCTCTGAGCTCTGCAACCTCCTTCTTTAACTCCGCTCGGTCGCCGTCATGCTCGAGCATGGTGGGCTCTTGGCCGGATCGAAGTTGCGCTCCAGCACTCCTTTCCTCCCGCAGCTGCTCCTCCAGCTCAGTATGCCTAGCTTGAAGCTGCAATTTCTCCGTGAATATGTTGCTATACTTCGCTTGCAAGCTATGGAAGTCTGCCTGCAGACTGTCGCAGCGCTTACGGCTGTGCTCAAGCTGCTCGTTTAAAGCATCAGTCTTGGCTTGGGTGGCAGTGTCGGCCTCAGTGCTGTCATTGAGGAGCTGGTCCGTCAGGGCCTGTACAGTTGACTCGGATTCAGCAAGGCGCATCTCCAGGTCCGCGACGGCAGCTTTGGAAGAGTTCAGCTTCACCTGCAGGCCTTGACCATGCGTGCGGCATTCTTCAAGCTCCTGTCCAAGCTCGCCCCTGATCGCCTCGAGACTCAGAAGTTGATCGTTTAGCATACTAACCTGTCGTTCCGCACTTGCTGTTGTTGCCATCAGCTCGTTGATCTCTTCGAGCGTCGATGCTGGTCCACAACGACCGTGACGTTCTACTAACATAGCTTCAACGCTGCCGAGACCTTGCTCCCGCATGAAGACAGCAACATCTTGTCCGAAACGGTCGTCGCGGAAAAGGTAACCTGCTTGTCTCAGTCTGTGGTCGAGGTCAAAGAAGCTTATCGTTCCATCTCCGAGGATGTCTAAGACGATTGCCGCAGTTAGCGAGTTAATCTCACCTCCACGTTCGCGCATGTGTTGGTCGTTCACCCAGTCTGCGATGTGCGTAGCCAGATCCTTGCGGATGTTAGAAGGCCATCTCACGCTGTTCGCTGGAAGGAGCGGCACTGATCGTACGGTGTTGCAATCTACGCGGAGCTTGAGATCCTGCAGCTGATTCTCAACAGTTTGTCGTGCGGTACGCTCCGCTTGCAATCCTGCCTCTGCCTGTCGAAGTTTCTCTTCCAACTCCGTGATGAAGGCATTCAGATCCACAATGTGCTGCTCTCGCTCTGCGAGGTATACCCGTAAGCGCTCAAACTCACCAGACGTGTGTTTGAGTTTTGCGTCTGCCTGATCGACGCTGTCACGGTGGTTTTGTATTTCCTGGAGAGCACCACTGTAGTCTTGCTGCAGCTCATGGAGGTTTGAGGAAAGTTGTCTAGCCTCGCCACGTGCGTTATCGCGCTCATCACGCGCTCTTCTCAGGTCGCCCTTCAGCTGGTGAACCTTCACAGTAAGCAACTCCATACGATCAGCAGGCTGCTCAGGGATTGCATCAACGGCACTACAACCTTGTTCGTCAAACTTGAGAATGGAGCGTTTCCTGGCCAGTGAGCGCCGAGCGTCTGCGAGGTATTGCTCGTGCTGCGCCATGCCTTCGCGCTGTGTCATGCCGGTAGTGGAATCTATCGAGGAGGTTGGCGAGATCTCTGGTTGCTCTTCGGCGTCTTCTACGCTAGGAGGATCGGGATTATGCGCGGGTGAGCCGAAACCGCTACCCGAACCCTCGCGATACTCCTCTGGCGGCTGGGAAAGGGAAGACTCGGGTGTGCCAATACGCTCCGCTGCGTTTTCGTCGTCAGGCCTTGTCCCAGGCCAGTCATCTTCTGCATCAGCGTTGTCAAGGTCGCCGTGTGTCGAGGGCGGTCGCTCATGCTTCCTATCCACGGTGATCCGTCGGAATTTCGACGGAGCAAGCAGTTCTCCACCTTCTTCACGGCTGTCGTCCTCGATGATCTCCTCAACAGTTACAACGGGCTCTGAAGCGCTGCTGGCAAAGGACACACTGATGCTTCGTGGTCTCTCCGCGGCATTGCCCCACTGCGGGTTCTGTAGCCACTCATTGAGGTCGGCTTTCTCCTCATCTTCGTCCACATCTGCCCATTTCCGGCTGCCGGAAGGGTCCCAAGAGTGCCTCCTCTGGATTTGCTCTATTGCTTGCTCAGCAGAAGGCTCGTTGTCTGCCGATCCGACGATGTAGGAAAGCGACCGGAACGCTTCTTGACCTACCTCCTGGTTCGCGTCTGTCGGACTGCTTTCGGGTGACAGGTCGTTTACGCTACGCACCTTGCGAAGCGTACTGGAGCACTGGGGCAGATGCGACCGCAGGCCATCCCCCACGGTCTTTCCTCTCAAACGCGGTGCAAAAATCGGAACGGGCATGTCGTACTCGTCCAGTAGCAGAGCGCCGTGGTCGTCAAGTCTCCAATATGGTTCGCTACCAACACCCCAATGGCGTCGATTCAAATGCGAGAAGCTGATCTGGTCTGTATCAAGATCCGTCTTGCTGAAACCACTAGCAGAGAATGAGCGAGGTGGTTGCTCGTGCGGGCGGGTCATACCTGTATTACCCATGTTCAGCTCAGAGAAAGCATGCTGCACTAGTTTCCATGCGACTTCATCGCCCCTCGGCTCTAATATATCAGCTAGGCGCTGGTATTGCTGCTTGACGCCAGCCCAGTCCGTGCTCGTGCGAACGGATTCGAGGCCGAGTATATCATAGTAGGCTTGAGGATGACATGCTCGTATCCGTTGGCTCTCGAGACGCAGTATCGTGCTAGGATCTACCGCCGGCGCCAGAACACGTGAGCCAGCATGTTCAGAATGTGCCGGCTCGGCAACTGCATCGCTTGCATTGCTATCCTGTTCGGTTTGTTGAATTTCATCATCTTCATCCGAAGAGTCTGAGAAGTGCGAAGACGGGTCGATTACCTCGCGTTCCACATTTGCGACGGTGGTCGGCTGGTGTTCGGACGGTGACTGGTTGTTAGTGTTCGGAAGCTCTGATGCCGGTGCATTCTGCGTATCATCGATATCCATTGCAGACCGCTCGCTTATAAATCTATGATCGAAGAGATAGATCAAGGACCTGCCTTTCCCCGTAATGATTGTGGCTTACACCTACAAGCAGTTGCTACATGGCATGCGGCAAAATCATGCTGCGCGGTTCTGCGCGGTGCAGCGGTCTGCATGCTGCACGCCATCCTTTGTTTGCTGGCAAGTTAGCAGTTCATATGAAAGGAAGTCAGATAGGCATTGATCACTTCATCTTGCCATAGAAAGACTCATTGAAAGTCGTGACGCAAATAAAGGGAATCACGAGTATCAACAAAGAATCACTTTGGACGCAGATTGAGGCTTGCAGCCTGCGAAAGCACCTCACAAGCGGAGTCCTAAAGCGCATTGAAGGGTTGTATGGATAGAGCAATGACAATCTGCGGCTGTGAGACGGAGTACTTGGCCAGCCAGATGCCAACGAGCCAGCCATGTCCAGAGCGAGTACGAGACCACAGTTCAATATAGAGTTTCGCATTTCAGCAAATGTATTGATGATGCCCGCTAGCCTCCAGAGCGGCCACGCCCTTGGACAGATGCAAGGTGCGGAGGTAGAGGCAGACCGCAGGTTGACACTCCGAGAAGCAGACGGCTTCGTTAGTAGACGAAGCAGTATCAGCACCTGGTGTTGGCACAGTGACTGGATTCTACAGCTCCGACCCCAAGCATCGTTCGAACTCCTCGAGGGTGAAGCGATGCCATGGTAGGGTTGTGGCCCGTTGTTCTGGGCTCTGAGGGACAGAATACCACCATCCCACAAAACAGCAAGCCATTCGAGGAGGTTGGGTAATGTCACTGACGTCTGCGAACGTACACTGGCGGTCACTCGACGAAACAGAGCTGCGGGATTTGTCACGGTCTTGTTGACAGATGATGCAGTGAAGTCGAAGCAGGTGCGGAGCACGAGACGGACTCCCGGAGCTTACTCCGCACGTTGATCGAAGCTTTACCCGTCCCGGCTTTCAATATTCCATCAATCGAACTCACTTTAATATATCTGCTGTTCAACTTAGCATTTGCGCTCCACTAACGATCTTGTACCACTACTTACAACATGGCCATGGCTGTTCCTATAGCAAGGACGACAGCCAAAACCTTGGCCTGTGCGGAGTGTCGGAGATGGGCACTACGGTCGTTCATTGGGAGTATAGGCGCAAGCACGGCTCCACGCCCGCCACAAGTACAAAGACGAGCCTTCTCCCGCACAGTAACGAGGAGCAATGAGGCTCGGGAGCGAGTACAACACGACGAGCATGCCCTCAACGAGATCAACGATATTGGAAGCGAAAAGATGATCACCCAAGCGAGACCACAAGCCTCCCGCCCGGCTCAACGTGGAATGAATGATCTCGAATCGACGGGTGCGGGCGATGAGCTTCAGAGCGGACATTCAACGAGACGGGATGAGGAGATGAGCGATGGAGCTCAAGGCCGTCTGTCCTATTCGCAGTCGGCGTTGCCAGACGAAACAGATGAAGCTCACGAACTCGCAAGGGAGTCGGACCTCCAAGAGGAAGACGCTCCGCCACCACCCTCAAACACCCCTCCGGAGCTCCCTTGGTACCTCCGCGTCCAACAAGAAACTCAAGCCCTCCAGCCATCCGAATCACCAATGGCAGCCCGCCAACGCATCCCCGACCTACCCTCACATCCTCCAGCGATACTACAACCCCTCATGGAGCACGTCTCAGTCAATCTAGGCCTGGACGACCTATCCCTGCTCGACCTTCGCACTCTACATAACCCTCCGCCGGCGCTCGGAGCGAACCTTCTAATGCTGCTTGGGACGGCCCGTAGCGAGAAGCATCTACACGTCAGCGCCGACCGACTCTGTCGCTGGCTGCGCTCTGAGTACAAACTCACACCCTCTGCCGATGGACTGCTTGGCCGCAATGAGCTGAAGCTGAAGTTACGCCGACGGATGAAGAGAGCGCGACTCATGAGTGCCGCGGGTGGGAGTGCGGAGGTGGACGCTGATATGGAGGGAATACGGACCGGCTGGGTTTGCGTGGACGTGGGACGGGTGGAGGGAGGCGAGCTGCCGGAGCAGGAGAAGCGTAGGGAGGAGCGGGAGAGGGGCGTTGTGGGGTTTGGGGTGGGAGTCAGAGGGTGTAGTGTCGTGGTGCAGATGTTGACGGAGGAGAAGAGGGGTGAGGTGGACTTGGAGAAGTTGTGGATGGGGATTTTGAGGAGGGCGGAGCGGGAGAGGTTGGAGGCTGAGAAGGAGGCGGAGGAGAGGAGGGTGGAAGGGGGGCAGGGACGAGAACGGTCGGTGTTGATGCAGGAGCTGGACGCGCCCGGTATGGCCTCGAGTGTCGGCTCGGTGCAGCGGGATGCTGGGATGGCGGCTGGGTAGACTCGTCAAGGTAAGGTCAGATGAGCTTGTGAAAGCATGTCATCCGCGTTGCTACACGACTGAAACGTAGTCGTAGTTGAATAGACTTGGCTGAGACAATCTGTAAGAGTACCTGTATCAATGTGCACACGGCCTACAGCACCGCAACAGCAGACGTCGAAGGCATGGTGGATGGGTCCTGGGTCGCGTGGAACGAGACTAGGCTAGTTGAGGCGTCGCCGCCTGATGCCGTCGAGTGGTAACGAGAGCGATGTCAGCTGCACGTTTCTCCGCGAAGCAGACGAGGAGGGAGAGCAGCAAGGCAGGCATTAGAAATGAGCCTTTCTCGTGTGCCGAGGATGTTGCATCTCCTTCATGCTGGGCTGGCGCTTCCTGCATGTCGAACTTTCGCAAAGGGTGCCATGCTTCGGTCATGCAACAAGCGGCTTAAACCGAGCGAAACTTGAAGGCAGCAGTGGTTCCTTTCTCGCTGGTCCAAGGCACCTCAGTTCTCTGTACAGGTATCAGCGTCTTTTGTGCAGTTTCCGGCGGTATATCTGAGACCCTAGCATTGACGTCGAGACTCGGCATAGAGGAGACAGCGCGCGCAACCAGCACTTAAAATTTTGTGAAAGGAAGACGAGAATACCTGGAAGGACAAGAAGCGTGTTGATACGCTGTTATTGTCTGTCAACATCATTGACCGCGTCCTTTCTCCGAAGTCCGTTGATCCATTGGGCGAAAGTACAATCATACCTCGAAGTTCATCCAAGCATTGCGCGAAGCATATTCATACTTCGAGGTGGCTCTTGGGAGGGTACATCGAAGCATGCCAAGCTTGGTTGGCCTCTTTGGCAGTGCGGCGGAAGACCCATGTCAGACCTACATCCACGCCTTGGTGGCCGTGTTTGTCGGGGGCGCCTGAACATGTGTATAGTCTTTCCAGGGGCAGCCGTCTATTCGTAACTAGATGTGGCTTTTTGACTTGAAGGGCATGATGAAGGAAGCATTCACTCCTGAAGGACATGCCAAGTCAGGTCATTCTGCCGCGTTTCACCAAGCCGGTACCTTGCAGAGCAAACGCTTGTCACAACGGCCATGTCCTTGCGTGCTGATGAAGGAGCCTGATGATGTGAAAACGCTTCCACGGTCAAGCTGCCTTGCTGAAGTTGTGGCACAGCGTATTCGCAATGCAGGATGCGAGTACGGATGATGGCGACGCGCATCAAGCGGAAGCAGGTAAACGATGCGCTCACTTGCTTCCTTCACCAATGGGCGGAAGCGCCAATGCGCCAAGGTCTTGGCCTACGATGGAGGAGATGCGCTGGCTTGCTGGAGATGGAGGAACATGGATGTTCAGGCAGTAAACAAGTTCGCGCGCAACACCTATACACATAGTTCGAGCCAGTTAATGCATCAACCTGCCATAACTCCCTCCTTGCCTCTGAATTTCTTATGACCCGCTGAAAGTGAAGCGCACTCGCCACATTGACGTTGAGCCACGCGAGGCACATGCACTTCTGACATCAACACAGGGGCAAAACCGCGGCAGAGATCGTCCATTCGGGAGGCTGTGCATTGACAAGAGGCCTTCAATTCCAATATCAAACAAGGCCGCCCCAGACATCAACCAAACTTGGTCGACTTCATCGACATACTCTCAAAGTTTCAGCCTTACCATTCGTCGCCTGCCTGATAGTCTTGGGCAGCGCCAGCGAACGCTGACAACAGCGACGTGCATCTAAGCCGGGCAAGCTAACCAATAGGGCGGAGTAAGGCTTGCGGGATCTGACCGCATCTCAGCCTACTCCTCTTCACTTCGTCCATTCATCAGTCATGCGTATGTCTCTCTGTGTCGCATCGTAGACATGCGGCCGAATGCTGATGGGTTCCTTCCGCATAGATTCAATCAAGAGATATGCGCGCAGGGCGGCATGGTATCCCGAAGACGGCGATGGCTGGAGCCCTATGCAGCGCTATGACAGCCGCAGACAGAGGAAGGCCGCAGATGAAGAACAAGGCAACAGATTGACGACATGGCAGACTGAGAACGATGCTGGACCGTCACCGATAGAGACGAGCCGCAGGGAGCGAGACTTTGGCCCTGCGCAGACTCACGTTCCGCGTGCAAGCACGTATGGCGGGCCAAACGCCTCGTCTGCGGAACATGACCGCGGAATCGATGACATTACGTCAAGTGAGGGCAGCAAAGGCAGCGACGAGAAGCCGGTGAGCAGCAACGCGCCGCTGCAACCTCAGCCCAATGGCATCGTGGACCATCCTGTGGGCGCCGAGAATGGCACCCGCAAGCGTAAGTCGCGCAAGTTCCACGTGCCAAAGTTTCTAGGAGGGAAGGACGAGCCTGCTGAAGACGACAACGAGGACATGCAACGAACGGACTCCGCGGAGACGAAAGGGAAGGGCAAGAAGAAGTTCAAGCACAAGCCCACGATCGTGTCGCAACTCAAGGCAGTGTTCCTGACTTGGGTGAACATTCTCCTGATCGCCGTTCCAGTTGGGATTGCCCTCAACTATGCTCTCGGCGATTCGCATACCGACAGAATCGTTGTGTTCGTGGTCAACTTCATCGCCATCATACCCTTGGCCGCTGTGCTCAGCTACAGCACTGAGGAGCTCGCGCTTTATATTGGCGAAACAATGGGAGGTCTACTAAACGCCACCTTCGGCAATGCCGTCGAACTGATCGTCAGCATCATCGCACTGGTCCAAGGCCAGATTCTGATCGTTCAAACGTCGCTCATCGGCAGTATGCTGTCCAACTTACTCCTCGTGCTGGGCATGTGCTTCTTCTTCGGCGGCCTCAGGCGAGTCGAGCAGTTCTTCAACATGACCGTCGCGCAGACTGCGGCGTCCATGTTAGCACTCGCCATCGGCTCCCTGATCATCCCTACCGCATTCTGGATCTTCGCACCCGGCGACGGCGACAATGGCGTTACGCCGGCGTCACGTGGAACGGCTGTGATGCTACTGTTTACGTATGCATGCTACCTCCTCTTCCAGCTGCGCACGCACGTGGACATGTACAACGCGCCTTCGCAGAAGTCTCCCAAGAAACCCAACGGCAAGAAGGAGCCCGGCGAGACGCTCAAAGGTCTCGCCACCATGGGCGCAGGTACCGCCGCCGCAGCCGCGGGTGGCGAAGTCAACAAGGGCAACCTCGTCCACGAAGAAGAGGAAGAGGAAGACGAACCGCAACTCACCGTCATCGGCGCCCTCTGCACCTTGGGCGGTTCCACCGTCCTCGTCGCCCTCTGCGCCGAGTACATGGTCAGCTCCATCAGCGCAGTCTCCGAGAATGTCTCGCAGGAGTTCATCGGTCTGATCCTGCTCCCGATCGTCGGCAATGCGGCCGAGCACGTGACGGCCGTTACGGTCGCCATCAAGGACAAGATGGACCTCTCCATTGGTGTGGCGGTGGGATCATCCTTGCAGATTGCACTGCTCGTGCTGCCGTTGATGGTCTGCATTAACTGGTTTGGCGCCGGTGCGCCGGATGCGCTCAACTTCAACTTCGACGGCTTTCAGGTTAGCTGCTTGTTTATTGTAAGTCCAGGAATACAAGCACCACATGTGGTCATGCTGCTAACGTGATCTTCCAGGCCGTCATCGTGGTCAACTACGTCATCCAAGATGGCAAGAGTCATTGGCTCGAGGGGATCTTGTTACTGGTCACGTACTTCGTCATCGCCGTGAGCGCCTGGTTCTACCCAGTCACAGGCGAAGTTGCGGGCTGAGCAATTCCCTGTCTACCAATTTGTACTTTGGTCTTGCTATAACGGAGTCGTGGGTGGAGTCATATCGAAGGCACAGATGGCTTGGCGAAACTGAGTGCCGGCTGATCTGAACAGCATGGAAGCGGCGGACTGGACACGCGCATGCAGCTCGGAGTTGATGGCTGCGAGTACGAGGCTCAGGTTGTATTACAAAAGCGCCGTTGCCGGCGAGCCTGCGTCGACAACTGAAACCTGGCACTTGCATCGGTATACCCTTATATGAGTCCTGAAGCTCTTATACCTCTCCTTTCCGCTTTGATACCAACCTACTCTCACACTTGCTGAGAAGGACTTTGTCTATGTACAGCCGTATCTGATGTGACGAGATTGTATTTCGTGGCTGCGAATCATTAAGCTGTACATCGTAAAAAAGCTTGGTGATTGAGACCTTGTCAAACGACCATTCATTGACAATGTTGAAACCAACCTTGACACAATTCGATCACAAGGAATGGTGGTGAAGGAGTAAATTCGAAGGAAATCATCATGACATCGTATTGGGTATATACATTTACTTTTACATCATCCCCACCACCATGTAACCGCATTACAAATGACTTCTGTTGAGTCATCTCCTTCAACCCCATCGGGTCGTTTGTCCGTAACTTTACTTCGTCAATGCAATTGGGCAGCCCAGATTCTCGAATGATGGGTTCAACTTCGAGAGAGCGAACGCAAGAGCATCAACGGTTGGCTCGACGACGCTGTTCGCGTAGCTAGGTATCGATTGGGTAGCGAGCTGGTAGAGTAGACACGAAGTGTCGGTTGCGCTGATATCGGCTGAGATTTTGCCGTCCTGGATGGCGCCCCAGTTGAGAGTGTCGAAGCTACCGTCTGCAGTGTTGCCGCCGAAAAGCACCTTGAGCGGTATAGGTTAGCTATGATTTGGAAGGGGAGGAATAAGATATGGCTTACTGGGTTCTCAAGGTACATGGCGACGATCTCGAGGGTGACGAGGGTATTGTCGTAAGGAATCACACGGTTGACCCAGTAGTCTGGGATCCTCTCCTCGTTGTTGAAGGACCAGCTACCATCGTCGTTCTGGGCGGCGCCGAAGAAGGAGGAGATGGTCTCGAGGTCAGGAGCGTAGTTGTGGTTGCCATTTGGCATAAGCTCGTACAAGAACGAAGCGGCACCGTACAGCAGCAGTCTAGATTCCAAAAATTGTCAGTCGGGTGAGACTATTAGAGCGGTCGAATGTGATATACTCACGTAAGCGGGCCGAAGTAGAAGTTGGGGTTCTCAGCTTGTGATTGATGCCATCTCTGGTTGCGGTACACGGAAAGACCCTCCCGGTTGAAGTTGGACTGGCACGTATCATCCATCATGCCGAAAAGAGTGCCGTTGAACGAGAAGTTGTCGCCATCGTGCGTGAAGAAATCATCGCGCGTCAGCGAGCTGTCGGACTCGAACTTGTTGTGCCCATCCAGACCGGGCTCAGACCCGGTCAAGAGAGGGCTCACGCTTGTGCGGCTGGTGGCATCGCAGCCAATGGACAGCTTCTCGGTCACGAGATCACCGTCGGTCGTGGTAAGTCCGAGCACAGCCAGGGTCACGGCGAGATCGTACCCGACGTTGTAGATGTTCTGCTGCGCGTCGACGAGTTCGTTGAAGGTAGTGATACCATCATGGGCAAGGAAGTTGTGGTTGGCTGCGGCGTTCAAGCCTGGACAAGGGCCTCGGATGTCGTTGGGACCCGGTGCGACAAACTGATGTGCGTCGTCACCATCTGCCGGGACCTGGTAGCCACCGATACCCAAGCCAGGCAGGCCATTCTGAGCACCGTTGTATGGGTAGTCGTCGGTGATACCGGCAGCCGGGACGTGATCGGGGTTGAAGGGGCAGGTATCTGGACCACCAGCACCTTCACCAGTCTGTTGCCGGCGCCATGGACGTGCAGCTCGGCGTTCTTTGAAGAGAGAAGAGTCAACACCGGGCATCTCGGCCACCCATGGGTAGGCCACAGCGCCAGTAATGACGAGGGAGGAGAGAAGTGCTTGCTTCATTGTGAGAGATTCGGAGTGTTGCAAAGGAAGACTGGTGTTTGAAGAGAAGCGTGTCTTGAGTAACGGCACGAGTAGGCTGACAGATCTTTCGAGGCACTTATATGCTCACCTACTCAACGAGCGAGACAAAGCGACACCGAGGCAGGTTGCTGTGATGTTGAGTCTTCTCCACTCCTGTAATGTCTTGCAATAGTCGACGATCCATGCTTGCAACGGGCTACAAGAGTACGACCAGGTCACGACCTAATGTCAACGAGACAGTAGAGCCATGATCGACGTGCTCGGGGTAAAGCACGAGCAGCAGTCCAAGTGACCGACGTGCAAAAGCCTTGATTAACATTGGTGGAGACCCTGAACCATCATATCCACCGACGCCGATCACTTCAGTTAGAGGCAACGGTGCAGCCTGTACACCACCATGGAGTCGATCATGCAACATTGGGAAGGTTACGTCGGAGGTAGTCCCCGTTTCGAACGAGTTCCTTGGGATCAGCCAGACGTGGCACCTAGCATTAGATACTTCCGTACTGGACTTGCCGTATTTGGGTAAAGATCGGCAATTAAGCTTACAATAAGCTTGATGATCTGCAAAGAGCCGAAGCGAAGTCTCCGCATCCGATGGTTGATGAGGCTCTTTTAACAAACCGCCTGTTGGCGATTTGAGACGGCGCTTTCAACATTTTGCGGCGTGGACTTCGGGTAACTTGGTCAATAGACGGGTGCATCTGCCGCTCATATGAGCAAGACTGTCCCGGCATGGATGTAAGCAAAAAATAAGAGGCTTGTTAGTGTGGCTTTCTAGTTCACCGGCAAAATGATTAGCATGCGTAGGAGGCGTAAACGGCATTTGCCCGCATGAGGGGAGAATATGCGGGGATAGCTATTATCCTCACGCGAATTTTGCGTTCGAACGCTGGCGACCAATCGTGTATTCAGGTTAACTTCTGCGGCCGAGGCAGGGCGACAATGACAGTAGCTAGATTGGAAGTCAAACGAAGCCTCTGCGCCGTGGCTCCTAGTAGATCCCTGCAGGGTGCCATAGAAGCTTTGCCTTCGTCGACGACAGGCTATTTGATTGCCTCATGCTTCATCAGGGTAGCTCAAGCGAGTGACACCTCGACGCCGTGTTTTCCGACCGCAGCGATGCCTCGGAAGCCTTCGACGAGACTCTTTGGTTCTGAGAGTCCGTTCAGCAACGCTCGAAAACTTTGTACAGGCCTTTGAGGTTAGCCACTTCAATGGTACCCTTCAGCAGTGCCCTGGTCGCAACAAGGCGTGACTTGAATGCAGGAAAGAGCACGTTCTCGATCATTCTTCGCAACTCGCTGCGCCGAGCAGCGATGTCTGCATCCTCCTGCTCGCCTACGGGCTCGTGTGGCAGCACCTCAGGTACGTAAAAGCTTGCCAGCTCGCGAAGGAAGCTCTCGAAGCAGCCCTTTTCGTCATTCCAGTCTACGTGCGGTCCTAGCCTGAGCAAAAAGCTAGGTAGCTTGCCCATAGATGGCATATAGCCCTTCACCATGAGCGGTATGCGCAACAGTTCTCCGTCAGTAGAAATGTCGAGCGTGAAGTACTCGGCCAGCATCTCACGGCGTGACATGAGTTGTTCAACTACAGCAGGGACGACCTGGCCCCAGTCGAAGTCAACTGTCTCCGGCTCCAAAGCTTTTGCCTGCGTGACTCCGATCTCCAGCAATTTACGCAAACTTAGCGGAGTCTCGAATTGTATGCAGCCGAAATTGCCAAAGTCTGTCAGCCCGAGCTGATAGAAGTATTCGGCAGCTATCATGCCGTAGTCGACCAGGTACAGCCGCACCCCGCCTTGCATGGCCGCAATGCGCTTACGCTCGTCCACAATGCCGACGAACGTGTGGTTGGCGAACACATCGGTGAGCTCATTGTGCATGTTTTCGCGAACCGAGGCACGAAGCTCCTTGACAGTCGTAAGCCTGCAGAGAGTAGGTTCTTTGTCGGTGTATTCGTATTCCATGTTATCCGACGTAGGCTCTCGTGATGGTGATGAGGGGCGCTGAGCTTGTGGCAGCATCGCCGTGATCTTGCGGCTCTTCGCATCGGTGCGAACAAGGTTGTTCTCGGTTGGCCTTTGCGTCGTCGGTTTGCCGGTAGCAGGGCGCTTTGCAGTGCTTGTCATCACTTCGTCATCCTCAGGCAGCGTGGGTATCTTCGAGATGCTTGGTGTCTTTCCACCACTCAACAAGCTCTGCATCATGAATGTCCTGCTTGTATCGACCTTGCCAAGTCGCATACGAATCTCGTCGCATAGAAGCTCAATGATCTCATCTTCGTTCAGGAAATTGACCTCACGTTTAGTGGGATGTACGTTGACGTCCACCCTGGCCGGATTAATCTCCAGGCTGAGGTAGACGAACGGCTTTCCGCCTTTCGGCAGGAAGTTGGAATATGTCTGTTCGACAGCCTTTTTGATAGCTGATGAGTCAACCGAACGGTGGTTGATGAACAGCAACAACGTTGTCTTCTTGCCGCTGTAGTTAGCACTGCTTACAAGACCATCGATCTTGAAGCCATATTGAACGTTCTCAAGCTCGACCTCAACCAGCTCATTCGCTATGGCACTGTTGTGCACGATGCGGATTCGGTCTTTCACAGTTGCATTGACAGGTACTGCAATGCCAGCTCCAGCCTCACCATGCTTCTTGCACGAGAACGCGACACCCTTGCAATGTACAGCATACCGCCCGACTTGGTCAGCGATCTTCGCATACTCTTCGCTCGCCGATCTGAAAGCACGTCGCCGTGTAGGCACATTGTAGAACAGATCCTCGACGGCAATCTGCGTACCCTGCCGCCCGGCACAAGCTTTCGGGTCCGCACCTTGGCCGGGCTTTGCAGGCGCTAGCTTTCCGCCCTCGTAGTGCGCTTTCCATGCACAACTTGAGTCCGCAGTCTTGGTCGTGACGGTCAGATGAGCTATATGACTGATACTCGCCAGAGCCTCACCGCGGAAACCGTACGTGCCAATGCTTTGGAGATCTTCGAAAGCTTTCAACTTGCTCGTCGTGAAGCGTTCGCACAGGATTGGGAGGTCATCCTTGTTGATGCCGCAGCCGTTGTCGGTGATTTGGAGAAGCTTAAGCCCGCCGTCCTTGACCAGAATCTCGAGGCTTGTTGAGCCAGCGTCGACTGCGTTCTCGATAAGCTCCTTCAGCGCATGCATAGGCGCCACGATGATCTCGCCGGCAGCGATCTTGTTGACGACGTCCTCGTGCAGTGCTCGGATTCGGCGTGGACCTTCCATCTCGTCGGCCTTGCGTTTCGTGCCTCGCGGTGGCGATGACATCTGCTGTGTCGCCATGGCTGCACGTGGCGTCGTTGTGTCAGCACTCGACGATGTACTTGTACGGCGATGTCTTGCCCTGCCTTTTAGTATGTGGGTGATCAATGCTATCAGGACGTGAGGTCGTCCAGACCATCTGTCGCGTACGATAGGCACGGCAAGTTCCGGCGCTATTGCAGCCACTCGATACTTTACAACCAACATTGAAACCACCGCCTCCCGTTATTCTCGACAGCAATGCACGTCCCCGAATGGCCAAGGGATTGTTGCCGGTCATACCACAAGTCTGCACCCGCTACTGATACTTCATACACAGCGAAGGCAAGCTGTGCGTGGTCATCAGCCTGTCACACTGCACTCCGGTCCCGCAAATATGCAACTCGCCGAACGCCGCTGCATGCGTGTAAGATGCATATGCAACATTGCCTAGCTCCTGTGTTCATCCAGCGAATGGAGCCTCCTAGTCTCGTTCCCACGCACCGCCCGCCAATATGTAAACCGGCAACGCAAGTTCATCGACATCCCTCTGTCTAGCAGTATCTTAAGGCTGCCCAGAGCTGTAGCATGCGCTTCCACAAGCCTTCTCGCATAGCCAAAGGTCTACTGCTTCTTGTCAATCACTAACAGAGGCGTTTGGGGCAAGAAGACAGTGGGCTTGCTTGTCCGATGCAAGCAGGAGCGTTGCATATGCACCATACGCTAGCTGATCCCCTTCTTCAGCCAGTCACTTCACCCATTTGGTGCACTGATCGTTCTTCGCTCGCAGAGAGCGTTGCACCGTACAGGACGCATATGTGACATTCGCTAGCTCAGACCATAGCTCAGCAAATCGGTAGGGCAGGATTCCTCGGTTGGCAGTCCTCGTCCGAATACTGTACATACTCTTCCAGCGACTCTCGTATTTAGAAGACACGAGCATTCACTTTGAATATATATGAAGTCGTTGTGACACCATCACTCTGTAACATGCGAACGAACTGCTGCATGACACCACATATGCAACAAACACTAGCTGCACTTTTCGACGGAGCCACAGGATGGGCACATCGGAGAAAACACAGAGCTACCTAATACGCTGCCAGTTAGTCCTGCACGAATCTGCAGACAGACTCTAGCGCTACCACGGACTCAACCAGAAAGCCTTTGCGCCACTCAAGCCTCGGTGTTATGTTCACTGCGAGCCAGAGGCGAAATAAGGAAAGCCACAATGTATTGTTATTGATGCAAGACTGAAGGAACCGTACCACTCTCTCCCACCAGCCAGCCAGTAAACGACTAAAAGCAAGCGGGTCGGTCAGTCAGCCGGTTATATCATACACCGTGACCGAGCTTCGCTGGTGCCGCAGATACTGTGTTCCGAAGCGATTAATCGTGCATCTGCTCTACTTATGCGGATGTTGCGGATATGTCCGAGTTCGTCATTACCACACACTTTTCGAGGCCACACCACACATCGCCATCGACGCGGGCAGTAAGAAGTGAGCTGCCCCAGAGCCCGCTGGTGGAGTGAATGTGGAAAACTAGCTTCCAGCTGAAGGATGGAAAGCAAAACCGGCTAGGAAATGCAACGGTATGCTGGCAGCGGAAATGCATCGAGCATGTCAAACGCTGGTAAACAACATGTTTTCGATGAAGTAGAGGTAAGGCACGAAGCCACATTCACCCCAACACCCTCGCCGCCTCCGCCTCAAGCTGCTCAAACGTCTCAATCTCCCTCCCATTGCGCCCAGTAGAATCCTCCCTCTCCGGCACGTCCCGCTGAAACCACTTCCGCCCCTTCTTCCTCGGTCTCTCTTCATCTTCCTCCTCGCTCTCTCCACCGTCCCCACCATCCCCTCCGCGCCTGTCCTCCTCACTGTCCTCAGCGGCAGCAGCAGCCTCCGCATCAGCAAGGAAATTCGCATACCCATCCTCCCCTCCCCCATCCAACACCGCACCCGCACCGACTCCCTCTCCTTCCTCCTCCTCCCTCTCCCGTTGCTTCCTCTTCTCCCTCCTCGCCCTCCTCTTCTCCCTAACAATCTCCCGATCCTGCACATCCGCCTCCCTAACCCTCTCACCCTCCTGACTGACAAATCTCTCCCTCTGCACTTCCGGCAGACCTTTTGCTTTGAACGCGGCTTCATCTTCGAGTTCGTAGATCTGGTGTGCATTCCCGTCATCGTCGAAGACGAGTTTACTCCCGTGGTCTTTAAGCTTGAGAAGCTTTTTCTTCGATTTGAGTAGCTTTTCGCGACGTTTGGAGTCCAGGATTAGAGGGGCGCGGGCGCCAGGTATCAGAACACTCTTCGCACCCGACTCCGTCCGTGTTGCTGTTGCAGCTTCCGGTTGCGGTCGTGCTTCGTCATCGTCATCAGCAGGATCGGAGTCGGAATCTGAATCGGCCGGGATGCGACGTTTGACGTCGAACAAATCATCGTCGTCATCACTGTCGGCGCGAGCATGCTTGCGCTCTAGGCCTTTTCCATCAACCTCACCGCCATCACCCTCCCCTCCCTCATCCCTAACCATCTTCGCATAATGCTCAGCCAGTACATTCTGATTCCTCCTCTCAAACATTCGATCATACTTCGTCCTCACCCTCTCCTTCTCCTTCATGCCTTCCCCATCCTCTTCTGCGCCACTGCCGTCACCGCCTTCAACAACCATAGCCTGCCGACTAGCATTCTTCCTCTGCTTAACAGCTCCCTCATCCGCCTTCAAGAACTTAATCCTGGGCGCACCCGGTAACCCCAAACTCGCCGCGAACCCTTCAAGATCATAGTCCTGTAGTTTGAACACCTCGCGATCCTTCTGCACATACAAACTCCTCACATAACTAGCAAAAGCCCTCTGCCCTAGATACTTCAGCTGCGGGTCCTGGAAACAGAAACTCTGGAGTTGTTGCGTGATACTCGTCTGTTTCTTCGCTCTCACGTTGATCCGCTCGATTGGAACCCGTTTCGCTTCTAGTCGTTTCAACATCCCTGCTTCTTCGCTCGGATCTAAAAAGAGGACAGCGCGTCCCGCGGCGTTGAAGCGGGCCGTGCGGCCTACACGGTGGATATACGTTTCCGCGTCTTCGGGACAATCGACTTGGACTACCCAGTCTACCGCTGGAAAGTCTAGTCCTCTTGCCACGACGTCGGTGGCGAAGAGGCAGGAAAACTTTGCTCGTCGGAATTTCTCGGTGATCTCGAGACGGGCGCCTTGTTTTTGTCGGCCGTGGAGGTGTAGGAGTGGGATACCGGGTTGCATTCGTCGGAAGGATTCGTAGACGAAACGGACTTGTTTGCCGGAGGAGAGGAAGACGAGGACTTTGGCTTGCTTTGTTGTTGTGAGGAAGGAGTAGAGTGTGTTTAGCTTTTCGGGTAACGGGGTTAGAACATAGTTTTGTTGGAGGGTGCTCGGGGTGGCGGTGCTGGCGGATTCGTGCACGGCGATGTATTCGGGTTCGTGAAGGCTCAGGCGGGCGAGGTCGGAGATGCGTTTTGTTTGCGTCGCGCTGAAGAGGAGCGTTTGTCTATCTCTGGGTAGGTATGTGATTATAGCGTCGAGGTCGGTTTGAAAGCCCATGTCCAAGATTCGGTCGGCTTCATCGAGCACGAGCATGCGGAGGTTATCAACGTTGAAGGCGGCGGTTTGGGAGAGGTGCTGCAGAATGCGGCCGGGGGTGCAGACGACGATATTCATTCGTGATAGGGCATCACGTTCTTCCTTGAGACCTCTGCCGCCTATTACTAGGCCGGCGGCGAAAAGATGGCCTTTCCGTCCGATTGTGCGCAAGACTTCGAAGATCTGGATCGCGAGTTCACGTGTCGGCGTGATGATCATCGCGCCTAGACCTGCGTCTGCACCAATACATTGCGCGCGGTAGAGATTCTCCAACACGGGGATGAGGAAGGCTAAGGTCTTGCCGCTGCCCGTCTTGGCCGCGCCGAGGATGTCGCTGCCTTTGAGGGCGAGTGGGATGGCTTTGGCTTGGATATCGGTTAAGGTGGAGAAGGCGGCGCTCTTCAGCCCTTCTTGCGTCGGTGCCGAGAGGGGAAGGTCGGCGAAGGAGGTGTAGCTGCTCTTCGCATCGAGTTGCGCCACGCCTTCTTCCAGCGCTTCCACATCGACGTCGTCTCGTTTGCGCTTCCTTTCGTTCGTGCGCTGTTGCTTCTTCGGCTTCGTCGGCCTCGTCCGGCCTGTCGTGTACGCCGCCATCCCCAAACCGTCACCTGAGGTTACGTTGTCGAGTCATTGCAATGAGAGTAAGGAAGTTGCGACAGAATTAGGAAGGAAAGCACATGCAAAAGTCCCCACCTCGAAATCTTGGCACTTCCGGCCCCCACTTCGACACCTCCGCAACAACTGTCACACGAGTCAAGCATCCACTAACACCAACATCACACCCCAGATCAGCATGGCGGAACCAGAGAAGAGCCTCAAGAAGCTGGAAGCAGAGCAAGAAGCAGACGACGCCGACCTCCTCGCCTCTCTCGACAAAGAAGCCAAAGAGTTCGACAAGGTATCACATACACACCCCACACTCACCACCCTCCCCATCACACTGATAGGTGTTTATTATAGGACGCCGAAATCCAACGCATCCTCTCCGCCTTCCGCGCAAACGCCTACGACGTCCTCGACCTCCAGCCCGGTGTGCCAGACGACGACATCAAGAAAACCTACCGTCGCAAATCCCTCCTCATCCACCCGGACAAATCCTCCAACCCCCGCGCCCCCGACGCCTTCGACCGACTCGCCATCGCTTATCAATCACTACTAGACGCCAAGAAACGTGAACGTCTCGACGAAGCTATAGCGGATGCTCGCGAGCTGTTGATCCGGGATCTAGGATTGACCAAAGATAGCGAAGAAGTTAAGGATCCAGATGTAGTGTTTATGGGCAAATGGAGGGAAAAGGTCAAGTTTGTGCTTGCTGATAATGAGGCACGGCGGCAACGGCAGATGAAGGCGCAGATGCAGGAGGAAGGGAGGCAGCAGCGGAAAGACGAGGAGGAACTGACGGAGAGGAAAAGGAAGAGGGAGCATGAGGAGCAGTGGGAGAAGACGCGGGAGAAGAGGATTGATAGTTGGAGGGAGTTTAGTGGGAAGAAGGGGGCGACAACTAATGGTGGGGTGAAGAAGGGGAAGAAGATGAAGACGTTGGGATGAGGTGATGGGACGGTGGGAGGAGGTTGAATGCTTTATGGTACTGGCTGTGTTACGATATCTTTAGCGAGGCGTTTGGGCGTAGTGATATTGCTGGCCTATGGCGTGATGATCTGCCGGGCAGTCATGAAATATTTGAGCCACGAACGCCTGAAGGCGGCGACAGGTTGAGCATGGACATAAGACTCACCGATACTCATTATACAGCACAACGTGCTATGGAACGGCGATCGAGCAACTACTTCCAACTCATTCCATATGTTTCAACGAATGCAACGGTCGGCTCGGCGTCTCCATAATCACGTGACCGCGCGGAGCTATCCGGCTGCTAGCTCCAATGTAGTTACTTCCACCTGAGCTCTGCACCGCCTTCGATGTGCATACTGGAACAAACATTAAGATATGACTAAACTGTATCTCAGCGCTATTTAACTGCATGAGACACCTTTCCCATGAAATGGAGTGCGTAGGTGCCGTCTGCTTGCGCCTCTGCTGCACCCTGCCCATGACTTGCAGGTAACGGTGTATATCTATTGGCTGAGTTACGGCGTAGGCATGTTGGACCTCTCCCCTTTGGCTTGATGCTGTACACAGGCATCGCATCCACCGTGGTATGGTGTGATGACCCTGCGTATGTCATGGACTTACTCGTCGAACGCTGGGGCGGTTGGCTGCCTCGTACGCATTAGCTGTGCAGCGGGCCTCCCGCACCAGCATCTTTGAGGCGTCGGGGAAGGCTGTGTGCGTACCACCTCAGCCTTGCGTGTCCGTAGGCTTTCGAGGTTGCGGGCATGGAGACGGCATACTCACACTCACTCACATCGTCTCCTTCAACCGCTTCCAGTTCTGATTCCAATCTTACGATCATGCGGCTGCTCAACGTCAATACTCTTGAGTTCCGAGTGTTCGACCGTGATGTGCCAGCGTACGCCACGGCTTCGCATAGGTGGCAGGCGGGCTCGGAAGCGACGATTGGCGACTTACAGAATCGGAGAAACACAGGCACCAGCGGATACAAGAAGGTAAAAAGCTTTGCCAGGTATGTGCGGAAGCACTTCAGCAATATACATTGGCTATGGATCGACACATGTTGCGTGAATCAGGACAGCATGCCTGAAGTGGACGAGGCGGTTAACTCGATGTTTCGTTGGTACGCGGGAGCAGAAGTGTGCATCGCGTATCTTGCAGACGTCCCCAGCCCACAGAGTTGGGACCGATTCGAGGCGAGCGTGTGGTTCAAGCGAGGTTGGACGCTGCAGGAGCTGTTGGCACCACCAGTGGTCCTATTCGTGTCTAGCGGATGGGAGGTCATTGGACATGAGAGCACCGACGGTTGGGCCGAGAGGAGTGCCGGGGTCGAGAAAGGACCTGCACTTGTCCCGCGGATTGCCGAGATCACAAAGATACCGGAGGAGGTGTTGTACGGTTATAGCCGGAGCAAGAATTACACAATAGAGGAGAGGCTGGCTTGGATGGACGGGCGTGACACTACGAAAAGTGAGGACAAATACTACAGCATGCTCGGGATCTTTGACGTTCGGATGAGATTATCGTATGGCGAGACTGCTGAAGTGGCAAAGCAGAGACTTCTCAAGAAGATTGCTAAAAGTGCTGAGATGACCGGCACAATGCAAGCTCACCCAGTTGCGCGGTGTCATTACCTCCCGCTCTTGCCCAATCACAAGTTCGTCGGTCGGAGCGTGGAGCTCGAAATGCTTGAACGGAAGCTGTTCACTGAACAAGACTGCCATGCAATGGCCGTCGTCGGTCTGGGCGGCATTGGCAAAACACAGGTGGTGCTCCAATATGCCTACTCCGTCAAGGGGAAGCATCCCGAAGTTTCCGTCTTCTGGGTGCCAGCATTGAGCGAGGAAATGTTTGAGCAGGCGTATAGCAGTCTTGCAAAGACTCTTGGGATCAACGTCGACCCTGAACAGCAAGAAGACGTGAAAGAGCTTCTTCAACGGCATCTCGGCACCAAAGAAGCTGGCAAATGGCTCCTGGTTGTGGACAATGCTGACGATTTGAACGTCCTATGTGGTGCTCAAGGGACGGAAGGTCTGGTGCGATACCTGCCTCAGAGCCAATCGGGCCGGACGGTGTTTACCACACGCAATCGTCTTGTTGCGCAGAGACTTGTAGGCAGTGACGTTATGCAATTGGGCAACATGGATCACGCAGAGGCCGTTGAGGTCTTGAAGCATGCGTTGCACCAGAAAGACTTGGTTCAGGACGAAGGTGCTACGACAAAGCTTCTTCACGAGCTAGAGTACCTACCGCTGGCGATCACCCAGGCCGCTGCCTACATCAATTGCCATGCAGTCTCTCTGGTAGAATACTTGGAGTGCATGCAATCCACCGAACAAGACTTGGTCTACATGTTAAGCCAAGAAATGGGGGATAGCACACGGTATCAGCAATCGAAGCACGCCGTGGCTACGACATGGCTCGTCTCATTTACGCAAATTGTCGAAAAGCATCCCGACGCAGCGGATCTTCTCCGCTTCATGTCGTGTATCGAGTGGCGGGCAATTCCTGCGTCGCTTCTGCCAAGAATGCAGCCTGTGGCACGCATGACAACAGCTATCGGTGCTTTGTGTTCATACTCATTCGTTACAAAGAGAGGGGACGGACACACTTACGACATGCATCGGCTTGTTCATGTGGCGGCTCGGATCTGGATCGAACATAATGGGATGAAGCCGCAGACGCAGGTCAACGCCATACAGCATATCTCTGAGGTGTTCCCCCTGGGGGAGTGGGAAGATCGCGCGTTGTGGCGAGCATATTTCCCGCACGTTTCACATATGCGGAAAGACCTCTATGTTGGGCGCACTAATGATAGAGGCCTTTTGTGCATGAGGGTGGGGATCTGCTTGGTTGCGGATGGGAGATCACGAGAGGCTGTGCGATGGTCAAAAGAGTCATCTGAGTGCTACCGAGATTTTCCAGAAGATCATCCTGACAGACTAGCGTCGGAGCTTGTCCTTGCTCTAGCATACAAGGGGAATGGACAGATAGAACAGGCGGTGCAGTTGCTCGAGCACGTTGTTACAACTGAGAGAGGAGTACTTCCAGAAGACCATCTTAACCTATTAGCGTCGCAGCGTAAGCTCGCCGGATCATATCTAGCGAATAGACAGATAAAGAAGGCGGTACAGCTGCTCGAGCACGTTGTCACAACTGAGAAAGGAGTACTTGCAGAAGACCATCCCGACCGACTAATATCACAGTACGTGCTCGCTAGAGCATATCTGGCAAACGGACAACTAGAGGAGGCAAAACGGCTACTCGAGCATGTTGTAGCTTCTCAAACGAAGGTACTTGCGAAGGACCATCCCGACCGACTAGAATCACAGTATATGCTCGCTAGAGCATATCAGTTAAACGGACAATCACAGGAGGCGGTACGGCTACTCGACTCGAGCATGTTGTAGCTTTTGAAGCAAAGGTACTCGCGAAGAAACCTACCAACCAACTAACATCAAAGTACATGCTCGCTAGAGCATATCAGTTAAACGGACAATCACAGGAGGCGGTACGGCTATTCCAGCATGTTGTAACTATCGACGAAAGAATACATGCGGAGGACCATCCTGAGCACTAACATACAGTATGCGCGAATCAGCTCGCCGGCTTTATGCCGCAAGGGACTCCGCTATGCTAAGCTCGTCTGTTGACATGACAGAGCACGGCTCGCTGCCAGCCCAACGAAACGGCGTGACGACTTAAGCGAACGATGCGAGGTGCACAGGTTAGGCTCGTGGGGGCTGGTGGAAGCAAGGCCGGACTGCAACTCGTCAACAGGCTTGACATACCGCAATGGGCGACGAAGCTGATTGTCTCACATTGGGTGACAGAGGCAGCGTCTTTTCACGCCAACTCCACAATACCACATGATCTTTCTACAAATTGTCGAGAACCCCACCAAAGCTGTCCTCTTCGTCTTCACATGGCCGCCACCGACGTCGACTACACCAGACCGGTATCCTTCTTCCGCACAAACCTGGCCACCTCCCCGCGTCCAACCATCTCCCACCCCTCCAACTTCGGAGAAGGCACCCACGCCACCTCTCCGCTCCTATTTTTCAGCGCACAAAACACCGTCTCAGGCCTCAGTCGGACATCCGGCAGCACTCCGACAACTCCGAGCCTCCTCATTGCGTCTCGTGGGACTTCGAGGTGGATTCCGTAACTCCTCCCCTTGGGCCGGTGATCCGCCTTCAGAGTCCCGGAGATGTACAGTCTCCGGATCGAAGCGACTTTGTAGGGATCGAGGTTCTAGACGAAATGTCTGGCATCGATGAGTCTCTTCACGCGGAAGATGTTCTCGCTGTAAAACAGCGCCGTGGACCCGTTGCCGATCCGGCGGAAGATTTGCAGGGGAGGTGGTGTGAGGAGGAATTTCTTTACACGGCCACTCTGGGTTCTGAAGGCGGGGGACGTCGATGGGTGCATCATCAACTAGGGTGAGATGCCAGATCACCTCGCGGTATTCGGCAGGCAAGGAGAGGAGGCGTAGTGACGGCTGGAGCGGTAAATGGGCCTCAGATATGTGCGCGCAATGTATGTTTGGTGGAGAAGGCCAGGTTCTACTCGGGGTTGCTGGAGCCCGCCGTGTGTGGATATCGTCAAGATGGCGGAAATCTATGAGTAGGAGCGGGTTGCCTTGTACGGCTCGACTTCATGGCTGTGTCCCCTCGAGGCACCCTCGGGTTGTAATACGTCGTACGGCTTACCCTATGCGGCTGATGCGTAAGATAAGCACTAGCTGGGGCCCACGATGTTCAGTTGGAGGGAGTGGTGTGGCTTCGTCATACTCGGTTTCGCACCGCTGCCGGCCTTGACTTTTCCACTACACTATGGACGAAGGAGAACGCACAATCGGGACAGGATGTGATCCGTTCGCTGCTATGGAACCGGGACCCGGATTATCGTAACAGATTGTCGACTTGCCGACTTCATGGCGAGCACTGTTCTTAGCTAAAGGAGGATGTACAAAGCCTACAGAACCCGCTCAAACGCTCACACAGCTCCAGCCTCGTCGTAACGCCGCCCTCTACCGACGTTTTTCGTGCATCCATTGTGTCTCATTGCATTACATCCCAGTGTCATACTTGCCCCGAATACCGATCCATCATCTCAAAGATGCGGTGGTTAGGCACCGAACACTCACTGCCATCTCCACATCCCAATTCATCCTCCAACTCCGCTCCAGCGTCCGGTTTGATGGCCCGGATGACATCTGCGGCCACGTAGCAGGACGAAGCGTCACTACCGACCCCACCACCGGTATTCGAGACGTGAGTTGTTGTTGTTGCGTCGGACCAGTCGTACATGCCCTCGTAGTCCATGCCGCTGTAGTCGAAACCGGGATGCCGTGCGAGTTGCGCAGAGGGTGCCACCATCTGTGCCCGCGTCTGCGCAGCGGTAGGAAAACTCGTATGTGTCGTTTCGGGACCGCTATGTGACCGTACAGGCTGAATCTGCTGCTGTCCATGTCCCTGCGCCGTGATCGGAGTAGCCGGATGTGCAGGCACAGGCACAGGCACAGGGACCTCAGGTGCCGAGTTCGCGCGCTGCTCACTCGCATTCCCACTGCCATTCCCATTCCCACACCCACTCGTCCCACACCCCCTCTTCTGCCCGATCATGCCCTCCAGACTCGCAGCCGGAGACGGGTACTGCGGACTCTCCGGTCGAACGGTCAAGAATGCGTCAATCTCCGCATCGGTGAAGCCTTGTTGCTTGAGTAAGTAACGCAGCCGCTTGTTCTCCTCCACCACCCTCCGCGCCGCCGCTTGCACTTCGGCCGTCGCTTCTACACCCGATTGTTCGCATTGTCTGTAGCGCGTCTCCAGTTCTTGGAGGTATTCTTTCCGACGTGCGCGCGAGCGGCGCTGGTTATCTCGTATGCGGGCTAAGTTGGCGTTGCGCTGGAGAAGTGGGAGTTAGTGCGGGGTGGCGAGCGGGAGGTGTGAGTCGTGGACGGTACCTGTGCTGGGGATTGCTCCTCATCCGCCATTGTGATCGGTTTCGGTGCCTCGTTCAATCGCTAGCGATGCAATGCGACAGATGAGCGTGGCGTCCGCTATTGAGGTCTGGTCGGGCGATCAAACTTCTCAGCAACAGCGTGGATATTGCCCGTCCGGCGTCATGTGATGAGTTGACTGAGACCTCGCCCACGCGGGAGCGGGCTGTACAGTCATTTGATCCTCAGCGACGGGGGAATGCGATCAATTCTCCGAAAAGGTACGCTTTGGGGGGCGCGCCACGCCACCCCGCGTCCAGACTCCGGTCCATGGTGCGGAGTGGGAATCGGGTCCGAAGGGTCTCTCTGCATTGGCGAAAGAATAAAAGAAAAGGATGAGAATAGTAAGGGAGGGGAGGGTGGTCGTGAGGGGATATAGACAAGTGCAATTTACACCACCGCCCTCAAGCTATGCCCTCGGTGGTCACTGGCGCGACTGGCGTCGTCGTGTTTGCGCCAGCCCATCCTTGGTCTGGTCTGATTCCAGAAGCTTGTCCTGCAGCTTATCGGCCGACTGAGCCGGAGACGCAGTTCGATTGGCACACTTTGCAACATCGAGACATGGGCGTATGGGCCATGCAAGCACGCGTCGATCAGCAGACGATCGAGCAACGCGAACGTGTTCCAACCGTCTTACTAAAGGACGTGTGCCAACATCCGGCCCCTTCAAGCATACCTCACCACGTCTCCATCAAATGGCGTTGCAGTGCGGTAATCAGCCACGAATGCGAGGGGGAGCGGTAATGGCTACAAGCAAGACGCCATACATTCTTGAAAACATGATCAGCGTGTGAGTGGTAGATGAGGTGTGGCTTCAAAGCGAGAGACCCAAGATAGCCTCAAATTGATACGGCGAGATGACTCGCCGCAAGCGTACCACCCAGATATATCTATGTAACGCCCTTCCGACCAACTCCTCGCTCTGCTACACTGCCATCCGTCATTGATACCATTCGTTCTCATCATACGTATAGAACGGGTTGACCCCATTCAACCAACTGCTCATCCCATACCCATTCGCACCACTGCCACTTCCTCCTCCGCCAACCCCATTCCCCATCATCTGCCCACCATTGCCATTCGGCATACTAGTCGGCGAGAAGCTCTGCTGCCCCTGCGGCATAGCCACGGGGCCCCCATTCGCCACAATACTCGGCGTCGCCCCGCCCGCCCAAGTAAGCGGATCCACAGTCCAGTTGCCAAACCCACTCGCAAACTGCGCTTGATCACGGTACACCCAATCCTGACTATCGCGGATGAGTTGCTCCACACCCCCAAACATATCGCTGGGGCTACCAACAGACCGATTAGTAGCGTTGGAGCCGCGGGCGCGGTGCTTGAGCTGGGCGGAGCTGGCAGGCGTGGCGGCCGCGGAGGGGTACTGTGTCTCTCGTAAGCTCGAGGCGTCGGCGGGTGGCAACGGCAACGCGTAGGCGTCGCTGAGTGTTCGTACCAGGGCTGCATTGCTTGGCGGGGGCCCGCCGCCGGCGTTTGCCAGCACGGCTGGGAACTGCGCGGAAGTGAAGTAGCCGTTCATTGGCGGCTGGGTGGTGGGCAGCGCCGGTTGCATTGCCATCTGCGGCGGGGGCGGCATGAATTGGTCTTGGATGGGTTGGCGTCGTTGCACGCGCGGTGATTGGATGTCCCCGGCGTAGCTGCCGAATTTGGCGTCTGTGCGCGCGAGTACCGCTGCTGCTTCGTCTGGCATCTCGACGTTCCATTTGCGGGCGAGTGTGCTGAGGATGGCTAGCGTTCTTCGAGCGCACAGCCATCCTTCCGCGATCTCTTCGAGATGCTTGACGCCGTGGATGATGTCGCGTCGGGCGTTCTTATCCGGAAGGTTGAGGAGATGGATGGTACAGGCTGAGTGAGCGATATAGACGGCGACGTTGCAGATCTGTCGTAGACCGTGTGATCGCTTATACAGTCGCATAAGTTTGGATATCATACCCGCAGACTGTGTGCAGAGCTTCCGAGGGCTGACGTTTGCTGGTAAGGGCGAGGTTGCTTGGGTGTACTTTAAGAATGGTCGGAAAAGGTGGATGAACAGAAGCTGAAAGAACATGCTGCAGCTCGTCAGTACCGTCCATCCTTCGACTCGACTGCACACTTACTGCATCACCAACACGCTCGACAACCCACCCTCTTTCGGTTCCATCTCCTTCGGCAGCTCTCGCCGCCAAGCCTCAAGCCTCGTGTGAATGTCCGACAGCTTCTTCAGCTCTGCCGCCTTTCCCTTCGTCTTCTCCATATCCGTCGGGTTATAGAAGTACCGCATGAGGTCGTTGCTGATCTCGCAGAGCTTCGTAATCTGCAGCGAGACCGCGCGTGTCCGTGCCGGCTGGGAGTGGGCTTGCATGAATCCAGAGTCGGAATACGGACTCCACTGCGACGCATCTTCGTCCGGAAACACTTCAACCTTCGGCACGGTGATGATAGACGTGGGTAGCTGAGGCAAACGGCCGAGGTAATTGGACCAGCACTTGTCGAAGAGAAAGCACCCCCAGAACGTAACCCGCCGAACATCCTCTTCAGCCTCATCGCCATTGACTGCTTTGTTACTCGTGAGGCGGCCAGAGTCAAGATTGAGACCCATATCGCACGCCATGCGGAAGGACATACCACTGTAAACCCAGCCTTTAGCTTCACGGCCGCAACCTGCCTCGCGCACAGACATGAGTGCAAGCGCCTGAACAGTCGTCAGTCTGGGCTTCTCATGCTCGTCATTCTCCATAATCAGCCGCTTCGCCTCCTTGAAGAAGTGGTCGCCAGCGGTGGCGGAGTCTTCCGGGTTCTCTCGCGCTCCGGCGTGGGAGGTGAAGTGGCAGCCGAGGGACAGAATGGCGTTGACCAGCAACGGAGAGCAATAGTACGTCTTTCGCTTCGCGGTCGCAGGTGGCTTGCCCAGTAAAAAGTCACGGTAGAACAGTGTTTTCGATAGCGTGGTGAAGAATGTATAGTGCCAGGTAAAGTACATATTGAGTAGATGGACCACAAGATCGGTGTCGTCGGTTACATCGGTCCATGATGTTATCGGATCGTCTTGCTGCGTATACTCGTCCACGTTATCGGTCGAGTCTTCCGATGCGAGGTGTATCAGGTTGGAGGTGCCGCCAATGTACCGCACGGAGCCCTCGTCAAGCCGGAGGTCGCCCATCTTGCCATACAACTGGGTCTCAAAGGTCGGGCCTGAGAATCCATTGGTGTCGGCGACATCGAAGGTGTCATCATCGTCTTCCAGGCTGATGCCATGTTCTTTGGCCACGATCTTCTCTGCTACCGCATCCAAGCTTTCACACGTCCGTATCTCACGCACCAGAGCCGGTACATCCTCTTCGGAAGAGTTAAGGATTGCTTGTACGATGGTGTGCAAAGTGGTGTTCCTCGTCTTTACGTTGTCCAGGTCGTTGTTCTTGTAGACGCCCTTCCGCCGATGGTCCGAATTAGGATCGTAGATGCAGTCTGTACCATACACCTGCGAACAGGCTGCACACGCGGGTGTTGCGCCATCGCACTTGCTCTTGCGCTTCCTGCAGGTTGCCGTGATGTTTCAGCCATTGTACGTAACGTAACGTAACGGTATAGGCTAGTATTGGACGAGCGCCAACGTCGATCAGTACATACCTACAAGCGATGCAGGCGGTGCTAACGCATCTCCTCTTCGACGCATCCTCCTCCGTCTCCTCCGTGTTCTTGCGCCGACTCCGCTGGCGAGCCTTCACCGGCGTTGTTGATACCGGGCTCAGCGTCGCCGCCGAGGTGAAATCGTGTGTCACATCGCTCTGTCCTGCGCTACTACTCTCCACGGCATCCATGGTTTACGATCGAACATCAGCAGCCCTTGCAGCTTCGAGTGGAGGTCGCAAAGGTCTTTCTCCTCGGAGATGTGTCAGCAGGTCCAGGCCTGTGGTTGAAGCCCGCTCGGTGACGATGATGCCGGCTTGCAGGTGATTGATGTCGAACAGGTCAAGGCCGTCAGCAGAAATCGACATGGTCGCCTTCGACGCAGCGATTGCATGCGCGAATAACACTATTCACAGCCATCCTCCCTCATGCTTCGACATGGATGAGATCTACCGGCATTCGTGCGCCGCCTCCCCGATAACGTCGGTGATGGGTCGCTGCAGCCCAATCATGTACGGCGATCGGATAAGCAGCCCTAGGGCAGGGCCACATACAGCCCGCTAACGCGACGGGGAAGGCACGCAGCCGCTTGACAGCTCGCTAGACTGACGACGACGTACATGAGGTAGACGTGCACAAATGTCCCGATGGCAGTCGGCGCTTACGACGACCCGAGACTCTAGAGCGATGGATGAGCAGGTACTTATCAGCCGCTTACTACTCGAATTGACCCCATGATGATTGTTCGCACATTCCAACAGACTATGATGCCTAAGCCTGACCTAGGAGGCCAGTCAGGCGGCCGTCTGCAACTAACAGCGTCTGACAGTCTTCGTCAAAGCCACTGCCTCCGCCAAGGGCGACTCGTAACATTGCCACTGTCTCCCGCATCTCCCGCCGTAGCCCATCAGCATCTTCACCCTTCATTTCGTGTGTGTTAAGCCAGCATAGCGTGAGACCCTTGAGCACCTCACCGCGGTACTCAGACATCCTTGGCCAGCCATTGAGAATCACCGCTTGCAAAGCTTTGACCGCGGCAGTCAAGGTAGGCATTTGCGCGGATGCCAGCGGATGTATTAGCGTTTCCGTCAGGGTCGGCAGAATGTACTTCAAGTGCTTGACTGATTCTATGCCTAGAGCATGCAGTAAAGGTACGAGCTCCTGGAAGAGTACCGCAACGATGCGCGGGTACTGGTTGGCCAGACTGTAGCCTTGGATCACACCTTTCCTGATGATGGTGTCGAGAAATCTGGTACGCTGTCGATCTTTTTCTACAGTCGACAGCTTGCTGCTGGAAGATAGCTCCTTCGAATATCGGACCATTGACAGTTGAAGTAGACAAGGATACACCACCGAGAGTAGGGCAATCGATTCATCTTCTGGTGTGATAGTCGGAAGCCAGGTCAAGCACGCCATCAGTGCTTCCTCGAAGACTTCAGCGAGCCCTGTCCGCATCAACAGTGCCGGCGGCGTTGCCTTGAGCAAGTCATGCAATAGCTCGGCGCCTTTGCGCTTGTACTTCGCTTCCCAATCATCCAGCAGCGTCAGCACAGGTGGAACGACTAGCGGCCATACCTCTTCCACCAGCTTGTCATCCAGCGCGGACACGGACCATCCCAGCAGATCCAGCGCGCTACTGTTTACGCTACTCTTCCACGGCTTCATCATCTCCTCATCCATACTCTCCACTGTCATCTTCGGCGGTAGCACTGCCCCCGTGACCTTACGACCCGACTCCGTTACCGTGATGGGCCTGTTCTTCGCAAACAAGGGTCGAATGGTAAGCTTCAGGAAGTGATGGACGAGGACGGAGGTAAGCTCACCTCGCTTCTGCTTCACTTCTTCTATCGCCTGGCCTGGGTCGGTGATGCCGGGGTGGCGGAGCTGCCAGGCCATGACAACGTCCAGAGCGTCCTTCATCCACGTTCCGGGCGGGGTGGAGAGGGCTTTGGAGAGGGCTTTGCCGTCGAGGAGGGGCTTTAGGTTGTAGGCTTCCAGGATGTCGAGGTCGTGTAAGTGCTTGACGAAGGCTGTGTATTTGCGTTGCGTAGCTGCAGAAGGTAGATTAGTAGAGTCCGCCGCCGACGAGGTGAAGACGTACCTTCAACAGAGTCTTGATCTTCGACAATGTCCACCAAGAAAGAGTACATCATCTGACTGCGCCAGGTGGAGCCCCACCGTCTGATTGCCATTCCAAGGATATCCCGAGCTGCAGGGTCGTCGCCTTCGAGAGCCTTATCCGGTCGACGGTTCCGCTCGTTGAGCCGGTCCACGAAAGCTGAAATCTCATGCTGATTGCGGACTGCAGCAATGACAAGATCAGTCACTTTGTTAGTCGCTTTGATTCCCTCCTTAGCTACAGTAGCAGCGACTGGTGGAGGCAGCTTGCGACCGGGCGCGGGAGGCTCGGGTTGAGGTGCGTCACGGTAAGGTACAAGCGCAGCGAGTAGCCATGCCGAGAAATTCTCTTCTTCATCTCTCGTGAGGTGTCGCGCAAGCGTACGGTCGTTGTCCGTCATATCCTGTAGCACATCGATCATAGTCTGCCAGCCATCTGTATCGGGTTTGTAGTGATCCGCAGTCTCTACGGTAGGGTCGGAGAAGATGGTCTCGTAGAGGTCAAGCTTGAATACCAATCGCAAAGCTTCATGCGGATGACCTTTGCGCAGAGACTTCTCGATCTCTATACCGACTCGCTCGCGACTGATCTTGCGCCGCAGAGCATCTTTGATGTCAGCATCGCGCATTGCGGCAAGCGCTTTCGGATCAACCTGGTACTGCAGACGACTGGCGAAGCGAATAAGACGTAGCACACGTAAAGGGTCGTCTTTGAATGTTTGATGTGGGTCAAGGGGCGTTCGGAGGATCTTGTCACGCATATCGTCATGGCCACGACCAGTAAAGTCTTCAATTTCCTCGGTATTTAGGTTGTAGAACATGGCGTTCACGGTGGCATCTCTGCGTAGAGCATCTTCTTCAGGCGTGCCAAACTCCATCTGAGGGTTCCTGCTGTCATCGGTGTATGTCTCCTTGCGAAGATTGACGATGTCGATGTCAAGACCAAGGATGCGAGTCGTGACCGTCTCGAGATGTTTCGACTTTTCCGGATTGGCTTCGATCTTGTGAAGGCCGCCAACGATTTTCGATTTGTCGGTTGAGGTTACTTTCTGGTTCTGTTTGTCTGTTGTGGCGACACCTTCGAGACCATACTTCTCCGGATTGCCAGGAATCTCCAGATACTCCTTGAGCCGCAGACCGAATTGGAAGCCGGTCATCTTATTGACCGCAACGTCGATATCATGGCTGTCCACTCCAAGGAGCTTGTCGCGGACCCAACCACCTGTGAAGCGGAGAACAATAGGCTCTCTGACGAGATCATCTGGCAATGCAACATGGCTTTCTGCGTCTGGCGCCTCCGGGTTGTTGTCAATGTAGTTCGCGACGTCAAGCAGTAGTCTCTGCAGATCAGTCTCGACTGGAGTCAAAGTAAGAGTAGGCCTCCACGTCGTGGAGTCGTCGACTTCCTGAATCAAAGCCGGCGCCATGACGGAGTATCGATGGAATTTCGACAGCGAATGATTGCTCAGCTTTCGTCTCTTGGCTTCGCTATGTGATATCTCGAGGGGAGGGGTCACGGCCATGAGAGACAAGGGTTGACATTGTGGAGATCGTATGGCATGTGGTAGCCACCGGAAGGTGACTGGACAGTGTTTCAATCTTTGATAAATTGCATGACTCAGTCTCAGTCTGCAGCGAAAGGCGTGCATTCACCGGCCGCTGTGGAAGGTCAAGTCGTTCAGCCGGGTTGCTGACCCTGATCGTAAGTACCTTTGCATCCCATTACGCTTGTCCAATGGACTATGGAATTGTGCTTGTTTGCTTCACATCTCGCCGTACCATCCCTCGCTGCTTGAGTGTAGCGGAACCCGAGGATTTGCCGACCACGAAACCCAGTTCTGGTCAGCCTCGACATGGACTTAGCGGCTTCATTGTAAAGGTGGGTACACGTTACATGACCTACTCTTATGCGACACCAGGAGGACGACACTGCAGATGCACCTAAGGCTTGTCTCTCTGACGCCTACGAGCCTCATTCCTGGCGTCTCTGATGCAAGCGGCAACCGATGATCCTCTGGCATCGCCGCAAGAGTCGGACGCTGAGCAACCCGTCTCCGTACCCAAGACCCGGCCTAAGAAGTCGCCCTTGTCCTCGGTCACAAGTCTCCCATACCGGCGGTCAAATGTTTCGCTATCAACCCTCTTCGCCTCAACAACATCACTACCTTCCCATCAGAATGCGGGCTCTCCAAGCGAGTCGGGAACGGTGACCCCTACTACCGGAGTCATCAATGGCTCCGTCTTCTCTCCTGGCGTTGCGGCGGCTACGGTTCGCTCGCCTTCACCGGGTCAGCCCATACAACCTGGCGCAAGTACAGAGACACGAGATCTAATTGTGCGAGCCTTTGCGCCTCACGTGTCTGTGCTAGCCTCACAGGACACCGAGGAGCTCATTAGACACAAAGGCATTCATGGCGGGCTTCTCGAGCTTCTGCGGCCTTTCGGCGAGCATGTGCAAGGCAAGGTCACCATTCGCGACAGCGCCGGTGTAAGTCGGTCGTGGGAAGACTACGGCATACGATTTGTAGGTGTAAAGGATGGCTTGGAAAGCCCACGCATAGCGGATCGACGAAGTACAGAATCAGCGACGGGCTCCAAACGAAACAGTCAGCGTGCTTCTGCGCTCGAGTATAAGCCGGCAAGGTTACGCTCGGGCGGCGATGTGCCACAGATCGAGGAGCTTATTGACCGTCATCTCACCTTCGCCGAGGAACAGTCCGGACCGGTCGAAGCGGACTACCTCACACATAAGGATGCACAGTCACGCGATCGAAGGACGCCTTCGCCGTTCTACTTGTTGTATCTGCGCCGCTTACTGTCCGGCCTGCCGATGGTACCATCGGAAACGATGTCGCACCCGGTCGCTTCTGTCATAGCCATCTCTTCTCGGTCAGCTTCGCCGATCGAAGAGTTGCGCAACTTGTTCGCTTCATCCAACCAAGGCGAGCATCGACTGCCTCAATGGGTGAACAACGAATTCTTGCGCTATTACGTCCTTGTTCACGATGAAGATTATGACGATATCACGAAGTCTATGAGTTTGTTTGATCAAATGAAACGCCATTTTGGTCTACATTGCCATCTGTTACGCTTGCGGAGCACGCAGTGCCTGCCCTCCGACGACGGTGCGATGAAGCTTCCGCGGTGTGAATGGACAGCCGCAGCCGAAGAGCTGGCAGAGATAGTTCGCCGCGAGACGAGTGAGGACGACGAGGACCCAACACCATGCATATTCGAGTCCGACGCAAACGCAATCCGCGCGTTTGTGCGTGAAATGGTGACGCAATCAGTCGTGCCGTCTATGGAGCGAGCATCAGCAACTTGGAACGACCAAGTCGCGTCTCGAAGACGTGGGCTGACTGGACGTTTCATGTCGATCTCCAAACGCTTCACCGCATTCGGCGGCCGCAACGCTTCCGTGCCTGCTCTAGGCGCAGGCAGCAGCAACTACGACAGCTTGCAAGGCTTCTACCGGCCAGACGCGCCGGAAGCCGTCATGCGTAAGCTAGCCGACTACTCCATGATGCTGCGAGACTACAAGCTTGCGCAGAGTACGTACGAGATCCTTTGCACGGACTTCAAGAACGACAAGGCGTGGCGATACTACGCTGCTGCTAGTGAGATGTCGGCTGTCAGCTCGCTCATCGCCATGAGTGCCCTGAGCACGAGGGTTCGCGTAGACACAATTGACCAGGCTTTGGAGACAGCTTACTACTCGTATATCACGCGCGTCGGCGCGCCCTACAATGCACTGAGAACACTTGTCATCGGCCTTGAGCTCCTCAAGCTGCGTGGCGGAAGTGCTCTGGACGACGCTGCAAGGTGGTGTACCAGAGTGCTCGACGACAGACTTATCGGTCCAGTGGGCCACGTCTTGATAATGGAGAGGGTAGCTTCCTGTTATACTGAACGGAAAGGGGTCGGTGGGTTAAGCAGCGGAGATAGACGTCGGAAAGCAGCTTTCTGGCACACGCTCGCCGCAGACGCTTGGCTGCGAATGGAGAAAACGAGTCAAGCCGAGCAATGCTTGTCCGAGTCTGTGCGACTGTACAAGCTTGATGACGGCGAGGTGCATTTCGAGGGCATGGAACACTTTCTACGGGCGCTGCAACAAGCGGTGAAAACAAACAGTCACGCACCCCAGCATGTCGAGGGCACCGACCTGCTCGCTGATGATGACGAGCAGACGCTCGTCGAGCCCTTGCAGGAGCAGAATGAGCAGTTCAGCCCTCGATCGCCGAGTCATGGACATCGGAAGAGCTTGAGCATTGCAGCTGTGCTTCCACCTTTGCAGACAGACGTTGGTGGCGACCCGCTTGGTGTGCTTTCCAGTGCGTACGAAGAGACGCCCATCGCAAGCGTGTTGAGTCCGCATGGCAGAGACCGAGGCGACTTTGTGCCCACCAGCAGCCCTGCCGTGGAACGGAGGGATCCGAGAGACGATGGGTTTGAGTGAGCATGGGTCAAGCACCCTGATCGTTAGCGAGGCGTCTGGTGTCAATATCTCCGTCATTCTGATTTCCTCTCCAAGAGTTTCAAGCCCTCATCTTACGTCTATAAGATCATTTGGCATGTCGAGGCCTCATGTCCACGTCCAGCAACCGAAGTGACTCGCGGCACATGACGGCTGAGTGGATCGCGAATGGCGACAAGCGCCCACTTTCATACGCTATCTTTACAACGCTCTAGGTTACGGATGCTTCAAGCTCCTACTGTACGCTATGCAACGGCCTGCCGTCCCACGATGTTGTCCTTGCCTTTGTATCATACACACATTGCCAACCGTACATCGTAGTCCAGAGCACGCAGCTAAGCGGCCACACCTCTCTGAGCGTTACACAGAGGGTGTCCGACGCAATGCCGAAGGTCCAAAAGTCTCGAAGTTTATAAGAATGGTATTCGAAGGAGCGTCATGGGCCAGTCATTCATCGTTAAGCTGCCCACATCCCCTGTAGCGAAGCCTGTTCGATTGTTGATAAACAAACAAGAATATCATAGCAGTGATAAGAATGCCAAGCTCTCAAAGCTGGCTTGTCCGACTTGCAGGAGCAGGTCCCACCATCGAGCTCCTCTGGCTCATGGTAGAAAGATCCGCAGAAGCCCGCTTCGAAGAAGATATATCCAACAATTTCGCACTTCCTGCAGAAAGGTGTCTCGCATGGTGCCGACCATAGTTAACGCTCTTCGCGCTGCGCACTTCCGATTCCTCGTGTTCGTACTCGGACTTCGGCGAGCCGCCCTCCTCTGCCTCTGCCTCTGCCTCTACCTCTACCTCTGCCGTCTCCGTGGCGGCGGCATACTCAGTAAGACCTTCGCGTGATTTGAGGCGGGGGTCACCGTGCACGAGCGTAGGTTTGCGCCGCATGCTTTCGTGCACAGTGAAAGGTTGGGCACCTGGCGCTACTGCTGCTGCTGCTACTGCTGCTTCTTCTTCGCCGTCCTCGCTTTCTTTATCCGGACCAGCACCTGTAAGAGCCGTTGAGCTTTTTCGCCGCCGCCCTTCACGCATCGTCGGGCTTGGAGTCACGCGCTTGAAATACTCGGCGTCTCTGTCCCCGCCGAGCTCTTCGTAGCTGCCCGTGAACTCGGGCTTGCGTTTACTGATCGAACCCATGCCTCTGCTAATCGAGGACTGCATTGATTGTCGCTTGCCGGCGCTTGCGAGCCACGAAGCTTCCGAGTCCACTGATGCTAATGAGGCGGACATCAAGCCATTGTTGTGCGTGTCTGGGCTGATAGGCGTATCGTTGCGATTGATCGAAGCCGGATCAGGGGTCTCGAAGCGAGCGCCCGGTACGTCCATAGCGGGCGTTTGCCGTGCTCGTCTTATTGCGGCAGCTATCGCGGCAGCTTGTGTGGCATCGGGAGAGGGTATCCTCGAGTCCGGAGGCGAGACAGGAATCTCAGGTAGATCTTCTCGGAACTTGCTCTGAGTCCTTACAGGTGCGCCAGATTTCCTAAGCTGAGCTGGCTGCGCTTGCGTGCCGACTAGATGCGCCGGCAGCGGCTGGTGTCGCATTGACTCGCGCGAAGTGTTGGAGAAAGACAACGGCGACGGTGAGTCTCTGCCTTCTTCCTCTGCAGGTCTCCGTGACGTGGTGGCACCCCTGCGGAAGAAAGAGGCCCAAGCACCCGGCCGCCTCTCACGAGCTTCAGATGTTCTCCGCGACGCCGTTGGCAAGGATGGAGCATCTATCTGATCTGGGGTTTGCACTTGGCTGAGACGGGAAGAGACACGTTCGGGTGGACCCGTACGAATTGGCGACAGTGGTGGTGTTGAAGTTTGTGACAGACGGACGGCCTGCGCGGTAGACACAATCGGGTCTTCCATCGGGCTCTCGAGGGGCGTGAAGGCTCCAGGTATGCTGCGTGTGGGTTCGAGGTCTGCTAGGGGGGCTGTTTGTGGTGGCGGCAAAGGCGCCGGGCGTGGATCCTCAAACGGTGGCGGCGGATCCTCAAATGGATTTTCGGGGGTTGTGTCCTGATGCTGGTCACGCGAGTACACACTGGTAGCCTCCATGGCTTCCTGTTCCGCAGCCGGAATTGGTGGAGGGGGTGACAATTCTGGCTCCATGACTTCTGGCGCAGTTGTAGCTGTCACGCCTAAGCCCACAATTTCGCCCTCATTCCTGATCAGCTCGCCGCGTAGAGCTGGGTGGGTATCGGGTGGCGGAGTCATGAGTTGACGGATTCTCGCATCTTCGGTGGGCAGCGGTGGCACCTCCTCCGCCTGTTGCTTCCTCTCTTTGGCGGAGCGGCGACTCTTGTCGCTGTCTCCGCGGTTGCGGCCCTTCCGCTCTCGCAGTTTACGGTCAAGCTTCTCCTGTTGCTCCTTCTCACGGCGCTCTCTCCGCTTTGCGTCGCGTTCCATCAGCACCCGCAAGTCACCAGCGTCAAACTGGTCCGCCTGCGCGCCGACGGTTTGTCGCTTCCTCGCAGAAGTTCGCGACATGGGCTGCTTCTCCTTGTCTTTTTTCGATACTTGCGGTGAGACTCTTGAAGAGCCCGGCAAGCTTGAGGGCGCGACATACTGCGGCGTACCAGAAAGTCGTACCGCAGGCCGTGGATTGAATGCAGCCCAGACGCCGACCTCCCAGCCGCGCTGCTCAGCGACGCCAGACATTGATGAGTGTACTGACTCCTGCGGTGGCAACGACACGTTCGAGCCACGAATGCCTAAGCCGCGAAACTTCTTGCTATCGGTCCGCAGAGGACCTTCTCCGCGACGCTTTGGGATGGACACTGGCTGGCTCATTGCCCGGAGTTCCTCCTCACGAAGCGTCGCGTCTTTGCGCCTGCCCGAAAATCGCCGTGACGGGGCTCCGCTGATTCCACTGTTTCTTGATCGAAGAGTCCGGGGTCTCGCAGGCTCCGCACTGAGTCGCTGTATGCTTGTCTGCGACGCTGAGTAGGGCCGGAAGTTGTATGGAATGGCAGGTCGTTCCAGATCCACTGGTCGCAAGTGCGGGCTCGAATCTAACCGTTTACTACCAGGTAGTGCGGTGATGTCCTCGATGCTGCGTCTCCGGGTAGCCGCTGGAGATACGTTCTCTTTGTTGTCGGAGCCCTGCCTTTTCTTGGTGGCGGTAGATTGCGCCTCGAGGAGCTTCTCCTGCTGCGCAGAGATGCGCCGCTTACTTCTTCCTGCTGACTTTGACGTTTGGTCGGGAGAACCAGCTTTGCCCTGCAATGCCTGCGACTTCTCGTCAAGTGGTTGTCGTTCTACGTCATGTATGCCGCTCCGCCGCCGCTTGAAGGGCCAGAAGGGCATTACGTAGATTTCAACCGGTCATAGACCATCGCATCACAAAGCCAGTTGCGTGCCAGGACAATATAGCGACACGTGCAGCTCCAAGTAGTCAACACACGCGATTTAGTGATTCAAAATGCGACGTCGATGGGCGGTGCGTCGGACGCGCGCCAATGTGCGCGTGGCCGCGGATGGCTGTGCGGTAAAGGCGCTGGCCGCAGAGGCGTCTGTGGGTGCGTGGAAGCACGGAGGCAGCGGTAGCGGTAGCGTTCCGGGGGGGAGCGGCGACGGGAAGGAGAGATTGGCAATAAACCTGCGGTGCAACGCCGCAGCCAGTGAGTGAATGATGGAGGTCGCGCTCTCGAGCACAATAATGGCGGCAAAGCAAGGGAAAGAAATGCGATACGAATGTGCGGATAGAGCCCGGCAATGCTCGACATACGAGCACAGTCCCCCGGTCACATCGTCAGGGTGGATGCCACCAATGCAAGACTAAAGTGCGCCACACGCGGGACAACGTGCAGCTTGTCTTTGACTATTTGCAGGGACCGTCTCGCCTGTCAGTCCAGTGAGGCCCCTTGCATGCGCTGGACGACGACGGGCCATGTTTCTGGCCAGGGGTGCGACAGGACCTTGCAGGCCACGTTATCAGCCCACTGACTACCGACAAAGATGGCCGTTCGGGGAGGGTTCCACCGCTCCCTGTCAGGCAGATGTGGACCGCTGCGCTCTGCAGGACCCTTCCTGATCGACAGACACCGTCTCGGCTGAACCTGCCAATGACGGCCCAGAGGACCCATTTCCCCTTCCATCCAATCAATCATCGGCTGCTGCACTCATACGGACAACGCCGAGAGATCTGCCTAGACCGAGGCACTATACGCTCGTGAAACTGTTAATGAAGATATACGATGTGTTCGTTGCTTGTCATGCACAGACGAGGAGCGCGATCCGGGCTACTGTCAGCGCCAATGCGCCTCCAACGGTCGGGATCCATAACGCGGGCGAAGGCTGAAACAGCCATCGAGATACAGAAAATGCACCCTTCGATCGAGCACGAGTCAGCGCACGCACAGACAGCATGCGATGCGGTTGAAGTTTGCGCTATAAGAAGCGTTCCAGTAAAGGTGCGATGGCGGATTTAGACGATCTTTTGCGGTCACAAGACTTGCAAAAGAAGCTCGAGCTCCGAGCGCATCAAATGGAGGTACATCCGGGGAGCTCACGCGACCTGCATTTACGCGACGGACCAACTTCCGGGAGAGCATACAACTGCCGTCAGGGTCGTATACGCGATATATCGTATTCTGAAATGTCGACCGTTTGTCTCACGGCTGCAGATTACTCAACGGCCTCGAGACAGCCATCAGCAGACGCCCTTTGCGGTATTGTCATGCTAATTCATGCTCTATCCTCTTGCCGCCAAAGGCTTGCTGATATACTTATACACCACGGAAAAGTCCTTATCCTTGCAGTCCTCGTCCGCTTGCACCGCGGTATAGATCTCCTTGCCATAGACACCCAAATGCGGCACAATATCCGCTTCAGCACAAGCCTGCAACGCCAGCTTCAAGTCCTTCAGCATCAGTCTCGTGCCAAACCCGCCGTTGTAATCCCGACTCGCTGGTGCGTTCTCCGACACACCTGGCACGGGGTTGTTGACTTCGCTAGGCCAGCACTTGCCGGTGGCAGTATTGATCATGTCCGCCAACGTCTTCGCGTCTAGGCCCCACTTCACGCCCATGTGCATCGCCTCGGCGGTTGCAATGTTGTTCAGAGCCAAGAGATAGTTGTTCGCAAGCTTGCCCTTCAGGCCACTCGTTTGCGGGCCCATATGAACAACGCGCTTGCCCATCATGCTGAGCACTTCCTGCGCTCGCGACACCAGCTCCTGTGGCGCGCCAACCATGAAGGTGAGCGTGCCTGCTCTTGCACCGACCACGCCGCCGGACATCGGTGCGTCGATGAACTTGCCTTGACCGCTGCTCGCGGTTGCCCTGCATACTTCTGCGGAGCTTTTCGGGTCAATGGTACTGCAATCGATGAATAGTCGCTCGTCCTTGTTCGGAGCCTCTGTGCGTAGTGTCGGTGGCCGTAGCATTTGCTGGAAGACGTTCTGTACATGGTGAGGTTCCGGAAGTACTGTTAGCACCGTTTCCTACTGAGGAGTCAGCGCATAGTCGCTGCAATCTCATGCAGACAGAGAGTACGCTTGAGGCAGGGGCAATGCTTCAGAGGATTGGCTTTGTATGTGGGTAATCAGAACAACAGCTTGCGCTGCCAACTTAGATCATAGATAGAACAATACAGGTTCATCAGGTGACAACGACAACGCGGTGGTTGAAGGAAATGGTATTGGACGTACCGTACTCTCGGCGACTTCCCGTACGTCCTTCGCTACTGTCACATTGCCCACCTCTTTCGAGAATTGCTCTGTTACCGCAGGGTTGACGTCGTGTATGACCATGGTATCAGACGAGGCGATCTTGTTGCGCAGGTTGGTTGCCATAGGGTAGCCTTTGACGCCTGATCAGCTTCATCCTGGTACCTCACGGTAATCTCTACGCACCCATCTGGCCCAGACCGATGAAGCCATAGCTCGCATCCAACCTGCTGCTCGTTGCGAAAGCTCTTCGACTCGTCGACCCACTGGCTCTGCTGCACGCCTGCTTCAGCGTCGTTGCTGCCGCCAGTGATGCCCGCATCGTTGCGACAGCCCGCTTATGTGCTGGCGTGAAGGAAAGCGAAATTTATACTACCTTGACATAGCAATCGAAAATTCTACCGAAGGACAGTCAAAGAGAGCACACGAGCGCGCACTACGCGGAAAGCATGCTGTGACGATCGCTGTTATCCGGAACACCGGCCATGGTCAGGCCGAGGATGAGGAGCAAGTGCTTTGTGGAGCTCGATTTGGAGAGTGGGATTGAGTGGAGCTCCGTCTCCGCGTGAGATGGCTGGAGATGTCCGCTCGGAGAGATCAACAATGACTTTCAAAACATCTCAGGATCGACGACACTAGGATCTGAACACATTAGGAGCTTTGTTGGTCAGTGGCATGACTACCCTCGCTTTGGTCGACTCAAAGCTGGTCGATAAAGGAGGGTTACACGGCTACGTTGTACGATGAAGTCGTGGCGTTGCTGCTCACAATGGTCTTAACAGCAGCGAGAATGTTCTCGCATTCTGGCAGACATGGCAAACTTCATATAGCCGTTCATCGGAGTATCTCATGCTGGACGCTATCTGCCCCATATCTCATCCCAAGCACCAGCATTGAGCTCCAATGGTCCAGGTAAACGTCCTGTCCTCGGTGCCTTCCCCTCACCGGGCTCAGGCAAGCATATCCACTCGCGGATACAGCCCGGCACATCCTCCTTCGCATGACTGATAACCAGCAAAGCCTGCTCCGGCAACAAGCCTTCGAACGTGACCGCTCCGATTCGAGACAACATACTGGGGCTTGCAACGTTGTTGACTACTTTGCTGATCTTCTGACCGTGCGAGAGGAACAGCAACGCCTTGTCTCGTACAGCTTCGTCAACGCCACTAAGTGCTTCGTCCAGAATCACAAGGTCGGGGCTCGCGACTATGGCGCGAAGGAAGAGGACGAGCCGCTGACTGGAGAAGCTTAGCTCCCGGAATCGGATGTCCTCTGCCCAAGCTAAGTCGGCATCGGTCGTCTTCAGGTGTTTATCAATGGCGCGCGCAGCCACCTCGTCAGTCGCACCCTCCAGGCTTTCGAGGGCGGTAGGCTCTGTTGAAGGGTTCAGTTCTCTGGCAAACCACCGCAGGCACGCAACGACCTTCTGCTTCGCCGCAGCGTCTAGAGTCGGCTTCGACAGCGGAGCGTCTGCCCATGCCGACTCCAAGGCTCGCTTGACGGTAAGCTGTTTCGGGAAGAAAGCATGTACTTCCGGACTCGAGTGACCCATCCGCCGCTGGATGTCAAAGACGCTGATCCCTGGCTCGCCCTGCTTGGGCAGTCTTGAGCGCCCGAAGAGCTTGATGGGTAGGCTGTAGGTCTGTGGATGGTCCGAAGTGATGAGACTGAGCATTGTCGTCTTGCCGCTGCCATTTGGGCCGAAAATGCCGCATCGCTGACCACGGTGAAGACTCCACCACAAGCCTGGCCTTTCCTCGTCTGCGGTTGACTGCGTCCAACCGCCTAGGACAGTCTTGTCACCGTAAGCGACTTTGACGCCTCGCATGTCGACTACCGCTTCTCCGGGCGGCAATGGGGACGAGTCACGCTTAAAGCCATCCCGGCTTACTTGCAGATGCGAATTTGCACCATGCGTATGCTTTGCTGGAGTAAATATGCGAGAGGTTCGGGTACTCTGTTCATCCGTCCCCGTGATGCTAAACAAAGCGTCATTTGAACCCCGGCCTACTACTCGAGAATCTTCGTCAATAGTAACCAGGTGGCTCACCCACGCCGGCACACCGTCTTCAGGTCTCAGGCTTACAAGAAGTCTTGGCTGCTGACGTTCAGCCAGCTCCCGCAAGACCTCCGACAAGGTGCGTAACGTGTTTGGGTCCAGGCCCATGAACGGCCCATCAAGCAAGAGCACTTCCGGCCTCGCCATAAGCGCTTTAGCAATGCGTGCTCTCCGGGTCTGCCCGTTACTGAGATTCGCCACAGGCATCGCAAGCAGTTGACGAAGGTTCAATTGAATCGTGACTTCGTCCAGCATCGTTCGGTCAACGTCAGAGTCGTCGCGTTCAAGAGCATTAAGCTCGGTATGTCCTGTCAAATAGTCGAGAACAGTAAAGTCCGTTTCCTCCCGTCGACTCTCATATCTAGCGCTCAGGTAGGCGCCTCGAACGTGCGTTCCGCCGACACTGCTCCCACGGTCGGCGTCAAAGCCGACGTACCTGACTGCATGTTGCGGTGATTTGCCAATCTCAGATAGGTACGGGTAGCTTCGCGCATGCGCTGGGATGCAGATATGTTGACCAGCCAGGATTTGTAGGAAGGTTGTGCGTGCTACCGACGATGGAGAGATGACGGACCATCTTTGTGCATTATTGGAGCTGCCACTACTCGGGAGTGTGAAGCTCAAGTCCTCCAGTAATGGTGGGTTTGATCCGGGAGCATCACTTAGGGAAGGGTAACGCCGGTAAAATGTAGCCTTATCGATGTGGAAGATCGGTTTAGACGACAGATGGCGAGCGTGTAACGAGCGTCTCTTCAGCCATGCCCGCCTCCACATATCACCACAACAACGTGCAACTCAATGGTGTAGGAGTGCAATGCGGGAGAGTCATGCCCGCAAAACGCCACGATTGATCAGCTGTTTTGTGGGGCCCAATTCGATGCTCTACAAACAGTAACCTCGGACCGTTCCCAAGGTCTCGTTGCTTTATCCATACGAGCCAACTGCGGGCACCCTATCCCCCGCCATGCCAGTGTACATAGCAGCGCAGGCGCTGTTCGACGGCTTCGAGTCGGTACCGTATCTCTGGCCGCTCCTCAAGACGCTCCCATGGATCGGCGCACTGCTTCTGCTAAAGCTATACTTCGCCGGCGCCCGCAATGCCAGCGAGCGCAACATGCATGGCAAGGTGGTCATTGTCACGGGCGGTACGAGTGGCATTGGCGAAGCTTTCACCCGTGAACTCGCCCAACGAGGTGCCCAGATCGTCCTCCTCACCCAGCATTCACTGGGCGACCCGTTCATAGTGGAGTACATCGACGACTTGCGCCGCGACACCAATAACCAGCTCATCACCGCCGAGCAAGTGGACTTGGCATCGCTGCACAACATCCGTACGTTCGCGACCAAATGGATTGACAATGCGCCGCCAAGACGTCTGGACATGGTTGTTTTGTGCGCCAACACGCAGACGACGAAGACGGGTAAGGATGGCATTAGGAGTACCGTCGAAGGGGTGGAAGTGAACTGGCAAGTCAACTACCTCGCCAACTTCCACCTTCTCTCCATCCTCTCTCCAGCTCTTCGAGCGCAGCCTCCGGACCGAGACGTGCGCATCCTCTTCGGAACGTGCAGTTCCTACCTTGGCGGCGATCTGCTCCACATAACCCAGACATCACCGTCGAGGACCAAGTCTTCAAAAGAGAATACCAAGCCTACATCAACCTCCACACGCTCTCCCACCCACTTCTCACCCGGAAACGCCTACGCAACCTCCAAGCTCGCCCTCACCACCTTCGCCCTCGCCTTCCAGAAGCACCTCTCCTCCATCAAACGACCCGACAACGCTCCCGCGTATCCGCGCGTCCTAATCGTCGACCCAGGTCTCTGCCGTACGCCGGGAACCCGCCGCTGGCTCAGCTTCGGCACCCTCTTCGGTCTATTCCTCTACCTCCTCAGCTGGCCATTATGGTGGCTCCTCCTCAAGTCACCAGAAGGCGGCGCCCAAAGCTTCCTCTACGCGGCGATGGAGGAGAAATTCAGCAAGGCTGGTGTCGAAGGTGAGGCGAAGGTTGGCGGGTGGTTCATCAAAGAGTGCAAGGATCGTGATTTCATGCGGGAGGATGTCAAGGATGAGGAGGTACAGCGGAAATTGTGGGAGTACAGTGAGAAGATGGTGGAGGAGGCGGAGAAAAGGGGCGTAGTGGAGCGGGCGAGGAGGAAGAAGGAAGCGGAGGAGGAGAAAGAGGAGGCGGAGGCTGTGGCGGAGATGAAGGAGTACAAGGAGAAAGTTGGGAAGAAGGACGGTGGGAAGAAGGAAGGGAGTAGAAGGAGTAGGAAGGCTAGGTGAGGTGGTGGATATGGAACGCTGCTTCCATATAATCCGAAGACCAAAAGCTGTCGCCTAATGACCACCCCTGCGCAAGCCTCGATAATGGATGCAAGCCAAACCAGCATTCAAGAGGCGCACGAGGTTATAAACCACGCGCGTGACAAGCATGAGGGGTTCGCCGCAGACATCCCAGATACGTCGTAATGCGGCGATTCAATTTGGCGGCAGCCAAACCCTCGAGCCCAACTGCACGCAGTCAGCTCTGGGTGCTACACGTTGTCCCAGTGGGGTCCGATATTCAGAACGAAGTGCTATAAGCATGCAGTGTTTGCCAGCGCCTATCGTTGACGAGCTTGCTAGGCTCAAGAGTCTTGAAGGAAGGCCAGCCGCCGATCGACGTGTCTATAACGCAACAAGATACACCGCTGCTAGCTACCAAGTACATACATAACATAGCTAAACATAGGCTCCGCATATCATGCCCTCCGGTGTCCATCAATCAGCCATCCAATGCAATCCATCCAATGCCTTCACCTATAGCATAGCTGGCAATAATTTGAAGCTGACCACATCGTGGATGATGCTTTACTTGCGACCAAATAACTTGCGCTTCGAAGGAGACATGCGCTCGACAATGTTCGCGAAACGGCCAGGTGAGGCGGGTTTGGAAGGTGACGGCGACGCGGATGTCTGCTCCTTCTTCTCCGAGACGATGTCGGAGATGCTGACGGATGCTTCCTTGAAGCGGCTTCCTCCTGTAGTTCTCAAAGTCAGCTTTGTAATCCTGACGTGATGCGGACAAGAAGCGTAATGTACCACCAGATAAGATGCGATGCGCAGGCGGCCAAGATGTGATGCGCAGCTTCTCCGCCACGGTCGAGGTAGCAGAGTCAACGCGAGTCGGTGACGGTCGAGGTAGAATCGTTGTGGTAGAGTCCACGCCAGCCGGCGGCGGTCGGGGCAAATCAGTTGTGGTGGAGTCCACACGAGAGGGTGGTGGCGGAGGCGGGACAGCCTTGATTTCGGTTGCCCTGGAAGACGTGACGCGCTGCTTGGGCGGCGCAATGGGTGGCTTCATGGATGCAGCTAGACCGGCATGATAGCCATCCAGCCAAGCCTGCGACTTCACTTTCGCATCCGGCGATGGAGACGGAGACGGATCATCGAGCATGTTGTCATGCGGATGCTCAGCCACGAAGAGCCAATGCCTGTTCTTCGGCGAAGCGCAACGCTCGATCGGAGCTTGCGCTTGTACTTCCGTCTGCGCCTGCGAGACTGGCTCAGCAGGCGTGTTGGCTGGCGCGACGGGAAGAGGATGACCATGCGAAGGCGTGATGGGTGCGGCGTTCTCCTTGTCGTCTGACTGCCCGTCGCCGCAGTCGCTGAACTTGCGTACCGAAAAGTCCTGGGTATTGCGAGGGAAGAAGTCGGCAGTCTCGAAGCTGGAGATGCTTGAACTGTGGAGCTTGCTGTCGCGTTTGGGGTTTCTGTTGGCGCTGGTGGGTTTGAGGACTTCCTTGATGCTAGACGGAGAGCCGGTGTCGGTTGGCTGGGCGAGGAGAGTGGGCCTGCTGGCTTCGTTGTTCACTTGGTGTTGGTGCTGGTGCTGGTGTTGATGCTGTTGCAGAAGACTCATGCCAGGCTTGTACACGGGACTCATGGGGTTGAGAGTCGATTTAGCCAGGGCCGTGGGGGCTTTGATCGGTACCGCGTGTGATTGGGTAGGCGAGGCTACGCGCTTGATCTCCGCGAACGAGGCCGCACCGTCGTTCTGTGGAAGACCAGTCACGGAAACGGATCCGTCCAACGGTGGAGGCTGAACAAAGGTAGCCGGTGGCGGCATAGCCCATGGCATGAAGTCAGACGACGGTCCAGGATGGAAGGCATATGGCGCGGCGTAATACGGGAGTGGTGCGGCTGGCAGTTGACGAGATTGCAAGAATGGCGGCAGACGGTTGCGCGGCGGTGACTGCTGCTGAGGCGGGCCTGCATAAAGATCTGTCAGCTATCCGTCGTCCACGGACTGAACGCTTCGAATACGACGTGTGACATACCTGCAGTCTGGTCTCTCAGGCTCTTGATTGCCTTGCGTATCTTGTCAAGATTGACGACGAGCTCGCGGCGTTTGGCAACGAGAGCGTCTCTGGCGCCTTTGCCCATCGTTGGTCCATGGAGCACCTCGGTCTTGTCGACGTCCCTCAATTCACTTTCCAGTTTCACGTACTCAAGCTCGAGCGCATTGATTTGCGATTGAGTGGACGGCGCTGGTAGGATGCCGTGCGGAGAGACACTTCGGTTGTCATCATGCTGGGCTGACTGGGGAGCGAAGTTGCCGGAGACGGGACTGCGATGGGTGACGGTAAGATTGGGAGCCGGAATGTAGAGCTGCAGTCCAGCCTCCGTCTCATGAAGCGGCAAGATGGTGCCGTCGACAATCTGGCAGAGACGGCCGTTAATGTCTTGTGCGACGAAGCCATCTTGCGTCGCTTGGGTCCATTGTGCCTTGCCCATTGGGTGATTCGGCGCGAACTTGATTAACCCCCCGTTGACTTTGATTGCACTGTAGCCGTAACGAGGATGGCAAAGCGGAGACTGCTCGCTGGGAACGATGCGGCCACCAGCGGTGACGCGAACATGGTCGGGAGAGCCGTGGGCTTTGACCAGTGATTCGATCTTCTGTTTGCGGATAGACGGAGTCGGTGAGGGCCGTGGCCGGTACGGGCCAGGTGGTGGACGGAGGATCTGCTGGTTGTTGGGAGCGATTTCGCCAAGGACAGCTATAGACTTAGTCGACGCGAAGGACGCCAGGCGGACATTGTCTGAAGCATTCGTGGAGCGATTCTCCTTGTTCGACGACATTGCAGATGCGCGGGACTTCCATGATCGGGCGGCGAACGACTTCGAGCCTCGGAGAACGTGTTCTTCATGAAAGACGAAGATGGTCAGCTCAAGGTCCTTAAGCAGGAATGCAGTGGCAAGACTCACCCTTGACAAGCTCGGCATCTTCGCCGTCGTGCTCTTCCATCGCTTCGCGAAGCCTTGGCTGCGACACGGTGCCACGAAGTCGGTGCAACTCTTCGAGAGAGTAGACGCGGCGAGTAGCCCTGTTCGGGATGTCAGAAGCCATGTATGGCAGCCGGAATGGGTTGCTACAAACGATCAGCGACCTGCAGTCTGTGACGGACGAGTGACCCACCAATGAGCTGGGAAGAAGAGATTCGTTATCCAAGAGCGCCTCTAGTAAGCGAGTGTGGCTTGAAAGCTGGGATGGATGGCGATGAAGCGAGGGTGAAAGCGAGAGCATGTATGGTTGTGTTGTAGAGAGGAAGTGGATGTAGGATGGATGCGTTCGGCTTAGAGGTTTGCATCTTGCACAGCCCTCTCCATAATCATCGCAGGAGCCGTTGGCTTGCTCTGCGCAAGTGCTGATGATGGAGATGGAAAGATGCAAGCATATGTGGCAGTAGGCAGACGCGCCGCGAATGCAGCAGATTAAGCATGGACAGGAGCCGTCTCCCAGCATGCACCTGCCGGACATTCTCTACGACACTTGATCCGCAAGTGACCGTGTCCTTATGTAGAAGGGTCGAACTGAAGGTCGCAGCATGTGGAGAAGATTGCGTTCCTGCTTCACGGCGAAACCGTACACTCTCGACCCGGGCTTAGGGTCTCATTCATGGTAAGCGTTAACGTCCCGAAAGGTACGTTAAGAGTAATATGGTAAGCGAGAATGACGTTGTATTGCTTGTTGCATCCTATACATTTCGGGTGGACTATGCGCCCAGCTCAAGGTGGGACTAGGGTTGTTGTTGTTATGGCAGGACGCCGCCCCGATGTTCGACTCCGTCTATGCTTTTCCGCATATTCAACGCTCGCCTCAGATGTTCTCCACATAAGTACAGTGCGCCCTTGGACCCATGCGCATCTTCCGCGCATGCTGCACCGCAAACTGACATGTTTCGAGCTGCAAGTCGAGCATCGGCTGGCCTGGCCTTTTGAAACAGTGGGCCATTGACAGAACACCTTACTTAGAGTCATCCTGGAGAAAGTGCGGTGCGGCTGTCGACAGGCGACCAGCAGGTCAAGGTTCTTCATCATCGCCGTAGTGGAGCGGATAACGCGATCGGATTGAATCCTGCCCCAGTGCTGCCTGAGTTGCGGCCGTGCCATGTAATCCGAATCGAGTCCGCTCTAGCTTGGCGGACTCGCGAGTCCTCCCGGCGACGCGAGGAATGTCACTCGCCCACCGCAAAGGCGTGGACCAAGATCCGGTCCCGCGGATCCGTATGATGATATAGGCGCAATCAACGCCTAGCCATTGTATCGTTTGGGACCTCAGAGAAACTTCATGGCTGGAGGATCACCTGTTCTTGGTAGCCTTGTAAGTGAAGCGTTTTCGAGTCCTGATCGCAGCATTAGCACGCCATGCTCGAGCCCCAGCCACTTTCAAGGTCGACACTCACGGCGAGAACTCTCCCAGCTTATGTCCAACCATATCCTCCGTGATCCGCACGTCGTGATATATCTTGCCGTTGTAAACCTGGAAGATAAGACCTACGAAGTTCGGTAAGATGGTCGCCGCTCGTGCTTGGGTTTTGATTGGCGGCATGCGCTCGCCAGGTCGCGGCCGTACGATCGGTAGGCTGTTCGATGTCAGCTTGTTCATTTCGGTTCCGGGCTTCACGAGGGTATGTGCGGCAAGCTCACGGTACAATGTGTGGACCTGTAGAAGGTGGTCAGTCATGGCTCAGGCCGAATGAGCATAGGAGCGCGGTGAACGTACCTTTCCATACCGACCGCGCCAGCAGCGCAGTAGTTGCTCTCATAGCTGATGTGCGTTGCCGTGCTACTCGTGCAAATCTTCTAGGACCAGCAAAGGTTGTTGACTGCGACTAAACAAAGAGGTGTATGCGGAAGCGATAATCTCCTTCGGGAAGGTTTGGCTCAAGACGCTCGGACTACAAATGGTTTGCTACGATGTATAACCGCACCTCGACTCCCAGTCTGGACTCAGTTACTGGAACACAAACCACCAGTCTTCGCAAAACCTGCGACACCTTCGACACGAGCTCTGCCTACTCTGAGAGCTACCGTGCATGCAGAGCATCGTCCTCAATTCTCTAAGTAAGACGGTGTTCTGAATGAGAACGGCCACAAGGTACTCGCAAATCGTCCCATCTTCGTAAAGCCATTTGAATCCACCTCCAACCACTTGCGACCGTCTCTGATGGGACACCAACAGGACAACGAGTGGTTAGGATAGGATTTTCAAGGTGAGTTCATTCCGCCGACGCCGGCATGCCTCACTGGTATACCGGAGCGCCTGAGCAGCCCATCATTGTGCGGTCGGCCCGCCTTCATGCCACCACTGATCCCGTACCCGGCCGTATGACTGTTGCCGAAGACATTAGAGTCGAGAGATCCCATGGCCTGGCGGTAGGGTGTGCCCTGTTGCATTTGGTCGACATCCACGCCGGAGTTCATGGAGGTACCGTTGTTGCCGTACAACGGCAGTCGAGCGCGCGCCGACGGCGTAGGCGGCACAGGAGCGCTACCTGTGGAATGTGAGCAGCAAGGTACAAGCGCAAGCAGGTCTTGTGAGCTTACGGGCTGTTTGCATTCTAGCACGATTGGTTGTATACTGGTTTTCCCACCCTGCGATGGTGCGACTGCGCCCTCCGCTTCCCTCACCGCCACTACCGTTGCTGATTGCACGACTGTGCGAACGCTGCTCACCACGCCGGCCATTGGTGTTCTGGGCAAGACTCGCAGCCCGCAGAGTGTGGTCTGCATCGTGCTCGGCCGCTAATTCCATGCCGGCCGCAAGTTGCTCCTGCTTTAGGCTTTGGTAGAGCTTTTGAAGGTGCTGTTGATGCTTCGCCTTCTCGCGAAATGCTTCGGCCAGGTCGCGGTTCTTTTGCTGAAGCTGCTTTTGTTCGGCGTGCATGGCTAACAAGATTAGTATCAGCACCCGTCATGCGCGCGATTGGAGCGACTAACTGGAGAGCTTGTCGCGCAGACCCATGATCTCGGAGTTGGCATCATGGATGATCCTGTCCATCTGCGAGCTGAGCGTGGAGTATTTGTCGGTGAGGCTGCGCGCGAGGAATTCTTGGTAGATGCTGGTCCCAAGTCAGTATTACTCATTACACCCGTTCCAACAAGGCAATCTGGCTCACATCTCCTGCGTAGTCTGGTAGCTGTAGAACGACAAGCCACGTCCAGCACATTCCATGATGATGCTCGGGCTTAGACCGCTGAGCACACTGGTCTTGTAGTCCTCGGTCGGATTCAGCTGGGTCACGACGGCATCGTCAGGATTGGCGAGTTGTGTGTCGCATGCCGGACATGTTCGCACTGCACCGTTCGCATTTGCCAGGCCAAGACTCTCTGAGCAGGCTATGCAGAAGATATGGCTGCATGTCGTGACAACTGCGCGGTCGTTAAGCTGGCTCCGACATCTGAGGGAGTTGCACCGGAGCGCGAAATCCATGACGGTGTGTTAGATGCTGGACGACTTCCAGGTAGATGGTCTGGTCGGGTGCTGATTTTCGAAATGTGAAGTGGCAAAGATGGAACGGCAGGTGTAACCATCTTGACAGGCAAGAGCGACGCATTGCGCCTGCCTTCGCTCGCGGAGATGGCCACGAAACTAAAGTACTGAATGAGTGCCACGCTCTCGCTTCATTGTAGATAGAGTTTCTACACACACATCGCCTTGAGCCATATCAACAACAATACATAATACCTGGATTTTATGCTACCTTACATATGGCCACGAGCTCGATATCGGCCGCTCATGGTACACAAGAAACAAGTAGCCAACATCCTCTTCCCAAAATCTTTCCCAGTCTAATTAAGATCGGCCGTCAAAGGAGTGTATGCAAGCAAAAGCGGGTATATGATATTCCAGATCCAAGCCGATACAGGTGTGTCGCGCTGAGACCCAAGCACGCCTCAAGCGCCGCGCAACGGAAAGGACTCGCAAACTGATCAAGTAGAAATGCTCACGCTTATTGTGCTCCCGCCTGCTCCATCAAAGGCTGGGTGTTGTGACGGTGCTCCAACCCATTCGGGCTGAACTTCGTGACGGGCTCCTCAGGCTCGACGGGACCAATATCGCCGACTCCCTCATGTGCATGAGAGTCGTGCCCAATGATGCGAGTAGGGACTTCAGGAATGTCCTCATCATGCATCTTGTAATGGCTTTGCAAGCTGTGCCTTTGAGGCGTGGCGGCTGTGCTCTCGCTTCCGAGGCTCATGCTGGTCGAGCTTCGATCGTGGACAAGATCCGGCGTCGGCGGAACACGAGAGGTCCGCTTCGGGTGCAAGTAGCCAGTGCTTTCGCTGTGCACATCGCCATACTCGGACTCGGAGCCGTTGGAAGCGTGCTCGGCAGACTCGCCATCTTCGGATTGAGGCGATAGCGACGACTTAAGCGCGCGCTTGCCCCTCCTCTTCTTTGACGATTCCGACCGGTCGTCCTCGGCGCCTTCGGTGCTGACGCTCTCAGCGCGACGTGCAAGGTCGAGCCCTTCGACAGCAGCGGCGCATTGCTCGGAGATGTTGCGGATGATGTACGCGATGGCGTCGGTCTTGTCGCGCAAGTGGCGGTCAGCCACATCAGTCATGCTCATCTCAGACAAGCGCTTGCGAGCTGCCGCGTTGTTGAGGATTCTGGTCTCCATGGCTGTGGATGCCCGCTCGCCGTCTCCACGGGATGACTGGCGTGTGCTTCCTCGCGAGTCTGGACCGGCAGTCAGGCCACCAACACCACGGACAGCACCAACTTCGGGCTCCTCCGTCTCGTCCTTCACGCCGGATTCAGCGTCAATAGTCGACTCGGGCATGGCATCTTCCCCAGCATCTGCGAAGGGTGCAGTCTCCGGGGCGTCGCTGAGAGACTTGACAATATGCTGCATATGATGAGCTTGACCATCGATAAGCGCTCGCAGATGCAGCACGACACGCTGAGCCTCATCGCGTTGACGCAGAAGCGTGGCATTGGTGTGTTGCAGCGCAGAGAGATCCTTCTTGTTCCTCTTGCGCTCCCTCTCCAGCTCCTCGGCGATGTCTTGCTGCAGCACGAGAGCCTCAAGCGCATCGTCTCTTTGCTTCTCAGTGCCGGACAAGCGTACAGCAAGTCTAGCGGCGTCGTCCTTCTGCTGATCGATCAGGTTGGTGAGGCGGCGGTTCTCACGCTTGTGACCCTCGATCTTGACCTTCAGCTCATTCGTCTCCTTCGTGAGCTGCTCAGCGAAAGCCTGGAACTTGAGGAACTGCTGTTTCCAGCTCTCGAGCTCCTCGACCAAGAAATTGTTGCGCTTCGTGACCTTCGCAAGCTCTGTATCCATACGTCCCTTCAGGTTGATGAAGTCTTGCCAGGCCTCCATGGCGTCACGGGAGTACTGATTGCGCTCGCGGACAATCTCGTTTAGGTGGCGCATAGAGACTTTGGTCATTAGAGGCTTTTTCTGAGCGCCCCCAAGAACGGCTTTGAACCCCGTATTTTTACCCTATTGGTATAGTCAGCAGGCACTCATGTTCCAACACTAACAAATGCGTCATACCAACTTCTCGCAAGCATGATCCATCACCTTCATTACTTCATCCTGGTTCCACCAGCCCGGATCCTGAACACTTTCAACCTCTCCACGCATAACGATAATCTGGCCGGCTGGAATCAGCTTTCCGCCGCCGTAAGCGGAGCGAAGGTGTTGTGGCACGCCAGACGGCGCAACGTCACCATTGAGGGCGTCGGTCATGCGGCTGATGAGTTTCGTACGCTGCTTGGCCGACCAAGCGGTCGGTGGGCTCGAAGTTAGAACGAAGTTACGGTCCAAATCGACCACTAAGGCGTCAGAAGGTGCGGTGAACAGTGTCCTGCACTCGGCAGTAAGACCGAGGATGTATGGACCAGGCTCCTGAACCAGCTCCTTGGCGTGCCTTGCGTGCACTACCGGGACGTAGAGACCGCTCCACTCGTATACACGGACCATGAAGCGAACAGTTTCGGCGGCGATAGTAAGCATTGCTGGGTAGTGCGAGATGAAGATGATGCGTCGAGTGGGAGAGACGGCGGCCTCGAGTACGCCCACAATGTTTGGAACGGACAAGCAGCAGAACAGCGGCCACATGGCGAAGTTTTGGAAGCCTGTTGGGGATGACGGGAACTGGTAGCAGAGCGCATAGTCCTTCATGTCGATACGGACCAGATCATTGAGTCGAGGAGCCGGGAAGCTGAGGATGCGCGACACCTCTTCCGCATGGAAAAGGTTTGTGGCCTTGTTCCAGTGGATCCACATTCCACGCAGATAATCGCCGAGAAGGTTGTAAAGAGGATACCGGGAGAGGAAGCTCAAGCAGTATGGGATCCAGTAGGTCTCACCAGGGGCATCGTAGTAATCGGCCTCGGTGCGCTTGCGGAGGTCACGGATCGTCTCAGCACGCTTCTCGTCAGCGCGCGACCAGACACGCAAGGCAATGCCGTAGAGCGTATGCGAAGAGTCTTGCTGCAATACGAATGCATGGTGGACGCAGTGAGGTTGGCTGCTGCCAGTGCAGATCTCGACATCATGAGGGAAGCAAGCCTGTGCCACCGGTGTCAGTAATGTGGACGCAGGGCAAGCAATCCATGACACTCACTCTCATCGCGGCGTGCAGCGACCTGGCGATCTCATTGTCGGATTCCAGTCTGGGGCTGCTACCAAGAATCTCTGGCAACCAGAATTGGCCAACGGCACCTTTCATGTGTCCAATCTTGCCCTGGCTGGGCTGAGGTGCCTTCATCCATTGTGAGGGCTCTCTGCCGACGCCGCACACCATGTAAGCATGGGTCAATGTCTTGGGTGCCCTTTGGCCAGGCTTGGGTTGGTTCATGGCGCCTGGAAGCGGCTGCGCGATGCGTGAGTGGAGCGAGGATGTCCGGTTCGGGATGATGAGGTCGTCGTCGTTGCTACCGCTTGTTGGGCGAGAGTCGCCAGACCGAGGTCTTGAAGTGAGCGACGGAGCCATTATGAGTGTAGGTTGCTGCTAATTTGAAAGAGCAACGGACAGTTCGAAGCTCAATGGCTTCTGCTGTACTGCAAACGCAAAGCTAGCGACACTTAGGGGCGTTGGCCGCTCACAGTGACGCGCCTCTAAGACGACAAGCCCAGTGCACAAGACAGACCACAGCAGCTGCAAACGCGTGTTAGCGCATCAACTGGTTATGAGCAGAGCTGAAAGGCAGAGAGGAAGACTATGAGATCTGGTCCGTGAAGGTTGAGCGGAGACGTCGTGCTCGGACTCCTTACTGCACCGGCAACGCTATTTGTCGAAACCCTGTACCACTCGTTACCTGGTGCAGCTCCATTAGCCGAAGCAGGCATGGTTCTTCGATTCATGTGGCTAGTGTGCGATCGGGTAGCGTGCAACCTGCAGCTACCTTGCAGCGTTTCGGGAATGATGATACCTCAGCATCGCCGTTCGCCAGGATCGCGCAACGTGGGACTGTTGGTATCGTCGGGTAAGATCGATCCTTCAAGCCTCGTTCTGTTGGAGAAGACGGTGAATGTGCCAGCCCGTCTACCCTCACTTATACGAAATGCTGGAGGAAGCTTGGGAGAGACAGCGAAATCTCCAGCATTGACCCGAGCCTAAGCAAGAGCCACTCGTGGTGAGGTTCCGACTGGTTTTGCGCTAGATGGACCGTATGCGCTTCCAAACCTTACATCAACTCTAATCGCTTCCCGCTTTCATCTCAAGACAATGGTCAATTGGCGAACCATACTTCATGTCTAACATCGTTTGCACCCTGGAGGTCTCTCGACCATGATCATACCCGCTAAGAGAGCTTCGTACGACAGCGAGAAGATTAACGTGCTGACAATAACGGTGCAGCAGCCTCGTAGCGGCCCCATACGGCTTTCTCGGACCGATGCACGTTCGCCTTATGAGGAACGCCCTTGAAAAGGGGTGCAGATGGACCGCGAGCGTTGCCGTTGCTCTAGATTCCGCCAGATCGCATCGTCAACGGTATGGCGACGCCCAGATGGCATTCTCATCACGGTACTGTACACATAGGAGTTCTCGCGTTAGTGTAGCTGACGTCGCACACCAATAGAACGAAGCGACTGCGGTGCGACAGAGCGTTTCCGGACGGCTGCATGCTAGCCTGCTACCGCTTACTCTATGTGTGGTTTTACCGTAGTGGGCAGAGTGTTGAGCGTCTGCTGCAAAACTGTGTGTCGCAGACCACTACCTGCCACTTCAGTAGTTCCGTATGTGCATTGTCTAGTACGTAGTCGTTGACAGCATGATACTGTTAAATGGTGACGTTTCCTGCAGTGAGACTGCATTTCCCATGCATGAGCGGATGGCGGATCCCCGCCATCTCAAAGGCTGGTCCGCTGTTCCTGCAGGTCTTGGCGTCTCGCATTTTGCTTGGCGCACGGCGGGATGAAGATACTCACTCGACAGTGCGCCATCGAATATCTGGGCCTGTGGCTTCCGGTTTCGCAGATCTTCAAACGCGGTTCGGGAAGCCTGCCTCTATGCCGAAAGGAGTTGCCTGGTAGCCGGAAGCTGCGAAAAACTCCTCAGGCAACCGCTACGACCATTCGGTGGAAGAGGCGAACAGGACGGCATACATGCAGTGGAAGTAACGGTTTTGCGTGCCCATTCTGAGACCCTGCAGTATGGCCGACCATGCAATGCTTTCGGAACTTTGCTCGGTGTGGTGAGACAGCCAGCCTCCTTCCTTTCCTGGTGTTGGCCCCACTGGTCACGTGAGCGGCATATGCTGATATGTCGCAAGCTACACTGAAAAGCCGAAGTACCGGTGTCCTAGATGCAGCATACAGACGTGCTCTTTGCCATGTTACAAGAAGCACCAGCAGCGTGCTTCGTGCAACGGCAAAAGGGATCCCGCCGCATACCTGAGGAAGAGCCAGTGGGCCACCCCTACCGGCCTTGATCTGGACTTTAATTATTTGAAGAACATCGAGAACAGAATCACTTCTGCCGGCCATTATGTCCAGGATCGCGGCATCGAAAGCGGTCATGCGAGCCATCCTACCGCCACTGGGAACCGATTCCAGCAATATCTAGACAAGTACAACATTACCGTCCGACGTGCTCCCAAAGGCATGAGTAGGGAGCGTGCGAATACGAGTCGTGCGACTAAGGGTCACGATGCGCTTTGGTCAGTAGAATGGATCTTGGGTGCAGAACAACGCAATCTGCTACATGACTGCGCAGAGTCTGACACTATTGCAAGCCTGTACAAATCATTGGTGATGTCGGAAGCGCGTAAGCGTGGTGAAAACGCACAGTCACAACGCAGCAAGAAGCGCAAAAGGGCACAAGCTTCCGAAGCATCATCACAGCCCCAAGCCAGCAGCAGTAATGCGCAGCGTCTCGACCTTCACCAAAAGGCGGAAGCTTCCACTCACCAAGGAACAGCATCTCATAATGTTGACCTGCACGTATCAGAGAACGTCAAAAGCGATGCCTCTGGTGCGGACTATGTCACGAGCCAGCCATCCCCACCAGCGCGGAATGGGGACTTCGAAAATACCAGTGGCGTCACGGAGGCATGCGACGAACCGGCCACTGAACGAAAGCTGCTAGAAGACCTGAATGAGACAGCGCCAACGACAAGACCAGATGTTAGTGGAGGCGCTGGCGAGAGCAAGCATGTGGCAGATGATTTACACTTCTACCTTCTCAAACCAGGTTCCTCTTCGGGCATTCGAGCCCTCATTCCGCTGCAAAGCGCAGACACCCTGACCAGATGCCTCACGAACCGGACAGTCCTCGAATACCCAACCATCTATGTCATGCCCGATCGGCCAGACTCGCTCCCGGAAGGCTTTATTCAGGATGATGATGACTGGACAATGCCAAAGACAGAACGCTATGCAGCGGAAGGCGACGCTCATAGCAACGGCATGACTGGATCAAAAGGTAAATTGCGAGTGGATGGCAAAGACTCAACGGTAGATTACGCAGATGCACAAAGCATCCTCGACATGCTGAAGAGGGACGTGAGCGCATGACCTAGCCTCACTCTTGTCAACCATTGTGTATTCGACGTCACACAAAACTACGCCAAACGTCACCTTTTCGTTGACTATTTCAAATGACGAATGTCCGCAGATATTGCATCTTACTCACCAAACACCGACCATGTCAAATCGTCTAGTTCTGGTCTGCGTTGCATGCGAATACATCACATATTCAAACCTTGTAGGTTGTGCTCTTCAACTCCTGGGCTAGGCTCGCACCGAAATCGCCAACGTACCCGTTCGACTCCAAGTACATGCGGAATCGCTCATCTTCGCTGTCAAGCTCTTTTTCTCGGTTCGGAACTGAGGATAATCATGATGGTCAGCGCTCTTCCAAAGGTCGACATAGGCTCCTGCCATTGAGTTGACGTACTAAGAGTCCAGGAAATGATGCCGCCAACAGTCGCGAATGCTGCGCCGATGATCTAAACGATGGGTTAGCGGGCCACCGCCTGTCGGATGATTGCTCGACTCACGAAAACGGCTTGTACGCCTTTGAAGTCACTCGGGAAGGAGTTCTGAATAGGCGTGAATACCTCAGTCCCAATCGCGGCACCAGCTTTGCCCACAGCCGCTGCAAGGCCCAGAAAGTGGCCGCGAATTGGCGTAGGGAAGCTCTCAGCGCCACAAAGGAACGTGGCGACGCCTGGACCCATCTCTCCGAAAGAGTTAAAGATCCCATATAGGACAACGAACAGCGGGAACACGGACTGGATGGGCGCCAAGGCCCCACCAATAATGAAGCCAAGAGCTGCCCAACAGAAAAATCCCAAGGTCATCGTCTGCTTCCGGCCAATGCGGTCCATGAGCAAGCCTCCAACTATGCAGCCTGGGAGGTAGAAGCAGTTGACTACCGTTCCGTAACCAACGTTTTGAACAAGGGAGTCGTTTGGGTTCAGCTGACTAATGATCGTGGAGCTGAATATGCCTATATATCGAAGTGTAAGGGTCAGCCTTGTGAAACACCGTAGCGAGAGATTTCCAACGCGCTTTGCTTACCAAACGGGTAGGTGACAAAATTGTAAAAGAACCATGCCAAACTCGTCCCAAGCATGGGCCGCCAGTAGCGCTTGATGATAAGCCAATATGGTATTTTATGCTTCATGGCATGCTTCCGGTACTGCGTACTGTCGATTATGCGAATGCGAAAGAAGAAGAGCGATACTGGGATGACAAACCTAAGACCGAAGCAGATTCGCCATACGCCGGGTGACGTTCTCTCGTTGTAGGCTGCCAGGACGATCAAAGCAACAATGCCGGCAATCACGAAGCCAAGATCGATTGAAAAGTCCGTGGAGATAGCGACGAGTATACCACGTCTGCGGCGTACATACTGACTTTCGTCAGCTGCCTCTGCGCTGCCGGTGCCACACGTAGGATACTCTCCGCCGGCGCCAAAGCCTGCAACTCCCCTCCCAACGATCATCATCCAGAACATGCCAAGCTGACTGGTGCCGTGTGCGGCAGTCGCAATCACGATGCCGAGGACTAGGAACAGTGTGGCGAAGATGATGCCTGTCCGACGTCCGAGCTTGTCGATGGTGTATCCGAAGAACAGCATGCCGAAGATTTCGCCGATGAGGTACGAATTTGACAGTCGGGTTTTGATGGTGCTCGAAAAAGCGCCTTTGTAGAGTACCGGAAACAGCGCATTCATATACCCTATGATCTGTGCATTGTAGCCATCGCCTGGAGGTATCAATCATACCCGTCAGTGTCGTCAGACAGAGGAGAAGGATTCAGAGTGAGACTTCACGTACTGAACAGGGCAAGGCCAGATACCAACACTGTCAAAACAGAAGACACTCTGGTAACCCGTTGCAGCTCGCCCTCTTGGACGCTATCGAAACCATCTGGAACAGGCCTGTCCTCCGAAGGATTTGTCTTGTCCACAATAGCATGGTCTGGCGTGAACTTATTCGGGACCGCCATGATGAAGGTCGCAGCTTTCGTTCTGTACAAATGGAAATGTGTACTCTCTATCAACGGTCTTTGGCAGTCATATCGTATCAACACAGCTAGATAAATAGAAATCTCCGATACCCACCTTCTTCCCCTTTGACGGTCATGTCAGACATATGAGTAGAATGTCAACCATTCGAGCGTCAACGTGGGCTGATGCAGCAACGTCATCTAGCCCATAGGGAAGTTGGTGTCCCAGAGTGCAGCTTTCCCTACATTTGAGGAGAAGTCGGTGCGAAAACCCGGCGTGGTGATCTGCAACGTGGTAGGTGAGCTTGAAGGCAGGGTAGCACCGTCACAGGCACACGTGGCCAAGCTTCAACAGCTGATTCAGTAGCTTCCAACGACACGAGCTGCTCGGTCGACAGCCATTCGTTACGGCCTGCTCGGTATGGGTGTTGCACAATCTTTCGTGAGAAGCTTGAGAAGGTTCTTTTCTTCCCTGATGCTTGTGATCGGCAAGTCAATCCCGGCCTTCGTTCCGGTAACGACCAAATAACGAATGCGCGTTCAGTATCGACATCGCAACATTGTATGCTGAAAGAGCAGTAGCAGCGTGGTGCGGAGTCCGTTCGACTCGTCCGACACCTCTGCGACGTGAGGTAACATTACCTGTGAATGCTCGACCACGCGCTGCCGTAACACAGCGAGTGTGAGAGACCATGCCTTTCATCCTCGACAAGGAACAGAAGAGCTCACTCGACCGTAATGGTTACTCGATCATTAGAGATCTGCTGACAGCCTCCGAAACGGAAGAGCTACAACGATGGGCGCAAGAGGTGCGCTGAAGTCACCCAATCGCATACAACCGAAATTGTTGCGGAATGCTAACCTCACGCCTTCCACTGCAGGTACATGATTGGAAGACTGACGAGTCTTCCCCTTAGATGCCGTACGAAGAAATCAATTCAGATGGCAAACGAGTGCTCTGTAGAACTGAGAACTATGCTGGCTCGCATGCCGGGCTCAATGCTCTGCTTCGTGGCGAGCATCTGTTAAGCGTCCTACGTGAGCTTGCTGGCGAGGACATGGTGCTGTTCAAGGAAAAGATCAATTACAAGCTGGCCGGCAGCGGCGGCTTCGCGGTAGGTACGTGACGGCTCGTTGCGTAACGCATGTTTAACGCCATCGTAGGCACACATTGACAGCACAGCGTATGTGCAGGTCAAGCAGATCAAGCATCTCGCCATACTGCTGGCTGTTGACCCATCTGATCTGTCGAACGGCGGCTTGGAGGTCGTGAACGGCTCGCATCGCTTGAAAGTGCCCATTGGAGCAGACAACTGCATCGAGCCATCGTGGATTGCACAACAGACGTGGACGCCAGTCGAGCTCAAAGCCGGAGAAGCGTTAATATTCGGCTCATCGCTGGCTCATCGATCGGCGGCAAACACGAGCAGCCAGGATCGAAAGGCGTTGTACGCTACTTACAACGTAGCATCAGACGGTGACCTGCACGACGAGTACTATCGACGGCGTCGAACTGAGTATCCGCCCACCCATTTACGCAAGCCAGGCGAGCGGTTCGAAGCTGGCGCGCTGAGGTATGGATACGGATCGCCGATGCTGTCTGTAGACTTGGGCCACCAATTAGCTGTATAGTACCTGCACGCTTGGAGGAATGAAGCGGGAATAATATACGGAGATGTGAGTCGGGATGTGATCGAAGTGTTGGTCGTAGAGTACTGGACGAATTACACCGAGTTCGCCGTTTCTGCTTCGCCCAAAACGTTCAGCATATTACTGGGAGATGATTACACACTGGCGCCCTCAGGTTTTGCACCGCCCTTGTTTGTCTTCCAGCCCTGGTAATCGTTGTCAAGCGAACCGTACAGGCTTTCGCAATACTCCACCATGCCGCCTGCCCAGTTGAGCGGCTCGACTCTCTTGCCTGCGATGATGTTAACGACCAGTACATTCCTGACATATATCGCGCCCGTCCGACGTACCTGGGATGTTGGCGCCAGAGTACCACGACTTCGCGAGCGGGAAGAGCGTCTTGTCCCACTTCTCGTTCATGCGGTTGCACCAGTCCTTCTCCGCCTCCTCTGTGGCCTCGAAACGCGTAATATTGTCGGCCCGGAGTCGCTTGATCGCCTCCTCAACGAACTCAGCCTGGAATTGTGTGCACGATGGGCCATTTGAGAAGGCTGTGGGTGCTTGTGGACCGTACAAGAAGAACATGTTGCTGGACCACCATTAGCTAACAAGGACTCGAACAGGCTGCATTGTTTTGAGCTTACGGGAAATTCGGGATAGCAATGCCCATTGACGTCTTCAGACCATTGGCCCAGTGATCCTTGATCGTTCCGCCATCGGTGCCTCGGATGTTGAGCTGGGCAAGCGATCCAGTGACGCTGTCGAAGCCGGTTGCAAGAATCAAAACGTCAACTTCAACCAGGCCCAGCTTCGTCTCTAGCCCCTTGGCGTTGACTCCAGTGATCGGGTTCTCGTTGACGTCGATGATCGTGACGCTGTCCTGGTCCATGACCTCGTAGAAGCGCTGCTCAAGCGAGGGCCGCTTCGTGCCCCAAGGATGCGGTGGCTTCTCGGGAGCGAGCAGTTTCTGCTTCTCCGGGTTCTTGATCCGCTTGAGCACCGTCTTGCGCCAGAAGTTGTACGCCTCGTCATTGGCTTTCTGATCGAAGAGCATGTCATCGTATGTGTTTAGCCAGTACCTGAAGCCACCCTCCTCGACCAGCAGCTTATGGTAGAACTTCTCGCGCTCTTCGGGGCTGTCATCGAAGGTCTTCTTTTCAACAAACTGTATTGAAGGTTAGCTAAGCTTCAGCAAGACCTTTGAAGGAACGTACGTCGTAAGTAAAACCGGAGAAGGTCTTGCGGGTATCGTTCATGGCCTTCTCATAATCGCCGTTGGCTTTCTTCTTCTCCTCCTCCTCGGGATCCAGCTTGCGCTGGTTCATTGGCAAGCAGAAGTTTGGCGTCCGCTGGTACAGGGTAAGACTCTTCACGACCGGGCCGATCTCCTGGGCCACCTGAATGCCAGACGCGCCGGTGCCGATCTGTGCAACGCGCTTGCCCTTGAGGTTGACACCGTGCTGTGGCCACACAGCGGTGTGGTAAGTCTCACCTTGAAACTCGCTGAGACCGGGCACGGGCGGCGTATACCGACGAGAGGCGAAGCCTATGCAGGGAATGAACCATCGGCAGGTAATCTCGCTGCCGTCAGAGCAGTCGACCGTCCACTGGTGCTTCTTCTCGTCGAAGGTAGCGCCGTCGACGTGCTTGTTGTATTCGACATGGTCATCCACATTCCACTTCTTCTCGACGTGCTTGAAGTATCGTCGTAGCTCAGGCCATCCAGCATAGCCTTCAACGAGCCTAAGTTAGCATTGTCCGCTATAGTAGGGTCAGGGAGGTCAGACATACGCTCCTTGAAGGTGAAATCCTCCCATAGCTCCTTGTCGAAGAGCTGGTAGATCGGAGTATCTGAGTCTACTCTTGCGCCAGGATAGCAATTCCTAGAGAGCTTCAGGTGATACGCCCCCTCATGAACCTCGCCCGAGCTGCTTACCAGTACCAGATACCTCCCGCGGCCGAGCCTTTCTCGTAGATGGTGACCGAAAGACCGAGCTTTCGCAGCCTGTTAAGTAGGGTGAAGGAGGCAAAGCCAGCTCCCACAAGCAGAACGTCTACGTGGGGGATTTCCAGCTCTCCCATAGAACCCATCCTGCCTCTGTACTTGCTCGCGCGAAATGGGAGATCAAAGAAATGAGATTGCGGATTGGAACGCTTTCGCTTCGACAGATTGAACGGAATAAGATCTGTATGAACGAATAGCAGCGACCTACCACGCGACCGGGTCTGTCGCCGGACTGTTATACTGCTGCTCACGTCGGTGGGTCCGTCTCGTCCATCACGCGTCTGCAGAGGAGGGGTTAAACACGGCCGAATGGACCATACGAGACCACTCGAGGCCAACCTCGAGGCGTGTCCCCCAAGCAACGTACATCTTATCCCCGTGGGGCAATCCGTCTACACTTCAAGCAGTTCCCGGGTGGCTCTCGGTGATCGCGTTCATTGGTGAAGCGCCCTCTGGAGTCACTGCGCACGTGATGACGTGCGGGGAATAAGCAGCGTTCCATATGTGATCATAACGGGGAAATGGAGCCCTCGGAACTGTGGCTGGTCCCAAAGCTGCCTTCCGGACGTTCCACATAAGCCTCCATGTCTGGTCAATAGGCCTCCAACAATTGTCGGAAGTCCGATGCAGGCTGCACCTGGCATCGTGGTTGAGAGGCGTGATTTGCAAAAGGTGTAGTCCGGTGTTCCCTGAGGCGGCTTAATCCCGTATCACGTGAGCCCCACCGTACCCATGAAGGTTCGAGGGATGGACATCGACATCGACTCCCCTTGCGAAAGCTTTTGACATTCCAAGATTTTGGTTCCCAAGCAAATACAGGTCGATTTGTAGTTAAACATGGCTTTACTCCGCTAGTGGACAGCTGCTTTGGCAATATGAGAGACGGTTTGTTGCAGACAGATAGCCGTGATAACGATGGCGCTTGCTCGTGCCGTCGCTCTTCGCTCCGACTGGCAGATCCTTGACCTGTAGAGATTGACCGTGAGTTAGGTTAATTAGAAATTCGAGTCGCATTGCGAACGTAGTAGTGAATATACAGTTACGCATGGAAACGGGAGAGCCCATTGAGAGAACAGCATCGTCATATCAGCCCACCTCCAGCTCGCCACAGAAAGCTCGCTCGCTCCGGGAACCCAGCTCACGCCATGGAGACTGCATCACCCCACGAAACAGCTGCCTCGCTCGTCGAGATGCTCAACACCAAGGGACAAGGCGACTATATCGGCGAACCTATCAGTCAGCTTGCACACAGTTTGCAAGCTGCGCACTTGGCCCGGACAAATTCGGATGACGAGGAGTTAATCATCGCTGCACTGCTTCACGACATCGGCCAGTTCTTGCCAGCCGACGAAATCAAGAGACTCGCGCACAATGTCTGCGAGATGGACGCACAAGGTGGCAGCGTAGGCAGGGTCGGGCACGAGCGTATTGGTGATGCATACCTCGTGCGCCTGGGCTTCAGCCGTCGAGTGGGAGCCTTGGTTGCTTCTCATGTTCCGGCGAAGCGGTATCTCTGCGCGGTCGATCCTGCGTACCATGCCACATTGTCCGAAGCAAGTCAGGCTTCATTGCGTTATCAGGGTGGCCCGATGTCAGGCACTGAGCTGCAGGAGTGGGCTGGCAACCCATGGTGTACTGATATGTGTCGGATGAGGAAGTGGGATGATGCTGCGAAGGTGGTTGGCCTAGACGTGCCTCCAGCCGAGGCATATCTTGGCATGATAGAGCGTCATCTGGCCAGGGAGAATGTAGAGCAGTAATTAGACAGTCCCAATTGCATAGCCTACTCCGAGGTTCTGATACGCCATAATACCCACAGCAGCCTGTGCGATGCGGACGCGATTCGGCGATACCGAGTTCTTAGCCATCGCATATGACATATGGTCCAATTCTCGGTCCTTGTTGTATAGTGGCGCAATGTTCTATGGTACCTGTAGTTCTCTACTATGGGTGGGATGCAAGTTCAAATCCAGCAGAAGATTCAAGAGCAGGCACCCTTCGCATTACCACTCTACACGAACAAGCTCGCCATTGAGGCTTCCCAGTAACGAACGCAGTGCAAACAAAACTACCTCAACCACAGCCTGCTGGCAGACTTCGCTGGCTTTGAAAATGCGCAAGGAAAGATTAGCTACAACTGCGTCGATTCCGAGACGAGGCTCTGCAACTCTGTCCTCTCCATGACTGCGGGACAGGTCCTCTTGTTGCGATGCAGCTTCGCGATGACATTCTCCATGCGCTTAGAGCAGGTGATCCATCCGCAGCAGCCATGGCAGTGTTGTTTCAAGACTTCACCCGTCACTATGTAGCTCAGAGCTTGGAGATCCCTGAAAGTGATCCCGCCGGAAGCGAACTGCGTGATGAATTACTTCCGGTGATCCTTCTACACATCCATCGCATTCTTTGGTAGCGGAACAATGACGCTGAAAATGCGCTTGAGATATCTGTCCACGTCACGGCGCACTTGCTCGAAATCGTTGCGAGTAATTCTCAACCATCTGGCCGCCAGATGTGACGTCGCTGCGTAATCTGTAATTGTGGGCGTGAAGTCTGGCATTTTGTCCAGGACAAGCTGCAACTCAACGCCGCGCTCGAGAACAATCATGTCAGAAGACGGACGGCGTTGCTGATGTGGTTGCGAGTACGCAAGGAGATGCGGGTGCCGGTTAGGCGGCTCGGAGATGGACCAGCACGACTGCACTCAGCCAGCTCTGCGAGTCTGCGTATGTAGACAGCAGGTTTCGCAAGTGTTAGTTCTGAGTGTGACGCTTCGGTTGAGTCGCCGGCACAATACCGTAAGCACAGGTGTAGCTGAACGCCCATGGTCCGATGGTGGATGACCCGCAGTCGTCTCATTCACATCACGATAGCTGCCAGATGTTTTGCCGAGCACCCGACCAACATGTTTTCATGCGTGGGGAGCATGTCAATGGCGCTTACGCACGACCTCCTCTGTGGGCGGGAAGACGCCTGATGTAAGTAGGCTGGCTGGCTGCACACTGTCCGGAATGGGCAGGATCTGAGTAGCTTTGTTCAGCAACTGAATCGTCATAAGACTTGTACAAGCGAAGGGTTTAGTTGCAGCTTATGCAGGCCCAAGGCTTCACGCAGTCGGTTGTATGTTGTGATGGGCCGTGGTTGCCTTCGATACGTGATGCGACAAACCTGGTGTAATCGTCCTCCCTATTGTCGCCACGTGAGAAGGCGCAGAGTGTCACACATGACCGGGTAGGCTTCAAATGCTTCAAGACAAAGAAGTTGCTGAGCCCAAGGCTATGGGATATGGTCGTACTTCTTGTCTGGGTTCCCTTGCGCCTCCACATCATCCCCAGCATCCTCCATAGCTTTTACCGGATCTCGTCCGGACCATGCAACTTTAGTGAAGCGCACGCACTCATCGAGTACCTCCAGCCTCGTCTTCCGCTCTTCTTTTGACAGCGCGATCTCAGGGATGGTGGTCCAACCGTGCTTGCGGTCCTCGTACCGCATCGTCTTCATATCTCTACCTCTCCCCTCGGCCTCCACCTTAGCCGTCCATTTCTCAGACTGGTCCCATAGTGTATCGAGACCGGAGAGAATCAGCAAGATCTTTGCTTGCGGGTGGAGATATTGCCGGGTGTCCACCAAGCCTGGCGAAGCTCGAGGATGGCCGGCCATCTCCCGGCTGACGTAGGTTGCGGCAAGGCTGTCGTCGATATCGAGTCTCTTCTTCTTAGGGTCTACCGGTGGTGGCATCCGATCGTTGCGAGGGCGTTCACTAGGCAGCTGTCGCAAGTCCAGGCTCGGGTACAGCAGCAAGAGTGGTACTTGGGTAGGATACTCGGCAGGTATGGGACACGGCCATTCACGCATACCTAGGCTTTCGGGTGCGGTAATGGCCATATTAAGTGCAATGTTGCCGCCACTACTTGCTCCGCTAAAGGCGATGCGACTAGTGTCAAGGTGGATCTGGGGCATTGGCGGCATCGGCACCTTGTCGTGGCGGCGTTCTTCTTTGGTTCCCAGCGTGTCGTACCACTGAGAGCGCATGAAGTCCGGTATCGCCTCTCGCAAGATCTCATAGCCGGGATGCCGCTGATCGAAAAGCGCAAGGACGACGTCTTCGGCATCCTCAATGGCGGCCGGAAACTTATGATACGGCGCCATCCGATAGTCCACACCGATGACAATGGCCTTCAACTCACGACACAGTTTCGCGCAGAATGGCGCTTGTTCAAGACACGATCCAAGATAGAATCCACCGCCATGGTAATCCATGACTATGGGGAATGAGTCCGGCGTCGGCGCAGCATGTCCGCTTTTGGGATTTGGCCATTGCACTGGTGGTATGAATATATAGAGAGCAATCGTACGGCCTCTCGTCCGGGATGGTAGATTGAGTTTGAAAGGTTGTGGACCAGAAGGGGATGTGATATACAAAGCTTCCATAGGGACTGCTCGAGGTAAGCGTACCAATGCCGTCTTCCATAATGTAGACCATGACTCTTTACTCTTGAAATCGAACTGCTTCAATACATTATCCATGTCTGTCCACAACGACATTCGTACTTTCGAAACAGACTCGAACGCGAGATCTTTGTTATCGAGCAGAGATCCGGCTCCGCGGGATGTGGATGTGAGGTCAGACATCCGCTTCCTTCCGAAGCTATTACTATATGAACTTCAGGTGCACGTACAATATGTTGGGATGGATGCTTCCAGATATAAGGATATCTCGAATATCAGTATCTTTTCTATTCCATGTTCGCGTTGCTTCATCGCAATCTGGAGTCAACAAATCCGCTATGGATGACCTGTCACTGGCACCGATGGCTTAGCTATTCTATCCGTTGTGGCAGGCCGATATCTAGCAGATCATAATCGAGGATGCGCGTTCTCTGCACATGCTCGTGTCTTTGCCTACCTCCGAGATCACAACAAAGCCATAGTCTCGGTTGTGACGCTTCGGACTAGCCTTAGCTTCGACGCTATATCGCCCTTCATCAAGCTCGGCCCCCGCCTTCACTTTGCTGTATCGAGCGGATGGTAACCTTGTGGCGTTGCTTACCAAGTAGCCCGGCCAGATGGTGAGGTTGAGACATGGCTGCTCCCCACCTCTTGGTGGGCTTCATCGTGTTTCCGCTGGTGCGCATAATGACCACCCGGCAGGAGAGTCTACTCGCTCCCGAGTGTACAAGCTTTGGTAGCCAAGTCCGTCCCCGTAGACATAGAATGTCATGGCGCAAGGCGACCTGTTGTTGTTGTTATTGTTGTTGTTGTTGAGCAGCATCGTACTCCAAGTACCGAGACTAGCGCTGGGTTAAGTCAGTTTCTGATGGTCAATGGTGCCAATGCGTAGTTACGGCCAGGACAACATCGAACAGATTACAAGTCATGGCATCTACTGAAGTCGTACGCGTGTGACTGGCGAAGTATAAGGTCCCGTCCGCCTGTTCCTCTCGCCCTGAAGACTTGAGAAGCATTGAATCTGCGGTTCCTGCGTCTGCGCTACACTGACAACGCTTAATTGTTGCTTTCAGGGGTGCTGTCGATGCCGTGGAAGACTGTTGTACGCAGCCATCCGTCGTTGGAATCTGAGATTTGCCTGAGGACCATCAGGCTGCGCTTGCAGGTGGTGAAGCTTCAGGCTGGGACATGCCTTGTACTTGACGATTTGCCGTCGTGCCCTCACACAAGAGACACTGCAGAAGCTATCGCCTCGTCTTTTAATGCGTATCGTGGCTGTATAGAGCACGTTGTAGGTCCTTCAGCAGCTCGAGTGCCTCCACTGCTGCGGAGAGGGAAATTCTGCGGCGCACTGCATCCCTTGCTTGTCGAAGCACACCGATATGCAAATCAGCCCCCTCGCACTGCACCGCAGCGTGTGCCGGCTCAATATCGTATCACTGAAAGCACAGCTGCTGGCTTCGTGGACCCACTGCAGGAAGAGGATGCAGCCAACCCAGCCGCCACTGGAACCTGAGCCAGTCGCGCCTTGTCAATCACCAAGAATGTCCTCTTTCACTTGACGCTCGACCTACACTATAGCCGCGTATCCATACCGCGGCACCCTTGACAACGTGGAGAAGCACATCCTAACATTGTTAGCCCGCGGGCCTTCGCATGAGGATGGCCACGAAGAAGGGGAGATGTGGACCCAATATGCACTCAGCAACAACGCGTCTGCTCGGGGCCACATTGCTGGAAGGTCATATCGACCAGCTGATGGCAGTGTCGCATAAGGATACCGAAGTAACAACGCCTATAGCAGGCGGGATACCGTGACGAGTCTGGTAATCTGTTTGTCAGAGCCTGGGAAGCGGCGTCTGGCTTGAGTGAAGGACAGAAGCTGAAGCTACGGAGACAAGCAGACGAAGAGAGGACAACCATATGGAAAGAGTACAAGAGACAGCTGGGACAGCCTACCATGTACTTTGCTCAGTACGATGCAACACGCGCCGACGGCAATGCGCCGAGCGCAGACCTATTAGCAAGTGCCGACAAGCGAAGAGTTCTGCTGCGCCGCTTTGCAGACACGAGGCTGAAGCCCGAGCAGAGGACTTGCTGATCAAGCTGGGAAGTCAATCGCATCGTACAGGAGCCTTGATATGGCCCAGCAGCGAGTGCCAGCGAGCCAAGGGGTTTGAGGCTCTCTGCAGACACTGCTGTTAGGCCACTAAGTAGCGGAGGCGCTTCTCCACTTTGCAGGGTCATGAGCGCTGCAAGGGAGGTGTTACCAGGCCCAGCAGAGAGTGCCAGTGAGCAAAGAGGTCTGCAGCTCTTTGCAGACACTCCTGCTGGGTGTCGAAAAAGAGGCCTTACGGTTGCAATGCTTGGAGCCAGGATCCTTTGCTATAGCTGGGTCGCCAGTGTAACACGGAGATTGTCAGACCATAGAGGCCTGCAGCTATCGGCAAGGGCCCCTCGCAAGGCCGACACCAACGGATTCGAATTAAGCTGTGACTGAGGCCCACCAGAAACTAGTCCCTACGAGAAGTGATACTACGATAGAAGCTGGGTCTTTGGCGAACGGCGGAATATTGACGAGCCTTTCAGCGCGCATAGGAGCACTCGGAGCCTCGACAAGGCGTATAGTCTCACGGCCATCAATCGTTCGTGGAGTAGGAGATGCTCCGGTCCCCTCTTCAGTACGATACGGTGCAGTTCGCGCGATCCAAGCTCGGCGCTTTTAGCCCGCTATCTGTCAGCCCTGTAACAGATCGAGCCTCATGGGTCCTTTAGACCAGCAGAGTATGGCCCGGAAAGATTGTTCGAGCGGACTCGAAAATGGCTCCTCCATACAGCCACCGTTGCACGAGCGTCGGCCATTGCCGCAAGCAAGAGTCTGTCATTACCAATGCCTGAACCAGCAACGCCAATGTAGCAGCTTGCTCATACGGTAACTGTCTTGCAGCATGGTTTATGCCGACAAATGGTTCGAAGAAAGGTATACTGCCCGTAATATCACAGTCTTCTTCTGGCTCTTGGACATAACACTCCGATGCTACCGTACGTGCCCGTACCCGCTCATCATCGGCTTTAGAAAGCCACCCCTTGTCCTGAGCATTCTTATGTTGTTAGAGAATGCTCGAAACGGAGCTGGATGTCGTGCGGGAGTGCCCCATGGTAGACCGCTCGGAAATGCCGCCAGCGTAGTAAGGCTCGGAAAGTGATGGAACTGATGGAGCTCGATGGCTCCGATGCGAGCTGGTCATCTTACTGCCATGTCGTCGGTAGTGAGGATCGTCGCCCATGGCGATGCAAGTAATTACTGAACCAGATTGAAGGTCGCAGGCCTTGCGCAGGCCTTACCATAGAAGTGCACCATCCTCCGCGCTTGGACTCTTGAGCACTCGAGGACTGACGGCCCTCCTGTCAGTCTCCGAACACCAGAATCCAGTAGTGCCATTGTAGCATGCTGCCCACATGGCAGGATACAGGCAGAGCCATCGCGGTTACGTGGTTAGCTCCACGGCCGAACCTGCCGAACCTGCCGAACCACTGAACGCATGGAGACGGGGAAACACAGTCCGCGCTCTCGCACGTCCTCTCGAAGCCATCCAGCGGCCGACTATGCAGAAGGCTTCACTGTGGTTAGAACGAGTATCATCATCTGGCGGTCGTACCTCCTAACACGCGCAGAAACGTGAGAAAAGCCTGAGGCAGCAGTCCTGAATCCTCACCATCGACAATTGATTGATACGAAGAGGTCTACGATGATCAGACTGCACAGTACTAAGACGATGTGGTCGATATTCATACTATCGATACGTGGTCAATGATCAAATGTGGACAACACTCAGCAGACTATGGATTGCTTAAACAACGACCAATGATTACAGGGCCGGGTGGAGGCATTAGTGGGCCACAGGCGTAAGCGCTTGTGGTCAGCCACCCGAGGACGGGACGATGCGTTTGACTACACGTCGTGAGCCCCCGTCTGTCGCCCTTGCACTCTATCTACTATATGCTGCATGTGATAGTTGCGCTCTGCTGTACCCAATCTACGCTCTAATCGTCTAAATGCCATGATGCTTCGTTGGAGCTGCCTGCATGACGCTCTCAACCCGGCCAAACAAATCCATCGATACCCTGCAACACCGCGATCCTTTTCCCCCTCGTTCATTCAGCCCGATGGCGAAGAGTTGCAGTCCCTTGATCACCACCCTCGTACAGCAGAAACCTCTCCTTAGTCATGCGAAATAGGATTGCTCTCAACTCTTCTTTATCGAATTGGCGCGGTGAGCGAGCTGGAAGTAGGTTCTGGTTGGTGTACGCCAGGAGGTGGTCTGTGGAATACGATCCAGACAACATGGTCAACTGCGGCGGCCACTGCGTCCGATCAGAGAATGCTGAAACAATGCGGCTGCGAAGTTTACGCTCTCTGGGCGTCTCAAGAGGGTCTTGAATGGCAACACGCATGGAATAATCGCGAACCCTTCTGTCTTGCCTCTCAGAGACAGCTAGCTCGCTTGTTGGTACGAGGTTCCTGCGGAGTTTCTTGATCCTCAGCACTGGTTCAATAGGAGGCGGCTGGCTTGTCGAGGTCTTGGTTTGCGGCAGTGCGACACCGCGGACCGTCCGAAGCCGCTTGCCATTTGTCCTAGACTTTTGCCTCCTTGAAACACGGCCATCCTGCGCGGGTCTCTTGCGCGCTGCAAGTTGCGGGTTTTGCTGCGGTGTGGCGTCTCTGGGTTGCAGTTGCTGGTGGGATTTCAGCAGCCCTTGCACCTTTGACGACAGGCCCCGTCGGTTGGCATTCATATGCGCATAACAGCGTGTTGCGGCGATAGCTACCTCAGCTTGGTCGTAGAGTTCCGCTTCTGGAGCAGCGCCCACCGCGCTGTCCTCATCGCCATATGCTGCGGTGGAATGTGGTGGCGTGGTTCGCGTGCGCGGTGGTGATCGCTGCGCTGGCAATCGATGGCCCAGCTGTTGAGACGCCAAGTAAGCATGGTGAGGACCAAATAGCACTGGCGGACGAGGAAGATGGTGCTGCGCGCTGGGAGACTGTTCTGGTAACGCCTGTGGTGGCCGGAAGATGGCACCGCAGGTTGCGCAGCTGCACTGGAGATTTTGCGGATGTCCATGGACGGTATGCAGTTGTCTCAACACACTTTCTTGGTCGTAGAGGCCTTCTTTGCACTCGTAGCACAATAACGCGTGCGTGAGTGGCAGGTTCGGTCTGGGCATGTTGTTGAGCGGTGCATACCCCTCTACCAAGCGCTGATTCGGCAAGGCCGAATAAGCTGGGCTGTCCATCGTTGGCTCTGCTGCTAAGATAATGTGCGGTAATGGGATGCTTTACACCTCATGGGCCCACATCCTGGTGAAAGCTGTTTCGGTGGCTTGAGAACAGCGGAATGTGCCGTATGCGAAGAGCTCTCTGTGAATCTTACAGGAAGAGTACCGAGTGGTTAAGAACAACAGCACAGCGAGAGTATGGGAGCAGGCAAGGCGCCAATTCTCGCAAGGAAGTAGGAGCTCGAACAGTTGATGTGTCGGCCATGTTCCTATACGCATGGCCATTGCTGCACGTAATAAGCGTCACGCATCAATTCTACGCTTCTTACACAGCAACCTCGCCGGACGCCATGTCAGAACGTTCAAAGACACTGAAGGTCGCGCATACGCCACTCGATAATCATCGTCGTGGCGATGTATTACGCATACACTGATGTGTTCTTCTCCGCTAAAAGTGCCGCCGGGAGAATGCTGCCTCGAGGTATGGGGACGGTCTGTCTCTACTGCTTCCTCGCTATCGCATCGCTGCCGCCACTTCTATCTCGCCGTGGGTCGATGATGCCCAGCTTCTCCGCCACTTCATCGTATGCTTACTCCAGGCGATCCAGCCCCCCGAATGCGAGACCGCCGTCAAGGTAGCAGGTGTCGCACCGTTGGAGGAAAGCGTACATGGCGAATGGCTTGGTCTCGGTGTTGAGCTTGTCTCGTCCCGTTATTGCCCCTGTATCCGATGACCTGGGCGTGCAACTTGCCGCAGCACTGGCGGGACGGTGAGAGTTGATCCGCGACAATCTCGTGCCACTCTGCCATGTCGTTTGCCACTGCCGCTGATTGTCTTTGTCGCTTTGTAGGCTTGTGTCTCGTGGCTTTGCGGCGAACATGAGCTGAATGAGCGCGTTGCGATGTAGCGCAAGACGGTACGACAGTCCGAAGGTTGTTCTCAGGTCCGCGCAGGGTCGAGAGTGCGGGTTTCGCTCATGACTGCGGCGCTCGTGCGCTTCCCCGCCAAGACTTGGTATAGTTTTACAGCTTCATGTTGCGCTGTTAGGCCTTACCACCCATATCTCGACAACGGCATGACAGAAACCCGTCAAAGTAGCAGAGCTTCGTATGGTCGACTACTTCTGGAATCTCCACACCTAACATCAATGGTATGTGGCTTGCACCAGGAGATGTCGAAAGCGAGGGCAAGCTGGTCGGGCTAACCACGGAGGAAAAAGCATACTATATATGCTTGCTGCGATGCAGTCCTTAACAATCACAAATTGGGTCCCGGAATGACCTTAAACTTGTCCAGTAGATTAGATGGTTTAGTTAGTTAGATAGTTGCGCTTGCTTGCCTGCCTGCCTGCCTGCCTGCCTGGACCCCCTGCACAAAACCCCCTTCATTGAACGAAAGTCGCTAACATCGAACAGAGACAAATCAGATCGGAAAGGTTGACAGTTTACCTCCTGGGGCCCCTTCCTGTATCACAGCGCAGGTTGGGTGACTAGGTTTTTGCTTTTCCACACAGCCTTATAAAGTGACTGCGGCGACGGCAATCTGTCTGCCTGCTGCTAGTGCTCTTTTTGGCACGCAAGAGTGTTTGCTTAACAATCCGGTAACGCTGTACAAGGACACTTAAACTATGAGCCGCAGGAAGCTTCAGTGCAACTCGCTAACACATACCTCCGTGGTCCATGTGATCTTGAGCATTTCTGGCCGACCTTTGTGTCAAACAACTTTTCGACGACGCTCGGGAAACGTCTCTGTGTTGGTTGCACGTCCGTTGGGACAGTCTCTGCTACCGCTTCTGCAAAGACAAAGGCCAGCGCACCGTCTCTTCCCTCGTCGCGCACGACGCTCGTTGCACTTCTCCCAAACTCTATACCTACGAACCTTTCGAAGCCTTCATGACGTTCTCAAGAGTCTTCTGACACGCTGGGCTGGAATGCCAATTCCATGCCAAGCACATGACAATATAACATCTACTGTCGTACAGACGGAAAGCGAACCATCATACAGTATATGCCCTTCAAGAGCTCAGACAAAACAATTGACGGCGGTTGCTCAATATGGGGCGCTTCTAGGTCACTTTTGAGGTAAGATCTGGACAAACAGGCCCTTACAAGAATAGAAGCACAGTAACACTTCAGGGAGCAATAGCTCTTACGTCTCACGCAGTGGCTGGCAGCCTTGGGACATAGGTTCAATTACAGATCCAGCCTGATCCCAGGTTTCGGCAATACAGCACTCCATACAGGAGGGAAACCATGCCAAGGTTTCAAAGTACAGCCGCCTCAACGCGCGCCGTCTGAGATCTCTACCGCCGGGCCGCTGTAACCAGTCGGATAGAACTCTATGTCAGTGGAACACTTGCGGAGCGTCACTTTCACAGGTACATTTGCGGTATGAGTCAGTCGTACACTGCCACCCTTCCCACATCCATCGGGTTGTCATAACTTTTTAAGCAGCCTGCCGTGTGCTTATGCCAGCTTAAGGAGGCTGTGTCAGTAGTTAGTACAGCGTCGATCAGCAGAAGTATCATGAGTCCATACAAGAAGTGACTTCAGCTCAACCATTTGGTGGTAAGCGCGCGCACCACGAAAGGAATGGTAAGCACCCAAGCTTCCGAACTCAACACCTGGCCGGTGGCTCCTGCCATTGACATCAGGACTATCTATTTCACATTCACGGCATGTTGTTCACCTGGGGCGAAGCTGTAGCTACGCTACTCGTTCTCATTTCGCCGTGTGCCGCCCTCAGCCTGCAGAAACGGCAGGACATTTCGACTTCTGTCTGCACGGTATACGGTGTCGACTTCCAAGACGGTGGCAGCTATTTCATTGACTCCGGCTTGAGCGTCAACTTCACGCTTGCTACGCAGTTTGTTGAGTGTAAGATCAGTATCCGCTTGCTTGGAATATGCCAGCACTGACTGCAGGACTGAGGTGACAATGACACCGCGTACGTATTGCTTGTCAATGAAAGCACCGGCGATGAGTACGAATGCTCAAGACTGCCGACCAACCCCCAGCATGTCTCGCAAATCTCGACGTGTCCTATTTCGAAAAGCCGGATCACTTCTGGCAACTGGTCCATCTTGACACTAGGAGATAACGGCTACGGCGCACCTTTTGCATACGAGCGCGACTTCTACCTCACTGCATACCTACCGCAAATTACTACGGTTACAGACGTTGTGACATTCACTCGAACCGATCAGTCAACCGCAACGGTCACCGGTAAGACAAAGCCACATTCTTCCGATCCTGCAAACAGCGCTGACTCTGTACAGCCACATCTGCTGTGACACACACATCGTCCGTTGCAAACAGCCTTACCCTTACTGTCACCTACCCAGGCGTACAGACCTCTTACCCGCTACAGCCTACGATCCTGCAAACGAGGCTAGTCACCCGAACCTTCACGCGCTGGACAGCAACAATGTCAACTACCACATCCTTGGTCACCGCATCCTGCATCATCCCGCCCAAGCCTAGCATCCGTGATAGACTCTGCAGCATCCTGCCAACTCTACTACCTTTGCCGCAAGGTGTGCAGACGCAGCAAGCTATCGGCGCTGGGAAAGTTTCGGAAGGACAACGCAGTATCCGCAGACGTGCCCCAGATGCGTCAACCATAACACTCACTGCTAGTGTCCCTACTCAGACAACGTCAACGGTGACCATAAGTCCGAAGACGGAGACAGATGTAGTCTACTCAACGTGCTATGTCCGCACCTCCCTTCCCCCTGCGACTGTCTACCACGCAACATCAACGGTATGCATGTTACTCCGAATGCTAATTGAAACAACGAATTCCGTGCTGACAGTCACACAGGCTACTGCATCGGCTTCAACGTGGACAGACCACGAATTCCATTTTACTCGGACATATATGACAAACACGATGTTGGCTACCTGGACATCTTATTCGACCACCACGCCTCCGGTATGCGAGATTGCTTGTCACAACGCTGGCGGCTACTTTGGCGCTGGATGGGTGACTACACGGCAGTGGTGATACTTTATGGCGCGACGGTTGCGTGGCCGACCGGGGACTCTTATATGACATGGACTTGCGAGGCACCCGCTGATTGGTAGGAATCGTGCAGTGTGTCCGTAAATATAGCTACTACGATGCTCCAGACAAGCGTTCGAGATCGACCAGTTCAGTCAGATGATGTGGAACGCTCTTGTCTTATGCCCATGATCCTTTTGACGCTTGAAGCCTTCACCAGCCATCATTCCGTGCACGTAGGACTCGCCAATAAAGACATAACGGTCAGAACTCTCCAGAGACGTTGGAAGTGAGGAGACGTCTTGCGGTCGTTCGTCCGGGTCTTCATGCAAAGCCTGGCGCACACTTGCCTTTATGTACGGTGAACCAGGGATAGCAGGTTTGGTAAAGGAGCCCTCGTTGATTCCCTGTTCCGTAGAGTCAACGTCGGATGGTGGGGCATTAGAGGAGGCCTGAGAAAGCGAAATCTGAGGCGTAGCAGGACCTGCACCTCCTGCGTACGTTTTCGACGACGCTGTGCTCTCAGGTTTCATATTCGATCTTGAGCGAGACGTTGCGGCATCTGCTTTACGCTTCTTACATCTCCTCAAGACCACAGGTACACTGCAACCGTACAATATGCAGATCAGATCACCCACTTTCGCAGTATCGGGCACCAAGGCAAGCAGTTTCTTGGAACCTCGCCTACCTTCAGTGGACGCAAGAGAGCGGTCCCAGACTACTGACTGCACGCGGTATAGATACTCGGCAGCAATAGAAGGACACTTAGGAAACGTCAAAAGTTCGGTGGTGTTGATTTTACCCCTCCTGCTGCGCTGTTCGAGCATCCAATTGCAAGCGAGCGGAAAGTACGGTGGCGGATATTGCTTGCCACCAGGCGCTCGGTCAGCGACAAGCGTTCTCCACAATTGCTCTGGCACTGGATCAGCTCTTTCGTAGCCCAGCAATTCGAGCCATTCAGGTGGGATTATGCCGTCCACAGCAGTGCTGCGCTTGACCCGTATTGCGTCGAGCACAAAGCCCGTGACGATCAAGGTCCGATCTCGGATGAAACCCATGGGAGGATAGAGCTTGGTCTTGCCACTTGCGCTGTAGTTCTTCGCGCCGAGACCAGGTGTACCGACCAGTGAATCTGCGCGTACCCTAGCATAAGAATTTGAACCCTTCCTCTTTTCAAAGGGCGCATTTGACAGCTGAGGTATCCAGGAGGGCAGTGGTGGTGATCCGCTAAGAGGCTCAGGAGCCCACGGGTGGCATATCAGATCTAAGGATCTTGAGCGCGACATGGCGAACACGAGGAACTGAGAGAAGACATCGTATACGTCGGCGCTATAGTCGACAGTGATGGGATGGGGCTGCACTTGGAAATGCATCAGCTTGTTTAGACTTGACTCTGCCAAAACCTTGCTCAAATCGGAAGCGGATCGTTTAGGCTTCTGTGCCGATGAAGCTCGGTGCGGTGGCCTGAGGAAGTTCTCTTGCACACCAGCAGCCGTTGGCTGCTGAGATTCGTTGTAGTCATTCTGTGTTGGTTCTGGTGACAAGGGTCCCGGTGATCGCGCAATCCCTCTGTAAGTGTACTGCGAGTAAGCATCGGGGTACTGCGATGGCTCAGGATCGATCTCTGGAGATGAAGTCGGCGTGGTCACCACTGGGTGCATGGACATGGCTGCTGACTCTCTTGAACCGGGCTCGGCGTCATGCGAAAGCCACAGCACAGCGTATATGGTGTCATGTGGCGACCCGGCTTCGAACGACGGGAGCGTAGAGATCAGAGCCTCGAGTGACAGTAATCTTTCCAACACCGCACCGTCCTCCGATTTGCGGAAAAGGTTAGTGGTAATGTTCACCAACGATTTAGCGCCCGACGCCTCGACTTCTCCCAGGAAGTTTGGATGGTTGTGAAAGTCTTTTGAGCTTTGGAACAAGTGGCGCAGGTCTCGATGCCTTGCCACAAACAGCGCAGTAGCTGTGGAGAACTCGGGCCAAGAGACAGCATTCGGGCCACAATACAACATGGCCTTTCTGGCAAGAGCTATCTCTTGAACGATCCATCTTCGACTGAACCACGGGCGGTGCATGAGGTTGTGGAGTGCTGCCCAGTCGGCCGGTGTACCCGTATCCTGTGTCAAGAAGTCGAACTCTTCGAGTCGTTGCAGCTTTCGTACGAATTCAATGGCACGACTGCTGTTATCTTCTTCACGGCCAAGCCACACACAAACACTTTCTGCACGGTTGTAAATCATGGCCATCTTCTGGATCTGCTGGTTCTTCTCCGGAATGTCTGCCTGGTTGATCGAGATGGCATCGGCCCACACCAGACACGATTCGTCAGCGTGAAGTTCCTGGCGTAACCGTATGAGGGCGTCGTATAGGTTATGTTTGATGCCAAGCTCGGAGAGGCTGCCGTTGCGCTGCAGGACGCGGACATGGTATCGGTGGCTAAGATCTGATCCCCATGTGTAGCTCAACGCACGGTACGGCGGTGCATTGGGAACAGTCACACCTCCTTCACGTGACACAAACAATTCCGAGCCTACATCAGCATCGTCGTCGTTATCGGAGAGACGATAGGTGTGGAGCGTGCCGTGAAGCTCAGTCTCTGCACCGCCGGCTTGAAGCTGCAGCAGACGGATCTCGTCCGCTTCGAGTGCTTCATATTGGTATGGTTTCATCAACCACCAGATCAACACAACTGTATTGCACCTACGGAGAACACATTGTCGAACGTGATGATAAATGGAACACAAGACTGATGTGGGCGCAATCAAAAGGTTTGATTGGCTTGGCAAGGGGCCTCTAATTGAACCCAATTTTTCTACCTACCTTATATGCAGTCAAATACCGCCACTTTGAAAACATACAAAAAATCGCGCTGTTGGAAAATTCGTGATTGCTAAGAGCTAGTTGTTGTATGAGGTTGAGCACGTTCATTTTGCCGCCCCTCCAGCCATTGTACGCCTTTCAATATAGCCCTGCTCGTCAAAGTACCTCGACTCATACAGTCTCCCTGAGCGTGAACTGGTTTCTTGTATCCCCGGACAATCTTCTGTCACTACATGCAATTTGTAACGCCCCCGCTATGCGTTGAAGGACTTTTCTAATGATACATACTGATCCCTCCACGCTTCAAGGTGCCATAACCAGCGCAAGGAGCGCCATTCTCACAAACATGCCGTATCGCATCTGTTATCAATGTTAGCTCGACCATGGAGACTGGCGGAAAGGGAGTGTCAGCTTACTTGTCTGAAGTACGCCGCCCTTGGGTCGTCGTCAACGTCCTTTGACAGCTCCATGTTCCTCGGCAGCGGATGCATTACAATCATCTTCTTCTTCGCGTCCCGCAGCGTCCTCGCATTGACGATCAGCTCATCCTTGACCATCTCGTACAAGTCCTGGTCTTCGAAGCGCTCCTTCTGCACCCGAGTGCAGTAGAGCACGTCAGACTTGGCCACCATCTCTGGCGTCAAGCGATCGGACTCGATGGACAGCTGTCCGCGCGCTTGCAAACTTGCTCTGACTTTGCTCGGAAGAGCGAGCGAGGCGGGGGCAGCCAGTTGAATGGTGACGTTGTAGTGCTTGAGAATCTCGCACAAAGAGTGTACTGTTCGGCCGTACTTCAGATCTCCAGTGAACGTAATGGTAAGACCGTTGACCGTACCCAACTCTTCGCGGATAGTGAAGAGGTCTAGGAAGGCCTGGGTGGGATGCTCGCGAGTGCCGTTGCCAGCATTAATGATGGGGTGGTCGGCGTACTTCGTGGCAATTTCCGCGCTGTCGTTGTCCGGATGGCGTAGAACGATGGCATCGCCATACATGTCCAGGGTGCGGATAGTGTCTTCGAGGCTTTCGCCCTTGCGTGTGCTAGAGTGCGACTCGTTGATCATGACGGTTTCACCGCCGAGGCGCTTCATTGCGGTGTCGAAGGATGAGGATGTGCGCGTCGACGGCTCGAAAAACATCAAGCAGAGCACACGACCCTTCAAGATATCAAGACATCCGTCACGTTGCACTCCGAGCCTCATCTCCGCGGCAACGGTGAAGAGCAAGTGTAAGTCCTCTCGCGAGAACTGCTTGACGGACACTATGTCTTTGCCCTTGAACGGCGACATCCTGAGGAGTTCTGGTAGTGTGCGAATAGGCTCCGCCTGCGGGAGGATTGCTGGCGTAGTTGGCATTTCCGAGAACGTCATGTAGTCATTCTTGGTGATGCTCAGATCGTAGTTCCGCGAGATGGCCTCGATCAATATCTTTGCGATCTTCACGTTGGTGACGAGGGGTGTCTGGTAGTCAACTGCCATTCTTCGGGTTCGATAACCCTTACTGACATAGCTCGCCGGCCGCCTGAACTGATTGTTGGAGGGCAGATTGATGTAAAGGTCGATGAGATTGTTCGCCAAGGCGTGGGTAAGCGAGTATTCCTGCCTTTGGCCCTCGTCGGACATGGCTTCGAGGAACGAGATGGGAATACCGTTGTCCTTGTAGAAGTCGAAAGTGTTTCCTGTGCCGTACAACTTAAAGCCCATCTTGTGCAGCTTCTCCACTGCAGGCAGCAGCTCTTTACGGTCCTTATTAGGCCCGATTGACAGGAGGACGTTCTTCTTCGGTAGCTTGAAGCCGGTGGATATTAAGCCCTTCAAATAAGCCTCATACTTCGTACGGCCGAAGCAAGCAACTTCGCCAGTCGAAGCCATTTCTACACCAAGCACCGGATCAGCTCCAGATAGTCGAGAGAACGAGAACTGTGGCACTTTCACACCCACGTAGTCCGGTGGAACGTCGAGTGGCGGATATTCACGCACTGGAATGCCGATCATAGCCTTCGTTGCCATCTCGATCAGATCGAGGCCCATAACTTTCGAAACAAATGGGAAGGACCTTGATGCGCGCACGTTGCACTCAATCACTTTGATCTCGTTGTCTTTCGCAATGAACTGAATGTTGTAGGGCCCCGTAACATTGAGCGCGTCACCAATCTTGCGCGTGGCCTCTTCGATCTTGCGGACCGTTTCCGGATCAAGATCCTGGGGTGGGAGGATCAGCGTGGCATCGCCAGAGTGAACACCAGCATTTTCAACATGTTCTGAAATGAAGTGGCCGATCATGGTGCCGTTGCGAGCGACTGCATCCATCTCGATCTCTTTTGCTTGCTCGATGTACTTTGTGATCACGACCGGATAGTCCTTGGAGACTTCCACCGCTCGTGCAAGGTAGGAGGCTAGGTCCGGCTCGGAGTATACCGTATTCATCGCTGCGCCAGACAGTACGTATGAGGGTCGGACAAGCACCGGATACTCGACCATGTCGCAAAACGCTTTCGCATCTTCGATGCTTGTAAGCTCTTTCCATTGCGGCTGATCTACACCAAGGCGGTCAAGCATGCGTGAAAATTTATACCTGTTCTCGGCGGTATCGATCATTTCAGGGGAAGTGCCGTAGACCCTGACGTTGGCGCGGTACAGAGCGAGGGAGATGTTGTTGGGCGTTTGACCGCCCATCGACAAGACGACGCCGCTAGACCTCTCCAGTTGGTAGATGTCGAGCACGGTCTCGAGAGTAATGTTCTCGAAGTACAGACGGTCGGCTTCGTCGTAATCAGTGGACACTGTCTGCAGAAGGAAGGGGAAGATGTTAGCGACGTCCCTGACAATAGGCAGAGGAGTACTTTTCGCTTGCGTACCTCTGGGTTGTAGTTCACCATAATCGTCTTCATTCCAGCGTCTCTCAACGTGCGAACCGCCCGAACGGAGCACCAGTCGAACTCTACCGATGAGCCGATGCGGTATACACCCGATCCAAGTACCATTACACCTTGGTCCTCGAAGTCTATGTCGTGCTCCGCGCCGTTGTAGGTTGTGTAAAGGTAGTTCGTATATGCCGGGAACTCCGCAGCCACTGTATCGATCTGCTTGACAACAGGCATAATGCCGTACTCCAGTCTTGCGCGGCGTACATGCTGTTCGTTACTTTCCCAGAACAGAGCGAGCTGGCGATCCGAAAAGCCCAGCTCCTTCGCGCGCCTGAAAGTTCTAGTCGGCATGTTGTCGACATGGTAGTTCTTCGTAAGCTCCCTTAGCTGCTTCCCGAAGTCGCTCAGGCCTTTCAGCCTGTACAGAAACCACTTGTCGATCTTGGTCATCTGCCAAATCTTCTCAACGCTGTAGCCGCTGTGCATGGCGTTGGCAAGAGCAAACATCCGCTGGTCCGACGGTGTCTGAAGCTCCTGGTCGATCGACATAAGGGCCGTAGTTTCATTGAAGCCGAGATTGCTCGGATCGACCGAGCGGATAGCTTTCTGAATAGCTTCTTCAAACGTTCTCCCGATCGCCATGACCTCGCCAACACTCTTCATTGACGATCCCAGTAATGTCGAGACTCTCGTGAACTTCTTCAGATCCCATCGCGGGATCTTGACGACCACGTAGTCCAGAGACGGCTCGAAGCAGGCGCACGTGACTTTCGTGACTGTGTTCTTAATCTCGTTGAGTGGAATGTTGAGGCCAAGCTTCGCCGCAATGAAGGCCAGTGGGTATCCCGTTGCCTTCGAAGCCAGCGCGGATGATCTCGAGAGACGTGCATTGACCTCGATAATGCAGAACTCTCTGCTGTCCGGGTTGAGAGCGTACTGTATATTGCATTCGCCTATTACGCCTAGATGCCTAATCACCTTCGTCGCCGTTGATCGCAGCATCTGGTAGTCTTCGTCGGACAGCGTTTGCGACGGAGCCACGACTACAGAGTCGCCTGTGTGTATGCCAAGTGGGTCAAAGTTCTCCATGTTACACACTGTGATGCAGTTGTCCTGTGCATCCCGGACAACTTCGTACTCGATCTCTTTCCAGCCTTTCATGCTGCGCTCGATCAGTATCTGCGGGCTGACTGCGAAGGCTTTGTTGCAAAGCTCGAGCAGCTGCTCCTTGTTCTCTGCGAAGCCGCTGCCCAAGCCACCCAATGCGTAGGCGGCTCGAATGATAACTGGGTATCCGATGTCCTCGACAGCATCAAGTGCCTCTTCAACGTTGCTAGCGGACTTTGACTTCGCACACGGTGCGCCGATGGACTCCATGCTACGCGCGAACAGCTCGCGGTCTTCAGTCGTGATGATGGTTTCGATAGGGGTTCCCAACACCTGCACCCCGAGCCCTTCGAACTCGTCCTTCAGTTGGATCCCAACTGACAGCGCTGTCTGGCCGCCGAAAGTGACATAAATTGCATCCGGTCGCTCCTGCTTGATGACCTTGCGTACGAAGTCTGCATTGACCGGCAGGAAGTACACTTTGTCTGCAAGACCCCTCGAGGTTTGAATGGTGGCAATGTTCGGGTTGATTAGGATCGTGTAGATGCCTTCTTCCTTCAAGGCCTTGATAGCTTGACTGCCGGAGTAGTCAAACTCTCCGGCCTGGCCAATGCTAAGACCACCGCTACCGAGCACAAGCACTTTCTTCGGGTGCAATCTTGGCCGCCTGGCAGCATTCTCTGCTGCATCGCCGCCAGGGAAGCTGACGGGCTGCGCCATCACCCTCGGATCGTCAATCGCGTTCATGATGGTCTTGATGAAAACGTCGAAGAGGAACTCGGTATCGCGCGGTCCAGGCGCACTTTCGGGATGGAACTGTACGCTGAAGTAAGGACGGCTGACGTGGCGGATGCCTTCGTTGCTGTTATCATTGGCATTGACGAATAGCTCTCTCCACGCTTCTGGCAGCGTGTTCGCATTGACTGCGTAGCCGTGATTTTGCGAGGTTATGTAGCATTTACCAGATAGCAAATTGGTGCATGGGATGTTATGACCGCGATTACCGAACTTCATCTTCAGAGTATCCGCACCTGTGGCGCGGGCGAGAAGTTGGTGGCCAAGACATATCCCGAAAATAGGGGTCCGTGCCTCGTCCATTGCGGCCTTGATATGATTGACAGTGTCTGCCATCATAGCGGGATCACCTGGTCCGTTGGAGATGAATAGACCGTCATATTCCTTGCCAGCCAGCTTTGGAAAGTCATAGTCCCAGGGCACAACCTCAACCTCCACGCCTCGATTGATCAGGCAGCGTAGTTGATTGTACTTCAGGCCTACGTCCACGCACACCACACGCACAGGTCTACCAGACGGATGCTTCAACGCAACGGACGCACTTGGAGAATAAATCTTGGGCTTGGACGTTGAGACTACCGAGGTATCAGATTGTGCTGGACTAGAACTACTCTTTGGCAAGACAAGCTTACCGTCCGCGACCAAATTCCGCGTATTTGGATCCCACCAATCAATCTCTTCGTAAGTGCTGACCTCCTTCGTCTTCCTCGGCGTAAAGTAGCCGTTAGGTCCATGTGCTCCGTTAACGGTTAAGCGGCCGCTCACAGCATGTAGATTCGGTGTCGGTACTGGCAAGGGCGTGCGAACCGGTGTCATCACGCCATTGGGCGTCAACGCGCCAGTAACACTGCCGTCAGGGACTTGCTCCGTGCCTGTCTGCATCAAAAGCCGACCCAGCATGCTGCCCTTCTCCCGGATCCTCTTCGTCAACGCACGCGTGTCTACACCGCATATTGCTGGAACGTTCTGCTCTTTGAGCCACGTTCCTAACGAGGAGTTGGCCAGGTAGTGTGAGTATGTCTCGCCAGCATAAGAGGCCACAATCAAGCCGGCAACATGTATCTCGGCAGCCTCGAAGTAAGCGGGCAGGTCCTTGAGTATGGGATCGTATTCGTCACGAGGCGGCACACCGTAATTGCCGACCAGTGGGAAGGTCACAACGAGTATCTGTCCACGGTAGGAGGGATCCGTGATCGACTCTGGGTAGCCAACCATGCCCGTTTGGAAGACCAACTCTCCGGCGACACTGCGGTTTGCACCGAAGCTTCGCCCTTCGCAGAAACGAATGATGTGCTCTCCATCCTTCACCTCGAGAGCCATCATGCTCTCGGCCTCCTGGTCCGCCATCTTGATTGAGCTTGCTCGTGAAGCAAGATGTCGGACAAGGAAGAAGAAAAGCTTGGTGCAGAAGTGTGCATGTCAGAATGGAAAACGCTCGAGCACGAGCACGGGCCACATTTGGAAAATCTGGAGTAAAACGCGTGTGGCGCGTCGTCGCCCACTTCCATTTACGCTTATAAGAATACTAAGCACTACTCCGCTCTCTGTCGTCACTCTGTCCGCTTGGCAATACGCGGCAGGAGTGCCCAACACCCCAACATGAAGCAGTAGAAGCCAATGCACACGGGATGTAGGACCCAGGTACCAAACGCTTGCGCTAGCAGTCCCGTGAGAAACGGTACCACAGCGCCTCCCGAGGAACCCGCCCCGGCGATAAATCCAATGGCAGTCGTTTGCAGATTACCAGGTAGGAGTCGAGTGAAGATTGTCTGAGCGCACGGATACACCGGACCCAGCAGCAAACCGACGATTGCTACGGCAACTACGTCATGTGTTAGACAGATACAAGGATTTGGGGACACGGTAGCACTCACCAGAATCACCAATCACATTCGGAACGAACCACGCAATGAGCTGAAACACGATCACACCCGCTGTCAGGCCGACGACATAAACCTTCTCGCCTATACGGTTTGCCGCATGGACCAGGATAAACCTCCCTAGAGTGATACCGGCCCAGAAGCCGGAGGTTACGTATCCCACCTTCGCGGGGTTTCCGTCGCGATAGTTTATGAGATACGAGATGAACCATCCAGACTCCGATACTTCAGCACCTTGGTAGGCGAAGATGAAGAGCGCACCGATGATGGTCGTTTTATTTCTCAGTGCCCAGCCGAGCAGCTGAAGCTTGGTAGGCTCGCCCATCTCGGCGGCGGCTTGGCGGCTTGCGAACTGCTGAAGACTATTGCTGAACTGCGTGGTACCCTCGTTCTCGTAATTCCAGAAGGACCAGCCTGCGAAGCAAAAGCACACAATGCGAACGCCAATCGTGATGAGGTAGAAGCGGCTCCATAGTACGCCACGCGAGACCAGTGCGGTCGCAATGATAGGACCTACGATCCCGCCGATACCGTATGATCCGTGGGAAGCACCAAGAATAGCTGTCGAATTTGCCAGGTTCGCGCAAAAGACGTTGTTCAACGCAAGGTTCAGTGCATAGCCAAAACCGATTAGGAAGAACGCCACCGCAACTGCTGGGAACGGTGGCGAGCATACGATCATCACGTAGCCTGCAGTCATGATTGTCTCAGAGATCATCAACGCCCTGGCACGACCCACTCGGCCATGCAGAACATCTGTGCAGAACGCTGCAAGTATGAAGCCGACAGCGTTGGCAATCCATATTGTTGACACGACGGCGTAGCCTATATGATAATAGGCCTCCATGTACGGTAGTAATGCACCTGGAGCGCTATCGTTCAGTCCATTGCCAAGGTAAACGAGACACGCCGCAAGTACGCGGAACCTGTTCATCGGCGGATATGAGAAGCTTGGAACCATGCTCGTGACTTCGTGCTGTCTTGGGGTAGGTGGAAGGCTTGCCTCTAGATCTTGGGGTGACGACGGGGTATGAGCTCCTGACTTTGCTGCGGCCGGTTTCTGCGGCTCAGCTGGACTGATTTCTGGATTATAGTGTTGTGCACTGCATTTGAAGTGGCCATAGTCAGGAAGTTCGATAGCTTCAAGCTCCTTGTCGTTTGGCGCCCGCTGCGGTGTTTTGGCAACATCTGGACTGGCCACGTTCATTCTTGACTCGACTCTAAGACCTGCAGCAAACGCGAAGGTAGCCATGTTTCTCAGCTTTAGCGATGATGCTGTGTGTCAGTGATGGTAATGAAAGTAATGAGGAGATGGACTTAAAGTAGAGTACTTATATCGACACTGTGAAGCACCTACGAGTCATCTAATGGTCAGAGAGTCGGCCACATTACCCAGTCGGTATATCTGATGAGTGTGGTAGGAGTCGGATGACGGTTTAACTGAAGCGGAGCTGCACGGATTCGGACTTGCCGCGGCGGCTTGTCTTTTCCGTCATTGTGTACGCTGTGCGGACCGCCAAAACCTGCGGTGCCGGAGGTGCGTTGTCACTCGTGCTGACATTGTACGCGCACAATGTAGCCTTCTGCAGATCGAACACCACAATAGTGTACATCACAAAAGCTTGATGTACTGGAATTCTTACAGTATGTGTAGACGCTGCGATACCGGTCATCTCCGCTGCGGAAGGTTCCGAGCAGGAGGTGGACACAACGAGTCTCCATTATGGTAGTCGTGTCTCTCTCACTTTGTCCAACAACAGTCGCGTGTTGGCAATTACAAGGACAGCTCTATGTCCCAAAGTGGTCTTCTTGGTACCTCTGCTACGGGCAGTGGTCCTATGCTGGGAGAGTAGTCTTAGGGGACGCTCTCACATCAGCCCCCACAAGCGAGAGCATATTATCACGGCTATGCCGCCACATCATCGTATTGTCACCGCAACAGCCGACCATGGAACCAACGGTATAAGTTTTTGTTCTTCCAACGTATAGAAATCAAAGCGAAATCGTTAAGCATGTACATTAGATCTCACCAACTCCGGTGGGTGATCATGCTCAATCTGCTACGCAGCCACCATCCAACGCACCGCTACCATTATGAAATTCAGTTAATCTCGATGAGGCCGGGACCTGAATAGACTATTAGCAATGATCTCTCCCTGAACGAGCTGATACTCACCGAAGACAGTGGCACCGGCAACCGCATCAACACTGGCGAATGGACCGGCATTTTTCGTCACGGCGGCGATGGTAAGACCATCCGCGACCAAGTCAAGTGCCGGATAGTAGGCCTGGAATGTCGCCTTGTTGCCAGATACGACCAGGTTCTCGATCGGCTTCACAACGGGTACATTTTGCTGGTTGATGAAGACAACGCTGTAGTTCTTGAGGTCGGTGATGGTGCTGTTGACCTCAAAGTTGATGTACTGGTTGCTCAGCGTGATGTCCTGAGAGTTCACAATGAGCTTGCCGAAGACCGGAACTGCAGCGAAGAGCGCAGCATTACCCGGACCGGGGCAGCTGCCGGGGACTACGAAGTACTGATTAAGCAGCGAGAAGAGAAACGGACCGGCGGATCGCGTCAGGAAGGGGTTGGAAGACGGGATGAGGTCAAGCAGGCTGCGGTAGAAGCCATTCTGCTCGCCTTCCTGACCGATGACGGAGCCGATGAGCGCGATGAACTTCTGGCCATCACCGTCGGCATCGAGAGCCACCTGGACGTCCTGGAGCGTGCCGAGGACGACATCGGTGAACCTACGGGCGGTATCGATGGCGGAGTCGAAGTCGAACGACGGGAAGACATATTGGCAAGGCTGGATGGGCAAATTGCCGGAGGTAGTGAGGATGCCATTAGCACCGAGCGCGTGGAGCTCTTCTTGCGCAATGACGGCAGTCAGAGTGCGATTTACGAAGTCCTTGAGAACCTTCTGCTGGATCTCGTAGCCGGGGACGTCGTTCGTGATGTTCGAGAGAAGGGAGGTGAAGAACGCAACTTCGGAGATCTCGTTGAATGCAATCGCTTGGAACAGGCCTGCGGTTGTGGCATTGATGGAAGTGGGGAGCGCGCCGTTGGGCAGGGTGCCTTGAGCCGCAAGCTCAATCTGGAGGAGGGAGTCGTTGCTCGGATTTGGGAAGCCGTTGGGCAGCGGAAACTTGAATGGAACCTGGCCGCTGCTGCTCGGGGTCGCGCTGGCATAGCTGCTGGAAGAGGTGTGTGTAGGCTGGGCCCAGCCTGCAACGCTGCTGCTTGAGCTGCTTCCGCCGTAGCCCCAACCGTTCATCGGGCCCCACGGCGAGGCGGCGGCGGCGCCCACGAGAGTGGCGGAGATGATCGTGGAACGCATTCTGGTGGTATTGTAATGAGTGTGGGGCAGTGAAGTAGAAATGTCGACACCAAATCTTGGTGTTGGAACAAGTAAATGAAGCTTTGCGTTGAGATGGAAGTTGTCTGCTGGTGAGTGAGTGAAGTGAAGCAAACCTACAGTACCTGGCGAACACGATGATATATACTGAACTTTCAAAGGAGACTCGTGGTAAGGAAATATCGTTGCACTCACCATTCGTGAGTCTGATGGAGCGTCAGCCGCCCCAGAGTGCATTCTTGTCACCGAAAAGGAGCGGCCGACCTAGGACGCGTTTGCAATGCGGCGTTCTGCGCATGTCAGACTCGCGAATAACCATCCAATAGCCTACCTCCATACTAAGTAAGCTAGCCGTATGCAGCATTTGGGGCACCGTGTTCTTTCTGGATGAAGGGGAGCGTCCTGCAGGAACGCTTCTGACAATGCTTATTGTGGATAGGCGCTCTGGGGCATTGCTTGGGGCTGTGAGCACGCGAGGCGGCAGCTAGAAGATCTTACCTCGCGCAAGCCTCCCCGATGTTTGTCACTCCGCAAGCCGTGCCAGGACAATTATAGTCCACTCATGCCAGGCGTGACTTTCCATCGAGCCATCTCCGGAGTGAGAACTGACGGACATTAAACCGTGTGCGTCAAGAGGAAGCACGCACCCTACACGTACTCGCACTTGTCGAAGACGCACAGCAGTTCAGCTGCGCCGCGGCAACGCGGGGAAGCTTGTTTGTGTGACTACCGACTCAGGGTTTTGTCTTGCGCTTGTACGTTCAGCCAGCCATCATTGCTGCCACAAGGCTGCAGGTTGTCCTGAAGCACTCGTATGCGAGGGTAGTAAGGTCTGAATGATGTCCAGCGCTGCGCATGTTGCAAGCCGCCCGAACTATTGGCCGCTTCAATTTCTACCCGGTGGATCAGTGCAACCTCCTTCTCATCTCCTCACAACCACAAGTGAGAAAACTCTCGGCAGAGTCAGCACCACCACGTACACTCTTCCCAGTAGAGCACAAGACCTCGCAGCTCCAACCTATTGTGATCCACGCTTGCAGCACGCCGTAAAACCATCACAGAACGTAACTCTGAACAGGAGACTGAAGTACCAGAGCGGTGTAAATGACGTGTTGTGCAGTGCAGTTCCGACTCTGATCCAGTTTTGGTATACTCACCGGTCTCGAGACCAAATACAGGGAAGTCGAAGAGCTTGACCTCGGTCGGTGGGATTTGCCGTTCGCTGCTCCCCAGTCCATCTGCTGACTGACCAGCCCTAAAACCATAATGCGGCCGGTCTATTTTCGTGTCGACCCGTGGGCGAGCATTCGAAACAACAAACATGCTGGCCACGTGGTTGTTGCTGCTCGTTGTTCTGATAAGTCTATCGTGGAACCAGTGTTGTGTTTCTCTGCAGAGCAAAGGAACGGTCTGCAGGCCACATAACCTCAAGCCGTCAAAAGGCGGGAGGCTCCTAGTGTTGACCGCCTACGCGTCACCCCAACATCTTCAATACCTCCACACCAGCCTGCAACACTGCGGCATCGCTCCTATTCTTCCTAAGCCCTTCTTTCACCACGTCAACCCCGCCCACTTCCCTCACCATCTCTGCCACATTCTCCCTAACCACCCTCTCATCCGCACCAAGCGAATTCTTTAAGCAAACCAAGCCTCTGATTACCACCTCCCCACTCTCATCCGCACACATCCTCACCACAGACTTGACACCCTTCCGCTCCCCCAAGCCGACGAGAGCGCCGACAGCATCCTCTCCCCACTCAGTAAGCATAGCCACCGCCCCTCCAGCCGCCCGTCGAGTAGCTAGGTCCTCGACGTCCGTGAGCGCTAGCAAGATCTGCAGGCGCCGCTTCGCATCCTTGGATCCTGGGTCTGCGAAAGCGGCAGCGCAGCTGGGCGAGGCCATAAGATTGCACACCAGCTCCACGGTGGCACGTTGGATTAGCAGAGTTGGCGAGAAGAGCAGCTCCTCAATCGCCTCGAAACAATCACGAATAATGAGCTCTCGAGCTGCAGGGTCGTCCATAGACGCCAAGTTCGTCAGTGCAAGTAGAGCTTCGAAAGTAGGCAGGCGGTCGCGGTCTTCACCCTCTGCGTCCGGAGGCTTCAGAAGTGGGATCAGTGCGCTGACGGCGGATGATACTGGCAGAGCGGAAGTGAAGACGTGTGCCGGATTCAGCGAAATGAGGAGGCGGGCCAAGGCATGTGAGGCGGTCTTAGCAGTCTCGGTATCAGTAGCGTTGGCCACGCGGTCACGGCTTTGTAGTAGAAGTTTCACAGCTCCCTGCTGGGCCATCTTAGAGCGATGCTTCTGCTCTTTTGCGAGTGCTAGCAGTATGCGAACGATGAGTAGGATGTTAGTCGGCGAAGCGGCGACCTGTTTCGAGCACGCAACCAGCGCGGCGACAATATCGGCATCGAGCAGCTTCTTGCAACGAGCCGTGACATGCTGCTCGTCATCCAGTGGATCGTCTTTCGTAGGTTTCGATGCGTTTGCGTACGCCTTTAGCTGCGCCATCTTCTTCTGCTCGTCCGACTGCACTTGGCGATGTGCCGTCAGGTTCGCAAAGATCGTCAAGCAACCGAATAGAGCGCCCGCCTCCTTTCGGAGTGCGTCGGTAAGCGAGCGCAATAGTGTCGCGTCATTGATGATCTTTTCCTTGGTGGTTGGCTGCAGTGATGCGTATGCGAGACCCTCGATAGCTCGCTCTCGGTCCGGCTTATTGTGTATTACCATGTCCGAGAGTGAGGAAGTGACATCGTCTATTGTGTCATCACACATCTTCGTTAACAGAAGTACGGCAAGCGCACGATTGGGATTCGACAGTTCTGCTGAGAGCTTGTTCAGCCAGTTTGTACAATGCTTCTTGATCGCTTCACGACACGCCCGGTCGACGCAAGCCGCATTGAGCAGCTCAAGAATCGCTTTCTCAAGGACGCTCGGCTCACTACGTATAGTCAGGCATGTCTGCAGGTAAAGTGTAGTATTCGTAGTAATGAACAGCACCTTTGCACGAAGCAACAACGAGAATCAGAACCTACCTTCTCGGGCCCGCCGTCACGGCCAGTACCTTCTCGGCTCTATAAACGAGCTGCTCAATGACACCATCGGTCAAGAGCAGCTTAGCAGCCACAACGGGCAACAGCGGAAACACCATGGCCGCGGCCGACAGAGCCGGAATGAGGTCCTCGTCACCGCCAATCGCTACTCGTGACCTTACGAAGTCGGCGAAGAAGCGCTCGCCTTTCTTCTTGGTCACTTCGAGCATCTTCGAGGTGGTAATCATTCCTTGACTGCGGAGGCTCTCCTCGAGACGTAAGTCCAGTGTAAGGAAAATCGCAGTAGCAGCATCACCATCAAGTAGGTCCATGGCGTTCTCTGGCTGGACAGCGAGTTGGCGAGTAATACCACGGAGGGCTCGTGTCCGAGGCGTGGTCCCATCGCTACGTTGCAGCTGCTCGATACAATGGCAAAACACTGCTTTCTGGACCGTGGCTTGCTGGTCGCTCGAGCTCCATAATGGACGCTCAAGAATGACAACGACCAGGGCGTCGAAGGCTCCAGCGCCTACGTGGAACATCTCGGCAATGACTGTCATACTATCTGACACGAGCTTGGCAGCGATGGCTTTCCGGGCCTCATACTGACAATGCACCAGTAGGCTGAGGAGCTCATCGCGGCGTGAGATCTCTGGTTGGGATTCGATGAGGAGGGTGTATGCTTCAATCGCCTCATCGCTAGAAAACTGCGTATACCTGATCGCTTTCACGGCGTTGGGAGCGTCTTCCGGGCGACCGGTCACGACGTATCGTTGTACTGAGAGTACAGTAAAGCCATCCGGAGCGTTACTCGACAGTCGCAGCCATCGCTGCTTGACCGCGTCGCTACTGGAGTCGATCTGGGCGGCTTCACGGAGGATGCTGGCTGCCTTGGCTTGCTCGTGGTTTCTCAGGGCATCGTCCGCCAAGGTCAGTAGATGCGCGAGCCTGTCCTCCACCGCCGAAGTCATGCCCGGCGCACATCATCAGCACCGTGTCGCGCACCTGTTCTGACTGTTGCGGTGCCTGCCAAGTCAATTGAAGTGGGTCGGCATGACGCGTGAGGCTGCGGCTCTACCGGCGCGCGTCGTGTGTTTTGCGGGGGAAAGCCTTGGATGCCGTTGTTTGTGAGGAAGGCAGCGGTCATCCACACGGCAACCGCCATGCATCCTCCAAAGCGGACAGTCACGCGACATCAGCAGGCTTGCTATTGCCTGCCGTCTCTTCGTTTGCCTTCCCTCCCTGCTCAACGCTAGTGACCATGTGATCAAGCCAACACCATCTCTACCTCCGCCTCGCGATGGAAGCCTTCTCTGCCCGGTGCAACCACCTCGCCCGTCCATCTGCCTTCAACACCACCCTCGCCGCCGTCCTCGTTGCCGGCATCCTCTTCTCTTACCTCCCACAACACATCAAGATCATCCGGCAACGCACTTCCGAGGGTCTGTCGCATTGGTGGGTGTTACTTGGCGCTCTAAGCTCCATCACCGCTCTCGGCAACATTGTGACGCTGCCGGCCAGTCGCGCAGATGTTGCGTGCTGTAAGGAGATCAGTGGAGGAGCATGCGCGGCGGCATTGTTAGGCGTTGCGCAGATAGGGATCCAGTGGATGTGTTTCATGTTCATGTAAGGCCTTTGGCAACGAAGGCAGGCTTGGTGTGCTGATTGGACGTGAACAGTGTCATGCTCTTCCTGATCTTCTTTCCCGCCAAACAAGAACAAGACTCCCGCAGTCCTACCGCGCCGCACCGCCGCGATGCCATTCTTGTAGGCTCAGCAACTCTACTAGCGCTACTGGTCACTGGAATCGTCTCGCTTGCGTTGGTCGCAGCTTATCCACAGCGAACACAAGCGTGGGCCGACGTCCTCGGGTCCATCTCTGGCGTATTGGCTATGATCCAATACGTCCCGCAGATTTACCATACCTACCGCCTAAGCGACATCAAATCTCTGAGCATCGCTACCATGCTCATCCAGGCACCAGGCGCATTTCTCTTCGCATTCAGTCTTTGGCAACGCGTAGGCTGGGAAGGATGGAGCACGTGGCTCGTGTACGTTGTTACGGGACTACTACAGGGTGTACTTCTCGGGCTGGCGGTGTACTTCCATGTCACGAATAGGAAGGCGCGCAAAGCGCATGATGACGACGGCTTCTTCTCGGCAACGGTTGACGATGTCGACGGTGCGGCGGTTGGCGCGGAGGATGTGGATGAGCGGACTGCGCTGCTGAGCAATGGTCGCAAAGGCAGCACCAAGAGCCGACCAATTACGAGCACGCAGAGGAGTGATGCTAGTCAGAGGCAGTTGGGCATGCTGTATGCGGCAACGCCTCCGGAGCATGATTCTGACCGGAGCAGCTCTGGACGAGGCCCATGAAACTTCTGCGAGCTAAAAGTCTGCCTTCGCATAATAGCAGGCCGGGTGCATCTCCTTTTACTTCCACTACTCCTGCGGCGTCGTTTGCCGCCCGTCTTGTGCGTGCTGACAGCCTTACTCTGCAGGTATGTCGGAATTGAAGAATGCCAAGCATTCCTCGACAATGCCCAGTGATCCAGGACTAACCTTCCATGAATGTTATACCACGGATAGAACCAGGTTCACGAACAGTCACAAAGGTTCTGTACTCGACACGGTAGAGTATGTTCTCATTGTCTCCTTGTTCCGTTTCCTGCTTCTCTGCGCAGCATTCCCGACCCGCATGCGGCGAAATGCGACGGAACAGACAAAGAACCGGAGCTCTCTCAAGCAACATGGACGGGCTCGACAACATCGTGTCCACCATGCCGACCGCAAGGGGTCTTCGTAAACCGAGCCTAATCTCTGCGCGACACCATGCACCCGGTCGGCTACACCAGTGCGGACCGCCTCGAGTCGCCACTCAACGAGACCTTCCTACCATCCAGGGACAGACTTATTGATACGGAGACGGACCAAGATCTACCGCCAATGCGGGCGCAACGGGAGCTACCACGCAGTAGTCGTGCCGCAGAGAAGGCGCCAACTGAGCCGCCAATAACCTATGATCCTACGCGGCCAAGCAAGTTGGCGGATCGCAGGCACAGGAGTCCGCTAGCTGTTCGCACCTCCGTGGCGAAGGCGCGAGTAGGCGGCGCCGTTGAAGGCGTGGCAGGGAAGGACGATGCGGTCGAGGTTGATGCCGAGGCTGCAGAAGCGCGAACCCCGGAGGAGGAGGAGCCGTCGTCCGGCGACCTGCTGTTGCGTTTGGAGTCTGTAGTGCCGGAATTGGCGGGCTTGATGAGGCAGCGCATTGAGGAGAAGAATGGAGTCATTGAGCGATTGATTGGCATGGTTGCTACGGAGCAGAAGAAGGGCGCACGTTCTTCGGCCATTGGCGAGAATGAAAGCATGGTTAGCGAGACGGGCGTACGTGGGCCGCTTACTGCGTGGGCAGCTACGAATAATGCGAACAACGGCCAGGCTGCTCTCGAGAAGCTGAATGACATGAATGAGTTGTTCGAACAAGCGCCACTGAAGCTTCAGCCACTCCAAAGCGCCCAACATGCCCTACCAAAGCAGCCCGGGCAGCGCAGCAATGTCAGCGAGAGCCTTGAGATCAAGATCAAATTCAAGCTCGCGCCGGCAGTCTATCTGCTAGCCCAACCGGATCCCGATGCCAGAATGGTGGCCTTAGCTCTCGCCGCCGTACGCTCCGCCTGGTACCTCGCCCGCGAGCATGCAGATAAGCCGCTCATGGGAGTCTGCGCTTACTACTATGGTGTCTGCAAAGTCGCTCGGTCCTCTCTTGACGGCAAGCCAGACGGGGCAGCGATAAGATGGTTTGAGAGTGCCATCACCGATGCACAGGGCCATCGGGAGGCCGAATGGGCTACCCAATGGTCCGCGAAGTATGCAGAGGCGACGAAGAAGGAAGGAAGTGTGAGCAGTGGGAGTACTGGGAGTTGGCTCGCTTTCGCCGCGGGAGGCAAGCGTACGGAGAATTCGTTCAATGTTTTCAAGACGGTCGATTATGATGTGAGACCGGGAACGGCGGACAGCAAGGCTAGCGGGGTCAGTCCGTCTGCGATGCAGCCACCGGACAGTGCTGGCAGCTGGGTGTCGTCGACATGGAAGGAAGTAAGTCGACTGATGAAGGGTCGCGACGATGACAGTCCGGTATCACATCCGTCTGCGCTGGAGAAGCCTCTCGCCATCACGAAGCAGAAGCCAGCTCCTCTAGCTGCGACGGGCATCCGTCAGCTTACGCAGCTACCTCGTTCACAGGCGCACCTGAAGAAGGCGAGAGGAGGTGAGCGGATTCCTGACTTTAAGAGCGAGCATACGGAGTCCGAAGATTTTGACCACCATGGCTTGACGTGGTCGAAGAGGCGCCCTTTCGGTAAGGGGGAGGTTCTGCCCGGACAGACGTTTGACCTGGTCGACAGTCCTGTCACCACGAGTGACTTCGACCCGGCAACAGCGAGCTCTGACGACAAGGGCAGATTCGGCCCACTGCGAATCATCAACGGTTCGCCTACAACATCATCACTACCCTTCGGACTGCCTCATCCGCCCAAGACAAGCCCAAAGAAGGCGCCAGAAGCAGGTGCCTTACCCACGTACAACCAGCCACTTTCGTCGCCCCTGATCTCGCCACGTGGCCACTCGAAGAAGAAGTCCTTGGCCTTCTCCCTGGCCTCGGGCAGCAAATCGAAAGAAGGATCACCGCAAGCTTCGCCGAAAGCTACGTCGCCGACGGCTACTGCCAGCGACCTCGCACGTCGGGCTAGTCGTGCGTTTCATATGGCGATAGTATCGACGGGGAGGGATGCGCGAGAGGGTCCGCCGGACGAGCATTTATTGGCGGAGGAAGGGCATAGTCCGTACCGGAAGACATTCGCGAGGGATGAGGGTGACGAGCATCTGGCACCTAGGCAGGAGTCGTATAGTGCTGAAGAGATGGTGTGATAAGACGGAATGAGATTCGTAGAAAGAGATTACCTGCCGCGCAATGCTCGCGTGAGTTAGAACAGTTGTTCGGGTCTTCGTTGGGAGAATTGGTGATGCTATATGTTTTATGTTTGGAAAGTTTCACGTGATACGTTATGGGCAAGGTTGGTCGAACTTTCGTGCTCCCGATTGTTCAATCAATTCTAATCATCATCAGGTGTCCGAGTGGTTATGGAGCTGCGTTTAGGCCTACCTAAGCAGAATCCGCAGTGGCTTTGCCTCGTGGGTTCAAAGTACGTTGCTTCACCAAAAATGTATATACTGTGCCTTTGCTAATTGTGTGAAGTCCCACCCTTGTCAAGATCAACCGCTTCTTTTTGCCATTATACCGTACTCGTCAATCAGATCAAATTCTGAATGCATGTACTCTTGGTGATTGGTGCCGCTTCTCACTTGTGAATGGCCAAACCCTGCCGTATTCCGTGGCGCCGCCTACGGCACGCGACCCATCAGCTAGCAGCAATGACAATTCTCTCGAAAGAAGTCTTCGTCTCCAGCATCGCCTGGTGCCGCCTCTATATAGTGCAACATCCCTCAGTTTATGGCAGTGCCCGGTAGCTTGAGCACCGAGGGCAGCAACCCTAGCGCTTACATCTCTTTAGCATGCTGAGACTCGGCGCAAGGCTTATTCGCTTGGAGACGTAAGCGAGAGGGCTGCGCAACATGCTTGCTCTTCTAGGTCCGCTTCACCTAACCATTGATACGGATCTATGTAATTTGTTGCGCATACTACTATACTGTAAGGCAGCTATTCTTTTGGTAAACTCTCCTTACTTCTACCCCCACTAGACCGTCCCTTTAACCCGGCGCATTCGCGTCCGTACAGCTGCAAGCATGGGGAGGAAGACTGTCTACACGAAGATTACGCCGCTTCCTTCGAACGTACCGCGACAGCTCGCAATTGATATGCTTCATTCGCACGAGGAAGTCATCAAGCTGAACCCTTTGGTGACGGGCGCCAAATCCATTGAAGCTCCACGCGACGCAGCAACAGACGAGTTCTACTCGCAGTGGTATGAGATAACGGAGATCATCACATGGGCCTTTGGTTTGAAGAAGAAGATAGCGTTCAGGGGTGTGTTTCACGACCTACCCGGAGGCATGCAGTCTCATGTATATGCGCCTATGGGTGTAGACTTGCGGAACAAGTACAGGATAGGCGGAAACCAGCCTGGCGAGCCAAGGGAAGCTCGGGAGCTAGGCGTGGACACACCACTCGACGGCCTGTATCTTCGAGAAGACGTCGAAATCATGTGTAATGCCGCGCTTCTTGGATTCGTGAAGAAGGAAACGAAGGCGGCAACCGGAACCATGATTGATCGACTTGCACGGAAAGCTGAACTGCTGGATGAGGGCAAATTGCATGCAATGTTCGAGAACGGGAAGCTTAAAACAGCGAGGCCAAGCGGCGAACCAACCTTCGCAGACAGAGGAATGCCATCGCCTTCTCCGTCCACTCCGAGTAGTTTCCCAGCCTCTGAGCCCAGCCCTGGCCTTGTGAAGCGAGAAACGACTTTCACGTCTGCTGGCGGTATGCTCTCTCCAGCGCTGGACTCGCAAGGGTTCGGCAGATATCACGACGTCAAGCGAACTCACAGCCAAGCCCAGTCAAGACATTCTACCTACGTTCCACAATATCAACAACCGGGTTACAACGGACCAGATTATGCTAAACCTGGCGCAGAGCTCTCTAGCATGCCGGAAGCGACCGAGATGCCAGGGTCATTCTACCACAACGAGCACATGCAACAGCCGGGTCTCTACCCACCACCATTGAAACCACAAGGTCAAGTCTTCCGGTCTGAACTTCCGGGTGATATGGTGTACTCCACGCCACCACCTTCGCAGCAACAAACACCACTCATGTCAAATCCATCACAGATGCATTATCAGGCGTATCAACCTCAGGCAAGCCCACAACCAAATCCCCAGCCTGACCAGGCGACTCGGGCTAGGGCAAACTCGACGACCAGCAGTAGTTACAGCCCGGATGCACATCAACAGCACTTCCACCAACAAGCGCAGCAACAGTATCAGCAACCGCAACAACACCAGCAGCAGTATCAACAATACCAACACCCACAAGTACAAAGCCATCAGATCGCGGACTGGCAACGAGGCCTGGGCATAGCTTCGCAAGAAGATCCGAATAACATTCGCAATTCAACACACTCAAGCGCACATCTCGAACCTGACCACCAGCGGTTCTCACAGATGTCCGTACAGAGCACACCGCCCACGCAGCGAGCGCAACCGGTAGGACATACAACGCAGCAATCAGGACGGATTGTGAAGTGTCCTGTTTGCAGCGTCTTCGAAGGCGACGAGACGGCGGTCAGCCATCACGTTAGCATGTCACATTTTGCTTAAACGCAGGCCTCGGGAACCGTAAGATGTGAATGCATTTATGTTGGTCTTGGCCGGTGAATGTGCCTTGTACAACGGCCGCAAGTAACGACAATATGTAGGTCGCTTCATATACCCACTTTTTCTTGGAATTGAGCAGGATACCATGATAGGGCCGTCTCATTCTTCGCACTTGCAATTGTGCTTAACTTTGTTCATCAAATGTACTGTCGCGTGATAACACCTGACGCTTGCTCGGCTCAAGCGTCGCAGCCAATCGAACCTCGGCTTGACGATGCCCGCCACTGCACCTTGCGGACGGCCAGCTTACGACCTTCACAGTAGGCGTCAAATCGCACAAAATCATGTAGCTCTCTACGATTTGCTTGACAGAGCCTCACCGACGTTATGTCTGCCGCAGCTAAAGCTCGCGTTCAAGCCCTCTCCGAGCAGTTAGCTAAGCCTAGAGAGCATCCAGGCTATTTCGAAGACATCCCTAAGATACCGACGATTGCTGGCGCGTCAAACGGACCGTAAGTGTGTTCTTAGTGCTTGATTCTAGTTGCCAGGCGTTGTTGCTATTGTATCCGCGCTACCTGCAGCATGTTATCGAACGGACCACAGCCTTGTTCATCTTTACCCGACATTTGACGCTTGGCCATCATTATCACTCTTTGACATCCCATTCTGCTTCTTCACAGACGCTAACAATACTCCAGCCGCGTGAAGGACAAGGTCATCATTATCACCGGCGCCAACAGCCCTCTTGGAATCGGACGAGCTTCAGCACATCTCTTCGCCGCCAATGGCGCCAAAGCCATTTTCATTTGCGATTATAGCACCTCGAATCTGGAAACCCACAAGCGCGAGATTAACAGTCTGTATCCCGGTGTCGAGATCCAATGTCGGCAGATGGATGCTGGCGAGGAAGTGGACGTCAAGCGTGTTGTCGACGAATGCTTGAGCCTGTATGGCAGGCTCGACGTCTTCTTCGCAAATGCCGGCATCAGCGTCACGATGAAGCGAGTAATCGACAGTAACGCGGATGATTTCATGAAGGTGATGAAGACAAATGCGTTAAGGTATGCTTTTACAAGCTTTAAACCCGTTTATTTACTAACGGCCCCTTCAGCGTCTTCCTAGCCGTCAAGCACGGCGCTCGCGGCATGTTACAGACCAGTGATTCGAAGCCGTACCCAGGCGGCTCCATTGTCGGCACAGCGTCTTCAGCAGGTCTCCGCTCCAACGCCGGCGCAACGGACTACTCCGCTTCTAAAGCGGCCGTCGTTTCCATCATGCAGACATCATGCTACCAACTTGCGGGTACCGGCATCCGCTGCAACGCCATTTGTCCCGGCATCATTGAGACCGGCATGACGAGCAAGATGTACGAAGCGGCTCGAGCGCGCGGCACGGAGCGCAAGATTGGGCAGCTAAATCCGCTCATGAGGGGCGGGGTGGCTGATGAGGTTGCTAGAGTAGCGCTGTTTTTGGGTAGCGATGAGGCCAGTTATGTCAATGGGCAGGCATGGGCGGTCTGTGGTGGTCTTACTGCTGGTCATCCGTACGTGGTTGGGAAGATGGCGTGAGGTGGTGATGATACTTCGAAGGAGCTGAGCTTTGTGTTATGTACTTAGCTTATGTACCAAATGGAGTGAAGCTGCATGCTTGGCTCATAGCACGACCAACCTTGCCCTGCTCGAAACCACCCCTCTATGCCTCCACCTTGATCCCGAGGAAGCGCTCGGCATTCTTGAAGCATATCATTTGCAGCTCCTCCTCGCTCACCAACCCGCTTTTCTGAATCTCTTCGACGAACTTCAGGCCTTCCACGGGCATACTGAATGGATAGTCCACACTATACATAATCCGGTCCATTTTTGTAGATCTGATGATGCAAGCAAACGGCGCCAGCGAGAAGTAGCCACTGGTTGTTATCCATATATTCTCGTCCCATACAGTCTGCAGACCGCGCTCTAGGCCGAAGCGTGCAGATGCGCGAATGCATCTTTCAAGGGCGAAGGGCATGAACTCGCCCATGTGACCGACACAAATCTTCAGCTTTGGGTATTTGTCGAACAGACCGCTGGCGTAGAGGCGCAAAATATGCAAACCCGTCTCGCTGTGCCAACCCCAGCCCGCGATGGACATCATTAACGCTGCCTGGCTGGAGAAGTTGCCTTCATAGTGCTTCATCATGTCGTCGGAAGCGAATGTCGGGTGAAGATAGATGGGCACGTCAAGCTTCACGGCACGCGCGAAGACTGGCCAAAACTTCTCATCATCGTAGAAGGTTCCGTCTTCGAGGTGGTTGTCGATCAGTGCGCCAACGAAGCCGAGCTGTTTAACGCAACGCTCTAGCTCATCCGCGGCGGCTTCAGGGTGGGCCATGGGCAGCGTTGCGAAACCTACGAAGCGTTTCGGGTGCTTGCGGCAGGCGGCGGCCAGCTCATCGTTCGTCTCGCGGCACTCATTGGGAGGAGCCTCGACGCAGACGTGCGAGAGCACTTGAACCTGGCAGCTACCGGCGTCTATGTCCCTGAGACGCTCGTCATCCAGCGAGGCTAGCTTGGATTTTTGATGGTCAGGGAAGGCTTGGAAGTTCTTCCACGCACCTGGAATACGGCTGGAGATGAAATGCTCTTCCAGAGTGATGAGTGGTGGCACCATGGCCGCAGCTTATCTGATTTGCGTGAGGAGAGGATGTGTAGGTGGGTTGCGTCGTCGACATGCTCTCGTCTAGCTAATATACCTGCTACAAACCTCCACAACTAGCCGGTCCGGTATCCGCAGTAGAACGATATGGTTATTCAACAACGCTATGGAGCTTCACGAGCCAATGTCCACCTTGTACTAGACCCAGCATGTGGGACGTATGTAGCTACAGGACGCAGCGCGAGGAGTCCCGGGCCAATCAGATGCTGTCAGTCCAGCGTGGCTTGCATATCAAGACAAGATCGCTCATGCTTGGGCCGTTGCCAGACTTGCGGGCAATAGCACCAGAAGCTGAATGCTCGTTGCGCATGAGCTTCATCGGACTTTCGGTACGAAGGTTTGCGCTTCAGTCTCGGCCGGCTCGCTCGGGCGACGTGCCTCCGGAAGCTTGCTCGATAGGTCCGGCGTGCTCAAAGTGTTGTGTAACGCATCACGTGAGCAGAACCTGGACATAGTGAAGCTGGAGTCCGCTAGTTCAGGGTGAACATTCTCGAGATCAACGCATCAGGGTTGTGTAGGTGGTCTCGTTGGCGAAAGCCGAGATCCTGCAGGCTTGAACCGGATGTTCGACGGATGGCATTGGTGCGATCGAAACTCGTAGGTTCATCATCGGTTCCAATTCACAGTGAAGGTGCAGCACATCTATGTCTTCGGCTTGCGGATGGAAAAGCCTCGTGAACGCGTCTTCGGTGGTTGGCCAGATACGCTTCGCTCTCGCGATCTCTCCGCGCTGCTGGAGCTGCTGGAAGAAGCTGATCGTTGTCTCGTTTCGGCCAGGATGTCCTCGAGGCTTACGTTGCTGTTCGAGAACGGCGGCGGAGTGGCATCGTCGAGCATCTCCACAAACTTTGAAGGCATTGTTGCGGTTGCTTGGATTGCAGCTTATAACGTTGTGAAATGTTGTGAAGCCTAGTAAGACTCGCACGAAGGAGAGGTTGTTCCTACAAATGTTGGGAAGGCTGTCAAACCACTGATGAGCTCGGAGGAGTGCGGCACACCGCAATATCAACTCCATCGCCAACCCATGCCATGCGCCTCGACGCACGTCTCAACGACGGGCCAAACGGTTACGAAGAAAGCCTTGACCATCATCCGTCACAGTTCCTTCAGGGTCCTCGTGCCGCCGGTCACCCGGAAAAAACGTGGCGATCTGCAGGCCGCGAAGAGCCGCGTTTCGAATTGACGACGCAATTCCTCGCTGAGTGCGAAGCCAAGGACATCTCGCCCGCGCATGCCGTCTATACTTTACTTCGGATGCAGTTCGCCGTCATATTTTGAATGCTTATGGCATGGGTTCCGCGGCCACCGTCGGGCGCTCGCTCTCTCGGTTGAAGTTAAAAGTGAAAACCACATGTGAAGGGTCCAGTCTCTGCCGAAACCTTGAGCCGCTTTGAAGGTGAAGGCCGAGACAGCGAGCAAGCCAGGCAGACAGATTCTTCCCTGGTCCGCACTTACGAGAATGGTGGGCAGGCACTCAATAGCACAATGGTATAACACGACACATATGGGACGCGTCCGCTTTACAAGAGTATGCGTGGCGAGCAGTGCGGGGCCGAACTAAGTAGTCACATCCAAGCGAGAAGCCTGTAACCTCGCCTTACACTGCCATCAACCTAGGCAACCCCATAAGGCAACAATAACTTTTACGACGACCGGCGAGACGCTCGTGTCTGTCTATCCATGCGTGTGACACCTTCACCGCCAAAGCCGCCGCGATTACACCGACCCGCGAGCCTGGGGAGAGCTCATGAAAGCCACTTCTCGTAGTCTCTCGGCCGTTCATTCTTGATTCCCTGCATTTCTTCTCTGACGCCCAGCATGCTAACCCGGCCTCCTCCGACATCACCGTCCGTACCCGTTCCAAATTTCCAGCTAGCAAACAGCTCTTCAAGCTGATCAACAGTGACCTGATCGTCAACAATAAGCAGCGAAACTGCATCGTAACCTCCCGCACCCGGGACCACGCCACCAAGCACGCCCGGTATGCGTTCGCAAGCATCAAGCAGCGCAGTCTGCTCAGGAGGCTCAATAGGCACGCCACTCTTCGCTGACATCTGCCGGATGAGCGTTCGAATCGTCTGAAAGCTGGCTCTGATGGTGGCGTACGGTTCATCAGCTTGCGTCTGAGCGGCTTCTGCTGCAAGCCTGAGCTCTTCCGCGAGGGTCCTGTTCGCCGTGTCAAGGCGTGACCATAGCTCGGCTGCCTCGTCCGCCCTTTCCTTCCGCCAAGCAAGCACCTTCTTGACCATCCCGGGCGTTTGGCTACCACAGCTCACATCGCACATTACCAGCCTTAGGCCTCGAGGAACTTTGACTTCGTTTTTGAGAATTGAATGATCCCAAGCACCAACCGTTCCAACCTCGTTAACGATCTCCCGCAGCTGAGTCCCGAAGTGCGGCTGGCCAGGCTCGACATGGCTCGAAAGTAGACAGGGTGAGAATCGGCGGTACAAACAGCTCCCGTATACCGCACTCGCGACGTCGAAACCGGAGCCGACCTTGCCCTGGGCAGCGCAATGTGCGGCTTGTGCGAGGTTATGGAGTCTGCGCTTTCCATCCTCACTTTCCAGATCGAAGGTGCTTGAGGGTAGGTAGTACGTCAGTAGAGCAGCCGTGAACGCTGTCACCAGTGCCGCCGAGGAGCCTAGTCCGGTCTTATGGGCTTTGGAGATAGGAACGCCGAAGTTGTGGAAACGCGACGCTGAACTGGTACCATTGCTCAGTGCATGTGGGGTTGAGTAGTAATCATTGTCCGCAAGGATTGTGATCGAGGCAGGCGAGATCTGAGGACTTGATGCACTGGCGATGTAGCTAAGTGCGTAGCCGAGCGCTGTCTCGATGAAGGCGTTACGATTGAGATTTAGCTCTGCGTTGCTGTATGAGCATGGCTGGAGTAAGTATGTAGGTCTGGATTTCGATGATCGCTAAAATGCGTACTATAATTCAGGCTTGCGAGGTGGGCGACATTAAAGAGAATATCAACGACTCACACCCTCAGTTGCACGACCTGGATGCCACCATGCTGCTCGGTGAGCCGATACCCGTACTCCCATACCGCGTCCGCGAATTGCGGGCTCTGCACTACAATTTCGTTCAATGTCACGCCGCTGCTCGTCTCAATTGGTTGTATCGTGACATGAATGCGAGCATCTAGACCAAACACCAAGCCTGTGTAGTCTCGATCAAGCACCAAATAGCCACCAGCCAACAGCACCTTACCCGGCGCAGAGACAGCTACGGCTGTATCATGAACCATTGGACGCTGCCTCGGCCGAAAGCCAAGTAAGCAATGCTGTGTCTAGAAGGCGGTGGAAAAGGTATCTGTTGATCTGTTCCGGGGTTTACAAAGCGTATGCGCCGTGTAGACTCCGGTGCCTGAAAATCGCTCGAGGCGCAGATGGACAGCTGACCAGTCAACGGAACCTCGAACCGTTCTGACCCGTAGAACACGGGAGGGCCGTTTGATGGTTGTCGCTAACAGGAGAGTCTTAGCCTATAAGCTCGTTGCGATGATGGGCCCTCTACTTCGCTCACGGTCGTCCATGACTGCGAAAGACGCACGAGTGACGATACAGCTTTATTTGGCTTGCAATTTGGCAGTAGCAACGGGCTTGCAGTCCGGCGTGAGCTTCTCCTGGACTTTGCCTTCGCCACGGAAATTCCGACTAGCGGCCCGGATCTTGCTGCGTTGCATCCGAAACTATGCCGCTTGTGGCGCCGTGCGAAAAAATTACGGGTTAGAGACGCGAGGGAGCTGGAAGCACTTCGCTTTCGCGATCAGTCAGACGGTCATACATTCGTTAGCCTGCAAAGGCCACTCCTATTCCAGCGTCACGTCCATTCCGGCCATCTTGCCTGCAGCTCCCTTATCAGATTCTCCATCGCACGCAGCATTGGGTTGGGTTGGAACTTCGAGTCACCGAACAGGTTTACCACCAACAACCATACCAAATTCCCACACACATCAGGCACTGGCCCCCATTACATCAAGTCGCGCGTTCTTGACGGCTTGAGGCCTGTCAATGAACCTGCAGTCTCGCTACTACCTCAGATTCCCCGTACGTAGTCCCTCCTAGCCGAGTATCTCGACTTACGCGACACTCACATCTGATCCGTAATAGTCTCACCCTTCCCGCCTGAAGGGTTCATCAATCACCTGAATGCCTTACGTGAAAGCTGTACCTCTATCGCGTATTGCAGGTCAAGCTCTCAAATCGTTCACCCACGGCTACGCGCAAACCGTCGTTGCCGCATCCCAGTCATCCTACGCCGCCCAGAACCCTATTGGCGCCGGACCGCTATCAGACGCTCTTGCTGGCAGGTTTCGCAAGGCAGAGAAGTCACGTGTTCAGAATGTCGCGCATCATGCGGCAGACGGCGCCAGGCCGGCGAGTACGGTTGGCACGAACGTGCCGAGACCGGAGACCAGCCATCACGATGGCGGGTTAGAGAAATACTTCGATGCATGGCAGAAACATCAGCGAAATGGTACGAAGGAGTGGCAGCAGTTCCAATTCGCGCGCAGACTTGAATGGCAGCCGCCAAGTACCGTCCCGCTGCAAGGGCACGATATTGCAGTCGCCGAGGCGCCGGTCCACCCGCAGGAAGTCGAGCAGCTTGCAGCGCCAAGTCTCAAGCGTTCCTATACCACGAGTGCGCTGGACAACTTCAGCAAGGCCTTTATTAATGACGAGGCCGCGGAGGCAGATGCGCTTGAGCAGGTCAACATTGCGATCGCGGAAGAGATTCAGCGCTCGAGAGATGATGCAGAGGGTGGTCTAGTCCTCAAGTCGAATTCCGCGTCATCCGTTTCGCAGGAGCAGACTTCGGCGACCGAGGAGCACACGGTCTCGACCCCTGCGACTCTCTATACATCTACCGACAGTTTCTCCTCCGCCGAGGCCGACTTCTACAGCAGCGAGATCCTGGAGCTCTCCGCAAAGAAGGAGTATGAGCGTGTTCCTGCCGCCTTCCAGGCGATGCTGCGTGCTGGCGTGCAGCAGCCTAAGCCAGCAACCTATCATGCTTTGCTCACGTCCGTTGTCGAGCTCACGCAAGGCAAGCACCAGAAAGTGCCTAAGGCGCTTGAGGTGTACTCGGACATGCTTCGCCGGAAGGTGACGCCACACGTCGAGAGCTTCAATCTACTAATCAGTCTGCTGGCTAGGCGGGCATCCGAAGCACTTGCGCTTCGTCAAGGTTTAGAAGATCGCTTGGTTAGGTACGGTGGGCTTGAGGAGCCGGGCAAGTTCATGTTCAGGTCCGCGCAGTCGGAACACCGCATGCTTGTCGAAGACTCCTCACTTTCCATCGCGTTAAAGCTCTTCGATCGCGCGACTAGGCTTGGCTTCGCTGATCTGTCAAGCGGATCGTACACGGCCCTCATCATCGCGTGTGCCGAGCAAGGCCGCGTCGATGACATGAAGCACATTTACCAACACTCGAAGGATCAGGACGTTGAGCCGACATCCAGTATCTACCCATCAATGATCGCTGCATATGGCCTGGAAAGCGATCTGAAGAGTGCTGTGGAGATCTACGACGAGTACAAGCAACTTGCGGTCGAGCACAACGCCGGACTCATTGAAATCGCTCGGCTTGACAACGAAGTCTACGCCGCACTGGTCAAGGCCTACGGCTCAGCAGACAGGCTGAAAGGCGGCCTCAAGTTTCTCGCCGGCGTTCAGGCTACCACACCTTCCGAGTCCGAGTTGCTAGAGCTGCGGGAGACCGTGGCGCTGCAAGCTTTGCTTCCACTCGCGCTGAAGGATGGAACGCTTCGGAACGCTATTGACTTGACTAACTCGCTTACTGGACGAGCATTGTCTTCGTCTCTGGCCGTTGTCGTAGCTACAGCTGCGGACAGAAACATGCTCGAGACCAGTCAGAAGGCCTTTGATGCATTGGCTAGGGTCACACAGGACCTGGCGGTGCCGGCCACCGCTATGCTCGCAATGCACATTCGTAATGCCAATGCTGAAGGCGGGGAGCCCTACTGGCGGATCTTGGAGTCGGCGCCCGCACAGCCGTCTTTCATCGAGCCGAGTACCATGCGCACCGTGGCGCTGATTGGCCTTGGCGAGGCTGAGCGCGGTCTCCGACAAGCACGCCGGATGTTTGCTCGAGTTCGCGACCAGCAACCGGAGACTGCTATGGCGGAGGCTGTTGAGCAGATCGACGAGGCCTTGGAACTGATCGGCAACTTCCTGCTGAAGAACCAGGCTACCACGCAACCCCAGGCCAGCGCAGAGCTGCTAAGGATGATGGTGGAGAATGGCGGTCTAACCATGTCCGTTGCCGAGCATGTCATGGCTCGCTTGAGTGTTGATCAGATCGCGAGGCTCCCGCCAGCAGATTTGGAGCTCATGCTACGCATCCAAGGCGACATGATCATTCACAAAGCTGGAGCAGATATTGCCGGTCCAGCACGCTTTGGTTGCATGCTCGAAGCACTCACCTCTCGCTCCATCAGGCCCGCTACTGAGACAGAAAACGCCATTGAGAAGACACTGGTAAACATTGCTCGCCCGGAACTTTCAAGGCTATGGACCAGCTACCGCTACCCGCAGACTCCGGTTACCTTCACGCCGGTGCCGTTTACCCCTGTGCTGCCGTACCAGGCTCCGGCAGCACCCTTCGTGCAACCGGCCATGGAAGACACGTACGACCCATATGCGGCGCGAACGGACGTCAAGGGTTCGACTGCGATCAATGACCTTCTCGAGCGCTCCCAAGGCCGCCGTATGAGCGAAGCGCTTACCAAGTTCAGAAACATGCGCCGTGTGGGTCGGGTACCCAGAATGTTCACCTACGGCAAGTTGATCGAGGCTGCAGCGAAGGAGAACAACCTCAATCTGGCCCATGACATATTGGAGATGGCGAAGCAGGACGTTGCTTTCGACGCACGATACCGTGTTGTACGCTTCGGCTGGCAACAGATTCTGGATCACATGATTGCTGGATGTCTTACAGTCGGTCGGCGGGACTTGGCGGCCCGCTACCACCAGGACTTGGTTGAGCTGGGCATGGCGCCATCCGCAAACACCTTCGGCCTCTACATTACGACGCTGAAAGAGAACACCAAGACCTTTGACGAGGCATCTGAAGCGGTCAAGATCTTCCTTCGCGCCAAGACTGAGGGCGTGGAGCCGTCCTCCTTCCTCTATAACGCCTTGATTGGCAAGCTTGGAAAAGCCCGACGCATTGACGACTGCCTCTTCTACTTTGCTGAAATGCGCAACCTTGGCATCCGCCCGACGAGTGTCACCTACGGCACCATCGTCAATGCCCTCTGCCGTGTCAGCGACGACAAGTTTGCGGAAGAGATCTTCGAGGAGATGGAGACCCAGGCTAACTATAAGCCGAGACCGGCACCATACCACAGCTTGATGCAATTCTTCCTTACCACCAAGCGTGATAGGGGCAAAGTCCTTGCCTACTATGAGCGGATGAGAACTACGAACATCGAACCAACAATTCATACGTACAAGCTGCTTATCGACACTTACGCGACACTGGAGCCGGTCAACCTGCACGCTGCCGAAGTTGTGTTGACGGATATGCAGGCCTCAGGGATTACGCCGGAGGCAGTGCACTATTCTTCGCTCATCCATGCGAAGGGCTGTGTGTTGCACGACTTGACTGCCGCTCGCATTCTCTTCGACACCGTCATAAAAGAGAACAAGGTTCGATTGCAGCCCTGCTTGTACCAGGCCATGTTCGAATCCATGAATGCGAACCACGCCGTCTCCGCGTCGGAGTACGAGAATCTGCTTTCGGACATGGCGAAGAGAGGTGTGGAGTATACGCCTTACATCGCCAACGCCTTGATCCACGGCTGGACGCTGGAGAAAGACCTACGCCGGGCAAAGGAAGCTTTTGACAGAGTGCATGTGGGCAAGAGAGAGCCGAGTACGTACGAGGCTATGGTTAGGGCGCATTTGACGGCTGAGGACCGGGAAGGTGCGAAGAAAGTCGTGCGCGAAGCGCTGGGAAGAGGCTATCCCAGTGCGGTGGCGGGCAAGATCGCGGATTTGGTTCGGTGACGATATCAGTGCGATTGAGAGTTTGCTGCATTGCGGAAGGCGTTTGATTTGCATTTGGAGGACATGGGTCAACGGCCACATTGCAACTTAGCGTAGGTGTTCAGGCGTACTTGATGCGGATGCCGCGAAGAACAACACGCTGGCTGGTGCACTGGGATGGCATTCGCGAGCGGCTTAATGTATGATTAGGATACCCGACCATCTCCACTTTGACTGGATCTAGAATGCTAGATCTGGGTAGGTAGCTTCTTTGCTAAATGCGAAGGCAAGTTAATACCAAGATGCTTTCATTGTCAGCCCCCGATTCTAGTCTATGTGTCGCTTACTCAAGCCATTTGCTGCTGCCGTAAGTGTTGCGGACGGCCCTGTGCCATCGACCGCAGTCATGGATCTCTAAGCTACCTACTAGGCAACCAGTCGAGGATTCGCAGTTGATGGTATGGACAGTCTCGCACCGCCGGCAAGACGGGCCGTGAGCAGCTGCGGAGGTCAGATCTTCCACCTCACCTCGTTGCAAACCTTCCCCTCTTCACCATGCATTGCATGCATCAAGCTCGCTTCTGAAAGCACAACAACTTGGTTGCGTGATCATGCGGACGACGTTGGACAGACAGGAGTCCTGATTTGCCAACGTTCTGCCACAATGGCGAGCGAAGCCTTCGAAGCGCGGGCGACCTAGCGTCTCGCATGTCTAGATGTCGCGCCCAGGTGGTATCCTTCCTCAACGACAGCCCCGGCGAGATCATCGGAGCAGGGAGCGAGTGATCTCATACGGGAGGTAGGCCCGTAATGCGGTTGTTTCCCGCAACGTACTGCAGGAACAGCATCGCCATGAATGCTTGATGACAGCGTGGCCTGCCATGCCTCTGGTTCTAGCAAGGATCTTGCTGACCTGCGTGGTTTAGTGGTAACGACCATGAAGTCACACCCTGCACTATCACAAGCGGAAGTGACACTGAAGGATAAGTATGCACGTCCAGCCTCCTCCTCCCATTACTTCCTTAGTCCGCATCTCTCTCACTTCGAACGGAAGATGGCATCCGTCATGGCGTTCAGCACGGCTGCTGCTTTGCTCTTCGCAGCGCTTGCATCTGCTCATGATTACAATATGACCCAGTGGCCCTCATGGACCACCACAAACGGCCCGCTTACGAGCCATGTGGCGGCTTCCAGCGGTAGTATGAGTACTTTCACGACCATCGCCAGCCTGTCGATGCCTTCCGGTGCTCCTTCCACGACTCCAGGCAGCGCTGCAACGAGTATACTAACGAGCACTTTGGCCTCCCTACTCAGCAGCTCTGGGAGCCCGGGTTCTTCGTTCATAAGCTTGGCCGGCGCTTCTACGAGCTCCATCTCCTCTTCGAGGGTGTCAACGGGTACAACAAACATGTCTGCAAGTGCAACAAGCGGATCGGTACGCCAACCTAGCGGCTCCGCAGGGTCTCAGAGCTCAATTCCCGCAATCACTGAAAGTACGCTATACTCTACGACAAGCTTCAACTTCTCAGCCGGGACAAGCACGTATTTGCCACTCACGGACTTCTCGAACGAGCAACTTGCCTTTCTGTGGGATCAAGTCGGCCCCCGTCAGACCGCAGCGATCACCACAACGGTCTCGCCTACTCCTGAGCCCTCGGTCTTCCCCAAACCCGGCAATTTACACGGTCTTGTTCCGGCATATCTTCAAGAAGTCGCAGACGCCAAGCTCCTCGATGACTTTCTCTGGGGTGTGGCTTCCGCAGCCTTCCAAGTCGAGGGCGCAGTCGATGCCGAAGGCAAAGGGCCGTCAGTGTGGGATCTGCTACCGCACCGCTGGGCGAACTCGATCGCGGACAACACGACTGGAGACATCACTGCCAACAATTACTACCTCTATAAGCAGGACAATGCGCGTCTGAAGGCTCTTGGTATCCAATCATATAGCTTCAGCATCGGCTGGGCCCGCATCTTCCCATTCGGCAGAGGGCCAGTAAATGCACAGGGTGTCACTCACTATGACGACCTATTTGCCAACCTCATGGACAACGACATAAAGGCAGTAGTCACCCTGTTTCATTGGGACACTCCGCTTGCCCTCTTCAATAGCTATGGGGCATGGACGAGCGAGGACATCGTCGAAGACTACTTCAACTACGCAAAGTACGTCATTACCCGCTACGATAAGTATGTCACGGCCTGGTAAGTACCCTTCCGAGTCTCGCATACTGCAGTTAGATGCTCATACACCCGAAAGGTACACTTTCAACGAACCACAGTACTGTAACTGGCGCTTCTCCACCTACCCATACGGCACAATCTTGCCTGATTATAATGGCATCGGCGTGGGAGGTGGTTTACGCGCTCGCTTCTTGTGTGGTCACTACACGCTGCTGGCGCACGCCACGGTCTATAAGTGGTACAAAGAGGTGTTCGGCGGCACTAAGCCCATGACTCACAAGACTTCTGCCAACTACATCTTGCCCAACAGTTCTTCCGCAGCTGACGCCGAAGCCGTGACCCGCCAGTACGACTTCGATATCGGCTGGTTCGGCGGTATGTGGACCAATGGCGACTACCCAGCTTCACTCAAGTCTACGCTGGGCGACCTTCTCCCCACTTTAACCGCGGATCAAATGGCCCTTATCAAAGGCTCGGGAGACTTCTACGCTCTTGATGGCTACACCGCAAACTATGCCGCCGCGCCTCCCAATGGTATCGCCGCCTGTGCCGCGAACAGGTCCGATCCGAACTTTCCAGAGTGTTCCATCACGTCGCCGCTGCAGCCGGACGGCTTTCCAGAGGGCCCAAACGCGGACGCTGGCGCATCATGGCTATGGAGCACACCACAGGCTATTCGGCCCTTCTTAAGCTTCATCACGAAAGACTATTTTCCGACAGTCCCGTCCATCGTAGTGTCAGAGTTTGGCTTCGCAGACCCGTGTGAAGCGTCTTTCAACAGCCCTTCGCAGATCTTGTGGGACCTTCGCCGCGCAGATTATATCCAAAGCTACCTTGACAACATCCTTGCTGCTCGGGTGCTTGACGGTGTCAACGTGACCGGCGCCTTCGCTTGGGCTATCTACGACAATTACGAGTGGAATAGTGGCTTGGGTACTAGGTTCGGCCTGCAGTATAACAACATGACAAGCCAAGAGCGCTACCCCAAGGCTAGCATGTTCCAATTCCTGAACTGGTTTCAGACACACGGCACGCTCGGCAGTGGTGCTGCGAACATCACTGCTCCCGTTGGGAAGGTGAAAAGGGAGTCGGCGTTTGGACAGCTGTAGGCGCGGAAAAAGGTACAATATCTAGTGAGTCGAAGGAGGTCGGTAGCATCGTGGAGCCAGATTGAAGTGAGATCCTTGATCGTATGGACGATGATTGCAGTATGTTTAGTGCGAAATACCTCACGGCAGCAATGTGTTCATTTAGACCTACAAGTCCAGATGTCGGTGAGATCTACAGGCAGCAATCGGCATCACGATCACGTGCGAGTCTATTAGCGCTCTAAACGTGAATCGCATGACTCGTGAGCTTGAATGATTTGGAATCGACACCCTGCCAAGTGGAGCGCGGCAACCGGGATCGACTAGTGGTGAGACTGGCGGACCGCACTTGCAGCGACGTACAGTACTTACGAAACGTACAGCAGGAGTCGGTAACTTGTCCATCATTATCAGATGTGGATATCGCCAATCATGTGGTCATATCTATGCAGTCCAGATGCCTGATGATGCCTCGCGACAACCCCGAGCAGCCGGATTGAAGGCTCTCATAGCGTCCCAGCAGCAGACTTAGCTGCAGACAGCTTGCTACGATCCGAGGCGTAACGTTTGTCTACTGACTAAATCCGATTACAGGGTCCTCAGATCCAGAACAATCCTTTGCACGTAGTCTACTTCTTGTGCACCCTGGGCAAGCTTAACTATGAGCAGCATGTGGATGGCGTCGAAAGTGAGGCTTCGGATCACCCTGTGTGTAGCTGCAAGAAGGGTAAATGCATTACGCAAGGAGCTGTTAGATTGCCTGCCCCTCCGCACTTTCCGGGTTGAGGATCTGCCGCAATCAGTAGGATTGAACCTGCATTTCAACGGCTAATTGCTCTCTTCTCTTCTTAGCCTTTCGATTGGCTGCTGTTGTACAATATCAAATCCATCATTGCTGGGGCTAAAGCGGAGGCGGCAGACTACTCGCAAATCATTGAAACCGGGCCTTTCGGGTGGTCTGGCCCGCTCCATGCTGGCGGTGCTTGTTATGCCGACCTCGTCAGTGAGGCTCCACCGTCCGCCTAGTGTTTCTGCCTCGACAGGTCAGACTTCGTTTCTGTCCCAAAGCATGTTCAAGATCGATCCATGCCCTGCAACTGGCCTTTGCATATCGTAGCGACTTTTCATGGTTCGGATCACGACATGCCGCTGGACGTAGCAAAATGAAGGTTCCCAGACTTTGACTCGGTTTCTTCGATGAACATGAGCTTTGGTGCGCTGCTGCGCTGAAGAGTTTCGATGGATACAACATGGCTGAGAATATCCTGATTTGTCTTGAGGCGCTGCTGCAAGAAGTGCCAATGTGGATTGCGGATTTGGACAGCATCCTGCAGCAGTCTAAAGCCAAACAGACGGAGCTGCTTATTGAACGTCAACCAGTGGTTACCTCATCCGAAGAGCGGTCGACAAGCAAGCACTCTCGATCTTCATCTCTGCGGTCTCGGCGAAGTCAGCAGAGAGTTGCGAAGCAGACTGCTGAGGAGCAAACGCAGGGTGTAGCACCGTTGCTCAGACCACAGCTACCGCATCTCACGGACTCAGATGCTTTGCGACTCTCGCAACGGAAGAGGAAGACAGCATCAGTACTCTCGGACCATTACTCCTCTCCAACGAAGTACCGGTCCAGAGGAATGGTAGTGGTTTATTACGACGGAGACACTCAGAAGCGGTTCGAAGCACTGGTGCGGGCCATCAGTGTACGGCGCAATGCTATAAGGAAGGAAGGCATGGGCCCCAAAGGCAACACCTGGTCGTGGGTCGGATCGAGCAGCAGCGGCACAAGCAGCAATGGCGAAAAGGACATAGACGCTGAGCTCTCGCGGATCGCGTACGACTCTCCAGTCCGCAAAGAAAGGCTTGCCGACGGCAAAGGTGACGGCAGCAAGATGCTCGACAAAATCGGTGTCCACTTGGAGAAGGCTCAGATGCTGTGCGAGCGAGCTGCCCATCAGGTCTTACGTGATGGCGACTGTGCTTTTGAGCTCAATCAGGCCAAAGAACACTTCGCCGGTGCCGTGGGCGTCGCTGAACAGGGACTGTTGAAAGTCAAGAAGACGACAGCCATCCCTGACGGGGATGCTGGGGAGCGAAAGGATGAAGCGCCACTCAAAGTACGAGCGAAGGATGAGAAGAGAGGTCAAGATCCTGCCATCGTTGTTACCTCCACTGCGTTCGAGACTCCGCCGCCACTGCCGGTAGAGATTCGCCTCGAGTCAGAGTCAGATCTTGAAGTGGACGACAGTGAAGGCGAGGCTGACTTTGCTGTGGATACAACGCAACTTGGGAGGTATCAAATGAGAAGCACGGGTTTGATGGCACATTGAACATCGCCTCGGGCTCTGAATGTTTTATTTTGCGTTCAAGCGTAGCTATGGGTAAGCGCGGCGTCTGGGCAGATTTTAGGAAGGTACGCTCGTCATGTCGCACGCATGCGTTGGCTTACAATCTCTTCGCACAAACTGCGAGTAATGGCGCATGCGAAGACGAAGCTGAGCAGGACGCTGTCCAAGCTACCACTCGTTAACTTGTCTATCGCTAGGCAACTCACTCCCTGCCATTACACTCTGGCACTATGGCAAGCAATGTCACGTTCCCACGCGTAACTCAGCGCGCTTTAGGTAACCTTCCGCCCTCCGCATTGTCCGCTCACGTCACTTCTCCTGCCATCATTGCATATCGTACAATCCCGGGCCTTTGAGGATGTTTGCGAATAACATGCAGCACTGATCAAGATGCCGCAAACCACCGGACTGAAGCCACGCGTGGAGTACATCGAGATCGACACAGAGGACAGGCCTATGGAAGGAACGCCGCGTTCAAAGGGCGTCCTTCGAGATCTAGATCCGAACTCGATCCTGCCGACTCCTAGCACGCAGAAGGCCACTGAAGTCGCATGTAGAACGATAGACGATTCGCCGCCCGCTGCGCAGCACTTAACACGCGCTGTCAGGAACGGTCGGTCAGCGGCCAACTATGACCAAAAGTACCATCCGATGGATGAGGTTACCAGACCGCTGCGCACCGCCAAACGGTATGGACGATCTGTGTTAGTACCACATAACAAAGCCGAGACAAGCGAGAGCGAATCTCCGGACCTCGATGTCAGCGACTCAGATTCCGACGGCAGTACCGAGAGTCAGCCAATCTCTCTCTCGACGCAGCCGCAACCGGATCCTAAGGCGACACGGCGTTCCGCACGTAGCGAAGCGAGGAAGTCTGTAGTCTACAATACCAAGGTACATCCACAGGACTATGCCCTGCCAGATCGTCGCCACAAAGTGTTAGCTTTAGCCAAGGCGAAGCGCAAGGCTGATCAACCGGACCACGAAGACGAGCAAGCCGTGCATGTGAAAGCAAGACGGTGCTCGCCAAGTGCCGGCAGCTCAGTCTTTGTTGAAAGCATGGGCCTTGGCAACCTGGACGACGCTGCATTCAGAGGTTTGCGAGCCGGAGACGGTTCCCTACCTGACGACAAGGACGAACACAATGCCGCAACGGACATCGCTGAACTCGAAGCTGAGACAATGCAGTCACAGCAACCACCTCGAGTGATCTTGACTGATCACGATGATGAAGATTGTTACCTAGGCTTATTCAACGTAGGCGCCAGATTATTAACGTATGATACCACTGACGTTGGTCCTTACGACGGCATTTCCGAGACTACATGCATTCTAGCAGCGGCCCCTACGTCTGCCGCAGTGGCTCCGGATGCCCGTGCGCCCAGTATCGGTCACGGAGAGGTCAAGCAGGCACTAATCAGGCGCAAGTCGATGGCGAGGAATGTTCGCTGTGCGAAGTCGATACGCCCGCCGCCCTTCGTCGCACCTCCCTTGAGCTGTGAAGGCACTACTGCCGTCTTGCAATCGACAAGTGGATTACGAGGCAGCACCGCAGCGGTCCCGAATACCGCAGTCATGAAGTCGGCGGCCGCTGTAAATTCGAGTGCTCCACCACTGGTTCCTTATGGGAGCCTAGATCCTTCTGCAACGGACATTAAAACTCAGAGCCATCCAGAAGATGCCGTGGATAGCTATCCCCCCTATATCCAATAACAGGCTGGCATATCTACGGAAAGTTTGCCGCCGACACAGGCAGGCGGAGCTAGCAGCTTCACTACATGAGGGTGACGCAGAACAGTGAAGGAGCAGCTCAATTGATCCGATCGACGAAAGCTGTTGAAGTGGGATGATAAGCGATTGCGCTGTGACATGCATTCCTATGCAGCTACAACAGCAGCTCATTTTCGTAACGCTGCTATTAGAACGTTGTTCGCGCAAGCCAATAGCAAGCGTGATTACCAGTGAGTTAGCATCACCGTAGCGATCTTTGCTCTCCGCGAGGCTGCCTTTGCTGCTATACAATCCTCGGTCCCCTCGGTTTCGCCAAGAGGTATGTATTTCACGCTACGAAGAAAAAGGCAGTTACAGGCGAGTTGGGACGCAATATATTCGGTTTTGCTCCCCTTTCACCTTCGTCGACTACACTCGGCTCACTAGATCAGTTCCATGTCTGCATACTCGTGCAATTTTCAACGCACTGCCACGTGTCGTTCTGCCACGCCAGCAGTGATAGGAAGCACAGCAGTAGTTGGCATGCATAGATTACGTCGATGCTTCGCCCAGTCATGCTATGTGTCAGTGGGCCTAGCAATCCCAATCGCGCTGATCCGCGACGTGGGGCAGGCTCTGGGCCGAATGATCGATTTATGAAGGCCAAGTAGGGTCGTCTCTTGTCTACTTCCCTATTCCTTTGTGGTCTTGTACAATCGTCGAATCAGTCGAACCAAGGGTTAACTGTCTACATTGTCCTCCAAGCAGTACTACGACCAGAACGCAGATCGACTCCAATCTTCACAACTCCGCTTGCGGTCCAGACATATCAAGAGTATTGATGTCGGGTCGCATCCAATACCATAACATTCTCCCAGCAGGCCGAGCATTCATCCCGCTGAGTAGTAGTCATTGCAATAATACGCAATTATGGAAACATCGATCGCCGCTGCTGCCGCCGTCTCCATCGAGCGAATGGAGCCAGCCATAAGTGATCACACTGCTCCAGGTACTTTCAAACGGTTTGACTCTGTCATGGGAGACGGCGCAGTAGCGGCCAGCGGCGTCCGGGTGCTCGGCCTGCACGAATGGAGGGAGGCTGCAGTTACCTTGGCTGAAGCGTTCGCCGAAGACCATACATGCGAATACGTAAGACTCACAACGCAGAGCGTTTCGGTTAGCGCATCCGGTGTCTGATACGCTGTTGATAGTTTCTCAATACTCCAGATACCGTGCACTGGACTAAAGAACAGAAATGGTAGCCCTTAGGTTGAATGCAGTGTAAAGTCATGAGCTAACATCGGCAGGGTACGTCTCTCCATATACAGCCACAATACCCGCATCTGTTGCTTGACCTGAGTGCTGCAATGTGGTCTTCATGCGGAGAACATCGGGACTCGAAGTCTCGAATCCATATCAAGCGCTCTCCGTCAGTGAGCGAAATGCTGATGTGTCGTTGACCACAGGAGGTCCATTTGAGCATGATGCAGTATATCGTGTACGCGCACCTTTTGAGTGGGCTGGTGGTGTCTGCAGGTCCCGACTATGTCTGTGTCGCTCTATGGTGAGTCTCCAGTCTGATGGGAGCATGTGTTTCCACATCGACATGGCTAATCGATGCGAAGGATGCCACCTGGAAAGAACATGGACGACGTGGCAACAATCCTTCGGAGCGGTATGTGGCGCCTGAACTTCCAGCTTTCTAGAGAGGGCAAGAAGCGCTTCTTCACCGAGTTCCTACCCTTGCTGCACGACACCAAAGCCCAGGTCTTGGCCGAGCGCGACGACGAAAGCTGGTACCTCGTCTACATCGGTACCAAGCCATCTGGCCGTGGGAAAGGCTATGCCCGCGCCGTGATCGACTATGTCACGAGTATGGCGGATGCGGAGGGTCGCGCTTGCTATCTAGAGAGCAGGTATGGACGCTAAGCTTGCGATGGTTGTCAAGCGTGCGGGACTGACTCTGTTGGCTTTCAGTCATCCGGTGAATCGCATCATATACGGCAAGCTCGGGTTTGTGTTCAAGAAGAACATCTACCTGCAACGCGCTCACGAGCACGTTGAGCTTGACATCATGGTCCGAGAGCCGACGCATGAGAAGGCCAAAGCCGCGTTAGGACTGGCCAAAATCTGAATCGTTGTGGGAACCGAGGAGAAGATGTAGTCGGTCGGGACTATACAGAATGCAAAACGGAAGAGAACCAGATTGTCATCAGGGTCGTGTATGCGACGAAAGTAACCTTTCTTTTCAGCATCGCATAGTGGAAAGTCTAGATACAGCCACGCAGCTACAGACACCGCCCTCCTGCAGCAAACGTGCCAAGCAAGCAGTGACTCCATGCACATACACCCAATGCTTCCCACCAACGCCAAACCAAAGGTGACAACTGCTTTTTTCACGACCAGACATCCTGCAGCACAGTCAGTAACTCGTGCGGAACCAAGCGAACAACAGTGGATACACACCTCTTGGTAGAGGTTGCTCGTCCGCATCTGCTTCACAATGCTCTCTGCCTTCTCCTTCGGAATACCTCTTTGCTCCGATATAATTTGTGCCAGCACCTCGTTGACCTCACGTGCCATGTTTGCGGCATCACCGCAGACGTAGAAGTAACCCTTCTGCTCAAGCAGCTTGTTGACCTCCTCAGCCTTTTCCTTGAGGCGGTGCTGCACGTAAACCTTGTTTGGTCCTTCTCGCGAGAAGGCGGTGACGAGCTCAAACTTGTCGCCCATATCTTCCGCGTATTGCTGCGATCAATGTCAGCTTCAACGCCCTTTGCTGCAGCGAAGGTTTGCCAGACGTACCTTCCATTCGTCTGCGTACAAGAAATCATCACGCGAGTTGCGGCAACCGAAGAACAAGATTGTCTTGCCCACGTTCTCACCGTTCTTAGCCTGCTGTGCCCGTTCCTGCACGAAACCACGGAACGGGGCAACGCCGGTACCAGGACCCACCATTATGACAGGTCTTGATGGGTCTGACGGAAGCTTGAAGTTGGAGTGCCGGACGTGGACCGGAACGTGGATGCCATCGTACTTGTTGCGTGGACCGCCGATCGCGTAGTCCAGGCCATGAGGATCCGGGTGGGGATCACCGTGTTGCTTCTGCTTCAGAGCAAGCAGGTAGTTGGTCGTGACGCCCTTTACGACATGCGGTGCACCCACGGCCTCGAGCGATTCGACAACGGCAGTGATGGAGATCTTCTTATCCTGGACTAGCGAGCTGGAGGAGATGGAGTAGTATCGTGGTTGGATCTTGTTCAGAGATTCGATGAAAAGTGTAAATGGGATCTTCGTCCACTTCTCGCCATTACCCATTGCCTCGAGGAACTGCGCAATGTTGTAGTTCTTGGATGCGGCATGCTCGTGAAAGTAGTCCTTGTCGCTGCCAATCTTGGTGATTTCGGCTTTGATGGTCTCGTTCGGCGCAAACTGGGCAAGAGACGACACGAATTGGCGAGAAAGGCCAGCACAAATCTCGAGGTGGTACCGCACCACAGTGTCATATGTGGTTGGAGATGGGAAGGGTACCTTTGCAGTGGCGTCCAGGCCTTTTACAGCAATGACCATATGCCGCTTGTCGGTCAACCCAAGAATGTTCAGGAACCGATCGACCTCCTTGCCGGCATTCGTAGGCCAGATGGCGATGTGATCGCCGGTGGTGTACGACAGGTTTGAGCCAGAAACGTCAATCTCCATATGCAAGCAGTTGCGTGTCTTGTCATTGAAAAGCTCCTTCGACTCTGCAATGGGCGCAATATATGGGTTATGCGCATTGTACGGACCTTTGGAGTGACCTTCCAAGTGGTTCTTGTTCGGCTCGCCCAGGTACACAAGGTCGTCATCCGCGCTCATATCTGGCTTCTCCGTGACCTCATATACCGGCTCGTAGACTGCTTCGCGCTCCTCAAGGTTCATCGCCGAGCTCAATGCAGCCCACATCGGTTCCTTCCAGGCCAGGAAATCTTCTTCCATTGTGCCAGCGCCATCGTCACCCTCCCCAGCGTCTCCGATGCGTTTAGCGCCAAGGCGGTCCATGAACTTCGTGAGGTTGCGAACCATGGAGTTATAGTGCTCGTACGTGTTGTTACCTAGACCGAATGCGACATATTGTAGGCCCCCCAGCGCCTTCTCCTCAATCCCACCCTTCTCGCTGAACGACACATCCTCGCTACTGATGAATTCGTAGAACTCCACGGCGTTGTCTGTCGGCTCACCCTCGCCGTACGTGGCAAGGACGAAGAAGGCCACCTTGTCCTCGGGGAATTGATCGAGATTGTCGTAGTCGTAATCCTCTAAGTCCGCCGTCATCGTCTTTAGGCCGAAGCGAGACGAACCTTCCTTTGCCAGCCGAGATGCATAGTCCTCGGCAGTGCCCGTCTGCGATCCATAGAAGATGACACAGTTCTTGCCGGACTCGTCCATCTTCTCGAGGATGTTCCTGCTCTTGCCCGCCTTGCCGACAGTGCCGTTTGCAAGCGAGGTGGCATAGGGATCCTTCTGAACAGCCCAGTATTTACCCTTGGTGAAGTAGGCGAGCGTGCCCAACAGTAGCACCACCAGGACGAGGATGTCCATCGTATCTAGTTGGGCCATCTTCGCGGAGCGGCCTCACCAATGGCTGAGATGTTGACTCTGTTTGACGCAAGCGAAGTAAACAGCCTACCAGCTTATGGAGGCCTAGAAGCTTTTTATTTAGGGTCCTGGCACTGATCGATGCGGCTGACTCGGGCGCTGATCTGATTGACGGTCCTATACGGCTTGAGCGGCTTCAAGAGTGAGGGTGGTTGTCGAAGAGTGATTCTGCTCAATCGCAAACAGACGAAAGTCAGCAACTGTACAACGCTGCCATCTGGATCAATGCCGAAATCTGTCCGTTCGGGTGGCGTGGGGGGGCTTAGTGCATGTGAAGCTGGCGAACTCTCCACCTGCGCGGCTCCCAACGATGCGACTGCCGATGCGTTTTGTGTGTATAAGGAGAAGTCGGACATCCGGATGAGGGCGTTCCGAAGACGATAGGTAATGCGGCACCGTTTGCTATATACAGTACGCTTTTCATCCCTATACGCTGAACCTTACACTTGGCCAGTCAATGCTTGTAAAGTCGATCACCGCTGCTCCACAGACGTCCGAGTCGAGTCGTACCAGCGCGGAACGCTGCGCGGCCGAAAGCTCTCCGCCAACGCCCATCACCGATTTCGGTCTCGTTGAGCGGCAAGCATGGCGATTCTGGTACATCGTGTAACGGTAACACGCCGCCGATGTTCGCTACACATCTCGGTCACGGGAATAGAAACGTTCGACATATCCGATTGCGGACAATATGGGGTTGCAGTAAGACTTGATCATTCTACGCTTTCGCTTCCGCCACTGTAGCCTCCCTATTGACGCTCGTACCGCTGCTCACTATGCCGGTATCGTCATGCCTTGCACGCTCCTCTGCCATTCCATGTGTGATCTCGCTCTTCGGCATGAAGGCAGCCCAATCTGCCTCACCTATCTGCTCATCGAAGAATTGATCAAGGTCAAGTCCTCTCATTTCGGCCTCTTCGCTCACGCGGAGTTGCATTCCAGGGATGTATTTCAGGATGAGGAGCAATATGCAGCTCATGACGAAGCTATAAGCTGATATGGCAGTGATCTCAGCGAACTGCTTGCCGACTTGCACCCCATTGTTGTTCCAGCCTCCCGGAGCGAGCGTGGCGCCGTCCAGGGCCGAGATGGCTTGATCGGCGAAGATGCCAGTCAGGAAGCTGCCAATCATGCCGCCCACCCCGTGGAGCTTGAAGACGTAGAGGCCCTCATCGATACGCAGCCAGTCATTTAGGTCTTGCAGGCAGGCACAGACAACGGCAGTAAGGAAGCCGATAAGCGCGGCAGGCCAGCAGGAAACGTAACCTGCAGCGGGAGTGATGCCAACGAGACCGGCAATGGCACCTTCGCATGCGCCGACAACGCTGAAGCGTCCGCCTGTGCGAATGTAGTCGACGAGTACCCAGCCGATGGCACCCGTGCTGGCGGCGGTGTTGGTGTTGAAAGCAGCATACATCGCGCGGACGGTTGCGTTAAGCGCAGAGCCTCCATTGAAGCCGAACCATCCTAGAGCGTTTATCAGTACATACCGCTCGCTTCCTACGAGAGACAGCAGATGTGCTTACCGAACCAGATTAGGATAGTACCTAGGAACACGAGCGTCGTGTTGTGAGGCTTGGCGTGACTCTTCTCGCCCACATGCTTTCTTTTTCCCAGTACGAAAGCATACGCAAGTGCTGCCCATCCAGATGCAACGTGCACAGGCCCACCCCCGGCGAAGTCGAGAGATGGTAGTTGGTAGAGCCAACCGTTTGAGTTCCACGTCCAGCAAGCAATCGGACAGTATACGATCGTAGCCCAGAAGAAGCCAAAAACCAGAGACGGCACGATTCTGCCTCGCTCAAACGAGCCACCGACCACAATCTGTACTGTACATGCGCAGAAAAGCATCTGATACAAGCAGAAGACTATCTCCGGGATGTACGGGCTGCCTGGGCTCGGGGCAGCTTGCACCTTCATCATTCCGAAGTTCGCAAGGTCGCCAATGAACGGTCCTGCGGTACGAGAGTAGGCCAGACTGTAACCCCAGAACATCCATTGGAAAGTCGTAACGGCTGCGACCATCAGACTTTGGAACAGCAGAGACAGACTGCTTTTGCGGCGCGCAAGACCACCGTAGAGCAGACCGATGCCGGGAATGATGAGCCAGACAATGAAGCCTGCAAATTGAGAACTGAAGCGTTAGCGGTGTCGTAAACAGTAGGCAAGGCTTGTGCTCTTTAGATACGTACCGCAGAAAACAAGATAGACGTAGTGAAATTCGAAGCCAGCATATTGCGCGTTGACGTCGACTTCGGCGTTGCGACTGTTTCCTCCCCAAGGGTGAGCTGCGTCGAATGCCGGCTATCTCGTACGTTAGTCGAACCTCATTTAAAAGCCCGAGTCAGAATACTGGACCTACAGTAGTTGCCATCGTGAATGTCACGCCCAGTAGAAGGGTTGTACACCGAGAGCGAGAGACGGGGAGCAAGGGAAGCAAGAGCAAATGGAACACCTACCGCCTCCTTCACTATTTAGAGGTCCAGGTATCTTGGCTGTTGAACCCATACCCACCAAACTGGTGGCCGCCACGGCCACGCGATGGTCATGTTGGCGGCGGACAGTGCTACCAAGCTTAGCAAGATAGGGTCGTCGACCGGTATCTCTAATTCGCTGGGCGATGCTTGAATCGTAATTGGACCGACTTGGCACAATTGAAGTGGAGCAGATAGCACGCGAGAAGTTCGAGAACGTTGAGTCGCAAGGGTGATGTCCGGGTCAAGGCGTAGGAAACCTTTGCAGGAAGGGGAATAGTCGCCGACGAAACGCTCGGCAGGAGCCGTGGCATGCATCTCGGTACGGCAGAGATATGATAAGACCGTTGGCATTGCTAGGCGTGTCACGTAAGCTGAAAGGGATGATGTGGTTCGATTGAACGTTTACGCGAACAAACATGAGTGCTACACTAATAAGTCACAATAGCGTATATGAACGATCTGACGTCGTCCTCGTCGATGCATTGCGCGCTTTAACCGAAGCGTGTTCCTCCCGTTTCCGCTTTGCCGATGCAACATCTAAGATGCCTTCACCGGCGTACTGTTGCTGTTGCGCCCCTTGGCCGCCTTCGCAGAGTTCGGCGTCTTCTGAAAGCTGGTTTGCCTCGATCCAGCATTCGACGTAGTTGTAGTACCAGGCGAGGTTGAACCACTGTTCCCTTTGCCCTCTTTGCCCTTGTGGAACTTGCCAGATGACTTGCGGTCATGGAACCCGCTTGACTTGCGCGAGCTGTTGGTCCCGGCCACACTTGCATACCTAACAAGCCGGTTGCTGTCCTGCAGCTTCGTGCCCGGAAGCTTGATAAAGATGCCCTGTGGATTTCTAGGCCACAAGAACCCTAGCCAGTCCGGCTCCGTTTGGGTCACCGGAGCATTGGCAGATCGTCCATGCGTTCGGTCGCGGAACATGCGATAGACGCCCGGGTCATATATAGCATTCCTCGGCATGCGTATGTCGGGCAAGGAACCAAAGCTGCGCTCCTCGGCGAACATCTCGTCGATACCCGGCTTTGAAGTCACGTCGTCGCTGTCATCGATCACAAAGCCTCCCTTCGTTGGGGCAGTCTTAACCTGCGACAGCGGCAAAGACACTGTTGCAGCAACAGCCGACGTCTCTTCCATGACAGCCCTACTAGCGGCCGCAACGGCGAGCACCGGATCCTGTGCTTTTGGTGGCGTCCCGGGTGGCGATGGCGGGACCTCTGTCTGGATCGGTGTGCGGTTGAAAAGTCCATTGAACCGTGCCTGCCACTCATTGTTCTGAACCAGAGGTCTTACAACGCCTGGTGGGCCCCAAGCCTGCAGATGGCGCTGATGTGCGCCCGACAACGGTCCTGCCAGCGATTGCTGCTGCAGATAGGGCGATGTTTGGGTGGCAGCGGGTGGAAGCTTGACGACAGGAGGCGGTTGCGGGAATTTAACCCGAGGATGTCCGTAGTCGCCCGTGAAAGCGGGATGCTCTGCAGTCTCCGGAGGTGGAGGTGACCGGTCCTTGACGGATGCTATGGGGACTCCCGGCAACGGACCTGTAGGATAGTGCACATGGCTGTGGTACGCTGTCACAGATTGCGCGGGCGCAGACGGGGGAGCAATAGGCGGTTGTTGCACGGGCAACCCGCCATGAGCGGGATTGAGTGAGCCGTCAGGTATGCGGACAGTATTCTCGACTGCGGCCTTCCACGGTTCGTTGAGTGGTGAAGCGGTAGGAACAGGCCCTATGGGCTGAGTCTGCGTGCTGGGGGGCGCCGGGCTGAGCGTCGACACGGCGCGTGAACCTTGGGCATCGTGCACAATGTACTCGGTCTTGTCGTACCGTCTTGGGCCTCCAAGCTTGCCGCCAGCCGAAGTTTGCTTGAAGGTCTCGCGGATCGTCTCATCACGTGGTGGCACAACTGGAGCAGGCATGCCTTCCTGCTGCTTACGCTCTGCTGCCTCCGCATCTGCGGAGTACTGATGTGGGAGTCTTGAGGCTGCATTGTTCCAGGCTGAGATCGCATCTGGGCGTGGCGCCGGATGCTGGGCCTGCTGCTGCGCGCGAGACGGCGGTGCAATCGGTCCGGGAAGATGAGTCGAGCGACCGAGACCTGGAGCTGGCGACATGCCAGCATGTCGTGACGCCCCCCAAGCATGTTCTGGACGAGACTCTAGCCCTGGCGGTGGGAAAGTCCGCGTTGATTCAGCCGGCGGCTGTTGCTGTAAGCTTGGCGAACGAGCATCTTGACCGAATGTCTGCGGCGAGATGCGCGTTGAGCCTGGCGGCTGTGGCATGCCTGGAGCATGTGGCAGTGGCAACCCAGACGTCTGCGACATTGGTACTGGTGCGAAGTTACTAGCCTTCTCGAACGTGCCGTTACCAATACCCGACGAGCCCCACACATTGCCGTTCGGAGCTGGCGTGCTCCAGGTCCCAAATGTATCATTGGGTGCGAAAGGCGAGCGGATGAATGGCTGCTGCTTGCGGTCTCCGGGCGAGGAGTATGATGACGGCGGAGCCTTATATGGTGACTGTTGCGTACCATGTGGCGTGCGTGAGGCAGTTCCTGGCGACAAGTGAGCACGTAGCGGCTGCTTTGCCCCTTGGTCCGCAGCGGAGATGGGTAGCTCTGAGAGTCCAGTGAGTGGCTGTGAACGAGGAGCAAGTGGTGACGGCAGGATTTCTTGTGGGGGCTCTTTCGGAACCGCGGATGCTGGCAGAGACTGATCTTCGAGAGCGGGCGCCAATTCCGCTGAGACCTCCGCCGCTTGTGGTAACACCGCTGGCGGCTCTTCAGAGTTTGTGCCTGTAGTACGTTGCTGGTCTGTTGTTTGATTGGTCAATGACTCATTGTCATGAGGTACGGTGGCGGCAGCGACAGCTTCAGCCTCGCGCTCCTTCTTCGACTTGCCGGCGCTCTCCAATGCGGCAAGCTTCGCTTGAAGCCGCTCACGCTTCTCTCGCTCCAAGCGCTCCTCTTCCTCCTGCCGCCGCTTGCGAGCCTCTTCGCGCTTTTCGCGCATGATACGCTCTTGAGCCTTGAGTGGATCTTCAAGACCGTGCTCTGCTTCCATCCCAGCTTCCGGCTGCGGCGGCATCTGCTGGTCCCAGGCGGACTGCTGTGAAAAGGTTGGCTCTTGCGGCTCGTTCCTGGCCGACATCGGGGAGGCGCGCAGGTCGTGTGCTGTCGCAGTACTCTGCCGTCTCTCATCCTCCGGCGCAGGTGATAAGTCTGAAGGATGTGATACAGACACAGACATGCGTCTGCCTGGCGGAAGACTGCCGTGACTGACGCTCGAGCCCCGACGACGACTCCAGGATGCACCGTCCACCTGGCTGCTCGTCCGTGACTGGAACGCGGGGGAAGTTTCAGCAGCGCCCTGCCCGGTTTGAGATGATCTATGCAACAGAGACGTCTTCCGCGCGATTGAGTCTGGCCTAATGGAGCCACGCCTTCCTTCCGCAACTGGTTCGTACCGGCCGTTTGCGGAATTGAACAGCTCACGCGGCGCGCCTTCACCTTCATGCCACGATCTGTCGAATGTATCCGCCGCAATCTCACGCGCCGGTGTCGGCGAAGGCTGCGGCTCGTACATGCGAGCATCCTGTGACGGCAGAGGTGCAGACGGCATGGGCTGTTGAACTGGCGGATTGATAAGCGGTACAGCTTCGACTGCCGGAAGCTTTGCCCAAGGTGACTTCACCGGAGGAGCTGGAGCAGGGCTCATTGGCTTCAGTGCGGGCTTCTCTCCTGGTGTCGGAGACGGCGCGGTGCCATTGGGCTGTTGCTTGGCTTGTTGCGCACCCGAAGTTGACTTCAAGATCACTTTAGGCGCACCGCCTTCTCCAGGTCTCTTTACGGCCAAAATTGGTCTTGCTGTCTCAGCAGGTCTCACAGCTTGCGGCGCGGACAATGGTAAATCCTTTTGGATCGGCGTAATCTCCGATGGCGTCAGCGTGGACTTCGTGCCGTCCATCCAAACGACAGTCTCTGGCGCCCAGTCATCCTCATCATCATCAATATCTGCCCATTTCGGCACTTCCTTCCCATTCTCGTCGGTCTGCAAGCGAGTAGCAAGGTGAATACCATATTGCTGCTTGAGCTCCTCATCAGTGAAGTGCTTCGGCGGAGGCGGCGGGACCGGTCGGTTTTTGTTCCACACTTTGCTTGCGTCCGGTCCTCCTGCTGGCACGGCGCCAGTTCTCGGCACACCTTGGAGCGAGCTAGCAGTCTTCGCCACGAGGCGTGGTTTGAGTGCTGCTGGCTGTGTCGAGGTAGTAAGTGGACTTGGCTTCTCTCCAATCTTTGGCGCGGCTGGTACTGGTGACGCAGACTTCGCCATGAAGTTCTTCGTGACCGACACCTTGCTGAATGTGGGAGCCTTCCTAAGCATTGTCGATTTCATGTTGTCGCCTTCCTTCCTCTCCGCGCCATCTGCGCGACTTCCTTCCGTATCCGAGGCGATGCTAGGCTCTGCCGAAGCTTCTGCAGCCAAGCTACCTTCTTCCGGCTTGAGCGCAGCGTCCCCAGCACTTGGTTCAGCTGCTCCTCCGAGGATAGTCTCTTCGGAGACCGATAAATTGGTATCTGTAGCCGCTTCATTTGCAGATTTGGCATCGGAAAGACCTTCCGGTAGTGTAGCTGTGGTAATAGTGGAATTGGTGCCGCTTACGGCAGACTCGATTTCTTTGTGGTTCGCAGCAACGCCAGCAGGCACCGAGGTGCCCGCCGACTCGGAGTTAATCACCACATCGTGGTCAATTTGCTCTGCCATAACAGTCCCGTAGGCTATGGTGCAAGGCGGGGAAGTCAGCGGGAACGCGTGGCTCGGCGTGTCGCAGGACACTCAAGCTGTTCACTCGCAGGGAGCACCTGCGAGTGAAACGGCGACACCGTACAGAGCATATGACTCACCTAATTTCACTCACTGTTCGCCAGGACGTCGGTGTCGTGTGCAGCCTCTACGTCAGGCTGGAGCGCCTTTCTGCTCCCGCGCTCGCCTTGTTACGGCGAGTCGTGTGCTGCCCGAGGATGGGTCTTCAGCCGCTAATGTCTGGAGCAGAGTAGAAGAAGTAGTCTTTGCGCGCGTAGTCGGCGTGAAGGAGGATGGATGTGAGTGTTTCATCAAAGGAGCCTCGTCCAGGGCGTCCGCTACCCGGAAGGTCCGTGCACGCCAAGCCTTCCGCGCCGAAAGGGCGAAGTGGCGTTTGTGGCGCACCAGTCACCGGTCCATGTCGGCTGGAAGAGCAACACAGACAGTTTGGAACGAACAGTGTAAGGAGACGTAGCTGATGCACGGAGTGTAAGTTTGAGGACGTAGGCGGCTGAAGACTGCCTACAGTGGTACATGCAGTAAAGACCTGCAAAACCTCAAGCGGATATACGAGTCGCGCACCTGGTTTTCCCTTTATGCACCAGACACTGTGCGGAGTGAAGCAGTATGCTGCAGATTTGAAGGTCATGGTTTACAAAAAACGCCTGGATCGAGGTTCTTTGAAGTCGTTACCGCGTGGAAGAGTGTAAACAGGCGAACGTGCCTTGCAGTGCTGGATTGATCGGCTTCGCCAAGGTAGTAGTTACATGTACATGCTCGCCTGCTCCCGTTTCGAAGTCTGCTGTCGCACGCTATTCCTACGCTTCTCCAGCTCAATGCGCGTTGTTCTTGTGGTGTCCTGCACGTTCATCAGCATCAACTGCATCACTGCCGCCAGGATAGAGTGCGTACGCAGATGGAAGTAGTAGTTCTGTGCGTAGCCGATGACGAGCATGCCGCCGATGATGTGTACGAGCGCTGGACGTTGTCAGCTCTCCGTGTAAAAAGTGGCCTGCAGTAAGAGTGCCTACGCATGACAGATGGGTTGCGGCCAGTCATATATCTCAGTCTGTACCAATCGAAGAAACCCTTTGCTTTTGGTTCCGGAGCTTTCCCTCGCGGTAGCCTCTCGTAGAAGGAGACGACTCTTTGCATGCGGGCGGCATCCGCGGCGCCGCCGATAGCCTGTGCGCCCTCAAGTTAGTATGTCTGTACACAGTCCGGGTTTTCTCTCCATAAGGCATTTGTTCGGTTTGCTGTGGTGGTCTTCGGGATATCTATGTATGCGAGTACGGTCGGAGACTGGAGGTCGGCGCGAATAACTCACGGTTGGAGAGGCGATCTGTCGAAGAGCTTCATCAGCACGGCATCAAATCATAATCATATACTCCGTACGTACCTTTGGGGGCACGATCGAGGATACCATCTTTGCGAATATGGTACCAAGGTGGTGATACGCTAGGGAGTGCAGCAGGTGAAGCTTGCGGTCTCAATGAAGAAGCGGAAACCCCCGGAGGCCCGAGCGCCCTTTCTACGAAACCACGACCATGCGCTGCACCATAACGAGTGCACACACGCTGTAGTTCAGCATGGCTTCATTACACAGAGCAGCGACCAACACGCTACGCTCCTCGGCTCGTCCAACGATCTCACGGCGCGTTCCGGCTCTTGTACGATGGGAGACAGCCGGACATAACCCTCCAGCAGCAGCAGGCGGCCAAGCAGGTAGGCCCTCTTCGTCGCCAGACGAAGCGCCGGACAAGCGAGCCGGAAAAGCAGCGACATGGAGTATGGTCAGGCAGGAGGACGCGGGCGAAGGTCAACCAGCACATAATCCCGACTACAACGTAGCAGCGGACTACCGGACATCGTAGGTCGAGGGCTACTTTATGGAGGGAGACGTACCGGCTAACACGAATCAGGGCATTCTCCCCGATACCGCGACGAGTGATGGATGGTAGTGAGGATGGCCTCGATACCCCAGCTGCGGTGTTGTCGGGCGCACCAATAGACCTTCAAGCTCGGACTGTCCGGTGAGCAGATATGATCAGATCTATCACAAGCCCTCGAGTTTTGGCTAATTCTATGTTGCTAGTATCTACCGACCAGCCAAAACCGCCACCCAGTCCGGCAATTGGCACTCTCACCAGTGGCGCATGGATTGGGACGTTTTGTCGAAAGGCCACCGTTGGGAGAATCCGCTTATGGGCTGGCAATCCAGCGCAGACTTCATGCAGGGCACGCATCTCAACTTCAAAACCAAGGATGATGCCATCAACTTTGCGAACAAGCAGGGTTACGAGTACTTTGTCCAGGAACCTAATGAGCGGAAGATGGTTCCGAAGGCGTATGCTACGCAGTTTGTGCACAGTGCGAAGAAGCTGAAGGAGGTTCGGACGAAGTAAGCCTTATTGTTAGTTCATGGTTGTAGCGGCGTTCAAGGCGACAGTCTTCTACAACTTTCGCCAGCAGCAACGGTGATATACAGACTAGCATCAGTGCTTGGCAGAACGCAGCCAGAGATTTGCACAAGCGCACATAGTCTTTAGAGCTCACAGCATTTATTAGCTGCTCACTTACTACCTTCCACGCTTATTCTTCAAACTTGCAACAGTGAATGCGGTGTTCTTACGTGAGACGCCGTACATCCATGGCCCGAGCGCTAGTCGAGCATCTCCAGATCGATCACAACATCTCCACGCATGCTTGGATTGTGATAGCGTCCACCACAGCAATCAAGAACCTTTCATCCCAGGATCACAAAAGCCCTGCGACGCGAGCGAATGTGAGATGAAACCAAGTCATTCGGCGGTACGGGGAGCTGCCGCGGGCTTCGGCTCCTGCTGTGCTGTGCTTAAACGACGTGTAACCATGCAGCAGTCTGCATCCTTAGCTCCCCAGCCGTTATCCGAGTACCTGGAAAGTGAGAGTAGAGCTGTCAGATTTCTAGAACCTACTTGTTCATCACGGGTGGAAATCAACAGTGGCTGAGGCCACGGTCTCAGCAGACCCGCCTTGCGCGACGGTTCTGATGTTTGGCTTGATACGGAGATTGTCGAAGCATCCAGAAGCCGCCTCACGCAGTCTTCGGCCGCACAAAGGAGTCCGGGGAAGAGAAATTCTGCAGACGCTGCATTGCTAACCCCCCTGTCTGCCTGTACGGCCAGCGCATAGTCGCATGGTGCGGGTATGGTTCAAACGAGCAGCATCTACGTTCGACGAGCATGCAGCGATCCGCCGGACGCGGTCTGGAAGCCTTTTTCTGCATGCTTGTATCAGTGAATACAGGTATCGTATCGTTAGCGTGTGGACATTTCCCGCGAGTGATCTGATGAGTCAAGAATGTCAGAGGTCATGACAGCTCCGAAGGATGAACGCATATGCAGCCGTTATGGACCTCCTGCAGTCGAGGAAACCGGGTACTGCTGGTAAGAATATGCAGGTACACAGATCTTCAAACAGCCAGCTTCGCTCATTGTTCCGCAAGGTGAGCTTCCATACAGCGTAGCAAGATTCAGCTGATGTCATGCCGGCCTACTCAACGTGAGACTGATCGCAAGCTTCGTGCCTCTACGCTTGCAAGGCAGACGAAGCATCTCGGTAGCGAAAGCTAAATCTGCCTTTGTCACAATGGGAAGGAACGAACCGCAGGGTAAGCTGCCTGACGTTATCGACATCACTTGCACGTAAACGACATTGCTGCAGATACTACTTGAGGTAACAGGCGCTCGGTAGCATGCTCCTGCAACCATGTGCTGTCGTGAAATAAACGGAGAACAATGGTCGCGCGAGGTGGACAATGTGCTCAGCTGCCGGTGATCGAGAGCAGACCTCATAAATGGTGGCGTCCGGGCTGGTGGGACGTCTGTGTCGCGATCATGTGGAGTTCGCAGGCGATGCGATGTCGTAAGGTAAACAAAGACGGCTCGGCTTGCAGGCGTAACAACACCGCATCGTCCCCTGCGTGTGACAGACTACAAACGCCGTGTACAAAACAATCGACTGCCTCGAGCATTCAAGACAGGATCAGATCACTTATTCCCAGACGATTACACCGTTGTTGTCTGCCTATCTCTCACAGACATCCCTATCCTGCTTACCCACTCACGCCACTGCTGCTTATACGCTGCTTCCGGCTGCTGTTGCCTTCCACGAAGTTCACCTGACCGATAGTCAGGACCTGCCAAGACATCACCGATACCAGCTTCTTCTCTCTGAGACCTCACTTCCACTTCCATCGCACCCGGACTTTCTCTGCGTGACGCTATTGCTACCGCTAGCTGGACGGAGGAACAATCCAGGCCGTGAAGTCTTTCTCAGGTACGAGAAGCTCTTTCCTCACTCAACTCAGCTACGGCCCGGGCACGGCTTGCGTCAACACTCCTCCTTGGGTCATCTTTTTTCCTCTCCTCTTCTTCCTCACTCTTCACACACCCACGCAGATTGCTTTAAAACACCCGTTTCTTCCCATTGTATTGGACCGTTGACCAGCATCAGCAACAGCCTTGTCACTCCTTTCACCCGGAACCGCCAGATCAACATCGTCTTCGTCATCACGACCAGCATCAACGAGCTCAGTAGGTGAGTTACTCCGCCAGTCTCTACTTATGCAGCCCCCTTCACACTATCAACAGCAGACAAGTGGTCTCCATCTACGCCATCGCCTGCAGACTCATTCCCAACCCTGCATTACCCACAAATCCAGCTGACCGTGCTCAGACAAGCCACGCTTCACAAGGTGTAAACTTGCCAGCACGTACCGCAAGGCCAACAAGTAACACGGTAAGCGCTTTCTGAAGGTCATCTTCCCCTCCGGCAAACACGATGCACCGGTCCTGGCCAACATATACCCAACGAGCAACTGCCTTTCAACTTTCCTGGGCCTCTTAATCACCATGCATTGCATTACAGCAGTGCTGACACTGATGCTGAATTTGCACGCACGAATGGATCGCTGACCACGTCCCAGCAATGGCTGCAAACTCAGACACGAAGAACCTTGGGTACAACCGCGCTGGCAACACGTACGGCACGGATAATATGTACAGCAGCCAGTACGGGCGTGGACAAGGCTACGGAGGCATGCATCATCAGACCCCGGACATTGCTAGCCTCGCTCATGGATTCCAAGGCCTTGGAATGCAGAATCAGGCCTACGCAGCTCAAGCCAAGAACACCATGATGCACGGCGTTGCTAGCAGCTACAATGGGTACTCGACAGCCCCAATGCCCACCAGTCTGTACAGCAATACGGGCGCGTACGTCTGCCCCAATGGCTACAACAACGGTAACACCGCTACCCACGCTGCCAATATGTACACGCCGCATGCCAGCCACTACATGCCTCCGATGAGCTATCAAACATACCAGCATCACGACAACAGCCCGCTCTCGCAGAACTGGACGCCGACCACAGGAGCCACAACCACCGAAGTTCCAACGCTCATCACGCCACGTCGTGACTCCATCTCCTCGAACGAGAATGATCAGCCAGCGACTCCATCCTACGCCGGCTATCCCACCTTCGCTCACGGTGGTATCGCCATCAATCGTTCACCAAGCGGCGTGTTCACGCAGAGCACGCCTTCGCCGACCTCCATGGTCGGCCCGTACGGCATCCCAATCGTCAAGCAGCCGGACCAGAGCGATGTCTCACCACGCATCAAGCTCCTTGTCGCCCGCGAGCCGGCCATCCCACGTGCCATTCCAGCGCCATCGTCACCGCTTAAGCCTCTCGACCGTGCTCTGGAGAACCAGCGTGGTGAGACCAATGTCTACATTCGCGGGCTGCACCCGGAGACCACCGACGAGATGCTGGAGTCTTGGGGTCAGCGATTTGGCGATATCAAGAGCTCCAAGTCCATCATCGACATGACCAACGGCTTGTGCAAGGGGTACGTACCTCACCTTCGCAGGCACAGGCTCTGCTGACAAGCGCTAGGTTTGGCTTCGTGAAGTACCACAACTACGAAGATGCTGAGAACTGCATTCGTGGCTTCCATTACCTGGGCTACGAAGTTAGCTTCGCCAGAGTAAGTATGGCCTGCCCTCATCAGTTCCTATGCCGTCGTGCTGACCGCCGCTCAGGAATCTTTCTACTCGAAGCTTAAGACTTTCTCCGATCCGCAAAACACCAACCTCTACGTCTCTAATCTGCCAAAGTCCATGAATGAGCACGAGCTCGGTCAGCTGTTCGCTCCGCACAAGGTGTGCTCTGCTCGCATTCTCCGCGACAAGAACGGTAACGGCCGCGGAGTCGGCTTCGCTCGATTTGACACAGCCGAGGCGTGCGAGGAGGTCATCAGAACATTCAACAACAAGAGCATCGAGTCTGGCGACGAGGACCTTCAGATCCAGATCCGCTACGCCGACACCCAGGAGCAAAAGAGTTTGAAGCAGCAGACTCAGGCTGCTCGTCAATTCCGTTCGGCTGAGTACGAGTATGCCACTCAGGCTTGGCGTCACGGCCGCCTTCCGTACACTGGGTCGTCCGTTCATGACTCCAATGCTGGCACCGAGTTTGACCAGTTCCTTGGCAGCACTCCAAACGTGCCGATACAGGGCCAGCGCTGGGCTCAGTCTGCGATTCGTCACTTCCCAGAGCGTCTTACTGCGAACGCAGTGCCCTACATTGCCGCCTCGCAGCAGACTGCCGTTCGTCCCCTAGTCCAGATCAACGTCGCTTCGGGCAGTGACGCCAAGGTTAGCGCCACCGAGAACACCGCGACGGACACCAAGGTCGTCGAGACTTCGCCCAGCAAAGTCAACGCCGAAAGCCCCGTCGACTCCGCTGCTGCTTCTGAGCAGAACTGAGCTCGTCATGGTCTCACTGTGCAGCACATCAACTGTCTCATGAATTATCGTGTATTCAGCAACGCCACGCATTATGTCACTACGCTCAATGCCGCTTTACGCGATTGACGACAATCCCACAACCCGCAGCCGTTTCGCATCGCTCAACATCACCGCAACCATTGTCCACACTGCATAGCGACGTGCAAATCATCTGCCGGACTAGCACTTCTCACCTCAACATCAACCATTCGGTCGCCACCGCATTGGACGTCTAGGCGCTCGGTATCCTCGGTCGCAAATGCATATGGCTTATCTGTACCTTATCTGATCATGCTTATGTTTGTCTCTTCATCACTGAGGGTGGCTGAAGATCATCTTGGCAGGCTCTCGCGGGCATCATGTGTTGCTTTTCTGCGTGGGCGGGTAATGGTAATGATTGTTCGCTGAGCGCTCGTTTGAAGGCATGATGATGACCTTACACCAAGCAAAGAAGCTGTAACCGACTGTAGATTCCTACATGCGTATCGCTGTCGCTTGCATCTTCACGCCTCGACGCCGCATGAGGAACCTCATGTCAAGCGTGTCCGAACTTCAATATCGCTAATGCAGCACCAAATCATCACGCCAAAGCCCAGCATCAGATTCCTCATTGTCCAAGGATTTCGTCTGCGTTGCAGTTCGGATGCACAAGGTATACCACCCTGTCGTCTTGTTGCGGAGCGTCTCCAGCTTCGTCCGCTAAGCCTTCGCCGCGGATCTGCAGTAGCACGTTGTCCTACAACACTTATTAGCACAGCTCTCAACACGCAGCACCCAAGATGTAAATGGCTCACCTTGACCATCCGCTTTAGCACCTTCCGTGCCAGACTCCGCTGATGCTCCATGTCCTCCTGACTCTCCAGCTGACTTTCGATCTGCTCCAGATACCACATGAGTAAATCATCTTCTTCGACGCCATCTTCAGCGGTACTTTGATCGTTATTCACGCGCCTCAGCAGCTTGTTCTGGATCTGCACGTAGTCTTCCCATTTAATCTGCGTCCGAGGTCGTGGCGGTGCAGCGGGTGCTGGCGTCGCAGATGCTCGAGCATCACCTTCTGCCTCCTCACTGCCTTCCATAGGCGAGTCACCATTCTGCTCATCTGCACCGGCAGCGGCAGCTGGCTCTTCTTCGTCCTCAAACTCTACGTCGTCCTTCTCGACGCTGATGATGCTCTGCTTCAAAAGATGGTACGCTTCCTTAACGAAATCGTCTGTTACCTCGTCCACACAGTTGGCCTTCGCTATCGCCTCGCTCAATCGGATAAGCGATTCCAGTTGTCGAACAGTGATACGGTACGAGTTCCTGCCAATGCCGCCTTGCGCGTCATCCGCTCGCAGCTCCTTGTACCGCTCGACAAGATATGCTTTGGCCGACTCGGTGAAGACGGGCTGAAACAAGCGGGCGAAGCGGATGTACCGTTGCAGCTGCTCTGTGCTGTACTCAGGCTCCACCGCATCGTCTTTGAGTTGATGGATAGCCACGATATGCCGGGCGAGGTGTTCGTCGATCTGTGCGTTGCACTCGTCCAGGACGACAAAGAACAGGTCAAAGCGTGACATGATGGGCGCGCTCATGTTAATGTTGGCTCGCAGGGTCGTCTTGCGGTTATATCGCCCTCCGACCGGATTGGCTGCCGCAAGGATGCTCGTGCGGGCGTTGAGCGTAGCCTGGATGCCGGCTTTGGCGATGGAGATGGTTTGCTGTTCCATGGCTTCGTGGATGGCGACTTGGTCCGCAATGTCCATCTTATCGAACTCGTCGATGGCGCAGATGCCGTTGTCGGCGAGCATGAGCGCACCCGCTTCGATGGTGAACTCACCCGTTTCCTCGTCCTTTACCACCGCGGCTGTAAGACCGGCGGCTGAGGATGCTTTGCCGGAAGTGTACACTGCGCGCGGAAGGAACGAGCAGATGTACTTCAAGAACTGGGATTTGCTTGTACTAGGATCGCCGACGATGCAAATGTTGATGTCGCCGCGGAGTGCCATGCCTTCAGGCGTGGTCTTGCTGACGCCTCCCATGAGCTGCAGGAGCAGACCCTTCTTCACGATGGTGTGGCCGTATACCATTGGCGCCAGAGAGTCCACGAGCCGCATGAAGACGTTCGGTGTCTGGACCATGTTCCTAAGGTCGTCAATCTCGGCTGGGGTAAGAGTGTCTAAGTAGTCTTGTTGGGCCTGATCGCCGGTTGTTTCATTCAGATCGACCATCTGACCTAGCGAGCTGAGAATGTTGCCTGCGTGTCCCTTGAGATGCTGGTTCGCGCTCTGGCCCTGCGTTGAAGTGTCGGGTGTCACCATGTTTGCCAGGAATGCCATGCGGTACGTCAAGTCGCGCACACCTAACGCCTTAAGCCCGCCAACACCGCTCCCGCCCACGTCACCGCCGCGCGGAGCTTGCGAGTCTCGGATAGCCTGTACTCGGGTCCCAGGCACACGGAACTGGCTGACGTCCGGGACAACAATGAGTGTGCCTGTGAAGATACACTTCTCGCCAGCCTTTGCTCGATCGACCATTTCGCCTCGCAGAATGACGTCCATCGTCCTCGGCATGCTTCCGGTAGGTATCTCTGAGCTGTTCTCCTGGATCCGGACCTTTTGCCAGTCAATAAACGTACTCTGTCTGATGTCGAGCCGCCAGCCTTGGCGGTTGCCGCACGTCAGATTGGGACATTGTGTGGGCTCCGAGTACTTGAAGATCTGCTCTACGTCTGGGATGACTGCGTTGCAGCCCTCGCAGATGAATGTGGCGAGATGCAGCTCAGGCCGCACTTCTGACGTGCGGGTCACGGTCCCAGATATTGAAGCGAGCTTTCCGATTTGCTCAGTCCGCAATTGACGCACTCTTGACACTAATGGGAGGTTGTAGAAGGCTAATGCAAAGATCTTGTCTGTCTGCTGGTTTGGCGTCTTGTCGTTCATGCTATCGTCTCCGCTATAGCTGTTGCCGGCAAGCGACGTGTCTGTCCTGGCGGTCGTGGAGCCGGGCTGTCTGTGCTCTCGGTAGTATTGCGGCTCGTGCTTCGCAATCAGGTTGTTCAGAGCCCGCAGCATGTACGGATGGAAGCGATAGAAGTCGCCTTGGATCGCGTTGGCTAATACACCACGCTCGTGGTCCATCAAGTGGGTAAAGTCGATGTAGAGTGTTGACAGCTTGAACTGGCACAAGCCATGGATCTGCGCGATGTAGTATTTGTTCGTCGTTACAGCACTAGATGCAGGAGCTGCTGACGGTGTTGGGTCTTCCGTGAAGCTACGAATTGTCAGTCAATCGTACCGTTGATGATGCCCCTTGTCACTCACTTCTCGAGGAAGCGCTCAAACTGTATGCCCAGCGTCTCCGCAGTTGTGTCGACCACTCTCGGCACATCTTGCTGCTGGCCCGGTGCTTGCCGTCGCATTCCTCGTAGTCCAACAACTTCGTCGTCAGGGAAGCCGCCCATATCACTGTGCATGCCAGGTGTACTGCCAGTAGGGGGCCCTCGGGGTCTGCTGGACGAGCGAGCCTGCCGTCTCCCATTCGCAGAGGGTGCGTCGCTCCGCGGTCCTTCGGGAGCAGCACCGTCAGATTGCATGATCGCGTCGACCAAAGACGTCATCTTGCTGTTCTCTTCGTTCTTCCGTCAGCTTCGTACCCGGTCAGCTGTTTAGCAATTGGAGACAGCGAGTATGAAGCGCGGATGGAAGACGCGCCTAAACGCGCTAATCGAAGTGGTTGCATTGGCTTACGGTCGGCTATATGATGTCGTAAGTCTCACTCAGACCCTGCATACCTTTGTTACTGGAACTTTCAATGCGTCGAACCACTTTCTCGCCCGCAACAGTCGTTACAGGTGTTTGAGCACCTACACTTTCTTCTATTCGCTTCAGAACATCTGCGCAACCAAGATGAGTGTCACCATGACTGCAACGATGGCGCCAGCGCAGCCTGCCTCAGCCGAACATATTCTTAGTCTCTTTCCGGAGATCAACACTTCGCTTGCTACACAGACACGCTCAGCCTTGAAAGACGATGATTTGCAGGGTTACGACGAGGAGCAGATCCGGCTTATGGACGAAGTCTGTATTGTTCTGGATGACCACGACCAACCGATCGGCAGCGCGAGCAAGAAAGTGTGCCACCTAATGGAGAACATCAACAAAGGTTTACTGCACCGCGCATTCTCGTGTTTCCTCTTCGACTCCCAGAACCGATTACTGCTCCAGCAAAGAGCATCAGAGAAGATCACTTTCCCGGACATGTGGACTAACACCTGCTGCTCGCACCCTCTAGGCGTACCAGGCGAGACGGGGTCAACGCTGGACGCAGCCGTGGCGGGTGTGAAGCGCGCAGCGCAAAGAAAACTTGACCAAGAGCTCGGCATCAAAGCCAAACAGGTGCCCGTGGAGCATTTCGACTTCCTGACCCGCATACACTACAAAGCACCCAGCGACGGCAAGTGGGGAGAGCACGAGATCGACTATATCCTTTTCATCAAGGCAGATGTGGACTTGGATATCAACCCGAACGAAGTCCAGGCGACGCGATATGTCTCGGAGGCCGAACTGAAGGAGATGTTCAAGGATGACAAGCTCACATTCACGCCTTGGTTCAAGCTGATATGTCAGACGATGATGTTCGAGTGGTGGGAACATCTAGACCACGGGCTGGAAAAGTACAAGGGCGAAAAAGACATTCGACGGATGTTGTGAGCTTGGCTTCAGCGGCATCGATGGCGTTGGCAGTTGCTTAGAATTGAGATACCAGTCTGATGGCGTACAGAGCGAATCGAGCATTGCAATCAGTCGAGTCTATAGAACTATCTGGTTGGCAGTATACCAATTTGCAGATGACCGAGAGAGGTAGGCGCTCCTTCCCATTTGGCCACGGCAGCCTGAAACCTTATCCAGACCGCATCTTTGCACACATCACTTACTCTGTCTCCCCCATCTCAATTTGTGTTCATCGGTCATCACACTCGCATCTCAATGCAATGGCAGCACAAACGAGTGAGCGATACCGTGTATTGATCAACCAAAACGCTGCTCATTCCCAAGGATTCCGCCGGAAGCCGCAGCTGATCACATATCGGAGAAACAGTCGCCCTCTGCCGCTGACTGGCAGCCAGTTTGCTCGAAAGGATCCTTACGACATCCCAAGCAGTGATGATGAGATTGGGGCTGAGGAGGCAAATCAGCAGGCCCAGCGAGCCGTTTCTAAGCGGGAAGATCCAAGTTCGGATTCGTCTGCCCTGTCCGATGCCGAGCTAGTCTCTACAGGCCAGTCTGGGGCCCAATATACGGACAGACCCTCTCGCCAGGAATTTTCATATGCTGCGGCTGCTGGTGGCCGCCTAAAGGCTGCCGTGGGATCGGCACGTGTCCAGAAGGCAGTGACGGGTGTTACACAAGGGTCCAAAGCGAAGTCCACGCACACGGGAAAGGCACCAAGGCGCCCAGTCGCTATAATAAAGTCTGCTCGCAATGCCGTCGAAGTCGCGAGATCTAAGGCTGCATCAAAAGTACATCTACGGAGACTGCCAGTCAGCGAGCTGGTCTGCGTATCGTCTCTTCCGGACACAGCAGCCATGCCGGAGCCGGTTAGCAGCGCACCAGCCATTCATGTTCAAGATCCAATAGTCGACTCTGTAAGTCAAGGCCAGGGTCACCAGGCCCGAAGGTTCCGCTCAAAGCAGCAATTGAGCGCTCCCGCTTTGAAGCAGAAGTTTCTGCGGCCACAGCGCAGAGGACACTCCTTCACCCTACCATTTCTGGCAAATACGACTAACGGCAGGCAAGGGGATGGCTTCGAAGACACTGAGCGGCTCGTTTCCTACCGCCCGAAGCAAAAGCGCAAACGCAAGTGCACAGCGGCGCTCACTTTTGCAGCTCTCTCGATCAGCGGCGGGCCGCTGCCTGAAGTGCACTTCGATCCTGCATTAAGCGACGTGAAGCTTGAGGTCAGCAGTGCGCCCATGCCGTACGCGAACTTGAACGACGAAGCGGACCCAGGCATCCTAGCAAAGGGATCCGATGGCCTGGGATCACAACGAAAGGTGAGCTTGAATGGACGCACCGAACTCATCATGGCCCAGTTGTCGTCAGTCAAAGCACCCGAGCGGCAATACAGCGACTCCGAGGCGTCTGACGAAGACGACGCGAGCGAGAACGACGACATGGAGCCGGATGCAGTTCAGGCCGCGAACGAAGACCAAATGAACGAAGGCATGACTGAAGAACATGAGCCACCAGAGCAAACGCTCTCGCCACGCCAAGGCACCGAAGCACAATTGAGAGGAGCAATGGAAGACGTCGAAGATGTAGTTGACATGCAAAGCGACGGCGGTGTGACCTGGGACTTCCGCAGATCGAGGATGCCAGGCGCCTACCCGAAAAGCAGTCAGTCGCGGAAAGACGTTAACAAAGCTGACAGTGATGTGTCATTCGAGTTTCGCAGACACCCGATGCCTGGCACATACCCCAGAAGCAGTCACGCAATGATCGAGGTCAATGAAGTCATTGAGGAGGTTGTAGACCCGACCGTTCGAATGTCTAACCACGCTGGTTTCGGTAGGAATCAACTGCTTGGCTACGATGCTACTAAGACGCGTATGTATTGCCGCCGCATATTAGCGTGCGACTGCTGACAGCACTGGACAGTCACAGAAGGGGCTCGGCCACGCCGACTCCGCTCCGTCTTGAAGAAAGGCTCGCAGACAGGCCCTGACAGCTCGTGCAAAGCCGAAGACACCGCAGCCAACACAAGACGCAACAGCACGATACGTGTCGAAGACAGTCATTACTTTACTACCGCTACCGACATGCTACGGGTACCGGACCCCGTGAAGCATATCATTGTACCCCGTCGGCGACCGAGCTATCTCGACGACGCTAACGTGCAGGTGCCGAACAGTGAAGGCGACGTGCCGGAGACATCTCAGATGCCACCTGATTACACGTATCAGAGTCAGCTAAAGGCGCTGCGGGAGCATATGGCGGGCATGGCTATGCCGGATCCTGCAATCGACGCGCCAAGAGATTTGAGGACGTTGATACGAAGCGTGAGCAGAGGAAATGGTACGTTGAGTCAGTCGGTCAGAAGGCGACCCAGTCTTCCATTTCAGTCGCCCACAAAGGTGCGCTAGCATGGCCGCGCCGCGCAATCTCAACGCGTTCGTTGACGGCATGGTGGCTATCTGCTCGGTACTCACATTGACTTTTCGCTTGCCTGATCGCGGTTCGATGTACATACTCTCGCAAGCAAAAGCGTTGTTTGACTTCGGCAACGTCGCCGGCGCCTTACTCGAGTCCGTCCACGCAAGCCCTTGCTATATCATTGTCGCCTTGTCGCCCGTCTCGCGTCAGGCTGTGTCCCTGCCTGCCGGCCTTACTATGTGGCATTTGTGTAAACACTTTTCGTATCAAGGTGTACATGTCTGGCTCAGCGAATGATGGCACCTGTCAGACTCTTGACCGTACAAATCCCGCCATTTGTCTTCAATGGCGCAATCTCCATCTTCCCACCGTCTTTCAGCTGTTCCACAGCCTTAGGATCGAACGCCGCCTCCCTACTCTCCGTCGTCAAAAAGCCAGCCTGACAGTAATCCCACACCTTCTTCTTCGGGTTCAGTTGCGCCTCCGGCTCACCTTCCCAACCCTCAAAGTACACCCTCTCTCCTGCCTGCGCACCCTCCGGCGGGTTAACGAGCTCCACAGGTCCTGCATGCTTGTCCTCCTCCCCCGGCGCCAACCGCGGCGAAGCCGCCAGCACCATAGCCGCGGACTGGATCCCTCGCATCTTGACGGGCTTGAGATTGCAGACTGCGACGATCTTGCGTCCCTGCATCTCCTCGAGCGGTACAAGGCCATTTAGACCAGAGCAAACGGTTCGTACGACCTTGCCTTCGTATTCGGACGTGTTGTCCGTGCCTGGCGGATCTCCGACGTCGACGGTACTTACGAAGAGTGAGTCTGCGTCTGGGTGGTTGATGGCTTTGAGGATATGTCCGACGCGGAGATCGATGAGGGCTGGTGATAGTGGCTTGTCCGCGGCTGGTGCGTTCTTCTGCGGTTTCGGCTGCTTCTCCTTTTTCTGCTTCTTCTCCGTAGGTGCTTCCGCGCCTACAGCGTCTGCTATCTTGTCGCCCACGTCCTTCTTGTTCTCCTTCTTTGGTTTCGCCTGCGCTACGGTCTGCGTCTGTTTGCTCGCCGCATCCGTGACCGTGCCTCCAGCGGCCGCAGCTGTGTCGGCACCTGCTGTAGCTAATGCTTTCTCCTTCTTCTTCCGCTCCTTCTCCGCTTTCTGATCCACCGGCTTGGGGTGGAAGACAACCTTTTCGGGGTCGATATTGATTTTCTCGCTCTCTCGCACTTTCAGACCGAACAAAGGCGCATTTTGCACGAAGTCCAGCCACCGTACGATATGATGATAACCCTGCTCTCCCGTCCGTTGCTCGTCACTCCAGTTTTTGACCATTGGCGCCAACCGCGCATATAGAGCGATATCTGCGACACTGGGTTTACTACCTAGTAGCGTTGTGCGGGTCGAAAGATGGCTGTTTAGAGTTGCAAGTCGTTCGTCCGCCTTCGCTTGGTCTTGGTCTTGCGAGGCGATGTGGTTCGACGTCACTAGCCATTGTTCGATCTCGGTCTTGTCTGTACTTGAGTACTGCACTTAGCAGTCAGTGATGGGTTGAGGTTGCGACAGACTGGACGCTCGCGTGCTCACCTCCACGGACAAGAATATGGCAGACGAGAGCTTGGCTGGGTCGCTGTCTGCGTCTTTTGCTTGAGGATACGAGTCTTTGATTATGCTCAGGTCTTGTAGACTTCCCTCGAGGCCTGTGGACGCCATCCTGCCTTGCACTCTGGGACGGAACGACTTTGCAACTGTGTGCCGTTTGATGCGGCAGGTCTGGACGCTGAGCGATTGATATGCGAGTCGGGAGAGCGATCGAGTCGCTCGTACAGTCTTCAGCTTGGGCGAGATGTTATGTTGCGAGTGTTGGTACTGGAGCTTGACTGCAGGAATATGTGATATACATGAGTCAAGAAAATGTGCAGGCACAGATTGAAGCTGGGGCAGAAGAGGCTCCACCGGAGCCAATACCACTCAACTCAAGCTATGCTTCGCGAAAAAAAACGAACACCCTACACTCACATCATGACTGGGTTTGCGACTGGCATCAGTCTTTGTATTGGATATTCAAGGCTGCTATAGGCATGGGAGGCGATGAGGGTAGTCTAATGGTATCTAGTGTGAGGACCATTGACCGGCTTGCAATTTGGTTGGCTTGAGCCACTGTGACTCCCATTTCATGTTCTGAAGATTCTACCGCCATCGGGTGCTCTTTGCACACTGTCCTTGCGTCTCTACATACAAAGAAGCCTTCCTTCTCCGCATATCACCACGCTACTGAGGACACAAAGACATGCAGAAGCTCAGTACGAATGCGAATATTGCTACGACTTGTCTCCCAGAATAGGAACAAATTCATCAATATCTGCATGCACGCGTGCATAATAGGACATGTAAGCACTCAATCACTCTTTCAGGAAAGTCTTCGGCGCAGCCGCTAGTCCTTCGGCACCGTAACCGACGGCACAAACGCCCCAGCGTCTGCGCGTAGGGCTGAGCATTCCATTTGTCGGCCGGATTTCGAGGAGGGTGTAGGGCTGGGCTGCATGGCATGATGGAGGGAAGACGAGGGGTAGCTACATGTATCGGCACGTTGTGGCGAAGTGGTGTAGAGAAAGAAGCTCGCTGGGCGCTTACAGATGCACTGTACTGTACGCAGATCGCAGTTCGCAGGATGCTGATGCTTAGCCGGCGCACGAGAGACTGGGAAGCTCCTGGCAGGTCTCACAGTGTGGCAACGTGCTTGCAGGCGGTCGCCGGAGATCGCCATCACCTTGACCAGACGTCCACCAGGCCGTTGGTAGACGACTCGATGTGGTGAGAAGTAAGTAGAGCGATATATTCATGTATATGTTACGAGAAAGCGGTATATGCAAAATGTAGCAACACAACATCTTTTCCGAAAAATCAGCAAATCGCAGCGACGCGCCGTTAAATCCCGCAGTCAATATGCTCGCAAATGGGGTATATAGCTTTTCCGTGTCCGCCCAGTAGCAATGCATCCCTTGCGAAGACGAAAGCGAGAACGCTTGAAACGCAGCCTGACCATGACTCAGACGCCACCCAGAGTGCATGCTGTCCCGGTCCGCTCCCTTGTAGCCCTAGCAAATCAGTGGTCGTACACATTCGCTGTTGAAAGAGTAGAAAGTAACGCCCAATCAGATAACCGTGACGCCGTCCCAAAAAGTCCTGTGCCGAGATGGTGCAAGGCGATACATCGCCGGACAAGCGAGTAGAGAGGCGCGCCGCGTGTCGTCTTCGCCACGTCTAGGCGGTAGGATGCCGCAGTATGTCCTCGCAGTTCGCATCGAAGCGCATGGACCACAGCCGAATACCAGTCATGAGCTTCTCCGTCCGCTCAAGCTCCCGATGCCGACCGAAGATCGAGTCCACAAACTCGCATCCGCTGTCCTGGCCCATAGTAACCTTCTTCGCACCCGAGGCGCCTGCCTCCTTCCGCGCGGCCTTCCACATGTAGTTCTCGCAGATCTTGAGAAGTTTGTTGAAGCGCTGCCACAGTCTCTCGCCAGACTCCAGGAAGTCATCGACCATATCGTGCGATGATGCGCGCCGGATGGTTGGCATGCATTCTTCAGCCCGCTTAATCTTGCCTGCAAGCTGAATCAGGAGGAGCCATAGGTCGCCAGCCATCCCCGACATGGGCGTTGCTGGACCGTAGTAGAAGACTGTCCAATCGTAGATCCATTTACCTAGTGAGTTGGCGTCGAAGACGCTTCCAAGGAGTAAAATGGGCTCTTCTGTCGGGTCCCAATTCTTGATTGAGTAGCCAGCTGGTATGTCTGCGCGACGCGCGTCGTCCTCTGTCGCCTTCGGTGGCGGTTTGTGAGCTGTGCTCGTCCTTGGCCGAGGCGGTGGAGGAGTCGGTCTGGCTGGTTTGCTTGTGTTCGTGTATGATGATCTTCGCGGTCGTGCTGATGACTTAGGTGTAGGATCTGCTGCGGCTGCTGTGGTGTAAATGGGCACCTGACCGTGAGAGCGATGGTCAGCGCGTGCACCTGCGTAGTAACTCTGCTGACGCTTGTACGGCGGTGGTTGCGTTTCGTACTGTTCGTAGCGCGGCAGATACTCATCGCTGCGGTCGCCGTGGTCTGTGTAGACGTACTGCGACCGTGACGACGAGTATTGCTTGCTCGTCGAGTGCCTGCGCTGATCGCAGTCCGCTGACTCCCGGTAGAAGTACCGGGTGCCATTGCGTTGGTAGTCAGAGCCACTTACATAGTCGCTTCGTCGCGGCGCGGATTGTTGCGCCGATGCGTAATAGCTGGGCGAAGAATACTCCGGTGGCCTCGAGTAGTATGAGGTCTGCGGAGTTGCGTAAGAGTGCGAGAACGTCCCGTCATTCGTCGCCCTCCTAGTGTGTCCACTTGTGGGAGGTGTATAATGCCTCGCGGAGTAGTATGAGCTGTCTCCACGTCCATATGGTGTTCGTGGAGGTGTCTGATATGCACTATAAGATGAAAAGTGCGGAACATGTCCTGGGTATCCCGCCGTCTGGGCCATGATTTAACCGTCGAAGGTGCCCAGGCACACCTTCCGGTTGTTGTTGTTGATGTCGTCAAGCGGGTTTTTCGAAATGTGTAGTTTGTCGTCCTATCGTCCTCTGTCGTGTCGACAACGAGGAAACAGCAGAGGGCGCGAAGAAGACTGTCCGGACCTGTTCTGCCTTGGAATCATTTGGGTAAAGTTTGTTCGAGACTGGCAGTTTGCTAGTCAAAACACCAGTCCCTTCGAGGCCTCGTGACTTTGTTCCGGAATGTGATAGAACGTGATGTAATCGATGTATACCTTAATGCTGCGCAAGAAGCGACGAGAGCGAGGGAGCGAGGAGGTTGGCGGGAAGCGGGTCTTGGTCACGTATTTGGCTTGCCCGAAGCCGTCAAGATGGCTCACACTAAGCGACTCGTGTAGGCCCGCCCAGGGCGTGTTGTGGCTGGTAGGGAGAATGTTGACCGTTGGCGGTGTGTGCGCCCTTCGACGAATAGCGTTGCGAGATTATACTTGACGCTCTCTCCTGGGCTGATTATTCATAAAGAGGCAAGGCAGAAAGGGGCGTATGTGTTCAGATTGTGCCCAACGATGTCGGGGATCATACCCCGGGCAAGGATTTGGCCTGTTCGTCCGCGTGCGCTGCAAGCTGCAACTAGCGGGCCAACCGGAGGACTGCGTCAGTGATGCGTTTGCGTTTGCCTCCTCCCCTTCGCGCACAAGCAACGGCAAATCAGCTTGTTCAAGTACTCAATCTCCGTCTGGGTATGGACGAGAACGGCGAATGCGAAGAGAGACATGCACAGCCCGTCTGCGTAGTACATTCGACAGCCTGCCACATCCTTTGCCACCTGCCGCATAAGCAGCGCTGTGCGACGGATGCTGACTGGTTGGAGCGACCCAAGGATGCTATCTTGAGCGCTGGCCTCTACGAGTCGTTTTGGGTACCGGCACCGCGCCTTCATCGCTCTCGTCTTCAGATCTGCCCCTGTTCATGCATACAGCTGCATCAACAGCTCTCCCTTGTTCGTCCCGTGCAGCTGTTATGCATGGCAGCGATGGCGCTCACCACAAAAAGGGCGCTTCGGTTGTACAGCCAATAGGCAGTGACAGCGATGTGCCTGCATGAGCTTCCTCGTGTCGCACAAAACTACAGCCTTGGAGGGTAAGGAAAGGAGTGCACGAACCATCGAGCCATCTCTGCGGGTTCCTGCCTTTCTTTGCCGGTGGTGTGTTACTTTCGGAGCGCTGGTCCGCCCGAGATCAACCAGGGGCCCTTCTTCTGGAAACCTGTCAATTTCGCTTAGGTCCGCTGGTAGCATCTCCCACATTGCGAAATCCACCCAAGCTGAATTTGGTTGGGAAATGGCTGTCCAGCTTAACAGTCTCTACGAGGCGAGCTGGCCTGCCAACACCGCGCTGAGAGCTCCATCTAGCGTACAACAACAGCGACAAAGAATCAGCTTCTAGTGGTTCAGAGCTGCATACAGGAACTCGACTCCGTGCAGCGGTCTTACTTAGGACAACGCACCGCTCGGCCCGCTGCATAAGTTAGCTGCGCCACAACGGTGATTGGCCGAGACAGTTTCTCGGAGACCGCACGAATTTTGCTATTCGTCCGCCTTTCACTGCACTACTACCCAAGTAAAACAAAGCTTCAACGTCAACTGTAAATGGCGGTGGACGTGAGTCCGTCCTGTCGCGTGCTTATCTCTGTACTCCCTACTCCTGGAGCTCGCGGGAGTGCTACATGTCTTGCAGCATGCATCGGTTGATGACACTGATCCATCCAGTCTAAGCAGCTATCCGGCGCCGAGGATGAAGGTGCCCCAGTACCGTCTACGGGAACGGGAGATTGCTTGTCGACCACCACCTGATACACATGAACTCATCCCTGGACAGGCTTGCACTTGGAACGACGGGATGGCGTTAATGCCAGCCAAATGCTGCACGATCCAGACTCTTAAGCTTCGGACTTGTGTACCCCAGGCCGCAGTTGCTTGCATTCGTCACAAAAGGTTCTGCTTCACGGCAACAACTCGTCGTATGCCTTGACGCCGCGGTGTGCGCAAATGTTTGTGGTCCCAGCGCGCACCACGACCGTTGCAGCCCTAATCAAAGTGAGTGTTTGGGTATGAGACACGTTTAACAGATTGCTCGGCTTTAACGCCTGAGGTGACACCGCCGATGACTCCGTTTCAACGGTCAGCCGCAGGTACCTCGCACTCGTGTCTTGACGAGAGCTTGAAGCTGTCACTTCGTGCCATAGCTTCACACAGGATCCTCTCTTAACACGAGACCTTCGAGCAATGCATCCACATGGGAAGACCATTTGGTATTGCAAGCGTGCTGTCAGACTCAATCCGCACGTCAGTCGTAGCATCACTCGACAAACCTGGGAGGTGCAATGATGAAGCCGCTTTTTGAGAAGCATCATTGAACTGACGCTGGTACTGTGGTCACGGACGCAAATAGACTGTGCATACAGGTCATGGCCTCTATGGTGAATCCCGCTGCTCAGTGCTGACACTGATACTGTGTAGTTCGCTCTGCGTAACTGCTGCCTTTTTAGAGCTGAACACCGGTACACAACGATCCATCGACTACAAAGTTCACGCCACTTACAAAACTTGCTCTCTGACTTGCAAGAAATAGCACTGCATCTGCAATCTCCTCAGGCTTGCCCATTCTGCCCATAGGATTAAGATCCATCTGCCCCTTGAACACCTCCGGATGCGCTCGTTCCATTTGCCCCCATACGCCATCCTCGATGTAGATGTTCCCAGGCGAGCACGTGTTCGCCCTGACACCCTTCGGCGCCATTTGGTGTGCCAACTGCGCCGTGTAATGCACGACTGCCGCCTTGATCGCTCCATATGGACTCGGGGCAGTCAAATCTATGTCGCGGCCGGAGACGGAGGAGATCGTGACAACGTTGCCCTTGGTCTTTTCCAAATGCGGGAGGGCAGCGTCGATCATACTCCAGAGCGAAAACATGTCAGTCTGAAAGGCAGCTTGCCAATCCTCCGCAGTGTTTTGCATTGCGAAGCAAGAAACATTCGGGACGACGACATCGATGCGGCCGCTTTCCGTGGCGCAGGAGGAGACCCATGAGCGGAGCTGATCGATGTTGGAGACGTCGACCACCGTCCCGATAGCCTTGGTAGATGGGAATTGCTTCGTCAGATTGGAGTTTGCATTGTCGATGTCGGCTTTGGTTCGAGAGCAGAAGTGGACGATTGCACCTTCTTCAAGGAAAGCTTTCACCATTGAGCGGCCGATGCCTTTCGTGCCTCCTATCCTCGAAGGTCAGATAGTTGCAGAAGGGAGGAAACGCCATTTTACCTGTTATCAGCACAACCTTTCCTTCGAGCCCGAGATGCATGATTGCGTTGGTGTATAAGTGAGGATATCAAACGTTGTGTGGGTAAAGTTGTCAATGCTTGTCAAGTCGCGATACTATAAATGCTAGACCATCGAACACACCTACACGACGTGAGCTTGATATACGACAAAGCATTCGCTGCGTGTCCTTTCGTTCAGTGGTGATGCCTGGTCCACCACCGGTCTGTCTACTGCATCGGGACTACTTTATGGGATCAACAACCCTAAGGGCTTGTTCACTTACCTCCGGCCTTATTTCATTAGAGACGTCGTTCAACAAGGTTTGGAGATGGTGGGTAGAAAGATAAGGGTCTGTTTACCTCCGGCTCTTTCATGGAGAGACAAGGCCGGAGGTAAACCGGCCGCGATATTCCCAGCTTCACATTGTAGGACTCGCCTTTGTAGACATCCATTGCACTAATCAGATTTTCTGTGTTTTACAGGCAGTCTTCGACGCAGCGGACTGAGATTAGGCCCAACAAATGCAGTTTCTTCGCTCAAGTGCGCCTTACATGATCACACAGCGAACACATGATTCCAGCACCCTTCGCAATAGAAGGAACTTTCCGAAGCTCGTCGACAAAATGATCATACCGAACTGGTAGCGCTGCTCTCGTCAACCACGTCAGGCGGGGGTCCGAGCCTCTCCCATGAATACAATAGAGGTGCGAACAAAGCACCATCGACGAAGTCGTCTGACAATGCCGTCTTCGTTAAGCCAACAAAGGCATTTTGCAGACTCAGAGATCTAGTCTGGAAGTGTACACTCATGCTCTACCACTATCGGGACGAGGCATATCCGCCGGCGCTGTGTGCATTCAGAGGTACAGTAAACGCTCTATCACGCTTTAGTATTAGACAACATGGCAATCTTCCGCAGTACCGACTCCTTCTTTCAAGGTGCTCCCAGTCATTTACAGAACAGCAGCTGCACAGATTTGATGGCGGACAGCGAGGCCTCCGGCGAAGATTCTGAGACATACCATCAAGAATATTTTGCATGACTTCCATTGCTTGACCCAACGGGCTTTCACAACCCTACGTTCTCGCTCCAACAAACAACCACCGGCGCAATTGCAAAGCGCCGTCGCTGCCGCCGTCAACTGCTGGATCCGGAAGCCGAGCACATGCAGCATAGCCAGGCATGGGAGCGGTATGTACTTTCCCACCAAGGCCATTTCGAAGAACAGGCAGATGACATCAGAGCAGAAGAGCGCTTCATTCTGTTCGAACAGCATTTCGAGAGCATCACCTTCTCACATGTGGACCATCAGCAGATGAAGCACGGAAATGCATTCATCGATCGGGCAGTGAGTCCAAGAACCGTTGTCAGTCCTGAGCAGATGAGCATAGAGCAGCTAAACTTAACCTCTCTTGCAGACGCCAGATACACTCCCACGCCGGAGTGGAGCCTGCCGCTCAAACCAAACCGCAAGTTCAACAGAAACAACCGACCCTCCAAGACGACAACGGCAAGGCCACTGAACGACGGATCACCCGAGGCAAAAGCGCCACAGTCAAAGGCCGAACAGCTCGAGGTAGTGATGGCTTCATTGGGCGTTGACAGTCCGAAGCTCGGTGGTCCGCTAGTGACGCGAGCAGTGCTGGAAAGCATGAATGCAGAACCTTCCGGAAGATTCTGGGAGCCCGACGACTTGCGTCCTACTGATCTAGAAGCGCAGGTTGGCCTGAGATTACACGACTGAGTAAGTGACTGAGTTCCTGCGCTTCAATGTCGGTAAGGGAAGAATAGGACATGGACGACGGTGAAGGTGAGCGTAGCACCAGCGGGAAATGCTGAAGCGGCTCGCTATAGTGGTTGCAATACGTGTAGCAACACTCTAGCTTAGCAGCTCCTTCAGCACAAGTACGAGTAATCTCACATCTTCGACTTCAACCACTCAATCCCGCCCACCAGATTCTGCACAAACGTCTGACTCTCCGGTACCGTCGGCACAATCCAAAAGTAGTGCGGGAAACCCTTGTAATGATCATGCTTTGTTTCCACCCCGGCGTCTTTCAGCGCCGCCTCCATGACCGTAGCGTCGTCTCTCAGCGGATCGAACTCGCAGCTCGCAAAATATGTGGGCGGGAAGTTCTTGTGATTCTTCGTCGCAAGAGAAGTAAAGGTGTTCTCATCATTCGGATCCACGCCAGTGATTTTGAAGAAGTCCGCCATAGACTGCTTGTTGATGACGGGTGCGTCTTCGGCGTTGTCTTTGTAGGCTGTATACTTGGATTTATACTTGTCCGGACAGCTGTCCCAATGCACGGCAACCGGAACGATAGCTGCGATGCCTTTGAGGCTTGACTTCAGCGAAGAGTCTTGGATGACTTGGTTTGCGGTGGAGAGGGCGAGACCGCCACCGGCTGAGCCGCCGATGGTGAAGAACTTGTTTGCATCTGCGTGGAAGGACGAGGCGTTCTTGTGGGCCTGGCCAGTGATCGTGCTGTCAGCGTTTCAATCCTATGTTATTAGGACTACTGGATACCGCCCACTCACCCACTTATATGCAGTCATGCAATCATCCAGCTGCGCCGGCCACTTATGCTCCGGTGCGAGGCGATACTCGACACTTAAGAGAGCAACCTTGTTGTGCTCCGAGACAGCCCGGCACAGCAAGTCATCGCCGTTGATATCTCCAACCACCCAACCGCCCCCGTGAGCTATCAATCACTTGTCAGCCCGGAGCCATATCTAACCATCTTGAAATCCACTCACTCCAGATTCCAGCAGGCAGCTCCCCTGTCGTCCCCTTCGGCCAATACCCTCTAACCTTGACGCCGTCTGCGTCGAAGTCTTTCGACTCCACAGCGTCCGACGGAGCGGAATACAGCGGCATCAGCGCCTGGATCAAGCCATCGTACTGCGCTCGGATCTCCTCCGGTGTACCTTTGAGCTGCGAGCGGCCGCCTACGCTGTTCTCGAAGTCGAGCCAGGATTGGGCGAGAGGCATGGTGAGTCTATGTGGTATGCTTCGCTTCGAATAGCTGGGGGGAATAGGATAGACAATATGGCGAGGCCAAGAGGAAGAATGTCAGGGAACAGCAGAAAGATATCTTACCTGAGCGTACGCGTAGGAGAGGAGGCGGAACTCGTGCGGTCACCTGTCCGATCAGGTCATCCTCACACGAGTCTGTCGAGTCCACTTTGGTGAGCCAAGATCGCAGCCGAGGCCATACTCGAGCTGCGTTGAGCAATCTTGTTCCTTGTCCCAGTCTCGATTGGTACCCTTCAAGGACGAGAGGAAGCGGGGTATATGGAGTCACAGCCAAGCCCTTGATGCAGAAGCCATGTATCAGTCCAAGCATGGGGTTTGCCGAAGAGTAGGAGAGGAGGAGGTGGGGTGAGGTGAAGGTTTCGGGATTGCGGATGTGTTCCGACGACATTAAATCCGGTGTGTACTGTATCGCTCATACCGCCTGACTTTGCGTCTCTCGTCTCATCATGTGGTATTTGGTGCAAAAGCGCCCAGTCCGCAATGCGGGACACGGTGAAGTTGATCAAACACCCAACGCCTCGCTAGATCCATGCTTCTCGCCAACGCCGCAAACACGCCTCTCATCTCCTCGCCCGATTCTTCGCAGCAGTAGCAGGAGGCGTCTCAAACGCATCGTCATCACTAATCTCGTCGTCGCTCGGCTCCTTAATACGCTTGGGAGGTGCAGCCTTCGTTGCCGCAGCCCTACCGCCAGCCCTCGAAGTGCTGCCATTAGGCTGGCTTCCAGCAAAGTTCAACTTGCTTTGCGTGCCATTAGGTGTGCCCCTAGTGCCATTAGCCTTGGTTGGCGCAGGAGCAGGCTTTTTCATGGGAGCCTTCTTAGCCGCTGGCTTCACGAAGAGGGCTTCGTCTTCGTCTTCGTCGTCATCGTCAAGCATGACCACATCATCTTCTTCTTCTTCTTCCTCCTCCTCTTCGTCCTCTGCAGCAGCCTTCTCCTTGCCTCTGCCACCTGTTGCCTTCGCCGGAGCCTTCTTAGCAGCAGTAGCAGGGGTCTTCCGCGTCGCTCCATTTGCAGCCTTGCCGCCCCTGCCTCTTCCACCCTTACCCTTCGGTGCAGCATCAGCTTCTTCATCTTCTTCCGCACTCTCGATCGGATTGCCGTCCTTGTCTCGCGCAATGCTTGCGGGATTGTCCTCCCAATGGCCCTCATCCTCGCTATTCCAGAAACTGGGCCTCGGCTTTCTGCTCCCTTTGCGCTTCCTGCTGCTATTCTTCATCTCACCCTTTGCAAACGCAGTTTCTTGCCTCGCTTTATACTCCTCCATCAAATCGAAGATCTTCTCCTCATCCATGTCGTCTTCTTCCTCCTCACCATAGACGAGATGCTTCTGCTGCAGAGTAAGCGCCTGCTTTACGAAGGAAGTCATGGCATTACTGTCAGACTTGTCCACGTATTGAGTCACGGCATCCGAGAAGCTGTTTTGCGGGAGAATGGTCAAGGACTGTGCCGCAAGGTATTCCTGAACGAGCTTGCTGACTTTGACGCTGTCGGTTTGCAGATCGGCCATCACTTCTGGGTCGAGCAGTTCGGGCTTAGCGGCTCTCGTGCCAGCTCTAGTCGAGCGCTTGCGGTGGAAAGCAACGACATCGTTGACGTTCGCCACCCGGTCCGCAAAGTGGTTAGAGAAGCGTTGCGGATTCTCCAACTCAAACTTGCCACCTTCTGGAGGAGTGGTCTCGACACGCAGACGGATGAGCGGTAGAGGCTGCTCAGCAGGATCATCTTCTTCGTCTTCCACCTCCTCGCCTGCTTCTTGCCGTGCCTCCAGCCACTCTTGGTTGGCTTCCTCAATCATCTCCTCAACGATAGTTCGGAGATAGCGCGTAATCTTTGGCCGCATGTCGACAGATGACAATGGAGACAATGCGAGCTCTCGCATTTCCTTGTTATCAGCAAGCACAATCTCTCTTGTCACAAACGGACGAACAGTCTTGAGGCGGATGGGTTCAGTTGTGAAGTCCTTGCCGGTGACGCTAACAACAGCAACGTACTTCGGCTTGGCTTCACCCGGGACGAGTGAAGTGGCGACAGACGACCCTGGCTGCATCACACGAAAGTTGGTCTCAGGGTTGGTCACGGGGTCAATCTTGCATTCGTGCTCATGGCCCCAAATGACAAGATCTAAAAAGTCCGGTAGGAAGTTTTCAGGCAAGTACCCGGTCTCGGTATAGGCGTGGTGGTTCTGATGGACACTCATGATGTTAAACCAGTCCTCCCGGTGAGTGCCGGGTTGGTAGAACTTGACCTTGCCGTCTCTGAAAGTGCGGAAGAGCCGCTCATCGCGGACATTGCTCAAACCGTAGAGTGCAAGCTTCGTCCTCCCTTTCTGCAAAAGCACAGGCTTGATGTGAATGTTATCAGACTCAGGGGTGCGGCCGTAGTAGTTCACCAAGCCCGACATTTGCAGTAAGTCCAGTGGCGCAAGGGTACCTTCTCCGGTGGGGTCGTCGTGGTTGCCGTGGATGGAGAAGACTGGTATGGCGACGTTGATGTCCGGGTCTTCGTAGTTGACATGGTTGAAAGCGCCGGCAAAGTTCTCGCTTGCATCGCTTAGCATTTCCAGCTCGCACGGTTTGGGCCCGTAGCAGTTGAGGCGTAGTGAACGCATGACTTGATACATTGATTGGCGACTTGGCTTGTTCTCGTGGAACAAGTCTCCAGCGAGCAAGACCATGTCGACATCGCGAGCCTTGGCAAGGCACATGATCTCGTGGAAGGTCTTCCAACTGTCATCGCCGCGCTTGGCGTCACCCTCACAGTAACCGACATGATTGTCAGTGGCGACAAGAATGCGAATGGTGTCGGCGGCTAAGAAGGTGTCAGTCTCCGTACAAGCCTGGTCGGAGGTAGAGCGTACTTGTGAAGTGAGGCATATTGTTAGTTTCAGTGCGTACAGGTCGGTGACGCTAAGCTGGGTGGAAACGACTGGGAAAGTCGACGACGCATGACATGGAGAGACCGATATTCACACGGAAATGCCGAGAGTGTACGTCGCAGAGCGGAGTGAACATTCAACAAACGAAGTGCAGCCTGGAGAGGCGTGAGAGGCGTGAGTGGCGCGTAGGCACGTGGATAAGTGGAGCCGATGGCGGCACCACACCTCTTCAACCCTCAATCCGGGCAGCATCAACGATCAGACCAGACCATTAACAAGCTTGGGAGCCACCAAGTGCTGTAGGCAGACTGTCCTGGCGGTATATTCGCACTACAAGGGAGCAGAGTACCAGATTTCATGCCGGAGTCCTAAGCCTTCCACCTACTGCACACAACTTCGTATGGACCCTCACGCAACGACTAGTAAGACAAATTGTTTAACGTATCAAATCACAAGCGATGCCGGACATTGACCACTTCTCCGACTCAGAGGGGTCTTTCCACTCTTTCGACGACGAGGAACCATCACCACCTGCATCAACCCATCTGCCACCGCACGGACAAACAGACATACATAGTCCGACACCACACTCGGAAACCGCAGCATCGAACAGCAGACGGACAAACCGCCGAAGCTCAGCCCATGACCCCGATCCCGACCATGACCCAAATAACACATCATCCATTGCCGCCACCAACCGCTTCGCCCCCGCCGAAGAAGCAACCCTCCTAGCCGAATCCAACTCCCTCAAAGGCTCCGGGAACACCTTCTTCGGTTCGGGGAGCTACGAAAACGCCATCCAAACCTACGACAAAGCGCTATCATCATGTCCGAATTACCTGGATTATGAAGTCGCCGTGCTACGCAGCAACATCGCGGCGTGTCATTTGAAGCTGGACGAATGGAAGGAAGCTGTTGACTCCGCGACCAAGGCAATCGAGGTGTTGGAGAGGGTGGAGCCGCTTCCGGTCGTGAAGAAGCAAAAGAAGAAGAAAACGTCGGGGTCAAAGTCACCGGACGAGGACGGCGACGTTAACGAAGCCGACGATGATGACGACAACGACGACGATGCCAACGACGACGGAGCAGTCCAAGAGCTCTCCCCAGCCCTAGCCGCCCGCATCGACCTCCTCCAACAATCCGGCCACACCCTGTCCCAAATCCGCGCGCTGCAAACCAAACTCCTCCTCCGCCGCGCCAAAGCCAACGCTCAACTCTCCACCTGGCAGTCCCTGCAAGCGGCAAACGAAGATTACAACACTCTTCTCCACCCCACCATGGTCGCGACTCTATCCGCTTCGGATCACAGGACCGTAGTTGACGCGGCACAGAAATTAGCGCCGCGATTGAAGGAGGCGCAGGAGAGGGAGGTGGCGGAGATGATGGGGAAGTTGAGGGGACTCGGGGATAGTATTTTGAAGCCATTCGGGTTGAGTACGGGGAATTTCAATTTTGTCAAGGATGAGAGGACGGGGGGGTATAGTATGAATTTCTCGCAGAATCCGGGAAAGTAGAGTGAAGCTGGTAGTTCGAGTGAGAGTTTGCGTGGAATCTGCTTTCCGTTTCTTTTTGGTTTTCCATGCGTGGTATCTGTACTTACTCACCGTGACGCACGCTCACGCTCTGCGATGTTACAGCGCTGCGGCTGGCATGCTCGAGAAGAGTGCCCCCTCGGCCAGCTGATGTGGCCGCTCGCGACAAGCGCACACCCTGCAATCGCTTGCCCTCCACCATGAGCTTCATACCTTACGCTCGGACTCCGCTTCTCATGCCACAGGTCACTCCACCTCCTCAATCTTTCCCTTCCCCTTATCCAGCGTCGCGCCGGCCTTCGCCTCACCCTCTTTCTCCTCATCATCACCACCTTCCTCGATCTCGGGCATATCTTCATCGTCGTCGTCGTCATCCCCGGGCATATCATCCATGCCGCCCATGCCGCCCATACCACCCATCCCACCCAGCCCCTCCATCCCCGCACCACCACCAAGCTTGCTGAAATCGATGCCGCCGAAGCCACCGTCGCCTCCAGCGCCTCCCGCGCCCATTCCCATGCCGCCCATGCGCGACATGTAGTCGTCGTCTTCCACAACGGCGTCTTGTTCGTCTTCGTCGACCCACTATCGCAATCATACGTTGTTAGCGACACATTCTTGCCACCCAACACATGGACTGTGTATTGTAGACTCACTTTATCGAAATTCGTCTTCAAGAAATGCACCTTGGCCTTCTCCTTCAACAACCGCGGCCAGTACGCCTCATCCAACTCCTTCTTCTGCAGCACCATCTCGACATCGCGCGGGGTATGGTTGATCTTGCTCTTGGCGGGCTCGATGTCGGCGTAGAAGTCGAGATGGACGTGGTAGGTGGCCTTTTTCGTTTCGGAGTAGCCGGTGAAGTCGAGGTGGGTGGGTTGCAGGTCGAGTTTGATGTTGGAGGGGCTGACGTCGGGGACGGAGATGGTGAGGTAGACGTGGTTCTTCTCCGCGTCGGATTTGGAGGAGCGTTGAGCCCAGGTGACTGTGTTGTGTGAAGGTGTTAGTGGGGTTGTTCTTTGTATTGGACCAATATAGCCTTGTTACTCACCTTCGGGAGTGATCTGGGTGCCCTGCTGCTTGGTGTCTGTTGTCTTGGGTACTTCCATGGTTGCTAATTTGGTTGATACAGTGAGGGTTTGGTGTGCGCAACGATGTGCTTCCAACGTAGGACAGGCAAGGCTGATATTGAATGTTTTGTGGAGGTGGAAGTCGGACGAAGCTTGTCGAATGGACTGCCGCTCGCGCTGATCCTTCAATCAATATCGGCTGATAATTTGCTTGATTGCTTTGAGCAATGCAGTCGATTGTTGGACAATTCGATTAGCTGTTCGCGTCAATGTTGGGCCTGTATTGAAGGAGTATTTTGCAGCCAAACCGATCTGTCTCTTCTTCGAAGCTCTGGCCTTTCCAGCAAACGCAGAGCATTTGTGGAGAGGCGGCTCTTCCCGCCCGACGTCACTTCATCGAGGGGACCAGTTCTCGGTGCCTGAATGCCTTGCGACGCTCAATGCTGTCACATGCTCATATCTCTCTGCCTCCAGCATTCACTTTCACATTCACAGTCACAGTCACATTCACATACACCCAAGCTAAGCTCAAATAAGAAGGCACAATGCATCAATGATCTCCTCCTCCTCCGACATATCAGTCTCGGACAATCTTCGCATAACCATCACAATGGACACAGCACGACGATACTTCTTCGGCCTAAACCCAGAGGAGCAAGCAAGTCACTCACCTCCACCTTCATACCTCGCCTACTAACATTACGTGATATAGAAACGCAAATGCAACTCCCTCCTCCGCTCCAACACCCGCAAACTCGACCGCGACCTCGCGCAACTCAAGACCCTCGAGGCCAAAACCCGCACCTACATCCTGCAAGCCTCCAAACGCGCCTCCCGCAACCCCTCGCAAGCCACGCAAGCCCGCGCCGAAACGCGCATCTTCGCCCGCGAACTCCTCCGCGTCCGCAAACAAGAACAACGTCTCGCCACCTCCAAAGCCACGCTCGCGAGCGTGGGCATGCAAGTCAACGAAGCCTTCGCCATGCGCAAGATAGAAGGGAGTATTAAGAATAGTACCGGCATCATGCGGGACGTCAACTCCCTTGTCCGCTTGCCGGAGCTGATGGGGACGATGCGGGAGTTGAGTCAGGAGTTGGTCAAGGCAGGGATTATCGAGGAGATGGTCGATGATACTTTGGTGCAACCGGAGGATGCGTTGGGGGAGGATGAGGAGGCGGAGGCGGAGGTTGATAAGGTGTTGGGGGAGATTTTGAAGGACAGGGTCGCGACGCCGGGGGTCCAGGTACCGGAGAAGCTGGTGGGGACGCAGCCGGTGGAGGAGGAGGAAGAGGAGGAGATGGGGTCGGAGGAGATGTTGGCGCAGATGAGGGGGCGCTTGGAGGCGTTGAAGAGTTGATATGTAAAGATGTGCTGCTTTTCTGCATGGTGTCTGGCGCAAAGCATGCGGTGGCTGCCTTGATTGCGGCGTATTACGGGACCTGGCATACATACAGAGGCCGTGGCGGCCCCGAGTCTATGCGCTCTACAGGATCTATTGGCGCACACATAATCGCTTTTGATTGGCCCTCATACCTCAACCCCGTATTCCGCCCACGGGAACCTCTCAAGAGTACTAAACAACCGTCCCCACCCATCCCCCACCTCCCCCGGCGCGCCTTTCCTCCTGCCACCGCCCTGCCCACCAGACTGCATCACCCCGATCGCCTCATTCTTCTCCTCCACCTCCTCATGCGTCCCCATCAGCCCCGCCAATATTAAATCCTCCTTCCCTCTCATCTCCTCCAGCAACCCCTCATGCGGACACCACACCACCTGCATCCCCGCCCTCCTCCCCGCCTCAACACCGGGGACGCTATCCTCAAACACCAAACACTCCTCCGGCTTCACCTCGCGCTTCCCCTCTCGTGTACGGCGGTCATTGATCGTCTTGAGCGCAAGGAGATAGATATCCGGGGCCGGCTTCCCCCTTCCCGGAGCTATCCTCGGGTCATCGCCTAGGACTCTCTGCTCTTCCGAGAACACCTCGAAATGTTGCGTCAGATGCGCCGTCTTCAGCGCGAAATTCCCGGCATGAGAACTAGTAGCCAACGCCACCTCCATCACCCCCTCCCTCACCCCCTTCCCAACTTCCTTCAACAGCTCCTCCACCCCCGGCAACAACGCGCAACTCGGGAACCGTTTCCGCTGCTGCTCCTTAATCTTTTCCATCACCACCTCCGACGGGTCGGGTAACTGCGCCCATGCCTGGAAGATTTTTCCGGCTTCCGGACCGGGTCGGCCTTGGAGTTGCGCTTTGATGTGCCAGGGTAGGGAAGGGCGGCCGTAGGAGTGGAGGATGGCATTGGTGCAGAGGGTGTAGAGGTCTTCGCTGTTGATGAGGAGGCCGTCCATGTCGAAGAGGCAGGCGGCGATGGGGCGGGGTGGTGGTGGTGGTGGTGGGGCGGCTTGGGAGGCGGAGTCACGGTGGCTTACTGGGGATCAGCTGTGAGCGGGGTGGTTTTCGAGGAGGGTGCGGGGAGTGGTGGGGGCGCGTACGGATGGGAAGAGGGAGGAGGGTCTGAGGGGTGTGAGTCCGCCATTGTTGTGGTTGGGAGGGAGTACTGTGCGACAAGCGGGTGTAGTGAGACGGATGGATGATGTATTAGACGGATGAGGTAGGCACGAAAGTTGGAGAAGTGAATGTAGGTTCAATGTGCGGCGCACGGAAGATGTTTGTTCCGCTTGTCGGCGACCTGAAGCTTTCACATGCTTATCGATGGATGAGGAAGTTGTTCGTTACTCTCTTCCAAGCAACACAGCCATGGCCGACACGAGTACACCCTCAAAACCCTCCTCCGGCTCAGCAACCCCGGACACACGCTTCACCTCGCAAGTGCACACGACCGAAGACCTGCTGAAAGAGCAGACATACGGCCTCGTCCATTTATCCGACTTCCGCAAGCGACGCGCCGAAGCACTCGAGGCGAGTCTTGAGGGCTCACCAGCACCCTCAAGTGGCGCAGCGACGCCCGATGGACGGTAAGGGCAGTCCAAGAGCCAAGGGTGTATGTGTGTGTGTGTGTGCAGATGGGTGCTGACGGCCCAAGTACAGCGAGCCGGCGACCAAAGCGGGGATTAAGAAGAGGAAGAAGGGTGTGAAGAGGGGAGGACTGTCATTTGGCAATGACGAAGAACACGACGACACCGGTATGGATGGCAACAACGGCGAGCGCAAGTCAGCCACACCAGCTCAGACCGACTCAGACGACACCACCACCACCACCACCACCACCACCACCGCCACAGTGAAGAAAGGTCTCAAACCCAACTCCTCCCTCGCCCACCAGCCCAAAGCCCTCACCAAATCCACCGTCCTCCGCGAAAACGCACTGAAAGACCAGCTCCGCCGGCAATACACCGCCCTGCAAGAAGCCGTCAAGCAAACCGACTTCATCCTCCCCTTCACCTTCTTCAACGGCAAGAGCGCCCCGGGTGGGATCTGTCGGATGAAGAAAGGCGATCAGATTTGGCTGTTTTTGGAAAGAGCGAGGAAAGTGGGTGCGGAGACGCGGAAGGACTGGGCGAGGATTGGGGTGGATGATTTGATGGTTGTGCGGAATGATTTGATTGTGCCGCACGTGAGTTCTACCTTTACGTCTACTTTTGGTCAGGGAGGAGTGAGAGTGTGTGGTTACTGATAACGTGTGCCGTCTGGTTTAGCATTACGACTTCCACTACTTCATCCTCAACCGCTCGGTCGGGTACAAACAGAAGCCCATCTTCGCTTACTCCGCTGAGCCTACGGCTGCGACACCTGCGCATCTTCTCCCGACTACATCCACACCCAATATAGAACCAACCAACACCGACCCAACCTCATCAAACCTCCTCTCCACAGCCTCTTCCCGCAAAGCCGCCGCCGCCGCCGCTCCACGCGTCATCCCGGACTCGGAACTCGAAGGCTTCACCGACGATCCGGCCACCACCAAAGTCGTCGATCGTCGCTGGTACGAGCGCAACAAGCACATCTACCCCGCCAGCATGTGGGAGGAGTTTGATCCCGGGAGGGATTACTCCAAAGCGGGGAGGAAAGATGCGGAGGGGAATGCGATGTTCTTTGGCCGGAGTTGACGTCCGTCATCTCTTCTCTCTCTTCCTTTTCGCATCCTCCCAGCGAAGCAAAGGCGAGTAGCGGGTATCCACATATCCTCGAATCAAGTGTTCGACTTCCAGCACACCCCCTACATTTTCATCCAGAAAGAGGAGAAAACCATCTCTTCCACTTCAATCACTGATGTTCACCCCCACAACCACCACCCAACCAACGCCAACCAAATCATCAACGCCACCGGATTAAGCACAAACAGCATGATCGGTGTCGGCCGCATCAGCGCCATGACGACGCTCTGCGCGCACTTGCCCTGCCATTGCTCGAAGCGGGAGAGGGTTGTGTTTAATCTTGCCGCGAAGTCGTCGAGGGTCATGCCGCCTTCGGTGTTGTACCAGCCGGGGCTGTCGCGGGTGCTGGTTGGAGTGCGTTTGATGGCGGGTTTGCGGGGGGAGGATGAGGAGGAGGGTGCGGTTTTCTTGTGGTGGTAGATGGTTGTTAGGCTGGCCGCTTGGCGTTGGGGGAGGAGGGAGATGTCTGCGGCTGTGCGGCCGGTGAGGAGGAGGGAGGTTGTGTTCATGGTTGCTTTTTGTGACTACTGCTTGCCGTTGCGGTTCCGGTTTTGGGCGTAGGTGTGGGTTGGGTGCTTGTGGGAGAGTTGGTGGTGGTAAGTGGTCGCGTGTGGCTAATTGAGCGTTTGTTCGCAACGGTCACGAGATGGTCGTCAGCCTCTACTCAAAGAGACTCGTAATCCTCACACAAGCACAGCCTGGCTTGTGGAGTTGAAGGAGCACTCGGTTCGGCCTTGTGATGGTGACTACACCCACACGATAGCTACTTGTCCAACGCGAGGAATGAAGTCCTATCTATCATCTACTTAACATAGCTACAAAGCTACATCATCAACCCCAACGATCCTCACATCCGCATTATCACCGGATAGGACAGGAAGCACCAACGGTCGCGCCTACAGCGGCATTTCACCCCATCCAGCGATGACTTGCATGTCAGCGGAGGGCAAGCGTCAGTGAACCCATAACTTCGCCCACGACTTCACATTGCAAGCGGTCATTGGTCGGTTATAGAGAAAGCTAAGCCCGAAGAGGCAGGATGCGCGGCCAATGGGAGGGGAGTATGGGGGCATGAGTGAACGGGAAAACCTGGGGTTGATCGATGGGTCGGTACATGTACATGTAGTCGTGGGTAATTTGTGTAGTCAGCAGGAGATACCTCAACTGTTACATACATAACCCTTTTGGTGCCTTTCGTGTGTGTACTAGATGACGATGGTCATGAACAGTGGAGGGTTCGTCTCATCATATATGGTGCATGCTATTCGTAACGTGCAAGCTGTATCTCGAGCACAGGGTACTACCACAGAACGCGGGAGAAATCACCATACAGCGGTCCTGAGCGCGACCCGGTCCTGGTCAGTCAAGCTGTGGTGGAAAGCCCGGTCGTAGTATTTCTTCCTCATTCCGTTGCCGCCTGAGCACACAAGACGCGCCCCCGTGATTCTTAACGGTCAGTCGCCCTAAGCACAGCGTCACCCTTCGCTTAATAGCGACCATAGCCACTGTTGTCTTGACCGTAGCCGCCTCCGCTGCCGTAACCTTCATCCCGTCGTGACTCGCTCCGATACCCCTGCCCTGGATACTGTCCCGAAGACTGCTGACTCTGCTCGTACGAACCCGCACCATAACCGGAGCCATAGCCAGTTGAGTACGAACCTTCGCCTCCGGCGGAATCTTGTCCATAAGCCGCTGCGCCATACCCCTGTGATGCCGGTGCATACTCCGACGACGATGCATACTCCGACGCGCCACCACTACCACCACCCACACTCTGCCCGCCCAACCCCCGCTGCTGCTGCGCAAACATCGCCATCGGCCCCCCAGCCGTATAGCTATGACTACTCGTCCCCCCCAACCCCTGCAACTGCTGCTCCAACGGCACCAAACTCGACTGCAAATCCTGCACCACATGATTCTTCCCCGCCCGCACACTCTCACTACTCAACAGCCGATCCAGATCCCTGCCCTGATCCGGCCGCGCATGCACCCACCGCTCCACAACCCCAAACATCTCCCTCTGCATCTCCGACTTCCCGTCCCGCAGGGCCGGGTGGTGAAACACCGTCGCGACGTCGTGGAGGATTTGTTCTTCGCCTACTTCCGGGTGCTCCCATCCGTATATCACTCTCGGCGCGACGAATTTCAGTATCACCGCCGCTACCTGTCCCGCAGGCTCGTTGAGGATATTACTGAAATGGTCCTTCGACAGCAGCGAATGAGTGGGGTCACTGCTCGTCGGGTCCTCCCAGACGAGGTACTGCTGTCTCTGACTCGCGCTCACAACGGCGCCACTCCCCGTTTTCAGCGCATTGGAGGCCGCGGCGATGAGGGGTTTGACGAAAGGTGCCATGAGGCCCATGACAAAGAGGGTGACTTTTTCGCTGATGGTCTCGATCATCTTTTCCAGACCGGGAATCTTCTCGACGAAGCTGGAGATAGTGCGGACGACGCGGTCGCGGAAGGTGAGGATGGGGCGGAGGCGGTCGATGACGGCTTGGGGGTCGATGTTGACGTTGAGGCCCGGCCCGGCTGTAGTTGTGGTTGGGACTGAAGACTGTCCTGGGAAGCCGTACTGTCCTCCAGCCCGCGGCGCATCCTGACCATACTGACCTGGATACTGCTGGTAAGCACCACCAGATGGATCGCGGCTACCGCCCATCCGCTCGTTCTCCGCAGCCTGCGCGTCCGAGTCGGCTTGCAAGCGCTGCGCCTCCTCGATCAACCCTCTCGTTCCTGGCACCTGTCCCAGCAAGCTTGTCAGTTCCGACGCACCACCACCATAGCCCCGCTTCTGCGTTGCAGCGGCTTGACTGAGTGCATTATCTAGCTGCTGCACTTCCGCTTCATTGACCTCAGTCTGCGTAACATGGTCCGTCGCCTCGCCAAGCACAGAATGCAAGAAGTCGACCCCGCCGAATGTGCCAGTAACCAGAGGGTAAATCTGCTTTCCACGAACATTAAGCATAGTCTGCGTGCCCACGTGCGGGAAGACATTGTGGAAGCCTAGCTCACGTAAAGCGAGTTCGGTGTAGTTCGTATGCGCGCCGAAGTCCTCGAGACAGTGCAGACCTTGACCGAGACAGCGAAGGGCTTCGCAGAGGTCCTCTTCGCGGCCGCGTTGGGCGCCGTGAGTGTAGAGGCGGCCGAAGTGGATGCTGCGGGCGAAGCTATACTTGACGTAGCCGAGAGAAGTGGCCCAGCCGCCGCTCTCGTTGGCGATGTAGTTCTTCATGCCTGTGTTGGGATCGATGGCTAGTTCGATGGGCATAATAGGTCCGCGTAATCGTTGGTCGTATTGTCTTGCGTCGATGTTGTCGGCATAGTCTCTGTCAGTAAGTATGAACGTCAGCTGTCATCCTCGAGGCATATTCTGATTGCGCAGGAGGACTGACTTGGGGTTGTCAATGTGCTCTAACGGGCCAGTCAGTCGCTATCTCAACGAGGTGATCGAGCCACATACCTTCTGGCCGGTAGACACCGAGCCTCTCAGCCGTGACCTCAAACTCCTCCGTGGCGTACCCGAAACTCATGAACGCCAGCACCCAGACCAGAACACGGATGACGTCGGCCTGGACGCCCTTGAGAGTGCCGACGTCGACGGCTTGCGAGTAGTCGCGAAGCCAGTTGCCAAAGTAGGCTCGCTTGACCATCATGGAGGTCCATTTGTGGCCGTGGATGAAGGCCACCGTTTTGAGAAGATCCTACCGAGGCATTAGCGGACGGCATGCAGGAGATGGTAATTCTGTCATACCTCAAGGTCACCATGACGCCAGTTGTGGCCTTCAATGCGGGAGATACTGGCTATGTTGCCGGCACCGAAGGCGGCTGTAGGAGAAATGAGTAGAGTGAGAGCGAGGAGGGAGAATATGAGGAAGGTAGTGTTTGGGGTCATTGTTGAACCTTTCCACGTAGTATGAGAGATGGGCGGAAGAAAGCTTGTTGCAAGAAGGACAGCTTGAAAGATCACGGTAGCAAACCTGGTCGCGTGACTTTCATCATTGACTGCGCACTGTGAGACGCATGCATGAAGTTGCCAGCGGAGTGTGGAGCTCAAGCTCGTGGCGCAGTGCGGCCAAGATATGCTTCCAGCCTTGGCAGGCACGCAGGATGGCAACAACGTGAAGCTGTGCTGTCCTGAGCGCAAAGCAATGGGACGAAATCGGGTGAATATTGTTGCAGAGTCGACGATCTCAAAGACATTCTGAATGAGTCACCCAAGGTACAAGATGCAATGAGATGCATCGCATGCTGAAGTGGGCTGTAGAGATCAATTCGCCAAAACTTGATGGGAAAATGTTCGCTAGAGTTCAATCAATACTGCGGAGACACCTCCGAGACGTGTCGTCTCCTCCGAGCTGGACCATCTCGAGCACACGATCCCACAGACATTGACTACTGTTGTCTTAACCCGAGCACCACCCAAATGGCTTCCAAGTCTGGATACCAATGCCTTTCATGTCTTCTCAAAGATACCTTCACCTCCCGCGCTGCCTCAGCCTCCCGCACCACCAGCAGCAAACGTCTCTTCCATGTCTCCACCCCTCGATCAGCCCGTCGAAGACCCGCCTACCCTTCTGTCAAGCAGTCCCGAATCGATGCCGCCGCCGCTCAAGAAGCAGACATCCAAGCCCGAGCAGCCCAATTGCAGCCCTACACCCAGCGCGAACGAGAACTCTTAGCCATGCGTTACACTCCTGAGCAGATGGAGATCATCGAGGCCGGGGAGGCCGCAATAAGTTCCCGTGATATGGCGGAACAGGGACGTCTCCGTGGTGACGCTTTCCGGCCAACGTACATAGACGACTTCTCCACTCTCCGACCGCTCGTGGACAAGCCCGCCCGTCTGGCCCTCGACGACGCCGAAGATCAGGCGGGAGACAAGAAGAAGAAAGACGTGAAGAAGTTGAAACTGCCCGGCCCATTGTCCGCCACGGAGGGCTCCGGCGGCGCAGAACCGCACCTCCAGCGCCTCTCCCTCACCACCGGTCTGCCTCTCCGCACTCTCCGCAGCCTCCGAATCAAGAACCTCGTTTCCCACCGCGTTGTAAACCAGACACGCATGGGCAAGATACAGTCGTTGTATTTCCTGACGATCGCAGGGAATCAGGACGGCATGGTGGGCGTGGGTGAGGGTAAGGGAGCGGAAGACGAGGATGGCAGACGGCAGGCGATGATGAACGCGATTCGAAATCTCAAACCCGTGCCGCGGTATGAAGGACGGACGATTTTTGGCGAGGTGGAGGGGAAGGTCGGTGGGAGCGTGGTGAAGCTTATGGCTCGGCCGCCTGGTGCGTACATCCTCACCAACTCTCTGCTTTTCAATAAACATGTTCCTCGTTCACGTGGCTGACTGTATGTAGGCTTCGGCAACAGGTGCCAACACCTCATCTTCGAGTTGGCGCGTGCGGCCGGTATCTCGGATCTGGCGGCCACGACGCCGCGGTCGAGGAACAAGATGAATGTGGTCAAGGCGGCATGGCAGGCGCTGACGAGCCAGCGCTTACCCGAGGACGTGGCCCGGGCGAGGGGGAGGAAGATGGTGGATGTGCGGAGGGTGTACTATGGTGGGTTGGTGGGTTAAAGATTTCGTTTGACGCTAAGTGTATACCAACCACGTCCCACTACCTACATCATCTTGACATTCAACCCCTTGCGACTCTCCAAATATCGGCATTATTGGTCCCTTGCTGTGTTCGGCCGGTCGAGATGGACATCACCCGATCTGCGCAATGGACGAATCAATCAAACAGGTCAGCCGGCAAACCACGTCCTTCATTCTGGACCGGCAATGGGTCGTTCCTTCCTTCGCTTCCCACTGTCAGTCAAGCTAGCACACACTTGCCAAGCATTCCGTGTCTACGCGCTTAGTACTCAAGCATGCTCGAGGCTACTTGACACCGCTCGCGGGAGACATACGGCCCGACAGCCTGTACTTCCCGGAGTGAACGAACAGTCAAACGTCAAGCAAACACTGAACAATCCAGGGGTGGACGGCGACATGGCCGAAGGGGAGGTCGTCGCGATGGCCCGAGGTGCACGACTCCCGTTTGCAGCAACACCTTGGCCTCGGCGGATAAGCTGCGGTGTAGTGGCTGTAAACAAGCGACCCGGGAGCGGGGTGGTATCTAAAAAGGTCGTCCTGCCACGCCCAGTGAAAGGATGATACTCGCTCCGGGGCGCACCATGCCAGCTCAAAGGCATAGAGTGCAGGCGGCTGGCGGTCTCTGGTGGTGGCACGGCGCGTATGGCTGGAATCGCAGGCATTGGGCCCAAAGGCTTCACTACGAACGCAGATTTCAACGCGCGCCATGTTCAGCAAAATCCGCGGTACAAAAAGCAGCACAGTATAGATTAGGTTCTGCAGCAACAGCAGCGCGAGATCAACGAGCTGCAGCAGCGACTGCGAACGACCTGTCTCGACGCTTCTCTCAGACCGTACGCTACTATCCGCAAACGGGACTTCTACCGCTCCAGCAAGACTTGGCTGTGATGTAGCGAAACTTCACGCAAGAGCCGCAGGTGTTTCTTGCCCATACAACGACCCGCCGTAATGAGCTTCGTGTCGACAATATCCACACGCAGCTGACAGAAGAAGATATTCGCTGGGTCCAGCGCGGCCATCCGCGTGAGGAATTAAGTTGGAGAACTCTCAGGACCTCTTCGAGCGCAAAGGCGAGCTAGTATTCTGCCAGTTAGATTATAACCACGCAGGTGGCAGTTCAGTTACGGGTTTTGTGGCCTACCAAGAACCCCCACATGCTCATGATGCCATTGCGGACTACCATTGCGGACTACGACTGCCAAAACGCAAATTGCCAGCCCATTCGCCTCACTATCTTACCAACAGTACCTGCCGATCGTGGCGCTCGAGGTCCGACTGGCAGGACTGGGCAACGAACGCTGGCGCCAAGGCATTCCCAACAGATTCCACCATACGGTCCGGCTCACGACGGGCCCGTTACGGCGGGCGTCGCTCAGGGAAGCCGTGTGAACGGGCGTATGAGCGAATCGCCCTTTGATCGAAGCTCTCAACACACCCTTCCCTGAGCGAAGCTCAACCCACAGGAGCTTCTGCACACACACCTACTGCTCTGCCTGGCGCAAACACTACATGACTGGCTCCGTATCAAGTACGGGCTTCATCCAGCCGTACCATGCATGAGCTGCTCTTCAGAGGCTTTTAGTTGGGAGAATCACCGTCGCCACTGCTCGTACTGCGCGATCTTCTGTTGCAAACACCTTGCGCACGGCGTTGATTGCTGCTGTATCAGTGTATATATCATGCTTTGGCAGTGTACTCCTATCGTTCCGCTCTACCCACTGGGTCTCTCACTCCCCTGTGGTTAGTCAGTTACAGTGCAGGCCTTAGCGAGCAGCACGATCAATCATCTGCGAAGTGAAAGGAACCAGAACTGGGATTCACTGGTCATCTTTCGCAGGTAGTCTCGCTCTTGCACATTGTACACATGGCATACTTTACATAGAACTACACCGCAAAAAGGGGTATTGTGCGAAGCACGCCACTGTGCCTGCCGGGCCAGCCAGACTCCGTGCCAATCGTCACCCGAACGCCCCATGATCCAAGACCCATCCTCCTCTCAGCCATCGTGTATCTTCGTGGACCTTGCCCCAATACGCCCACCCTAGATGCCCGTATAGTACACTCACCATGGTTCTTTCAGATAAGCCACTGTAAAACTCCGCCGTCACTGCCTCGACTAGAAGCAGTTAAGGGCATTCTTCTTCTTCTTCTTCGAAGTATTCAACTCCATCATCCGCTGCTCAAGCGCCTGTCGAGCCCTCTCAGCCCGCAGGCGCATTTCGCGCTCCTCCTCCACGGCCTGCAGACTGGCTCGCGAGTTGCTCTTGTCGCGACGCAAGCCCACAAGCTCATCCTCCAACGACGTGCACTTCTTCCGCCAAACCTCCATCTCCGACTTTGTCCGATTCGCCGACGTCTCCAGATCGACCAGCGCCTCTTCGAGCGTGGCCGTGAGCTGCTTCTCGGCGAAGAGGTGCTTCTCGATGGTGCGGATGCGTGCTTCATGCTCCTCAAGCTGATGAGACGTGGGCGCCACTTCGCGGGAAGTGTGGCGTGATCCTGGTGGCGAGGTGCTGGCAAATGGTGATGCAGCGCGCTGCACTGGCGATGTCGCCCGCTCCAGGCCGTTCGGCATTGGCGGTGTTGCCGTGATGGGCGAGTTCGGCAACGGTGGCAGCGGGACAGATGGTGGAGGCGTTGGCATCACTGTCGGCGGCGACTTACGTGCCGAAGTCTGTGAGGCGGACCTGGCAAGCGCGATAGCCGCAGCCTCGGGTGATAGCGACTCGCGGTTGAATGTAGGTCCTGAAGCGTTCGAGTTGGACGAGATTCTCCTCAGCGTAGCCATTTGTTGCTGTACAACGTCAGCTTGACTCTCACACGACACGACAATTGCAAGTCTTCTTACCTCGAGCGCGTTATTCTTGGCCCTCAGCTCCTCCAGCTCCTTCTCCATCTCCAAGCGTACTTGCACCGTTTCCGACTGAATGCTCGACAAACGATGGTTCGTGCGCTGGTGGGAGTCGAAGTTGTTAGTAAGCTGCTCCTCGAGCTCCTCGACCAACTCCCGACTCTTCTTCTCTTTCGCGCTAACCTTCTCAAAGTTTAGAATGGCCTCTTCGTTGATCATCTTGAGCTCGCCAATCTTGTTCTCTAAGCCAACCTGCTGGTTCAGACTCTTCTGCAGCTCTTCTTGTAGGTCTTTGAGCTCATTAGTCGTCTTCAGATGACGACCGTGCAGCTCTTTGCCTTCCTCTACCAGACCTTTGATCTGCGAATGCAGCTGTTTCGGGTCAGTCTCGTAACCGAGCGCAGAAGACGCGCTGCGGAGAAGCTCAGTGACCATGGCTTGAGCACTCATCAAGTCAGCCTGCATGTTTTGGACAACCAGAGAATGATGCTCCTCAAGCTCCGCCAGGCGCCGGGTGGATTGCTCTTCCGACTTTTGCTGTGTCGCTTTAAGATCGTCAACACGCCTGCTATGGTTCGCTTGCAATGACTCAAGCGTCTCTTGGTGCATGCTGATGGCCGACTTGTGCACTTGTAGCTGATTCTCGAGGTTTGCCACGAGGTCCCGGTGAGTCTGCAGTTCCTTCTCGCTCAAATCGCGCGATCTTGAATCTTCCTCGACCTTGTGCAAGATGTTCGCATATGACTGCTCGAGCTGGGTCATTTTCATCATGTGGTCGTGGGAGGTGGACTTGTATATCTCGATCTCGCTCTGCAACGCGCCGACAATATCTCTGTGCCTGTCGCGCTCTTCCTCAAGACTGAGTGCAATAGCCTTTTCCTCTTCCGTCGGAGGCGGTGGCAGAGGCTTTTCATTGCTTGAGGTGCTCGACCTCGCTGCTTTATCAGCCCGGTGCAATGACTCCTCGAGATCGGCAATCGTGTTTAGCAGCTTGGCTTCCGACAGCTTCATAGAGTCCATCGCGTCCTGATGCCTCACCTCCCATGCCGCCAGATCACCTTGCAGCCGGGAAATCTCTTCGACCCGCTCGTTGTCCCGGGTTGCGCCGGCCATGGTTTGCTCAATATGACTCTCCTGCGTAGGTGTAACCTCAACAGCTGGTGTCTGCGGGTAGTCGCCAGGTATGTGAGAGAAGTGGAGGTCCTCGCTCGGCGTCGGAAGTTGGTTAGCATGCGCCGCAGCGAGCTTTTGGTGTTCAGTCAAGCTAGTCTTCAGCATCTCAATCTGGCAGTGGAACTCCTTCTCCCGAGTAGCGTGCTGCTCGTGTAGCGAACGAATTTGATGCTGGCTCTCTTCGAGCTGTTCGCGCATCTGGCCAACGACCGAGAAATCCATGCCGGAAGAAGCGGCCAAGCTGGCACGCTCTCGCGTCAGGCCGGCAATCATCGTTTGCTTGCCTTCGAGGTCCTTGCGCACAGTCGCAAGCTCGGCTTCGAGCGCATGCACTCTCTCGGTCTTGCCGTGCAGCTCGTTCATCATGCTGTTCAGGTGCGTCTCAAAGCTTTGCCTCGTGTCGGGCGATGACTCAAAATTCTCCAAAGCAATGTTCTTGAGACTGGCGAAAGACCGGGATGCGCGCTCGTTGGCAATTGGATCTTCAGACTTCCTTCTGAGGACTGGCTTGGTGAAGCTTGGTGACGTAGGCCGAAGGCTGTAGTCGCGATCGCGGGCGCGCTGCATCTCCTGCCTCATCTCCTCCACCTCTTGCAGCGCAGCCTCATGCCGTTGCGCCAAAGTCTTGTAGTTGTTGGTCAGCTCCGCAACCGAGACCTCTTTCTCAGCGTGTAGTCTCCTCAGCAATTCCATTTCCTTAGCCATATCCTGCCTTTGCACTGCATCCTGTATCTCGGCATCCGAAACGTCATGTTGCACAGCAATCTCGTCCAACATGCCGATCCGATCACTATCCGAACCTTGCCTGGTCTTCGCCATAGACGCTTCTCCGGTAGTACTCAATGGCCGCTGCGATGACAGTTCCGCCAAAGACCGCGAGGATGAGGGCTGTCCATTCGCCTCTTCCTCGTCCCTCATCCCCGCGTCTGCTAAAAAAGATGTTGGCCAACTCGGAGTAGGCGTGTCAAGCGACCGGGGCGTCTCCTTCCCATACTCGAGCTTGGCAAGCGTCTCCAAGGCCGTCTGGTATTTCTGCTGAAGGTTGTCGTAATCAACGAGGCTCGACTCATGCTCAGAGCGCAAGTCGAAGAGCTCCTGCGTCAGCGTCTCGAGCTTGTCTGCCATGAAGTCATTCTGCGCGGGACTGCGAACTTCGGTTTCAGCTGGCATCAGCGTGTGCCTCTTACTAGATGACAACAAGTCATCGCTGGACTCTTGTTCCGCATGGTTGTGTTCTGGCTGCTCAGTTTCGGCGTCCTTGAAGTCTTCATCACCGCCGTCCGCAATGCTACCCTCAGTCGGTGACTTTGGCCTGAACGGATCGTACGAGTCGCGGTGACCGTTCATCTTCGGCCTTTCAACCTGCCGCATCGTTTCTATCTCCTGGTGATGCGCTTGCGGCTCAATCTGCCGCATGCCATCAAGCTCACCCAGCAGGTTGTCCAGCTTGCCAATGCTTCTCTGGCGCTCCACAACATTCTCCAGGCGGTCGAGCTCGCGCTGCATCAATTCTTGATCTTGCTCCGCGTCCGCCAATCGTTCCTCCAGCGTTGAGATGTACTCCTCTTGGCTGTCCTCGGTTTCTCGCATGCGTGCAATCTCCTTGTGTAGCTGAGCAATAGAAGTGAGGCTGCGTTCTTCGCCCGAGGCTGATCCTTCCACTCTCATTTCCAAGTCGCGCATGTAGCCCTCATTGCTTTGCTCGCGCTCCAGAAACTTCTGTATCCGCGCCTGCATTTGGTGCTGAATTGTCTCCATATAAGCGATGCGCGTCTCCTTTTCCGTTAGCGTACTCTCGGAATGCGACAGCGTGGATCTTGTATTTGACAAGTTGGACTCTAGCTGCTGGATGGTCTTCTCGTACTCCAGCAGAACACTTTCCGTTGCTTCCGCAAGTGCGCTTGACCGCTTTACGCGCTCCATCGCATTCGCGCCGAGAGCCTCAGCCAGCAGCGGCGTCTCCGCCTCATCGCCTTCGCGCGCCTTTGACAATTCTGTAATCAGCATAGCGTGCCTCTCGCGGAGTGCGTTGTAGTTCTCTTGGATGTCCAGAAGTTGCGTGTGCATTTCGGCCTCGCGCTCCCTAAGCCGTTCTGACCGGCCGGCAGGCGCATCTCTTCTGTCACCATTCTCGGCACCATGCCTAAGCTGATCTCGTAGAAAGGAGTTTTCCGCACGCAGTCGGTCGAGAGCGGCTTGCTTGTCGCCATCGTCGTAGGTTTGCTGAATCTCTGGCTTACTCTGGATCGCTCGTGCGCGCAAAGCGTAGGCAAGCGTGTTGACCGTTTCGCTGAGGTGAAAGGCAGCTGGCGTGACACATGCTATCATGAAAGTGATGGCGTTGCCACCTAGCGAATCTTGTAGCAGTCGCGTAAGCTTCGAGTCACGGTAGGAGATGTGCGCCTTCGGAGACTTGACGGATAGCTGCGCAATGACCTTTCCAAGACTGGCCAGCCCAGCATTGATGGAAATGCCTTCTTTGGCCCGATCGCCGGTAGCTTGGGTATTCTTGAGCCGCTCACTGCCAGCGAGATCGACGAAGTGCAACTTGCTATCAAGCGTCACGACATCCTCAGCTGTGGCCATCATCCCAATCGGCACAGATCTTCGCTTTTCGAGGTTCGGCGTAGGTGATGGTGAACGCTCGCTCGGCTTCCTCTGGACAAGATGTAAGCTGAACACTGCATGTGAGCGCGAAGACCTCGCATTGATTGCAGTGGCATCTGTTTGCCTGATGGACGAGCCGAGGTTGAGCGCATCCAGCAGGTCGTCGACAGAATTGATCGTTACTTCATTCAACCCGGACAGCCATATGCGGCCCTTGTCTTCTCGTATCGCGACCTGCGAGCGATCCGCCATTCCCACGCCTTCTGGGACAAGCAGGTCCCGTAGTTGCTCGTTGTAGATCTCGACGTAGCTAGCTTTGAGTTCCCAGTTCCTGTTCACGTTGCCATTGGTCTTAGCGAAGCTCGCTAACGTAGGTAATGCTTGGGTAGAGTAGCGCTTGGGTGTCTGTAATCCTGACGGTCGCGTGACGGTACCATTGAGCTTGTCGAACAGCGCTCTCGCCGCTCTTGGCACGATGCCCATAATGTTCGCATCGCTTTGATCTTCCGGGCCCGATGTGCCCATGGTGTATGACTTGCCGGCGCCGGATTGGCCGTAGGCGAGTATCGAGACATTGTAGCCTCTGACGAAGGAAGAGACGCTGTCACTGACATACTCCCACACGCCATCTTGCGAGGTATCCTCATCAAATACTCTGTCGAAGAGGAAGAGCTTCTTGCCTTGCTGTGATTGCACTGCTAAACTTGTCGGAGTTGGCACCTCGCACGTACTCTCGCGGAAACGCTGTGGTATTAGATCGTAGCCAGGGTCTGTAGGTCTAAGCGGTGGTCGCACCCGCACAGCTATGAGCGCACGCTCGTCAGTGAGTGTTTCGGATAGAGTCTGGACATAGGCACAGCTGTCTAACGTACCAACTTTGACCGCGGTCTTTGCGTCGTCGTCGCTTGATCTACTCCCAGCGCCATCGGTGATGCGACTCGAACTCCGCTTCACTCGCTGCTGCATGCTGGCAGTCGACGGCCGGTGGTGGTGGCCGTTCGTGACCATGCTTGCAGGGCGCGATGATGCAGTGGGAGAGGTGGGCGGAGGTGCGAAGTCCATGGCCGCACTGGCGGCGGAGTAGAGGCTGCCAGTGCTGTTCGTTTCATGGCCCCCCTGCATGCTGGACGCAGCGAGCCACACCACGCGCACGACAGGGTTGTCGGAAGTTCCGGTTGTTGCGCGTTAGCGAGTCGATGGAGTGCAGCTCGCAGCACGCTTGCGCCCTGCTTTTCGCGATTGCTGCCCCACCACCGAATAATGGAAGCCGACCAGGCACTTGGAAAATGCAACGGAAAGCCGTCGAGTGGCTGCTATTGCAGTAGTGATGCAAGGAAATCCCGGTTCGTGGGACAATGCATGCGCATCGAATGGCTCGGGCAAGCTCTGTCGTATGCGCCTTTACAGTGGGGTGTGCAACGATGAAGACTGGAGCTTTGGGCCGCAAGAGCGGTCATGAATCGTATTCAACAAGGACGACGATCTTTTAAGTTGACCTTGGCGGTGCGTACATGTGTCCGGTGTCGATGGATTAGTAGAGATGCTGAAACGACAGTGATTGCGCAAGAGCCTTCGAGTCCTGCTCTTTGCTTCTCATATCCGCCATACGCCGATGGAGATGATGCATGGAAGGAAATTGGTCAGAGCAACCCAAAAAGCACTGACCGTCTACGTTTGAGTGTGGCTCGAAATTGCGGCGGCAGCGGCGGCGGCAGAACATCACAAGACCGAAATAGGAGTGGAGGTGCCGGGGTTGGTTGTTCCTCGGTTCTATTCCCTGTCACTTCTCGAGGCTTGCGCGCTACCCTGGTTCATCCTGCCGTCGCTTCATTCAAGTTCATCTATTCGACCTTGGCCGCACGAAGGAGGAGTTACAATACCTGCTTTAACAGCAGCAACAGGTAGGGCGGATGTCATCTCGCAGATCGAACAGACGAAAGTGACAGAGGTAACCCCTGCATCGCCGCCCTATCCACATCGCGACCGTTTGATCGAAGCGTGAAGTCAAATAGCTGACCATTCATACGCCGTGCGGTTTCCTACGTGTACACTTCGTCTGTTGTCGGAGGCCTTGCCCCTGACAGCCAAGATGGATTGATAGGGGACCCAGGTTTCTATCGTGTTCAATGGAGCTATCTGTACTTGCTTCGCAAGCTACAATGACATGGATAAACCTGTCGACATCGGCGTTGTCGCCGCGTACCTGCATTCCGGTACCCACAGTATCCGCTCCGTCTGCACGTTTAGGTCTTTAGCGCGATCTGGTTCAGCTCGTAAGAGACATTCCTTCAAACGATTCCGGACGTTTCAGCTTCCATCGGTCACGCTTAGTACCAATCTGGCATATGCAGAATAACAGAGAGCCGCAAGCGAAGTCAGCACGGCTGCTTACCATCAATGCCGGCAACAGCATAAGTAGAAGCATAATACAGTGTGCATCGATCACAAAGTGCCGTATAGAGCAACGCAAATAGATGAAATTGAAGTAGATGACACGGCGTGCACAAAGTTCGAGCGAACCATTCGCTCATTGCTTGATCGCAACCTAATCGTGAAAGGTTGCCTTTAGGGGATCTAGAATATATCGCACGCTTGGTGGTTCGATGACAGAGCCCTGATGGTATGCTTCCAGTTCCGCGATGCATTGGTGGGAGCTACATGCTAAGCTTGAGACTTCAGGGACATTTTTCACAACGCTCATGTTTGTTAAGCGTGCCGGGCCTAGATTTTCATTTAGCATACCTCAAACATGCATTGCAGTAACCTTCTCATGCATGCGTCACGCATGGACAAAGGTGCCGGGTACGTTTCCGGCATTGTTCGCCAGGGTTGTAGCGCTCTGCATAACACGAACCCGTCATGATCCGACGGAGGAGCGTAAGTGTCGATGCTTGGCGAAGAGATGGAAATTTCAGACTCTTATGTCGGAAGAATCGCTTCCTGATCCAACAGCATGCGATGCCGAGTTTGCCCGCCGCTTGTTGAGGGACAGGTTGCTGGCTTTCCTGTACAAATGGAAGGCACTCCAGGCGAGCCGTGTACCCAAACCAGGAAACTCTGATAGATGGCTAATATCGGTCGAACGTCCTTAAACGTGCGACAGAAAGTGGTCCATGTTATCAGATCAGTGTAACGGGATTTCGTAGCTTCTTTGAATAGTTTGGGAAGTAGGTACGCGATGGCAGGGCGTATACATATGGTAAAAGTCATGCGCCACCTGTGGCACTGATGGTTTGTCACGTGGGTTGGTACATGTGAATGGTGCATGTGGTGATTTGTTCCTTCTTGAATTTCCCGATTTACGTGGCGTGCTGTGCTTGGCAGAGCCGCGACACCGTAGCAGACATCGTACTGTCTGCGTAGGGTGCCCAAGTTGTGCGGTCTCTCACTCATCCATTGAGGTTCTTGTCCAATGCGCACGGAGGCTCTGAGAGCCGAACGTTTTACTGTCTAGCAACCACTAGCTATTGTCTTAGGAGTGATGCCAGCCAACCCATACGTCACCGTTGGTGGCGGCGGGCGGTACTACTGCAAAGATGTGCAGCTGTGTGACTACCCTGTGAGCTATAACAACTTGAGCACGCTTGTAGCCACGAAATGTTTCCCCAGAGCTGGAGTATATCAGCAACCGGAACCTACAGTATATGGCTGTGAACCTAGAAAACAAGCAATGTTGCTGGAGGACGGCACGAGTGGGAGATCAACCACAGGGATGACGGCAAGATCGGGCTAAACCTGATCAATATGCAGTCTAACGAAACTATCTCCAAGTTGGGGCTCCAACTTTCCCTCATTGACCGAATCGGAGTACACGCTTTGAGCTCCTACCGTGGTTGAGGCGGTCCCCATCAACGTTTTACCTTTGTACTTCCCGTGAATATGTAGACAATGTCGTCAATGATGGTCATTCGCAGAGTTAAGCCAGTGCATTCGCACGTGGCTAAGTGGAGAACTGTCTGGACCTACGAACGACTGTCTTGAACATACTACTACACGCCTTCAACCAGCTAGGTGACCGTCGAGTACACTCATTGTTTTCACGACTCTCAGCAGCACTCGCCACCATGAACATCAACGTGCGTACACCTTTCCAATGCAGAAGCGGCATCATGTCACTGACTTCAACTCAAGGCCCCATTGCAAGGCGCGGCCATCGCCCTGCCCTTCACCAAGGCAGCCGATCCCACTAGGCGTGGGGAGGTGGAAGCCGATGAAGCGGTGATGCGCATTCCCTTCGCTCGCCGCATCCCGGACAACATCCGCAACCATTTCGTTGCCATGACCGGCGAGTATGTCGGCACTGTGCTGTTCCTGTTCTTCGCCCTCGGAGGCACACAGGTAGCCAACCAAATCCACACCTCATCCGGCCTCAGCCAGGCAGAGGCCGGCAGCAACCCGCAGCAACTGCAGTATATCTCGCTATGCTTCGGCTTCTCCCTCGCCGTCAATGCTTGGGTGTTCTTCCGCATCTCTGGTGGACTGTTCAACCCTGCCGTCACAGTTGGGATGTGCATCGTAAGTATAGTAGTCCCGCACGACAGTGGTGTCATGTGCTGACCAGTCATACATCGTCAGATCGGTGCACTCCCGTACATTAGAGGCGCTCTGTTGATCTTCGTGCAAATCTTGGGCGGTCTGACGGCTGCGGCTCTCGTGTCCTGCATGTTCCCGGGAGCGCTCAACGTCCAGACATCCTTGGGTGGCGGTACCACCATCGTGCAAGGTCTGTTCATTGAGATGATCTTGACTGCCGAGCTCGTCTTCACGATCTTCATGTTGGCCGCCGAGAAGCACAAGGGAACATTCATCGCGCCAGTGGGAATAGGACTCGCACTGTTCATCGCGGAGCTTGTCGGAGTGTACTTCACCGGTGGCAGCTTGAACCCGGCACGCTCGTTCGGCCCTGCTGTAGTCAACCGCTACTTCCACGGAGTAAGCATCATCCTTGTAAATGACAGCCCCGATCCTTTGCTAACCTGCAACAGTATCACTGGATATACTGGCTCGGTCCGATGTAAGTCGAATTTTACTCGATCGTCGCCTCACGCTCAGTACTAACATATGCTCAGTCTGGGATCGATCGTCGCCGCAGGCTTCTACAAGTTGATCAAGATCCTGGAGTACGAGACTGCGAACCCGAACCAGGACGCCGACCAGCGCGCCGCCGCTGCTCAACACGCGGCCGACGTACAGGCCTCCAAAGAGCAGTACCAAAACGGCAACGGCCACCTTGCAGCGATCCCTTCGCGCGGCTCTCACAGCAGCCACACCTACGGCGACTTCGCAGAGCGCAACGACAGAGTCTCGCCGACCCACCGACCTTCAGTCCCCACCCGAGCTTCCAGCACCGCCGTACAGTCCCCTGCAATGGCTGATCCGGACGATGCAAACGTCGGTCTTTCGGATCATGGGTTCCGTGGTGCGCAGGACGTTACGCTGGGTGGAGCGATCGACAGTCCCGGCATGGCCGTTAGTGACGGTGTGGTGAGACGTCTAGGTCGTGGCTCTAGCTATGTGGCTTGAAAGCTTCCTCCTACTAGGCAGGAGTTGGGCGATGAAACTGCGCTGGTATATGGCGGCACGAACGTCACTTCTCATTTGGAAGAGCGGTGACGGCTGTTTTCGAGGAGAGTGGCATGTCTGAATTCTAGCATGGCGTTATTGCATCATCATAGCGTTTCTGGTAGGCATTGTAATCTTCACATGAGCCTCCTTATCCGATTCAGCATCAAAATCGTCTCGGCTTCTCGATAAGCTGACTACACATACTTACCATCAGCCACATTGGGTCATGGCTCTAATGGCTTCCTTATCATCAGCCCAGACCACCCTCAAGCCGTCCAACACCAATCAGCAGCGTACTGGGTCCTGGACGCTGTTGTAAACGCTGGCAGCCAGCAGCGCGGTAATATCGTTCATGTTACCGGGGGTGGCGGCGTCGGCATGCCACCCATTCGTCCAGCAGGAGCACCTCCCCGCCCACCTCGGTACCCACCTCTCCCTCTAGGCGCCGGTCCTGCACCACTCCTGAAACCTGCGTCCTTGAACTCCAGCACCTCCACCGCACCGTTCGCCACCGGCACACGCCTGGCTTGCATGGCTTTCTGCAAGCCTTCGTTGGTGCTGAAGACAGCTATCGCAGTGCCTTTGCGAGGATCAATCGTAACGTTGGTGACCTCTCCGTACTCGGACAGGGCGCGCAGGATCAGCATTTCTGTCATGCCTTGGCTGGGGTTGGCGTGCTTGAGATAGGCTTTTGTTGTTGCGGGATGAGGTAAGCTGGAAGGTAACGGTCTGGACGCCGCGGGTGCTGTGGGGATAGGTGGTGTAGGTCCCTGCGCTGACGGAGCAGTGGGTGTGGTTGATGGTAGCGACGCTGGCTGCACGCTACTTGCTGGTGCGGCTGGTGTTGGTTTTGGCTTGATGCCGAGATCTTTCTGTAGCATCTTTTTGATGCCTTCAGCAGTTGCGCGCGGCCTCTGAGGCGGTAGTCCTCGATTTGGGGCGGGACCAGAAGTTGCCTGGTTGACTGCCTGGCCTGTCACGGTGACAGGCGTAGCATTCTGCTGCCTGGGAGACTGCGCCGGTTTTTTTAGCCGTGCACTCGCAGCAGCTTTTGCTGTTGTCGGCTGCGTAGTATCGACGGAACTCTGCTGCTTGGCAAAGGCCTGCTTATTTAATACCTTAGCCGCGTCTTTTGCAGCCTGCTGCACTTTCTGTTGCATGACGGTCCCATCCTTCTCCGCCGCAACGTCCTTCGTGTCACTGCCGGGTGGGCCCTTTTTCTCTTCAGCCTTCTTCTTGTCCGCCTTGTCTGCCGCGGCTTTGGCTTTGTTGGCCTTCTTCTCCCGCAAGTCCTCAATCAGCGGCGTAGTCTTGACCTCCACTCTCTCCTTCTCTGCACCGACTATATCCAGAGCTCCTGGCTTAGTTAGAGGTTGCGTCTCCGCCTCCAGGAAAGCAATGAACTCCGGATCTTGATCGATCGTGCCTTGCCTATTGTCCGCTCGGCTCTTAGACTGCAGCGGCGTTCTCTGGTTCGGCGCAAAGCCCAGCGTAGGCGGAAGGAACTTCAGATCCGGATTGCGATGCGTACCAGCCTTGTCCTGAAACAAAACTTGCAGGAAGCGCTGTTCGAACTCCCTAACAAGTGTATCGTTCACGACGTGAAGGTAGCATCTACTCTGCTCAGGTACCTTGCCCGGAGCTTTGATCTTGCCTTGACGGTATTCGCGCCAGTCAACCTTGCCATTGCTAAGCTTCCAGTCGTCACCCAGTGTCTCCTCGAACTCGCTCAAGGTCAGTCCTGGTGGGAGACGGCGGATCTCGAGCTTTAAGCGCGCAGCCGGAGTCTTGGTGGAAGCAGCTCTAACAGCGGCATTGACGGGCAGCACACCTGGGCGATCATTCGTCTTCGTACTGGTCTTGGGCGGCATGTTTTATCGTTATGCGCACGATTAGCGCGGCATCGTCGTTCAATGTGTGCGTTGGTGGAGATGCTGCTTCGACAAGCGCGGAAGGCACGCTAGCGGCGCTTGTGCAGCTTCACGTGTCAGACAACCAAGCCGCTCGCAGCTTCGCACAACTTCTACATTGTAACACGACCACTTGCGAGTAACCAGACTGGAAAGGCTCGCAGATCAGATTTTGACGATTGCTAGTCAGAAAGCGCTAAGATCACCTCCGACCTTCCAGCTTAAGGTGGAACGCAAGCTGTACATCCTCCAATGCACCCCAAACGCCTACGAATGCGCTGGTCTAGATGCCAAACCACGTCTTCATCCGCTCATAAACATAGAAACTCGTCGCCACCATGGGCACCACCTTGACGTACCCAATGCCCAACCCAACAAAGAAACCCCTCCAACCCCGATCATGCATAATATTCCTTGCAACCTCAATCATAGTTAGCCTATGTCCGTCCCCGACCACGCCGCCGACCTGCATCCGTCTCCGGATTACTTCCAGCGGGTACGAAACGGTTTGCGAGACGAATCCAGCCACGGCACCGGTAGTGAGCTCGGCCCATGCGCGCAACGGCGGAGGCTTGTTAGGCGCAGATTGTTTCGCTGTCCGTTCGCTTGCGGGTATGACAGTGTATGGCGCGATTACCTGCAGCCGCATGAAGTCTCCGGCCATGTCGTGGGTAAGAAACGAAGTGCCTGCGTAGGGTATCATGCCCCATAGAGTTGGCGTGAAGCCGCGAAAGAAGTTTGCAAGTCCGGAGCGGAGGGTGATACTGCTCGTGGCGGCGCTGGCTGCGGCGAGAGCTGCAGCGCCGGCCCGAGGAAGATGCAGAGTCTCTTGCAACGCAGCGGCCGAGGGAGGTTTTGGCGCAGGGGGGTGCTCATGGTAGATTGTGCGGCATATGTCGCGGACTGTGACCCGCGTGTCGCCTCGTGTCTCCCATGCTAGCCGCACTCTGATGACTTCCAGCGGATACGTTGCAAATACGGAGCAGACTCCGGATAGCGATCCTGCCAACATCCTTCGCAGTGGCGTCTCGTGATCTTTGGTAGGTATAAGAATCCCACGTATCTGCTCATAAGCCAAGAACTTAATGCCACCGTACGGGAAGATCCTAAGCAGCGTCGCACTGTGACCGCGAAACAAGCCCCGGCCGCCATCCGTCCGGTAGATGTCGCGAATCGCTCGGAGTGCTCCAGCCCATGAACCTGTGTACTTCTGGAACTGCGGATTGCTGGCTTGAAAGAGAATCTTTACTCTGTCCAAGGGTGCAACCACCGTCTTGGCCGTGCAGGCAGCAACGCCTCCTGCAACACCGCTCTTGACAACATACTCCCAGCTCTGCCTGGGTATCTTCCGCCGTTGGTCTTTGGCGTGTGGGGAGGGTGATTGCAAGGGAATGATAGCTGCGCGATCGGCTTCGCAGATTGAAGGTTGGTTTCCTGCCGCCGCCGACCGTGACGGCCCGGTCATCTCAGGTGGTTCGTAGGTCTGCGAACTGTGGGAGACATGTCTATCGTAGCCGTCAGCTGGCCAGCTTCTCGTTAAGCGTAGTGGTGGTCGTGTGTTCGTGTCTTACTCAGAGGATTGCATGCAACATATGGAGGGATGCTTATGTCCGGTCGCTTAGGTCTGCCGTCTTTTGGCGTCGATAGAAGAACTCGGAATAGGCGAACAGAGAGTCTTGCGCGGTAGGGAAGACGAAAGCAGTAGATCAGTGTTTAGTAATGGGCAGCCATTGCGCACAGGAAACGTGCCTTCTGCTTCCTCGAAAGTCAAGTGCCTCCATCTTCCCCAAAACCGTGTGGAGGCGCACGGTGACGAAAACTGACGGCCCTCGAGCCGACATAGGCCGAGGCGAGCTCTTTCGGCAACGTCTCGTCACGCACGTGTCACCTTTGGTCCATAAACAAATGCTCAGCGTGGTGAGATGGCCAGTCCAATTCTTTGGCAGAACGAGGATGCGACAATCACGCTGATTGACATCCCAACCTCTATCACCACGGCTCAAGGCACCGTTCAACATCCGTGTCATGACCGCATTCTCTCCTCTGAGCCCTTGACGGCCCCCTTTGCTGCCAATGAGCCGAAATCAGCACCCGCCAAAGCGAAGCTAATGACCAATAGTGTAGACGAAGACTTGCATGCCGAGTATGCAGCGTTGCTCAGTACAGCGCTACAAGAAGTGCGGAATCGTTATGAAGGTGCATGGTGTTTGCCGCGGCCTTTCGTGCAGCCACCGTCAAAGAAGCGGAAACGGGATGCTAACGGCGAAGAACCAGAATCGACCTGTGTAGAGGCGTTGCTTCCGCACCAGGAGCCGCCTGGGCTGTTGTCACGACTTGCTCGGCCTGTGAGAGGGGACGCTTCGGTGCCACGAGTTCGCCTACAGAGCGGGCAGCGAGACGGTGGTTCGACTGAAACCGCGAGATCCATTGATCTTCCGAGCCTGATCTCGAGTGCTGATAGCGAGCCGGCGCAACTGCTCATTACGACTAATGACAAAGAAGACACCTTCAGATACCGCATCCCACCGACCTCATCCTTCTACCTAGGTGATTGCGCAGACTCCAACAGCTTCCGCAACGCAGTCCGCCAGCATTCGGCCCAGCAGGACACTACTTACCTCTTTGACTTCATCTTACTGGACCCACCGTGGCCGAACCGCTCGGTCAGACGTACGCACCAGACCAAAGGCTCAACGTACAACGTGCTTACTACCGTGGAGACCATCCAGGATTTGCTGCTTGGCATGGATCTGGACATGCTCATGCAGCAAGACTGCCGAGTCGGCATCTGGATTACTAACAAGCGTGCCGTACGCGACCTTGTTCTCGGTGACGGCGGCTTGTTCGCGGCATGGGGTCTGAAGCTTGAGGAGGAGTGGATTTGGTTGAAGACAACGGTTGATGGTCAGCCTGTGTCGGATCTAAACGCACTTTGGCGCAAACCGTACGAAGTCTTTTTGCTTGGGCGGAGAAGCCTCGACTACGACGTCGGAACCAGCGATACAGAGTTAAAGCGTAGGGTAGTGGTCGGCGTGCCAGACCTGCACTCTCGCAAGCCTTCCCTGAAAGCTCTCATTGAATCGCTTCTCCTGGTCAGTCGCAGTCAGCGTGTCCTAGAGGTTTTTGCAAGGCACCTGGTCGCTGGCTGGTGCAGCTGGGGAGACGAGTGCATAAAGTTCAATTGGGACGGATATTGGCTGAAGACATAATTTGATAGACTGCCCAATGCGAAGGACTTTACAGTCTGCGCTCTAAGCACACGACCTTACCAGATGGCCGGTCCACTCCGGTTCAATGCAGACAACGCCTGCTCAATCGTAATTACATTTACGAACTTCGGGAGGATGCCCGCCAAGATGTTCGTGTTGATGTCCGGTGTGTTCGGAGGCGACTCGATCGTGTTGTTGGCGATCACATATCTATGAAATAACAGTCAGCTCACCTGGGGCTCTAGCTTACAGAGTATGAAGACTCACATCTTGTAGTCCAGATTGTACAGCTGGTACGCGGTGGCCAAGATCACACCAGATGTCCGTATACCAGACAAGATCACAGTATCGATCTGCTGCGCGCGCAAGATCTCCTCCAACGAATTGCCTGCACCGGCATAGAGTCTTGTCTTCTGTAGCACCACATCTCCCGCCGTCTCGTTGACGAAGAACCGTGGGTAGATCATAGTGCTGTTGTCGGTGATGAGAGTAGGCATCCCTCCGGCACCGAATGGAGTTGTGGGCCCAACCTCGGGTCTCCGGGAGTTGAGATAGTAAATGCGCGTGAATATGGACAGAGGCGCCGGTCTCAGGGCGTGGGTCGCATTGATCCAGCGAGCGACGTTGGCGATGAAGGTCGTGCCGGCTGGAGTGGAGGCGACATTGCCGACAATGGAGTTGATAAGGTCGAGGTTCAGCACGGCGTAGTGTTGGCCGAAGGTCAGGTTGGCGGCGGCGGTGGCATTGAGAGTAGAGGGGATCCAAGTTGGAGCTGTGTCGTAGCCGGGAGTGGCAGTCGTGGTAGAGGAGGTGACGGTTGAGGAGGCTCTGCTCGAGGAAGATTGGGCAGAGGTGGTTGCGGAGAGCGCAAGCGCGCTGAAGAGATGGGTGAAGTGCATCTTGACTGTTGACAGCTCTTTCGTAGTGAACCTTTGACAGGACGACACAAGTGAAACCGTAGAGGAGCAACGTTACCTTTTCACCTCGGTGCAGTAGCTTTAGCTATATGTTTACCGGTGTCTCGCGTGGACAGGCTTGAGATCTGCGCCATGCAAGAAGAAAGGTGCCGTCTTTGCCAACAACCCATCCATGACGCGGTTTGCTCTAGAGGCTGGCTTGGCATCGGCATGGCGTGAGCGACATACCAAGCCACATGTCGCATAGAGGGGCTCCTGTTCGTGCCTGCGTGCAAGCGCTATGCGTTAGGTCGCCTTGTTCGAGACAGACCAACCCAAAACAGCACCGGAAGCTTCTGTGAGTCCGCGCTGCGAGCTCTCTGTCCTTCTATGCTGCTGTAGCGGTCTAGTCAAACGCGGGTTGCCTGCGCAGTGGCTGTCAGCTGGCCAAATCGTCTGGACCGTCTGTGATACCCTAGATATTCCAACGTGCCGTGACCATCGCGGGACAATGACCGCGTAAAGTGATGCGCAACGAGGACACCTCTTGAACTTTATGTACGATAATTAAGAGTGAAGGGGTGAATGGTAGGGTACATGTGTGGACCATGCATGTGCTGGCGAGCGTCAGTGTCAATAGACACTGTCGTCGAGCATTCAACCGCTGGATCTGGTAACGAAGTGGCGCAAGCGGCTTCCCGAAGATGAAGCAGTACACTAACACACACCTTCCAAGCCAAAGCTGCGATGCCATCATTTTCGGGGAAGTAGTGTTTTGTGCGACACTGTGCAACTGAGGAAGCGCGGCGAACGATCAAAGTCATTCACTGTCAGGTGGGACGAAGCCGAGGCAGCAGCAGCAGCCTAGCGGCGAGCGTCACAGAACCGCCGGGAAACACCTCACGTGGCGTAGCCTGATCACTCATATTGCCATCGTTTCCTACATTACCCACACCATCTCCACATACAGCGTCTTGGAGAAGGACGCGCAGACAGTATGGCGCGCATCCGAAGCTTGCCACTTGTGCCGCTCCCTCCAGGATTGGTGTTGCTTCCTGGAGTCACCAGCCGGATACCGCTGGAGAACCGAGCTGATGTCGCCGCAATCCTCGCGCACATTTACAGCAAGGCCTCAACACCGCGACCGGAGGCCTCTAGCATCACAGTCGGCTGCGTTCCGCTCAACAGCCCATATCTAAGCGCTGACGGTAAGCGGTTGATCGAAGATGCCGACAAGGACAAGACGGCTGCCGTCATCCAGACCGATCCGGCTCAGGCACGCAAGCCGGATCTCTTCCAGTATGGCGTTCTGGCGCGGGTGACTGGTGTGCAAGGCCGGCGAGCCGGTGAGCTGACATTGCTCGTCGAGGGCGTTAGCCGGTTCAAGATAGAGAAGGTGCTACGTGAGCGACCGTACTTCGAGGCTAAGGTCGCGATGCACGAGGAAGTCGCTGTTCGCGAGGATGACCAGGAGATCGATGACTTGTTTGCCCAGCTTAAGCAGCTAAGCCGGGAGCTGATCGCCTTGATCAGGCTGTCTGCGCTGCTGCCGCGAGGACCTAGCATGTCATTGTCACCGATCCTCGCACGGCGGCTCGAACTCTATATCGTCCGAAAGGATCTGCAAGAAGCAGGTGTTTTGGCAGACTTCATGACCAACATCATCGACTGCACACACGAAGACAAGCTGCGCATTCTGTCCGCATTGCCGGTCAAGGACCGTCTGGAGCGCATCATCGAGATCTTGCAGCGTCAAATCAGCACAATCCAAGGCAACAGCCGCATCATGTCAATCACCACTTCTCTGCCACAGAACGGCGTAGTAGATCTCGAAACACTTCAACGGCTACGGCAGGATCCGCGCATGAAGCGCATGGGTAATGGGCAGATGCCTCCCGGTTTCCCGGGGGGTATTGGAGGCCCCGGTAATCAAGGTGACGAGGAAGCCAATGAGGTCGAGGAACTGAAGAAGAAGTTGGACGCGGCGAAGCTTACGCCAGAGGCGCAGAAGGCTGCAGATCGTGAGCTTAAGCGGCTCGCGAAGATGAATCCAGCCCAGGCTGAGCATCAAGTGTGCCGTAATTATCTTGAGAACCTAGCAGAGATCCCATGGACGAAGATGACAGAGGACAATCTTGATGCCGCAACATTGGCACGAGCGCGGAAACAGCTGGACGACGACCACTACGGCCTAGACAAAATCAAGAAGCGGCTGCTAGAGTACCTGGCGGTGTTGAAGCTCAAGCAGGCAGTTAACATGGACCTGGACAAGCAGATACAAGCCATTGTGCAAGCGTCACAGCCAAAGCAGGAGCAGAAGAAGGAGGCGCAAAAGGAGCCGGATGAGGAAGCTCAGGCCGAGAGTGCAGGGGGTGTCGCCCCCACTGCTCCAAAAGAGCAGAAGGCACGGGAGCAGACGCCTGAGGAGGTCAAGATACTGAAGCACAAGAAGATGGTGGACAGATCGCCTATCCTGCTACTGGTTGGACCGCCAGGCACCGGTAAGACTTCACTTGCAAAGTCTGTGGCTACCGCTCTTGGACGGCAATTCCATCGCATCTCCCTTGGCGGTGTGCGCGATGAGGCTGAGATCAGAGGCCATCGGCGAACTTACGTCGCTGCGATGCCTGGCTTGATTGTCAACGGCCTGAAGAAGGTGGGCGTGGCGAACCCAGTCTTCTTGCTTGACGAGATTGACAAGGTCGGCACCTCTTCCTACCATGGCGACCCATCGGCGGCGATGCTCGAGGTGCTGGACCCGGAGCAGAATCACACGTTCGTCGACCACTACGTCAACATACCGATCGACCTGAGCAAGGTTCTTTTCATTGCAACAGCGAACACTCTCGATACTATCCCGCCGCCTCTACTCGACCGCATGGAGACCATCCAACTGTCTGGATACACCACGCTCGAGAAGAGGCACATTGCAACCCGCCACCTAATCCCAAAGCAGATCACCACCAATAGCTTGACACCTAAGGACGTTCAGATGAAGGAGGACGTTCTCGACAAAGTCATCACGTCATACACCCGCGAATCGGGTGTGCGTAACCTTGAGCGCGAGATTGGTAGCGTGTGCAGAGCAAAGGCGGTACAATTCGCGGAAGCGCGCGACACCAACACCTTGCCGGCCTACTCACCAATCGTCACTATCGAAGACCTTGAGGACATCCTCGGCGTCGAACGCTTCGAGGAGGAGCTTGCCGCTCGCTCCGCCCAGCCCGGCGTCGTGACTGGACTTGTGGCGTACAGCACCGGTACTCAGGGTAGCATCTTATTCATCGAAGTCGCCGACATGCCCGGCTCCGGCCGCGTGCAGCTCACTGGCAAACTTGGCGACGTGCTCAAAGAGTCCGTTGAAGTCGCCCTCACTTGGGTTAAAAGCCATGCTTACGAGCTTGCCTTGACCCATGATCCGAGCGAAGACATTATGAAGAGCCGCTCTATCCACGTCCATTGTCCCTCCGGCGCCATTCCCAAGGATGGTCCATCGGCAGGACTGGCGCACACCGTCGCACTCATCTCGCTGTTCTCGGGCAAGACGGTCCCACCAACCCTTGCCATGACTGGTGAAGTCGCGCTGCGAGGCAAGGTCATGCCAGTTGGTGGGATCAAGGAGAAGCTGATCGGTGCGCTGCGGGCCGGTGTCAAGAAGGTTTTGCTACCGCAGCAGAACCGCAAGGACGTCAAGGATCTGCCGGTTGAGGTTACTGAGGGATTGGAGATCGTGCATGTGAGCCATATTTGGGAAGCGCTCGGTCACATCTGGCCAGATGCGGAATGGCCAGGCCAGAGAGGCTGGAGTGGGTTCGATAGTCGACTTTGAGGTGCGTTAATGTGTGTTTAATGTATTATGATCTCATGTCGTTGCATAGCAAGGGTGTTTCATATCTATATATACCACATCGCCTGATGGCCTGCTCCACTTGACACTGTTGCCGTCCTGCTCCGCTCGTGTCCGCTGTGAGGAAATAGCTTTTGCTGGTCTGCCTGCTCGCGGGAGTCTAGACACTCGTCGCCTTAATTCTCCTCCAGAAAGCGACATGCAGGAGGAAGCCAAGAAAAGTTCTATCAAACGACGCTCCTTTGCCGAACCGGCATACGAAAGACCGAAGCCGAAAACTATTGCTGTGTAAATCCTACACACGACCCATTACGGTCCGCATATAAGTCGTTGGTTTGTGACGCCGTCCAGGCAAACATAGTCAAGCAAGTCCATCTTCTATCCCAGCTCCAAGAGCATATACATAATTGATGTAAAGTAGCAAAAGCGTAGCACCATTCATAAACCTCACCCATCCATTTCGCCAACAGCGCGGGTAGTCAAACACCGCCAATCAGTGGTCTTGAGGTCTCTGCCCGATTTCTCGGCTGAAGGTTTCCCGAGTAGCTTAGGGTCACACCAGCGATCGCTCGTTACCGAAGCGAGTGGGCAACCGCCACCGACTTCGAGTCTGGCCCACACAGTTGGATGAGGACAGAAATGGAGAATGAGCGAAAAGACTTCGCAGTTGAGCCATTACAGCTAAATTTGACCATTAAACATGCTAGTATATATCACCGTAAAAGATGTACCCGAACTTTTGCCGAAGTGCGGTATCGCATCGCTCCTTTTGACTCCCGAAGTGCCACTGACCAAACTGTTCAAGGAACGTCAGCATGAGCGCAGCGACTGTTCAACCTGAGACTGCTGTCCAAATACACGACGCTCAAAAGAAGGCGAGCTCACTGCAAAGAGCAAAGGTCGCCGTGCAATACCTCATTGACCCAAAGACCGGACCGCAACCAGCACATCTACGGACAAGAACTTTTCTACGGAGTCTACGCTACCTCACCATCTTCATCTTCTGGCGTCTGCTACGTTATGCCAGATATGCGGCAGTAGGCGCGCTCGTGGCAGCTGTATCAGGTACAGCTATCGGCTCGGTGGCAAGTGGAGCAGCATTGTTCATTGCGCCTCCTGGAATTTTCGCTGGAGCGGGTGTGGGCCTTTTGTGGGCTTTTGCGAGGTTTGGGTGGAACCGGGCGAAAGCGAGAATGCGGCGGCACCAGCACGACGAGCATGCTGATCCGAGGAAGGATGAGCAGGAGGATGCTGTCCGCTCGAAGCACTCGTCAGCCGATTCGGAGCCATCTTTTGGCAGTGAACCATGGTGATCCTGTCACTCCTTCATGAGAGGCCCAGCACGGCGGTTTTCGTAATTTATATCCGCAGTCTGCGGTGGAGAGAGGGCAAACGAAATGGCACACATTGTCAAGTTTCATTACCCGCTTAGACACAACTATCACCCTCTTGAGCTGTGACAGCTCGGCCTAGCAATCATCGTATACATAGGCCCATCGCTTCATCACATCACACGTTGGGCGCCAGACTTTCGAACAACACCCAGCTCTACCAGCCGCTCCCAGGTCGTATCCTTCTGCCACGCTCCACTCTTAGCAAAGGGTAAACCGTCCAGCTCTTCGAGAGCCACGCAACTGCGTGCCAGCAGAAGCTCGTACACGCGCCGCCGTAAGCGCGTGCCCTCATCCATCTTAACATGATGCTGTCTGTCGCCGTCCACGTCGCGATTCGGAAGAAGCTGCCGTGCAATCTCCATAGCAACGGCCCGCTCGTCTTCGCTTTGTGGATCGTGAACGGAGTTTCTGCGCACGATGCTCGTTGCGCATGCGTCAGGAGGCGGGTAAAACCCATGGGTCACTGGGTTGTTCCTGAGATCAACTGTTCGTAGTGTCTTCAACTTGGCCAGTGCCGTCACATTCCTTCGCAGGCGGTCCAGCCGATTGCCGCAGAAACTCAGCTTCTCCAGCCTTTCAATGTTCAGAAGAGGGCGAATGTCTCTCAGGCCATTGAAGTTAAGATTTAGTGTCCGCAGATTGGGCATGCGGAGCCCAAAGTCATCCGGTAGTTCTTGAAGCCCAACCGAGGCCAGCTCCAAGTGCTGAAGGTTGAGGTGGCTGTGGCTGAGATGCATCGTTGGTAGTACATTGCCGGAAAGACAAACTGAGCGGGCTTCAAGCGGGTGGTCGAGCACAACAATGTGGATTCCTTGATTAAGCTGCTGTCTTCTCATCGATAATGTGTCAAGGTTGGCAAGAACACCGACATTTGCAACGTCGGCAAGACTGTTGTCGTCAACGTACAGGAATCGCAAGCTGCGCATTGTCGACGTGTCCAGTATCCTCAAACCGCTTGCTCGTATGGACAAGATCTCCAATTTCGACATGGGCTCTTCGATATACAACCCTGCCGCAAGCAGATTTCCATCCAGACGCAGAGATCGCAGCGCAGCGAGCTCGTGTAGGCTTTGCACGGTATGAAGTTTGTTGTATGACATATCAAGCTCTTCGAGCCGCTGCAGCTGGAAGCCATGGAAATCTACATGCGCAATGTCGTTTCGCCGTAGGCTTAGCGTGAGCAGCCCGTCTAGGTCTCGAATGCCATTTAGCGAAGTAATGCGATTGGCATCAGCGCGAAGTTCCCGCAAGTGGACCAGGCAGCCAAGTCCGGTAAGATTATCGAGCTGGTTGCCAGAAACGTCGAGATACTGCAAATTCATCAAGTGGCTCCAGCAAGTTAGACTGCTAAGGTGATTCGAGCGAGCGACAAGCCTGCGAATCATCGCCGGCGCACCCTCGAGATGCATCAAAGAGTTCCCAGAGACGTCCAGATCTTGGACGCGGCAGCAGAAATCATCGAGACCATACAGAGAGACCAGAGAGCGGTCTCGTAGGTCAAGCTTTTTGACGTCTTCCCAATACAGCTCTTCGTCTTGCACGTCGGTAAGAGTCCTCACAAGTTCCTTGACCGCCAGAGCGTAGCGGTTGTCAACATCTGCAGCAGCGTATTGCGCAAGTCGCTCCGCCAAAGCACGCTCTGATGGCCGTGCCGCGTCCTCCTCATGGATCGTGAAGTCAGGCAAATCGCTGAGAAGGAACGTATCATTCCCGAAACCCTTGCACGGCGAGGATTGTAACTCGGTGATTTGGTGCGGTTGGTGATGCTTCGTCAGTGGGCGTGAAACGCTAAGCGCAACACTGACCAGTCGTTCGCCCGGTAGCGCAGCGACGAAAGAAAGCTCGCTCTGCTCGAGTGCTTCGCCGTTCAGGCGCCGCGTTAATGTCTTCTTCCGCAGGGATAGATCACGGGTCGCATGCTGCCAATGCGCCTGCGCTCGCTGCAGCACAGGTGATGGGCTTTGACGGAGCTTAGGTGATGCGATGGACTTCATCGTAGGTATTGTTGCCTCAACAGCGGTATCGTCGCGCAAATGATCGTCATCTGCTGGTGCCGTATCGCATACAGCCAATGACCGGGTCTCAAGCTCAACCTCAACCTTACCCTCGAGTGGCGTTGGCATGCTGGAAACGATGGCTTCTGCTGCGTGCTCGTTCGCCAGTCTCTGTTCATCCGTCTTCAGTGCCAGTGTAGCTTGCGCAGCAGCATGTGCGAGCGGCGCCCTCCAAGCCTTGCCCACCGCCGCCATCTGCGCCAGCTCCTCATCGCTGTACGATGTGGCTCTCGTCTCAATCTTCTCTTGCTGGCTTGATCCGAATCCTGTGTATCGGGAGGGTACGGAGCTCGAATGAGCATGATGTATCCGACCCCCAAGGTGGCTGCTGTCTCTCGTCACTGGCCGCGTCACTACGGTTTCAGTCGAGCTCCCTCGCTGCTCAACGTCTTGATGGTCCGTTCTAGATACTCCGTCTCGTCCCGTGGTAGCTGGCGCACCAGAGTCACTTATACGCCGCAGCTCCGTCTGCTCATCTACTGGCAAGTCCGAGATCTCTCTGAACGGATCGTCATCGCTCGAAAGATGGCTTGCTAGACCAAGAAAGTCATCCTTCTCGACTTTCTCGGGGCTTTTCAAGCGCGTCCACCGCTGCTGCTCCTTGTCGAAAGTCATGCCGCCAACCTGCTCGCCGATGAGGTGTTTGACGACCTCCGGTGCAAGTGTACCTAGGTTTTCCGACTTGCGAGTCGAGCTTGTGCCTGTCTTGCCGCTAACAGTAGTGTCATTAGATTGCTGCGTGTGCAAAGTGCTACTTTGAGACGCAGGCCGCGAGTCATCATCATCGTCCGGGCGGTGCTGTGCGCCTGGCGGTGGGCCAGTGATACGAATGTTCGACTGCTCGTCCATCACCACGACGCTTTCGCCCGGCATGTCTTCCTCATCAACATGCAGCGAGGCAATCGAATCCGCGATGAACTCCGTATCGTCCTTCTCCTGGAATCTGCGGAGGTGGCTGACGATCCTAGCATCCGTTTGCGGCATGACTGCGGTCCTCCATCCGCTAGTTCTCCCTTCCCGTGATGGTGGCCTCGAGATACGAAGAGATTCTTCAGCCTCGTGCATCGATCTGTCAGGAAGAAGGCTGCTGTTGCGACCTTCCGCGTCCGACTCCTCGACACTGCCAAGTCCACTCGCCGGGCGTGCTTTTGCTCGAATAAGCTGCATGACCATCACCGCCTCGTTCATGAAGTCCTGCGTCGTGATGGATCGCTTTCGCTCGCCATGCTCGCCTGACGGCTTGTGTACTCGCAAGGTGAAGTTTGCCACCTCCGCCGCAAGCACAGCCGCCTGTTTCTGCAAACTATCTGGACCGTCAGAGCCCGCAATCGATGACTCGATCTGCTCCATGACTGCCTCCAGCCTCTCTGGCTCCTGCGCCGCAAAATCATCTGCCGCCTCCCTAAGCTCGGCTCTGACCTGATCACGCCGGCGCTGATTAGGAGTCGGATTCCGTGGTCGGAGGATCTTGCGGCTAGCAAGTGTGCTTGCATCCGCAACGTCCTGAAGCTCACCTGCCAGCGCGTCTTTACGCTTTCGACTACTTGCCGCCTCCGCAATGTCCAATTGGTATGACAGGTTTGCTCGCGCAGCTTCGTCAACCAGTTCAGACGCGTGTAAGGTTCGCCTGCGTTTCGGTGTTGGATTTTTGAAAGGCGAAGTGGGTGGTCGCTTGGTCGCTTCGAAGCTCTTCACTTGCTCTGCGCGCTCGTAGTACGCGTCCATATCGGAAGCGTCTTCTACACTTGCTTGCAACGCCTTGTTGAATTGATGGCCACCTTCTAAGGTCGATGATTTCGAGTTACTTAAGCTGTGCTTCGACAGCTTTCGTTTCAGCTTGAATGTGTCCTTAAGTTCTGCAGATGGTTCAAGTCGGAAGTTGACCGGATCTACACTTCCAGGTACCGCAATCTCAGGGCCTGGCGAGCGGTCGCTGTCATCTTTTAGGGAGTCCGAAGCGCTCGAAACTGTAATCTCCGCTTCGAAAGCGTGGCCGTCAAGCTCGCCACTGCCAAAAGAATTACGAGACGCGGCTGTCGACACCTTCGGAATATCACCGACCGACTCGTATGTTTCGTTCTTCGAATCATCAAGAACGTTTACTTCTGGATCTAGCTGGCTCATTCGTCTTAGCAGCCTGTTGTTGGTGAAGGTGTCATGTGCGGTGAACAGCTTGAGCGGACTGCCAGAAGACCGAGTTTTAGCTGGATCCGGAGTCATAGGCCGTATCGGAGTAGTAGGCGTTGGCGGGAGTGGTCGACCACGAGCAATTGACGGAGACAGCAGTTCGCTTGTTGAGTGCTCCTCGCTGTCTTCGGGCTTTGATGGAGATGGGCTTAACGGTCGCTGCTTGAACGAGCCGTAAGCTGAGTAGCCACCTCGCTCTAGTTCAACATGGCGACCCAGGCTGGCCAGTGGAGGTGTACCGGTCGGCAGATTCTCTGAGAGCGAGAGATCGGGTGGAGCCTGCAGAGAGACGCTCTGTGGGCCGTCACTGAAGTCCGATCGATTTACTGCTTCTTCATGCTCGGATGGATCCTGCTGCGACTGATATTGCTCTTGGCTCGGATGGCGTAGATCGACTCTGAGAGTCTGAAACTTCTTGATAATGTGTGAATCCAGCGCTGCATAACCAACTTGCCCGTTGATTTTAGTATGCTTCGAAATGTATACGGGACTGAAGTCTTCCTGCTCAAGCTCTGTCTGGCCACTTGCGGTCCGATGAGCTGCCGCACCCGTGTCGGTTCGATGGGGCTGATCTTGGTATGCCCCTGGATTGTCATGCTGTTCCTGGGAAGATTCGTCTGTGATGTGTAGGTCGAATGGGTTGCTGCGAAAGCTGGCATCGCCGTCTACCTGCTCAAGGGTGGACGGGCCATCGCTGTGTTCCTGCACCATGTTGAGCAGCGCCGGATCACTTCTTCCAAGGTCGCGTGGCCATTGAGGCGGGCTTGAGGGCATAACCACGTCTGACTCTGGCAGCCAGCTGATTCTGTTTTTCGCCTTTGGCACCACATTCTCTCGACCCTGCGAGCGCGCGAAGATATTCTCTAGACCAGATGGCGCAAACAGATCTGTTTGGTCGCCGTATCCAAGCTTTCCGTTGACAAGCCTTCTTTTCCACTCCAGTGTCTCTTGCTTCTTTGCTGGCGATGCGCTCTTCGAACGCTGTTGAACGGTGCCGCACTGCAGGAGCGAGCCGTCGGAGGTCTGTGAAACCGATCGCGTGCCTGCCATCCTAGTCGTGCCATAGTTCTCACGTGATGCATTGGACATGCTGGTGCTCAGTGGAGCCAGTGGGCTTCGTCGGAACTCTGTGGTCGCTTGCGAAGAGGTCTTCTGGCTGCCTAGTGATGATGGAAGGCCGCTCAGACTTCGTTTCGGCACTCTGTCGCGCCCACTGGGCAGGATACTGGCATCGTGGCTGGCCGAAGACACATGTTGCATGTTTGTTGGGGCCTCCCAGGCCTCGTCCAGGCCTTGCAGCCAGGGCGCGATATTCGAGGCCATTGCGCGGTAGAAACAGTCAATAGTCAGCCAGCGCGCACAGTGTGTGGAGAAGAATGCGTTCGAAGCGCAGGTCGATGCGAATCACGCGTAGCAATACTGTGCAGTTCGCCAATGAGGCTCAAGCCGCTGATCGATTGCGATATCAAAAGCTGTTGCTAAGGCGACCAGTCACGCTAGCACGTTTACAGCGATGGCTCCTGCTTCAAGGCGGCGATGGTGTGCACCTCACCTTTTGCCACCCTTCGCGGCATCCAGCATATCGGAGCGAGAGGTGAAAGGCTAGGAAGCGGGTGCATGATGACTACTCTCGCTGAGTGTCTTGAAAGGCGCGAACATGCTCGGAACTCAAGCTGCACATGAAAATGATCGTAACGCATAAACCTCGCGGACATCTGTGGACTTGCGCTTCGGCTTTCCAACAGTCGGCAGAGATACAACGGTTCAACCATGAGGACTGCACGCCTCCACCTGCGAAAGTGTTTGCAGCTGATCCGGACGATGCACTTTCAATACCGCAACGCGCAGCCAAGCGGCGTAGGATCGAGAGCCTTGTGAATGACTTCCTTGGCGGACAGCCATTGATCATCACTTCCGCCAGACCTCATCCGTCGCAATTACGGATTGCGGTTGAAGCGGCGCAGCGGAGTCGCCTAGAGTCAAAGTATTACCTACCTGAAGGACCTATCGCTACCGGAGATGATATGCTCTGGGCGGATGTTGACGATCCGTCGACCATCGCCGCGAAAGTGTTGCCATTGAAAAGCTTACGACGGGCTTCCGAGGAGACTAAGTGGGTCCGACGGACAGCTACGAGCGTGGTCGAAACCGTGACTGAAGAGGAAGCAAGCTCGGCCTGCAAAATCACAAGACCAAGAAAATCTTCAAGGCTATCGACCGAGCCGAGTACGGACGCTATCAAGCAAGCAGCAGCTCTTCGCGACCGGAGGGTTCGGAGAGCGGCGACAGAGGTACCGCAGGTCAGCGAATATGTTGCTACAGGTCAACTTACCGCGAGCGAACCCGCTTCACCTCCCTCACCACAAGTTGTCCGCATCCCCAGACGACGAGGCGTGGATGCGCTTACACGTCGCTCCACGTATCTGTACGAACCTTCCACCGACGAAAGTGTTGATGAGCTCAGCCGCTCATTGATGGAAACGCCATCCACACACGCTTATATTCATGAAGGTGTAGCTGAGACGCCCGAGATCACCCGATCTGTCATGCTGCCAGGTCTCGTTGAACCGGACACTGCTTTACCTGACCAAGCCAATCCATTGATTACTGGTGAGCACAGTCAAAGAAGGCAATCTGCCAAACGACCCCAACACAGGGGTTCTCTGGGCGGCTATGAAGAGCACTCCAATAGCTTGGGACACAAGCTCACGTTGGCTCCATCGGCGTTGAGATCCGAGATCCTACAGACAGGATGTGCCGCTGAGCCATCGTACCGGACTGCACCCGAGGGGACAATGTCGGCTGCACTTACTGCCCCTTCGCTTTCACCAGAAGACAGTGTGGATGAGGATAGTCGCACCGAAGGTCTCCACAAGCATGGGGTAGTTGGCGCTCCACCTGCATCGTGGACGACTGCGAATGGCGGAGCGCAGTCTTGGGCCGCGGATCAGTCTGTACTGACATCCCAGCCTAATGATATAACGGCTTCCGAAAGGAGCGAGATCCGTCAGTCATCACATATATCTGCACTCGGAGCAGCGAAATTGGAAAGGATTAAAAGGCCTAAGTCAACTGGTAGTGACATTTGCAGCGAAGAACCTGCTAGGAGGCCGCGTTCAGCACCTGCGGTACCCCAGCGCATCAGTGACCAACCCAAGGCCCATGTACCCGACAATGGTACACTCGGTGGCAGCTTCGAAGCCTGCGTTGCAACAACAAACAGCAAAAACGAAACGCCGTTTAGGTTCTACAAGCGTAAATCGAAAGGAGACGCCCCTAATCGCAGCGCTGGGTCAGGCACCTGGAGGAGCACGAAAAGCACGAAGTCGAGAAAGCCTGTCAGCTTTCCATCACAAGAGGTTGAGCAGGCAGGCCGCAGGCTAGTTGCTGTGTCCACAACCATCAAGGTACGGTCTGCAGAAGCACCCGTACTTGATGTGTCATTTGGTGCCAGCGACTCGTTTGGACCGCGGTTACAATTAGCGCTGGAAGACGAGCATTTAAACACTATACTCCCGTCAACAAGGACGTTATTGTCTACGGGAGAGCCGTGGTCCGTCAAGCGCGCCCTCAAGTGTGCAATGCGCGAGTCTGGCGCGGAGTTTGAGTGCATACCTGGTGAGCCCGCCTCGTCGCAGTTAGACACTATGGATGGCACGCATGCGGTAACGCGGCAATCAGCTCACGACTTCCCTCAGTCTCCGGCAGGCGCAGAAAAAGGGAAGACTGGCGAAGAGGCAACTTCCGGGATCAATAGGTTGGATGAGCAGCCGACGCCGCGCACTCAGCTGCCAGACACGCAAGTCATGCTAGCGCAAGCACGCTTTGACTTCTTTAACTCTCCAGAGAAGCAAATGACGGCAGCAGCCGGTGCCGCAGAGGGCCTGTTTACTTCCGTCGAGGATGACGTGACAATGCAGTCTCAGACCGTATCACACCAGCCTCTTCAAGAGCTTTCACAACAGCCATTGCCAGCGACACAGGCACTAATCGATGCATGGTCACCATGGTCACACATAAAGAAGCCCATAGGTCGTCTTACGCAGGTAACGCTAATAACAACTCCCACTGGAGTCAGCAAAAGTGTCGGCAAGCAAAGCACTGCAGCAGACGATGCAGTCCGTAGGCGAAATAGTTCACGCTTTGCAACCACTTTCGATGACCCGCCTAGCCAACCCTCAAGACTTGACTTTCCAATCACTAAGGAGTCGTCATCAGCACATGGCCCGAAGAATCTCTCGCAAAGCGGGCACGACTCCGCGCCGAAGTTTATCCTGAAGTCAAGCGGACGAAGGCACGATGCACATATAGTTGGAAGCCCGCACCATGGTACGCCAGGCCCAGAAGCACAAGAAAGTGTGCCGAAGTCATTAGATATCCCTTCTGTTGTTGGGGCAGGGTCCGCGTTGGACAACGACGAACCCAGAACGAGAACCCTGTTCAGAGAAGAGTCGCAGGTTGAGCGAGCGATTGACGACCTGGAAGCGACTGTGCTGAGCTTTACGGGTGACTTGGACGCGTATTGACCATCATGAACGGTGAATGCATATACAATGATCGAGCACGTCATGGTTGAGGTTGACCGCAACGCCACGAGCAGCAGATGCGGGTATCATGTCGAGTAGCAACACTATACAAGACGCCAACTTTCGTCACGCCAGCCTCGTATCCGCATACAGAACCATTGATGTCGCCCCGCCAATGAGCCCCAAAATTTACAAGAAGTACTCCCCTCTGCCGGCTCTTCCTGCCGGAACTGCACGCCTGTGATCCGGCACCGCACTGAAGATCTTGAAGTCTGGGTTTAGATCTTCGCCCAGTGTCATTATAGACGCCACATTACCGCATCGGTAGCAGTAGTTGGGCGCTGACCATACGGTGACCACGTCCTGCGACGCAAAATGATACTTGTAGCCTTCATTGACGAGCTGATGCGCACGTGCAATAAGCTGCAAGCCATTGACATGGTTGAACTGACGCTTGCATTAGCATAACGCCTTGGAGAGCAGACACTGATATGGATGAACTTACCTCCGAGCTGACCTTGTCCCCAAAGAGCCATCCCGCTCCGCGCGGCGAAACGGCCCACGTATCTACATCCTCCGGGTCACTCCACACGAGATCGCAGAACGCGCCCTCGTGCGGGATTTCTTGCGCTCGCGCCACGACGCGGATCTGGTCCAGTGTTCGGATCTCCGGACTAAGGCCGCCGTGTACACACAGCACTTTACCGTCAATGATTGCGGCGAGGGCGAGGAAATCGAAGACTTGGCAGCAAGACTTCCATACGGAAGCGTTGCCGTACTTTTGCTGGCACTCCTCGTAGAAGCCGTACACTTGCGTTATCTGGCGAGACTCGTGGTTGCCGCGGACGAGCGTGACTCGGTCCGGGTATCTGTATGGACGTTAGCGCAATGTAGTGAACCAAGAGAGCGTATGTCGGACATACTTGGCTTTGAGACACATAAGCAGCGTGAAAGTCTCCAACGAGAAGTAACCCCGATCAACAAAGTCGCCTAAGAAGATGAAGTTCTGCTTTCCATTCGCATAGTCCGTCTTCGCCACGCTCTTACTTCGACTCGGCCCCGGACTCCTCACGCCAACGCCACTATCATCCGACCCTTCTTCGTCCTCATCCTCCTCGTCATCGGCCTGTCCCATACTCCTACTTCTTCCCCTGCCTCGCGGTTCGTCTTCGTCATCTCCGTTTCCCGACTCAGATCCATCATTCGACGCCGCAGACGTATACGCCGAGTCCCTCTGGAACCTCCTCTTCATCTTTTTCCTCACTTTCGGGTCACTTATCTGTGTCGGGGGCTCAAGATCCGCCGCGCTGAAGATAGCCGCCTTGCCGCTGCCTGTCCGGTTGGGACTCTTCGCCGATAAAGGTGACTCGCTTACCTTCGCCGCGGCGCTCCGCGCTGCCTTCTCCTCTACTTCGCCTGGCATCCCGCCAGCGACATTGAACAGTTCCAGCAGGTCGTAGAATTGCCCGTGAATGTCGCCGCAGACTGTGACGGGTGCTTGCACGGGTACGATGTTGCTCTCTTCCATCAAGCACTCTTTGACGATCTCGCATAAGCGCTTCATGTCCGCTTCGGGGAGGTAGCGGCATAGCTTTGCCTGGCAGAGCCATTCGTCTGGTCCGGCTTTCGATGTGAGTTGTGCTGGTCCTGGCTGGGGAACGTCCGGGTCTCTGTCTCGCGCCATATTGCGGGCTTCTGGGAGTCGCTTCCTCGGCAGTGGAGGTCACGAGGGCAGCGATACAGTCTCTTCAGCCGAGCCAATGGCAACGGAAAGCCGCAATGACTGAGTGTAGAAACCGGCAATACAATCAGGCTAGATGCGTAGTACGATCAGATAACCAGATAGTCCTCGTTCTGTCGGTAATCTGGAATGAGGTCTTGAAGGCTTCGGAGTCTGATGCAAGACCAAGGGTTTCATCATGCGGCTGCCGCTTGCCGAACGCCTCGTGGCGAAAGGGCTCCACCTCCGCAACGTCCGTGCACTGCCTTATGGGGAGATACTGGAGTGATCAAGTAACAAGATGGTAGCATTGGGCGTACTGAAATGCTATACTACTGCCGATCTGAAGCGACACATGGGAGAACTACCCGCCAACCCAACTAGCAAGCCGCCTCTCCTCAATGCGGGCCTGCCCATCCCGCCAGCGCGAGCCCTTTGATCTTCTTAAAATCCGGCGTTCCAAATCCACTAGCAAGATCCCACCCCTTGCCCGCAGGAAAGCCTGACGTGTCGCAACCCCATGCATTACCGATGGTGATGTCGTTGAAGCCGTGATACAGCGTACTGTAGAGCGCCGGATTCAGGAAGCCCAAGGGCGACTTGCCGGCCGCAATGAGCGCGTCGTTGACCAGAGTCAGCACTGAGGTCGCAGTGGGCGCGGAGGCTGATGTGCCATCAAGAATTGCATTGAGCCCTGCGTACACGACAACGTAGTGGTAGCCTTGGGCGGATATATCAGGGTAGGCGCGACCGGAAGTGTTGTATAAACCCGCATGCAGGCTGCCGATGCTGCTAAGATACTTCTTCACTGCCGCGTTCTGGTACGAAGGCCGCTGGAAGTAATTTGATAGGCCAGAACCGGAGACGTAGTCATTCAGTACGTCGTAAGCAACAACTTCCGGGCTTAAGTTCCGGGTACCGCCGACTGTTGTCACATACGGACAAGAAGCTGGGAAGGTGGGTAGAAACATCGGCGTGTTCGTGCCATCATTGGAGGAGCACGTACCATTTGGTCCAACTCCAGCGTCGCCAGAACTGAAAACAACCGAGACTCCCCTCGCGCCGAGCTGGGCCAATTCCTGGCAAGCCCGCAGAGCATAGCTATATGGCACTGTATGCTCATAGTCTCCGTACGAGGTAGAGATGGTATGGGGCGGAGAGTCCAGCGCTAGCATGTAAGCAAGCCACTCGAGGTATGGCTCGTTGGTGTTCGTAGGTGTGCTGATATCTGGGGTGTACGGTGGAGAGCCTCCGGTTGAGTAGACACGGAAGTCGGTTGGGTAAATAAACCCACCAATCCTGGACGTCCATCAGCTCTATTGCCTTTGTGTAACAAGTCATCTACAGCGTACGTCTGAGCGTCGAGATTTGCCTCGTTATCACGCTGATCGTAGTATGTCGTCTCGAGTGACTGGAAGTTGATCCCACCATTGATAGTCGTGTAGTTGTATGTATAGTTGAGCGAAGCGTCTTTCCTTTGTCTCGACAAGAAGACATGGAAGTCGGAGATGTTAGCGGTCTCGTTGAGGTACGCCGTCATCGCCACCGAGTTGAGCTCCGGTACTTGCGGCACATAGTCTACGGTTCTGTACAGTGTGCGTAGGCAGAGATTGGTCACAGCAGATTCATCACATACCGCCGACAGATTGGCAGTGCTGTACGGAGACAACGGCTTTGTCCGATGCCACGGGTAGTCTGGCGGCGTGAGGTCAAGGTGTGGTTCAATGTCCGCGTCTACAACCCTCAGAGTCTGAGCCATAGCTTTGGGGTGGCCGAAGTAGTTGGTTGGCTGGATCACGTCGATGTGCCGATGCAAGCCTCGTGGAAGACTGTATTCTGGGGTTCGTACAAGCTTGGTGCCCTCGTCGTTCTCGTAGACATGATACTCGGTGTTTAGCAGTTGCTCAATCTTCGCGACTGGAAGCGCCACGGTGATCCAGTCCCGAGATGGGCTGTAGGTGAGAGTGTCAGGACGAACATCGCTGTCATGAAGCCAGTCGTGTACAGCAGAGAGAGCTTCAGCGGACGGCTTAGCCAGGTTACGAGCCTCTTCGGCTGACAGATGCTGCCCGTACCGTTCATTTGCCGGATCCGAGACTTCGAAGAGGCGCTTCTCGAGCTCACTGAAAGAGGCTTGTGTGAGACCGATGCGCAAAGATATGGTGTGATCCTGCCCATTATCAGTAAGATAAGACCGTGCTATGTTGGTGAGACATACCGCTGGCGCTTTACGGAGCTTCTTCCATTGTGGCGGGACGGAGTGAGTGTCCTTCACGGCGAAATCTCCCCGACTAGTGATGGTGTGTGGTGCTGCCATAACAGCCACCGCCGTGCAAAGAATGGCTACGAACTTCATGTTGCGCGTTTGAGTGCAGACGCCGCGTGTAGGTAATGTATGTTGTGGAAGCGAGCAAGGAATGTGAGGTTTCCACTTACACAAACGGATCGTGTATTGCAATGAACGGGAATATTGAAAGTGAGGCGATTGCTTTGCGCACGTACTTAGCCTTCATGCCTTCCAAGTTCGACAATGTCTCGTCCTTGCCTCCTTGGTTTCGATACGCTGGCTTAATGCAGGCACGTTATTTATGGCGGCCAACACCGGGCCAACCGAAGTCATCCCGTAGCATGCCATGGTCTCTCTGCGACGACGAAAACGCAGGCAAGACACTTACATGGCTTGCTCTTCGAAAAGTGTATGTGCTGAATGGACGGACATTTTGCCGCGAACAAGAAGCGCGGGAGAGATGTTAGGTAGTTTCGTGGCAGTCCGAAACACTCGGCTTCGCGCGATCGACCGTGGCGCGACCTTGACTCTCCGAGCCTCTGAAGGCGCGTTTGCGAGTATTGTGAGTGCTGAAAGTGCTGTGCGCCGACAATGCAGGCTGTTGACTTCCCATGCGGGCGAGTGGGCTTCGCGAGCGCATAAAGAAGGATTCGACGACCGTCAATTACCGCTGAGCAAATTGGTGGCCCACTGGTAGCTACCAAGAAATACCGCACCACCAATACTGATCCACATCGTCCGCGGTCCGATACCACTGAAGAATGCTTTCGCCCCTTCCTCCCGCCATATCTTCGTGGTGATGGCAGTAATGCTTTGGCGCTGCTTCGCCAACATTAGGCGCGTCTTAAGGACATCAAGCGGTGTGGTCAACCCTGCTGCAACGGCACCAGAGATCGATCCATAAATGGCGCTCTCTGCTCCTGTCACGTCCTTCCCTCTCGCCACAGACCTCTGCTTGAGTGACCACCTCTTCATGGCCTCCCACAAAGGAAACTGTATGACTGTGAAGGGCACCTCGCGCATGATCGTTATGCTCCAGCCGCGGTATAACTCCCTCCACACGTGGAAGAAGCCATGCGTACTCCTCTGAGCTAGTATCGACGTCAAGGCCGTCAACGAAGTCGGATACTGTCCGGCTTGTGCGCGTTGCTTCACCACCTCCGTGGGCACTCTGACTGCGCAGGCAGCTACTTCTCCCACGCTGGCTGCTAGCATGTGTGCTCCAGCCTCGCCATATGGACCTAGTTTGCGGTGTGCAAACTGCTCCTTGACACTTTCATAAGTGACGAAAAAGAGAGCCGCGCCTGGCGCCGAGCCAACTACCGCCGATCCGATGCCATTGTAGACGCCTCGAAAGCCACCGGAAGCCCAGAAACCGGCGGATGATTGAAGCCTCGTTTTGATCGTGTCAAGTGGGAAAAGAGACACGTCGACTGTAGTGCCTGCTATCCCGCCTGCCTATGTAGGTCAGCTCTAATGCTCTGCTTGAGCCGGACCATATGCGAGGTAACGTACCAACAGCGACCGTAGATATGGAGGTTCTATCCGCGCCTCCTTCCGGACTTCCATCAACACTTCACACCTCGAGCTCTAGCAATCCACACTGCGGTGGTTCCTTCGTACGGGATGAGAGACTGTAGGTTTGACCTGCAATGTGTGGCTGACGGCTTCCTCAGGCGCCGAGAAAGGCCCACATCATCACTTGTTCGTCCCTATCCCGCCATCTATGCATCTAACATACACATTAAGGGCAACGTAAAACGCTTTTTCCTGCGGTGATAATCTTGCCAGCGTGGCATGAGTACTTGACCGACTTCTCCAGGCAATGGCTCGTCGTGTGCGGATGCCACGATCTGCCTCACAGCTTGCATGCGGTTAAGCCTCACTTGTTGCATTCGGCTAAGGACAGCCGAAATTTGAATCCCAGTCAGCATTCTTCCGGGCAGTCACCCGTCGTCACGACATCAACATCCGCAAGGTGACGAAAATATATGGGCACTCGTACTGTCATCTCTGCTGCCACCGCAGCACGATGCTTTCCGAGAAAACTGCTTTCCAGGTCAGACGTCTTCAGACCGCGGATAGGACGGCACTCGCACACCTCGGTGCATTGTCTGCGGTGTTAGCAATAAAGTCCGCATGGACTTTTCGCTCGACTGTTGCCCAATCTTACCGACATGGCCGACTTCGCCTCGGACAGCGCATAATGATCGCGATAGTGGCTCATGGCAAGTTGACGTGTACCCTTACGCAAACATCCATACATGCACATCTGACTCTCTAATCCATCCCACTGCATTCCCTCTTTCATCTTGCAAACCCCTACTCTCACACTTGCAAGAAGGAACTTGCATTGTTACCACCGCAAGAATTACATTGTCGTTGTCTTGGTGTCGCCGAGGATGCCAGAACCCAGCGATGAGGTAAATAGCCATACGCCGAGACCTCGATCATTACGGTCATTGCGAAGTCGATCAAGCTACCGCACCTCAAGATCAAGGTCCAGACCTAGAAGTCCCGACGCGCACCTACACCGCATGTATTCTTCGGGCTTTCCGGACGATAACAACACGTACGTTGGCCAAGAAGATCTTCAGCCCACAAGCGTGGCGGGTCAGGCGCCGGACACGACAGCAGAAAAGGCATCGTCGAAGGCGGGAGAGAAGGCAGCCTTCGATGGGCCCGGAGACGATATCGAAGAGGCAAGAGAGGAGGCCGAAAGCGAAGACCATGAGGCAGAAGAAGAGTGCGATGATGATGCCAACAGGGACCTTGAGAAAGGCCAAGCGCTGAAGAGACAGCAGACGGGCACCTCTACCAAAAGCGTAAACCAGGTGACCTGGGATGGACCCGACGATGAGGAGAACCCGAAGAACTGGAAGAACAATCGCAAGTGGGCAGCTGTCCTGGTAGTATCTTCTTTCACCTTCATCTCGCCCGTATCCAGCACGATGGTGGCACCAGCGCTGCCAAACATGGCGGCAGACTTGGGTATCACCAATCAGGTGCTTTCGCAGATGATGCTCTCGATCTTTGTCTTAGCTTACGCGATCGGACCTTTATTTCTTGGCCCGTTGAGTGAGGTATATGGAAGAGTACCGGTCTTGCAGCTCGGTAATATCTTCTTCCTCATTTTTAATCTTGTTTGTGGGTTTGCACAGACTGGTGCTCAGATGTTGGTCTTCCGGTTCTTAGCAGGCATTGGAGGTAGCGCGCCATTGGCCATTGGTGGTGGCGTCTTGGTGCGTATTTGAAGGCCGTCAGGCTTCTCTGCTGTGTGAAATGTCACTAACTGATAGACACTTCGCTTTGTAGGCTGATTGCTTCACGCCCGAGACGAGGGGCGTTGCGATCGCGGTATATAGTCTCGCACCCCTCATAGGACCTGCGGTAAGACCTGCCCGCCACAATATCGGCTGAAGCTCGCCTTGAGTAGCGCTGATAGTCTTGTAGGCAGGTCCTATCGCTGGTGGCTTCATTGCCGAGAATACCACTTGGCGCTGGGTCTTCTGGGCAGTCACCATCGCAGACGCTTTGATCCTGGCATTCGGAGTCTTCTTCTTGCAAGAGACGTGGGCACCAAAACTCCTCGAACGAAAGGCAAAGAAATTACGCAAGGAGACCGGCAACCAGACCCTCTACGCCAGCAAGCCGCAACCGCTATCGACGAAGCTGCGAACATCCCTCTCGCGTCCTTTCATCCTGCTGTCCAGCCAACCAATTGTGATTGTGTTCGCAATCTACATGGCGTACCTATACGGCCTCGTCTACCTCGTCATCTCGTCCTTTCCAGGATTGTTCACCTCCCCAGCCTACTATGGCGAGTCCACGCAAATTGGTGGTTTGAACTACATCACCCTTGCTGTCGGCTACTTTCTGGGAGCCCAGATTGGCGCGCGCCTGAACGATTGGACCTATCGTCGACTGAAGAGGCGCAACAATAACGTTGGTCAGCCGGAGTTTCGGATTCCCATGCTGTGGCCTGGCGCGATTTTGCTGCCAATTGGATTTTTCTGGTACGGGTGGAGCGCGCAAGCAAGGGTTCATTGGATCAGTAAGTGACTTCCAGCCAAATGCAAGCGGCGTCTGAGACTGTCGGTCGTCAAGTCGCACTTACAGGTGACTTAATGCACACTTAACATGCTGACCTCTGTTCCCTTAGTGCCGGACATTGGAGCTGGTTTGCTGGCCTTTGCCACGATATTCAGCTATTACAGCATCCAAAACTACATCATCGATTGCTACACGAAGTACGCGGCCAGCGCGGTGGCTGCAATCACGACTTTACGAAGTCTGGCGGGGTTCGGCTTTCCTTTGTTCGCTCCGTCACTGTACGACTCCCTGGGCTATGGCTGGGGCAACAGCTTGTTAGCTTTCGTAGCAATTGTGATTGGGCTGCCGGCTCCATGGCTGTTTTGGAAGTATGGAGCACAGCTCAGAGCGAAGTCTCAATATGCAGCTGGTTCGTAGAGCGGATACTTCAAGCGTCCTACTACCAGGCACGTTTCTCTGATCAACTGCGAGTCCGAATTCCGGGCATCGTCACTCCAACGTCGTTGATTGTGCCCGAGGTAAAATGCTCGCAGCCTGTAGGTCAAGACCGGATAACAGGCTGCCTGGTGAACGACTAGCAAGCGGAACCAACCGGGGCTCAATAGCCGATCCTGATACCCGTGGTGGGATGAGAGACGAAATTAACTCTTTTCTTGCAATGTCAGAATTGATGTTGACTTTTTGTTAGCCTCCGGGAAAGATCTACCCCGCGTTTTGCCCTCTGGGGAAGCGACGCCTACTGCGAGCGAGCAGTCACCGACACCCGGGAAATACTCGTCTGAAGCAACATCGACTTCGTCATGATCGAGATGACCTTTATCACATCGTTGAACCCATGCTCGTTCGACGGCGTCTCGGTTCATGCGAATGCGCGCTTAGACGTGGTATGGTAAATCAGGGACGTTCGAACACTCGTTCCAGCGAAACAGCGCAATCGCGGACTTCTTTGCAGTCATCCAGAGCTTCGCCTTCACCCGGCCGGGAAAAGCTCGCACGTAAGGCTGCCACTTGCTGTCATTTTCGCCTCGGGCATTGTCCGCGAATCTGGGAAACGCTAACGAAAGCGGAGTGACGGTTGTTCTGATGAGGGTACCTAATGGCGAGGCAGATAGCCCGTTCAGGCTCCTGACTTGCTGGTCGCCCACGGTGTGCAGAATCTGGCGCCTGTTGCGCCTGTTGCGCTCTTTGATAGGTCCAACAGTATCGTGTGAACCAACAAACATGAGGCCACACGGCGACGGTGACTCGCGGTTGGACCGCGGTCACACGCAGAGTGTCGGTCAGCTCCTGCTACCCTGCCGTTGTCATCGTATCATCGGGCTGTGTGTGGTACGTACCAACGGCTTTGACTTTGAGTGGACGTGGAGTTCCGGCAAGTGTGGGCGGCGCCCGTTTCCGGCTGTGTCTGGTTGTTCGCCCTTTGCCGAGTGAGTTTGTCTGTCCACGGCTGATTGCCAAAGCGAGGTTCGTCCGGCGAGAGAATGTCCCGGCTTGTTTTGACGCGTCGATGCGGTCAGGTAAACTATATGGTTCCTTGCTTTGTGCTTCCTAACCCACGCGTCTTTCTTCGTTCTTCCATCATATGTAGAAGATCAGACTTCTATCGCAAGCCCCATGAGAACGGCCCTCCATCAATCGAGCTGTCAAAAGCCGAACTGACTCAGGCCTTAACACCACCCTTTGTTTACATATCAGCCGGACACGTAGGGCTTCAGACTACCAAGCCAGCATACATCATCCGCCTGTTGCTATCGTGTGGTGGCAATACACTACGCGTCGTCTACGCAACGAAGCGAGACTATAACATGTCTACCATCCCGAGCCAGGCTTCCTCGCCACTAACCTCACCAAGTCTACAACCGGATAGCAAGATGACAGAGATGGAGTCTCCCAACCCGAGTGCAACATACAACGTCGCAATGCACGAACATCTCTTCTCCTCTTGCATACTCAGGAAACAGAGCTTCGATATGCCGAGCGCGTACGTCTCCGACGAAGACCTCTTCGGTGATGATCTTGATGGCTTTCTTGATGGGCCGCCCGCACCACCTAGGCCTGCAGATGCCTATCTCGCGCAGCCTCTGTTGCCTCCTGTGACCAAGGACAGGCGAAGGAGCAGCAGCAGCCATTACCATGCGAAGAGCACTAAGTACCGTAGCTACTCCAAAGGTTGAACGAGCGACAGACACATACCTCAAAACTCGTTCTTCCGACGTGGACCATCGTTAAACAACAAGGACCAAAACCGAGGACCAAAAGTCATCTCGCTGCAAGCGATGCCGATGACATCGCCTCCACCCAGGCAAGGACGTTGGACGACTGTTCGCAGAATGTGTGCATGCTGCGAACATTCACTGCTAAAAGCCAGACCTTCCACAAAGTAACCGCCGCATGTGTGCGGTCTCACCCTGCGAGCACAGGTGTCACGATGTACTGCAGCTGTATACCGCGTCGTCGCACACGATGGGGTCGCTTGATGGGTACCATCTGTCGTGTGCTTCCCGCGGCCGAATACTCCGGCGAGGGGCAACGATTCAGAAACCAGATCCTACTACCAGCCTTACTGGGGAACGATAGTCCGGAAGCATTGGCCCTCATGGATGGGTCTCGGATCTCACCGCCCACTTTCACGCGAGACGAATCGACTATGCAGACATGCTGTATTGGTGGCAATCATCATCAGAACCAGCGACATAAGCCAGATGCGCCTACCCTTTAGTCTTCTTGACATGACGTTTGGCGGATGAAGGACAAGTCTGTCTGTAGCATGGGCCGGAACACGGAGACGGGCCAACGTGGCGCTGCGGCCGAGGGAAGGCCCGCACGGTTGCCGCTGGCAAGGATCGTGAGAGGCTTGGCACACGCAGATCGTTGTATAGCGCGGCGCGTAAGCCGGAAACGCGAGTGGTTACTTTAGCCACTTCCCTCATCGATGCATACACTTCACATTACGCACGTTCGTAATCGCCGTGACTGTGACGTGGACATAAACCACCGCCATGACCTCGTATGTGGCGGCGTCTGACTAAATTGTGGCAAACGCGAGGAGAAGTGCGCACCAGGGTGCGGCCTGTTGAGCCAGTTGGATACAATCGTACCTTGCAGTATGTGGTGGTACATCCCATCCAACGGATTTCGAGCAAGGCATGCTTTCTCTTACAAGAGCCAACATTGGGCGTGCCATCTGTCGCAGGAAGAATCGTGCACGCCGGGTTCAATGCGAGTTACTATACCTTTGGAAGCGTAGAATCCTCGACCTGGAGGACCAGACGATCGAACTCCAGGTCAATTTGCCCATATCGCTCTTCGTTCCTCTCGTATAAATCATTGCACTTCCGATGTTTCTCGAGCGGACGAAAGAAGTCTCACTACGTCTCAACCAACTATGAAAGTGCCCTTCATCCTCCGCTGCCCAACACATGGTCGATCAAGATGGGAAACAGAAAATATATGCGAAGATGTGATGTGACCAAATGACGGGCGTCTCTGTCTCGACGCTAGTTAGCCTAGTGCCAGGCTTTCTTCATGGCAACTAGCCAATAGCGTGCGAAAGCGCCCTGTTCACTCCGCTTTTGCACTTCGCACGTCTGCGCGATGGGAGCGCTCACCAGCGCCAGCTGCATGCATCGCATATGAAACGGGACTTGTCCGACGTGGGAGCCGTCAGTGATCCGGAATGGGTCTCCATTCTTTTCTAGGCCGCACGGAACGATTCCAAGGGTCTACGACAGCTCGGCACTATACTGTTGGCGTCCTGGAAGTGCAGCGAATGGCAGCTATTATTTCATCCTTCTGTGAAACCATAGGTCCTTTTCCCCAGGCCTTCAGACAGGCTGACTAGTTGCTATTCCCTCTCATTGACCCTCTCACGCTTTTCCGAATTGCGCACGATCTTGTGGCGAGCGCGCTAAGATTTCTCGTGCTGGCATAGCTAGGCGCGGACATCTGATTTGGCTGGGCATCAGATTGCAGCAAGACGTACCTCTAAACGCCTGTTACTCCTGCAGGCACTCTGTAACACCCACGTCCTGCATCAACCTGCAGGTCGGTCCTCTGTACCTGTTCGATACCACCATCCGAGCGCGTTTGCATGCATACAATTAGCAGCACAAGGTCCGGGATAGCTGTTCGCGGGTGGGGCCTGCAACCAGCGATAGCTGCACGAGGGCTCCCTCGAGGTCGATACCCTAGCGACCCTGAGTTCAGGCTCACTACTCGCCTGTTAAGCGCGCACGTCAAGGTACGTCTGTTTGGAGACATTTCCCATATACACCGTGTTTCACACCCTGATGCTGCTATTCCCGGCTCTTGACCTTCTCGGCGACCGTATGCTTCAGTACGGGCCACCTAGACGGCCATGCGAAGAGCTTCGCGACGTTGACTGACCGTTGTGACAAACAAAAGCGCGCCGCACAATGTCCACCGGGTATCCGATAGTACGACCCGGATCAAGAACCTCGAGGCGCTCAGAGTCCGCCGTCAAGCATACTCCTCCTCCACAGACTCTGACTCCAGCGAATGGCGAACTGGAGTTCGAGCCATGCGCGGCGACAGCGTCGTTCTTGCTGTACGCCCAGCGCAACACGGTCTTGGTCCTACATCATGATACTCTTGCGATCGAAAGGCGCTTTCAGCTGCACCGTGAGGACGTGAAATGGATTCAAGCGGATAATGTGAGCGAGAAACCAGGACGGCTTGTTGTTAGTTACGATACTGGTAACACTGCGATAGTTTGGGACATATTGACAGGTGGAGAAGTGGCTCGCTTCGCTTCTTATGAAGAGATGCGGGTGGCAGTATGGATGAGGAACGGCAACATAGCGTTCGGCAACGATCAAGGCAACATCATCCTTTTCGAGCCGGCCACCTCCGAGCACGTGTCCGCACGCACGATCTTCGATCCTGTCACCGCACTTGCGCCATCCTCTGACTGCAGAACGTTCGCTATTGGCTACATGAATGGCTCTATACTGGTCGCAACACTCCAACCTTCATTCACCATCCAGCATACTCTGACAACAAACCGTGCGCCTGCTCGGATAACCGGTCTAGGCTGGCATGGATCGTCCTCGAAGCAGCGAACTGACATGTTGGCGAGTCAGACCTCTGATGGTGACCTTCGAGTTTGGAGCGTGCCGAAGAGCGGGCAAGGCGGTCAAGATATGGCACCCAGCATCATCCGTGTACTGCAAAGGGCAGAAATACCTGCACTGGGACCATGCTGGTTCGCTTGGTCAAAAGCTGGCAGAATCGTGCAGTACGCTGAAGGGGAGATAAGGAGCTGGGACGTGAGGACGAAGAAGGTTACGTACGAACTCATCCCATTGCATGGCGACGTTTCTGGCATCGCCAACTATGGACCGACAGCAACGCTCTTCACCCTGAGCCGGGACAACTTTGTCCAGCAATACGACATCACACCCGGTCAACCTGGTATGCAGGTGGCTAGCGCACGACACATGCCAGCGGCTAGTGTACCCATTACGCCGCCTACCGTACTTGTCGAAAGGGGCGCAGGCTATGGCGGAAGAGAGCGTTCGATGGCGGTAGACATGTACGCAGAGACTGAAAGTAGTGCAGACGAAGGCGGGGCGATGTCGCCAATGCAGAAAATCATTGCGAAAGAGATGGATTCGCTTGACGCACTCGAGTCTGAACTACGGGACAAGGTGATGCCGCTCAGTCCTAGCTCAAGAGCATCTTCGGTCAGTTCCAGATCCTCCCGCGGCAGCCGGAAAGGCCGCAAGTACCTGTACGACAAACCGGACTCGTCGCGCGCTTCGAGTACCGTTGAAGGAACCGAGTTCAGTTTCGGCGAACAATCCAGGACCGGCCGTGATAGTGTTTCCATTCGCTCTATATCCTCATACCAGTCTCGACCTAAACAGTACAGATCGTCTAACCTTCGCAGAGAAACACCTCGAAACGCAGAAGAAGCAAGAGGTACAGCGGCATTGGATCTGTTTCCATTCACAAGAGCACGCTTGCAAGAGGTAGCTTTTCGGACGCCTCAATATGGGCAAGGCCCGCGGACCGCCGATGTTCTTCAGCGAGAGATGCTTTCCGTGGTATTTGGTTGGTCCGGCGACATCCGGAGCCTGGTTCGGGACGAGATGGCTCGACATCAGCTGGGTTCGGCTGCTGGAGTCTTACTGGCAAAGTGGATTGGAGACATGGGTGCTGATAGCATGACATCAATGATGGGCGCCGAAATGTCTAGTTCTGACTGGATGCTCTTGGCTCTATCCAATATAGGCGCGGACTCTCAGAAGAAGGTTGGCGAGGCGTTTGTACAACGTCTCCTGGAAAAGGGCGACATTCATCCAGCCGTAGCTGTAAGTATAGCGACTAGTGAGCCGATCAACTCGTCCGAGACATTGCTGACCCTCTTACTTCTCTACTTCTAGATCCTTCTCGGGCTCGCGGAATACAATGATGCCATCGAGGTCTATGTATCGCAAAAGTACTGGATGGAGGCAGTACTGCTGACCTGTCTAACGTGCCCTGTTGACTGGGGACGACAATCGTTCTTGATCCGCAAATGGGGTGAAGCGGCCATTAAGCAGGGCCAGGCTGAACTCGCTGTGCGATGCTTCGCGTGCGCTGCTGTGGAGTCCGAACCATCCGAGCCTTGGTTTTCCCCACGCGCGCAGCAAGACGCTGCATATGCCGCACAGCAGCAGAGATTGGCAGACCCTGGAAGCGCCGGACCTGTGACAAGCCCACTGTCACCGCCAAGCCGCTCGGGCTCAGGGAGGCTTACAGCGAAGAATGCGTCTCTGAAGTTGATAACGACATTCGGCGACAAGGCCGCCGCTTCTGCTAAGGCCTCAACACTGCCTGGAGTGACTCCGATTGCACGAGAGCCAGCATATAACGCAAGCGGCACTGGGCAGCAGCAGAAAGCGACCGGGATACGCGAGCCTTCGACAGCCCGAACAGCCACCCCTGGAGGATTTACGAGAAGGAAACGTCTACCGTCAAGGAGCGAGATCGAGCAAGCGAAGATTGATGCTGTCGAATTTGCCACACCAATGACCGCCAGAGATGTCGCTGCAGAGACCGTGCTGGACTTTCGGCGAGCATCGAATTCAAGCAGTATTCCAGAGCCGGCTACCGCACAGAGACTCACGGCAGACCGTGAAGACGTTTCGCATTTACCCTCTCCCGCTCAGGGCGTGTTCACCAGGCTTAGGGAGCATTCCAAGGCGCGTGATCCATCACGTGACAGAAAGCCGGAAGGCTTGATTGTCGATATCATGGAGACGCGCTATATCGATGCCATCTCTCCGGCGCCTACGACTGGTAACGAGGGCTCCATGTATAGCTCCGCCTCCGTTGCCATCAGATCTGCAGCCCTGAGTCCGCCGCTTACTGGAGGCAGTATCAAATCGCGTGCCATTGACGACTACATAAGCTCCGTGGAAGAGGCCCGTCAGGTTGCGCGCCACGAGAGGGCGCAAAGTCGTAGGAGGGAAGGCGGAAAGAGGGATGAGAGTCGCTCGGGAAGGGGTACGAGCCGGGTAAGAGATGTGTCTGTCGCCCGAGGAGAAAACATTCGGGCCATCAGGCCAGCCAAAAGATCGCCGTCTAGCCCAGTGCCAATGTCACCAGAGGAAGTGAAGGCGAGCCGACTGCCATTATCGATGGGAGAAGTAACGGAAGCGGGTCGACTGCCGACGGCTGAGCCTGTTACCACTGACGACGAAGACTTCTACAAGATGATATCACCCGTAACTTCGTTAAAAAGCCACAAGTCCGGACGATCTCCCCAGCTTGAGCGCGTGCCTCACCAGGGCATTGATTGCTGGGATCCAACGTGGGCAGGGAGCGAAGATGATCGTGGCCGGCGCATGGAAGACTCCGACACATCTGAGGCCCGCTCTCCTTCAGCCCCGGATGCTTTTTCTCCCGAAAAGCAAACCGAGACAGACGAGACTCAGAGTGACGGCCAAAGGTTCCGTATACGGGCCCGCAGTTCGAGCCGTGGAGGTGGTGGTGACGATCTCCAGGCGCGGAGAGCCGCTAGTCGATCCCATCGTGCTCGATCAAGCAGCCGTCGGCCGGCGCCGCCTTCTCAAAACGATCTCATATTTATGCCGGACGCTTCTACTGAAAGCATTGACTGGCAGACTCGCGTTGAACAACCCCGGATCAGACCGCGTAACGTGAGCCGAAAAGAGCTAGCGGCTCAAGAACTGGAGCAGAGGCGCCTCTCTCTCTTGAGGGGACCCTCTGCCCCTATGATACCGCTTCCTGGAGACTTACAATATGAAAGCCAAAAGACTCCTTCGCGACCGGGAATGGCGCCTCGCTCTCACACTGACCTTGGCGACAGTCCTCGGTCCGATCGGCCTCCTCTCACCCGGGCTGCCACTGTAGATCCAGAGGCGATGATGAGACACAACGCGAAGCCGAAGTACCCTCTTATGGGCCTGCCCGCAACCCCCAGAGCAATGAGGCTAGGCGACGTGCCTGATCACAATCAGCCACCGGTACCAGCACTTCCAGAAGCCTACAGCGAGCTGTCGTCGATGGGAACAAGTGTTACCGGGTCCAGCTTGAGTCAGATGACTGGCTCGAACCTGAGTCACGGCTCATCTTCGTTTCTACCGCCATACCTTAATTCCTCGCTGCAGGGACCACAAAGCCAGATTTCCTCGTCAATCGCATCCATCGAGCAGTCTCACGAAGAAGCCGACGATGTGGGTCCGCTTCTACCTGCCACCGTCTTCGGCCAAAAGAACCCTTTGCCTCCGGCCCGTTCTGCGTCAGCGCCGCCGGAGAAGATGAACCCCGTTGTGAGTCCTGCCTACAAGCCTACCTTACCTCCGGCACGTCGCCTCTCTGTTGGACGTGGTGGCCAAGTGCGGAAAATTGATCCTCCCGGGACGTCACAAGCCGGCGTTGTCAGCATTGATGAAGCGCTAAACAGCGAGCCGACTGTCATCATCATTCCGGAAGCTGATGAGGAATACGATGCACCTCCACCACCAGTCTTGCCAGAACTGTCGCACCTCGCTGGCCCGCCGCCCCCACCGCCGCCTCCGACCATGTTCGTGCAAGCCCAACCGACTTCGTCCGACGTCATTAGCATTGCGATTGACGCTCAGCCAGTCGCCGAGGATCTAATGCTGCTCCCATCCACTACATACTCGGCCGCCAGTACCTACCCGCATCCCATGGAACGTGCCACTACCGCCTCGCCCAGCATGCATCGCCGTGGTAGGGGTAGCGTAAGCGAGAGCTTCGGGTCCCGTTTCAGAGGAGTGGCGGACCGCATGAGAAGCCAGTCGCGCTCACAAGTTAGAGGTGCATCAGGAGGTAACGATGGCTACAACGCAGCGCCTTACGAGACCATCCTACCTCAGGTCTCATATCAGAGTCCTTACGAGCAAGCGATGAGCGCTGGTGGACAAGATCAGCATATTCCCATCCCGCCACCGCCCCCAATCGGCCAGCCTCTCACCGATTTCAACGGCCGGATAAGTGAACAGACTATTCCTCCCACTACGCTACCTGGTTCTCGCTCTGCTAGCGCGATCGGATACAGACATCCACGGGAGGTGAAGACCCAACTGCGTGCCAACATGCCCCCCGAGACGCTTCAGCAAGGGGTCTATAATGGTGGCTTTCTGTAAAGCCTGTCGCAACGGCTGAATACTCGGTCACAAATATGTCGACATTTGATTGCTTATCCTTGTCTTCAAGCGAGCATGAATAGCGTTGACAGCTTCGTGATACCCTTCTTTTAGATCTAAGTATGCATAGCATTTAGCGGGTGTACCCTTGCATTCTTACTACAAATATAGCGATCAAAGCGCAAGCGTTATCTATGTACACAAATCCGCACTATTGTACGCGAATACCTTCCATCCTGTTCATGCATTGTCGAGCACCTTCCGTTAGTCCGTTAAACTCACCTGGGAGACAATCATGCTGCCCTGGCGTTGAAGTAACAAGGAAGACACAGCACCTTAGCGGTAACTATCACGTTGGGGAACGTGCACCATCCATGCAGAGGCAAGGCCCGTGTTCGGCGAGTCTAAAGTGTCACGGTCGTCGCTTGTCAAGTCGATGATCGCGTCCCCGCGGTCCGGCGCCGTCAAGTCGACAATCCCGTTCTCACCATGCGGCATCGCTAATAGTAATGCTTTCGTAGATGTAGCAGCCGGTAACCCACCATTTCCCCATCCGACCGGAGCCGCAACACGCTGCTTAACAGACCGTGGGCGCTTCGCAACGCGGCCAGGACGTTGGGATAGTGATACCACAGTCCCGTCCAGGGACATTGCAGCAGGTTGCGGCTGGCCTTGCACGCTCCCCGATCTCGGCGACGGTGCATTAGTAGTAAGCTGCTCCGCCAGACGACCCTCCCAACTCCTCCCAAAGGCCGTGGGCTTACTTGTAGAACCCGCCGTCCAGCGGTCCACTGCTTTTCCGAATGAGTTCGACAACCCAGCGATGGTAGCCAGACACCCTATGCATGGTGTCTTCATCGAAGGCTCGAAACAGATTGCGCATGTTGGCGGCAATCTCACGAGCGATGCGGTGTGCTGCTGCATCGGTAGGTTTGTCCCATAGCCCGGCACAGTGCATGGCGCGGGGATAGTTGCGCAAGGAGGCGGAATGCTCTGCGTGCTCGAGGGCGCCATTCCCGGAAGCGGTATCCTGGGCTGCTGTGTTGGTGGGCTCGTATGGTCGCTTATGGGCGCAGTTCCGTTGGTGGGAGTTGCGTTGTCACCCGATAGAAAGTCTAACACTTGTTTCTCCAGGTTTGCGAACTGCTGCATCGATGAGTCTAAAGCGCAGCTCGGCGCGGCGTTCGGCGTGGGAAGTGGTGTCGAGTTCGGCACAACCCAGGACATGGTCGCGCTTTCTACGCGATGATAGCCCGGCGGTGTGTAAGCCATGATATATAGCTGCTAGCTGCGCTCTCAAAGAAACCGTAAGTGCTGATGCGTTCGTAGGCTTGGAAGTACCTTGACCGTGTGGAGATGCTATTGAGAATGTGTGTATGTCGCCGCAGAACCAAAGGGACGAGGAGAGGTCGACATGCGAGAAGAAATACTGTAAACGCTTACTATCATCTCGAACTCTGCTATCGTTCAGGCAACGCAGCTTCCTACTGCCCTTCTACAAAGGGAGGATGTGTTTCTCGGAGGGCTTGGCGGAGCCCGCTGTGGGCGCCATTTCCTAACAGAGATGCGCATTACCAATACCTGAGTGGACATTCACCGAAGCGCTGGGTAGGCATAAGAGGAGCTTCTGACCTTGTTGAGATACAATCGCAGTCTAGACGATCCGCATCTCGATTCAGCGTGGTTCGCGTACGTGAATAGGAGTTCGGCTGATACGTGTATACAGACTGCATTCTTGGCCTCAGGATCGCATGAAATGAACCCACGGTGTTCACTCAAGAAGTAATGGGGTTCTTCTAAACGACAGCCGGCGGTGTTGTGCTGAGACCGAGGGTGTAGGTGGTAGACCTGGCAGATATGGACCGAGGGGACGTTGGGGGTTTGAAGTGAGTCGGCAAAGCCTCGGAACTTCTCGAGCCCGGCGCGTGACGCAACCGGACTTCACTCTTCATTCTTCCATTCCGCGCTCATGACATAGGAGAGCCCAGATTCTGCATGGTCTGACAGGCGGTGACATTGACGTTCGGTCCGATGGCTGCGGTGCCTTCTATGGTATTGACGGGATCATTCAGTATGTTGTCGTCTGCAAGAGCAACCACCACAAGCGCCTCGTCTCAAGCACAGGTCGAGAATCTTTCTAATGGCTCATGGCATCGACCGCATAAGCGCCTATATCATTTCTATCGTATTCGCTGGGAAGAAAAATTTCCCAGTCGTGTCACAGCGGCCGCCGTCTAGAGTGTTGGCCTATCACTTCCATAACGACTCCTGATTCGGTGACTCCGGCTCACCTTCAGGTCTTCTTCCAAACCGATGGCTCACCACCATGCCCCGTTAAGGTCGGATACAGAGTATCTTCCTTTTCGCCACCTTGAGATCATGCAGAGACCCTACTCAACTCGAGGGTCAGGAACCACGCAAAGCATTTATTTCTGTTTAGTTTAAGGTACACCCTGTTACAGAAAATAGGCTCTTGTACTGTTTGAACCAGACCTTACTCAAAAGACAACACCGATAACGGTTTCATATGTCTTAGCGACATTCATAGAAGTCGTAAAGGCAAGATGTGAGCCCGAGCATGTCGCGCGCTCGCGTGCCGCTGTTGCTCCCAGAGAGACATCGTTGTCCTTGTCGACCGCTAAACCTAGTGTCACGCAACGCTAACGCCTTTAGGCTCCCGCGACTCTCGATGCAGAAGGCACGGGGCCAGCTGAGTTTGACACTTTCCAGTCTGCATTTCCTGCACCAGAGGAGGTTCTGGTACCTACAGTGTCGAACTGCATCAGATTACCGCGAGCATTGTCTTTGAGCACTTCAATGAGTTGCTCGCTGGTGGCGCGTCCGACTTGCTTTGTCTGCCACACAAGGGCATTGTGTCTGACTAGAGCTCCACACGCGTCGGGTTCATACTGCACGCGAAGTACGACAAACACTCGGTCGAAACACTTTATAATCGCAGAACCTGCATAAAGCGCAATCGTGGGGCCCCAGTCGACAACCTTTTCATATCAGCGACCTCCTGGCGCCGGCGGGAAGAGATCAGTAGCTCACAGTCCATCACAAGAAGTTCTCCAGCGTATTGCTGGAATACTCGACATCGGACAAGCATCGTCAACAAATAGCGATTGGAGTCATGGGTGACCAGGTTTACGGAGGCTACATTTTCACCACCAACGAAACTCGTAAATTCAGCTCCACAGACCGTTTCAACGACTCTTCGCTTCAGCCAGCAGCGTATCAAGCTGTCGGATTCGATGCCTGCCTGTCAGGCTTTAGCTACTCGTCTTATGCATCTCAGGGCACATTGCTGCCCTCAGACATGCGTGCAGACCTCTATGCTCGGCAGGATGAGCAGCGCGAACGCATCGAGTCCGCCACGACTTCGACCGCCAGTGATCCATTTGACCAATTCATCACCATACCGGACGACAGTAGAAGTGCCTGTGGTGTCAACAGCCACCTGGCTGGTATTCACCACGTCGCTTCTCCCCTAAGAGTCATGATTAAGGCGCCATTTCAGCCACACACAGAGGTATCTCGTGTGAAGCCATCCAACAACGATTTCCAGGAGGATTCAGCTGCAATCAGCACGGCGCCATGCAAGCGTTCGCACGACGCTATGCAAGCGTTCGCACGGAGCCTCTGACCCAGCCACTCCATCTAGAAAGCCGAAGAAGCGTAGGATTGGCAAGGGAGGTGCAATCGATCCGGCTCTGGCCGTCAATCGAACTACCAACGGTGATGCAGCAATCGCCGTCAATCAGGGATCTTTCGTCACGTCATCTGTCAACAAGCGAGCGCTTCCTCACGATGCGCACCCCTACAGTGCCGACATCAGCAGCACAGACGAGGCTCGCAAGATCCGTGCCACTCTCGATCCCGCTCAGCATCAGAAGATCCACCTGGAAAGAGACGATTGGGAGAGCGTTAAGGCAAATCCGCACGAGTTCGCGAAACAAATCTTCGAAGCGATTCAGATACCAGGGCAGCCTCAAGTCACTGGCGGCATTGACAATCTCGAAACAAAGGATCCATTGTTTCACCATCGTATCGGCGAAGCACAAGCTCAGCAGCAACAAGAGGCCATGGTGGAGATAAAGAGGCTCTTGTCGACACCCAAGGGTCTTCTGAACACCCGCGCAAGTTGCACTCTCGCGATTGAGGCCGGAGTATCGGTACACGAAGTTGGCGTTCCAATCGAGACAATCGAGCGGTCCAAAGCTAGGGGTACCGCTCGGTATGTCAAGTATCGCAAGGACCTCGCCTGCTCTGACAGATTTGCGATGATGGTGTCAATCGTGAAAGACAACAAGATGGTGGCGCTGGACGTGGTGAACTGTATCAATCTGTTCAAAATTGCACTTGATCCCGCAGCGTATGCCGAGTCGAAACACAGCTACCTCAGAAGCAATGTCAGGCGCCAGCTCAACGCCGAAAAGGCCGTCCAGGAGAAAAAGGTGGAGAACGAGGCGAAAGCGGCGATGGGGAAAGCTGGCGAGGATGAAGACGTGACGACTTCGGCCAAGCGTCGCAAGGACGGCCGGCCCGAGAAGACAGCTGGAACGCCACGCGCTTGAGTGGAACCAGTATGCCTGACAACAGCTCGGTCACAATCAAGGTTAAGGGATGATGAAGTGGCAGCAGTGTGCTACTACAAAGCGCAGTAATGGGCATTGGCTGCAGTACGCTTTTCTACAAAGCGCAAGTACGCATGGGTATGTTGGGTCTGTATAACAGCGCGATATTACGGTGAGCGGCATAGCAGGAGATAGAGCTATATTCGTTACAAAGCTTCATCAAGCTAAGCAGTGTACCCTTGTGCCACGAGCTGATAGTTCTGCGGATTCTTCTTGAGCCATTGGCATGAAATCTGCCGCCAATCTCCAGTCCGCGGCATACATCGACCGTTCGTAATTTGAACGTCTGAGCTTGGCTGCTTCAGACTATTTGAGCCTGCAGGGTTTAAGGAGTTCTGTTTACCATCGCTTGTAGAAGTAGACTCGCACCGCTCTCCTCCGTTGCAGTTGCCACCCTGCTGACTCGTGCGCTTACAGCTGGGAGCGCACACCCACCTGTTGTTGTCCGTTTTCTTCGGAGGGCACCGAGGTTGGCTACAGGATGGCGTTCCGCAGGCGAAGTTGACCTTGACACAAATGCCAACCGAGCAAAGACCTTGATCTTTGTCCCCACTCGAGTTCTCGCAGAACTTGATCGGCGTATAGCCGCCAGGACCGTCCTGAGGACCGAAAAGAGAAATAAGGGAGTCCGAGTCAAGGCCGACTGGGTCAATGCCCTGTTCGACGTACTCAGCAATACTATTGCTCCCGTAGGAAAGAGATCTTTGGCGCAGTCCTGAAGTCTTTGCTTGCTGTATCGCAGTGGCATTGATTGACCCCGGCACACAAATCGACGTATCGTTGTAAACCCCGTTCCACACATCGTGCCACAACCGCGTGTAGTTGTTGAAGTTCGTGAGACTCCAGTACAGACGGCAGTCGGCTGGGAGGTAGAGGAAGTTTAGCGGCGTGCTGTAATTGGTTCGTATGGCATCCCGCAATGTCAAGCCGGCGTGGGTGATGACCATGCCGGTATCCCAGTCCTGGGGCAGCTGAGCCGCTGCGGTTCCGTTGATGTTGCTTGCAGTGTAAACATCGTAGTCAAGCTGGTCACTTGAGTAAGCAGTCGCGCCTCTGGAGCCACTGGCCTGCATCGCGCCGTTCTTTGGCAGCCCGCCAATGGCGACAGTGGAGGCTCCCATTTGCACCATCATCTCAACAAAGAGCGCACAAGTGCTGAGGCAACCACCGTCAGTGAGTAGGACGATATCCTTACCGTCCCAGAGCGCATTCGGTTCACAAGTGCTGTTGTAATAGCAATCCGGGTAGTCAATATCTTGGAAGTCAAGTTAGCGTACGGAACACACTAAATGCGCACCGTCGGGCCTTACTGAGTGCATTGTTGTTGAACACAGCGCTAGATAAGTTATACTGCTCGGTCTGAGAGAAGGTATCGTTGTGTAAGTGAACCGGCCCGAAGAATTCGCGCCACGAGGAGAAATTTTGACCGGTTAAAGCGTTGATACGGTCAGTTACCACCCACTCTTTAGACACATACTCTGAGTAGTCATCGCTTGAGGTATTCAAGCTTTGGAAATAGCTCGTCATTGCACTGCCGAGCACGTTGGCGAGGTCATGCGATCGCATGCGACTCCCGGTCCATGGCGTTACCCCTGGAAAGAACTAGAAGCCAATGGGTATTAGCAATAATATAAGTGCCACCGTACAATGTATACTTACCCATCTAAAGACCTCGTATGCAAGAGATTCCTGACCGCCCGTGTTCTCTTGTAGGTCGACGATTACCTTGCCCGCGCCAAGGTTCGTAGCGTTGTCCACAAAGTCTTGCACAGCTTGACTGAAGGACGATACGTCGCCGTAGGCCTCAAACGTAGGGATGCTCAAAACAGCGGTCGAGATGCTCCGCAAAAAGTATCCAGTAATGCTTCCCGAAGACGTCAAGCCGAGCTCAGATTGGTACATCATGGTATTAGCCGGGTAGGCGGATGAAATAGAGTTCCAGGACGTAAGGTACTGGGTATCGTCGCCGTTGCCGTCATCGTCGTCGGACCCGTCGTCTTCGTCATCGCCGTCAACGTTGCCACCAGTATCGTCTCCATTGCCGCCATCATCGTCGCCGATAGTGCTGTTGGACTGATCATCAAAGTCCGAGTTTCCAGTATTCGTACTGTTCGCAAGCCATGAGTAGTACGCATTCGAGGTTGCCTCGAAGTTAGCTGGGACAAGACCTAGCACAGCGAAGTTGTAAAGATCGCCTCCAGTTTGTAGAGGACCGGTGTAACCCGGCGAATTGAACACAGCTGTCCAGTACACAGTATCGGACGGCCGACCATCGGCGTATTCGAGAGTCATGTTGTCGCCCGGGTAGAAAGTCGCCCCTCCGCCGAAGGCATTGGCATAGCCCGTGATAACCTGCGCAGGCGTTATCATGAGGTTGTTATAGTCCGCATGGCTTTCGATCATGCCGAATGATTGCGCTGCCGCGAAGGAGGTAAGGTACTCCACTACCGGTATGCCATCGATAGTGGTAATCGGAGAAGGTGTGCAGTTGCGGTACGTTGTGCACGTAATTAGCTCGTCTTGCCAGGGTTAGCCACAGTGGTATGTCGTGGCTCACTGCACATAGACTTACTCCAAACATAGACCTCTGGAAGCTCTTTGCCATCTCTGGATACAGAGGCAATCTGGAATGGGCTCGAAAAGGTGAAAAGATTGGTAACACCCGCATAAAGCGTGGTGTGGACATCGTGCGTCGCCTGGCTCAGTGCTTGGACGTCTGCTTCGAACGCGTAGGAGTTGTGGTAGTACCCAGCATCGATCCGGTTCCGTATCTGCTCGAGCCCGCCAACCACATCTACCGCTGGTTGTTGATACCCGGAGGGCGGGTTCCTAAGATAGGCTAGGTTGCTCAAGAACTGTAGTGTCTGATTGTAGTACGTTATAAAGCGAGTAGCGACCGCGGCATTGAACGGAACACTTGTGAGGCACGCTATGGCATCAGACGCAAAGAATAAAGATTGTCCTTCCCACAGTCAGCGCTGGCTTCACTGCAGAGCGTGCCAATTGCCTTGCCATAATACAGATCCGCCTCGACAATGTCACCGCAGATGGTTGGCTGTGGACTCGGTACTTCGGTATTGAGATCATTTGGTATCGGGGTCTGCTGGGCGGTTGCGGTATGTGCTAGCAAGTAGAAGTAAAGAACGAGCATGCGCGTTGCCTGCATGTTGTCTTCCAGCGAGGGGAGCGCTAGCAAACAAGTGTCGGAAACACGACTTGGCAGAGAGCCGAAATGGTGAAGAAAGACACCGTCGCCTTGTATAAGAAGATATGAACAGGAACGTCGTAGCCCCCAAGCCAAGTCTCCAACCGGGTTGTTAACCTGATGTTATCACCAGGCATCCTACCTCTATTGGCTCGAGCCGCAGTTTGTACTGGAGCACGTGCACTGTGCGCAGACCCCAACATTATCGCCACCGTCACCGGTCGGATCGATACTAGTGTGTGTGTGGGAGATTGCAACAGCTGGCGGCAGGATCGAAGGATGGGTTGGAAAAGCCATGCGGGTTGAACGATTGGTTTTCGAGGCAGATCCGAACCCGAGAGGCTCCACCATTACCGCTACCGCTACCGCTACCATGACGGGCCGTGGCCGTATCTAAGCCGTGGCCGTCCCGCGAAACCATCTGAACCACACGACGGCGCCGATGGCCTGCTCCGCACTTCCACAGAGATGTCAGAAGCTCAAGCCCCAGGAGCAGCCAGCCTCACAAGAAGTATTAGGTTCTACCCTCTCAGGTCCTCGTTGGCAAGAAGGCATCACCATCGTAGCAATTGAGCGACCTTCCCTTTCCAGCATGGCTATTTCAAGCTTGTGCATGCAGGCTACTGCAAGCCTGGGCCATCTCAAGGATTGGCAATTGGGGCTGAAACGTGCCTTTGGCACTATCAGCCCTAGGCAAATAGTTTGACAAAGTCTTGGTGATCGGAATAGTAATTGCCTCTGGCCTACAGGCGGCACGCATACCTACGACCATATAGGCTGATTCGCTGCTTGTATCTTAGACTTGTTCTGATCATGGATGGCGAAGACGAGGGTCACGCCGCAACTCAGCGTTTGCGCAGGCTGATCAACAAGGCAGCTCACAAGTCCCTAGGCGAAGCGAAGAATATTACCGAGGACCACAAATTGCCGCACTTGATACAAATTGTAGAGCTTTTGCAGAAACAGCAGGCTCAGTCTAAGCAGGTGTCGAGAGCCGACTTCGTCCAGCCACTTCGCCGAACCATCTATCACCGTTTGCATGGTGGAATTCACCAAGTTGCCAGTAATGGTGACACTGCCTTCCTAGCAAGACTCTCTTCGTTCGATTTCAGCACGGTCCGTACGGAGCTTCTGTCCGACTACTGCGAAGTACGGAAGTGGTTCTTCCAATCCCAGCAGTACCAACAATGGTTGAAAGGTAAGCCATGGCAGCTCCGTTGCTACGGTGAGCCTAGATGCGGCAAGGTCCGTGTATAACCCAAGATTGGATGTGTATTACTGCTCTATAGATACTGACGGCGGGCAAGACCACGTTTGCAGCAGCAGTAGCCCGAGATATCAAGAAGCGATATGAGGAAGGGGAAGACGTGGCCATCATCTCACTGTTCCTGCAGCGCACAAATGAGAACGGTGAGCACGTCTACGATGTGCCGCGTAGGAGCGCCCTTGAGGTCGTCTTACGGACAGTGTTGAGGCAGCTCATCGAAGCTCAGCTGTCTCACAGTATCGCTTCTGGCGTTTTGCAGAGTTTAGCTTCCAGCCGAACAGGGACCCTAGATGTGAGCATGGACGCTTTACGTGCATATGTTGTTACCGAGACCAAGACCTTCTCCCGCGTCTTTCTCATCGTTGACGGCATCGATCATTGCCCGGGCGTAGTGCAACAGGATCTCATCGCCGAGCTTGCGAGACTCTTGGGTGAGACGTCAGGATTGCTTAGACTCCTGTCCGTACAATCACAGCTTGAGCGGTCGGAAGTGGAGACGATCCGGTGCGACCGGCCTGGCTGCACCATGTCGAATATCGTACTGTATTGGCATTGCCAGCAGTGCGGCGACGGCGTGTATCACATATGCCAGGCCTGCTATGAAGATCAGTACTGGTGCTTAGACAGGTGAGAGCTATCTCGTTCGTCAAGACAACAGAGTGTGCCGTGTCGGCGGCTCAATTGGCTGACAAAGTGCGCTTCGAAGGCAGCATAACTTGAGGGAGCCATACCGGCACATCAATGTTACCTTGAGTAGTCCTAGCGACGAGCTTGTCAGCTACGTCCAAGTAAGTCTGCGCAAGGAAATAGACAATTCCACATCGATCGGCAGACAATTAAGCAATGCGCAAGAGATTATTGATAACGTTACAAATACAGTTGCGGCTAAAGCTGAGGGAGTCTTTCTGCTTGCAAAGTTATATATGGAGTACTTGCGAAGACGGCAAACTCTAGATGATGGTACGTCGAATGCTCAGACTCTTGCCACTATGCTCTGCGTCACCTGACGTACAATGACAATTATTAACTGGATGTGGGCAGTTATCAACATCCTTGACCGCCTGCCAGTACACGAGGCGCAATACTTCGACAGTATGATGGAAGGTGTTTCGAGCAACACGAACGACGAGGAGAGACACCTGGCTTTGGCAGCTCTTGCGATTGTAGCAACCAGCTGTTATGAGACCCGAGCGCTAATCTTCGAAGAGCTTGTAGACGCTGTGCAACTGCTTGGTCTCCTCAATGGCTCTTCGGTCGAGCGTCTGAGCGAGCATACCCTTCTCAAGATCACGAATGGTTTCCTCATCCTTGGTTCATCAAACGAAGTCCAGCCTTTCCATGCAACGGCCGGCATTTATTTGTACGAGAACTGTACTGCTGCCTTCACAACCGTAAACCTTGACATGGTCAAGCTGTGCTGCCACGTCATTCAAGACGCCCGGAAGCAGCTCGATGACTGTGCTGACGATGCGGTAAGCTATGCGATATGTATATGTTCCAAAAGTCATCACAGCCATAGCTGACTCTTTCACCCCGTCAAACTTCAGGTAGCACTCATCGAGATAGTCAACAAGAGGCCCTTCCTCCGGTACGCCTTACAGCACTGGGGCCACCATGTGCGCAAGAATTGTACCCCGGAGAACCTTGCGGCTGTGGCCCATTTGCTGAGGTGCTATGAGCGAAGCGTTGGCCTACAGCAACTCGGTGCTTGTGGCGGTGGCGGTGATGGCGCTTACGGGTCATGGCCCAGTGGCGACGTTCTACATGTCTGTGCCTGGTTTGACCTCGTTGAACTTCTGAGTGGCCCTTGTGGGCTTGGAGACAGCTGCAGCATCAACGCTCGTGATGCGTTGACCGGACAGACGCCACTCATGGTAGCGATTGAGCATGGCAATAAGGCATTCGTCAGTGAGCTGATAAGCATGGGCGCGGACACATCCACCCGCTGCAATCGTGGTATAACGCCGTTGTGGCTGGCAGTAAGTCTGGCAGGAGATGAACGCAGGGATCACTTAGTCGAAGTGATCCTGCCGAAATGCAGTGAAGCGACGCTCAACGCAAGAAACGACGGTTGCCATTGTGAAACGGTGTTAATGCTGGCCATTCGCGACCGGAAAACAAGCATGATTGACATGCTTCTAGCGAGGCCTGACCTCGACCTAGCGGTTAAAGATCGCTTCGGTCACACCGCGCTTCACGCAGCCCTTGCGATCGCCAACACAGAGGCCATTGAACGGTTGCTAGACCGTCAAGACTCGTCAGGCATTCTGAACGTCGTGGACGCTTCCTTCGGTCGCAACCCTTGCATGGTACTCATGGAATCAAGGTACTGGCCTCCTCAGGCTACATCTAACAATTCTTCGACCGAGCAGACTGATCGTGCAACGATGCTTGGGCAGCTACATGCGCAAGGGGCGCATCTCAATATGACCGACGACTTAGGGAGAAGTCTTCTACACTACGCAGCGTTACTTCCCACAGAGGAGCTCGAACCGATAATGAACTTTCTGCGGAAGTGCAGGTTGCAAATCAATGCGCAAGACGAGATGAGAAAGACGCCACTACATCATGCGGTTGCCGTTCCTGGGACTGGATGCGATGTAGTTGAACTTCTGCTGCAGCATGACGCGGACCCTACGCTTGAAGATGTGGCGGGCTTGACACCCTTGGACGTCGCAGTGCTAAACAATCAACTGAACGAGCAGACACCAATCGTGGAACTCCTCGCGCGGCATTCCGGCCTTTCAAACGCCCCGGATCTTCGCGATATGCAGTCCTGGCAAGCTCTGGTCGCGGAGCTTGAAGGGTCCAATGCGAGCCAGACAAACCGCGCCCTACCACTCCACCTGCACGACATACAGCGACATCCTCTAAGGTACTCTCTTCTGCACTGTGCGGTTGAGAGCTGCTCTCTGGAGGCAGTGAAGTCGATACTGGAACATAGCACCGACTCCCAAAAGAGTCTAAACTTTGAAGGGGAGACTGCATTGTCCATGGCCATAGCATACCTTGGCCAGGCAGGTCAATCCATGACTGAGATAGTCACAACCCTCGTTGATGCGGCAGATGAGAGTATTGTCGCACTTCCAGACCACCACGGCCACCTTCCCATTGATGTTGCAATGCAAAACATGCAATGGGATGTCGCGGTCCGCCTGCTTGGCAAGGGCTCGGAACTCCGGCTCACGCAAAAGGGGAATCAAATGCTCCTCATTGAAGCTTTGCGCCTGAATGAGCCCCGAGCGGTGGAGAAATTGCTTGAAGCCGGTGCCAGCATGCTTCAGCGCGACCGCGAGGGCAAGCTGCCCATGCAGATTGCTGAAGACGAGCAGTGTTCTGGGGAGCTTTTAAACATCTTGTCTGCTCATCAGCAACGCATCTTGAAGCTCGTGTCTGGCTCAATGAGGGCTTGCTCACAGGATAAGTCGCTCAGATAAGTGTTATGCGATGCAGGACTTCGTCTTGAAAGCCTTCATCTGCTGATGTACGATCCGTGAGAACGCGTGCCTTCTGCATAACATTCCAACCCTCATCCGTCAGTCCGCGAAACTCGACTAGACCGATTCGCTGGAAGGTCGCGGAGTCGTCCGCCAGGCTGAGGGCCAAGGCGTATCCGCTGTAGCCTTCAGGATTGAGGCCTGGCCTATTGTACGTGTATGCCAGCATGAGAGAAGGGCGGGAGACCGTCACGCTCGCGGTTGGAGCTTGGCCAGTGCGGCCTAGTTCAGGTTCGTCCGCTTGCTGTATTTCGGGAGTTTTGATGGCCTCGTCCGGATACAGTTTGCACCACAAGCTGCTCTCCTGGGCATAATCCCACGTCCACTCTTGCGAAACTGGATTCTCAAGGGAGAATGTCAAGTTGTACAGTCGACCGCACGCAATCATGGAGGCAGCCGTTATCTGGCCGAACAGAAGCTTGTCATTCTTCAGCGAACGCTTGACACTATTATCCTGTATGTCGAGGACATAGTCACGGCGCTGTAGCACTCTGGACGGGAGCTCAACCGCGCCGTCTATGGACGCCCACGCCCAGGACGGCGCTCGGTAATCGCTCAGAGATTGTCCTTGCCTTCTCGACGGCTTGCCTTCACTGGTTCGACAATTGCGAACGCGCCAAGCTAACTGCTCCGCGAGTCCGTATTTCCACAGGCCCGCAACGTACTCCTCTCCCAACGCCTTGCCGATAAGTTTCGCCACGCCAGCGATGGCCGGGAGTTTGTCTGCCTGAACTGTTAGGTTACAATTGGTAAAAGCCGACACCGCAACCTGCCACATTCGGCGAAGCTCGGCGGTCTGGACATCTGTTAGTATAGCCTCGGATTTGATGTCGGGCAGGACCGATCGCCACACTCGCTCTTCCGGGCTCATATCATTCACGCCCGCAGGAAGACCGTTTGGCATGCTCTCGCAAGCCGTAAGCTCCGGACACTGCCACGTTACTTGACGCCCTCCAAAGTGCACTGTCCTGGGTGATAACATTCGTTCCTGGAACACCCATGCTCTGCGGTGCAGAGGCTCAGAAAGCAAGTCACCTTGCATCATGTCCTCACGCAGAACGTTGCAGCGAAATTCCTCACCACGCCATCGTAGGCGCACAACGGACGGCGGTAACAAAGCGGTTCTCCGGTGGCGGAAGAGCCCCTCTGCACTGTTGCTGGCATTCGCCGCAGCTATATTGATATACGAGCTGCCGTAGACCTCGTCCATCAATGCAGCCTCATGATCCCAGTCATCACGAGAGTCTTGTATAATGCACAAGCTGTCTAGACATTCGTAGACAATTGGTCAGCAGATGTCAAGTAAGAAGCAAGAACGTTGCTCTGTTTCAGCCTACCAATCCACAAGTATCGAATGCATAACCTTCGTGTTACAGCAATGGCGTTACGAAAAGTCAGCGGTAGACTGTCGAAGTGAATACGTTCTAGGAACTCTGCACGGTTCCATACTGTCAACCGAATTGGCTGCATGCCGCCCCAGCAGTGGCTCAATCTTCAGTTAGCACGGCATAGCGAATCCACAGTGTTCGCGCACCTGAGTGTCATGTATTCTGCCTTCTCCGCCAGCTTCGTAGTCTCGACCAGTCGTAGATGGGAGTCACCTCCACCGAGGTCCAATAGCCTCGTCGGCATATAGCCCCTCGCGCGGTTACGGGCCCGTATGCAGCTCTCATGGTTGTCGCAAGCTTTGATCCATCGGCCAATCTGCTGCAAAGTGGCCGGACTACCCGTATCTGGCTTCATTCGCGGCGACTTCTGAGCATCTTGATACCGCACGTTAGGCTATGTGCATCAAACCTTCTGCCAAGTGTCCCACGTACTGTCTGCAACATACAGGATGAAGTTTTGAGAACGTGGCGAGATCTGCTTGATCTGCCCAAACGGCGTCTCTATGCCTAGATCGCCCAGTGCGCCGTTTTGAGGGTAGAAGGACAACAGATACTGGCCCCGTATAGTGAGCTCTTGCATGTCATATGCGTAGATGGGCAGTGTCTTCGCAAGAAGCTGTAGGATGCCATTGTTCAAAAAGGGTACAAGCCAAGCGTTGAAGATGGCTGGAACTCGTTCGCTTGTCGTTGTAGCTGCAATGACCGCCGTTCGGAGGTGGTCAAGCAAGAGGTTGCAGATGGTACAGTCCCTCAGAGATGCAATCCAGTCGTCTGCATTCTTATGGTGCAGTTTGCGCTCGGAAGAGGCATCGCCGAAGACCGTTTCCTGGCAGTAGTCGCATACGGTCATGGTGGAATATGTTGCGGGAAGGCCTCGACCTCGCCCTACACAATAATGCACATTTCGCTGGGGTCACGACAGACTACAGTTAACTCGACCAAGGATGATAGCGGGAGAGGTTGTCTTCCCTTTTCGATTCAGATGTGTACGTAGTATCGAGTGATCCGTCGGACGTAGTTTGACAAGTGCAGTGGCGCTGGTTACGATGCTTCCAGGTTTGCAAGAAAACCGCCAACTCGCCGAGCGTCGAAAGTTCGCCAATGTGTATACGCTCTGCAGTCGATCCACTAGCGACATACGTAACTCACGTGACTGTGTAGAGAACAACCTTCGCCATTGCACAGACCGTCGACGAGTTGTACTAGGCAATGCGCACTATAACCAAGGCGTCTCACCCACCCTTAGTCTTTTTTCGCAAGCTATACGCAGAGTACGCCATACAAGCAGCACTAACAACGCAACTCCCAAACTCCAACGGCGCAAGCTTCGCCCACCCGCCTCCCATCGTCACGAACAACCCACTCGCGATCAGCCGCGAGATCAGCGACCACCAATAGATCGCCCAGTCATCCTTCAGCGCGCCTACAAGCTCGAAGCCGTTGATGGTAATGAGAGCGAAGGCTGTCATAGACTCAGCAGCGAACCTTACAACGAACGATTAGGTTGAAACACTGACCAATAAAACGCCCAATCTAGCGTCTTGGAGTTGAAATTGCTCAACCACACCGCTGGGGTCGTAAAGAGAGAGTGTGTTCTGGAATATGATGATGCTGGAGAAGACTGTCTGGAAGTAGCCGGGCGCTGAGCGTGGGTAGCCTATATTGAGTTGAGTTGTCATGGCGAGCTTGGTCTTGTTCGCTTCGTGAAGTGATCTTTGCAGGTCGGTGTCGCGTCGTGAGGGTGGAGATATAGAAAGGAAGTATCCTTGGCGGCTATCAGCTTACTGTAAGGTCCCCACGGAGGATGCGATCCTTCGGCGCCACACGGGGTAAAGCTGCACTTGCGTGCAGTAGACTGGGTGGCGTGTCTACTGCCCGAAGAAGACAAAGTGGGGCATTGACCATGTCACACCTCCTCGCATTCGTGATGCATTCTCTTTTCGCAGGAGGCCGCAATGTATGTAGCGAGCTTCCGCAGGGTTAGAAGATAACACGCCTTGCGCCCGCCTCAGCTGCTCGTGCTGCGGAGATCATCCGTCACCAGTCGTTTCTGGTCGATCAACACCCACATCCTGGAACCCACCATCCTCCCCATCCCGATCCAACAAATACCCAAACCGCGTCGGCTGCTGCAAAATATACGCCGGCACATCCGTGTTCCCCTCCACCCGCTCATACACCTCCCCCTCCCTCCCAAACAGATCCACACCACCCCTCACCCTCTCCACAATAGTCCTCACGTCGCGATTCGCCTCCGTATTCCACCCCACATGAGAGAAACTCTGCATCTTCGTCTGCATCTCCTTCACAGTGTGGAAACAAGATGAGCAATGCCACGCCGCGTCCCAGAAGTCACGCGATTGGTACCATGTTCTCAGATGGTTTAGCCAGAACCAGCCGGGTGTATGTGGTTCGCCGTTGCGTAGGTCCTTGGGGGAGATGGTGCGGTCGAGGCCGTGGTAGGTGGTTGCTTGCGGGTGCGCCCACATTTCCCCGCGGTGGAGCCATTGGAAACTGTAGTAGTAGAATTGGCTTCGTAGAGTCAGACGGTCGGGAATGGCGCATTTGCGTAGAACGACAATGGCTTCCGGTTTGGGGATCTCGTCTACGTCGCTTACGATTAGGACGTCGCCTTCTTGGGCTTCTTGGAGCGTTCCGACTAGTTTTGGGAAGGTGGCGTATAACAAAGCGTTGCGGAAGTAGTCTTCGTGGTCCCAAGTCCTGCTTCCAATTGACAGGCCTGGGTCTTCGACAACACTGTGGATGATTTTGCTGTGGAAGGGTGCGAATTTGTTCCAGTTTTCAGCCAGATAGGCTGGTTTGGGTAGGCCGGTGAAGGTGCTGTTCGACTCTACAATGACGAAGTAGTCGATGTAGGAGCTCAAAGTGTGCAGACGGATCTCCAGCCAGTCCAGCTCCGTAGAAAGCAGGAAGAGGTCGTACACTTTGCGCTCGTGAGCGCCGGTCTGGACAAAGGGTTCGAAGCCATGAGCGTTGCAGAAACTAGGAATGCTTTCGGGCAGGAGCAGACGGTCTGCGGGTCCTATATTCTGCAGATGGACCAAGTCTTGGTTAAGGCTGTGGACTCTGTTCTTCTCCACGACGTAGGAGGCACCAATATAGAAGAGAAGGGCTGTGGAAAAGAGAACAGCCAATACTCTGAATGGTCGGATGCGCAGGTTGATCAGCCGCATGATGGATGGTAGGCGTCCGTATGCACGCCAGCAGCAGCTGTGCTCATCGACAGGCCGCCGGCTGCAACGTACTCATCCTACCGGGAACCACCGACGGTCGTACTAGGTATAGTATGCGTACTGTAAGTGAATGTAGAACACCTACCTATGTTTCAGTCCATGTTTGCTGTATCGTGCGCTATGGTGGCGTCAACAGTGCCGCGGCCTTGGTGCATCGCAGCTCGGATGATACTGCTCAGTCGTCGTTGTGCGGCCTAAGGCATCAGAGCGTCTGCGAGTCATGGATCGCTGCGCAAGATCAGCCGCAGGAAAATAATCCCGACCATCGGCCAAGCTTCGATGGCGAGTCTACACCACCTCGACCCGACGATGGCGGAAGAGAAGCAACCGTCTCGCTTCAAGCGGCAGAAGATGGTCGACGATCGCGACAACCCGTACTTGGCTCACATCTACGAGGACGAGCAGCACGACTCCGGCGTCTCGCTCAGCGGCGACTCCAGCACGAATGGACACTTGAACGGCAGCACATCAAATGGCAACGGACCGGCACTGAAGCGACATGCTACGACCGCAAAGCAAGCAAAGGTCGCTGAAGATGGACCGACCAACTTCTTCAGTGGTGGTCACCTCTCGGAGCGCTACTTTGGCATCCTCAAGAAGCGTCGAGACCTTCCCGTGCATGCGCAGAGGCAGGAGTTCCTCGACATGTACCAGAAGTCGCAGATACTCGTCTTTGTGGGTGAGACGGGTTCGGGAAAGACGACGCAGATCCCACAGTTTGTCCTCTTTGACGACCTGCCGCAGCAGCAGGGCAAGATGGTCGCTTGTACCCAGCCGAGACGTGTGGCTGCCATGTCCGTAGCGCAGCGTGTCGCGCAGGAAATGGACGTTACGTTGGGTGAGGAAGTGGGTTACAGCATTCGGTTTGAAGATATGACCGGCCCGAAGACGATATTGAAGTACATGACGGATGGAATGTTATTACGGGAGGCGATGAACGATCACGACCTTACGCGCTACAGCACGATTATCCTCGACGAAGCGCACGAACGGACGTTGGCGACGGATATTTTGATGGGATTGCTCAAGGAAGTGGTCAAGCGCAGACCAGACCTCAAGCTCATCATCATGTCTGCGACATTGGACGCGCAAAAGTTTCAGAAGTACTTCATGAACGCGCCGTTACTCGCTGTACCGGGCCGTACGCACCCAGTCGAGATCTTCTACACGCCAGAGCCGGAACGCGATTACGTCGAGGCCGCGCTGCGTACGGTTCTTCAGATCCACGCCACGGAACCAGAAGGAGATATTCTTCTCTTCCTGACCGGCGAAGAGGAGATCGAAGACGCCTGCCGCAAGATCAACCTCGAAGGAGACGAGATGGTCCGCGAAGCTGATGCTGGACCTCTCAAAGTCTACCCTCTCTACGGCACCTTACCTCCAGCCCAACAACAGCGCATCTTTGACCCTGCTCCACCGCCATTTAAACCCGGCGGTCGCCCAGGCCGCAAGTGCATCGTCAGCACCAACATCGCCGAAACCTCACTAACAATCGACGGCATCGTCTACGTCGTCGACCCCGGCTTCAGCAAGCAGAAAGTCTACAACCCTCGCATCCGCGTGGAATCTCTCCTCGTCAGCCCAATCTCCAAAGCCTCCGCCCAGCAGCGCGCCGGTCGTGCGGGCCGTACGCGTCCCGGCAAATGCTTCCGCCTCTACACCGAAGGCGCCTTCAAGAAAGAGCTAATCGACCAGTCATACCCCGAAATCCTGCGCTCGAACCTCGCTAGTACCGTGCTCGAGCTGAAGAAACTAGGCATAGACGACCTCGTGCACTTCGACCTGATGGACCCACCCGCCCCGGAAACCTTAATGCGCGCACTAGAAGAGCTCAACTACCTCGCCTGTCTCGACGACGAAGGCGAGCTAACCAACATGGGCAAACTCGCCTCCGAATTCCCCCTCGACCCCGCGCTGGCAGTGATGCTAATTGCCTCCCCCGAATTCTACTGCAGCAACGAAATCCTCTCCCTCACCGCCCTGCTAAGCGTGCCCCAACTCTTCGTCCGCCCGGCCTCCGCCCGCAAGCGCGCCGACGAAATGAAAGACCTCTTCGCCCACGCCGACGGCGACCACCTCACCATGCTCAACGTCTACCACGCCTTCAAAGCCCCGTCCGCGCAGGAAAACGCGAAACAATGGTGTCACGACCACTTCCTCTCCTTCCGCGCGCTACAACAGGCCGACAACGTGCGTCTGCAACTCAAACGCATCATGGAACGCTCCGAGATCGAACTCGTCTCCACCCCCTTCACCGACAAGAAGTACTACGAGAACATCCGTCGCGCGCTGGTGGCGGGGTTCTTCATGCAAGTCGCCAAGAAGGATTCTTCCAACAAGACGTACACGACTGTGAAGGATAATCAGAGTGTCCTCCTGCATCCGTCGACGGTGTTGGGGCAGGATAGCGAGTGGGTCGTTTACAACGAGTTTGTGTTGACGAGTAAGAATTACATTCGTACGGTTACGGGGGTGAAGCCGGAGTGGTTGTTGGAGATTGCGCCGCAGTATTATGATTTGGAGGGGTTTAGTAAGGGTGATATTAAGACGAGTTTGTTGAGGGTGCAGCAGAAGGTGCAGAGGAGGGCGCAGATCAATGGTGGGAGGTAGGTTGGCATGGAGAGGCGGTGGTGGTGTTTTTGTAAGGATAGGTTGGCTACGTATGATCAACTTGCTTGCTGCAGTGCTAGAGTGCAGCAATAGTCTTGTGGTTGATGGAATAACTGAAAGCCCATCATTTCGGGGAAGCAGGTGATGTGCAATGATGAAATTGGATTGTTTCGCACTTCGCCGTGGGACACGCTCTCGAGGTGAGGAACGGAAACTCGTAGCGATAGATGCATTACACGTATGATACACAGCTGTCATGAAACTGGTCTATCAAGCAGATGGGAGCCAGACTTTGCTCCATCCGCCATGCCTCGCCACATGTCTTCCCACTTGCGGAATACCATACGCCATAGCGCCTTCGCCGCGACCACAATTCATTGCCATGCTCACGGCTTCTGCCACTCCGGGTTCTACAACATCATCGTCAGTAAACCTCATCCTCACACCTCCCAAAGCAACAACTTTATTAACTCACCTTTCTCAATATACAAATCCCCTCCATAACATTACTCAAACACCGCCACTCCTCATCCTCCAACTCGGCGCGCTCCCCATACCCCAACAACACAGGCGTACTCTGCGTCTGCCAGCCCGTAATCGTCTTGGGTCTCCCCGCCTGGCCGACAACATCCACCGCCTGCCCGACGCGGACGTTGACTTGCAGCGGCTTGAGCTCCTCGTCGAGCGTGATGAGGAAGCGGGGGTGCATGGCTGTGACTAGGTAGTAGAGTAAGTAGTGGTTGTCGCCCAAGATGAACTTCTTCGGGTCTTCTATCAGGGAGATCGCCACCGTGAGCAGGCCCGCGGAAGCGACTCGAGAGAGTACAGTGCGGTCCGTGTGGAAGGGGTTTATGCTGAGTGTGCCCTTCCCCATATGCACCAACCCCTGCGCCACACGCACCATGAACAACACCCCCGCATCGCGGTGATAGTAACTAGCCAACTGCCTCAGCAGTTGCGCAAGGCGTGCATTATTCGTCCCCGCGCCCAACATGCCCATAGCGAAAATCGCATTCACCGCCACGTCGAGGTCGTTGTCGTGGGAGTAGCGGGATAAAGTGTCGTAGACCTTCATTTGCGGGTTGGAGGGGGAGATCAATCCCATGGCTAGAGGCACAGCGCGACGGATGTTCGGCTCGCCGTAGTGCATGAGGTGGCCGAATTGGCGGAGGACCATTTCTTGACCTACGTCTTCGCCCATGGCGACGAGGGAGAGGCCGATGACGGCGTAGGATTGGACGAGTTGGTCGCCGGAGACATCTCGCTTGTCTTCCGCAGTATCGTCGTTCTTGTCCGCGTCTGTGTCTTCGCCGTCTTTGTCTTCTTTCTCCTCGATGTGGTCGTTGCAGATGTGGAGCAATTGTTGCAGTTTCAGTACAGCGCCCGTGCCAGTCCACGCGCAAATCTCCGCCAACACACTCGCGGGTTTGCTCATGGGGTGCTCGATTACCTTTAACGTCTCGAGCACCACATCCACCTCTTCTTGCTGGCCAAAGTACAACAACGCAAGACCCAAGGTCATAAACCGTGTCCACTTATCCTTGAGCTGCTTGTTCCGGTCCTCATCCAGGAAAGTCTGAATGATAGCTTCCGAAACATCCGACTGCGCGTTGCCGACGAAGATGAACCCCAGCGACAGCGCAGCCATGGCGGAGATCTGCATATCGAGCGAGGTATCCGTCACAAGCGGCAAAAGCAACTCGAGTAAATCCTCATTGTTTGAACCCGCGTAAGCCAACCCAAGTCCCATGATCGAAGCGACCTTAACCGCCACACTCTTTCCTTCCAAATCACCCAACAACGCCATCGTGGGATCCGAATCGAGGCGAACACCACTATTCATAATCCCCATCGCCAGATACGCACCGGCTTTGATCTGATCCTCAGGCACATAGGTATACGCATCTATCTTATCCAGCCCCATCTCGACATCCCACAGCATCAGCATCCCCGCCGAGGCCGCGGTGGAGGTCATGCCGTCTTCTTTCACCTTCCACACCCAGCTCTGCTTCACCCCGCCTTCGACCAACATCAACTTGTCATCGCCGAACCCGGCGTTTACGAACGCGTTGACGAAGGCGGAGGCGAGGTTGTGCCGGGCGGAGTCGGTGTTCGTCAGCCCGGCTGTGCGGGAGGACTCGAGGTGGGATTTGTAGATATCTTCTGGCACTTTCGGGTCGAGGACGTTAAGTTCTTTGGCGAGGGATTTGAAGTGTTCGGGGAGTTTGGTGTTGTTGAGACAGTCCTGTAGTTCCGGGTCTTCCGCTTCGAATTCGCTAAAGTCGAGGCAGATTCTTTGGCGGCCGAGGATGAAGGCGAGTTGTCGCCGGAGCGCTTTGTCGGATGTAGAGGCGAAGTCGGATCTGATGAGGTCGGCATCATTTAGTCGGATGGCGAGTGACATGGCTTGCGTGAGTTGCTCGTACTGGAGGTAGATGTCGTGGGCGGTGCGGACGAAGCGGTCGTTGTCCGGGTAGGTCAGGAGGGGCACCATGGAGACCATGTATAGGCAGACTCGTGCATAAGTGTCTTTGTCGACGTATTGCTTGATTTCTTCGATCATCTCCAACTCGGACAGGATGTCTACGGCGTCGGCTTCCGCGTTGTGTGAGAGGAAGTAAGGGACGAGTGAGCGCGTGAGCTGTGCGAGGTCCTCCACATCTTGCTCGTCGTCCAGCCGCTTCTGGTACTCTTGCCCAATCTCCAACGCTAGATGCCGCATGTACTCATGACCCCACGAGCCGAAGTCGGAATGCTTGGACAGTAAGCGGAACTTGAGCGTATCTCGTCTGTCTTCGTCGTCCGAATATGTCATGCCCAACACCGACAGCGTATCCGAGAGACTGTCCTTGTCATCGCCCGCCGGCCATGACTCGTACGCCTGACACAGCTTCTCGTAATGCGGCCGGAGGAATTTGAGGGGTTTGGGTACGGCGGTCATGGAGCTGGTCGACGTTTTGATGCTGGTCTTGATCGCCTCGAGCGCCGGCTTGTATAATGACTTGTCGCTCTCTGTTAACCGCTCCACCAGCATGTCCAGCTCATCCTTGAGTTTCTGGTCTTCCTCGTTAAGCTGGTCGGGTGGGAGGTCGTGGTCTGCCTTCTTGTCGCCATCCTTGCCTGCCGCCTTGGTACCGTTGACGCCGTTGGTCTGCTTGTCCTCCACCGCCTTGCCCTTGCCTTTGTCTTGGGGCTTCGACTGCTTCTCCTCCTCCTTCGCCATCCTCCCGGCTCGCTTGATGAACGTTCACTGGTGCAGTCCCTAGATGTGCTGAACGTAAGAGGCACAGATGGGCAATGAGGCCGATATACGAGGAGGTCGGGGTCGATATGGAAGGCGTAGAGTGGTTGTTGAAGAGGGTGAAGGTGTGTTGGAGATGATCGTGTGAGCAGCCGCGTCCTATGTTTGCCTCATCGACAGTCGAGCTCTATACGACATTTAGCCCGCAGTTTGGCCGATCAAGTGCTCGCTGACTCAGCCATGGATATCAATCAGACGTGCGAACTTCTGTACCATCAGACAGCGCAGTGGTCGAAGACGACGAGGAGGTCAAGGGGAAGTGGCATTGATGGGGAGGACCATAATGCGACCATCTCACCCTAAACTACCGCCCGCGCGATGAACCGCCGCACCAGCTCCACCTCCACCTCCACTCACCCTCCACCCCCGCCAGGACGCCAGCACAGCTACGCCACATCCACTTCCTCTCGCAGAAATGACGGTCTCACCCGCCGCCTCTCCGCCCTCTCCACGGCGGAGTCAGGCGAAGTGCAAGACCCTGCCGCCACTGCAGCCGACGAAACGGTAGCGGAAGAGATCGCCGAGATCAAACGCTACGAGGACTTCACCACCATCGACTGGGTGCAGGATGCGGCGCGGGAGAACCAACGCCGCAAAGCGCGACGCGCGCAACGGGTCGACTACTTTGACCGCGAGGGCCGGATCGGGTGGAGGAGGAAGGTGTGGGAGGCGTACGATGCGGGTCAGGGCTGGATCGTCGTGACCTTGATCGGCGTCGCTATAGGACTCAACGCCGCCTTCCTCAACATCGTCACCGAATGGCTCTCCGACTTGAAACTAGGCTACTGCACCACTGCCTTCTACCTGAACGAATCCTTCTGCTGCTGGGGCGCCGAAGGCGGCTGCGCGGAATGGCACCACTGGAGCGGGCACTTCTGGCCGATCAACTACCTCCTCTACATCCTCTTCGCCGGCCTCTTATCCTACACCTCCGCCCGCCTCGTGAAATCCTACGCCCCCTACGCCGCCGGCTCCGGGATAAGCGAAATCAAATGCATCATCGCCGGCTTCGTCATGAAAGGTTTCCTCGGCTTCCGCACGCTGCTGATAAAAACCCTCGCCATGCCCCTCGCCATCGCCTCCGGGCTATCAGTCGGCAAAGAGGGCCCCAGCGTCCACTACGCCGTCTGCACTGGTAATGTCATTTCCCGCCTCTTCACCAAATACCGCCGCAACGCCGCCAAGACCCGCGAGATCCTCTCTGCGTGCGCGGCAGCAGGCGTGGCCGTCGCGTTTGGGAGTCCCATCGGCGGCGTCCTGTTCAGTCTGGAGGAAATGAGTAATTACTTCCCGCTCAAGACTATGTGGCGCAGCTACTACTGCTGCCTCGTCGCCACCGCCGTCCTCGCGGCAATGAACCCCTTTCGCACAGGCCAACTGGTCATGTTCACAGTCCGCTACGACCGCAGCTGGCATTTCTTCGAACTCCCCTTCTACATCCTGCTTGGACTCTTCGGCGGTCTCTACGGCGCTTTCGTCATGAAGTGGAATCTTCGCGTTCAAGCGTTTCGGAAACGCCATCTCGCTCCTTACCCGATCCTCGAGTCCACTATCCTCGCTCTCGCGACGGCGGTATTGTGTTATCCGAATATGTTCCTCCGCATCGACATGACCGAGAGCATGGAGATCCTCTTCCTCGAATGCGAAGGCGGACACGACTACGACGCCCTTTGCGACCGCTCGAACCGGTGGTCCATGATCCTCGCCCTTCTGCTCGCCACTGTGCTTCGCACATTCCTGGTAATCATCTCTTACGGCTGTAAAGTCCCCGCCGGAATCTTCGTCCCCTCCATGGCCATCGGTGCCTCCTTCGGGAGAATGCTGGGGATTCTAGTCCAAGCTTTGCACGAGACTTTTCCAACTTCCGCCTTCTTTGCGGCTTGTGAAGCCGACGCCCCCTGCATCACACCAGGTACCTACGCCTTCCTTGGTGCCGGCGCAGCGTTGGCGGGGATCATGCACATCACCGTTTCCGTCGTGGTCATCATGTTCGAACTCACAGGCGCACTGACCTACATCCTGCCCACCATGATTGTCGTCGGCGTCACGAAAGCCGTGGCAGACCGGTGCGGTAAGGGAGGGATCGCGGACCGGATGATCTGGTTCAACGGGTTTCCCTTTCTCGACAATAAAGAAGAGCACTCCTTCGGCGTGCCGGTTAGTCAGACCATGACGGCCAACCCTACCACTCTCCCCGCTGCAGGAATGTTGATACGGGACGTGGAAAAAGTGCTGGCCGAGACGAAGTACCAGGGTTTTCCTGTCGTTGATAACGATGAGAATAAGATCCTACTCGGCTACATTGGTCGAACAGAGTTGAGGTACGCCCTCGATCGCGCGAAGAGGGAACAACAAGTCAGTCTGCACGCCCGCTGTTTCTTCGCCCCGCCAGATGGACCTGCGACAGCTACCACACCCTCCGCCAGTCTTCCTGGGGTGACATTTGACGACATGGCCGGGCAAGGGGAGATGAACGTGGATTTCTCGAAATTTGTCGATCCCACCCCGCTGGCTGTTCATCCGCGCTTGCCGTTGGAGACGGTGATGGAATTATTCAAGAAGCTCGGCCCGCGTGTCATTCTGGTTGAACACCGAGGCAGAGTGGTGGGGTTGGTGACGGTGAAGGATTGTTTGAAGTTTCAGTTTATGGTGGAGGCGGAGGAGCATCCACGACAGGATGGGAGTGGCATTCGGGAGCAGCAGGATAAGTTGTGGGACCTGATGCGGAAAGTGGCGGGGCTGATGGGGAGGTGGACTGGGGGGAGGTTGAGGTTGGGGGAGGTTTCGCCACCGGGTTCGGCGGGGCTGCCGGCTGAGACTGAGAGGAGGGTGGGAGAGGGTGGGAGGACGGGTGAGGTGGAGTTGGATGACCGATAACACGTATGTCATGCCGTTGTCACCCATTTCAAAGTTCCTACAAAGTACTCGTCCTGCTCGCTTTCACGTTTGCACGGCAAAACGTTTCCATACCTTCCCTACGCCGGATACTCCGGTCGCAGCCATGATGTTGCTGCGCATATGAAAATCGAGCGAAGAAGTTTCATTACTGCATCAACTCATACAATGCCCACTAAGCGCCGCCTCGCTGCTCCTCAAATACCAAACGCCATCGCGCCGAACCCTCGCCTCCCATCTTCTCCTAGCTATTCAAGGCCCACCCCGCTGCACCTTGTTATCCCCCTGCACCGCCTGCTGATACGTCGGCGGGGTCTCCTCACTCCTGGACCCTCCTACTTGCTGCTGTGGCGGCGGGGGCTGCACGAAACCGCCCTGCTGCTGATGCGGGAACTGCGTACTCGGCGCCGGCCCCACCGTCCCATAACTCCTGCCCCCATTCCCACCATCTGCGCGCGCGTACCGCGGGTGTCCGCCATCCTGCTGCACATAGTAGTACGTCACGTTCCCCCCACCACCGCCGCCGTAACCGCGTTCCGGGTCCTGTTGTGGTAGGTCCGAGTATGTGGGGTCCGGGGTGACGGCGATGATGTACCAGGCGTGTAGTAAGCCTGGGAGGAAGCCGAGGCAGCAGAGGGCGAGGTTGATGAGGCTGTCGGCGCTGCAGAGGCCTTTCTTCACCCATACGGCGAGCGGGGGGAAGAGGATTGCTAGGAGGCCGAGGAAGATATCTGTGCCGCACATTTTGGCCGCTCGGGAGGAGGCTGGTGTGGGGGGGGGTTTTATGGGTGAGGGAGAATATGGTGGCGGAAGGTGTAGGTATATGGGGTGGGTTGGCATGCGAAAGCAGCTGCCTGACCTGACCATGATCTACGCCTCACGCGATGACGATCCCCACTGCCGAGGCTTCTGTAACCGGTTAGGCGTGGCGCATCGTCTGGCGTTATCGATAGCGCAAAGGTCTCGCTTTGAGCCTCTTCATCAAATGTTCCCTGCCCTCTCTGGGACAGTAAGGGTAAGAGACCTGACATTCCCAGCGCGTGACTAGAGTCGTGACAGTAGAAGCGTCCTCCGACCCTTCGAAGCCCGAAAGTATAGGTCATCATGAAGCTCGACACGCGCGCCTTCCGCTACCTAACAGCGGAAGACTGGCGGGTGTTACAAGCAGTGAGTGCATCATTCCATACTGTCTCCCACAGGACATCATATCGCTGACGGGTTTGCTGACAGCACGGCGCAGGTTGAGCAAGGAAGTAAGAACCATGAGCTTGTCCCGACACCACTTATCCAGCAAATAGCTGGCCTACGGGGAGGCAGTGGCGTGCACAGATGCATTTCCACTCTCGCCAAAGCAGGTTTGATTGCCAAAGTGAAGAATGCGAAATGTATGCCCGTCTGAAATATATATCCTTCCCAAGTGAACCCCCTGTGCTGATTCTGCATGTACAGACGACGGCTACCGCCTAACCTACGGCGGCCTCGACTACCTCGCCCTAAACACTCACCGCAAATCCTCCCTCCTGTACAGCCTGGGCAACCAAATAGGCGTCGGCAAAGAATCAGACATCTACATCACCGCCTCCCCCTCCGGCCGTCAACTAGTGCTAAAACTGCACCGTCTCGGCCGTATCTCCTTCCGCTCCGTGAAAGCTAATCGTGACTACCTCCGCCACCGCACGACGGGGAGTTGGATGTACCTCTCCCGCCTCGCTGCGCAGAAGGAGTACGCCTTCATGCGCGTGCTGTGGCGGGAGGGGTTTGCGGTCCCGGAGCCGGTGGGGTGGAGTCGGCATACGGTGTTGATGGAGTTTGTGGATGCGTTTCCGCTGAGGATGATTGAACGGGTGCCGGAGCCGGGGGGGTTGCATGCGGAGTTGATGGGGATGATTGTTAGTCTCGCGCAGAGGGGACTCATTCATGGTGATTTCAATGAGTTTAACATCCTTATCAAGGAGGAGGAAGTGGTGGGGAAGGAAGGGGAGATGAAGTTGAGGCCGATCTTGATTGATTTCCCGCAGACGGTTAGTACGAATCATGTCAATGCCAAGATGTATTTTGAGAGGGATGTGGCGTGTGTGAAAAGGTACTTCGAGAGGAGGTTCAAGTACGTGGCTGATGAGGAGGGGCCGTTGTTTGAGGATGCGGTGAGAGGGGTGGAGGCGGAGAGGAGGTTGGATGTGGAGGTGGAGGCTAGTGGGTTTTCGAAGAAGATGGCAAAGGAGCTGGAGCGGTATGTGGAGGTTGTGGGTGGCGATGACGATGATGATCAAGCGGCTGCTGCGGGTCAGTCAGACGATAGCGCGCAAGATGATGACGAGGAAGGCGAGTTTGACGAAGGTGAAGACGCGTCGGAGGTGGAAGGGGAAGGAGATCAAGATGCGCAGCATGACGATGCGGAGCTCGCAGAGCAACTCGCCTCCTGGCGGACGGGTGACGATCTGGCTGTCAAGCCATTGCGCAATGCTGACTACGGGCTGCTGCCTTTGGATCTACAGGAAGACACCGGCACTTTCACGCCCGAAAAGGTGGCGGCGAAGAAGAAAGCGACCGGTTGGGCGATTTGAGTTGGCCATTATGTCGTGAAAGGCGGGTTGAAAGGGGTGACGTGACGTGAGCGTGTCGTGTAACACCGCGAAACAGGCAGCTACGAAGCAAACAGCAGGCTTGGCGGAGATATTAAACGCCACCATGCGGGAGACACACATTTCTGCTCCATCGTGACAACATCCACTTCCGCCCTCTACGAAGCACAGGAGTTGTTCTACAATCAGTGCTACGCCATTATGTCTAGATTAAGGGCAGAGTCGGCGCCTGTTTCCCTCCGGAGCGTCTTCACCGACTGCGATACGCATTCTACCACACGACGATCTTCCGACGTATCCCTCTCCGCAGGACGGTTGTCGCCGAATAGTGCAGCAAGTTCAGACCACGAAGCGAAGGTAACCACGCAGGCAACTACAGAAAGCAGCACTGTGCACCCTGTCGAGACATCTCAACCACCGGTCTGTGCGGCATCCCCTCCGTCATGTCTCAACCACATCTACTTCTTCACGCGCGATGTACCGGACATTGCGCCGCCTGCCAATGTCAAGGACCAACGCTCTGCCAGCCCTGCCAGTCGTGATGAGTCTACATCAAGCTCCGGCTCACTTAATCCACTCGCACCTACCTTTACACCTTCGTTCCCATCACCAACAGCATCTCGGCTGTACGAGCTGCGTGAAGTGCCAGGTAAAGGCCTGGGATTGTTCGCCGCCACCAACATTCCACTAGGAGCCCGTATCATTTGCGAGTCACCACTGCTGACGATATCGCGTAATGAGCTGCATCTTGTCTGGGGCCCGTACTGCCGACTGTCGAACGCGCAGAAAAAGGCGTACGACTCGCTGCACTTCTACAACCCGCCGTTCATGAAACTAGAACAGGCGGGCCGCCTCCAGCTCATTGACACGAACGATACCAGCCTGGACGCAGACGACATCGACGAGATTGTCAGAGATCACGTACGCGTCATGGGCATTTTCGCGACAAACAACTTCATAAGCGGACCGGCATTTGCCGTCTACGAGGAGGCGTCACGCCTCAACCACTCCTGCATTCCGAATGTCCACCACTCCTACAACCCAACACTGAAGAAGCTGACCGTGCACGCTGCTCGCGACATCTACGCTGGTGAAGAACTACTCACCAACTACGTCGGCGGGCGCTTCACGTACTGGCCACGTAAGCGGCGCCAGGGCATCTTGCGCCAACAGTACGGGTTTCAGTGCGCTTGTGTGGCATGCGTTGATCGTACCGGGCAGTCCGATGGCAGGCGCGAGGTGATGGCCAATATGGCTTATGGGCTCATGCAATATGGCGGAGATCGTCATGGCGAAGGGCAGAACCCATACATACCAGCTACAGTCGATGCGGCATTGAGGCAGTCTGAGGATCTCATTACGCTGCTTTTGGAGGAAGGGATCACCAACATCGAGCTTGTAAGCGCCCCCACTCTGCTCAGCATAAGTATATTGTGACGTCACCGAGCTAACTCGGTTGCAGTGCAAAGCCTACCGCACCGCCGCGCAGGAGGCTCTAAAGATGCAAGACTACACCAAAGCGCGCGATTACGCCCTGAACGAGGCTGAAGTCGAGCTGAATTGCTTAGGCGCCGAAGTGGACGACTTGGTGAAGTGTGGATCCGCTGCTTCAGTCTTCATCAATCTTGTGGAGCACGAGATGGTCAAGGCTGGCGCCATCGAGCCCGCGGTTACGCCACGCAAAACAAAGAAAACGAAGAAGACGTGGAGTGAGAGGCGGAAGGTGAAGAGGGAGCGGGAGGCTGCTGCACAGAAGGCCGAGGCGGCGAGGAGCTGACTTGGCGTTTCTTTCGCGCATGTCATGCTGGTGTAGTCTAGTGGTTGTCACGAGCGAGGAGTTGGAGGCTACGAGATGGAGTAAATGGAATGATACCTACCACGGCCGCTGAATTTGATTTATTGATTATTGCTTCACGCAGCATTGATGACCTTCGGTTAAGATCGCCGCTAAGGGCGGCTCCAACGCTCCTTCTGCGACTAGTGAAGCTAGCATTGGTAATGGCGTCATTCGATGGATGAGATCAATGATTCTTCGATCAAAACGATGCCATGAATGGCACACTCGCAAATACTCCCTCATCTCCGTACCAAGCTTATATCTCACCCTCAGAGCACAACGAGAATCGACAAGGCTCAGCAAAACACTTTCGGCATACCGAACACCGCAACAATAGCCTCCAAAATCCTCTCCACCCCGCGCCTCCGCCTCGCCCACCTCGCCCGCACCATGTCCTCCACCTCCACCACGGGCGCAACGCCTCAGCCCGCGCCCTGGAAGTCTTCCTTCCTCGACCACCTCGGGAAGATGGACAGCCCCGAATTCGTCTTCTCCAGCCTGCACCCAGCACCCAATAAAGACAGTCCCACTCCCTACCTCCCACGAGCCCGCTACTGCATCTTCCGCGGCTTCTGGGCCGAGCTACCGGAGAACAAACACAATGACGCTCCACGCAATGAACGGAGTTATGAGTCCGAGATGCCGACGTTTACGACTGATGTCCGCATGCAGAAGCCGTTTGAACTCTTCTCTTCCTCGTCTGGACACGCGGATAAAGAGGAACAGGCGAAGGGGAGTGGCGGCGGTGGGCCTTGTGAGGCGGTGTGGTGGATCAAGGGGGATACGATGGTGCAGTGGAGGGTGCGGGGGGAGGCGTTTGTGGTAGGGCCGGATATTGAGGAGGAGAATGAAAGTAGTGGGGTTAGGACTGTGAAGAGTGAGGTGGGTAGTCGGATGAGGGTGGCGAAGGAGGAGGAGAAGGAGAAGTGGTCGTGGAAGACGGAGTTGGTTGGGCATTTCGGGAATATGAGTCCGGGGATGAGGGGTACGTTTTACTTTAACCATGAGCGGTTTACGCTTGGGTAGCTCTGTGTGAGATTGAGGCTGTACTGACTGTGGATGTTGTCAGGGAGCTTTAAGAACCCTCCACCCGGCCAGGCGGTGGATAAGCCGTATGACGAGGAGCATCTTAAGCTCGGAGAAAAGGTGTCGACGCTCGACGATGCCGTTGCGCGCGAGAATTTCCGGGTCGTGATCATCAAGCCGGAGATGGTCGAGTCGTTGGATCTCAAAGATCCCACCAAGGCGCGGAGACAGCAGTATAGGTATCAGGAGAGCACGGGGAAGTGGTCGCATGTCGAGACGTGGCCATAGATGGAGCAATCTTTAGTCGCTGCCACCCTCGAGGCTCGCCCCCTGCGCAGTCTGTTGGTGACGCAGCATCGCCTAAGCCGTGTAATCCACACGCTCGATCGAATAGCCCTGCGCCCTGGCGCACTGCAGCCTCCTCCGGGCTACGTGCGGCTATAGCGCTCGCCGGACGGCAGAGAGCTCGATAGTTGCGCCCAGTCAAGCCCATCCGGAGCGTCCCAACGCTTCAGTACGCTTACCCACGGTAGTAACGTGAGGCAGTAAGAGGTTGGGCCCCAATGGGTATGCTCCAGGCGTCAGATTGTTCCGACCAGCTAGCACTCGGTTTCATCGTTTGACTTGTGCAGGTCGGAAGGCTGTGAGACTTTACGTCACGGATCTGGCGATATGCAAGGCACAGGGGCGCGGCCTGAACCTAATCTCATTGCATCGGCCGCTAATGCAACCACTACCGATCGCATGCCTTCGATCCCGCGTGTTCTTCAGACAGATCGCGTGCGTCGACCGGAGAGGGATCGCATACTATCTATCGCCGGAGGTGTATGCGTCATGATTTAGAGTTCCAAGCACGCTGGTAAAAGCTCATATTGCGATGAAGGTAAGTGGGTGATCATCTACAAGCCTTCGCATCTGATCCTACCTTATTGTCTTTCTTCGCCTTGCGAGCACTCAACCGAGCAATTCAGATCGAGCTCGTTCGCGCCATGTCGTCGGAGGAGAATGTCCCTTCACAGCATGCTCCCCAATTCCATATCTTGAGTTTCTTCCGTGACGAGGATGACAATTGCGCCTTGACCGCTGTCCAAAACAATGTACGCTTTCACGTTATCGCGGAGATCGAGAAGCTTGATCATGCCATCATTGGAGGTGAATACGTCGAACTCCTTGAGCATCTGAAGCGACAGGAGGATGGAGCAGAAGCGTCGAGCGTAACAACGGACAGCGGCGTAGATGTCACTAATGGCAAGCAAGAGTTCACGCAGACAGACGAAGATGCGGAAACGGCGTTACAAAGCTGGATGTTACAACCACTAGGCTCTATCATCGACGAATATGCTTCTGCTTCCGCAAACGAGGGACAGCAGACGTTGAAAAAGTGGTACACCGGACCCGTGTATTATTTCAATCTGGAAGTTGAGAACGACAGTCTGCAAGCCATAGAGCTTGAGCCGGACGACGAGCTGAAACAGCGTGTAGACGAGCTGCTGCCACAAATCAGCATCCCGAAATACGTGCGCGACATTGATGTACCCATTTTCTGCGCGGAGGATCTTCTAGTCCTGGACTGCAGTCACTCGCCACCTCCCTATCACCCTTCCCGTGTCCAGGTCAATGGCACGGACGAGGTGTTCTTCCTCAAGCTTGTGGACAACAGCCAGCCGCAGCCTACTAAGCGGGAGCTGTCTTTGCTGAACCGTATCGCGCAAAGGGGTCTTCACAAGCACATTCGATGTCCCAAGTTGGAAGGCTTAGTGATCTGGGACAATGACCACTCAAAGATCATGGGCTTCTTGCAGACAGACATTCCCGATCCGACACCGCTGACGTTAAAGCTGGACGCCACAGTACCGCAAGAACTTCGGGATCGATGGGCAGCCGAATCAGAGCGTATGAAGAATGTACTCCACGAGCACAATATCGTCTGGGGTGATGCCAAAGCAGACAACTTCATGGTCGACAAGAACGACGACCTCTGGATCATCGACTTCGGCGGCTCGTATACTGAGGGGTGGGTTGATGCTGGTATCAAGGAGACTGCGAAAGGAGACGACATGGGTGTCGAGAAGATTGCGAACGCGCTGCATGACCCGGTCGCGAATACGTGGGATCCTGACACGGCGAAGAGCTTTGGTGGCAGCCAGCGGGCGAGTGAGCAGCTAAACTTCAATAAGAAGCGGAAGGCAGAAGACAGCGAGGAGCATCAAGCCAGAAAGCGTCATCGCAGTGGCGAAGGAGCCGCAGAGGAGGATGTATACTGCGTCTGCGAGACGGTCGGATCCGGTCGCATGATCGCTTGCGATGAAGAGACTTGCGAGGGGGCTTGGTTCCACTTCGAGTGTGTTGGCTTGACGGCGCCACCTCCGGAAGATCAGCCATGGTACTGTCCAGAGTGTCGAATAGCATAAATCGCGCGGACAGGTTCGAACTGCTTCAACTTCCGCAAGCTTTTCGCCTTTCCCGACGATGGCCTTGCACACTGTCTCCAAGCGTCAGCGACCCCTACGATGTATAGCGAGCGCAAGTGCAGCGGGTCGTCCTAGCAGCTCTGACGCAGCACCTTCACAACGGCATTTTGAATCCAGCAGGCTCGAGGAGGCAGCAGCAAGGTCTTTCTACGTCGGACACAGCGGCGGCAGCACCCTGTCACCTGCGCTTGCGACAACATATACCGCTCCCGCCGACGGCATAGCACTGACGGGCCACTCTACGGACCCTTCCTAAATCGGAGAGATTCGCATCAGTACCACCTTCTCTCTGCCCAGAAAGATCCACCGATTCGGGTGCATAGACCGGAACATGAGTTCTCTGAGCCTGCGGCGACAAGCTGGGCCAGCAAAGCATCTTTCTCGCCTATTATTGCTTCGATCCAGAGGCGTTGGCTTTCGTCGAGGCGTATAACTGTCTATTCACTGTGGGCGTAGCAAACATCTTACAAGTCAATGCTTTAAATGCCGCGAAGCCGGTATCGGTACGTATCTAAATGGTACTACGATGGCGGTCAGAGCTGACCTTAGTGTAGACGTTCACCAGCAACGTTGACCTGATCATCTACTGTGGCGATTCAAAAGGAGTTCGTAGCAAGCAGCACCTCTTTTTTCTAGAGCGACACTTTCCAAGAACTAGTGTTGGCCCACACACAGGCCATGCCCTGATGCGTTAGTACAACGCAGGTTCGGCGTATACGACCGTTAACGAACGACTTACTTAAGCGAAAGGCAGTGACGTGCTGCTACTCACGCTGACTCCGTAACACCGGGCAAGCAGTGATGCATGGTAAGAGCGGTACGGCGAAGTGTAAGCGAGGATGGAGATGTCGGCGCAGGTTGTTAGTCAGATCTCCATCGAAGACGTGATATTCATTCCATGCTAGGTCGCAGTAGCTAGATCAATTGTATGCCGTAACCCACTCTCCAAGATGTCGCAACTCAGGCCATCTGACCTCTGTTCTGCATGCTTGAACACCACCAGGCAACTCACGTGAATATGTCATCCTCAACCTCCTCAAGCTTGACACCACAGTCGATCTCCCCATCCTCCTTCGCCAGACTATCATCGGCGTTAGCGACCCCCTTGCCCGTTTCCAGCTTTGGCTTCGATATCTTCTTGGTCTTCACGGTACGCTTCGGCCTCTTCACAGGGGTTTCAGCCTCAGCGTCAGCGTTGGCACCACCGTCGGTAGCCATGTCGTTCGCATCATCGTTTTTACGCTTCTTCTTGGCCGGATCAACGCCGCTAAGCTTCGCACGCACGATGGCGAATTGATCTCTCGCATACTTCGCAGTCTTGCAATTGGCGTCCTTGGCAACGACATCCCATGGAATCTGTTCGTAACAATCAGCTCATGCCATATGGCGAGGCACAGAGACGGACGAACCTCTGCAGTCATGTTCTTGGCCACAGCGCGGAGAAGCTCTTGGTGACGGTCACCGAGATTGACAACACCCGCGTCGACGGCACTGAGCTTAGTGCGGATGATGGCGAACTGGTCGCGCGCATACTTCGGGGTCTTACAGTTTGCTTCGCTGGCGACCGTATCCCAGTTGACCTATCGGTTCGGCATCAGTATGCTTAGTCTGCTCTTCGATCCGTATGTCGGCGAAGCATAAAGTAGACCTTACTTGAGCGGACGAGTGCTTGATTACGGCACGCAGGAGCTCCTGGTGACGCGAACCTAGGTTGATAGTAGCCATGTGGAAAGGCTTGCCTTGGAGTGGGAGCCTGTGTGGATGAAGACGAGCCTGGTACGCGGTGAAGATGTCGGGAGGTGGGTGCAGGATAGCGAAGTGCTTGTGAAGAGGAGCTGGTCGAATAGGAACTGGGTGCGTGCAGTGAGGCTGAGCACAGCATGTGAGCTTGCTCTTGCCCGAAACTGAACAAATTGCTCACTGCATTGTCTGGCGTGCTTCATTTTCTGCGCTTAGGAGGAAAAGACTGCAAAAGGTCCTGGTATGGAAGTCAGATGCAGTCAACATGGTGCCGTTCCATCGCGGTCTTCTTAACAAAATTATCTCAGGCTACAGTCCTCAGAACTCGTGCCATGCCAGCGCCAGCGAGTATTGCGCGGTTCCTCTTACCCGCTCTAAGCTTCTTGCCACTAACCGTGTGGTTCGTGGGTGCTAGGTGAGCGTCTTGACTAGTTATGAACGGTCTCGATGCCCGACACTCTTCTCCAAGCCTCGGATCACAACCCAAGCTCTTGATGAAAAAGTGGTCCTGTCAGACAACCAGCGCCACGAGCCCACGAGCACCGGCCGAAGCCAAGTGCAAGCAGGGAGAGATCATCGCCAACTCGGGGCCGAAGCCATGCGAGCTACATACGGCGTCACTCTATCGCGAGCTGGTTCGGCTCATCAGCCAGCTAGAGGAAGAAGTCAGCATGTTGTCCACGAGTGGTGCTGCGTTCGAGGCAAGCTTACGATGGAATCCGTAGCTCTTTTGGAGATTACGGTCATGGACGTTTACTATAGAAATGATTCTATGAAGTCTAGGGATTGTATTAGCATGTTGATGCAAGAGTAGGGGTGGGTTCATAGACATACAAAGTCGCGTGAAAATCTCAAGCAGAACGAGCGTGCGAAGTCGTACAAATACTTTCCAAAGCGCCAAGCCGCGCTAGCGTTAGCGTTGCTTCCCTGCGCCATGTCACGTGTGCGGATTGTTCAGGTGTACATTTGGTTTAAGTTTATTCGAAGGACACGCAGAAGCATAGGATGTAGTTAGTGCTCATCATTCCGTCAGTCTCCCCCGTGAGCGATCTCTGTGAACCGCACCGAGTTCCGAATTCGCGATGCTAACGAGGCCGCTAACGACATTCTCTGGCCTCCAATTGGAGCTGGAGTGGCGACGCTGCATGAAGTCAACCTTGAATGGCGATGAGGCAGCCTTGTCCAGCCTTTCTGCGTAGTTCACGCACAACCAGGTGGGAGGCTTCCTATACCTTTCCTCTCCAACCCATCCGTGTCACATCCTCCCAACCCGTTGTTCTGGATTTCCCTCCAATCACGGAGCGATGGACGCCTCAGCTTTCTCTGAATATTTCGAAAGATTCGCTGACTGTGCCGCCGATATGGTCTACGAGACCGTGGATCTGGCGCTGGACCACGTAGGACAGAGCGCCATACTAGCTCCAAGTACATAGTCTGACCAACTTCCGAAGGAGACCGGCAGCAGAGTCAGCTTCGAGCATAGCATCAGGTCGGAGTCTGAAGTCGTGCAATGGGCTCGTGATTCTGTAAGAGATAGGATCATCCTGGCTTCCGGCGGGCTGTTAACCACTTCCTTCTATGATAGCCTTCTGCAACACAGCGAAGCGATCGCCTTGCGAGACGTGTCCGAATGCTGTAAGGCAGGTGTCGGCGCGGTGTTGATATGTAATTCTGCTTACCATGATCCTTAGTTACGTTTACAAGCCATCAGGCTCCTATCTGTGGATACCTTGTTCGCAAGCCGTCCACGTGGCCATCCGCGAGGCATGGCAATTGCCTGACGCCCCGTTCGTGGAGAAGTTCACTGGAGGCGGCCACACGTCGTTGAGAGAGCCACAAGACGGTCTGAAGCCTCCAACGAGCATAGGTTTGTCTTCTCGCCGCCATGGCGCCACGACAACTAACGCACGCTCATCAGGTTTTGCAACAAGTTCTGTGTCGATGATGTTTGTCACCCTCTCGGATGGCGACTCTCTTCTAACCACCATGTTCTTCGCTCAATGCCTGGAGTATGAGACCATCCATGATCCTGTCGGACTGCTTCTGGAGGGCCACCCTTTGCGGATGTCCTTAATCTTGTGTTGCAAGATCGCCCAGCGTTCAGCTTATAATAGGACTCACGTTGGCATCCTGAATTGCTGCGCCCAGCTGGATAGCGAGGCGGATCTCTTGGAGGTGAATTCATTCGCCAAGGATCCCACCTCCAAGCCGGAAGTACCTAACGACGATAGTCTCATTGCTTCGACTCGCCGACTCTCAGAGGTTGCCCAGAATGTTCATCAAACCATCAATCTTAGTATTCCCTCAGGTCAGGACATGGTAGCTGCAACGCGAGAGTACCTAGATGACATTCGGACTGCACTCCGAGATGCTTCGTCGCCGGTCACAGTAATACAAGCAGATGCAATACAGCAATTGGCCAACGCGTCGTTACAGCTCGATGCTGTCGAGGCATTACTGCGCAAGACCCTGAGAGGGGCATTGAGGCTTCAGGCTGACGTCTCAACTATTCTACAAACGGTACCATAAACCGGAATGTTCAGCCATCCAAGTCACATGTGCTGAACTCATTTACAGGTATCTGCACTGCTTTCCAGCAATGACAACCGAGCCAATTACGAAGTGGCAAAGTCCAACTATGAGATTGCAAAGTATGCCGTACGCGTAGCCGAGTTAGCCCGACGAGACAGCACAGACATGCGGGTCATCGCCGCCGCAACTTTCGTGTTCCTTCCCGGTACATTCGTCGCAGTAAGTACCACGTGTCAGCCACTGGCAGCGCAGAATCGACACTGACAGATCGGACAGACATTCTTCAGTACTAGCTTCTTCGACTTCTCGCCACGTGACGACGCCTTGGCCTCGAAGTGGCTGTGGCTGTACTTTGTGCTCACCATAGCTCTGACCTGCGCATGTGTCGTTGCGTGGCGCTTGCTTTCCAATGCGGGGATAAAGGAGACTGCGAAGTTCAGTGTCAACCTTGGTGAGAGCTTCAACTGGGATGCCACACCGAGCAGTCCAGCGAGTCACATCCCGCTGCGTCAGCTAGGTCAAGGCTTACGGCTGCCTAAACCCCGGCGTGCACGAACAACGCCATACAACCTTGGACAGGCTCAAGCGGGCGCTCAAGCAACGCCTTGATGCGAGAACTGTCCCTGCCACCTTGAGCGGCGCGGCTTACGTCGGAGCACCTAGATACTCTGAGAGTCAATCCCGTCAACATTTCCCATAGCAATCAGACCAAAGCTAAATCCTAGACGGAGATGTATGCATAGGGTTCTTTGTCTACCTTCTCTACCGCAGAAAAGTGTCCGACTCCCAGTCCGTATGAGTTGTGTGACATTTCAGCTATCGCAAGCCCTTAAGGGCTGGCGGCGGTTTTAGGTAGACCTCTACACCTTCGATGCGTCGCGACATCGCCGTCGCTGTTGCGTCAATGCGACGTCCGTAACCCGCGCTGCTATTACTGCACGTCCAGGTATTCATTCTATAACGAAGGTTGTACGCCGAGCCCCGTCCTTTCGCAGAAGCATTTCTCCAACAAAGCCTTACCTTCTCTTCGTCCGTGGCGGCGGGCATTCACCCGAGGTACGGAATACTGTTCGACAATGTCTCCGATCTTCCAGCTACCGGAGCACCGTCGTGGCACGCCCCTCCGTCGGCAGAGCCACGTACGACTTCACGGAAGATGTCGACGCCATCTACTCCGCCGCCCAAGGCATCTGCGACAGCGGTGAAGACATCATTCTCGTCCTCTGGTCCTTCAGCGGCGTGACGGGCTGCGAAGCGGTCAAAGCTCTTACCCGAGCTGACCGCGGTGCAATCAGAGGCGCCATCGTCCGCAACGTAATCATCGCAGGCTGCATCTTACCCAAGGGCTTTCAGTTCGTGCAGCGCAACGACTGGGATGGCTTCATGGAGTTCATGAAGCCGGGCAGCGATCCCGAGTCAGGACTGTGCACGGTCTCGCCGGACATGGCGAAGCGGGTCTTCTACAATGACATGTCAGATGCTGATGCAGATGCGTGGGCCGCGAAAGTCAAGCCATGAGGCTTAGGCTGTTCGTTCAACGGGATCACCTATGTTGGACGGCGAGACGTGCCGACGACTTTTATGTTTCGTACACGGCATCGGCCCTTGAGTATGGACCAGCAGGAAGGAATGGTTGAGATGGCGAAGGTGAGTAAGGATGCGGGTTGCGCGCTGAATAGTGGAGAGAAACTTGATGCTGGACACGTTTCCGTGCTGGGTCAACAGGGTGAGCTCACGGAGATGTTGTTAAGAGCCGCAGAGAAGGCGGCGGGTGATTACGCTCAGTTTTACAGGTACGCAATCAAGGGTATCAAGTGGTGACGATGCTTGCGTTTGATGTAAGCTCGTTGGGCACTCAAAACGCGATACCTCTATGGCATCCATTGCGCCAGCATGCGTGGCACAGTACACAGTCTTCCTCGAGGTCTTGTCTGCTTCTCGCACCGTGAGGTATCAGCATCGTACAATTCGCAAGCGATAGGTTTGCTTCGCTACGTCGACGGCCATGATATCGTTAACGCAGCACATGGGTCCATTTGGAATGTCGACGTGCAACAGTACGAAGGTACCGCGTACGTTCTGCATGTCATACGGAGTCCAGCGAATAGGTTACATGTGGTCGTACATATATCGGTCACAGTGCACGCAGGTTACCTTGCGTTTAGCAGTGGGTGTCTGTGACTAGTACGCAGCGATGCCTTGTTGCTATTCACTGGTTGTTTCTCGATTGCTGCCACTGCCACCGACGGTCGTGGTAGTGGTCAGGGGAAGTAGGAAGAGTCGAGGATACACATTAAGAAGTCCCTCTCTCACGTCTCGGATGAGTAACGCCGTCTTTGTAACCGTATCGACTATTACATAGTACAAACGATTCAGAGCGAAGAGCGAGTGAGTGTGCAAGATGAGATACGGCACCTTTCTCGCACTGCATCAACACGAGGGCGGGAGTCGGTTGTTTCGGGACCACTTCGGCATCGGCACGGCTTGCTGGTGTTGCTGGAGCCAAGCGAGCAACGACGGCAAGAACATCAAGACTCCTCCCATTTCGGCGACGGTCAGTCTTGCAAGTGCGCAGAGTCGAGCGTCGAGTGCGTCGGGTCACAAAGCACCGATGCTCCCGATTGAACTCACTGCCCTGCCGCCCGTGCATCTGCGCCAACGCACGTGAACGACTGGTGATCGATTGCCTGTGACAAAGTATAACGACGCAGCAAGTGAATGCGAGAGTGAGCCTCTGAGCGACGATGGACTCACAGCAATCACCCCCCAATGCGGCCGCGCCACCACCGAGCGACAATAGCACATCGAACACACAACTACCACCAACAGAATCTCAATCAGCACCCTCAGACGAACCCTCCGCCCTCGACCAATCCACCGACAACGACCTCGACACCGACATCGCCGACAACCCTCCAGCACCCACGACAATGAACGGGTTATCCCACCCTCCCACCAACCAACCCCAACCACAACAGCAACAACAACAACAACAATCTCATCCCACTCCCTCAACCCAACCCACCAACCTCCCCGCCGTCCCAATGGAACCCCGCATCCCCGCCAAAAAAGACGCCTCCCTGCGCCAATTCCTTTCGAAAATGGACGACTACGCTCCCCTCATCCCAGACGCGGTAACAGACTACTACCTCACCCTCTCCGGCCTGCCTCCACCCCCGCAAACCGACCGCCGGCTCGCCCGCCTCCTCGCCCTTGCAACCCAAAAATTCATCGCGGATATCGCCGCGGACGCGTACCAATACAGTCGCATCCGGTCGACGAACACGACGAGTAATAACCCATTGACGGGGTTGGGAGGGGCGGCGGGGTTTGGGACGAGTGCGGCTGCTGAGGCTGGTGGTGGTGGTGGAGGTGGAGGTGGGGAGGGAGGAAAGGGCGGCAAGAAGGATGTGGCTGGTGGTGGTGGTGGTGGGAGGGGTGCGCCGTTGGGAGGTCCCAGGGCCGGGTATGGTGGGGGTGGTGCGGGGGGTGGGCAGGGGAGGACGGTGTTGACGATGGAGGATTTGGGGATGGCGGTGGGTGAGTATGGGGTTAATGTGAGGCGGGGCGAGTTTTATCGGTAGAGTTCGTGTTTGGGCTTTGGTGGCGGCGGGGTTGCATTGAGCCGTGGCGTGATGGGTTGCTACTTTGGGTATGGGATGGAGGGCGGCATGGTCTTAGATTCGGCGTTGGGCGAAGCGAGTGCATCAACGCACACCGTCCGCGAGATCATTGTTCCACGTAGCATGGTATGATAGCACGGCGAGTGTCGGCCTACAGCACGTATAACGCTATTTGGCCCTATCGAGAGCATGACTGAACCTTTTGTCTATACCGTCTCCCCAAGTACGCTCCTGAGAAGTGACGCCAAGCCAGACTCGCCACCACCACTTCCACTCACTTCTCTACGCTCGCCCGCTTCGGTACTGAGGAAGTCGGAGACGCGAGAGTCGCACCCGGCCTGGCGTCCCTAACGCTGCCCATGCAACTCTTGCTCAACCTCCTTAACCACAATCTCCCTCACCTTCTCCCACTGCGCCGGACAAAACGTGACCCTCTTCTCCTTCTCCTCCAACCCCACGAACTGCTCCGGCAGCACCGTCTCGAAAGAGAAGCCGGAGACGTCCTTAAGCGCTAGTTCTACGGCGTGCGAGAATTTGGCTGGGTGTGCAGTGGCTAGGCTAATGTGGTGGACGGAAGAAGTGCTGCTAATGGAGCGAAGAGAAGCGGCGATGCCGATAGCGGAGTGTGGGTCGAGGATGTAATGACCGTTGTGCTCCGTGCCGGTCGTTGCTGGTGCGGTGCCGTTTGCGTGGCCATTAGACTGCGTCGCAGATGGCAGGGTTTGCGCGTAGGTGTCCGCAATGGTTTGGAGCGTCTGCTTGTCGCTTACACGTTCGCTGCTGAAGGTCTCTTGCGCTGCGGCCAGGATGTCTTTACTGACGCCAAACCCGCCTTCAGTCTTGAGCTGATTCAGCCAGCCCTTAACCTTTTCGCCAGCCTCCATGCGGCGACGGTTCGTCTCCTCGATCGTACTTGTCCGGTATGCCAGAAACCAGAGTAGCCGCTCAAAGTTCGACGACACGAGGATGTCCATCGCGGGCGCCAACGTCTCCTTGACACCACTGGGATGCGCTTTCGCGCCGTCCTCCTCAAAGCCACCTTCAGCCTCGACTCCGTGCACAGGCTTTTTCTCGTAGTAGCCAGTCTTCCAGAAACGGTGCAAGATGTCGTTCTCGTTAGTGGCTACAACGAGCTTGTCGGTCGGCAGACCCATGCGTGTGGCAAAGTAGCCGGCCAGGATGTCGCCGAAGTTGCCAGTCGGGACCACGAACCGGACTTTCGGACTCTGATCCTGCGCTTGACGGCAGAGTGAGAAGTACGAGTGGAAGTAGTACGTTATTTGCGCGAGAATGCGCGCCCAGTTGATACTGTTCACCGCGGCAAGACGGTGGGTGCGATTGATTTCTGGATCAGCGAAAAGGGCTTTTACGATGTCCTGTGCATTGTCAGCATCGGTCAAGCGCAAACGGGAAGGAATGTGAGCGTACTTGACAGTCATCAAAAGTGCCCTCTACAGCGAGATTATGCACATTCGCATCCAGCACCGTCGTCATCTGCGCTTCCTGAATCGGGCTGACCTTGCCCTTGGGATGCATAATGAAGACACTGACGTCCTTCTTCCCTCTGAGACCGTAGATGGCAGCAGACCCTGTGTCTCCGCTCGTCGCGCCGATGACGGTCAGGTGCTCTCGATGCGTGCCTTCCCTGCCATGATTTCTCCGTACGAGGAAGTACTCGAACAGGTTGCCGAGAAATTGCAGCGCGACGTCCTTGAATGCGAATGTTGGGCCGTGGAAGAGCTCAAGCAGATGGAGATGTTTGGCTTCATCGAGCGTGACCAGAGGGGTGATGTTCTTCGCTCGGAACGTGGAGTAGCTTTTCTGAATAATGTTCTTCAGGTCGTCCGACGGTATCTCTTCCGGGCTGATATACAAGCTGAAGACCTCGAATGCCAGCTCTTCGAAGGTATAAGCCCGCCATTTGGTTCGCCAGTCTGAAGGGAGCGATGGAATCTCTTCGGGTATGAACAAGCCGCCGTCGGATGCAAGGCCTTTAAGGACTACGTCTTCGAAGGAGAGCTGCGAGACTGGCACTCAGCGTAAGCTCTCAAGTACCCAAGCGGTGGATGGCAGTGTTTCGTACGTCGTAAGAGCCGCCTCTGGTGCTCAGGTAGCGCTGCGAGGCACTATGCGGTGTCATTGCTATCGCCTACGGGTGTCGAGTGCTCAGTGCTCGTGCTTCGGTTCCAGACAACGTGAAGACGTAGGAGGGAGAAGTTGGGCAACCTCACAGGCATTCAAGGTAGTGAACGTCGAAGTGAAAATGCATGCCTTAGGCACTCAGACTTAGTCCGCCAACCTGCCTCAACCTTTTGGACAACTCAACCACCTCTGCACTATCTGTGATATTTATCCGTCACCGGAGGTGGTGCAACATTGAGGTGACATCTGGTTCGTAGGTGGGGTCGGTGTAGGAAAGAGTATTATCTCTCTGCTACAGGCACAGCGACAGAGCCTACCATTAGTCGTTCGAGGAGCAACCGTGTGGAGATGTGATGTGCAGTGAAGTACCTTACTATGCAGGGAGGAGGAACGTAAGCTCAATGTTGTTTAGGGAGACGGAGAGCGAACGTCGGTTATCAAGCTGCATGGCCTCAGGGTCAGGTCCACAAGGTCTGCGGCACCATCACCCGGGCCAATGCATCAATCCTTCCTGGCCTGGTCGTGTCGTATATATCGGCTTCGAAAACCGCTAAGTCGGTGTATATGGAGTGCCTGTAGAAATATCATGCTCGCACCGTGAGTGTCTGCCTTCTTTCATTGTCGAACCTTTCGCCCTACTTTCCTTTCAAACAGTAATGGTGGTATCCGCTGAAACATGAATGTGAGGCCACAAGGCTGCGGTGTCAAAAGCCGTAGGTGACTCGTCTCCGAACAGCATCAGTGTGCCTTCCGCTCCTACACCGTGCTGACAGGCAAGCAAGTGCTTGTCATTTGCCAGTTCATAGTCTTAGGCGGTCAATATTTCCCCTCAAATTAAATGTAGCTGCGGTCATTCTCTGTAATCGCATTTCTAGCACCGTCGACTGCGTGATGCTGTCAGATTGTTGTCGGATCGGAACGCATTCGGGAAGGTCGTCGCTTCTTTGAAGAGGTCCGACGCCACTGCTTAACAGAGGGCGGTGCAGGTTGAGAAACACCAAGTATGTCAGTCCGCTAAGGTCAAGGTTTCAACCCGTTTTGTGGAGTGTCCATTGGTTGAGACTTTGCAGGAACATATGCGCCAGATACGCCGCAGTAGGGATGAAAGCCTTGAACTCATAGCAAGCGAATACGACCGTTTGGTAAATGGACAGCGCCGTGCGGTAAAGGATCCATCTGATGCCGCTCGAATGTACGACTCTGATCAGGTCATGCGATATCCTCAGAGAGGCTGTGGCACGGGACAGGCTACGCTCGTCATACGCCTGGACCGCCTGCTGGATGGTGGTGTAAGAACAGATGCACTCTGCAAGATCGTATCCGTCTGTGAGAGCCAAGTTCGCGCCGTTGCCAGCGAACGGGCTCATACCGTGGTTGCTGTCCCCGATGAAGACGATGCCGTCCGGTACACCATTCGCGGTGCCATGAGCGAATGGCTTCTTATCCATTGAGTTGTGAATCATGAAAGTGGAAGCGTTGGTGTGCTTCAGTAGAGTCTGGAAAGGCTCCTGCAAGCCGTCGCCTAGCTGGCGAACTTCTTCAAGGAGTTGTTGTCGCTGATTGGGAGGCAATGCTGGTCGAGGTTTGTCCGCAAGGTAACTGAGGCTCCAGTTTGCTGTCCGCTCGTCCATAGGAGAGACGAATAGGGCAGCGCCTCGGCCGTTGGGGATGAGACCCCAGTCTCGGTCGACAGGCTTTGGTGGTGGTTTAGGAAAGTTTGAAATCGCATGGACTGAGACTGGCCCTGCGAAATGCAGTTGATCGTTTGGGCGGATACACCCCCGGATTTTGCTGTTGATGCCATCTGCAACAACGAGAAGATCACATTGATCCGTGTACCCGTTGCTTAGTTCGACACGGACAGTGCCGTCCGTTGCAGTCACTGCTGAAACGCATGCTACACCCCATACAACATTGGCAGACCCCCGCTCCGCAGCAGCATCTAACAGAAGCTTTCTCAACCTCCTCCTCGCCACCCGCATACCGGCCTTTGGTACACCGCCGGGAGGTGCCCCGCGTACCTTAACCAGGCTGACCCAGTCGCCAAAGTAGCGTCGCTCGTCTCCCTCCCGTGTGATGCTCATCGATAGCAGCCTTGCTAACAAGCAGAGCTTTTGCATCGTCTGTATCCCTTCAGACCCTTTGGCGCTTCGAATGCTGATAGTATAGCCTCCTCCGACGTCCGGTGGCCCAACATCTCGCTCGTACAACGTTACGATTGGATATGTGCCCAGGTCATCTGTCCAAATCTTTCTTAAAGAGTTGACGAACGCGAGTCCAGCAATGCCTGCTCCGGACACAATAATCTTCTTGCCCGAAAGCGTAGAACTACATGACTCCTGAGGAAAACTCATCTGGCGACATTACAGGCATTGGCACGAAACAACGTGAAAAAGGTCGGCTCCCTTAAAGCCATCCTTACCTCCTGATGTACATATCCCTGGAATTCGTGCGCCCTGTACGCACAGTCGCGCTTCTTGCCGAGGACTGGGCAGGGCGCCTTGCCGCGATCATGGATGGCTGGTAGCGGTGAAGCCGTATCATTCACGATGTAAGACTTCTCGTAGGCGTGAGAGCACGACACGAAATTTTCCATATCGGCATCGCGCTACATGCATAGGATGCAGGGAGACGTCCCCCGAACGAATAAGGGCGTGACTTTGTCGACGTAGTGGAGCGCCACGAATACATCTAGCTTAGCGCTCAATGTTCTACCGGCATGAGAAAGATCCCGGGAGATTCAAACCCCAGCGCACAGCCAGCACCCTGCGCTACAGTTGTTTGAGACTTTGGTGTCTCGTCGCACAGTAGAGCACGTTATGAGTGATCAGCGAGTGTGGGCTTGGAAGGCTACGTTGCAAATTTCACCTCACTCGCAAATGTCGCATTGCGCACAGCGGTGCGAAAGACAAAGAACAAATTGCCGCAAGCGTGTTGTAACTGTGCGAAGACTGATCAGTACTGCCCCGACATCCTCTCGAAACCTGCTTCGCTGTCTCACAGCTTGGTGTGCCACCATCCAAGCGCAAGAGCCAGAAACCCGTTCGTCTGTGCCGCCGTGGAGGGAATTGACAGTCGAGCGTGTTGCGAGTGTCATCGAAGGGTACTCCTACGTCCCCAAGCGCTCGAATTTTCCGCCGAATTATGTAATAACCTACTGTAGCATTAGAATGGACGCTTGCGGTATAAGGATGCCAATCATCGCGTGGGCTCACCAAGGGCCGTGTTCCTCATGTCTCATTTCTGTTTGACCACCCAGTCATCATGGCAAAGTCCTGGTAGCAGGGGCTAGCGCAGTAGCACGCTGAGGACAATTATTTCTGGGCGACCAGGAGGCTTCCAAATCGTATGCCCCAATGTCCTGTGGCGCGAAGCAGCTTGCTACAGCCCGGTCGAAGGCGCACGAAGCACGCAGCCATTGCATCAGGCGCCACGACTACATGCTCGGTGACTTGATTACCAGTGAGTGATTATGCACTACTCCGATATCAGGTCTCGTAGTGCCACGGGATCAGCTTGTGTAACGGCGCTTGGGCAGCGCGAAAGGACAGCAAAAATGCAAAACAAGCCGGTTGACAAGCAGTCACAGTGGCCTGCTTTTGTGCTACTGCCAGGTTCTTCCCTCCGCGGTACTGAGAGGTTCAGTCGTGACTTCGATACCACGTGGTATCACCGCCATCTCAGCGTCTACAGGAGCGAGCGCGGATGAAGCCTAGATTGAGTGAATGGAATTAGGTTCATGTCCGACGCCGAAAGTGTTACTGACGGTGCGCCCGACTCGGCGTTTTCATCATCGAAGTCGTCAAGCTCGCCAATTGCCCGACCCGTCCTTGCGTCCCAAAGCCTTACCTCGTCGTTGAAGGCTCCTGATGCCAGAACTTGGCCATTTGGCGAGTAGCGGACCGAATTGATCCCACTTTTATGTCCAAGCAGAGTCTTCGCAAGTACGCCTGTCTCTGCATTCCACAGCCTGATGGTCTTGTCCTCAGAGCCGGATGCAATGGTCAAGCCATTGTGCGAGAAAGACACAGCCCAGATACCCTTCCTGTGGCCTTTCATCAACAGCACTTCTGTGCCCGTTTGAGAGCTCCAAACCCTGACCGTCATGTCGTCCGATCCCGACACGATACGCCTTCCATCGTTCGAGAATTGAACGGCGTTGACCGGAAGCTTGTGACCGTCAAGCATCAGACAGGTCTCGCGCTTCTCAAGGTTCCAGACAAGTATGGTGTGGTCCGCTGTTCCGTAAGCGAGCAAAGAGCTATCAGGGGAGAAGTGGACAGTGTTGATGCTACTCCGCTTCGGCTCGATTTTCTCATGCAAAGTTCCGTCCGCGGCATTGTAGATTCGGATGGTCTCATCACTAGAGCCAGACGCGAGCAGCTTCCCATCGGGTGAGAAGCATACGGTATTGACCCATCGTCTATGCGCGGCTGACTTCCACCTGGTGACCTTTGACTCCATGTCCCAGACCTCCACAGTAAAGTCATCAGAGCCTGAAGCGAGTAGTGTTCCGTCCGGTGATATTGCCACCGAGCTAATTTTGTCTGTCTGCCCTACGTACTTGCAGATCCGTGTTCTGCTTGGGATATCCCAAACTCTCGCCCATTCGTGCGTAGACCCCGATGCCAAACGTCGACCATCAGGTGTAAATGCGAGATCACCGACATAGTTGTATTCTGTGTTGCCAAGCGGTAGCAATGATTGCATTTGTCCTCTGGCAGGATACTGCAAGTGGTTAGATTGTGACGTGAAAATAGGAGAGATCGAGTAAATCTGGAGAGGTGTTTGCTCGATGGTGGCCTGAAACTTGTACAAGGCTTGCCGTATTATCTTCACAAACGGCACTTGTATAGGATTATCGGCGGGCTGGCACAATCAAATATCAGCAGGCTCAATCATACGGGCAGGAGGAACGCTATAGGTACCATGAGAAGTGATTGGTATATTCTGAGTATGGCAGCCATCTCAGAGCACTTTCCCATCAGACTGATGGCCTCGAGCCAGTGCCCAAAATGCTTCTGGAGAAATTGATGAGCCCTGTCGCCATCTTGGAGGCGGGCGCCGCTCCGTCGGTAATGTTCCGCCCAGTGGAGGCATGCATATTGAAGTTCAGGTGGGAGACACTGCTCGACTCTCGTACGGTCAATCTTGTCGATCGGCGTGCCGGGCAGCGGAAGATCGCAGATGTTTCGGCGAAGGCTTTTAGACATGAGACGCACACAGCGTTCAGCTAGTGCTTTGTGTGCGCTCGCTTCGTCAACCCTAAAGGTGGGATCAACGCACCTGGTGCTATCAAGCAGGTACTCTCGTAGTGAAGTATGGTGTAGGCGGATAGCACGGTTGCTGTCGTCAGGCACATCGAGGATCGAATGCAGATCCGTCAGCGTTGCTCTGATCTCCTGCGGCTCCTTGTCCAGTAAACCTGCCAAAGAGTCCGCCGAAAGAGGAGAGAGGACTGTAACAATGGTTCCGACGACATTATTCAGGTTGTTACATAGCCCCGCTTTTTGCTCATCATCTAGATCGGGTGGAACACAGGCTCGGAGCACAGTGCTATAGATTTGGTCTTGTTGCTCCTCATAACCAGCAATCGAAGGGTGACCGCTGATGATCACAGCCGCTCGATCCTTAGCAGACTGTCCTTCCTTGCAAATGAATCGGCAAGCAGTCGAGGCCCATATGAACAAACCGCGCGACATGTATACCAGCCGTCTGATTGTTCCTTCGTCCGGCCACGTATGATCGAGTGCGTGTTCTGTCCTCATCGCGCGGAAACTCTCGGTGAAGAACAGAGTGAGGTCTTTGTCAACCACCGTCGGAGACACATCATGAAGAACAACGTTATGATGATCCGCCTCCGATATCGAGCGGAAACCAGCACGGATAATGGCGTCTGGTCGGCTTGTAATGAGGAAGCGTAAACGGACTGTATGCAGGTTCTTCGCCAGTGCCAGCAGCTCCAGAATCTTACCGATATCTCCAGCCTTATCACACACCCCAAGCGCGTCGAGGACGAACACTATCGTAGGAGGAAGATCTTCACTGTCCGTCAGTGACAACGGCCTCGTGATCAATGTCTCCCACTGAGATTGCATGCTGGACTGTGACACGTTCTTGTGCTCCACTACAGCATCATGGATATGAAGCGCCGCGCCGGGTATTCTGCTCGCTAACTCCGAAGCGAGCGTCGTGAAAAGCTTGCCAGCATGGCCGTCACTCCCGCTACCTTGAGAGAAGAAGAAACTTCCTCCCAGTCTGCCTTGCTCGTGGAGGGATCTGGCGATGGTGCGAGCAATCGTGGACTTGCCCGTGCCGGCCATCCCGCTAAGCCAGAAGATGCTTCGGTCGTCTGCTCCGTTAGCCCATGCTTTGATCTGACGTAGTAGTTCGACACGGGTGTTAAGCAGGCAAGTCGGTCCGTCTTCGTTCTCCTTCGAGTCAAATGCGGCGGATGAGCTCTTGGGTAGTATGCTCAAGGCTTTCTCCAGCTCTGCACTTTGTTGGCGCTTGTTCTCGATCTCTCGTCGTAGCCTGGCCGTCGCCTTGTTGTGTCCTTCACCATATATAAGCGGCATCGCAATATCCAGAAGGCCAAGCAGGGAGTACGCTTTATCCTCTGAGCGAGTCGTCTGCCGCTTCTGTGCCCATGATAGTCGATCAGCGATGGAGAAACCGGCTACTGGCTTCCCTCTTAGTGCTTCAAGAGGTATCCCCGTCACTTCATGGATAGGCTTCTGCAGCGACACCTTGTCACCCAGCAGAATCCACTCCTTAGAGAAAAACTCCAGCGATGCTGGGGCAAGGAGTTCTTGAAGCGTCCAACCACGAGTGAACCACCGGCTCGCCCGGAAGGCTGCCTCCAGTTGTGAGGGTAAGACTGAGCCGGGTGCTCCAAGACCTTCTGCGCTGACGTCCCTGAGATATGCATAGCATCTTGAGGATTGGCGGTACCACTGGAACATCCGAGTAACGGCTTCTGTCACCTCGGCAGGATTGTCTTTGTTGATGCAGCACGTGTCAAGCCAAAAGTATTGCAGGCCATCTTTGGCCGCTTGTTCGCCGCATGATCTAAGCTTCGCATAGCCTGGCTTTCCGAGACCAGTGCCGTCTCTGATGTCAGCAAATGTGACCTCCGAGCTTGGGTCTTCCGACCATTGATGAGACAGAGCTGCGTATCTTGGAACTTTATCCTGCTTCAGGAAGAATTTAGTAAACGCGATATTGCCAACGCCTCTAAAACGGAGGAGTCGCATTGCCACGCTGCCATTGCGGTAAGTCAGATAAGCAGCACCTCAGTCACAAAAAGTGGCGATGCTCAGGACCAAGATGTTTTCCTAGGTTGCGTTGTTGGCTTAAGGCTTTGCCTTCAATCTTCGTCAGCCCACATCAGGCTAATCGACACTACGTCGGAACTGCATGAAACGCACCTCGTAGCGAGCTTGCCGCCGAACTCCTGCCGCTATGTGTTCGCATTTCACATGCATCGGGCAGCAAGCCCACGCTTCAGCCTTACCACTCCATCCCACTAGGTTTTTGATTCCGCTGACCGGAAGCCATAATCTCCTGCGGCAACGTCATCAATAGGCGGTCGAATTGATTGGACGTGTCTCCTGGCGGTTGGCTGCTTCCATTGTGCGCACATAAGCCTCGTGCGCAGTGTATCTCCTTCGCATACTGGATTGACCGCGATTCGCGCCCGGACCAATGGCAGAACACGTTGGATTTGGGCATCCTGGCAGCAGCCAACAGCGTGAAGTTCGCAGACGCGTGACTAATCTCGAGCAACATCCGATATCCGGTGCTACGTTGCCTAGAAGGCAGGACCGCGGCCCATGATCAAGGCTAGCGGCGCTTGATAGCAAAATCCTCTAGAGCAGCATTGGAACGTTATTGTGAACCTTGAGCAGATCGGATCCATTTGCTGACCGACCACGATATCAAAGCCTCGGATAGCCGAGTTAATGTCAACCCAACATTGGGCCGTAGTACTCCGCAGATGCCGCGCGTGGGGTGCATTGAGGCTGCCCGGCAATGCTGAGGGTAGTCGTTGTGAATTTACTAATCGCCGCGATCATTGGGTTAAGGTAGCCTAGGCGCAGCTATACGTTGCTAGTCAATGCAACACCGATCTTGTGCGGCCTCTCGTCGTTGCGTTGGGTTTGGTGCGTTCCTTGATGCTCAGTTCGCCCTTTGGCAGGACTATACATGCATCAGGGCGGAAAATCGCCCGAAGATCGACCGTTCGCTCTCCACGGCCGAGTTCCAGCAGCAACGTAGCTCGGAGGGATTTGCTCGGTCACGCTGCACTTACCCGCATCTCTTATTCTGTGAGATCCTTCATAGTGGTCAAATACAGGAGCTAACATGAGTGGAGGGTTTGTGGCATGCACAGCCTTTCCTGAATATGTCCTCGGTGTACAGGCATGCCCAATGCACGTTCGGTGCCCTCGCCGTATCATCATCCTGTGTGCGTCATGACGGCAAAATGAAGGCCTGAAGAGTCCGTTCCGCTCCCGTACCTTCCCGTTCGGTCGTCGGATGTTCCCGAACAACTGCGTCTGGCCGCAGACCTCCAGGGTGCAAGCAATATGACCAGACATTCAGCCACGGGTCCAGCTGGCGTGGAAACTATATCGAGAATGAACAGAGTACTTGCGATACATTATCAAGATCTGAACGCTACTCCGCTCACTTGACATGCACCAGTTATTGCCTACCGTAAGTTAGAACCGATCTGGACTTGATCGAGGATGACTACGAATAACCTCACGTCCAGCCGTCTCGCCTATTAAGCCCGAAGGATTAGTGAGGGATCTACTGGCACGTCTTAAATGGAAGCGCTTCGACTTTGGTGGTAATAATCGTCGAAATCCTTGACTAGTTTTAATGAAATCATGGCGAACCCACCTCGGCCCCTCTGGCGTCTGACAGCTACAGAAATCTTACCACTTCTTCATTCCGGACAGGTGACGGTGACAGACTATGCCAAGTCTCTGCTCGAACGTATCCAAGCCCGCAATCATGTCAAGGCATGGGTGTGGCTGCCACCTTCGCTCATTCTACACCAAGCGAAGGCGCTCGACGACATACCCACCGATGAACGTACTATGCTTTACGGCCTGCCCATCGGCATCAAGGATATTATTCTCACTAAAGACATGCCAACACAGTATAACTCGCGGAACTACGAGAGCGAGGACCCGATCAATGCCGACGCTAGCTGCATCTTGACGCTCCGAGCGAACCAAGCATTGATCTTCGGCAAGACAACCACAACCGAGTTCGCCTCTACTAAGCAGGGAGGCTGGCACCAAAACTTGACATCGAATGTTCATGATCAGTCTCGAACACCCGGTGGCTCGTCGTCGGGCTCAGCGGCCGCAGTCGCAGACTTCCAAGTCCCTGTCGCTCTTGGTACGCAGACAGGCGGCAGTATCGTGCGGCCTGCGAGCTATAATGGCTGCTACGGATTCAAGCCAACTCATGGTGCAATTTCCCGAGAAGGTATCGCGCAGTGGTGTCCTACACTTGATACCTGCGGTTTCTTTGCACGGACTGTTGAGGATCTCGAACTGCTCAGCAATGCTTTTCGCATACTTGACGATGAACCCGTACCATCTCACCCGTTTGATTTGAGGACAGCCAAGATCGGCTTCTGTAATTCATACAACTGGTCCAAAGCCGGTCCCGGAACAGTGGGTGCAATGGCGAAAGCCAGGGATTTGCTCCGCCGGCATGGTGCGCAGATAGAAGAAGTTGAGCTTCCCAACGACTTCGCAAGAGTCCTCGATTGGCACGCTATTGTTCTTGCTGGTGAAGGCCAGACCTCGTTTCTGGGCCGATACCTCGCTGCGCAGTCGTTACTTCACGAGTCCATCAAAGGTTATGTGGAGAACCACAAGCATGTTCGCCACGCCGACCTACTAGCCGCTTACGACGGTGTCGCCCGCTTGCGTCCCATCTTTGACAACATCGCTGTAGGGTACGATGTCATAATCACACCCAGTGTTATAGACGAGGCGCCAGTGGGTTTGGAAGACACTGGCGATATGTCTATGTGCTCGACCTGGACCATCTTGCACGTCCCTGCGATTAACATTCCAGGCTTTGCTGGAGCGCACGGGATGCCGATTGGTTTGACGGCTGTTACTGCGCGGTACCGAGATAGACATCTTTTACATGCTGCGAAGGCTATTGGAGAGGTGTTTGAAGGTGAAGGTGGTTGGAAGGCCAGCAACCTATGATCTGCAAATAGGCGGTATATTCTGTGGCAAGCGACTCCAGCGACCGACCTTGTAACTAGCGACCAACCTGGTATCGCACGCTCTCGTTCGGATTGCTGCTTGAAAGACTCGCCATGCTGACTGTGACCTTGAAGCCTTGTGGGCGCAGAGCTTACGGCCGGCGATGCAGGATGAGCATCTGTCCAGCACCGCTGGCTAAATTCGTAATTGCAGCATCGCGGTCCTTCACGTGACGATCCCTCTGAGCAGTTCACTCGAAGCATCAACATCCATACGCGTAGGGGCAGGCCGGGAAGTAGTTGCGTGCTGAGAGACGCAGGACGCAGTACTGCGTGTGGATGGCACAGGTTAGCACGTGCGGTAAACCTGCGCGTCCGTAAAGCGGACCCCGTGATTGATCGCAGTATCGGCCGCTCCCGCCATGTCTCCAAGGCGGATTGACATGTGTCGCTTCGAATTGCGTCGGGCTGCCACGGCACGACCCAGATAGCTGCTAGGACCTGATCTGAGCGAACAACAAAGCACACTAGCCTGTCGCAGCTGCTCCTGCTGTTGCTGTTGGCATTGGCTTCGGCGCCAGGGGTATTGCTGACGGCTGCTGTGGAGCGTGCAAGATTTCTTTCCTGCCATTTGCCTTGTAGTAGAGTACGACATCTCCGCCTCCTCTCCAAAGTTGAGATCTCATGGTTGCAAGCGTCATGGACGGAGGCACCATCTGCGTGAAAATCAGCAAAGATCCGAATACGGCAATTACGGGAAAGGAGGAGCGTACCTGATTCTGACACCACAATTCTAAATACTCTTCCGGCTTCAACGCATCTGGGTCTTGGCCCTTGTCCTCCGGCTGTGCAGGCTCGATCCGTTCTGCCACATACGCCAGTATCTTCTTCGCACGTAGCATACGGTTCGCGTTCAATCGGTTGTTCATATCGCTTGCGATGCTGGGCAATGAGTTCTGCCATGGTTCCAATACAAAGCTTATCTTCACGACGTCTTTTGCAGGAGCTTGATTCTTCAGAAGAAACTCGCCAAGCCACATGGGCGCAGCTTTCTCGAGCGTATCACATTGCTCGCCGAGGGTGCCGACAGTGCCTTCGAAGAGGTCAGCAACACCGCCAGCCTCCGGACGGTCCTCCTGGATTAGAATCGTTGTATTGAGCGGCGGTTCCAGCACAGGCGTATCTGCAGGTAAGGACGGAGTGATTGCGGATGGGATATCGATCGGCCCGGGCTGGGGTCCGGGCAGGCCGTTTTCATGCGCTTGCTGGTTCTGGATCTGCGCCTGCAAGGAGTCTTCGTATGCATATCTGATCTTCTGAACGGTACCGAGGAGGTTGTCCTCGACCACGCGGCTATTGCTGGTTTTGCTGGAAGTTGCATCGCTCTCTGTTTCTGCCTTCTCCTCAACCACTGCAGGCTTAGCAGCCTCATTCGTCGTTGTGCGACCAATCTTCTTCATGCCGCTGAATGCCATGCCCATGCCAAACTTCTTTCCGAACAATCCGCTTTTCGATGGTGTGTCCTTAAAAGCACCTTCACCCAGCGGAGTCGTGGGCTCTTCCGCAGCTTCACCGGGTGTTGTCGGCGGTTTCAGTACGCCACCAGGAGATGAAATCTCTGAGCTCGACTGTCTCGAAGCGGAGAAATAGTCGCTGTTCCTGTCTGTGGACTGCCGCGTCTGCGCGACTGTTTGCTGTGGCGTCATCGGTGCTCCTTCTTCCGCAGTTGGAGTGAGTATATGCCCGCTTGTCACCGTTTTTGTTGGCGAGGTGAACAATGCAGGAGACGCAAGGCCTATTGAAAACCCGGGCGTAGCGGCGGTTCTTGCCATTCCATTCGCTGACGCTCTTGGTGTAGTGTCGGTCGACAGGTCTGCCGTTGCTGTGTGCCAGCCGTTCGTCTGCTGTGGCGGTAGTTGGATACTTGTCGGCGCATTCTCTCGTTGCAGTCTTTGCGACTCCTTTGTCGCAAGGAGTTGCTTCCGGAAGGCTTGATCTCGCCGAATCTCTTCGGTGATCAGATTCGAGAAGAGGTAACGTAGAACCCACTTGCCAAGATTGATGCGTTGGTCTTCACGATACTCGAAATCTTCGTCCAAGTCGAGCTCGTCTGCGTACATCTCGGCATCGAAGCAGGTGTTCTCCTCGAGAATGACCGCTACGCTGCCCGTCCGTGTGTCCACCGTACACCAGTTTGCGACAGTGGTAGCCGTAGTAACCTCTCTCTGTACGTCTTCAAGATGTCGTTTGCCATAGGATCGGATGGGTACGCATTTCAGCAGATCCCACATCATAACCTCTCCCGCTGTATCCAGCGTCAGGACCCGTTTGCGGTCATTAAGCATTACGTGCTTGATCAGGCCATTCTGACCCTCAACGGCATAGTCTGCCTGTGCCCGGACAGGCTGCATTGGGACTGTTTCAGGGCTTATAGCCTCTTTCTTGCCATCAACCGTGCTCTGCCTCTGCTCGCCGTCAGTTGCCGCCGGCGCCGGAAAGTACGCGGTGTTACTCAGTCTGAGCATGTGCTTAAGCGGCAACTTCCGTTTCGCTCCGCCGTTCGTCTGTGGCTGGTTCTGCGCTTCTCGCGCGTTGGACGCGTTTGGGTATCTCGGTGTTGTCATGGCCGCACTACTCCTATGGGGATTGTAGCTCTCCGGCCAATCAATCTCGGCGTGCTCAGTGTTAACATCCTTCCATCGGTTGATGCTTGGCCTACTGGTGGCCGTCCAAATATAGCCGCCAGCGGCAACGAGCTTGTGCACCCCCTCGTGCTCCTGTGCAACGGCTACAGAAATGCCTTCGTCGAGTTCCATGACATCGCGCGTGTCGGTCTTCGCGACCAGACCACTTTTATCGCTCGAGTAGAAGACCGACAAATCCGGATCGGTGGAGTACAGCGACCACACACTGGCGTCATGCATGGTCAAGGTGTACATGCACCGACCAGCGACGGTACTCCACACCTTGACCGTTCGGTCACTGCTTGCAGTCATGATAGTACTGCCGTCTTGACTAACCAGCACGTCACGGATGTTGTCCGTGTGACCGACCAGCTTCGTTATCCGCTTGCCGGTTCTTGCATCCCAGACGCGGACTGTGCTTTCCGGACCGCCACTTGCAAGAACATTCTCTGTCGCTGCGAGCGCGTATACACTGCCTTTCTCACGGCTAGATAGACTGCCCGCTTCGTCATCGCCGACAGCAATGCACAGCTTCTGACCGGCGCCACTTAGGTCCCAAAGGCAGATTTTGCGGTCTAGTCCTCCGCTTGCCACCCAGTCAGACGACGGCGACGGGACTGCCAGTGTCTTGACATAGTCGCTATGCAAGCCTATTGATTGTGGAGGCAGTCGATCCGTAGCTGCGGGTCTCCATACTTTGACCGTAATGTCGGACGAAGCTGAGACGAGAGCTCGGTTTGACTGCGCCAAAGCTATATCGTTAATCCAATGCGTATGTGCTTGCACCTGCTGCCGGACAGTAGTCGCTGTTGGCGCTACTGGCTTCTCATCGTGCTCTGGAGCTGGCGTATGCTTCAGGTCGAGGTGTAAGTCCCACGCGCATATCACGCCATCTCTGCCACCCGAGTATCTGCGCGCAAATCAGTCGGAACCGTCCCTCTCTTTGTCTGTGCCGAGGCATACAATATCGAGTTGTCGCTGTCTACAGCTAAGCCGTTGACACCGAGTCTGTGACCGCCAGTGGACTTCGCAAGCGGCAAGACTGTTGAATGACATTCGTCAGTACAGCCTTCGGGGAACGATTGGCATGGGAGCTTACCATAGCTTATCCTCTGCCGTGCCTTGCGTGCCATCAAGGCTACCTTGCCCTACAGAAAGTCCCCAGCATGCGATCGACCTGTGCGCCTACAGTTTCAGAACGTCTAAAGGCTGCGAACAGTATGTGAAGTGCTCCGAGGTCACGTCGTTCACAGAGGTGAAGGTAAGCACCCGCAGTCCTGCGCCGCAATGCTCTCTGCCGGCTCCGGATCTTGCAGATCTGACTGCGCAGCGCCGGAACTTCCCATTGACAGGCGGGGAGATGTGGGGGAGGAGTGGTCTTCGTTGTGGTAACGGCCTTGAATCGAAAGTGGACGTGGAAGTACGATAGAACACACTTGCAACGGGTACGTTGCTTGGAAGCATTGTATGGATGAACTGTAAATGCTGTCTACACGCTATTATCATTGAGGAACAGACTCAATCACACGCTGACAACCAATCTAGAGCCCAGCCAACCGTCGGCTGTAAGCAGTCTAAGTATGATAATCCGTGCATAATTACTCGCTTGACAAGTGTGTAACCTCCCGTACTTGAAACTCCACGCCCGACAAGTAGGGAAGTTTCGCGTGAAACCCGTTGTTCAGAAAGTCCAAGCCAACCGCATTCCGCATCAGTATATGTCGCGGAGGCCGCTTTGGCCTGCTGCGTTGGACGAACCACCTGTCGTTTCCCAGGGATCATCTGCCGTTCGCCCCTCATCCAAGATTTCTGCGATTGCATCGTCGAGAGGGACGGAGGTTTGTTTATGCGCATCGTGTTCGCCCGCATACGGAAAGATGTGGGCGACTGCTTGCGATGGAAGCTGGTCTTGCCACTCGACCGAGCTTTTCGGGACATTGTGAGCTACGTGGCCTTGTTGGTATCCTGTCATTGTAGTTCCTGAACCCATACTGGGACATTGCGGCGCCGCATTCGTGAACGGTCCACCGCTGCGGCTGGAAAGGTTCGGTACGGTAGATGCAGCATAAAGTTGGCAACACGGATCGTCGCCCTGGGACATCGAAGGCTGTGGCAGTGGGCCGCCTTGCGTGCTATACGCAGAAACAGCACTGCTTCCGCCAGTGCTTTGCCGATTGGTTCGAGCGGAATGCATTCGGCGCTCGTGCAGACGACCACCCTCTACTGTAAGCGCTGCTACGCCGTCACCGCCACCGTCGCCTCCTCGCACACTTAAGCTCTCGTACGGATCCGGAACAGAACCCGTGCGCTCGGTTCTCGGCGGTGGCACTTGTGCTTGCTTGCCCTTCCTACGCTTCCTTGTCGGCGCTCTAGGAGTAGGCGTATAGTCGTCCTCGCTGTGTTGGTGCGCAGCATCTGGATCGCCAGCACTGCTCTCGTTCGCGGCGTTGTCGAGCTTCTGCTTCTTCCTCGTATTGCACTTGTTGTTTGAGTCTTTCCGATTCGCATACACGTCCGGATTTGCTGCCAACGCGCAAACACCGCGACCCTCGATAACATCCATCACCACCCGCTTATTGATCGCGAGCGTTGCAGCAATCTTCTTCAAGCGGTCACCCATGCGTGTTGTTGTATCCCTGCCATAGCCATTGTTGCTGCCGCCAACCGGATAGAGATGCGGGCCACCAGCATGGTAATTGCGCACTGCTTGGAAGAGAAAGCGGAAACGGGTCACAACCCAATCGTTCGTATACCAAGCTTTGGATGACTCCTCGTGAGGCTTGTGATTGTAGATGGTTTGCTGGCGGAGCCTGTCGGCATGCATGCGGGCAGTCTCTACGGCGAGGTCGGATTCTGGATCCACGTGGGTGTTGGTTGGCTCGCTGTCTTCTCCGTAGACCGTGTTTGCAGCTCTGATGAAGTTGCCGACCCACTCGGGCTCGGTTTCCAAAAATTGGACGTAGTCGTCCCCTTTTAGCAGAAGAGGAGGAAGGATAGGGTACACCATGTCGCGCGCCTGCTGCGAAGTAATCCAAGGATGCTCGACACTCCGGAGGACATAGTGTGGAGTCTGAGCAGCCTTTTGTTCTTTCTGGTCTTTCTTGGTATGCTTGTTGCACTTCTTCCCTTCATTGTATTCGGTCCGCTTGAAGCGCTTCCCATTTCGGCAATCTGGACAGATTGGGTTCTCTTCCTTGGAAGAGACAGAGATTGCTTGGGCCACTGGAGTTGACTGCGCTCCTGATGATGGGCATATTCGGTGTGAAGACCACGACATTGACTGCGCCACCGCTTCGGTACCCGTCTGATCAGCCATATTAGACGCTCTTGGCATGTCGGTAGCAATGCTGAAGCCGAGCGTAGCGTCCGGCACGCTATATGAGTGCTGTACTAATGCAGGAGCTGGTAGGATCGATGGAATCAGGTGGTCGAGATCTTGCCTTCGCCCGATCGTGGATCCTGCGAAGCCATCGGATTCGGATGCGATCTGAGATCGGGCAAAGTTGGCAAAATCCAATTGATGTTCGCTCGAGCAGTGGGCCGAGAAGGAGTCCTGAGTCTCATGAGACACGGAGGAGGTGAAGAGAACACGACGGAGGGATTCTTCAGCCTCGAAATCGAATCGTCTGTCTCAACAATCAGTCCCGCCTTGTGGCTACAATCACAACGTACCTACTCACATGTCGTCAAAAGGGCCACCATCAACATCGGACAACTGTTCGTGAGTCCAACGGCTCGCCATGGCACGCTGCGGTGATTGTGTAGAGCCCGTGATGTGATGGACTTAATGGACTGCGGAATCGAAACCGCCAGAGGAGGTACTTGTTAAGCGGAAAGCGAGTGTCGAGAGTTTTGCTGCAGTGCAGGAGAACGCTTTTCTGGCGGATCAAGGTCATTTGTCGCGCGAGCCATCAAATGCTACCGGTCACTGTCGCGGACAACGTAGTCACCCGCCTCGTGGCAAGCTTTCTAAAGCCGCGCAGAGAATAGCACGCCACATGGCAATTGACGGCCTAGAGCTCTTGGGGTCAGCTTCACACGCATGCGATACAGCTTGCCGTGGGTCTTGACGTCGCTGCTAGAAAGTGGCACAAAAGTGGCACCGAAAGACAACCCCAAGTGTGTGCATGGCGCTCGAGGGGTACTAAGTGTCATCACGACAGCCTGTACTGATAACCATGTATTTCGCAAAGCAGGAAGTCACATGGAAATATAGGAATAGCCCTTACAATGGAAGTACTTGCTTCGTACGGAATGTTTGCGAGAATACACAGGCCCCAAAAGCTGCTCGGATGCAGGTTCAGAAACGTCCCCGATCCAGAACTCGGTCCATATCCTGGGTAGCACCGGCGAATGTCAACAGGTATCGACCTCGCTGCTGTATCTTGAACGACAGATAGTGGAGAAGTCGCAGTCTGCCCGACGAAGCCATGCTCGGGCAGAGCGCATCGCCCTTGGTCATGTCGTCCTCTATCTGAGCAGTGTTCCGGCGATGTGAGACTGCAGGAGCCCCCAAGATGATCACTGTTGGACACCGTTATACTCTTGGCCAGTTAAGAAGAAACTTTCCTCACTGCTGGGCTTCCAGCATCAGGAGCCTGAGCGTACGTCTGAACCATGGTCGCACCACCTGTAGTGTAGCACAAGCGGTCCAGGCGGATGCTGAAGGTTATGGCATTCACACCCAACGTTGTTGGAGAATACTAATACCCTACAAATCGATGGCGTGAAGAACGCGTGAAGTGACCGAGGAATCATACTGTCGGCCATTTTGTCCCAGTCGGGTCAAGCGTCCGGAGATGGCTCGGTGGAAGATGGACCTCGCTTGTCGAACTTCACCTAACTGGAAGCTTCACTTGTCGTCATGGTTCGAAGCGACCTGGATGAACCCGTGCAAATTCTACGCTTGCTGTGTAATCACATTAATGCTTCGCTCGAGACATTGGTCTACCTGGCCTCTGACCCACTCTGTCCGGAGCTATGTCCGGCTCGCAGGCTCACTATAAGTATTAAAGGTAGGAGCATTCCATAACATATAACACTCTCTTATAGCGCTTCCTTCGATCAACTGCTACTCGACTCCCTTTTTCACTTCACTCATATCAGAACATGGCGAAGACACAGAAGCAGTGGACGGTAGCCGGGAAGAGCGGTTTCGATGATCTGAAGCTCGACGAGCAAGCTCCTATCCCTCAGCTAGGTGACAAGGATGTTCTCGTTCGTCGTAAGTTAGAGGCTTTCTTGACTTCTAGCCAGCCAATACTGATGTCACCTTGACAAGTGCGTGGCTCATCCCTCAACTACCGCGATCTCATCATCGCCAAGGGCAAGTATCCCTTCCCCCAAAAGGACGGCATCGTACCCGCCTCCGATTGCGCAGGCGAGGTAGAGGAAGTGGGCAAGCATGTGCACCGCTTCAAGAAGGGCGACAAAGTCCTGACCCTCTTCAACCAAGCGCACATTGCCGGCAGCTTAGACGGTTACTCCATCGCCACGGGTGTCGGCGGTACAGTCGATGGTGGCTTACGCCAGTACGGCGCCTTCGACGAGCAAGGATTGGTCCACATGCCAAGTAACCTCAACTACCTCGAAGGAGCGACACTGTGCTGTGCTGGCCTGACGGCGTGGAATGCCCTCTACGGCCTCGAGGGACGCAAGCTTATGCCCGGCGACTGGGTGCTCACTCAAGGTACTGGTGGTGTAAGCATCTTCGGTGTGCAGTTTGCGAAAGCAGCTGGCGCTAAGGTCATTGCGACTACGTCGTCGAAGGAGAAGGGTGACAAGCTGAAGCAGCTTGGCGCTGACCACGTTCTCAACTACAAGGAGGATGCTAACTGGGGCGAGACTGCGAAGAAGCTGACGGGCGGCCGCGGCGTACAGCATGTCATTGAAGTGGGCGGTCCGACTACTATGAAGCAGTCGCTGAAAGCCATTGCGATCGACGGTGTCATCTCCATCATTGGCTTCTTGGGTGGAGTGAAGGGCGAGCAGCAGCCAACCTTCTTGGACTGCTTGAACAACATCTGCACAGTCCGGGGTGTGCTTGTGGGCTCGCGCATGCAGTTCGAGGAGATGAACCGTGCGATCGAGGCGAACAACATCAAGCCGCTTGTCGACGAGAAGGTGTTCAAGCTGGAAGAGGTGCGTGAGGCGTACCAGTACATGTGGGATCAGAAGCACTTCGGAAAGTTATGCATTAGCATCGATTGAGCTTTTATTGCGCTAGTTGGCGTATCATTTAGCAGAAGCACCATAGATCTTTAGAGAAGAGCTACGGCAAGATGAGTTCGCTTCAGTCCGAGTGAGTGAGTAGGACATGCACCAAACATGACAGTCACTTACCTTATTCCCATGCTCGATTGGGAGCCCGTAGCTATCGTAGCGCCTTGGAAAGCACTCCGCAACGGTGCGCGGAGGCTGATGGCACGACAAATGATAAGGATTCAGATGTTCACAATATATACACACTCCAAGCCCGTACACCAGAGCCCCGTCATCACACCTTCATCTGACCCGCACGACTGCTCTTCCCAAGCTCAACCACCGCAAGCCCTCACTTTGACTCGCTCCTCTCCTTCTCCGCCAACTTGACCGTTTCCTTTTGGAGCTGCTCAATGCTATCCTTGCCGCTGATATCGTTACGGTCCGCCTTGATCTACATCCCGCAAGTTAGCTCGTTCACAACCTACGAGTCCCGCTCATGCACCGTTTCGGAGTGGGAAGTGGAGAGAAGCGTACAATACTCTCACTATCACTCGCCAAGCTCTCATGCCAGTGTCCCTTGCCCTCCCTCTGCTTCTGCAACTGCTTCTGCTTCTCCTCCTCCGCTTCCTCGGCACGCCCTTCGTTGTCTATCCACCGAACATCAGGTCAGCCAACGAGTTATTGAAACACTCCGCTCACCAAGAACCACTAGCTGCGGAAGCTCATTCGTGCGATGGAGGTTTGGTGGGAATGTGACCTACGCAACGTAGTCTCCTTCCCAGCAGCCAACACGCGACAACTCTGGAACGACCTCGTCGTGGCGCCGGCGCCAGCGCCAATGCTTCGAACAAAGGGCGCTCGGGTACGAGCGAAGCTCATCCGTAGGGCCGACATGGCTTTCGCAAAAAGGTTTCACAAATCAACAAAGCCAGGTACTTTGGGTCGTGACTCGCAAATACCCAGTACTTCAATCCTGAGCTCCTGCTGTCTCCTAGAGCCAATGGTGCGGAAGTGTTGTGTGTGCAAAGTATCGAAAGTTTGCTTTGTTCCAGATTGGAGTCCACCCTGCGAGCCCACGATCGACGGTCCTCGGCACGTCTGGCACAGCTCGCTTGCGCTATCCCCTGAGGCATCACCTACGTCACAGTTACCGGAGCTGGGTACGCTGGAATGGAATGGCCCGGGCTGTGCTCAATGCGGCAACTTGCAGCACAACTACTACAGATATGCAAAGCAGAATAACAGTGGTGGCTAGCAACAGTCATTGGAAAAACGACAGCGTAGCAGACAGCAGACACGTGGTTTACAGGGTGGAAGAACGGCGGAAGTTGCATCAACTGAGCGACGTGCTTACTCATGTCTACTCATATTGCCACTAGGCCGATACAATGCAAAAAGAGCCATCCCATTTCCCCCCAAGAGCCTAGAGCCATCAAAAACCCAATACATTCGCAAGCACATGGTATACCGCGCACCCGCCAACGTTGCACCGAAACAACCGCCGCTTCGTGACCACGCTACGTCAAAGAGGCAATCACCTTGCACCCCCGCCCAAACACATACCATGCCCATTGACTGCCATAAGCGTAGCGAGCGCATCCCGCTGCGGAAAAGTCTTGCTGTATTCCGTTTTCGCTTCGTGACGAGGCCAGGGCCGAAACCCCGGCCGGAACAATGACCAAACTCCAGACCGACACCATACAAGAAGCGATAGTAGTAGTAGTAGTAGTAGTAGTAGTAGTAGTAGTAGTAGTAGTCAAACCGTAAGAGAGAAGAACCATGCCGTTATGCCGTTTTGTGTATCGCTTGATTGTATCCGCTTTCGTAATGCTGTGCTGCAACGCCGGTCATCCAAGGTGCGCGAAGGCCATGTCGAAGAATGAAGTCATGATAATTTGTACAAAAGTATGGGCTCATTCAGAGTGCCGAGAGAGGGGGGTATCGATAATCAGCAGTCGCCTGTCGCTCATTAGGCGGCTGATGATTGTATGTGGATCCGAGAGCCTCGCCCGCCCCGACGACCGCAGAACGCTGCAGCAGTTACATCAGCAGTACATGTCGCATGCGCGGAGTCTACCAGCGTCGCGGCATGTACTGCTGCTGCATCTGCCGTGCTGGCGAGACGGAGAGCGGTGGGCTCGCGATGGACCGGGTGGACGGGTCCACGATGGGGATGGCGTTTCGCGTGCGCTGCGCTAGCGGCTGGTGGAGCTTCATCTGCCCGTGTTGGTGGGCAGATGTGTGCTGCTGGTAGCCTGCGTTGGAGGTTGGCGCAGGGTTGAACGTATTAGGTGCGCTGGAGAGAAGGAAGGAAGGGGTTTGTGTTGGCTGCACCTGAGTCTGCAGAGGAGAGTTGTCGGGTGAGCCGGAAGAGAGCGAGCCGCGGTCGGAGGATGATGCGGAGTGGATGGAGTGTAGCTGTAGCTTGAGGTCAGCATGCCGGTCGAACCGCATTGATGATGCAGCAAGGGTATTGATAAGACATACATCATCCTCGGTCAATAGGTGGAAGGGGCAGAATAGCTCGTCGTCATCAAACTCGAAACTCCTCGCCGCCTCTAACCGCTGCAGATACTCGTTGTACGCTGGCGTCGTCTCCTGGACCTCCTTGGGACTCCTGTGAGGCTTGTATTGCCGATGCGCATTCTGCGAGCTGACTCTCGGACCCCGCCGGCTTCGCCCGTGGTGGCCGCCATGGTTGTTGTGCAACGATGTTGGGTTCGGGAGGTAGTGCGGTGCGGCATAGTAGTGGCTTGCCATGATGATGAGATGGGTGTGTGGTGAATGATGACTCGTAGGGTTGTTCGCTATGAGATCGTTGGTTCGATAGGGATCATAAACAAAGCCCGGCTAATCCCTTGCGCTAACGGTGGGTGCGGCAACGTAGCGAGAGCGGTGCGACGGCGTGAGAGATGGGTGAATAATGGCAGAGGCGAGTGGAATATTCTTCGATGGTGTGGTAACGGTGTCGGGCTGGATGAAGAGTGGTGTGAGGTGGATGATGGGTGTAGAGAAGGGTGGATCGTCAGTCGAGGCAGGGCAGGTGGAAGGAAACGGGAGGCAAGAGAGACAGGCCTGACACCACCGGCACCCACGGACCCAGGCAAGACTGCGGGCACACGGTGACACGGCAGGGCAGCGTGCACGGATCGCCAGCGGTTCCGGCGAAAGCAGCTTGCGTGCCTCTCTAGCGTCACATGGGCGAGACTAGCGCCGCTTTCGGGCCTGATCGTCTTTGCGCGATCGCAAAATTAGGGCCCCATGCCACACCAAACCGCTGTGGCTATCGCAGGCGCAGCGCTCCACCCCAACAATAACAACGCATGTCCAGACCTTTCTATACCGTTAAAGATCAATCTACTCTCTTTACCGTGTCTTCCTTCCATTGTTTCGCCCATCTCCATGGTGAGACACGTTCGTGCTCCGGCTTTCGGCAGACTGCACCTTGCCGCCTCCGAAACATCGAGGTCATTCCATCCGACAGGTCAGCGAAGCCGCCAACGCTTAGACCCGTTCCATGGCGCTACCGTAGTCGCTCGCTCCAGCCTTCACCCTCCTCACCGCTCCCCGTCGCTGGCGCGAGCGCTCTCTCCGCCGTCCATGCACGCCGGGGAGGTCATGTTCCTCGTTGACGCTCGCTCTGCTCCAGACCATGCCAATCATTTCTCTTCCTCATGTCTTCGCACAGCTCCGCGTTCTCTGCAGCTCAGACGTGGAGAAACAGAGTGCTCACGGCCTTTGCGCCCACACTAGCGCGCTGCTGCGGACACACCGTAAGCAGCCTTTCCGTCATCGCGACTCTAACCAATGCGCACCAATTGGAGGCTGTGTTGTACCTGCAGATTGACACAGCTCATGCTTCTATGCTCGCTGCAGGTCAGGCCCGAACACTACTCCTCTGTAGCCCTCGACAGCTCAATATGTGTTGAGGCAGGTAGGACGACGATGGCGCTGTCACCACAACGAATAGGTACCCTTCAGCATTTACTGCACCAGAGGTACATGGTATTCGTCCAATGACACCGTACATCAGTCTCCATTGATGCACTCACTTACCCTCCCGCATGAACTTCGTAATTGCCTCCTTACACGCCCGCTCACTATACCCCTCCCAGCACTCATACAAACTCACCATCTCCTGCGTCGCATCAATCACCGCCTCCATATCCACCTCACTCTCCGCCAACCAATCCACCATCTTCCCCAACTTCGGTCCCGCCTGCTTCAAGCCCGCAAACCCCGCCAGCGCACTCTGCGCCGCACTCCCACTCAACGCCCCGCCCATCGCCGTCGTAGGACTCGTCAACGTCGGCGAATTCGCCGCCGCCGCCGCTGCCGCAACCGCATGCGCCTGCAACCCCATCTGTCCCGCCGGCCTCAACACAACCGCCAAAAACATCGCCGTGATCGCAATCACGTGCGGCGCATACAGCAGCGGCAAATCAGTATTAAAGCAATCATTGACAATATTATGCGCCAACGTGCCCTCCTCCGTCCCCAACCCAAACGTCCCCTGCAACTCCCCCAGCGCCCGATACGGATGATGGCAGATCAGCCGACTCTGCAGCGTGGAAATCACGGCGAACTCGCACTCCCCAATCTTACTCGTCTCCGTCACCCCGAGCTCGGGCCACTGCCGCGCCGCCTCGCCCAGCATGAGGCGGATGTGCTGCGGCGTCTCCTCCATCTTGCACGCGAGGTAGATGGCCGTGGCCATGATGAGGTAAGGGTTCGTCCTGCGGATTTCCACGCGCAGGTAGAAGCGTTTGATGTAGATTTGGGCGGTGGCGAGGGCTTGTTGGCGGAGGTTGAGGCGGCGCGCGAGCTTGATGAGGTTCGTTTGCATGTAGATGCTCAGGTGGCGTCGGTCGGGGAGGTGGAATTTGGAGACGGTGGGTTGGTGGTGCTGCGTGAGTTGGTGCCGGAGTTCGGAGAGTTCGGGTTTCGTGAAGGTCCAGTATTTGGCCTGGGTGGAGTCCCAGTAGTTGGCTGCCATGTTTACATCGATGTATACCAATCGCAACCGTGTAGAACTGATTTCGTCCGTTCGCGTCCTAATTGCCGTTTCGCCGTCTCCATACTCAGTTTTTGGTCATCTTGGTTCTGTCCAGGTGACTCGTCTGTCTACATCATCGATGGGAAGCGGCGAGGCCACACAATCATGTTCACAGCGGTCTTATTTCGCATAGATTCACAACACGTCTTGAAGGACGTGGAGGTCGCTCACCAGGGAGCATCTACTGTACTTTTATCTTCGATGCTCGAATGTGTGAGACGGTAAGGTTGCCCAAATTTCGAGATCGAAGTGGTCAGGCAACCAGCCGCACTTTCCCGCAGTCACCCTCGCACATGAAAAGCATCTGAGAGTTGAGGACGACACTATATCTCATGTCTTAACATATTGTGCCTTTGCCTTATTCTACCTGCGTGGCCAGAGTGACGAGAGGTATCTACATCCAAATGTAGCCGCAGCGCTCAAACTGTGCCCGCTAGGATATACGGCCCACCTGCGCCAGCCTGCAGCCGTTCCCGAACTTTGCCAACGACGCCACTGATATGCAGTCTCCGTGAACGCTCAGAATCCCGACCAACTCATGACATCTACCTCCGCAACTTGACCATGACGTACGGAATCTCGACATCCTCCTCCGTCTCGTCTTCCGCCGTAATCTCGAAGATTACGTTCTTCTGATGCTCCGGAATGGGCTTCTTGCTGATGTGCTCCACGAGCTCGGACATTCTGTTTGAAACATAGAGTTAGCACACTGGCCTGGCGCATCGGTCTCGAGGCATGCATTACTTACGTCATCGGCAACCGATCCTTAACCTTGCTTTGCGGATAGAAGCTCGCATACAACAAACTCACGCCACTCGAGATCATACTGATCGTCAAACCCTTCTTCTTGAAGTCCTCCAAGAATTGTGACAATGGCACATCCTCACTCTCGAAGCGGTCCCACAGCTTGTCAATCGTGACCTCGCCGTTCGGTCCCATGTACTTGCCCTTCGGGCTGGCAATCGGCTCGCTGAAGCCAAAGAACGGAAGCGCCAGGTTAACGAAGCCGTTTTTGTACTGCTCGATGTCGTCCTTGCCGTCAATGATCTTGTACAGCTCGAGCACAACGAGGCCAGTGACGAGCGCGGTCGTGGTGGCGATGGCTGGGATAATCTTGCCTGCGATGAACTTCGTCTTGTGCCGGTCAGCCGTGGCGATCTTGTAGTTCTCCGCTCGGAGGTTGGATGCGGCGGTGATGAAGTCGATGTGGAAGTTGGTATCGTCATCTTTCTCGAACTCGACGGGCTCCATGCGGAAGTCACCCAGCGTCTTTGGCTGCGGCAAGCCCTTCGCGATAATCTCAAGCGCCTCATTGTCGTCCATGGCGCCATTGCCAGCGTTGGGGTCGGGCTCTTTGTCATCTGCCTGGATCTTGACACCAGGGTCTGGCTTGAACTCCGGAACCATCATGCGATCTAGCACACTAAGGATGTAGTTTCGGTCGTTCTTGGGCTTGATGTGATAGTTGAAAGCGTGCAAGTTAGCAGCAGCGATGACGAAAGTGAAGTGGGTATCGCTTTCCGGGTCGAACTTGAGCGGGTCGGGTGCACGCTTGGGGCCTGACCAGAAAGGCTGCCCTGAGGACGTCTTCGAGTCTTTCGGAAAGTTGTACAGTAGTTGCTGGATGGCGTTGTTGTACTGCTTCTCGAACTGCATACGCGCCCACTCAACGCAGTCGTCAAAGCTCTGCGGCTTACCTGTCTGCAGTGAGTCGCGAAGCGTCTCAAGCGTTTGCTTCTCGCTGCCAGACTGCTTGAGCGCGGAGCTGAGGTAGTCTTTCTGCGTTAAGTACATATTCACTACCTCCGCCGGACCAACAAAGTAGGTGTGGAAGAGATCTTTCGCCCATGCGATAGTATGCTCGATCCGGTTCGGGAATGAGCGGAGTGTGCACATTGGGAAGGATTGTTCTGGTGGGTCCTGCGAGCTTGAATATGATTCCGTCTGCCTTGGCAGCACGACCTGCGTGTTGCCCTTGGTGCCGAGCGTACCACTGTCGAGCAGCGGCTTGTGGAAGAAGACACAACGCCTGTCAACGTACGTTCGCGCATCGACGTTGTCTAGCGCGTTCGTCACCCCATCGAGATCTTCCCAGAACTCCTCGTTGAAGACGTGCTCAGTATCCTGCCCAACCCGGTCTTTGAGCATGTTGATCTTGCCTTTCAGGTCCGGATTCATAGCCTGCACCGCTTCCGCTGCACACTCGCTCTTAAGCTTGCCGACGTCCTTCGGGCGGAAGAGGAACTGACGGTTCAGGTTGCTCCTTTCAATCTGGTCCATGTCGGTGACAGTGAGTCTGCCCTTGGGCCCAGCAGCAAGCCCAATCATGGCCCAGTTCTTCAGCATCTCACATCCAATGGCGCCGGCACCCACAAGGAATTGCCTAACGTTGCCGAGCTTCTCCTGGTATGACTTGCCAAACACCGCTATCTGTCCGTCGTAGCGTGAGCCGATTGGTTTGCATTCCTCCTCACTCCTTGGCGTCGATGTCGGGAGCGACTCCAGTGAGTCAAAGTACATCCACTGCTTGATGGGATGGAATTTGCCGGACACGGATTTGAGTACCTCCTGCGCCGCCAAGCCACCGAAGAAGGCTGCCATGGGACAAAGATCACCACGAGCTTGATATGACAGCTCTTTGATGATCTTCTCATCAAGCTCCGGCTTCTCCTCCAACGTGCCAGCGATTTCCTTGGCGGACTGCAACACCTCAGTTGCGTCTTGCTCACTGTGTGGCCGTGGCAAGTGTCCATGCTTCTCTGCGAAAGCATGAAGCGCCTGAACACCGGCATGCAGTTGTCCCGGTCGGTCAAACTTGGCAAAGTCGGACATCATAAGGTCAGGCTTCTTCAGCTGAACAGATAGCGGCTCAAAGTCCAGAATCTTCGGCATCTTGACCTGCGTGTACAGCCCACCGCGCTTATACTCGCCCAGACCCGAGACATCCCCGATGGAGAAGGTGTACGGGCCAGTAACCTTGATCTTGCGTGGTGTGCCATCGTTCAACTTCTCCATGCCCTCCACCTCCGAGAAGGTTACATAGTCGCCGTCTTCAAGACCGTGCCGCGTCTCGTCCAGCGCTGACACCATACCTTCGTTGTCGATGCCAGCCACGATGCCGCTGAGCGGATTCTCGCCAGTCGGATCACCAACGGCGAAGTTCTTGCCAAAGTCTGTGAAGATGTAGCCGAACAGACCAAACGTATCTGTGATGACGACGTAGATGCCGTTTTCATGACAGAACTCTGCAATTGTCTTCTGCTCTTCTAGCGGCGTGTCCGTAAGCACCACAACCTGGTATTTCTTCAACTGACTCAGGTCTGCAGTCAAGTTCTCTGCCTCATGCACGCCAGTCGGAGTGTACGGGTTCAGCTCTGAAACTCTTGGTGCCGTCACCTGCGCTCTCGGCTTGCCAACATCCTCAGGATGCAGGAAGAACTGCGAGCTCAAGTCTTCTATCCGTGCGGGCTTTGGATCGTAGAGTGTGAGACTCTTTACGCCTGCCAGCGCGATATTCTTTGCTATCTCGACACCTAGACCCCTCATGCCGCAGACTAATACATGCGAGCTGCCCATACGCTTCATGGCTTCATGACCAAGAACGTACAGCTGGCGCGAGTAGAGACTCTCGTCGATCTCGCCGTTGCCGGCGGCCTGGGTCTGGATGCTCTTGAGCTCATCCACGTCCATCTTGCCGTTGGCGGGTGGGCCGCCATTTGTGGCGGCTGTGGTCATGATTCGCTTCGACGGACTGTCTCTGGCCACTGCCTCCTCTCCGGAGAGACGTCGTTTACCCAGTTTGACTGCAAATTGCTGGCTGTGTGGGTGATCGTAGAGAAAAAGCCTGTGGATGAAGTGACAAGGTGTCGATCGAGACTGAACGCTGCAATGCAAGTTGGCTGATCAAAGATTACGTTTCAGGTGTTTGTAAGCGAAAGGCGAGCGTTTGATGTGAGAGGCCAAACGCGTTCTGAGCCACCATAAAAGAGCTATGACGATCTGCTGCCTTCAAGCCTCAGGCGGTGAATTGACACGAGTCAGGAGTTGAGATCGGGCGACAGCTCCTTTCAACAGTGTACAGCCCAGTAATATGTCAACTCGTCAGAATATCAGATGGAAGTTTAGCCCACATCACGTAGGGAATGGACCTCCGTGTAGATCATCTGCTAGTGAGGGAACCGGGTATATTCAGTTGCTTTGCTTGTCCACTAAGGAAACCTTTGTTCAAGGGCAGTATATACATTCATACTGCTCCCCCTGCAGGCCCCACCTCATATCATGCCACGATCTTCAACCAGCGACGACGCTTTGGACAATGTGTCTCTGGGCCTTTCTTCATCCCTCGACTTCTCGGTCGCCGCCCTTTGCGGAAACCGGACGAAGAGGACGCAGATGACCAGTCCAAGCCCAGCAGACGCAGCTGCATACATAAACATCGTCCGATAGCTCCAATTCGTGGCACTGTTGATGCACTGTTCATAGCCACTGACGTCGACGCCGCTGCAGCCGGCGGAGCTCAACGCTTTCGTCTCCACAATCTCTGACAGAGGTAGTGAGAACGACATGCCGAGATTGATGAGAATGGAGCACACCGCTCCACACAGACCTTGGTACCTCTTTGGTTGAGCTGACGAGAAGTAAACTAGCGTCAGTGTGTAAGTCAGATCGATGCCAATCGTGGCGCAAAGCATGGATGGCAGTACGGTTGCCCAGTAGTTCAGCGGTGTTGGGCAAACTGCCAGTAACAGCGGTGCGACCACCCAAGCGATTGCTGATATGAGCAGGAGCACCATAAACGGGATGATGTGCATCAAGCCGCCACCTAAAACACACAGGACGAGCCCGCCAATGGCAGTAGGCACGTACCACAATGCAAGTCGGGTGCCTTGCAAGCCGTCCACGGACGATGTCACTCCAGTGTCGCTTGCGAAACTGCCAAACAGTCAGTAAAGACAATGAGTTCGCTTCGAAGCTTGCTTACTATTGTGCAGATTCGTACAGCCAGACACCATATGCGCCGTAGAAGCAGAGTCCGGCAAGGCTAAATGCCAGCACGCCTTTCGTACGGAAGAAGTCGAAGGGCAGAATCGGGCATACTGCCATCCAGCCTTCCCACCAGACTGCCGCAAGCAACAATACCAGAGCGACAGCAAACGGTACGTAAACTTCCGGGTAGCTGAACCCCTCTCTTGCCTTGTCGGAAAGGTTCGCTGAAGGCTCGTACGCCAAAGCGTAGTTCAGAAGTATGAGGCCTGATGTGATAAGGATGGCACCTACCCAGTCCATCTTCAAGCCCAGCTGTTTTCTGTCCGTCCAGTCATGCGGAATGGTCAGGTAGGCAGTGATCGCGGTAACGAACGCCATGATTGAGGCGGTCCACAGGTACCACTGAGGCTTTCCATCAGGGCAAGCGCTCGAGATGAAGAAGCCGACGCAAAAGCCCAGGGGTGCGCAGCCGGAATACAAGCCAAGCACAAAGTTCTTCCGCGGTCCGTCGTGGTAGAAGGATGAGACCATGACGAAAGTCGAAGGCATGAACGCAGCAATCGCCAGGCCTTGCATGGCTCTTGCCACGTCCAATACAACTAGATTCTCGAAGAACCCAGGCAGCAGCGTCCAGATACTGAGCCAGAGAAGGCCGAGCACGAAGATGCCATAGCCGCCACGTATGTCAGCAACGCGCGCAAATATTAGCAGAGCAGCACTGAGGACGAGGGTTAGCAGGGTTGCGGGCCAAAACAGGCCGAGGGTGCCAGGTCCGAGCATTGTGGAGTCAACTCGGAGCGTCAGCTTCGGCAACGCTATGGCGAACCCAGATATCAGATACTCAGCCAGGAATTGTGTCATGGCAATCGTAAAGCAGAAGCCAACCTCGTGGAGTGGAGTGCGGAAGTGGTGCTTGTCACGCAGCCATAGGTGACTTCCGCAGGGCGAGTCTCGGCCACTTGGCCGTCCCGATGTCTTTTCGTCCATGAGCACAAAATCTGGCAAATCTCTATCAGTGGCAGCGGCCGGCTCGTGCTCCCTCAGATTGGCAAGATCGGAGGCGAACTTGTCAATCTGGTCTTGTGACGAATCGCGCTGCCATTGAGCCACTTCTTCTCGGTACATGATAACTCTGTCAAGACTCGACAGTCTGTGCAGTGATGCCCGTGGTTTTGGCTGGCGCGGACGGGCTACTGGACTGGGTGGTGGCAGTGCGGCAGGCGCCCAAGGATCCCCGGCACCATCAAACGCAGCGTATCCGTCACCCAAAGCCTCAGTGCTGGCCGCCTTTCTGCTCCAGGAAGGATGGCTGAATGGGCGGTCAAGGTGTGTTCGAAGGAGAGGTTCTGACCAAGGTGACGGCCGTAGGGAAGGATGAACAAACACATCTGTACCGGCGTCTGTACTGTCGCGCCGAAGGCTATGCTCGCTACGAAGAGATGAGTGGCGCAGGTTCCGAGGCTTCCTCAGACTTGCTGGCAAAGCATTTCTCTCTGAGTCCTGCCCAGCACGCAGAGCTTGCAGCCTTGGGCGTTGCGCCTGGGCGGGTGAAGTACCATACAGCTGCTGACTTCTCAGAGCTGAGCCTGGTTGAGACTCAGCATGACCGAGGTCTGACGAGACAGTCGCGACAGCACGGCTCCTGTCGGTGGAGACGGATGACGGCCAGCTGAAAGCTGTCCGTCTTTCGACGTTGCTCCGGCGCACCAGATGCGGTGCCTGCCTTTCACGGGCGAACTTCGGCTTCCGAGGCGGTAGGTAAGCCGGTGGGAGTTCGTCGATACCATTTTGCAAGTCAGGCATGGATGACGGCCTTCTGGGCGGCAGAAATGGTGGTGGGAGCGCGGTTGGATTTTGGGTAGACATTGTGACGGTTGGCCTGCAAAGTAGAGGTTCGTTCACACCAGCACCTGTAAGCGTTGATGCTGAAAGCTGAGCAGTGACTAGGTACAAAAGCCCTTCACATGCTAACTCGAGGGGTGAGAGGCTTCGCGGACGGGTCGCTCGTCGCTACCGTGAGTGCGTACTCTTTGATGTTCACGTTATGGTGTGCATTCGGTCGCTTGCTGTCTGATGCATCGTTTGCTTATACGAGCCGCTGGGAACATCGCACCTTACCGGGGTCATGTGCAAGGAACCTTCGACAAACGGGCAGGTTACACAAACTTGTGGAGCTTGGCGGCTGTCAGGACGGTTACAATGGATAACAGGAATGGTTAGACGTGTATCCGGTGAATGTGGTCTGAAACGCACCACGACCATGATGGCTGAGAAGTTTTTGCAATACATCGTATGACCTCTGCGCAAGCCTCCGTTCTTAAGCGAATGTTCAGCTCAGTACTGTCGACGCCCACGCGTAGCTGCGGCTCGGCTGCCCTGCAGATACACAGATACACGCGTGTAAGACTGGTCGAGAACACCCACGCATTAACGCGACGACTACTTTCCCTGAGCTGAGACTCTGTTCACATGCGTTGGCAGAAATATTAACCGCACGATCTTCCTTAGCCAGCGTACCGTCGTCATGTGCTTCGTAAGCGATGGCAGCCGAGCACGGTTTCCTACATACGGCAGGAGCAACGTGCGGCTTGCAACGCACCGGAAAGCGCAATATTGCGACGTTGTTCGTAATAATGAGCAATGCCATTGTTTCACGGTTGTTTGAGAGGTTTGCGGAGGCGCATGGCTGCATGTGTCACCGCTGGTACGGAACCACAGGCGGCGCCAGGATGGTACCTGCACGGCGCTTCAAATGCACCAGGTGGAGCCGTCCTGGTTGCCGGGTCAATACCGGCTGGCATATGCATCGGAGTCATGTCACTTCCATGTGAGAGATCGCTCGAACGAACGACAATGAAAAGTGTCGGCCGTTACTTCGACCTGCAGCCAATACGTGCGGACCTGACATGCCCGGACATGTCGCAGACCACCGTCCCAACACCTGCGGGAAGAAAGTGATCTGTCACGAGAGGCTGCGTTGCCGTGGAAAGGGAGACAGATACAGTTGCGTTCAAGCTGCACGAAATGCTCTCCCCGGACGCCATTGTGTAACGCCAGCGATCCGTTTGCAACTGCCGCTAATGCGGCCTTAATGGTTTGCGACAAATTGAGCCCGGCTTCTGGGAGCAACACACGTCACACCGGTAAACATTCGGGACCTTTTGTGAGCAGGAAGGACCATAGGGCACAAGCTGGAGATCGGCCCCGCCGACTCTTGGTGCCCATTACCGTATCATCAACATCAATGCAATTTAGAAGCGGTCAATTGCGTCCGTTGCCGTCGGTTAGGATTTTTCTACTCTTGTATTATTTTTGCCTCTGTCAAAGGCTCGCTCCTTCCACCATTCAGGACAAGCTGGTGTTCATCTCGGTCCTTAACTGCCGCAGCGCCAGATCGACCACTTGACCAAACCTGATCCCATCTGGGTCTTTGATGAGTTGGCTGCTTACCGTACCACGATACCATTTCGGTGGACCGCGGCAGTCTTTCCGAGGCATGAACCCGCAGCGCCCCTGTGACCTCTACTCGCACTTTGGTGGCTGGTGGTTGGCTGAGGTACACGTAGCGGCAGCTCGCCGCAGCTGGGATAGTGGCCAAGTGTTTACTGTTAAGCACGGCGACGCTGTCGAAGTAGTTACTGCCAGGTTTCACATTGGACTCAGCGCGATTGAGAACGTCTGATTTTGCTGTGTCCCACGATGCCTTCAAGGGAAGTGGATTGTGCGCGAATAGTCTGATGGCCCGAGGACATACGTCTCCAGTCGGACGCGCTGCAAATGCCGCTGTCGCCCCGTCGTTAGCGATTAGGCCGCAATCCTCGCCGAGAGCTCAAGCGCGAGCGTCGTTGGCTAGGCAGTGCTTGTACAACAGCTTGATCTGCAGCTTAGAGGACTTGTAAACTGTCTCCTTGATCGTGCGGCCCACATGTTGTACGTGGATGAGGTCAGCCAGTGCAACCTGGCTGAGGATGCTTTCACAGAGCTCGAAAGTGTCGATAAGTCGTTAGATCGGAGCCACGTTCGGGTGGTTGCTCTTGCGCCGGGCAGTGAAGTCTGACCACCGTACAGGCCTGTTCGGTGTTTCAGTGGTGACGGTAGCCGTCTTCATTGCCACGTTTGCAAGTCGCTTACGTGCCGCCGGCTTGGTGAAGGTGAACATCGTTGACGAATGGCGCAGCGCGGTACGCATTCTCGATATGATGGAGATTGGAGATGACGGAGGCTCAGGGTAGTACAGGTACACGCCATGGAGTCTCCGACCCCAAATGTCGAGATGCGAGGTGTTGCAATCAGAACTCTTGTTCTTATGGAAAAGTCGGTGACCAGTGATAATGTATGCAATTCGTCTAGGCCCTCCGTGACAGATCTGGACAAGCATGGCACAAGCCCTAAGAAGCCTGAGACATGACTCGATGCGCGAACAACTGGACAAAGCACGAAAACACAGTGGCGGTGGATGTTTCCTTGAATGCATACACGTCAGTCCTCAATCGTCGAAGTATCCCTCTTGCGCCTCTGCGCAGGCACAGGACCAATACTAGCTCCTCGTACGTGCTTCCGAGGGACCGCTAAGCAGCTCTCGATCAAGCTTACAGCGTTCTCTGAGTGTCGCCGTTGATGCAACAGCCACGTTGCCTTTGATTCATCATTCAGCTCAACGCCTGACAAGGCCGACACAATCGGCGACCGCGGCAGCTCAGGCACCTCGTCCTTCTCCGACACGGAAGACATCATGCTTCTATGTCCTCCCATCGAGCTGTCCTCAGACGCAGCTTCGGCAGCTTTGTAGCCAGCAGCCTCGATAAGCTCATGCGCAAAGACGTGCTCAGGGTCCGCAATTCTATCTTCCGAGGCCAAGGCAGCGGCCAAAAGCTGGGTGTTTGTAGCTGGTTCATAGAAGCCGGAGTCCGCCAAGGAAGCCTCTGGTGAAGATTGTCGTCGTTCACGCAGCATAGACAGATCCCAGTACTGTGGTCTTGGCGGCTGTTGTTGGCTTGTCACTGTAAAGGTCCTGCTGTGGACGGGTGCAGTGGCGGTTTTGAGCCACCCATGCCACGGTGTCGGTGTGAAAGGCCCGTATGGGCTACAAATCTGGGATCCCGTCCAGGATGTCGTAGGCGGATGAGTTGTCCAAGGTGTCTCTGGGGGAAGCGGCCATTGATAACATGAAGTGTTCGTTCCGTAAGACGCAATCAGATGGTTACACTGTCGCAGACTCTCCTGCAAGTTAGCTTGCTGTGATTCCAGCTTTTGCACGGTAGCCCGCGTAGTAGACTTTGACCACTGCAGTTGCTTCTTCTCCTTCCTCGTCACTTGTCTGTCCTGACCATCGGCGAGTTCAGTCTCGACCCTGGCGAGCTTGCGATACGACTTGCTGAGCGCTTGATGTGTCTGCGTAAGTTGACTGGTATAAAAGCGGTGCTGGAAATACAACGCGGGCAGCACAGACGGCTGTCTATTGGGATACATGTTGTCGGATGAAAAGCAGGAGAGTACGTCAGTGCAATAGAGTACTTCGGGGCAGTTCTGACTCTTAGGCTACTGTGAAGCTAGCAGCATAGCAAGTCATCTAACAAGTCTCTGACCGTTCGTTTCAGCTTGCGATAGAGGTCCTTCAAAGCGGCCTCTTGAGTTTCAAGTGACTTTGGCATTACACTGGTAGTGTGGTAAGAGACCGTGGGACAAAGTACGCTATTCTTGCCTTGCTGAAAAGCGAGCTCCCATTGAAATCCTTTCATGGATCGTTCTGCGGTGATTGCTTGCCCGCTAAGGACAAGGCCGCTGAATGCGGACAAAGAGGGAACGGCATGGTGGTGCAGATCGCAGCCTACGACCCTGCAACCAATTGCGGTGGGGAGCAAGCGTATTGCCTCTGCGACACTCAAGCTGCGTTGTAGGTGTTACCAATAGGAAGTTGTTGCGCTCCACGACTTCTCTTTCCCATTTATGCTACCGTCAAACTCAGTACCGAGCGCCGAGCCGTGTCCTGAAGACAAAGAAGCTTCGCAAGCAGGTTTACGACTCGGCATTCCTGAGAGTGCTCGCCGCTGCCACGGTAACAGGCAGCTCATTACCTCCACCACGAGCCAAGGCTATGATATCTCGACCCACATCCAACGACTTCTGACACGTCCTGTAAGTTGCAGATCCGATGACATGGCGAGCATAGTCCCGTCGCACAAGAAAAACCCTCATTGTCGCATCGCCTCGTGTGCCACCAGCGCGTCGGCGTGGCCGTCATGCCAGGGCGTCCGCCCGATGTAATGTTCGCACGTCTCACTTCCGTCTCCGCTAGCAAGTCGCTACGGGCATCATAATTCCAGTAAAACTTGACGTTCACGAGAAGGGCAGGGAGTCACTACATACTGGGGACAATTGGACTGCTTCGCTGTTGTCAGGTCGCCTGCCTCACTCATCGCCCAGGATGTCAACTGCATCAACACCGAGCTGCTCTCCGACGTTGATCACCACGTCCCTCAATGCCTTGCACGTCGGAGAGTCTGGGAAGTTGTCGAAGAAGCTTTCGCCGTAATCGCACGCCATGCCTATCCTGCTGTCAAGTGGCACGGCACCTAGGAAGGGTATGCCGCTTTCACGAGCTAGCCTCATACCACCTCCTGTGGTAGCCCGGAAGATCTCGGATGTGTGCGTGCACTTTGGACATACGAAGCCTGACATATTCTCGACAAGTCCTAGAATGCGGATGCCGGCTTTGCGGCAGAAGTCGATCTCTTTGCGAACATCAAGCAATGCGACCTCTTGAGGGGTTGTGACTAGCACAGCCCCGTCAACGCCACTTTCTTTAAGGTAGCTGTTGACGCTGAGGTGTTCGTCGGAGGTGCCAGGTGGCGTGTCAACAACCAAGTAGTCCAGCTCTCCCCATTCCACATCCTTCAGAAACTGCTTAATCAGGCCGTTCTTCTTCGGTCCTCTCCAGATCACTGCGTCGTCACGGTTCGGCAGCATGAACTGCACGCTCATCGTGGCAAGGTTCTCGCTAACCCAAACCGGCTCCCAACCCGTTGACGTTACATGAATGGTCTCGTTCTCCACGCCCATCATCTTGGGAATGCTAGGACCGCAGATGTCGGTGTCCATGATACCCACCGTATTGGCTGGGTTGCTGGCGAAAGCGTGGGCTAGCATTGTGGTAAAGGTACTTTTACCTACGCCACCCTTACCAGATAACACAAGCAGTTTGCGCTTGATGCCAGCCAACCGTTGCGTCATCACGGGAATGTCTGGATCCGGGCCTTTTGGTGCAGATGCGCAGATGGCCTGGTTAGGACAACCGGCGCATGCATCGCTTTTGCCTGCGTCGTTCGACTCGGGTCCTGGACAATGTTCCGGCTCCGGCGCGACGAGGGCAGGCTTCTGCTTCAGATTAGATGTAAGAGCGTCATCAACGGGTTCGATCGGCTCCTCGAGTGAAGGTGCCATCCTTGTATCGATTGCAAATATGATAGTAGTGAGAAGGTTAGTCCTGGCTTTCAATGTTCGATGTGAGAATGGATGTGGGTGGCGCCATAGTTTCGCCACATGGCGCAATCGCTTGCTTGACTCGTGCCCAGATCTATTTCACCTCTTACAACAATGATGTTTCTGCCTCGTACGGGGTTCACATTGATATAGCAGGCCAGCTTGTGAAAACTTTATACTGCAGCCGAATGCCGTCTTCGCCTCGACGAGCCGTAAGGTTGGCGATCAGGTCTCAGGCAAGTAACAAACTGCACCGCTACCGTCCAGTGCTTAAGCACCACCGGTAGGCTTTCGCTACGTTTCTACGAACGCTGGGCTGCAGCTGTAACAGCACGCCCGCTGTTTGTTCGCGCGACTCGTCTGCCGCATCTCACAGCTCACCGATTGTGTTCAATCATAGCAGTAGCAAGACCCGCACGCTCCACTTTCAACGCATTAAGATGCCCCATGGCCTGTTCCAGGCGGCTTTGACAGCCGCAAGGACAGCAGCACCGGCCCTTCTGGCACTTTCAACCAAATTACTGTACACCTCGTCAAGCATCGCGGACCGTCCGTGCAGTGTATGACCGCTATTCTGGTCGATGTTAGCCAGATAATGGAGGCTGAAACCACCAAGGTACTTACCGTTGCGCGCTCGCGGTACAGGCAGGTATCACGATGCGCGAACCTTCCGCACAGAAAAGCGCTTCCCTCTCCAGTCCATGGGCGCAAGCAGCGACCGCAGAACCGGTGACCGCACGCGCAGACTGTGTGACCGCACTTTTTCAGCTCGAAAAGCACGGTGCAGCTTGGGCAGATCTTGAGCGGAGTCTGTTTAGGTTCGTTCTTCACGTCCAAGGCTGAAGTCGCCGCTTCGGCACGTGAGTGCGCCGGATTCTTGTGATATCGAGTTTGGTATTCGTCGCATGTCTCGTTGACGTGCTCTGGACGGTCGCAATCGGTGCAGGTCTGGTAGGCACATACTTTACAGGTAAAGATACGGCCGTCTCGCGCGCGATTGTACTTCTGGTACGGAGTGTCTGGCCCCTGGCAGCGATTCATGCACTTGAAGTGGCTGACGGAGAAAACCCTCCTTTCCCCAGCTACTCGTCGTTAGCACCATGCGGTCTTAGTTGTGTAGCCCCAGGCTTACCACTTGACCGTGATTGGGTTGGCTACCCTAGCCAGCACCTCTGTCGGCATGTCGCTGTCGCAGCACATACATCTGACCGCTTCGCCTGGAACATCTTGATCTGATCGCTAATGTATGCATCCCAGCACTCGCTACAGGAACGTTCCTCTTCGGAGTGCTGCTTAGCGCAAGTAGTAGGTGTTACTTTTAAGGAGGACACTTCATCGCAGCAAATACTGCACTGCTTATGGCCGGATCTGGCGCACTTGAAGGACGATGAGTTGTTGGGAACATTGTCGGCATCGCTGATGAATGAAATGAGACGCTTAGTAGGAATCGATGTTGCCATGGTGGTCTTGGTGGTGGATGTCGACAATGTTGAACCTTGAGATTTGTCGTGCGTTAGGGGGTGGTCTTGGCTAGAAGAGGGAACGAACAGTGTTTATCTGTTCGTTACGCTGATCTTTGCAGACACTGAAAGGAGACCGCTGCCCAGAGTGAGAAGCGAAGTGACTCTGGAATCCTGCCAAAGTGAAGCCATGGAGGAAGCTTATGCGGACCCACGAGTACCCTCACGTGCCCTCACTTTACCGTCGACGTGATCGTCGCTCGAAAGGCATTTGAAGGCTGGCGATCTTTGCAGACACTGAAAGGAGACCGCTGCCCTAGATGAGAAGCCGAAGTGACTCTGGAATCCTGTCAAAGTGAAGCTATGGAGGAAGCTTATGCCGAGCACCCTCAGGTGCCCTCACTTTACCGTCCATGTGATCGTCGCTCGAAAGGTATTTAAGGCTGGCGATACCCCTTCGAACCATCTTCGGACATCCAACATACACTTCGGCACTTTAATCCTGGCTCAAGTGTTATTACTTCGAGATACCTCCTATTCCAGGCTGTGCCCAATGCTACAATCTCTGCCCTTCGTTGGTGACAACCTGGACCACCTTGTGAGCCTTTAGCACTATTCCGTAGCAGCTTGGCTCGATTAAGGTTCGTTCTGCTGCCTATCTACAACATACTATGTGCACTGACAACGGCATCCGCCTGTCCAGGTTCATTCCAGTAAGGCTAGAAACCAGCCTATTATCCGACAGCTTCCGAGACCGTAGGCACCATTGCTATCAATCCGAGGTATTGTACTTACCCTTGACATCTGTCTATGGATCTGCCAAATACCCTCCGGCAGATCAAGCCTGTGCACGGCGTTGTACGCTTGAACGGCTTTAATCGGCCTCACTTCGCTGGTCATGTGATAGCCAGACTCGACAGCGCATGGGCCTAGGGTGACACCTTCTTGTGACGCGACCAAGACAGAACCTGTGCGTGTTAGTGCGGTTGCTACAACAAATCGACGATTACAACTCACTGATAAACCGTGACGTGAAGCACACACCAAGGTATTAGGCCAGTCGACATGGCCGACGATTTGCCCATCAATACAAAGCTCAATGGAGGGCCACTTTTCGCCGGCCCAGACCCGACGCCCGCTCCAATTGAGCGTCCAGGTCACGAGGTTGCACCGCCTGCCGAAGTTCAACTCGTCGACCTCGATGCAATGAAGGATCCAGTTTGGGTCGACGCCCTCCAGAGATTTATCGACAGACCCGATGTCTTGCGAGAGATCCAGCCAGTGTATGCCGAGACGTTCGAGCATGCAAGAAAACCCATCAAGCCATCCAGAAACCCGAAAAGGGAGATCTTTGGTGCTACGCTGTATAATACAAAGCTCGCCGCAGGGAGTGCTGACGTTGAACTTCGCCATTTCAACTCTCAAGCGAAAAAGACCTGGCTTGCGTTGCTACAAAAGGCCAAGACGATGCTGGAAGAAGATTACGAGGCTGTCAAGGGGATGGTCCCACTCTTCGATTGGGATGCTGATAAAGACGGCGGGCTAGAGGAGCAGGAGCATTTCCGGGCGCTCTTAAGGGTGCGAAAACGAAGCGTTGAGTTAATGGAGCAGCAACTCAGGAAGGCGGTAAAGCTTGCGAAGGTGGTCGCGGAGCAGGCTAGCAAGTAGCTTGGGTGACGGGAGGCGGTTCGGGATGATATGCTTCCCTTTTGCCATTTCTGGTGTTGCGGTGCTTTTTCGGTCACGGCTCTAGCAGGTGAGCTCCACGGCTGCAGGCTCGACGGTGGTCTTGCGAGCATCAGAATTCAGGAAGGGGGCTTTTGACTTGGATACAGCGGCTTAGGAGCTGCTCAGATTAGCCAAGTACTTTCTTCGGGACGACCGCGAACCACGCCGGATCTTCAACATCGACTGTGTACAACTTCCTACACACATTTGTAAAATCTCATCCACTGGGCGCATCTCTTACAGCCACGTAATACGAACATCAGAGCCGAGTCCACCGCTATGCACAAATGCTCCATATCTGCCTAAATTCGCTCAACACGACCACACTCCCACAACCCCATCCCTCCTCCCCTCCACCAAATACCCATCCTTGATCCTCACCCTCTCCACCACGCTTGGCCGGTTCTCCGCCTCAGACGTAACACCGGCGCCACAGTCCCACTGTCGCCCATCCGCCTTATCATACACCTTCACCACATCCTCCCCTGCCGCCGCAACGATACGTCGGACGTCGAACTGCATGCTCGTGATGGGTTGATCGTAGGCGAAAGCATCGTGGATATGGCCTGTCCGAAGATCCCATATCTAAAATTCTTTCCGTTAGCCCACCATTATGCGAAACAGAGCGAATGCGTAAGTTGGACTCACCCGTATAGACCTATCCCGCGACCCGGTAACCAGAAACACATCATCAAACTGCAACGCCGTCACCGGTCCCGTATGCCCGACCAAACTCCGATGCACCATCCCACTCCTCAAATCCCACAACCGCACCATGCCATCCGCCGTCCCACACGCCAACGCCGCATCAAAGACCTGCACCGCGCCCACAAAATCCGCCTCGGCCTGGCCGCCTTCCGCGCCATTCGGTCGCAGTCGGTTGCTTCGCCACCAATTCCCGCTACCACCCTCGTTCCCCGCAGTGGCAGGTTGAGCTGGCGTGAGCGTAGAGGCTTGAGCAGCGGCCCAAAGCACGTCAAGCGTCTGCACGCAGCGGCCCTTTTCCAGGTCCCATTGGCGGAGGGTTTTATCGGCGGATCCGGAAACGAGCGTGTTGCCGTGGAAGTGCAGAGCGGTGATTTCGGCGAGGTGGGCGGAGAGGGTGAGGATGTGGCAGTCAGCCATAGCGTCACGATGTGGTTGTTCGTCTTCTACTTGTGGTGGTGGCTGTGGTTCGGATGTGGTGGGCGTGAAGAGCGCCTCGCCGTTGGCTTGACCAGGCTCGGTTCCTGCGTCCTCGGGATCAATTGGTTTGCGGTCAACATGGTTGGAAGGTGGTTGAAGCGGGTTGTAGTCCGCCTGACTTAGGTCCCACAACCGTATACTCGCGTCCATGCTGCCGGTCGCCACAAGGTTCTCTTCCACTTGCAGACATCGTACGCTGCTCAAATGACCGTCTAGCATGCCCATGCATCGTCCCGCATTGAGATCCCATACTCGTACAGTGTCGTCCAATGCCGCTGTTACCAAGGTTCCAAAGGGCGCATCGAAGTCCATGGCTGTGATGATGTCGTTATGCGCTTGTATTTCTCGTATTCGCGATCCAGGCTCCATGTTTTCGTGCAGTATCGGCATTGAAAGCGTTCGCTTCGGCATACGATTTGCTCTTCGTCGACTCTTCGGTGATTCCTTCGGCTTGGGCAGCTTCTCATAGATCGACTCAGACATGAAGCTTGCTTCGTCCTCCTCTTCATCCTCCAACTTCTTCTCGACCTCCTGCCGTGCTTGTTGTCCTTGTGCAGCTAGATTCGGACTCTGCTTCGCTAAGGCCGCCTCATCTTCCAGTTGCTCCTGCAGTTCGTCCAGCTTTTCCGCTAAGTCGCCAACTTCCTGCTCAAGCCCATGCTCCTCCTGCTCCAACCCTGCGAGACGCTCCAACATCACCTTCCGCATGGTATTTAGATTTGCAATTTTGCCATCGATTTCCGCAATTTCGCTCGCGCACATCGTCTTCCGTATTCCCATCATCTCCAATCTGTGATCCAATCGATCCTTGTCCCGCCGTAACTTCACCAGCTGCGGCGGCCCACCGCTGCCTCCTTCCTCCGACCCCTCCAGCAACTTCTGTCCCTTACTCCCCGGCCTCCCATGCCTCTTCCTCTTCCCTCCTCTCCCATCCTCCGCAGCGCCTTCGTCTGGCAAGCTCGCTTTGAACCCCTCGAACAAGCTGAATGGCGCCCGACTCTCCGGCGCATTCCGAATCAACTCCTCAGGTATGAAAGCTAATGCTCTATGCTCGATCTCGCTGGTGTTGAAGTTGCTTCGGAGCAGCTGAGCAGGGTTCGCTTTAGCTAATGAAAAGACGGAGCGCTGTACCATCGGCCGCCGGAGGGTGCTGTGGACGGAGGACATAGCGGTGCGGTATGCATCCGGTCCGCTTGGGTTGTCGGAGGCGTTGAAGTTGGCGGAGATGAGCTGGCTGGCGGTGGCATGGACGGTGCGGCTAAAGGCTTCGATTTGACGGGTGTCGAAGAAGGGGTCGTCGCCGCCGGTAGAGGCATGGTGACCATGGGCATGGTTGTGACCGTGCCGGGGCGGGAAGGCGGAGCGCTTGGGGGAGGTGCTGCGGCCGCGGGAGGACATGTTGGGTGGAGGTGAGGATGAAGGTAGGCTTGGTGGTGGATGCTGAATGGTCTCGCGCTGTATGTTGCTGTCGCTCGTGCATCGACTCTATTTGGCCAGTGGTGATGATCATCATCCGATCGTCGGAACGCTTTGGCCAACCGTAGTGCCTTCCTGTTCCTGGCATTGGGTACATGGGTATATATTCCAACGGGCATTGATTTGAGAACAGGGAAAGGCGTATCAGGTTGTATTCAGGATGGACTCTACAATCGACATCTCCGACCCTGCCCGCGCCCTCTCTCTCCCACACATCCGCTACCAACTCATCCGACTGGAAGATACCGTCCTCTTCCACCTCATCGAGCGCGCCCAGTTCCCCCTCAACCCCACCATCTACACCCCTGGCGCCATCACCATCGCACATTCCTCCTCGACTTCCGCCCTCAGCTTCATGGACTGGGTACTGCGCTCGCAGGAAGAGTTGCAATCCAAGATCCGGCGCTACCAGTCTCCGGACGAACATCCATTCTTCCCCGATGCGATGCAGCCGCTTGTATTGCCAGAGCTCAAGTACCCGCGGATACTGTGGGGAAACGACGTGAACGTCAATGCCGAGCTGAAGCAGCGATATGTAGAGCATATCCTACCTGCCGTCTGTAAAGGAAAGAAGGAGCGGCCGGAGGCGCAGGAGAACTATGGATCTTCTGCTACCGCGGATGTCGCATGTCTACAGTCGTTGTCAAGACGAATCCACTTCGGAAAGTTTGTGGCAGAGTCCAAATTCTTGGCTGAACCGGAGAGGTTTGCGGAGTTGATCAAGAAGGAGGATAGGGAGGGCATCGATGCCGCCATTACGAACGCTAAGGTTGAGCAGAAGGTCTTGGAGCGCTTGAGAGTCAAGGCGGAAATGTATGGTGTAGATTCAGGAATGGACGCTGACGCGCCCAGAAAGATTGATGTCGAGGCCGTGGTCGCCATGTATCGGGACCATGTCATTCCGCTAACCAAAGTAGTGGAGGTGGAGTATCTGATGCAGAGACTGAAGGGTACGGAGTGGGAGTGAAACATTGACGCGTTTACTCCAAGCATCCAACACCAAGAGTCACCGTGGCGGTCTAAGTCTGCGCTTGGGATCATTGATCAATTGGCAGACGTCCAGCAGTGAACCATACATGTGCTGCACGCCTGCAATCGCGACGAGAGAGCAGTGGCGTTCGTCAACGGCTGAGATACATGTATGTTGCTTTGTCACACGCCGCCACTTTGTCCCTGACTGCGGGACAATAACCCCGTCTCAGCGAAGCGAAACGGCGATGGCCGGCAAGCAAGGCATATCATCCATATCAGCTCTGCATGCCCGCCGTATGAGGCGCAAAGACATCGTTGTTAAATGGCATGTCTACAGGGCGGAACCGAAAGCGTCCAGCAGCGACAATCTTTGGACAGGAGGAAGGAGCTATCAATAGCGTCGGCATAAAGAAGCTAAGGATCCACGGCAGCCAACTCGATGAAAGCGAGTGCACAGTCTACTCTTGAGAGAATGGTACCGAGACTTCCCACCGAGACCGCCTCACCCTGGAGCCGGAAGCGCGCAAAGTGAAGTCTGCATCACGTGCTGGACCCGCCACTCAATAACGAGCTCAATAACAAGAAGACCAACCTCGGCACTCGTGTCTTCTGCCAGCATATCTTGACAAGTGACGAGGTGAAGGCTTTGTGCATGGCACGTGTTCACTCCCGTTGCTGCGCAAAGAAGGCCGACTAGACACGCTTACATGGTTTGAAGGCTTTACCTTCTGTCCTAAGGTGGGATGTGGCCAAGAGTTCGTGGTTGGCGGAGGAGCTGGGATCAGTGTCTCGTGTCCCAAGTGTGGAGATCGGTTTTGCACATCTTGCAGGACTGTCCTGCAACAGGAGAGGACATGTCAGAAATGCGACCCGAAAGTGACGGACGATGACCCAGCATCGGCTAGACTCGTGCATACGACCACCAAGCCATGTCCTAGCTGTGGCGGGCAAACCACCAGCGAGGGCGCGTGCGAGTATGTTAGGTGTAAGTCGCTCTTCATGCAGTTCGATTGTAGTTGGCTCTAGCTGATCAACCATGCAGGCACACGGTGTCAGTAGCAAGTTTTTGGAAATGAAAGGCTTCATTTCAGAACCATAGCGGTCTGCACCTCAAGATGTGCAGTCATCATATGCAACAACGTCAGGACAGGGAGACTCGCATACGCCTCGCAGGAATGAAGCGCAGAATTGGTACAGTTGAGCCTCCAGACTCATTGGCGTTGTTACCACGGCGTGTTCAGCCGGTTGGGCCGGACCCTGAACGGAATCGTCAACCTGCTTCTTGATTTGAACAGACATCAGGTAGTCAACACATCCTTTCCGATCAAAGCGGCTGTTGAGATGTAGAGGCAGATCGAGCATATGCGAACTCGCCAGTGCGAGGTAGATCTCCTGAATGCTGCCACTGGCGCATAGGCGCAAACTGTCTTCCGAGATGCTGATGGTAGCTTCGACCTCCAGACGAGGAGTGTTAGGAGAAGGGCCAATTGATGTTGCAGCAAGGCGTGCCGTTAGATACAGAGACAAGCCATGGATAGAGTTCGTATAGGGAGATAGGCGAGGTTCAGACAAGGGCTGGAGGTGGGGACAATGGCTGTTTTGCCTGAAGGGAGCGCAAATGTGGTCTATGTGAACCGACAAATGAGAGTGGCGGTGGTGGTGGGCAGTGTAATAGTTGAGACGGCTCTTGATACCGTATTGTCGTTCTACTATAGGTAACGAAGCGCCTATTCGTTCTTCTCACTGGCCGATTGCGTGCCCGCAGTGTCGTGGGTTACCTGACGTTGAACAAGTTTCAAGCAATGAGAATACCTTCGGCTTGCTACCGCCCGTCAACCCTGCCGTAACAAGTTGTATAAGACGTGGCATTTGTGAACCTTGATCCCGCGTCATTCATGGATCGCATTAAGAATGAATGCAGATGCACCGAGCGCAGCTTTTCTAGTAGGTGTAAACCCACAAGAATAGGATCACAAATGGGCAACAAGGGGAGGCAGGGAGGCGGACGGTGAACGTGCAACACAACAAGAGCGGAAAGGTCGTTCTGATCTCTCAATCACGATGATGTCGTTACGCGAGCAACGCTGGCCCGTCGGAAGTCGTAGCTCGACTGAGCGTTCGTATGCCATGCCATTCCATCATGAGCCTTGAATGCCTGAACGCCACATAAATGCATGAGCTACATCGACTCATCGACTCCGCTCCCAATGCCCAGACTCCATCCGTAACAAGCATTCCACGTTCACATCAACAACTGCCAAGCCTCCTAGGCAGCAAACTGCTCCCACCTCGCCTTCGCCGCAGCTTCGACGTCCCTAGTCAGGTCCGCCGCGCTACTTCCACCTTCACAATCTGTCCACTCGCCTCCATCCCGTATGCACCGCACCTCACCCTCCAGCCTAACTGTGCAGCTCTTCGTCACACCAGCCGTAGCTGTGCGATTGAAGCTCGCCTTCAGCATGTCCAGCCCCATTGCACCGTCGTCGTCAACCGCGCATTGGTTGAGCCTGGCCATCGAGATGCCATGCTCGAGCGCGCAGTCCTCGACCAACGTCCGCGAAGGGATGTCGGAGTACTCGCGAGACATGCACATGGTGAATCCGAGGTAAATCTTCGGGTCTGGGTAGAGGTGTGCGGCGCAAAGTTCGATGATGTTGCCTAGGCATTCGGTCTCCCCGTGTTTGCAAAGCACGCCATCGTCGTGGTCGGTTATGCTGTTCACATGTCAGTGCATGCCACTTAAGGTGTTGGGGCAGAGCGGACATACCTTCCGATGTATGACAGCTTGAAGTCTACCTTATGCGAAATGTTCTGCATTGCTGGCAAGATCATGTCGTGCAGACAATCCCTCGCGTCCGGACATTTGCTCATAATATGTGCCTCCAACGGCACCTTGATCGAGTATGGCCGGCTATTGTCTTCGCTCAATGAGTCTTGGACGATGATGGCGAAGCAGAACACCACGAAAAGCAGTAGAAGTGCGGTCACGGCCAGCATGATTCGCTTGTGCCATTTGCCAGAGGTTGTCCGGCTCCACGCTTTCATATATTCTCTTTGCGCCTTGAAGACATTTTGCTGGAGTTCGGAGAGGGATAGCTCGTGTGCACCTGCTGTCGTTGTTGCAATATTGTCTGCTACTAGCAAAGGCTGCTTTTCCATGTCGATTGTTGCCGCCATGATGATGGTGTGAGGATGTTATTGTCGTTGTGAATGAGCATGGGGAATGGTGTTCTTTGTTGTCTAGCTCATGCATATCTACCGATGACATGAGTGGCAAAAGGCAGGGTCCACCTGTAGCGTGACGTGCTTGCCTCCTACGGCATGGCGTAAGCTGGGGAAGTGGAACCCTTGAATGCGGAGAAGGCGTTGTCAAGAACGAGGAGCAGACAGCATTCACACCACTCTGAGCAGCAGTTACGGCATTGGGAGGAGATCGATGGAGGGGTCAGTACGTGGCGTTCTTTGGTACTGTATATGCTCGTAGACTGGGCAGAATGCTTCCCGCCAGGGTGCATCGCTCTTCCTCCGTCCATGAACTATCACATCACCACGGACCCCAATTCGCTCTCGCCCCACCACTTGCGGCCAACAGCTCGAACCGTCCCATACCTGGCCATGAACAGAATGGCGGCCGCAGGTTGACGCCAAGCACGTACTCGATCCATTCTCTACTTAGTGGTCGGCTGCCCTCTGCAAGCTCAGCGCAATCGAGCCGCATTGCTCGCTCCACGTGAAGCAGCTGGCCAGACACTGACAGTCTTGCTGCAGCTGCTTCTGCACGTACAACGTCCCAGGTGGCGAGCAGACGCTTTTCGTGGGCATGGTCGGTCCAGTAAGTAGGGAGTGGCGGTGCATGACGGATGGTGTATGACTTGGCCGGATCTAGATCGAGTGCGTCCGTTGCTCGCCGGAAGAGGGATGGCTTTGTTGTTGCGTTAGTGATATTCTTGCCTACTCCTTCCAAAGCACTGGCGTTGTTAGCGAGGCTTGCAGCGCGGCTAGTGACCGGCCTGGCCAGGATGGGCACTGCTTCAGCTACCGTGGTCGAAGTCCGATAGGCCGCTGTCGTAGTCGCTGAGCGTATCAAGCTTGGCCGTTGCAGTGTGGTCGAACTAGTCGGCATCATTTTGGATCCATATTCGGTGTTACTAGTGGCAACCGGTGGAGCAGTTGCACCTGTATCGCTGCGTGTTTGAAGACCAGGTTTGGAACACATGGCAGGACTCGAGGTTGTGGACAGGTACGAAGCTGCAGCCTTTCTTGCAAACAGCGGTCGTCGTTCTTCTCCTACCTTTGCCTGGAGGACAAAGTTGAAACTTTGGTGCTGCCTTGACTCGCTTTCCGGAACGGTTGGTATTTGTTCAACACCCTCAAGTAACTGGAAGCCTTTTGTGAATGCACATAGCCAATCTAACGTGTCGTGTCCAGTCGGTATCTTTCCACACTCAATGCTTGCGGATCTCAGGTTCAAGCGTGACGTCAAATTGATGTCAGGGTAGTGCACAAGGCAGGCACGCTTTCATCTGAGATATTGAAACTCAATCCGAGTCACGTAGGACAACTTCAAGCACCTCTCAAAGCTACCACCAGTTGAGAAGTGGAGGTCGTTTTGCGAGATAATTGGTGGTTATTGCTGTCCGTCTGTCACTTTTGGGTATCTAGCGCGCAGCTTTTGTTAACTTATATCCACAACATGTGCATTTTACAGTCGTTCTGTTCGCCAACAGTGGCAGCGAACGTTCTACAGCGCCAACCCGGTCCCATCACCGGTCCATCTGTACAAGGCCAGCATTTCGCGCCGGCGTAATTGCTGTTCGCCGAAGTCTTCCAATGAGCGTCCGCGCACTTGCGCTAAGGCTGACCGCATCACTTTGCGGAAGTTTCTCTGCACATCATGTCAGTGGGTGTTACGGTATATAGCTGGGACTAGAGACTAGCTCACTTGATATTCAGTATTGAGCGTGACAACGCACGCTTCGTGGGCACGCACGATGGTCTCGCACGCCTTCACCACGCTCGGACTGGCCTCGCCTTGTAACTTGTCCGCGATCAAGAGCAGGAGGAAGCTGCCTTGGAGAAGATAGATGCCAAAGAAGAACGGCATGAAGCTGATATCAGGGTCGTAGTCAAGGATGTCGTTGATGGCTTCAGCTGCGGAGACGGCGTGTCCGGTCGCCGAAATGAACGACTGAGATGATATCCACAAGTCGTTGTCATCCAGCAGCGAGATCGGATCCCATTTTCCATTCAGCAGAATGTGCAGCGTGTGCATGAGGTGTGTACAGTATGCTGTCACAACTCTCGTCTGCAGGATGGCTTCAGTCATACGCTGGTTCGAGCTGTTCGTCCCAACCGAGTGAGCCGACGGGCTGGTGCCGTCAAGATGCATGCCATCCGCATTTTGTTGGATCTCTCCCGGCGCTTTAGGCTCGTTGGCGGCTTGTTGCGCATGGCTGCCTAAATTCCGTGCTTCGAAGTCCTTTAAGCTGCGGCCGTAAGCCTCCAACTGCTGCGTGATCTCCGCAGCCTGATCGTCCCACTCGTTACCAGTCCGCCCGGTCCGCAGGCCAAAGCGCGGATGGTTGCGGGCGTGATTCAAGTCCACAATCTCGCCTAGGATCGTCATCAGAGGCAGGAAGTAGCCGAAGATGCTGTGGCCAGTGCATTCAAAGTCGGGTCCTCGTCGTCGGAAATAACTCGTCTCGGCAAAGTTCTCTGGCGGGTAGTACTCGCCGGCTTGCCATACGACTTCTTGTTCGGGTTGGAGTAGTCCCTCGCACTCAATATCAAGCAAGAAGAGCGGTCGATTGTAACACAGCGCCAGATGCCTGTCCACGATGTATAGTAGCCACCATATCCGCCTCCGCTCTTCTCGCTCTTCTTCCGAAACGATCCCTGGCGCGTTTGGTGATGGGTGTCCGGATCCGTGTCCGTTAACTGGCTCTCCATTTGCATTCAACTCGCCGTCTTGCATGTCTGCGCTTGGTGGCTCCGGGTTCGGAGAAAGCTCTCTGCCCAGCTTCAACTCTCTTGCCAACGACCATGCCGCATTCCACCATCTTAAACTCGCAGCCTTGTATTCACTTGCGGACACCACAGTGGCCAAATGGATGTAAGTAGCCACATCGTCCAAAGCTCCAGTTGCGCCAGGCGAGCCGCCATCCATGTCATGCGCCTGTCCAGGCAAAGCAACGCCAAAGCCGCCAAGCGCTACGCCATTAATGACGGTGTTTCCAGCGTAGTGAGTACTCCCATCGCTCGGCGAGTGTATCAATGGCTTGAGAAGACCTACAGTCAGTTCCAACAACTTCTGGCAGATCTTGCCGCGGGCTGACGGTGGAGACGTTAGGAATGCTGACTCGCTCGTCTGAGCAGCCACCCATAGCATGCTTGCCAACAACGCAGGGCTGCAGACTCTTGGATTATGCGGCCGCAAGAACGACCGTTTCCGGAACATGTAGCCGAGTATATATGGCGATTGCGGTTGCATGAAGGCTGCAGAAGTGCTGTGGAAATAAAGTTCGAGGAGGTCGCATGCCAGTCCAATAGGTATGATAGCAGATATATGTGGCAATAGGGGTCGCAGGACAGGGTAGCGAAGGATCTGGTTGGTAGGAATTTGCTGTAAATGCGGATAGAGAGCTGCTGACGGTGAGGGCAGAGAGAGCCAGCCTGGGGAGCCCGCCACCGGAGATTGTCCCAGAAATCCTGCGGACATGGGTGACTCACCAATTGCGAACTGCGCTCTAGAGACTCCTTGTTGACTTGCTGGAGACGGTACACCGTACTGGGCCTCCGGATAGCCAGTGACGGTACCGCCGTGAATCATTCCATTAGACATGGTCGTTGGTCCGCTATGAAGGATGTTGTGCCCCGCAACGTTCGCACTAGGATGGAGAATACTGCGGTGATAGTCGTCGATCGTGCCGTAATCACCCATAGCCACAGACATGCCGCGATCAGACATCGCCACGCTTGGCAGTCTCGGGGGCGGTATGCCCATGCTGGGAGCCTGTTGGTCCATAGTCATTGAGCGGTGTGGCTGCCTGTCACCGGTAGCAGGGTCGCCCATGGGATTGTTAGTTACGGTGCCGCCGTGGTCGAAGCCGGACATGCCATTGGTGCTGCTGTGGGGAAGGGACTGACTTGTCAAGCTGCCTGATCTTGGTGGCGGCAGTTGCGGAGGCGGAAGGTCGCTGTTCGATCGTTTCCGCTTCATGCCCTGCTCTGACTCCTGCTTGAGGTCGTTGATCGTGTCGTCCGATTCGTTGTCATTGGCAGACTTCGGACTCGAGCTTTTGCCCTCGGCGCCAGACTGCGTCCCAGCCTGTTGTGCTGCAATGTCCTTTCTCGATGCCTTTCCTCTTTTTTTGCGCTCGCGAACATATTCGCACGTCAGCCCGAATTCTACGCAATGAGCACATGGCATCTTGCCGTCGCATTTCGTTCGAAGCTGGTTGCACTGATCACATGCTCGGCTGATCCTACGACGGACAGGTTGACTGCTGGTAGACCCTCGGCCTCCCTTCCCTGCACTGATAGATTCTCGCCTGCCGCCAGCATTGCTGTCAACGCTGGTGAAGCTCTGTCGATGCTTCATGACCGGCCGTGCACTATTAAGACTGTGCATCGCCGCCTGTTGCTGCTGCTGCTGCATCTGCAGCTGCTGCAGATGGTATTGCGAACCTTCCGCCAGGGTGTCCAGGCCAGATGTAGACATGGTCGGCTGCGCAACATGACTGTGTGCTATCATATTGTGGGCGCCGAAGTTGGAAGGAGGATACCGAAGACCTGCAGACAGCATATTCGCAAGACGGTCGCGAATCAGCTGATTCGGCAGTTCGGAGCACGGGCAGTCGGTTGGGCTAGATCGACGCTACGGATGCTTTGGGCGGCGCTCCGTTGCAACGAGAAATCATCTCCAAGACATTCGTACAACGAGATTACATGCTATGGTTGACAAACTCAGCTGAAAGGGCACGAAGAGCAGCGCAACCTCGGCGCAGAGGGAGCACAGCTGCACAGGTGATCCGTCTCAAGATCATCGAGTGATGGGAGAACTGCGGTATGCGAGTGTAGCGGCTCTGGCGGGGTTGGTCGCGTTAGTCCTTCCATGATTTCTAGCTTCTACGCGATCCTGGGGTACACACTTTCCCCGAAGCAGCTCATCAAACCCTTGCAGAGGGGGGTGGGAAAGAGGCTCGAGGCTCGCTGGTGACCTTGGTCTTGCTCTCGCTGGGTGGGCCTGATCCGCCGCAAGATCCACTATCAGACATTGCAATTGCTGCGTGACAGTCTGCATGACTAGCTTCGCTCGGCGAGTTCGCGCCCTGTGCTGGCGGTGCCAGGCAAAGGGTCGCTTTTTGCGACCTTGGAGCAAAATTTCTTTGCTTCGTAAAGCCTTTGGGCGTTCATGTCTACCCCGGACGCCGATCCCGGGTAAATACAAATGGGCATCATACAAGCCTTCCTTCAATCTCCTCCGTCATCTCTGCGTACGGAGATGCAGGGACGGTTCTCGAGTGCATGTGCCAGCGGACAGCCGCCCGCAATCTGAGGGGCGGCGGGAAGGCTGGAGAGCCGTTCGCAGCCAGACGCGTCCAGACTGCCGAAGTTCTTGTGGTGTGACTTCCGTCATCAGACAGAACTTCAAGCCGGGCCGAACTCTGTAGTGACTGGAGGCAGCACTTACCGAAGCGGTGTGCAGTAAAGACTGCATTGGTCACCTCCAACATCCGCGAAGGTCTGATAGCGATTTGACAGATGATAGCGATCGAGAGTCTCAGGTTAATGCACCCTTTGAAGTTGGCACGACCGGACATTCCGTGACTATCTGTATAACCCCAGACACAGAAGCGTGCTATGGCCCCAGACGCCATGATGAGCCACGCGACAGATCCTGGTTGCATGCGCATGGCTAACCCGGAAGAGTATCTCCAGGGTTGGCGAAGTTGGTGTTGCGCGGACGACCAAGGAACATCCTGCTCCTCATTGCGAGGATGTAAGCTATGCACCAGTGTTCAAGCAATTTTTGCACGATTGCGGAAGTGATATTTGTGATGTGACCCGACCCGGCCGTCTACGGCACCCTGTGGATACAGTATGGAGTGCACGGCCCGAGTCTTTTGAAGTATGATCTCCTTCCATCCGAACGAATACCGGCCAAGTAAGGTCAGCGGATCAGCCACGCCTCTGGCAGCCACAATATATAACCCCAGCTGGCCGCCCGGCCGCCGTGTCAGCACGTGTCTCTAAGCGAGCCAGTCCGAGAACGTAAATGCTTCCCCAACACCACTTTCATCAAAGAACAGCCTCACTTAGATAAGGCTAAGCAGTGTAGTCTAAGATGTACCACGAATGGGTGGTTTACATGGGTACAATGCATGGCTACTTGTTAAGTATTTGTTGTACAACAAAATCCGTACTAGTACCACATGCCAGTCATTAGGGACGCGACTCGGCGTGCCGCTCTGGCTCCGTTATATGAATGTCAAGCTGCGAGAGATGCTTCGGTGACACGTTGCCGTCTCGATGTGCCGTCGAGGCAGTCCGTCGGCGAGGCCGCGTGAGCCTCTCGTGCGGCACGCTCGCCTCAGCGGAGTCCGGCGGCTCAGCGTGAGCCTCTCGAGGTTGGGGTGTACTGTCGTTCACGCCTGTCTCCGGACTGACCGGAGTGGAGAGATCAGTGGAAGATCGGCCATGGCTCGCAGTCTCGTCGCTAACATCTGGAATGGCATCGGCAGCATTTTGACCTGACAGAGTGTCCGTGATGGAAGGCCACTCTTCGCTCGTTTGTCCGAGATCGTCAGCCTCCACTGCAGCCGTGGCTCCCGCTTCGCCTTCGCTGAACGCTTGCGAGAGCTTAGCTTCTACGTCATGTTCTCTTGATGCTTGACTTTCACCGCGAGTTTGCTGTCTCCGCCAATCGACAAAAGAGCTGACGGAGCCCTTGTCTGTCTCGATGCAGTCGCTGATGGTAGGGTCTTCAAACACCAGATCCTCTTCGCCGCCAAAGCGATCACCACCGATGATCATTGTCGTGTGCTGATCAAGCTCGGGTGCACGCTTGAACTCTTCCGTCTCAGTGAACTGCCTTGCATCTGCATAATCGACATCTTGTTCAAGATCCTGAGCCGCATCTTCAGCTGACTCATGATCTTCTGCAGTGTAGTCTTGTTGCAGCTCCACATCTGAACCGAGTGGAAGCGATTGCGCCATCTCGCGGAGTAGCTGCGCTTCGCGTCGTGCCGCTGCCTTCCTACGCGTCTCCTCTGTGAAGCTGAACCTGCCCAAGACTTCTTCAATCCGCTCCTCCACCATGCTCTTCACATGGAAGGCCAGCGCTCGGGTCGTGAAGATGCCGGCGAAGCGATAGCTGAGCCAGAGATATCCTACAATGCCCTTGTGTAGGCGCTCGAGCTCCACCAGGTACTCCCTACTCGCAGATACCTCCGCTTCAAGCAGTTCCAGTGGTAGCTCCTCGATATCGACTATGCTACCACCAGACTGGTTGGCAATACAACGGGCAAACGCCGGCATCAGCTTCTGCCAGATTTGTTCTCTACGTCCCGCGGGCGCGTTGCAAATAATGTTTCGGTCGGAGATGGTCAAGCCTTTGACAGGCTCAATGAGATCTGCAATGAAGATTTGTTCTTTCAACCCACAAAGGTGAAATCGGTTGTGCATCTGACTTAGCTCGTGGAGACGGATTAGGATGTAGGAGAAAGGCGTTCCGGGCGGGAAGTACGACGAGAAGCGCTCGAGTACCGAAGAAGGCGGAAAGAGCCCGGCGGTCTTGATGGGCTCTGGTTCGGCAGTCATGGCTGCGGCAACGATTGGGAAGTCAAACGGCTCAATCGTTGTGACGAGCCCGACGTTGTCTCTGTTGCCAGAAGCTGCATTTTCGACCTTCTCAAATGGTGGGTCACCTTTCTTAGCAGCAAGGTCTTCCTTTTCCTCTGTCGCTTTCGCATTGAAGCTCGCAGTACGATATCTGCCTGCTCTACCAGCGATCTGCTTGATGTCTGCAACGCCGAGTGTACGGCGTTGTTGGCCGTCAAACTTGGATGACGATTCGAAGATGATGCGCTTGATGGCAAGGTTGAGGCCCATACCGACTGCATCGGAGGCGACCAGAAAGTCGTATTCGTTGTTCGGCTCGTTAAAAAGGCGTGCCTGTTGTGCTCGAGTCTCGGGTGGAAGCGAGCCGTAGACGGTGGCCACCTTGCGACCAGTCTGTTGCTCGATCTGCCGACGAAGGGCGTGTATACCCATGACTGAGAAGGAGACCACGCAGTCACCTTTCCTCAGCTTGCGCAGATCTCCGTTCAAACTCTCTCCGGCCACTTCGAGCGGTGACAGACGTTGATAACGGTGGATCTCAAGCTTGTCTCCAACACTCGCGCAAAGCTCACGAATCAAGGGCACCGTCCGCTCCTCGCCACACAGATGCACCTCTTTGGCTTTCACGCCAAGGAGAGCTTGGGTCCAGGCCCATCCACGCTCAGCGTTGCCTATCATCTGAATCTCGTCAATGACTGCCACGTCCATCGTTGCATTTAGCGGCATCATTTCGACCGTGCAAGCAGACATAAGTGCGTTGCCGCCGACCTTCAGCTCAGAGCTGCGCTTCTCCTCTCCAGTGATGAGAGAGCAAGGCCGGCCTTTGGCGTTCATTCGAGTGTATACCTCATGTGCGAGTAGTCGTAGTGGACCAGCATACACGCCCCTCTCAGCCTGTTCGAGTCTTTGCAGCGCATGATACGTCTTGCCGGAATTAGTTGGGCCGACGTGCAAATGCACCGTGCGGTGCATAGTCCTCGTAGCTGGGAACCATTCGCTTGGATATCGCAAATCTGCAAGAGCTTTCTGGTTCTTGATATCACTCTCGGTGAAACTCGAGCCCACAATATGATTGTAGAAAGAATACTTAATCCGCTCGTCCAAGCCCGCAACCCCACGAATGTTGTAAGCGTCTAAGAGATGTGCGGGTAGGTTTGTGCCCGACCTGTAATCGAGCCCTTGAAATGAATGGCCTGATGCTTGTAGTGACTGGACGAACTCCTTCCATATCATGTCAAACGTCGGTCGGCGCTTGTCCTTTCCGGTCCCCCTGTGTTCCTCGTTCCTTACATGCTCCAACAGCGGTGCATGTTGGAGTTCGTCCTTCAGCACCGCGAGCCGATCCTTAAGGACATCGTTGATGTTCGGCTTCACGGTGCTGTCCCCGCGGGCACTAACATCACGACCTGCGATCTGCTTGCGCACGAGACCGACACGTTTGACATCCGAGAATTTGTCAGTACTTCTGGCCCGGTCTGCGCGTCTCTCTGCACGGACAAGGCGGATCTTTGAGCCATCGTGTTCCAATTCTGCAGAGCTGGTGGCGGAGGTGGCCTTGAGCCGACGGGCTTGTAGCGTACGTTGTTGACACCGAAAGGCGCAGTAGATGCATCTGCCGGACTGGCGGGTCGATAGTAGCATACCAAGTAAGAGCGAGCGGTTCAATATGCGGTGGGGAGCAACAATGTTGCGACAGGCACTCCAACCCCAACTTTGATGCTGAGAGGCCCGAGGCGGTGGTTTGGGTTGCAGCGGCCCGAACCTCCGCCTACGCCTCTACCCTCCGCCCTGCGCTTGCTACAATGACGAAGTCGTAGACCTGAGCATATCAGAGCTACATTTAAAAAGAGGGCGTGGAGCACTCAGGAGCACGCGACCCCGACCATGGCCGCAGTCGCCTTCGCCTGCCCTCACTAGTTTCCCTAGCAGTCGTAAGTGTTCTGCTACCGGGCTACCCTCCACTCAGAGACCCACTACACGACCGCCCGTAATGGTATCAATAATAGATGCACAGCGCGAGAGTATGTGGTGCACGAGCACGCAGACGTAGACTGCTAACGTGCTGTGCAGTCATACTCGGGACGCTCAAACATGTGATACAAGGAGACGTGAGTCTTGCATCCCTGCCTCCATCGCGTGCCTACCTGATTAGGCCATAGTGGAAAGTCCTGGTTCTGGACTCAGAGTCAAAGCGCCTGATCGACAATGTGATTGATCAGGATGAGGTATTGAACCTCAACATTACCTGTAAGCGTCCACTTGAGTCCCGCTGAGGTCGCGCTTCGCCTGACTTACTCCAGACATTGAACAGATCACGGACCGCCGCCAAGCGAATAGAGACATCGATGCCATTTACTTCCTGACACCGCAGCCATACATCGTGGACTGCGTCATGGCGGATCTGGAGAAGAGAAAGTACAGAAAGGCGCACTTGGTTTGGACCAGCTGTAAGCCTGAGGACTGGCAGCAATCAGTGCGAGGGTTGAATACTGATGAGTTTGCCAGTACTGCACCCTGCTCTACGAGAACGGATAGACAAGTCGCACAAGTCACGCGAGCAGATTGCGCTGTTCCGAGTGCTCAACGCAGAATTCTATCCCCGAGAGTCGCATCTAGTCACCTTTCGTGACCCGTGGAGCTTCCCTATTCTTTTTCACCCAGGTTGCAACAATCTGGTCAGGCAGCATATGGAAGATATTGCTCAGAAAATCGTTGGCGTCTGTGTGGCGCTAGGCGAATATCCAAGCATTCGCTACTACCGCCCACGACGATCGAATCACGAAGCAAGCGTACTGTGCTCGCACCTTGCAAGATTCGTACAAGATGAGCTTGACCTGTACGCTAAGTTCCACGAGGACTTTCCGCCACCGACGAAGCGACCAAGGGGTACTTTGTACATTACCGACCGCTCGATGGACCTATTCGCACCCCTTCTGCACGAATTCACATACCAGGCAATGGCGCATGATCTCTTACCCATCAAAGAAGGCGATAAGATCACCTACCGGACTACCATCAACGAAGGCCAGCGTGACCAGCAGGAAAAGGATATCGAAATCACCGAAAAGGACAAGATATGGACTGACAACCGCCATCGCCATATGAAAGACACCATTGACGTCTTGATGGCGGACTTTCAGCGCTTTATCAAAGACAATCCAAACTTTACCAAGGAAGCCGACGGTGGCGCGAATAGTCTGAACGCCATCAAGGACATGCTTGCAGGTCTGCCGCAGTTCCAGAACATGAAGGAGGCATATGCGCTCCACCTAGGCATGGCGCAGGAGAGCATGAATCGATTCCAACGTTGGAAGCTGGCAGAGCTAGGCAATATAGAACAAGTAAGTACGCTTGCGCTTGCGATGCCGCTGCCGACGTCGCGCTGACAGATGGCAGACACTTGCCACAGGCCTAGATGAGGACTACAAGAAACCGAAAGGCGTGGCAGACCAAGTGGTCAGGATGCTTGACGAGGATGATGTCCAACCCGAAGACCGACTGCGGTTGTTGCTGCTGTACATGCTGCACCGGGACGGCATCTTACGAGCGGACCTTGAACGGCTAGAAGCACATGCCAACCTCGCTCCTAGTGACGACGCTCCGATACAGAACCTGACTCTATTAGGAGCGAGGATCGAACGTGGACTGAAAGACAAGCGACCACCCCCAGACTCGCTGTTTCCCCGAAAGCCTCCCCCTCCGGTCAACGCGCAAGAGGGGTATGCACTTTCGCGCTTCGAGCCTGCAATGCAGTTGCTTCTTGAAGCGCATGCAAACAATGCCGTAGACGCACAGGCTTTTCCGTACACCAAACCTCCTCTTGATCTTGACGAAGCGGCTCAAGTCTCTGCCACCTCCCTTCGGACGGCGAACCCGAGCTGGGCCAATCGACGTGCAGGAAACGTGGGATCAGAGAACAGACAGCGCGTAATCGTGTTCGTAGCAGGTGGTGCTACCTATTCCGAATCGCGGGCTTGCTACGACATTGGCCGAGTTACTTCGCGCAACATCTTCCTCGTGACATCGCACATGCTTACGCCGAAGCTTTTCCTACAGCAACTTGCTGACCTTTCAGCCGACAAGCGTAAGCTGAACATACCTGCAGAAATGCCGAAGCTGCAAGCACCTGCGCACCTTTTCGAGCCAGATCCGCAGCCAAAGCCTCCTCAGCAACCACAACCATCTCAGCAGCAGAGAGCACCCACTGTAGCACCCCCAACGCAGCAGATAGCGAGTGTGAACCTCAACGGGCGATCCAACGGTACACCGGACGCCGCAGGAGCAGCGCCTACTGCGCCAGTTCAAGCGAATAGTTCTGCGAAGTTGACAAAGGAGAAGAAGAAGCATCACTTCGGCTTTGGCAAAAGGAAGGATTGAACTGCTGAAGCAACATAGGGCGTGTTCGAGATTGCCGCGCAGCGCAGTCCCTTGCTGCTCCGAGCAGCAGAAGTAAGAGCGCCATGGAAGCAGCGAAAGCAGCAAGTCGCGTAGGGTAGATGTAGCGCCCATACCGGATAAGCACGGTGCCTTCAGCGAGTTTAAGCAAGAACAACAAGGCACGTTCAAGCAGCGTACGCTTGCCTCTGCAAAATCAATGAGGGATAGCGCATACAATACAGTATCATAGCCAGCCTCGTAAATCAGAACGCGGAGACTCAACATCCTGGAGCAATCTTTGGACCTCCGGCCGCAGTGGTCTGCTGCCTCTAGAGATGGTGACTCTGGATTGAGCTAGTGTAGGCGTGGTTATGTGTCCTAGGGCGCGTTCATACATCGTAAGGATTTACGTTTGATGAAGCAGTCAAATGTCATGATCATGGTCAATACTTCACAGTCCGTCGGTTAGCTGCAGGTAAAGGCAAAAGCTTACCGCCTCTGCCTCCCTGATGAGGATCCTCCGAGCAAGGTTGTGATGTAGGCATACGCGACTGCATCATCGCCATCACCCTGGGGCACCCGTTCACTGACGATGAGCTCCGTTCTTGCATGATGTACCTGCAGGAAGTGTCTCAATAGATTCACGCAAGAAACGCGATGAGACGGTAGTCTTCCAGGTCGCAAACGTGGGAGCGGAGACAGAGGGGAAGCTGCGACACGTCAGGTGCATCCGGCTGCTCTAGCATCTGAGGAGTACAAGCGGTGAGCACTATGTTCTTGTTGATGAAGAGCGAAGAGGAATTGCGTAAGGAGTACCAGCGTCGGAGGGCGGTTCGTATTTGACCGACATTACGCAGTTTCCCACAAGTTCGGAATGGAAGTACCGAGACAGCGGCTGACCTACGACCCCTGTTGTGGCCAAATATACAAATCTTCTACTCTCCTGTACGGCGATGCTTCCCGAAAAGGAGAGCCAATTGTACATGAGACGTCAGCAGCATCGCAGTCCTACCTGTTCCTATATATTGTAGCTCGGGCTATCGTTATGAAGTCTTCAAGCTTCCGAGCCAAGCATTCTGCGTAAGCGTGCAATTTGCATACGATATCGTCGTAAACGATCGGAACCCGGTCTCAGCCACATGGAGTCTTAGATCGACAAGTCAACTTGTGGCCGGCGTCCTGAACCCTGACGGTGGAGGCGCGATAGTGCATTGTGATGCCACTTAGAGGGAGGCTCATTCTCCGAAGACTTACTAAGCGGATCGACTCTTATCATTGTCAGGAGGCTGCAGCAGGTGTGGGCCCGTAGTGCTACGACCAGTGGGTTTGCAGGCTCCGAATGGCACAGGACCGCAGTCACGTATAAGGCTTCGAAATGAGAGGTGTTCGCAGTGGCAGAGACAACCCGCCAAAACGAAAGGTCATTGGTCGGAGGGAAGTGAGGTGCATTCGCCCGATGCGCGGCGGGATTGGCCGCACGCCAGTCCCTCAACTTCGGACTTCATGTGTTGAAGCTAGAGCTTAGGTTATGATTGAGTGTGCAAGCACCGGCCATGCCACCTCACTGACAAGACCCTGCATCGCGAAACCTCGCGGCGTGACGGCGCAAGCACTCATCATTGCAATGTATGACGGAAATGCAGAGGGACGGAAAAGGCAGCGATGCACCTCAGCCTTCGGCTCTCCTCTTCGACCTGCCTGCATCATTGTCCGTAGCGCGTCGGTGCTCCCAATTGCGGAGCAACAATGGCATGGACGTGACTTCGTCTTCCATTGCTGGTAATGTTTGGCACGGATATGAATGTGGGCGATGGTTGATGGCGACGATCGGACGCAGAGGCCCAAGGTGTCTCGCACGCATGTAATCCCATCACCCTTCCGGTCGTGGTAGATAAGCCACACTGTTGACGGTGCTCCTCCTCAGGTTCTACGCACCCAGCAAACAGTATATATCCGCTCCGCAACGAATAGAATTGTTAACGCTGTATGGTTGGTAATCTTGAAATATTGTGGAGAGCGAGTGTTTGCCATGCAGAGGGAGCTTGATCTTGATGGAAGGCATCAGTTCTTACGCCGCACGGGAATCGTGATGAGCCTTGCTTCATGCAGAATCATTCGGTTGCATGACTCAAATCCTATCCCTGTCGTCGCTGCTCACTAGGTTCTTGTTGCATAAGCAAGCAATATCTAACGGTTGCATGACTTGTTTAATAACCAGAGTGTTACTTGAAAGATTGTGCCCATTGTGCCGCAACCCAAACCAAGGCAGACCGACGTCAGCCAGCTTTCCTCGAAAGTTACGCGATCCGGCCCCGCTAGGCGTTCTGTCAGCGGCAGCCATGCTGCACGACTGCTGATGATGCTGGCTTCATTGGTTCCTGGTTCCTGTGTGGACCTAACCGGGGGATGTGCAGCGAAGCTAAGCTTTGCGAACGCAGCCACTAGGCTTTGCATAAGTGCTCCAGATCAGCGCAACGCTCCCGCCTCGCGGACAGGCTGTCGACAAGACTAATTGGTGAATGGCTCATCGTATCCCAACAGCTTACGTGACTTCTTCCGGTCCTCGGAAACGGTCGATGTGGATAGGCATTGCTTGTGCGACAAAGGGTTCGAATGATTGAAGGACATAAGCCAGTATAACGAACATTGCGCTGAAATAGAACTGAGAGGCTTGCGTTCAACGGCCGTCGTGTCCCCAGGCGCTCGCAATAACCTTAAACATACGACTATGCGCCATCTTCGATATCCATGTCTCGCACTAACGAAACCCGAACCGCAGTGTTTCGGAAGTCGCAGGCGGAGTTGACCTCCAGTTACACATGCTGCCGCACCCAAATTGCACTCAGGATTGTGTCGCTTCTCAGGGCTGGTTCATCGCTTGCTCACTGCTGCTTGCGGAGTTCTGCTTCAGGCTGCTGCAGTTTGGACACGGTCAGGTGTCCGAGGTGACTGAATGTTTTCGACAAGGACAAGAACGCGCACTGCGAGGGACCGCCTGCTCACCTGATTATGATCGTCGAATCTTGCTGAACGAAAGTATCTTAATCAATCGATCAATCACTGGCTGGCGTACCTCCATGACCGCTCGCGCTTGGGTTGTGCCTGCTCAGTCGGAAAGGCTGCGTATCTGGATCTATGCATCTGGTGTTCCCCGGAGCAATGAACGGCCTTACTAGAGAGTACTGTGAGCTGCTGCACTTGCAACGGTGTGACACCAGTCGCCGGCGACAACGTGCCTTGAGTCAACGATCCGGATCGGCCTGGTGTAGCGCAGGAGTTGAGCCGCCATTCTATTTCTCTTATCCGTCACCGCCGATGTCAAGCCCGCCATCACCACCTAGAGCGCTGGCACCGGAGGGCATATTGACCTCATCAACAACAACTTCTGGAGCCCCAGCGCCCAGACTCGCACTTTCTCTCGACACAAACCCTGCTCCAGTACCAGCTGGGTCGGTACCCGCGACCGGCTCAGGATCAGACACATCACCGGCGCATGGCACGTCACTGTCGGCTTCGTCAGACCTTCGCTTGACCGGTCTCAGCGTAGCCACGACTCTCAGCCTGCCGGGAGCGCCAGCAACTGCTGCTGAGTCACCTGTGCGTAGCGGACGCAGATCGAAGACGCATGTCGCCTCGGCATGCATCAACTGTAAACGTGCGCACTTGAGCTGCGACGTACAACGTCCATGCGCGCGATGTGTAGCCTCCGGCAAACAGGTACGTACACTCACAGCAACCAGACATCTAGAGCACAAGGGTTAACGCTTCAACAGGACACCTGCATTGACGTGCAGCACAAGAAGCGCGGTCGGCCACGATTGCGAGAGGAAGGTGAGCTTCGCGTGCAGCAGCCAGGACCTGTGCGTACAGCAGAACCTGTCATAGCTGGTCCAGCGACCTCCGCAGCACGACCGACTGCGGAAACGAGACATAGACGAGGCGAGTCCTTTCGATCGCTAAGGTCTCAAGCCAGCGACGAATCTACAGGTTACGCAGCCACTACTCCGAGACAGTTCTTATCGACGGCTCTGCCGCCACCATTTGCTGCTCAGCCGCTCGCGCCAACGCCTGCGCGGCCTGCTTTTGAGATAGCAACAGCGCTGCTTAACACCGATATGGTTATCATCCGCGCAAACATACAGTTCGAACAGATATTGTTCGGTGGGCAGCCCGTTCGTGGCCGTCACATCTCTGACATTGCTACTCCTGCCGACGCCGAGAGCTTCCTGACTATACGCAACAGACTACGAGCAGAGCGTGAGTCACGCGAGCCGACCTTCATGCCACCTATATTGCGGCCCGGTCAGGATCCCTTGGTTGGCATCCCAGAGACTGACGCCGACCGCTACACACAGGGTCTCTCGGACCGCACATACATATGGACGTATGCGCAGCCGGCGGGAAGATTCGAGACGTTCCCCGTCAGAGTGAGACAAGCAAAGGCAAGCACGTACTTTGTGGTGGTAACCCTCCCATCATTTAGGCCAGTGGAGCCTCGAACCTCACCCATGTACCCAATGCACGCGCCTCCGCTGTTGTTCGGACCTCCGTTACAGACCCACTCCGCACTACCGCCCCGTCAGTCAGGATCTCTGTCTGCGCCGCCGTTCACACCGTTGCCGTTCGCTAGTCCAACTGCGATGACCCAACCACAAGGGGATCCAATACAGGCTCTATCTTCGCGAACCTACCCACCACCTCAACCGTTTCTACCCTACCAAGCACAACAGCAGCCACAACCAATGTTCTATTCGACAGCGCCACTGACGCCGCGGTTACCAGTAGCCGAGCCTCCTACTGAGCCTACGGCGTTCACGCCTAGATCACTTCCTATCGAATCCCTACGTGTTATGGAGGCACCGCCTTTGAATTTGCCGCCTATAGGCGCACGTCCTGTTACTGCAGGTCCATCTGCGTCGCAAGAGATGAAAGGTTTGTCGGAAGAGGAGGACGGCGGCCCCAATCTCCGTTCGCCGAGAAAGCGGCGGCGTGTTGGCATTCGCGACGTTCTACAGCGATGACATGGGGACAACGCTCAGGATCGCATAAGAAGAGGACGATGAGGGACTCTTTGCGGCGCGGAGCCACAGTACTGGGCCATGGTTGAATTTTGATAGAGCTGGTGCTCATTGGACGGCATCGTACAGCTTTAGTGTAAGATAGCAAGTCCGTGAAAGACGAGGAGCGTGGCAATCGGCGAACAATATATCTACACTTATAGTGAAGCACATTGCGGCGAGATACTACGGTGGTGAGTAGCCGCGCCCTTGCCTGGTCTTCCTGACCCGTCAAGGCCTGCGCTGTGCGAGAAGTGAACTTCAGAGACCCTGGCCGGCACTTACACAGCCTGTGCCTCTGCTATAGCTGAGGATGCAGGTCGAGGCGATATCTCCTCCGTCTGGTCCACTCCTTTTTCCTGCGTCTCGTTGATGGCTTTAGTAGCCGGCGTCGGTTCGGATATGTTGACTGACTTCGCATCGTTTGTAGCTTCTGGGAACAGTTCCGGCATGAGACCTGGCAGGAAGCGTTCGAGGCGGGACGATGTTTCCGTCCAAAGCTCTTTCTGCAATTGTGACCGTTCGTCCGGGCCGTCTTTCGTAGGCGGGACAAGATTCCCTCCAGTTGACATTACCAGCAAAATGTTCTTCAGCGACTCCGGGATAGCCTCGACAAGCGTGTCACTTTGGCCGCTATTCATTAAGCGGTCCATTATTGTCAGTATCTTCACCCAAAGGTCAAGTACACCTTCCCATCCGCTGAGCAACACGAGGTGATGCAGAAATATCTTGCAAAGCAGTTGCGCCGCCTGAACGCGGGTCTCGCTCATCCCCAGCGGGTCGGTCTGATAAATCTCGGGCTTCAGTAACTGGTTAATGAGAGGAAAAAGAACTTCTCCAAAGATGTTAGTCCACTCATTGTGGTCTTGCGACGTAAGCTCAGGCGAGAGCAGACAGCGCTGCAGAAAGGTAAACGACTGTTGCCGTATCTCGCGACATGGGTTTGTGCACTGAGTCGCCAGACAGCGGAACACCGGCGACCAATAAGCCCGCCAAGCCTCATTCGTCTCGAGATGAGAGTGCGCAATTAACGCAGGCGCACAGCCGGCGAGGCGCGACACCAGCGTTAGAGCTCGCGTACCGCGAGTGACAGCCTCGCTCTTCTTGAGCTTCTTGTCCTGCGTTAAGCTGGCTTGCTGACCGCGTTTGAGCTGTTGGTCGCGTTGTTGTTCGAGCTTCGCACCAACACTACCGGACCATGCAAAGGCGTTCAGTAAAGCAATAGTGGCTTCATAGTTATCGCCGGTAATGGCTGGGTGTGGGCCAGCGACAATGGCTTCGACGATCTGGAACACAAGCCCTGTAGCTTCGGGCTGCGGTTGCAGTGCACGCATGATAGCCCAGAAGTCCGGCGAGCTTGCCATCTCGTTCCTTAATTCTGCCGGCCCACTGATGCAGCCATGTATCCCCTTCAGTATTGGCTGTGCGCACGCTTTCAGCGTATCTTGCCTGAACGATGAAATAGCGTGCAGCACGACGGGAGTTCGAATATACTTATGATCGTTGCTGGCCCTCAGCAAGGCCAGCAGGTAGAACACCGTCCTGCTGAGAGCTACAGGATGTAAGCGTTCGGCATCGCGAATCGCAGATTGCAGAGCGTCCGCCACGTCTGCACCAAGAGCAGCGATGGTCTCCTCGTCCCGGAGAGCGAGGATCGTTGCTAGTTCGAGTACATACACCACGGCTGGCCGGTATACGGGCGGCTCCGCACTTTGACCGCCCTTCATGCCATTTGCTCGCACTGGGGTTGGAGCAGACATCTCAGACTTGACAGTGATGAACGGCGGTGATTCGCTCTCCGGCAGATGGGACAGTAGCGACATGGTCAGTGATTTTAATGACTCTACAGGCAACTCTGATACGTTGCCAAGAATCTCTTCGAAGCGGCAGGTGTTAATGCAGTCCACAGTGCATAGAGTTGCTTCGATTTCTTGATCATTCGGTTCCGGAGGCTCATCATTCATAACGCTGCTCACATACGATGTGAACGCGCTGAAGAGACCTGTTTCGCTGGACTTGTCATTGCGCTCAATGACTTGCGCAGGAGACTGGAGAGGAATAGGTGGAAGGTCGAGGTCGCGTGATATCGACGTGAAAGAGGTGGGTATCAGCGAATTCACGAAAAGGTTGACGAGGATATGGACGATCTGCAGCATTGTCAACCAAGATACGGAATAGCGGTCAAGCACAAGTACTTACTGGAGTCCAGCCGTCTCTGATGGCGTCCTCGTGACCGTTTATGATTCTGAAGAGCACAAGGGTCGCCAACTCCGCCTTGTTGTCTCTGCCAAAGTCGACAGCAAATTTGCTAACCATTATGCTCTTCCCACTCGCCTGCATCTCCGTGTTGAGACCCGTATCAGGAGGAGCTTCGGTCGCTAGTGTTGAGATCTTAGCCAGACTCTGGATGATGTGGTCGAGACAGACGCTAATGCCGTATCTGGCTGCAATTTGCGCACATTGGCTGTAGCCAGCAATCACGCGCTGGAAGACGGCGTCTTCGGTTGCGGAGACGAAGACGTAATTTAGAGTCGCAACGATCGGTCGCCAAGTCGCCGCAAACATGTCGGCGTCGTAAATGTTCGTCTCGCATATTACAAGGTCTTCGGCAGTCTGCGTCTTGACCAGTAATTCCTTCCACGCATGTTCAAAGGCATGCTTGTTGTCATGTTCTTCTGGTAGGACGATCTCGTGTGCCTTGATCGCATCATATATCTCCTGTAGATACGCTGGGTCGAAATCCTTCCCGTCATTGACGCCTCGCAGATTCTTCGAAAAGTCTTGCACCGTCATCCGGTTTTGCTGTTTCAGGTTTGGATTATACTGATCCGTGTTCAACATGATAATCGCATAGGTAAGTATGAACAGAGCATCCGTGTTCGCAACATATTCTGACTGGGTGGCAGCGCAGTACTTTTCGCTGAAGACGGTGACGATGCGCTCGATCAGGGCAGACTCACCAGGCAACCGGAAGGTGTTCAGCATTTGCCGCAATGCTTCATCAACGCGCAGTCCTTGAAAATCGAAGAGGTCAAGGAAGGCGTCCAGGATCGCTTCGTTGCCCTTCTTCGCAATGAACTCGCCAAGAACCTTCTTGTCCACCCGAGTGGTACCCTTCAGAAAGCTGGTGACGGAACGCGCGTCGTTCGGATCTTCGATGATGCCTTGGCTAGCGAGAAACGCTACGCCACCCTTAGGACTCTCATTGAACTTCGTTGCGCCGCGAATGATGATTTTCTTCTTGTTCCGCTGTTCCCGGAGTCGCTTCCTGTCCGGCATGCCCGAAGTCTGTGGCTCGTCATCAAGCCGGTCGGCCATCCACTGCACATAGCACAGCAAGCTGTCGAGACACAACGGTGGTACATTAGTGGTGCTCCAGGTAGCAGAGTCTGGGAAGGCGTTTCGTGATAGCAGGCCGACCATGTCCGAGCAGAGATCGCTGCGGTCAATTTCGCAGTCGTAGTTCACGAACAGCTCAGCCATGAAGCTGGGTATGCGGACTAGCCCTCCCACAGCCTCCACCATCGCTTCTCTGGCATCGGGCTTTCGTGACCCGCCTTCCATACCAAGCCTCTGTCGATCCCGGACAGGCACTGGTGTCGACCTGCCGCTGCCCGTACCGGGTGTCGGCTGTGGACGCGCAAGCCCTGGCGCTTGCGGCACACCTTGGTAGAGTAATGGATCGACATTCGGTTCATCTGGAATGGGTATACGTGGGTGAAGGCAGGCTACAATGTACGACAAGAATAGCTCTTGCTGAAGTTTCAGTACACTCCGACATGTCGCAAGCAGTGTGCCGGCGACGCGCAAAGACTCATGGAGAATGGCGATGTTCTCCGAGCGCACCAATTGAAACAGATTCCGGCAAAGCGTGTCCTTAGCCAGAGAAGCCAAGCTTGGGTGGTTCGCAATGCTCGGTCCTGCCACTTCCAAGGCCACATTGACAATCCTCAACGCCATCACCCGAAGTGTGTCCGTCCTTTGTCGATCATGAGGATCCAGCAGATCCGCCAGTACCCGAAAGAGCTCACGAATGGAAGGTAGTCCATAGGGCCGAACGTCCTTTGTCGATTCCTCGTCGACCTTTGCCAAATCAAGCTGGCTTGCACTCGCAACTTCCATCGAAGACCTGTCGCCGCCACTCGTGCCTGGTATCTCAAGGCTAGTGCTTCCGCGTTGCATGGCGTTAGGTCCATGATCTCCGTTCGGGTTGGAATCGATTCGAGCTGCATCCATGTCCTCCTGTGCCACAAGTGTGTCTGTTTCGCCGTCGCGATCGGCACGCTCTGCTTCCAGCACCTTTAGTCGCATGAAGATGGTCTGGCACATGGTCACCATGCTGACCTCTGCGCTCCGTCTCAGCACTTCGCTCATTCTCAGATGACAGCAAATGGAGAGAGCAGTCGTCATCATATTGCATACACTTTCGTCGCCAAGAACCTGGCCAGATGCGCCACAGATCATGTCCTCCATAAGCTTCAAAATCCGCAGGAATACCACTTCGTCGCTCGGGCTGTTGTCACCCTCAAACCTGCAATTCGTGACCGTAGAAGCTAGCAGCTGCATGCCATGGCCAAAGTTGGGACACTGCAGGTTGACTATGTTGTAGGCCAACATCTTCGTTATTGCAATCAACGCCAGACTTGTGATAGGCGCTGTCGTGCTCGAGCTTCGAATCACTTGGAGGAAGGGCTTGAGCAAGCTTGGAGTATCGAAGGACTGAATGTCCTTGCACCCCTTCAAGTCCGCCCGTAGCCTTGCGAAGGCACTCATAAGCGGATTGTCCTGCATGCTCTGGCCTTTTTTGCCTCGTAAACCCCACCTCGAAGTCAGGACACCATCGTCTTCGATTAGATCAAGCTTGCTGCTAGCTCGGTTCCTCTCGTGGTTTGACGCTCGGCTGTCGGAAGGAGGCGGTCGAGTCCCTGTCGGTCCGCCCAGAATCGAAGATATCGAGGAATGGGCCCATCTCGTGTGTTTGCGCATAGCGCTCGTTACCGTAATGCATTCTGTCACCACCAGCGCGACTGGGTCGATCGCAACAGTGACTTGGCCTGTACGGTGGCCATTTAGGCCTGTGCCGTCCATGTTGCTTCCAAATATGCCTGCAATGTGTGGACCTTGAACTCTGCCCTCAATAAGCACCCCTTACGCCATACGTTCTCCCGAAGGCCGTGCTAAGAACCGCCATGGCCGCGCAGTAGTACAACTTCGTCATTCACGGTCATTAAAGAATGGGAGGAGGATCGATTGGGATACTGTTTCCAGGATGGGGAGATGTCATTGGCAAGCCAAGCCGACAAGTGTCAAGCACAAGCCAGGCACGCGACGCGGAAGATTGGCCGATGTGTAGGATCTTTATTAGTGTCGATGCGCACTGCACACTTCAGAACACGCGTTATATGCCAGTATGGCCACCCAAGCGCCATTCAGGTTGGGGAGGAAAGAACTGCATCTGTACGCATAGTCGAGAATGAAGGGTAGACGTGCGAGCTGTGTCTGATTTCTACTTAGTCCGAACTTCCTCGTAATCCTCAAATACAGTTCCTGGCTCCCTGCTAATTACGCCTCGTTCATTGTACCTATCTGGTTCAGCAAGCTCGACCTCCGCGATTACCTCTACCACGCCTACAACGTCCGAGTGGGACCTTCTATCCGCTCCTACGTGAAACAGTCCCGCATACAACAGGGTAAGGGAACAAGGATCATTCGGCCACAGTACAAACGATGGCATCGACCGAGGGCAACAAAACACATGACGGTGGAGCTGGAGAGACCCTTTGTTTGGCCCGCTGAGCCGGCAGACTACACTGATTGGAACAAGGAGGAGGTGAAGATGGCGAGCGAGCAGCAAGAGGAGTTTAACGAGTCTCAGGGTCGAGCCAAAGATGCTTTAGCGGTGAGTAACGAGCACAGGTCCAAGATGAGGGAGCAAGCGAAGGCGTTGCTGGAAGGCAAGGTGCAATGGCGGCCGAGCGCCAGTAAGGGAGGCATGGGGCTCCGAATGTATGAGCGATGAGTGATGAGCCGTTAGTGCAACGAGCCTTTGTACCTTGCCTCTGCACATCGGATGCGATGATCGACGTCAACTCCGAATTTGTCGAATGTCGCATGCGTGATCGACACAATTACCCGGCATGCATACATGGCTAACTCGAACACTTTCTGAGCCTGTCCGATGGACGCAGAAAGGACCGTGATGGCCAATAGCCACAGCATGGCCACAGCACGGTTAGCGGCAGACGTTACATCGGACGGCCGGTGCGCCCACTCTTTCCTGCGGAGATTACACACCACGAAGACGACGAGTTTCGTGGTCCAGCCTTGGACTGTCTGATATGGGAGAGGGCTGGTTTTGCTTGGGGAGAGGGAAGCCAAGCGACGGTGTTCTGCCCTACACCATATCTTGAGATAAAAGCAGCTTCAAGGCACTCGTGATATGTATGCAATATGGAGGCTTGTGCAGTAAACATATAGTCTAACGTGCCCCTTTGGGCGCATTCAGTTCGGATGCTCATCACTTCGCTCCAGAGTCAAGGGTTCGAATACACCGAGTGAGGAGTAACAGCAGCAGACGGAATAGACGCCGCACGATGCTGAATTGCTGTATATGCCCTGCGCATCGACCCCACTTTATTCTCGAATGTCTGTGCGGAGATCTAACACGAGGCACGAGCGCGCCGAGCTCAGGAACAACGAGTTCACACTAGCGCGAGGGTGACCTGCAGCACGCGCACCACTTACTTCTTCCCTGCCCAGCAGATAGTACAAGCTCGGCATTGCTGTACGATTTCAAAGAGAGAACGCGCCCTATGACGATACATCACCGCTCCAAGGGGTGACTATGCACACGCTAAACGTCATCTACTCGAGTCTTTCCAATCCTCCCCTCAGTTAGGGATGGTTTCCCTACTGCTCCTGGCCGCCGGAGCCTCCATTTTGCATGTACGAACCCGACTACAGGGCTGCTCTGTAATCCTCGACTTCGAACATTTCCGGTGTACCGTTACGGATCGCGGGCCCGGACACGCTCCGCCCTTAGAACCGCTAAAAGTCCGCATAGCTTGCTCCTGCTGTGTCTCTATTGGACTTCGTGTCCTCAAGCGACCCCAATTGACGTACAGCTGACAGACGTTCCACTAAGCACCAAGAGAAGGTTCGGTGTCTGCCTCAATCTCGGTTACACTGCGCTTGTACTTCTCTACTGGTTGGTAATATCTGTAAGAGGTTTGCTTACATTATTGTCTTTTCCAACCTACTCTATACGATAACAAAGAAATTGCTGTAATGGGCTCAATCCCAGACGAAGCTCCAGTCGGAGGTCCTGCCATCTTAGACATTCGGTCTGACACTGATGGCATTTCGCTGAAGCAGGAGATCTTTAACGGCCTTAGGACAGCCGATGGGTGCGAGAAGACTCTACCAACCCTTTTGCTCTATGATGTGCAGGGCTTGAAGCTCTTCGAGCGCATCACGTATCTTGAGGAGTATTACTTGACAGGCGAGGAAATCCACGTGCTGGAAAAGCACGCGGCGGCAATCGCAAACAAGATACCGGAGGATTCGATGGTAGTGGAACTTGGGAGCGGGTACGCGTTTGGCGATCCGCCTCTCAACTAGGCCATACTGATATGCCCGACTAGCAATCTGCGCAAGATTAAAATACTCCTGGATGCCTTGGATGCGGCAGGGAAGCATGTCGAATACTATGCGCTAGACTTAATGGAAACGGAACTTGAGCGTACTTTAGCAGACGTTCCGAAGTACCGGTACGTAAGATGTCAAGGTCTGTTGGGTACGTATGACGATGGGTTTGCGTGGCTACAAAAGGACGAGAACGCAAGCAAGTCCAAGACGGTGCTGTCAATGGGCTCCAGCATTGGCAACTTTCCCAGAGACGAAGCTGCCGACTTCGTCAGGCAGATCACATCCGCGCTGGGACCGCAGGACATGTTACTCATTGGTGTCGATGCCTGTCAGGACCCTCAGAAGGTTTTCCATGCTTACAACGACTCCGAAGGGTGCGTACAACGTACGCTACGACTGAAGCTACAGCATGACTAACAAGGCCAAGCGTTACGCATGAGTTTACAGCGAATGGGCTCAAGCATGCCAACAGATTACTCGGCTACGAAGCTTTCAAGCTCGACGACTGGGAGATCATCGGCGAGTATGACAATTCACGTGGTGGTCACCGTGCGTTCGTCATACCCAGAATCGACGTTGAAGTCGAGGGCATACTGCTCAAAAAAGGCGAACGCATTCGCATCGAAGAAAGCTACAAATACTCGAAAACACAAGCCAATGAGCTGTGGCGAGCAAGCGGGGTGCAGGAAGCGACTATTTTCAGCAATGACGCTTCTACATACGGTAAAGTTTGCTCTTGCTTCGGCGAATCTAGAACGTCTGTTAATGAACAATTTGACGTACAGCATTGCATCTACTGAAGAAACGGCCTGCAATCATGTTTCCAACCAAACCAGAGGAATACGCTGCGCATCCTGTGCCTAGTCTAGAGGAATGGGACAAAGTCTGGGCAATCTGGGACACTGTCACGCGACAAATGATCCCAGATCAAGAGCTCCTCGACAAGCCTATCAAGTTGCGCAATGCCTGCATATTCTACCTCGGCCACATTCCGACATTCTTTGATATGAAGCTCACCGAGGCAACCAACACTGCACCCACTGAGCCGAAGTATTTCTACGACATATTCGAGCGCGGCATCGATCCCGATGTTGACAACCCTGAGCATTGTCATGCCCACAGTGAGATCCCAGATGAATGGCCTGAGCTCAGTACGATCCTCACTTTCCAGGAAGATGTTCGCGAACGAGTTCGTAAGCTGTACAAGTCCGGTCAGGCGCACAATGACAGCTGGACTGGTCGTGCGCTTTGGCTCGGCTTCGAGCACGAGCTCATGCATCTCGAGACCCTGCTATATATGCTCATTCAGAGTGAATGGGTACGATCGCCTGCTGTGGCGCTCAAGCCTGACTTTGAGAATCTCGCGGAACAGGCACGCGAGCAGGCTGTGGAGAACGAGTGGTTCTATGTGCCGAAGCAGACCGTGAGCGTTGGCATTGATGACCCGGATACCGCAGATGGACCCGTGCGCTATTTTGGTTGGGATGTCGAGAAGCCTGTGCAATCGGTGGAAGTTGGTGCGATCCAGGCAAAAGGCCGGCCGATCACTAACGAAGAGTATGTACGCTTTATGATCGCAACTGGAAAGAATGAACTGCCGGCGTCTTGGACGAGCGTGGAGCACACCAAGACCGTCAAGTATCACCGCGGTCGCGAAGCAGGATTTGACGAGTACATTAACGGCAAGGCTGTCCGTACAGTCTATGGTCCGGTGCCTCTTCAGTTCGCGTTGGATTGGCCCGTTTCAGCATCCTACGATGAGCTTGCCGGATGCGCCCAGTACATGGGCGGCCGTGTCCCCACAGTGGAGGAAGCACGCAGCATCTATCAACACGCCGACGGCATCAAAAGGAAGGAAGCATCAAAGGCTCTTGGCAAGACTATTCCAGCAGTCAATGGGTAAGTTGCTTTCCGTGGCTCGATTGCGTTCGGCGCTAAGCATATTGCAGACATTTGTCCAATGACGGCGTGGAAGAGACACCGCCATCGACGCGTTCCGTGGGCGGCTTCAATGCTGCAGCTAGCATCGATCCCAACCAGTTCTTCGTGGACCTCGAGACGGCAAACGTCGGCTTTAAATACTGGAATCCTGTCGCCGTCACACAGAACGGTGACAAGCTCGCCGGACTAGGCGAGATGGGAGGCCTTTGGGAATGGACTAGCTCAGCGTTGGAGAAGCAGGAGGGCTTCGTGCCGATGAAGCTCTACCCTGCATACAGCGGTAAGCCCCCAAAGCCTGCAGTTGCGGGTCACCCTTGTGCTGATGTGCGTCATAGCGGACTTCTACGACAACAAACACAACATCGTTTTGGGAGGCTCTTGGGCCACTCATCCACGACTTGCAGGTCGCAAGTCATTGTAAGTATTCCTCCCGGTCATTAGCGGAAGCATGCAGCTGACCGTAGCAGTGTCAACTGGTACCAGCGCAACTACCCGTATGTGTGGGCCGGTGCGCGCCTGGTAAGGGATGTCTGACAAGGTGAGAGCCTTGCTCGTCGCTTTCCTGCGCTCGACAAAAGTTAGTGCTATAGGTAACAGCTAAATACTATTTCTTGCTTACCTGCGGTGTTTCACATGCTAAACTGCTGGTGGGATCTCGCCGGGTACCGAAGCCAGATCTACCCGAAGCCTTGTGACACACGACCAAGGCAACGCCACGCACAAACACAGATTTTGTTTACAGCAACTGTGAACAAAGCAAAGCCACACGCTTCACAATACTAATGACAACGCGGGTGCTGATCGGTATCGGCTCCAACCTCTCTCTATTACCTTTCCAACATAACGTTCTTCTTCGCCGCGTCCACTTTGTAACGACATATCCAAGGCTGAATCAGTGAAAGCTCTCGTTCTCCATCGACTCCGCGCGTATGAACTATTTTCACGATTCGCACGTCAACACTGCGAGTCAGAACGTTAGCTTGTTCAAAGCAAGAGAATGCAAATTTCGACCCGAGACATCATCTCCAGCACATTGCTGCTCACAGAGTATCAGCCTCGCAGGAGTCTTCCTCTGCATCGTTACGCCTTCTACGGTCATTTCAGAAGGTCGAAGAGGCCGGACAAGGCTGCTCCAGGTCGTCCGCTGCCATGCCGAACGACATCTACAAATGGGAAGAGGGCGGTGGCTTAGGTGAGTACTGCCTGACCATTCTTCGCCACTGTCAGCTATTCCCCGCTTACCGATACTGCAGTACACCACTGCCCCATCTGCGAGACACCGCTTTCGCATGAAAAGTGCAGAAGCGTCTGCCTCGGGAACCACGTGGAGTGGTGCAGCCGATACCACACTCAGCTTTTCAGAAAGGGTGTGTTACTGCAGGCATCCTTGATGAATAGCATCCTGCTGACGTGACACAGGCTGGACAAGCCAGTGTGCACCATGCAAGCACAGCGAAGATCAGCATGACAGGCGGCATCGTCAAATTGCTGAGCTTCTACGGCAACTCAAGAATCTCCGCGACAAAGACGGGCCAAAGTCAACGACCTTGGTTGAGGTTACCGTGCCTAAGTTGCTCAGTGCGACTCCAAAACGGAAGAAGGATCGAAAGGCAGCTAAGAAGGCAGCCAAGGTGGCCAACAGGGCGAAGTTCATCACTCAAGCAGACATCGAGACCGTAGCGAAAGTGCTTCACCCTTGCGACCTCGATGAGGACGAGGCAACCGAAGAGAGGCAGTTGCTCGAAGACCCTGACATCAAGCTCAACCTTTACTTCCATAAAGGTACGAGCAACACCCGTGAGGTGCGCTACCGCCACCTCAGACCCCAGACAGGTGAAGTGGATGAACATGAGGTCAGCGAGCAGGACGTAGACGACCTATTGGCGGCACTGGGTGCTCCGTTGGCAAAGCTGGTCAGAAACGCTGAAGAACGCCGACTGATAGATGCTATCCGGAAGGCCGTGCAGGAGGACATGGTCAATGTAGCAAAAGAAAGCCAGCAGACCATGATTCGCAAAGCTGGCTTCTGGCGGTGGGCAAGCAGAAAGGCGTACAATCGCTTGATGGAGAACGGTCGACTGTGGGATCAGAGCTCTGATAGTGCACAAGAGCTGAATAGGAAGGACTCAGCCGGACCGAATGCAGAGGAAGCAGTGATCGAAGCGTCGTCAGCCACCATACCGTCATCTGGAAAAGCGAAGGACCTGGATCTTGTCGAGCCGAACACTCCGGTTGGCAAGGAGAAACAGCCAGCAACACCACGATCGCAATATATCAAGTCATTAGGAGACAAGACATCTGTCGGCGGTAAGGTGGCTGATGCCTGGACACAAGTTGGCAAGGTCAAGCGCATGGCCACCCCAACGGGTACCCTCAAGCTGTCAGGTAATGGAGGACTTGCTAAGCTGCAACTGACGCCGAAGGGCGCGTACGGCGCACTCATCTCGGATATGGGCAATGGCTGAGCATTGTAGAGCATGATGCTTGGTGGGTGTGGTAGGGATATGGAGGTAATCGCAGGTGACCGCGAACCTTTGGTCCTTGCAACAAGGATATTTCATGAGTCAGACGCGTTGGTAGCGCTGGCGGAAGTTGACCGACGGCACACATAGCGCCAACCGCGATGGTGTACTAGCTTGTTAGCACACGGCCAACCTGGTACCCATTTCTATCCTTCCTATCTCCCCTTGCGTCGAGCATTGTCTTGCTAGGATAGTACATGTGACCAAGGGGACTGCCTCCTGATCATGACTCGCGCAAACAGCAAAGCGGCGCCACCCGCTTGCTAGGGTCACCTCCGCGTCGAGCTCCATCTAGCACGCGTTCTGTGCCGAGTGGATCACAACCACATTCACTCACTTTCTATCTAACGACACAAGCCGTCCACCACGCTTTGCATACGGCACGCCTACCAAACACGATCGACAAGCTTATAACATACCTCGCCGCTACGTTCCGGGGAGCGTCACTCCATAGCCGAGACGAAGACCTAGCTTTAAGACTGGAACCAAACTTAGGATAGCACAAACGCATCACACTGTAGGCTCAGTCGGGCAGCGTGGGCGATGTTACCCTCAAAGCGCTTAAGATCACGGTAGAGGAGTCATGGAAGCGGCAGTGGAGGGAAGTCATGCTCTGACCAATGGCACGCCCTCATTGCCAGCACCAGCTGCGGTCGACCCGCAAGCTGTCGTCGCATATCTTTCAAGCGTACTAGAAGTCACACTTGGCGCCTCACAGGCAGATTTGGCGGGACCCGGTAGCTTGTTACATCCAGACTTCTTCCCGGAAACTGTCTCACGATGCCAACGATTTGCGCAGGAATCGCAGACGGCACTTTATGTCCTAAAGCAAACAAATTCCTCTCAACATATTGGACAGTTAAACAACGACGGTGTCCAGCTGCGCAATGTCTACACCTTGAGGTCGGAGGTGTCGTACTCACCACAGACAATCGGCTGCGTTGCACTTTTAAAGCGACCATTGCCTATCATTTCCGACGTGTCAATCAATCGCCAGATCTCCGTGATTAACATACCTTTTGCCACCTCGGCATCTCATACTGCTGTCACAACAGCACCCTACGAGAGTCTTCATGCTATTGTGCGTGGTGCGCTCACTCCGTTCTTTGAGGCCGCTGCTCGGACATCAGAGCCTGCAAATGAGAAGCTGAGACCAGACGCCGAAGCACGGACAGGTGTGTCTGGGGCGAGACGGAAGCTTGCAGATCTCGAGCTCAGCCTTCAGAATCTGCAGCAGAACATCGAGGTGGAAGCACCAAGGCTACAGATTCACGAAGCTGTCCAGGTGCAGCTTGCAGAGGCGGATGGAAACTGGCAGACAGCGGCAATGCGAATACCGGATGAGATTGCCTCTGACATCGTACTGCTCAATAAATTGCAAACTATGGCCAATGACTGGATAAAGCAAATTCGCGACTTCAGCCTAGTTGCGGATGAGCGGCCTGTCGGCAGCACCACCCAGGAGAAGAACTTCTGGCTAGCAATGGAGGGCGCCATAGATGGCATCGAAACGCAACTTGCGGGCGGTGGCGTTCAGCTTACCATGAAGATCCTCGAGAAGGCGAAAAGGCACGGTATCACAGCAAGCTTTTCGTCAGATACGAAGCTTCGCGAGACGAAAGACCGCGTGCAGAAGTACAACACGCTGTTCCACGGCTTCCCCATCGAGGATTTACTCTCTGCTACCTCCGTGGAGAAGCTACGAGATGCGTTGGACGATGTCTTCCAGCACTTCAACAAGAAACTTCGTGTGTGCCCATATCCCATCAGACGGGCACTGCCTCTGGTCGAAGCTATCTCCGCCGATCTAGACCTGCGAATTCACGACCTGCTGCACGGGCGGACGCTCATGCATCTGGGCATCGATGACTTCATGAGTACTATAGCTCAGGTTGAGGAGATCTGGGTCCTTTGGGACGATGACCTCAAAGACTTCACCAACGTAGCAAGAGAGGTCACCCGTAGGCGCAACGACAAATTCATCCCAATCAAGATCTCGAAGCGTCACGACAGAACGCAGGACCGTCTCGGTTACATCACGACCTTCCGCGACAACCACGATCAGCTGCAGCGGACCATTATCGACGTGCTAAGTCCGGAAGAGGATGTTAACGATCTGGGTACCGTCACAGCGCCGGCCCCGGACACGAACGGGGCGGGCGATGTCGATGCTGTGGAAGAAATTGCGCAGGCTTACCTTGCCGTCAGGGATGTTGATGTATTGGATACGTCGCAGGAAGGTGAGCGAATTTGGAACCAAGCTGAAGCAACGTACAACGAGCGCACAGCGAGAGTCGAAAACTCAATAATCGCTCGTTTACGAGACCGGCTAGCGGTAGCCAGGTCCGCCAATGAGATGTTTCGTGTATTTTCCAGGTTCAATGCCTTGTTTGTACGGCCGAAGATCCGTGGCGCCATCTCGGAGTATCAAGTCCAGCTCATTAGCAAGGTACGAGACGACATTGAGGCACTGCAGAAGCGTTTCACGCACCAGTACGGCCAATCAGAGGCACATGCCATGGCGCAGTTGCATGATCTGCCTCCGATATCTGGCGCAGTCGTTCGAGCAATGCAAATTGAGCGGCAACTGAATAATTATCTGAGCAAAGTCGGCGACATTCTAGGACCTAAATGGGAGCAGCATTTAGATGGACAGAAGCTGTTCGCGCTTGGCGAAGGCTTTAGGCGAAAGCTGGAAACTAAGCCCATTTTCGACGACTGGCTTCGTGACATCAGCAGACGTCACTTGTCAATATCTGGACGGCTTTTTGCTATCATTCAGAACCGGGCGTTGAACAATCGGCTGGAGATTCACGTCAACTTTGATTCTCAGGTGATCGCGCTGTTCAAGGAAGTCCGGAACTTGCTATGGCTCAACTTTCCTGTACCGCATGCGATCACCACGGTTTCCAAGGAGGCTCGCAGAGTCTATCCGGTCGCCGTGAGCCTGATGGAGAGCTTGAGCACATTCGCCCAGACCAATCGTGCCATTGACCAGATGCCAGATATCACCATTCTGCTCCACAGCTTCCGAAACGAGGTACATTCTTTGCTCGCCAAAGGCACGTCGGTGCGGTGGGATGCCTTTGTACTTGCATACGACGCCAGTCTCCGACAGTCAAGCGAAGAGGGCCAAGGCAGGTTGGTAAGCGATGATCGGCTGCATGCGCAGTTTGTTCGCAACCTTGGGCGATCCATATTCACTCTGCAGTCCAAGACCTCGACACTATACATGATACATACTTCTATTGAGGCAACGTTGCGCGAGCTGCAGACTTGTCTATTCGCTAGCGAGGCTCTGCGTGGCCATCTAGACAGCCTGCAACGAGCCATTGATCAGATGAACATAGAAGGCTATGCAAACATCACTTACTGGGTCAAAAGCACGAACGACAGAGTCATCGAAACACTCTGTATTCGTCTACGGCAGGCGTTAAAAGATTGGGCCGAGGCCTTCGAGAGTGCGGATTCTTCGGCCGAGACAGGGGACAGCCATCCTTACATCGCGACGTTCACGTACGACCTAGTTATGCACAATCAAGTGATTCAGCTCGAGCCACCACTGGAAGACGCAAGGGCAGGTTGGTTGGAGAACCTGAATGCCTGGCTTGGTGTGGTCTGCAATCTACCCCGAGTGCAAGCATCTCGGTTCGAAAATGCCTTGACCGCTGGCGGTACCGTGGCCTTCACGACCTATGGGGAGCTGCCGATGATGTGCATGGAAAGCCTTGCAGTGCTGTACGAGCAGATCGAAGCTAGAATGGGCGCTGCACAACAATACATCGACGAATGGCTGCAGTTTCAGGCTCTGTGGGATCTACAGATGGACCAGATACAGAATAATATTGGCGATGAGCTCGATTTGTGGCTACAACTCATATTAGAGATTCGCCATAAACGGGATACTTTCGACACTTCCGGCAGTAAGCGATCCTTTGACCACCTCATCATCAACTATGAGCAAGTGCAATCCAAAGTCAACGCCAAATATGATCAGTGGCAGCATGATTTACTTGCGCACTTCTCCGGTCTTTTTGCGACGAGAGTGGTTGACGTATTCGCTGGCTTACAGCATGCGCGCAAGGATCTGGAGAGCTCATCAATGCAGACGTCCTCTACAGCACAAGCTGTATCGTTCATAACAGTCGTTCAGACCTGCAAGCGGCAGACGAAGCTGTGGGAGCCCGAGATGGAAACTTTCCGCCAAGGTCAGCAGACCTTGTCCCGACTGCGATATCAGTATCCCAAGGACTGGCTCTACGTCGAGCAGGTGGACCATGAGTGGACGGCGCTGGTCGAAGTATTGGAACGGAAGAGCAAGCTCATTGCTGATCAGACAGACGCTCTGCGTGCCAAGATCATTGCAGAAGACAGTGTGGTCTTAGGGCGGATAACAGAAGCCACCGAGCGCTGGAGTGAAGAGCGTCCAGTCTCTGGCAATATTCCACCAGCCGAAGCTGTGGCAAGCCTGAACCGCTTCGATGGCGAGCTAAGCGCATTACGCGAGCAGGCGGAGATGGTGGCGAAAGCTAAAGAAGCACTGGAGCTCCCTACCAGTGTTGATAATAATTTGCCTACGGTTCTTGAAGAAGTGCAAGACTTCAAGTCTGTATGGGCTAATCTGTCCATTATCTGGAGTCAACTGAACGATCTGCGGGATCAGCCTTGGAACAGCATTCAACCGCGCAAACTGAGGCAATCGCTCGACAACCTTGTCAAGACTATGAAAGACATGCCGAGCCGCATGCGTCAGTACGCTGCCTTCGAACACGTGCAGTCTGTTCTGCGGCAGCTGCTCAAAGTCAATCCGCTGTTGACGGAACTGCGGTCGGACGCTGTGCGAGAGAGGCACTGGACGAAGATCTTCAAGAGTCTGCACCCGTCGAAGAGATACTCTGCAATCTCCATGGCGCTCGGCGATGTCTGGGATCTGCAGCTTGTGCCGAGCGAGACGGTCATTCGCGAAGTTATCGTCCAGGCGCAGGGTGAGATGGCGCTGGAAGAGTTCGTCCGCACCGTGCGTGAACATTGGCAGAACTACGCGCTCGATCTGGTAAACTACCAGAACAAGTGTCGCCTCATTCGTGGTTGGGATGATCTGTTTGCGAAGTGCAGCGACCATTTGAACTCTCTTCAGGCCATGCGACACTCGCCGTATCACAAAGAGTTTGAGGAGGAAGCATCTGCGTGGGAAGACCGACTTAACCGCGTGCACGTACTGTTCGATGTTTGGATCGATGTGCAGCGCCAATGGGTTTACCTCGAAGGGGTGTTTACTGGCAACGCCGATATAAGGCATCTCCTACCGGTCGAGTCTTCACGGTTCGCGAACATCAACAGCGAATTCATGAACGTTTTGAAGAAGGTGTATCGCAATCCATTGGTTTTGGAGGTGCTTAACATACCCGACGTACAGCGTTCGCTTGAGCGGCTTGCGGATCTCCTTAATAAGATACAAAAGGCCCTAGGTGAATATCTTGAGAAGGAGCGTCTAGCATTTCCGCGCTTCTACTTCGTTGGCGATGAGGACCTCCTCGAAATCATTGGCAACAGCAATGACACACTGAGGATAGCCAAACATCTACGGAAGATGTTCGCGGGCATCTCCGGGCTAGTACTAGACGAAAACTCGAATATAGGTGGCGTAACATCCAGAGAGGGGGAGCAGATGATGCTGAAGACAACCATCTCTCTGACTGTGATGCCGAAAGTGAATGACTGGCTCAAGGCCTTAGAAAGCGGCATGCGGGAGACGCTCTCTGATCTGCTTGTAGAAGGTATCACTACATTCGCAAGACTAGAGTTGGAAGATGCCGCAGCCTTCGAGATTTTCATCTCCGACTTTCCTGCTCAGATCGTCGTGCTGGCAATGCAGGCGTGCTGGACCTCGCAAGTCACAGCGGCTTTGTCAAAAGGACCATCAAGTCTGCAAGAATCCCACAGCGCCCTGGAAAGTCGCCTGGCATACCTTGCCTCTACAGTGCTCCACGAGCACGAGTCAGTGTATCGCAGAAAGTGCGAGCATGTGATCACAGAGCTTGTTCATCAACGAGACGTCGTCGAGCGGCTGATCGCTGGGGGAGCAGATTCTCCGGATCATTACCTTTGGTTACTGCAGATGCGATACGACTACGAAGCGAGCGCTCCGCTCTTGGAGAGAATGCAAATAAGGGTTGCTAACGCGACCCTTGCGTACGGGTTCGAATACCTAGGCGTCCCCGAGCGGTTGGTGCGTACGCCACTTACGGACCGCTGCTTCCTCACCTTGAGTCAAGCACTCTGTCAGCGCCTAGGCGGTTCTCCGTACGGCCCGGCCGGCACCGGCAAGACTGAGTCGGTAAAAGCGCTGGGTGTGCAGCTCGGTCGCTTCACGCTGGTTTTCAATTGCGACGATACCTTCGACTTCCAGGCCATGGGTCGCATATTCCTCGGCATCTCGCAAGTGGGTGCCTGGGGCTGCTTCGACGAGTTCAACCGCCTTGAGGAACGCATTTTGTCCGCCGTATCACAGCAGATTCAAAACATACAGGTTGGACTGAGGAAGAGAGCGCAGGATCAGGACGCTCAGATCGAGCTCATTGGCCGGCAACTTAAAGTACATCCGCTCACTGGCATGTTCATTACGATGAATCCCGGCTATGCTGGACGCTCGAACCTCCCGGATAATCTCAAAAAGTTGTTCCGGAGTGTAGCCATGTCAAATCCAGACAAGGAAATCATCGCCGAAGTCATGCTGTTCTCACAGGGCTTTGCTGAGGCGAAAACACTGTCGAAGCAGACCGTTCCTTTTTTCGACAAGTGTAGCGCGCGACTGTCGAAGCAGCCACACTACGACTTTGGCTTGCGTGCCTTGAAGAGCGTGCTCGTGAGCTCAGGCAGTCTCAAGAGGTTACGGCTGACTGCAGCCAATGAACAGGCCGCCAACTTCGAGCCACAAATCATCCTCCAGAGCATCCGAGAGACAATAGCCCCCAAACTCGTGCAGGCCGATGCAAGCAGGATGGAGGAGATCGAAGCCGAAAGCTTTCCGGGTATTCAATACGTCTCTGCGCCCCTAGAGAACCTCAGGGCAGCTCTTTACGACGTCGTCAGGGAGCGTAAACTCGTGGCCACGAATGCCTGGCTCAATAAAGTGCTACAGCTGTACCAAATTCAGAATCTACATCATGGCGTTATGATGGTGGGTAGTTCTGGCACAGGCAAGTCCACCGCTTGGCAAGTCTTGCTTGCTGCATTACATCTGGTAGACGGGATCGAGGGTATCTGCCACGTCATCGATCCAAAAGTCATGAGCAAGGAAAGCCTCTACGGTAGCCTGGACAGTACTACACGTGAATGGACAGACGGCCTGTTCACTAGCATCCTCCGGAAAGTGGTTGATAATCTGCGTGGAGAGGACAGCAAGCGGCACTGGATCATATTCGACGGCGATGTCGACCCCGTTTGGGTGGAGAACTTGAACAGCGTCCTAGATGACAATAAGCTCTTGACACTGCCGAACGGTGAGCGTTTAGGTCTTCCGGCAAATGTTCGAATCATGTTTGAAGTGGAGACACTGCGATATGCTACGCTCGCTACTGTCAGCCGATGCGGCATGGTGTGGTTCAGTGATGACACTGTCGAGCTCAATGTCATGTTAGACGGATACCTGGAGCAACTACGTACCACCTCTTTCGACGACCTGGAAGAGGATGCGGCCTTGACCACTTCCGCAGAAGCCAAGGCGTCACTGCTCTCCTTGATGGCGGACGTACTCCAACAAAGACTCACGACTAACGACTTCATGCGCAAAGCCTTAGATCGCTGCAGACCGTGCCATCACATCATGCAGTTTGCAGAGATACGCGCTCTGGGAACTCTCTTCTCCCTGCTACGGAAGGCCTGCCGTTCGGTTTTCGAATACAACTTGCTTCATGCGGACTTCCCTCTCAACGATGAACAGATAGATGCTTACCTCTCGAAGAGAATTCTTCTGGCCACGGCTTGGTCCTTTACGGGCGACTGTCCGCTGGCTGAGCGAAAGACCTTTGGCGACTATCTCGCCGGCTTAATAACCTTCGACCTGCCGCACCTATCCGATCAGCTGTCTCTCATCGATTATGACATTTCTCTGCCTGATGCGACTTGGACTTCGTGGCAGAGCCACGTGCCTGCAGTCGACATTAGCACTCACTCAGTCACACAAACTGATCTGGTAATACCCACGATCGATACAATGCGGCACGAAGACGTTCTGTATGCCTTCTTAGCCGAGCACAAGCCTCTTCTTCTGTGCGGTCCACCTGGCTCAGGCAAGACAATGACACTCTTCAGCGCGCTAAGGAAGCTTCCAAACATGGAGGTGGTCGGACTGAACTTCTCAAGCGCCACTACCCCAGATCTCCTGGTTAAGACGCTGGAACAGTACTGCGATTATCGCAAGAACCTCAGCGGTGTCACGATGGCGCCGAGACAGATCGGTCGTTGGCTTGTACTTTTCTGCGACGAGATCAACCTCCCAGCGCCCGATAAGTATGGCACACAGCGCGTGATCTCATTCTTGAGACAATTGATTGAACATCGCGGATTCTGGAGGACGTCGACGAAGAACTGGGTCAGTCTCGAGCGCATTCAATTCGTCGGGGCATGCAACCCGCCAACAGACGCCGGTCGCACTCCGCTAGGCTTACGATTTCTGCGCCACGCACCGCTCATTATGGTTGACTATCCCGGCGAGCTGTCATTGACCCAGATCTACGGCACCTTCAACAACGCTGTGCTCAAAGTAATTCCAAATCTACGAGGCTACGCCGATGCCCTTACCCAAGCCATGATACAAGTCTACATGCAGTCTCAGAGACGTTTCACCCCTAACATACAACCTCATTATGTCTACTCACCGCGTGAACTGACACGGTGGACGCGCGCGATTTACGAGGCCATTAGGCCGCTCGAAACACTCTCACTCGAGGGACTTGTCCGCATCTGGGCACATGAGGCGCTCAGACTCTTTGGCGATAGACTGGTCACCGACGAAGAGAGGCAATGGACCGACGCCACGGTCGAACGCGTCGCACTTGAATGCTTCCCCAACGTTGATCAAGGAGCTGCCCTAGAGCGACCAATTCTCTTCTCAAACTGGTTGTCGAAGAACTATGTGCCTGTCGCTCGAGAGCAGCTTCGCGATTTCGTCAAAGCGCGCTTGCGAACCTTCTGTGAGGAGGAGCTTGATGTACCGCTCATCCTCTTTAACGATGTTCTGGAGCACGTCCTGCGAATTGACCGAGTATTCCGACAACCGCAAGGTCACTTGATTCTGATCGGCATCAGCGGCAGCGGGAAGACCACGCTCTCCCGCTTCGTTGCATGGATGAATGGGCTTTCGGTATTCCAGATTAAGGTCCACGGCAAGTACTCTCCTGAAGACTTTGACGATGATCTGCGCACAGTCTTGCGAAGGTGTGGCTGCAGAGGCGAGAGAGTTTGTTTCATCTTGGATGAGTCTAATGTCCTCGATTCCGGCTTTCTCGAGCGCATGAACACTTTACTTGCGAATGGAGAAGTACCTGGCTTGTTCGAAGGTGACGAGTACGCGACACTCATGACCGCTTGCAAAGAAGGCGCGCAACGTCAAGGCCTTCTGCTGGACTCACAGGAAGAGCTGTACAAATGGTTCACTCAGCAGATCGTGCGTAACTTGCATGTCGTCTTCACAATGAACCCGCCGTCCGAGGGACTGTCTTCGAAGGCCGCCACTAGCCCAGCACTCTTCAATCGCTGTGTGCTTAATTGGTTTGGGGACTGGTCGGATCAGGCTCTGTACCAGGTCGCCTACGAGCTGACGCAGTCCGTCGATATTGACAATGCCGGCTTCCAAGCACCGGACAGCTTGCCGGTTGAGTTTGATCAGCTCGAGTTACCGCTGTCACATCGCAACGCAGTGGTCAACTCAATGATACATGTGCATCACTCCGTGCGCACTTTCAACGAGCGCTTGTGGCGGCAGCAAAGCCGCAAAACCTATCTGACGCCTAGGCAGTTCCTGGACTTTGTCGCCCAGTTTGTGAAGCTGTATAACGAGAAGCGTGAGGATCTCGAGGACCAGCAGAGACATTTAAACGTAGGCCTGGACAAGCTGCGTGACACAGTGGACAAAGTTTCCGAGCTCAGAAAGAGCCTAGCAGGAAAGAAGTCGGAACTCGAACAGAAAAACCAGGAGGCTGGTGACAAGCTACAGCGAATGGTCGCTGATCAGCGTGAAGCCGAGCAACGCCGAGCGGCATCTTTGGAGATCCAATCTGCGCTCGAAAGGCAGGAGCGACAAGTTGCTGAGCGCAGAAAGATTGTGCTAAGTGATCTAGCGAAAGCCGAGCCTGCTGTGCTCGAGGCGCAGCGTAGCGTCAGCAACATCAAGCGCCAGCAATTGACGGAGGTTCGATCAATGTCCAATCCGCCAGCTGGAGTCAAGCTTGCTTTGGAGGCAGTCTGCACGCTACTGGGTCATCGCGCAGTGGACTGGAAGAGCATTGTCAGCATAGTTCGCCGCGACGACTTTATAGCCAGCATCGTGAACTACGACAACGAGCATCAGATGACTCCGCAGCACCGCGTGAAAATGAGGAGCGAGTATCTCTCGAAGGAAGACTTTACGTTTGAGAGGGTGAACCGCGCCAGCAAGGCCTGTGGGCCTCTGGTGCAATGGGTGGAGGCGCAGGTGAACTACTCTGAGATCTTGGATCGAGTAGGCCCTTTGCGAGAAGAGGTAGATCGTCTGGAAGAAGCCGCTTTGCAAACCAAGGCGGAGGCGAAGATGATCGAGAATACCCTTGCCGACCTTGAGAACAGCATTGCAACGTACAAGACCGAGTACGCTGCGCTCATCAGCCAAACTGAAGCCATCAAGGCCGAGATGATAAGGGTGCAATCGAAGGTTGAGAGAAGCGTGCGGCTGCTCAACAGTCTTTCATCGGAGCGCAGTCGCTGGGAGGCGAGCAGCACGACGTTTGAAACGCAGATGACCACAATTATTGGTGACATCCTGCTTTCTGCAGCATTTCTAGCTTACAGCGGACTTTTTGATCAACAGTACCGCCGAGCTATGCTCGAAGACTGGTCGCTCCATCTCTCGGCGTCTGGCGTTGCTCACAAGAGTCATGACGCAGTCTCGGAGTACCTCTCCACTGCGGATGAACGCCATCAGTGGCATGAGCACGGTTTACCTGAGGATGAGCTGTGCACAGAGAATGCTATCATGCTGAAAAGGTTCAACCGCTACCCACTGATCATCGATCCATCCGGGCGCCTCATGCAATTCCTGCAAAGCGAGCACCGAGACCGCAGGCTCGTTGTCACCAGTTTCCTGGACAGCTCGTTTGTGAAGCAGCTGGAGACCGCTCTGAGATTCGGTAATCCCATCATCATACAAGACGCCGAGCACATGGACCCGATACTGAATCACATTCTCAACAAGGAGTACCAGCGTACTGGTGGTCGTATATTGATACAGTTGGGGAAACAGGCGATTGACTTTTCGCCTGCTTTCAAGCTCTACCTCTCGACCAAGGATCCGTCGGCTCACTTTCCGCCTGATGTGTCAAGCCGTACCACTTTTGTGAACTTCACGGTGACGCAGAGCAGCTTGAAGACCCAGACGCTCAATGAGATCTTGAGATCGGAACGACCTGATGTAGATGAGCGCCGTTCCAACCTGGTAAAGATGCAAGGCGAGTTTACCCAGCGATTGCGCCGTCTTGAGCGTATGCTCCTTCAAGCTCTGAACGAGTCTCGCGGTAACATCTTGGATGATGAGAACGTCATCCAAACACTTGAGACTCTGAAGACCGAGGCCGCTGAGATTACCACCAAGGCAGCTGAGACTGAAGGCGTCATGACTGAAGTCAACACCATAATGAGCGCTTATGCAATCATTGCGCAGTCCTCTTCTGCCATCTTCGCCATCTTGGAGCAGCTGTACCATGTGCACCACTTCTACCAGTTCTCTCTGCAATACTTTATCAACATCTTCGAAGCGGTACTGCGAGCGGCACGCGAGTGGCCTGAGCGAGATCCTGCGAAGCGCACAGACAGAATGATCCACGACCTCTTCCGCATGACCTACCAGGAAACATCGATTTCGCTTTTGCAAAGGGACCGCGTGACGTTTGCTGTCCTGCTTGCACAAGCAGCGCCGTTTCCTTTCGACAAGAGTCTCCTTGACACATTGCTCGACGATAGCCTTGAAGGCAATGATCTTAACTCAACACCCAATAAGAGATCAGAAGCTGTAGCCACAGCAACCCGCATCATTGCTTTGCAGGCTGTGGTAGGAGCTATGGATGAAGCTAGCTTGACCGCTTTCATAACGTCTAATCTTCCTGAGGACTGCACGCCACGAGTCGGAGACGAGTCGAACGACAAAGCGTTGAAGGACTTGCTACTGATCAAGCTACTGCGGGTGGACCGCCTGATTCCGGCCACCGAACGATTCATCAACGCCTTGTTCGGACAAGCCTTTCTCGAGGTGACGGAGGATCTGGGCCGCATAGCTAAAGAAACATTGGCAAGCTCGCCAATAGCGTTATGCTCCAGTCCTGGCTTCGATGCCAGTTACAAAGTCGAACAGCTTGTTGAACGCTCGGGAGCAAAATGTACTAGCGTGGCGATGGGTTCTAACGAGAGTGTTGCCAGTGCCGACTCGGCCCTTGCGGTCGCCGCCGCGAATGGCTCATGGGTGCTGGTCAAGAACGTACATTTGGCGCCCGACTGGCTGCAAAACTTGGTCAAACGCATCGACTCGTTGAAGCCAAATGACGACTTTCGCTTGTTCCTCTCGATGGAGACCAGCCCAAAGATACCTTCTAGCCTCATCCGGGCCTCTCGAGTGCTGATGTACGAGCAGCCTGCTGGGATCCGCGCAAATATGCGTGACACCCTGTCATCTCTACCAGATCAGGCGGTGCAGCAGCCGGTGGAGAAGGCTCGTGTGCACTTCCTGCTATCATACCTGCACGCTGTCGTGCAAGAACGTCTACGCTACGCCCCAAGGCTCGGTTGGAAGGGTTTCTGGGAATTCAACGACGCGGATTATGACTGCTCAGCCTTCATTATACAGTGGTGGATGGACAAAGTCGCCCACGGCAGGTCCAACGTGGCGCCGCGAGGCATACCATGGAAGATGCTGCGTGTGCTTGTCGCACTGATGTACGGTGGGAAGGTTGATGATGCTGAGGACATGAGCCAGCTGCAAATGCTGGCTGACCGGACAATGACAGCTGAAGCATTCGAGGAAGGATTCAATCTGGTTGGGGAAGTGGCAGGTGATGCCTCGATTGGCGTACCCTTGCCATCTGGCACAACGAAGAAAGACTTCTTGCAGTGGGTGAAGGAGTTGCCGGAGCGCGAACCACCGACGTACCTAGGATTACCAGCCAATGCGGAGAAGTTGTTGCTTATCGCGCACGCAGAGGAAATGCTACGGAATCTGAAGACGGTGATGAATGTGCTGGACGAGGGCGAGCACGTCATGATGGAAGCGGAAGGCGCGCCGTAGATGGACCACGTCCCGATTATCATGCATTGTGCGGAGTTGCATTGCGCAAAGTTTATAGGTGGCTAGAGCGCCAGGTGCCACCAAAGTTTTATGGGAGGTGTGTTGCGGATACGGGGCATTTGGGAAGCTCGCCTTGTCTTGCATTTCAGCGACTATACCCCCATTGCGTAGATTGAGTTTCGGGAACACGGCGCGATGCATGTGTTGTAGCTCTCAATACATGAAATATCTCTTCATCCACGGCCGTCACCTCAAAGTATATGGAACAGCAGCCTGCGCTTTCCACGACTCGAGTGTGCTAACAATGCTCTCGCTCCCATAACACCGGACCATGCATGTTTTCGCCTCCCACCTCAACGTCCCATCTCAACGCCGAGCGTAACCCGGCCAGAGATAGTTGCGCATTTCACGCAAAAATACCTCCGTCCAATGCAAATGCTTGATCATGGTTGGCATGCTCTGATGGCTTGACCTGCTCATCATGCCATGTCAACGATCGACATCCTGAAACGAGCGACCGCACGTACGCAGAAGATGCGTTTCGGCAACCTCAGAGAATCTTGCAATTACTCCTCTTCTTTTTCTTGGCGGGCATTACGCTGCCATTACCGCCTTGTATACCGGCACCCTTGCATACGGGTGCTGCCTCCGCCATCTGCTCGTCCTGGCCGCGAACGGCAATATCAATCGCCGTCTCGAAAATCTCGTGTACACCACTCATCTCCTTGGACGAGCATTCCATGTAGAGCGCGCTCATCTTCTTCGCGACGCTTTTGCCTTGCTCTTGGGTGACTGGTGTAAGCCCTTGGGTCCGAAGCAGCTCGATGCAGTTACGCTTTTGTCGGAGATCGGACTTGAGGCCGCACAGGATGATCGGTGTGGTCGGGCAGAAATGGAGGACTTCAGGGTACCACTGCCGTGACTGTTAGGGCGATGGACGGATAATGTATTGTGTGAAGGAGAGTACCTTGTCGAGCACGTTCTCAAGAGAGTTGGGACAGTCAATGGCGAAGCAAACGAACAAGAGGTCCGTCTCCGGATACGACAGCGGCCTTAACCGATCATACTCCTCTTGTCCTGCTGTGTCCCATAGCGCGAGCTCGACCCCCTTTCCTGATCGCTTATGCTCAACCGTTGTGATGTAGTTCTCAAAGACTGTAGGTACGTATTTCTTGACGCCTGTCAGCATCCGCAATCCGATGAGTTTCAATCGAGTCGACTTGCCTCCGGGAAGTAGCCTTGCGAGTACGAGATCAACAAGCATGTCTTGCCACACCCTCCATCACCGACCACGACGAACTTCTTGCTGTACTCGGGCGGTGCCGTGATGTTTGTCCTTGCCGATGAAGTGGTGTTTACTGTGCCATCGCTGCCTCGCGTAGACCGACGGTAGCTGTCGTTGCGCGTAAGGAAGGATTTCGAGCTGTTCTTGCGCCGTAGATGTTCGAGATTCTGCACTGCTGAGACGGACATTGTCGTCGTATGTAGTTGTAGCTATGCTCTGGAATGATGGGTGAGATCGGTCGCTGGGTCGCAGATGGAATGGGTCCAAGCCTTGCGCGTGCGATTGAAGGGTCTTCATGGCGTCGTTCTATGTTTGCATCTGCAAGCAGGATGCGGGGCGTTGTCATGGACGACAACAACCGTGTGTGACGCAAGTTCATTTGAGGCTTTGGTACATGGCCCCTTTTCGTTCTGAATACAGTTTCTTGAACCAGGCACATCCGCTCATGAGGCCATGGTTATACAGGACATCTCGTATCCTCGTTCGCAGGCTCTGCTTGTTATTGAAGCGGAACACGTGATGCCAAGGCTATGAGATGCTAGAGGGGAAAGGCGCGCCCCGATGCGGGAAGAAACATGTGTATCCGCAAGCGAGGACCCTCAATGGCCCCGAGAGCGGCTGTGATTGACTTTGATTGTTGCTCGCAAAGTCTCTCTGGTAACTGCGATCCATGGACTATCAAGTCCCACTGAGCTTGTGTTGACGTGCAAACCGATGATGAAGACGGCATCGTCGGTGCGTTTCCATTGGCCGCCGTAACCTCGTGCTAGGCCTCGTGGGAAATCCATGCTCGGCAGATAGATAGATGCACAGGAACCCTACCACGCCTTCGGTCTACATGTCAGAATTACAGCGGCCCGAACGACGTGCAGCGCTCCGCAGGAAATCACCATCTCCATTCCCGGATGCTGGTCTGCGCGGACATGGCCACTATGAGCGACGACTTCCGGTATGGCGCTTCCGGTTGCGCAACCAGCTTATACCCATCGTACGGTGGGAGACACCTTACCTGGCACGCATGCAGAAAGCGTGTCGCAGACCATGGCTCGATACTTACTTCGCGTTCACTGCCAATCTGGGAACGCACACTTTCTTCATGACAGCATTACCGATCTGTTTCTGGTGTGGTTACACTGACATAGGTATCGCGATGGTACATATGCTCGCCATGGGAGTCTATCTGAGTGGGTTTGTGAAAGATCTAGCCTGTCTACCCAGGCCTTTATCGCCACCATTGCACCGGATTACCATGTCTGGTTCAGCGGCACTGGAGTACGGTTTCCCTTCCACCCACACGACCAATGCGGTCTCGGTGGCTCTCTTTTGCTTGTACCAGCTGCATCTCGTACGGGAGAACTACAGCGGTGTAGCTTATAATGTCCTGCGTGCCAGCTTGTATTGCTACGCAACATCTATCACATTCGGGCGGATGTACTGCGGCATGCACGGCTTTTTCGACGTCATTTTCGGAGCCGGTTTGGGTGCAACCATTGCATGGGTCCGGATCGCTTACGGTGCTATGTTTGACAGTTGGGTTCTGGCAGATGGCTGGATGCGGCCGGCGATTGTTGTTGCATTACTTACGCTTGCAATTCGCGTGCATCCCGAGCCGGCGGACAACTGCCCATGCTTTGATGACAGTGTGTCCTTCGTCGGTGTGGTCATGGGCATTGAGCTTGGCATCTGGCATTACGCGCAACGTGCCGCGGGCTCGGCCATGTCAGCACCGTCGCCGGGTAGTTTGTATCCAACTGCAAGCTCGGACCCAGTGAAAGCGACCGCTCGCATTGTTGGTGGCATCCTCGTAATCTTCCTTTGGCGGGCGGTGATGAAGCCGACATTGCTCAGAGTACTACCTCCGATCTTCCGCTTTGTCGCTCATGGAGGCCTAAGCATACCGCGCAGATACTTCCTGCAGGCGAGGGAGTACAGAAATGTGCCGCCACTGCGGAAGGATGACAACGTCATTCCACCGGCGATGGACATTCCAGCTTTGGTCTCGAGCCTTCGAAACCCGCGAAAGCGAAGGGTTTCAGTCGGTCCGCAGTCGGAAGCCGATGCGCGAGAGTACATTGCGAACCGTATGCAAAGGCGCCAAAAGCGCCGCAACAGCCGCGGCTCGACCGGGGCTGCCTCGACCAAACATGTAACGATCAGCACCCTCCCACCCGCCACTTCCGACAGTGAGCGCCAGATGGACGCGCTAGCGGCGTCAAAGCTACCTGAGTCACCAGTCTCAACGAGCAGCAGTCCAGGCGAGCGCAGAAGCAGCCGGCCATTCTTACAAGTAGCAACAGGCGACCCGAATTTGCTTACGCCTCCAGCCAGCGATGCCGGCGCCTCGAGCGATAGCGGCAAGGAAGACGAGAAGAACGATCGCGAGATGTTCTCTGCCCTCGAGAAGCCAAGAATACGGTACGACGTCGAAGTCATAACGAAATTGGTGGTCTACGCTGGCATCGCATGGTTGGCCGTCGAAGGCAACCCTCTATGGTTTGAAGCGGTGGGTATCATCTGAAAGTCCACTCAACCTCTCAGTCCTCCTCGTCCTCCATACCCATATCCTCCATTTCATCGATGAGCTGCTCCATGGGAATCTCCAGCCCATCATCATCCTCGCCATCCGTCTCCATGTCACCCGCATCCGCCACAGCATCCGGCTGCAAAGCATCGCGATTGCGATACATCTTTAAGCCCTCCCTCAATTCCGGATCCGCCTCGAGATCCTGCAAGAACTGCTCATAGTCCACTTCCTCGCGATCGGCATCCTGCTTCCGCGGCTTCATCTCGCTCTCCTCCTTCGCCATGCGCCTCAGCTTCCAGTTGCGAGCCTTGGTTTTCCGGCGAGCGGTGTAGTGCTTCTTCACGAGTATCACGTCTGGGATGGTAGAAGAGTACTGCTTCGACTCTTGGATGGCTTCAAAGTTGTCGTTGTTGAACTGCGTGCCGGTGAGATGGTAACCCATCACGCTGTCTCCGGCATGAAGAACACCGCCAAGATGCGTGCGGACTAGGTAGGTCGTGTCGTTGACTCCTAGGTCGGACGCGCGAGCAATGGTGGCCTCGGCGAGGAGGAATCGGCCTTTTTGCGGACCGATAGGTTCGATATCCATCACTACAAACTCAACAAGGTCCTTAACGTCGGCTAAAGGCGCGAATGGCGTGCGCCAGTAGATGGGTGTGCTGAGGTCGGAGACCTGTAATGTATTGGGATCAAGGAGGTTGACCGCTGTGCCGATACGGTAACAGAGAGTCAGAGGTGAAATGTTACCAATTTGTTTCGCGAGCTTAACAGGAAGAGCCACAAGGTCATCCTTGCAGACTGGCACCAGCTCGCAAGAGTAGGTGAATTTGTACGATCTGGAGGATGTATGAATGTCCATAGATATCAGCTCCTGGCTTTTCTTCGTTCGTACGGGAGACACTGAGGTTAAGAAGTCGACAAACTTTTCCGCATGGTTTCGTTGCGAGAAGTAGAAATCAATGCCGTTATGCACTTCTTTGATGTTAATGGTGTCCTTGTGCGCACCGTGCTTGAGAATGAGTTGTTCGAGATACAAGAAGGTCCGCTTGTGAGGCACCTTTTGCCGCACCTGCACCACCGCTCGCCACGTATTGTGGGTGTATGATTTGGCGCAGTCGGGACACTGCTTGAATTGCTGCACAAACTCCACATCGAAGGTTTGCTGCAGTATCGTGCCCTGGAATGCTTCTTGCTGGACCGTGATCTTCAACTTTATCCTCCTCGAATGCGGCTCAGTCCAGATGAAGGAAGCATCGACGATGCGGCTTTTGCTAAGTCCGCGCAGCTTTCTTAAACATAATGCGAGCAGTTCTCGCGACTCCGGTGCTGCGACCACCCACTGACTGGGCGGAGAAAGCCAGCGATCGCAATCTCGGCACATCAACAGGATACCCTCCTTCTCGATGCCGCGGGTGATGTCGACGGTGAGCTTGAGGCAGTCGCTACATAGTGCGCCGGCGGACTGGGTGCCATCTATGGGTGCGCCACAGTTGTAGCACAGGATCGTTGCGGCGGTGGTGGGACGGATGGCGGAGAGTGGGACGCTGCCCGCTGAGTCGACGTCCATTGACATGGCTGGTTAGTGGATGGGGTGTGTCAGTGTTGAGTTGACTGCGGCCTTGCGAACCAAAGAGGGTGATCGTGCGGACAACGACAGAAAGTTCTAACTCTCAAGTGCTTTGGTGATCACACCGCGGAGCCACTTCCGGTGGCGCTTATCGATATGGACGGGACGAGTTACATTAGCTTCCGGCCTTGTAGCCTAAGGCTGACAGCGACAACCACTCCATATGTGAACGATACATGTATGGTCGTCACCGATACACTCATCACAGTCCGGCATTTCGAGCAGAATTCTGTAACATTCATCCTGAGTCCAAGTAGTCGTAGCCAATCCATACCGCCATGATCATCTCTAGTGGCGTGTTCAACGTGTCCCCCAAAACAGCATTATGGCCTCTTACGCCCCTTGCCTCATGATCAGCGTGCAATGACCGTGAAACTCTTGTCTGAAGCGCCCTTGGGTCATGACCGAAATTCAAGTTATCGAGCGGCAGCGAGGACCGATCTGGACCGAGGTCGAGCGTAAGGCTGCGGCTGACACCCTCTGCACGCCCATCAAGCCTTGGCAGACCCGTATCCTCCTACGAAACCTGGATCAGGCAATGCTCCGCTCCACGCAGAGCTTCACATTGCAGATCTCGTTACTGCAGAAGGTCTGGTTCTTCATGAAGCGCAATGACAGATATCCTATGAAGCCATCTCATATACATGCGCTAGTCCGGTGTTCGAGGATTCTCTCACCTGCAACGGTGTTCCTCGTTGTGTGACCAACAGCCTCTCTCAGGCGCTCCTGTATTTTCGAATGCAGGATGAAGAGCGCTTCCTGTGGGCAGACGCACCGTGCATTAACCAACTTGATGACGGGGAAGCATCAACTCAGGTCCGAGAAATGCTTACCATATATCGCAAGGCCCGGAAGGTACTTGTATGACTTGGACCCGCTGGTTTGCATACAAAGTTAGTGTTACAGGGGTGGAGGCACCGGAGAAAGAGGACGATGCCGAAGGCAGTGGTGAGGGTGGACGTGAACTTAGGGCTTGTCGTAGCCAAGACTGTGAGGATGATGATCGACTATGTGAACAAAGTCGCAAATTCGAACGACCAGGATGGAAAACATGGAGACCAAGATGACAGTCACGATGTTATGCCGAAAAAGATCAAGAAGGCCTTGACTATCACGATGAAGGTAATAGACAAAGGACAGTGAGGACTCTGAGGATTTTGAAGTGGAAAGTCGCATTCTAGACGATACGTATAGTGACTTCCCAGCACTCCCGACGTCTTAAATCCGAGACCCTGTCGCCGCTGAAGGCGTGCGAGACCTGTGCGGGCGGCAGTGGTACTATCGGGTCTGGCTTCAACAAGAGGTCTTCGTCGTAAGAGATTACGAGTTCTACTACAGCGAATACGTGTTCAAGCCTCAGCCATTGATCATGCCATCGAGCTACTGGACACCAGTCCGTCCCCAAGCGACTCCACGGATATCGAGCCTTCTCGAGCTCGGAGAAGACCGAAAATCCAGCGAGGCAACCCCTCTCAGCTTGACAGCATTGGAGACCGGCAGCAGCATGGCCATCGTGACCATCGTCCATCAGAGGATGTCATACACAAGCCGGAAAATCGTCCAGTTGACTGCATGTGCATGCGAGACCGCGCTCCACTCACTCAGCCAAACATCGAGTGTGTCCTGAGCGGCGCCGTGGACGTCGAAGCTACGGGCGTCCGGGATCGGATATACGCTCTTCTAGCATTGAGTAACGCGCCCATTGCAACAAATCTGTCACCTAAAGCATCTGGAACACAGCCGCATGTCGCGGTGCTAATCGACTATTCCCGCTCAGCATCCCAGGTTTTCCAGGATGTTACGAAATACATCATGAACCGTAATCGAAATCTCGAGCTACTGATCTTCCACGTCGCCACTCCTTCCGATCGCAACGATCTAAGACTCTCGTCTTGGACGCCAGACTGGCGCCACTTCTCGTACCATCTGGAGTCTAGGGCGCTCCGGACGCTCGTGCGCGTCTCGAGCGGTGGTCAGGAGCTCAAAGAAGATCACCTAAAATGGCAAAGTGTGCGTCCGACCATGTGCTGGGACTGAGGGGTTGCGTTGTTGGCGACGTCACCGTCGCCGGGCCTTGTGAAGCCCCATGAAAAGACACAATCTACCAGGATATCATAGGTCTCCCATGTAACGATGTCGAAGTGAGATCCACCAACGCAGAAATAGTAGAAGCGTCCGTTTCAGGCGCTGTGCCACTTGGCGGCATCGTAGTGCGTGTCATGGGATTGATCTACCCCATCGCATTAAGACCCGCAGTGGCACACCAAAGGATGAAGTCCAGTGATGTGAAGGTCAATATGCTTGATGCGGCAAGCGGAGACTGGTTCACATACATTGGCATAGTATCAACCGAGCCAGACAACGAGGAGAGTACGTTGGGTTGTAACACCATGCTTGTGGCAAGTGCACCGGATGCGGACATCGGATACCTGTTCGGTGATTGGGGGCAGTGGCAAATTGGTTTGAGGCCCGATCCTGGTAGTTTGGTGCGCGACATGAGGTGGAAGCGAGAAGTAAATCTACGCAGGTCTTTCGTAATATGATCTTGCTTCAGATTATGCTTTAATGCATCAGTCAACGCTATTTTAAAAACCCAAGCTCATGGGATCATGCTGGATGTTTGCCTGTCAATCAATTCGGCATATTGGCAACTGTAAGCATGAATATTTCCACCACCGGCTCCGGAATGTTACAGAATGGGCGATAAAAACTCCCAGGGAACCTTTCCCAGCAAACATGGCGATTACGGGTTTGAGTCTACGCCTGCCCGGACATTTGGAGCGGGTTTTTTGCCAAATCCTTAGGATTAGGTGGCCGCTGAAGTTGCTGCATGAGATTTATAATGCCAGTAGAGCCGTGGTTGAAGCTGTTGAAATGAGCATCAGCAAGCATTCGGTAATCATTTCAGCAATGGAATCAACTCACATCTCAATGACCGACAGCGCCAACACTCCCTTCACAAGCCCATTGCCGACTCGATCATTATCATTGTCTTCTCCACCGTTTCCATTATTCCCACCCCGCGCCCCTCCGTTGCCGGAATTGCTGATACGTCCAGTAATGCCCGCAGTCGCAACGAACAAGATCACGAATGTGAAGTCGATGGCCACAATCAGGAAGACAAGTCCGGCGATCGTGGCGATGCGCCTCCTGTTGCCCTTCTCTTCACGCCGTTTCCAGGCCCATTGAGCGGCAGCTAGGACGGCCCATATAGTGCCCGCGACTACGATACCGAGCACAGCACGTAGTTGGGAGCCTGTAGAGTTGCCGAGGCGGGAGAGGTAGACGGCCCGCATGATGAGAGCAATGAGGGCGGAGAGAAACTGGATGGAGCGGAAGGTGATCTCGAGCCATGGTGGGAATGTGACTTTGGGGAGAGAAGGCATAGCGGTATTTGTTGGTTCGTATTGTGGGCAATGAACAAGGCAGCGAGAGATGGAAGAAGCGCAATTTACCTACTGTTTATGTCGTCCTACCGAAGACACCTACTTACATGGTAGAAGCTCTCTGTAGCATCGTCATGGCACCAAGGCTGTGCATTGGGAAGACGGCAGTCTTGCCGCCGCCGCCGCCTTGGATGGTCAGGGTTCATAACTGCGTTTGAGTGTCACTGCGTAAATGGCGAGCAATATGTGGACGTCGCTCGGTAGGGCGGCGAGAACGCTGTCCTTGGCGGATGCAAATCACTTGGGGATGGTGGAAGTCAATCGCAGATGGTACGGAATCGGTGGCTGAGCCACCTAGAGATGCTGGGTCTTCGAGCCCAGAAGTCCTCCTCCGCAACACGCGACTGTCTCTGATACCAGTGACAAGTGGCAGGCCTTGCGGCAGTCTTTGATGCTAGGTGATCATGTCGTCTAATATTGATGCAGAACGGTCCTTGTCGATTCGCGCACACTGGTCGGCCATCGTGGGAATGGCATGGTAAATGCGAGAGAGAATTACAAGCGGTTTTGTATGTCGGCGGTGGAACGGTCAGTGTATATGTGGGCTTCGATATAGAGCATAGTAATGGTGGTAATGGTGAGCTGAGCGAAGGAATGGAAGTGATCGGCTAAACTTCGTATTCCGCAGGGCTGTCCACGGAGCTGACTCCTGTCCGTGGCAAGCTCGCGCGTCTACCACCTGCCTGGTCTGCGAGCTGCACGTGACATATCACACTTACAGCTCATTACACTACACTACCTACAATCTGATCGGCAAGAGTCGTTGGAGATACCTGGAGAGTTCATCACACGCTGCACTGTTGCGAAACAGACAAGCCTGGTGCGCAACCAAGCTGCAACCACTGCAACGACAGCCATCATGGTATATCATACGAGCCGACGCCCAACAGGCCAAAGCTGTCACAACTAAACACATGACAGGCGCTCCGCATAGTCCCCACCGCCTCCCACCCAACACACACCCAGCCATCACTTGGTGCGCCCTCGGCACCTGGTGTCCACGACACCCTTCGCGCCAACCTCTCCCTCACCACACCCGCCCCGAAAGCCTCCGCCGCATCATCCAGCAGCGATGCACCAACATCGTTTCACCCCTTAGAGTCACGCCTCGGCCAATGGCGCGCACAGCAAGAAGCTCTCAAGATGGAGATGCTACGGCGACAGTTTGGCATTGCGGAGCCCGTCAAGCGGCAGATGGAGTTGGGCATAGTAAAGGCGGGCGAGTGGCGGCCTGGTCAGCTAGGTGCGGGAAGCGCGGGCGTGCATGCCGATATCCTGGCGGGAAGGGATACGGAGATTGGATGGGAGGATGTGTTCACGGGTGACGAGATGAGGGATGCGGTCGACTTTCACACGGAGATGGAAACCAGGATGGGGATGACTTGGTGAGGCGGGGAGGACTGTCCTGTATTGTATCCCGAGGAGTTCCTGCGAAGCACAGCTGACTCTCCAACCGATCGATATGTACGTTAATGGTAACTTTACAACAGCGTCGCGATAACTACCGTCGGCATTAAACCAAAGCCCATGAGGTCCATCTTCCACTAGATCAGCCACGACTCATACCACTGAGTCCACTGATGCCTGACTAGGACCCTCTCTCTGACCCCTTCCACTCCACGGCATACGAGGAGGTTCCGCATCGCACGACCGCATCGGCACCCGCGCCCAACCACCAACGCCGCACCCTCGGTGCCAACAAACGAAGGGACCCAGATTCTCCGTCTCACAACCCCGATGCGCAACCACCTCCTCAACCCAGCCACAAGGTATCTTCACGCAGTTGAGAATGTTGAACCCGCCATGTGTAGTATGCCACCAAACACCCGGCTCAACGCCGATGCCGTGGAAGGATGCCAGTACTTCGAAGTCGAGCATTTCACGGCAGCGCAATGGCGCTCCAACGAACCCGACGCTCATGCTCCATTCCAGCAACGGCGCAGAGCAGCACGGATCATTGTTCTCGAACCACAAGCAGATTGCGTCAACACCCGTGTCCTGGGGGCACGGTTCGAACTTCTTGCCCTCAGTCTAGCTAGTGAAATTGGTGAGCAAGTGGAATGCGGCGTGCACGCTCATGGCGCGCCGCAGAAGAGTACGGCGCTCGCTTTCCTGGAAGCGTCCGTGACGGTAACGTGGAGCGTAGAAGCGTGGCAGGAATCTTCCGCTGCCAGCAAGTGCATGTCGAGGCACTCTCCACGAATGTCTTTGTTTGACATGGTAAGAGCTAGATTTGGCGCATACTCCTGGAAGTCCGCCAGCTCGATGTCGTTCGGGGTGGTGGCAAGTGTCGGGTGAAAACAGAAATCGTAGAGAATGTTGCGAAGTTCCGGCCGGAGAGCCAGGAAGACTGACGTGTTGCGATTGGTGGTGGTTGAGGCTGCTGCCATCTCAGCGGTCCTTTCGATGCTTCCCAAGACCACGTGCGTTGCGTACGGATAGGAAAGAAGAGAAGAGGTAAGTTAAGAGCATCTATAAAAGTGAGAAGAAGCGAGAGGCTTAGTAGAATCGCTGACAGAGCGCTTTGCTGACTTACCGTGAATGTGAGGTTGTTGCGATCGTGTGTTTCATCGCGAGAAAGTAAGCTTCGACGGATTTGGCTATAAGGTACCATGCAATCTTAACTTCGCTGTGTTTGCACTCCTAGTTGACCAGGCCCGAACCATGAAAGCCGACTTGGACGAAGTGGGTCACAATCGTACTTCTGCCATCATCTAACGTTCCACCGCTCTGTATCGGCAGACTTGCGGCGAGCAGGATGCTATAAAGACTCCCATCTCCCCGTAGCTGCGCCCGGTCTGCTCTACAGTACATGCACACAGAGAGTCATGTTCAGTCGAAGTAACTGGAGCCTGTCGAAAGCGCTCGGAATCTTCCACCATTCTCGCGGCATACGTTCATGGCTCATATTCCAGTGCCGCAGCCGCGACGCTTTACGCCTCGGCGTCACGCTCGTTCATATCATACCGACACTGCCGGGCGACGTACATCAGTACAGCTCCTGAGCCAGGAGGAGATCGATCCTATCCGCGCCAACGCCTCTCAGCCTTGCTTGCACACAGCATGAGCATTTCTATGCAGTTGGGGACATGGAAGCCTCCGAGATTGCCTCCCTCAATGACCCGGAGACAGACATTTGCCTCAAATGTCAGTCTATCAAGACAGCCTTTCGCCGCCACCGACGAGGCGGGGCTCTCCGACCCTCCCCTTCGCGCAGAGGAAGTCGCTTCGCCCATGGGCGCGGCGCGTTCGACATTGAAAGCCCAGTGAAAGATGACGGCGCAGCGGGACGCAGCCGCAGAGTCCGTATCGTCGCAGCTCAAGTGCAGAGCATGGCAATAGCGATTCAGGCAGATATCCTCGAACCGAATGATAACCTCTTGGAGACTACTGAGAGCCGCTGGCACTAGCTTTGCCGACTCGAGGAAGGCCTCCAATCCGTGCTTCTGACACGTGCCCTTGTCAGCCTGATGTGAATTCTGCGAGCTTGGCAAAAGTCTTTCGCTGCTGTGCGAAAGAGGCTCACACTTTCGGCACGTATGGCCCGGTTGACGAGGGTTAGCGCACTGCTGGGACCATGTTCCAAAAGCGTCGATATCTCCATGTCTTCCGGGGTGGTGGCGTGTCCAGCATAGAAAATGAGCTCGTAGATGTTGTTGCGCAGTTGTGGATGAAGGTCGCTGAATAGGAAGGGCTGCTCTATCGTCTTCTCATCTGCAATTGCTTGAAGCATCTTTCTCACGCGGTTTTTGCTCGCCATATCGTTGTTCGAAAGTCGTGGAGATGGTGGAGAGACCAACACCGAATGTTTGAGAAAGGGCAGGAAACTTCGAGTGGGATTAGCGGGATGGTGGTCGTGCCTTCCCTTTTTGTCCTACGCCGTGACCTTTGCGTTGCCAGCATTCCGTTCACTTGAAGTCTTTGCGTTGCGCGGGAGCGAGTCCGCAGAGCATGCAAGCTGGCGAGAAACGAATCTTGCACTCCGTGAAACCCTGCAGTGATGGGAAGGTGTTCGACCTACCTAAAGCCCTTCGAAGCCTTTCTCCAACCTAGCACTCACTCATACCACCATTGCTGGACTTCGATGATTTGGCCACATCCACATGACACACGACCAAGAATGATGGATGTTGAAGATTTGACGCTTTCCTTCAGCCGCGCGCGGAAGCTGCATCGGAAATTCGCAGACAAGGTCAATACAACTCCGAAGAGACCCTCAGCAGTCAGACGGAGACTCAGAGCGTCTCAATGACGTTACTCAAGTCCTTCAACCCATGCCGCTCCTCACCTTTCGTGCGTGCCTCCAGCCTTGCTCACGCTTCCGCTCCTTCCCCAGTTCTCGCTCTTGCCTTATCTCTGGCTCTTCTTCCTGCAGGTTACATTCATCCTCCCTAACACGTGGATCCTAATTAGGCGGCAGCTACACTATCTACGCATCGGGCGACCCTTGGTGTACACAACCAACGCACAGAATGACTCGCTGCGCTTGACGCGGTCGAGCCCTCCGCGGGCACCATCCTGACTGCGTCGCTGCAAACCATCCGTCGCTAAACCTTTGAAGATCGCGTCATGCTTGATTGCGATCGTGTGCTTGAGTCGGCCTGGTCTTCCCTTTCCACAGAAGAAGAGGAACCACAATGCTTCATCCCGGCGGTGAGAGCGTGACGCCGATTCCCAAGACGAAATCTAACACTTCAATGAGTCGTAGGAGCCGTATTCACGTCCGCATAGATGCTGTCGGTTGACCAATCAATCGTCATAATCTCAATCTTATTAAAGATGTGCGGCACGTTTTGTGCGAGTGCCATCAATTCGTGGCGTGTATCACCCTCGAGAATGCTGCCAGTGATACTAAGGTGCCATCCATTAGCCTGACGGCAAAGCGTTGTTGCCATTTTCGTGTCCTGTCTCTCCTTACGAGGTGGCAGAAGCTTAGTAAGGTTCGCATTTGCTTCGAGTGAAGTATAACCTTCACTGTCTTGTAGGTCATCCACGTTAGTGGTGTCCTGCAGGTATGTTACGAAGTCATCTGCCCAAAGCGAGTAGTAAGATCGATAACTGTGCCGGCGCTATACGTTCGTCGTCCAAGTGGTCACCAAAGTAAGCTGCCGCGCAGTGCGACACACAGTGGACGAGTCCCTGATCTAAGGGGGGAGAGTGGAGGCTCGTGTGTGCGGATCTTGAACCGACATATGGTCCGGTGCACGGTGGTAGGATCCAGTGGCAGATCATAGCATGATCATCATGAAGCACCCGCTACTGCGCTTTGCGTCGCATCCCACTAGTACACCTACGGCGCAGAGACTGTGCGTCTTTAGACGCTATCAGCAACCGTGTAGCTCATCCGGGCCGTCTTGAGGCTCCAACCAGTGCAAAGTGGAGGTCGGCTGCTCGTGCCGGGGGCATGGGAGAACGCGAGGCTTTGGCGCTCATGCTTCCCTACTTCTGGATCCTGCTGAGGGTGACTTCGGCGTCACCATCGGCTTTCCGAAGCAAAGCGCATTTGGTGTTGCGCAACTTGGTCACCTAGCACTCGTGCTTGTTCGCCTCAAAGGATCACGCAACGACAGCCCACACCGCCTTCTCCAGTATCTCTGCCTCTGCGGATGCTCCCGCCTTTTGCGTGCTTGGCCGTGCCCTCCTCATCTTCACCAAAGTCGGCGGGTTTGACAGTCATGTGAACAATATTGGTCTGGTCGAGTTTGAAAGCGTAGTCTACAATCATGATATCAACGTCAGCTCGCAACATATATACATGACGGCTAAACTGTTTGCAGCGAGGAGCTTGAGCTCGCGATACGTACCACTCAGCATCTTCTTGTCATCGACCATCTTACCCCATATGATAAGCCTAATACTGCTAGGGCTTGCAGGTTTCGGCTCCCATTCCGTTCGCCAGTCGGTCCATATAAGCTCTTTCAACTTGTAACCGCTAAGCTGCATGGGGTCGAAAGAGCCATCTGCCTTCTTCGCAGTGGCATTGCGAGACGTGAGGTACTTCTCGTCAATCTTGTAGGGGTGTCTGGCGCCTGTCGTAAGTAGAAGTGTGATACTGAGAACAGGCTCGCTGGTTGCCGGTGGCGCAATGGTTCCATCAGTAGCCGGACCCAGTGCTTCCGACTGTTTCCGGATCATGGGAGCGGGAGTGAAGTCGTTGTCAATATCTGATGGCGACGATAATGCTGTTGTGGCGGGTATTGATGGTGCTGCTTCGACATGCGTAAAGGGAGGTTGTGCCATTGAGTTGGCTGGGTCAACGCGGTCGACAGGGTGTGGCTCGCTTGCCGATGATGGTGCGCCGGGTAGTGTGTCCATCTCTACGCCAGGTTGAGAATGCAATGTGGGCTGACTCCTTCCTACAGCAGTCGTGACGCTATGAACCTGTGAAGCCATTATATGTGTTGATTTGAATGATAAAACAAGCTGTTCGGAACGAGTGAAGCATACGGCCAGCGATTTGCCAGAGATGGCGGAAGAGACTATCTCCTAGGAAGTGCGGCTACAACGTTGGGATCGATGGCAAGTGTGGAGGATATACAGCAGCAAAGGTTGGTTTGACACCGGAGCAATCGGCAACTGTGGCTGAGGCGGTTAGATCACCCGAAGTCACGCAAGGCCAGCAAGCAGCAGGCGGGACTTGCGCGGCACGGGATGAGATGGATCTGGATGGCGCCGATCTTTGTAGTCCAACTCCATTGACGGACCACCTTATTACGACAATGCCGTTACTCATCGAATGTATAATGCAAGGAACGACAGAAACCCATTTACAACAGTTGCTGGGCCAGATCTCTTCGTCACTGAGCCAAAACTGGAAACGGAAGGACGGCCGCGGAGTGCTTGCTTTCTCCAGATTTTCCAAGATTGTAGTGTGGGGGAGATGGAACAGGATGACAAGGACAAGTGCTTGGCAGACGGTGGGAAGCTCGTGGCCGGCTACAGTGCTGAAGCCAACGGCAAACATTCTGTAAAGCGAGGTCACGAGGGTGAGTGGTCGCTGAAGATGATGCGTTGACCGTATATACAAGAGCATACTACGTTCCAGCAGGCGGCGACTGTGCTACTCTAGCTGCGCTTTGCCTTTCACTTTTTGCATGTATACCTGTCATGATCATGGCGTCGTGCGATACGAAAGAGATCCAGCTCCGCATGCCAAGATATACCTATGCCCGGCAAGCGAATAACATCAAGTTTAGCCAAGCGTGCAAGTAGTCGCCGCGTTGACCCAGCCTGTCAGCCTGTTGGCGATGTCGCTAGCATAGCAGTGCGTTGCGATGCCATCCTGCAAGAGGCCACTGCTCGCAATGCTGCCAGAGTTGTAGATGCGAGCAGCCTTGTAGTACTTGCTGACATCGCTAGCATTGGCCTCAGAAAGGGTTTGCACAAGCCCGTCGCCGGCTGCAGTACCCTCAGTGCCGTCTGTGATCATCTGGGTGATCTCGCTGCTAGGGCACGGGTTTTGGACGGTACCAGCGTCGTTGCAAGTGCCGGAGCCATCGTGGTCTTGCATGAGGCCGGGGTTGCGTACTCCCCAGTTGGTGGTGGGCGCACGAACACAACCCTTTGACTCTTGCATCACTACGGCGAGGATGAAGCGCTCATCGACTCCTGAAGCCGAGGAGACGGACTGAATCGCGGACTTCACGTCAGCGGACTCTTGATCCGAGTTGTTTGGCTCGCCGAATTGCGTGCACGAAATGGAAATGATCGGCAGGTTGGCGGTCCACATGGACTCAAAGTTGGTCCATGCAGACATACTGGGCCAGCCCTGAGCGGTGGTGCCGTCGCCGAGGTAAAGCGTGTATTTGTCGCCGAGACCACCAGAAGAGGAGGTCGAGGTGCTGCTTGCGCTAGACGAAGTGGTTGAGGCAGCTGATGTGGTAGTGGAAGACGAGGTCGAGGTGCTGCTTACGCTGGACGAAGTGGTGGAGACAGCTGACGTAGTGGAAGGCACAACTGTCGTGGAAGATGAGGTTGGAGCGGCTGAGCTGCTTGACGATGTGGAGGTGCTCGAGGTGCTCGATGTGCTCACAGGCGCTACGGTGGTGGAGGTAGACGTAGCGAAGGTGGTGGATGGCGAGGCGGACGACGAGGTGCTCGAGGTACTTGAGCTGGACGAGCTGGACGAGCTGGACGAGCTGGACGAGCTGGACGAGCTGGACGAGCTAGATGAAGCTGAAGCGCTTGTAGGCACAGCCGCAGAAGATGTGCTCGGGCTCGACGTTGCGGTCACGGTGTACATTTGCGTGGTCGAAGAGGTGAGCGTAACCCGCGTTGTCGACGTCGTGGTAGGAGCGGCCGCACTGCTGGTAGTAGAGGTCGTGGCGGGAGCAATAGCACTGGTGCTCGACTCTGCCGAGCTGCTGAAAGTGTGAGGCTGGCCAGAGAATGTCGGGTAGGGGTGATTCTTGTTGGCTTGATTCACGGAGGAAGAGTCGGACGAGCTCGTAGAGCTGGATGGAGTCGCGGTCACGGTGACCGAACCAAGACCGAGAGTGACAGTGCCTGTGCCAAGAATGCCAGTGGCATTACCACTGCAGGTACCGAAGGCAGACTGGCAACCAGCAAGACAGTAAGCCTCGCTGGCTCCACACCAGCCCCATTGACTGCAGCAGAAGCCCGGCGCGCAGGTGTTGCCACTGTCGCCGCCGCAGGAACCATCAGTAGTCTGCGCACGAAGAGCGAGGTGAAGGCGCGGGTGTAGGTGACCAGCAGCATGAGGAGCCGCAGCGGTCAAGGCCGTGAGGCCGGTCAAAGCGAGAATGGTGAACGAGTGCATTGTGACTGTCGAGTCTGAGTAAACAGCGCTGCTGTTCTATTTGTTCGTTAGAAGTGAGTGTGGGTAGTTCGCGACAAGTGAGTGACAAGTGCGTATCGACTAGCGACAGCAAGGGGGTGAATGAATGGACGTTCTGAACGAGAGAACGAAGGAGTGCCTGCCTATGTGCAACAACGAGGAGCGTGAGTAACAACAAACATCTTCCGCGAGAGGGAGGAGGCGGCCTTTTTCAACGACCCTCCCCTGCTCCAACACCGGTGCGCACTCCAACCCCAGCGCAAACGGTGCAGCAGGCGCAGGAACGGCGCCAGAATGCCGACAGCTTAACATGGACCAGGGGCATAGCAGAGTCTAGGGCGCTGCAGTGGTTCCCCGAAGAAGTAGCCTGAAGTGCAATGTGGCCAATGGCAAAGGCTAGCCTGGACTTTCTGCAAGCGGCTGCAGTGTGACAAGAGCGGAGCCTGGTGAGCAAAAGTTTGCAACCGCGCCAAGGTGGTAGCTGCAGATCTGGACAGGAAAGCGGCCATGTTTTAGATGCAGTCAAGCTGGCCAATCGGCTAGCGTCCGTCCCTGATGGCCGCAGTTGTGGCGGTCGAAGCATGCGGTTTCACCAACTTCAGGCCCTGGGCTGTCATTCCGGCGAGCTGACTGTGCTGGTCAGCGCTGCGCGAGTAACCTCAATTCACCCGAGCATCCAGTAGAAGAGCTAGTCATACGTAAGACTTTTTTTCACGGTACGAAGGATTCCGACTCCACATATCTACGCGAAGTCGAGCCGTCATCGAAGCCGGCGCGACTGGGACCTGCATAATGCAGCAGAGCTAAGGCCTAGCTGCTGCCGCTCTTTTAGCCCGACAGCTCTCGACAGCAGCAGTGCAAACTTGACTCGTTAGCCTGAAGAGTGTCGAGATGACTGGCTACAGCGTACTCGAGCTTAATACCTCAACCGCAGAAAGCTGCATTATAGCGCTTTTCGTTGTCTCAGTACCAAATACTCCTCGTTCGGTGGTGCGGTATGCTCAATTGGCCCTCCGTTCGCTCGCGCTCTTTGGTGAGATCGTACAAAAAGAAGTCTATCAACACCGCGTTCACTGCCGCCTGGGGTTGCAAGCGTAGGATCTCGCAACGAATGAGCTCTACCGCCCAAATGCTACAGCCTCGAAGCTGAACTTCCCAGCTGTGCCCAGGCGGGATTTGCTTCCCGTCGCGGATGTGGTAGAGTAACGACGGACTGTACGACAGCACGCCGAGAGTATACAGCATTTGTGGTACCCGGTAGTCTGCCTAACATCAGTATACCGATTTGGGCCCAATGGCATCCAGTTGACGTTACGTACCTGCAAACATCGTCAAGGTATCTATGTCTTGAAACTCGCCATAACCTGCACCATTGAATGCGGCCCAAAGGTCTGCACCGAAAATCTGCGCTCGTTTGAAGAAGCGTACTTTCCGGCCATGAAATTGGGTCTCGTCGCAGAAGCATGCAAAATGTCTGGCAAGCAGATTCACCAACTTGCCGGCTGAACGATCGGCCTTGTCAATTAGGCATAGAACTGACTGGTCTCGACTGAAAGACTCGGCATTCTTGCTCTGTCGATCACTTTGAGCCCCATCTTGATTGATCGGCAATGCTGCAGCTTCGACTGCAGACTGGTGAACAACGACCTCCTCCGGGTCTGCTATGGACTGCATTGGAATGTCGTTGTCTAGCACCGGCATGGTAACGACGGTAGTTGTTTGGTCTGCCTTTACACTGACATGAGACAGTCGTTCATAATCAAAGTCGGCAGCAAAAAAAGCGTCGTGCTGCTGCTCGCTGGCTATTTCCAAGCGTTCGGTCGCTTCCTTTCCGTGAGCTCCTCCGACACGGTGCGCTTGGCCTGGATGAGTGCGATTGACAGATAGGTCAGGGCAGCTGGTGAGAACAGCCTCCACCACCATCTCTGGTACATCTTCGGGTCCACCGAAGCTCTATCGGGTCAGTACAGCTCTGGAGAGCAAGCCTTACACGGGCCTACCTTGTGCAGAACATCGGCTGCCTCACGCAGGACAGCGATGCGCTCACTCAGCAACGGGATATCCTCGCTAGTGGCACTTCTAAAGACATGCTTGAAAGCCTCGTCAGAAGCTTGCGAGCTCCGCCAGTATCGCGGTGTGGTAATTGGGATGCCTTCGTCTAGTGCTCGATGCAGGCAGGCCAGTAGGCTGTTGTACCCCGTCCACCGTCTCCCCTTGTAGTCAACCTGGAAGCGCTGGTCATCTGATAGCTTGGACCAGAAACTGATCCTTCGTCAGCGCCACGGGTTACATAATACATAACCTCCGTCGCTCATACGAGAAGTTGAGAAGGTCCATAGTGAAGATGAAGTTGATCGTGTCAAGTTCTGAAAAGCCTTCGCCCGCTTTTGGGTGAAGTTCCACCTGACTCCAGGCTTCGGTAGAATAGGCTCGTTCCTGCATCATCTTCCAGATGTTTGAAGCTGCAGACTTGGTGCCATACATGTCAATCGAAACGTCAATGGCATCACTGTAGATGTGTTCCGCATCTGCCAGCACGCCTTGTGACCATCAGCCAATGCCATAGCGGGCGAATTACGGAGATAGAGAGACGTGCAATCTTGCAGGCGAGATAGTGGAAAGGTCGGACCGTAGCCTACCTGTCTGGCTTGACACTTCGTCCGAGCGGTTGGAAGGGATGCCCAAGCTCTGGCGGAGGAGCTGCAGTAGCTCAGGATCCGCCTCATCGTCGCTCATCTTCGCAGCGATGTGGTTGACGCAGCGATGAGAGAGGAGGTGGTGATTTACTCCTAGCACCCTCGCACCTCATTGGCGTCTCGGCCGAACAAGTTGCGGCCTAAGGATCGAACCTCGCTTCTGAAGAGTTGCATCACGATCGAAGTGAATGCGAGTCAATGTTTGCATTGTCTTTCTGAACTCCTTCTTCTCTGCCTGCAACCTCTTTAAATTACATCTCCAGCTCCATCGGCTCGGCGGCGCCATACACCATAAAAGAGACACTATGCGCGCCGCCTTGTACCCTCGACACCGCTAAACGCTCCCTACCACTACCCTCATTCGGTCATTACAAGAGCTCTATGGTCAGGCTCACTTCACAGTGAAAGAACGCCAAGCCCACACTCTCTACATCCCTCAATAAGTGCCGACCATCCCCATAGAAGCGAAACCTACAACATCACACTCACACTTCGACGACATGCAGCGACGCGATCGTGGCCTGGCGCAGTCGCTAGGCCTACCACTCACAAAGCGCGTCAAAGAAAGCCGCGTGCTTCTGGTCGGTGCCGGCGGTATTGGATGTGAGGTGCTTAAGAACTTGGTATGCTGTGGCTTTGGCAGCCTTGCGAGCAAGAATGGCACCAGGAATGGTACACTGGAGACACCGGAGACCGAAACGGCAGCGGTGGCATATCGCAAGCCGGGAATAGTCGTGATTGACCTGGATACCATCGACCTTAGCAACCTCAATCGGCAGTTCCTCTTCCGGAAGCAGCACATCAAGAAGCCCAAAGCCTCCGTCGCGAAAGAAACTGCGTCGCAATTCAATCCTTCCGTCAACATCGAGGCGCATCACGCGAGCATATTTGACAGCCAATACGATGTCGAGTTCTTTAAGAGCTTCGATCTTGTCTTCAACGCGCTGGACAATCTGGCTGCGAGACGGCACGTGAACCGAATGTGTCTTGCGGCCGACGTACCTCTGATCGAAAGCGGCACGACTGGGTTCAATGGGCAGGTGCAAGCGATTAAGAAGGGCGTCACAGAATGCTATGACTGCAATCCGAAACCTGTGCAGAAGAGCTTCCCAATTTGCACAATCCGCTCGACACCCTCCCAGCCAATTCATTGCATTGTCTGGGCGAAGTCGTACCTCTTCCCGGAGTTGTTTGGCACAAGCGAAGAGGACTCCGCTGTTGTTGCCGTCACGGAAGGCGACAACGCGGAGGAGGTGGCCAAGCTGAGGGAGGAAGCTGAGGCGTTGAAGAAGATACGACGAATTATGGGCAAAAGCGAGTTCGCACAAGAGGTGTTCAACAAGGTCTTTCATGAGGATATTGAGCGCTTACGGAGCATGAGCGAGATGTGGCAGTCAAGGCAAGCACCGGAGTCACTCCGCTTCGACGACCTAGTAGCGGGCATTGACGCAGAGATTGTCCAGCGCGGCCAGGCTCTCGCTGTGCGAGACCAAGCAGTCTGGAGCCTACACGACAACTTATCAGTCTTCTGCTACGCACTCGACACGCTCAGCAGTCGGGTCCAAGCAGGAGAGTCAGTCATAGAATTCGACAAGGACGACAAGGACACGCTAGACTTCGTGGCATCGGCGGCGAACTTGCGATCGCATGTTTTCGGCATACCGTTGCATAGCGAATGGGAGATCAAGCAGATGGCAGGCAACATAATTCCGGCAATTGCGACGTCAAACGCGCTTACGGCGAGTTTGTGCGTGCTCGAAGCGTTCAAGATCTTGCGAAGCCTGCCACAGGAGCAGAACGGCTTGAGCAAGCCCACTGCAAATAACCACCTACCAACGACAACGCACAGCACAATTGGTGGCAAGAGTGAGAGCGTGTTGGGCGGCTCGAAGCTTGTCTTCCTAACATCGCGTAATACGGAACGTATGATAACGGTTCAGAACCTGTCACAGCCGAACCGTGAATGTCCAGTGTGTTCACCTGTGTATGCGAAGCTGCAACTTCCGGCAAACGGCAACACGACGCTGCAGGAGCTAGTCGACGTGCTGAAAGCGACAGTTGGCTATGAAGACTTCTCCATAACCACTGACATGGGTGTGATCTTCGACCCTGACCTGGACGACAACCTTGCGAAGCCGTTAGGGGAATACATTGGCGCAGCAAACAGCTTCATCACGGTGACAGATGATAGTGACGCGCCAAAAGTCGACCTGGTGCTCAGTATCGTGGAGTCACTAGACACCACCACCGCAGAGGAGCCCCCACGGCTAATGCCGCCAAAACTGTCGCTTCCACCGAAACCGCCGAAGGCACCCGAGACCAACCGTGATGCGATGGACAGTAATGGCGTTCGATTGGCGGTCGCCGCTGGCGTCGGCCTCAAGCGCAAGCGCGAAGCTGAAGCAGAGGTGGAAGGCGCGGTCAAGCGTGCCAAGGCCGCCAAGGAGGCTGCGATCGAAGTCATAGACGACGGCGGCGCCATTGTACTTGACGACTGAGATGAGGTACAGTTCGTCAAGTATGTGCTTCTGTACACCATTGTGACAGCGAACGGAGTTTGGGCGCGGATGGCGGGAAGATACCACATGTATGGGCTCTGCCCTGTTGATCCTTGGAGCGCCTTCAGACCGGCGATGCCAAGTGAGATCTATACAATCAATAATGAATGACTGTGCATATTTACCTACTGCGCCAGGTGCTTGTTATCTGACCGACGATACGGTTGCGCCACTTCTGGCCTGCACTACCTCTTTCTCACCTCCCCTGACTCCTCGCATGTAGCCTCCAACCCGTTTCAAATATCGATCGCATCTACTTCGATGGACACAGTATCATCCATTCCATCCATCTCCAGCCAAGCTTCCACTCTCGCTTCGTTTACTTCGTCAATGGCAGTCACTCGAATATTTGCACTAGCCTGCCGCATTCGTCTTTTCGCAGTCTCTACAAGGCTTTGCAGTCTACTCGCTTCCCTTGTCAGGGAGCAGGTGAGTCAGACCAAGCGCGCAGTCTCATCGTCAGTGCTTGGCCGTGGACCGTGGGAAGACGATGGGCGTGGTTCCTCTTCGGTCAACTGGATCGGACCGGCGCGTTCTTTGGTTTCGTGGAAATGCTCGGCTTGCGCATTCTCGGGCGCTTCGTCGAACTCTGCAACCGGAGTATAAGTCCCGGTCCGTTGAACGAATCGGCTAAGCGTGCCGTGGCAGTGCGGGCAAGTTCCTGGGCGCATGAACAGATTTGGCATCTCACGGATGGCCAAGTAGGCATGAATGCCGCTGTAAGCCTTGCGTTAGTGAACACCCTTGTATTTGAGCTGAGATCGAGCCGCCAGGCGGGGAGGAAGTTTCGTACAGGCTACACATCATTGGCACCGTACCATACGCGCCGACCATGGTTGTTGAAGCACCAGTAGGAAGACCAATTGTATGACCTGCGGGGGCCTTTCGCCAGGTTGATCCATCCCGGAACAAGAATGGCAAACAGAAAGGCCGTGCAACAAAGGTCCATATACAAGTTGCCGAGTTGCGACTTAGCCTTACCAGAGACGTGGACAATGCCTGCTGCGGCGCTGAAACTCATTGGTATGATGCCGAGCACCGGGCAGAGGTAGTGAGATGTTATGCCATGTGGAAAAGAAGAAACGCGACTGCAGGGAACCAAATCAGGATGGTCAGCAAGCGGAGAGTGCGGTCGGTGCCATGCTCCATGGGAGGCATGATAGTGGTGGCTCTGACGAATGGCTGGAGTATGCGCTGATACAAAGGACTAAACGTTCCTCCCTGGCTGTAGAAGGTTTGAGATCCGTTCCAATGAGATGCTCTGGGACATACAGTACAGTAGAACGAGATGTACCTACATATACTGCTCCTAATGGCGCTGCCTAATATGTGGTAGATCTCTAGGTTGGCACAGAGAGATCATTCATCCAGGCTCCGATATGCCGAACCCTTGATTGGACTTGGGCTTGATCCATTTCCACTTGGCTCTGGGCCGAGAGCCTAGCGTCCGCGGACTGTTCTGGCTTGCGCAACGGTTTGGTGCCTAAGGCACAGAATAATCGTGCTGCGGGTAGGCTGCTGGTGAACGTCAAGATGCCTCAGATTTGCACGCGTGAGACGTCTTCAAAGCTCCAGCCGGAGCGTGTATCCCTGTCCAGAAATATCCGGAACACTTTCTTACCCTCTTCCCCAAGGGAGAAGTGGGCTGAGCAGCAGGGGCAAGACGCCTTCAAGAACGCTTGCCGATGATGGGTCGGTGCATCTGATACATATTTCTGCTTTCTGCTCTTTCCGAGATTCAATCGCATGTGAGAGACTGGCATCAAAGCCTGAGATGCAGTGCTGGGTGGAAGAGTTCAGCAAACCCGTCTCCCGCCTCATGTCGAACCCTTCGCCGGAGACGCTATCGGATATTTATCCACACGAGGGTGCTGACAGTCACACGCGTGTCGGCGTAAATAAGCGAATAAGTTCTGCTTGACAATGGACACAATCTGCCAGCCACGGTAAGTTTGGGATGGGCGATGGGTAGGCCTATATCTTGCGGCCTTGCCGCTAACGATCGTATCCACAAGGCATGCACTGCAGTGATTTACAAGGTATGCAGCGATTGTTGTCGACACCCGGCTTCGGGGCGCTTGGGGTGCCGTTGGCGAGCCGGCTAAAGTGCTCCTTATTTGGCGCCAAAATGCATGCTGACGTGTAGTGTCAGTATCTCGATGAGACACTCAAGCACCCTCGAGCTATCATCCAGATTCGCAGTCTGCGATCACCGTTCATGGTTCGCGTCGTGCAGCCGGGACTGACGCGCATCTGCCACACCCACAGCATATCGCGCATGTATCGGACGCTTAGGCTAGGAGGCTGGTCATATATCCAGGTAGTCCGCCGCCCAGACAAGTTCCAGGCACAGTGAATCTGGGAAGTCCATGTCTGCAATGTCGCGCGCGTCTTTGTTCTTCTCGTTGTAGTACATGTACTTCACGATCGTTTCCAGCAAGATAGCACTAGACGTTGGTTAGCGTATGTTGTCGCCTCGCCCAGGTCTCGGCCAGCTTACTGGAAATTGTCGAACCGTATCACTCCGGTTTTGCTCTCCAGGAAGCCGTCTGTCAAGCTCCGTTAGTCGTTCATCATCGCGGCCATGGTGCGGTCGCATTGGTACTGACTGGCTGGGTCGAGCATTCGCCGGATCGCGGGTGAAATGCAAGCCGCTGATCTCTGAACGACGTAGGAATAGCCGTCGGATGAGACAAGTGTGACATAGTCTGCTTGCTCGGCCATTTTACGATCTATGTAATGTCGAACGTACAGGTTGTGGTCTGCAAGTAGCCTTCACGAAAACGGCACGCTAATTTTGAACGACTCGAACGCTGACTAAGCAAATGTTCAGCTTGTGGGCAGCTATGACAAACATGCTCTGCACTTCAAGCCCCCCAACTCGTGGGACAATACAAGCCGCCAAGTGCTCGCTGGCCCTGCTCGACTTTCTCTCCTGGTCCTCCTGCTATCTCACCATGTCGCTCGGGGAGACCGCGGCTCATTCCATTTTGAGGGTTACGCCACAGTCTGTTGAGCAAAACAGAACTCTCGATCGAAACTTGGCTTCCCAACGTTCCACCTGCACTTCACGGCAGGGACCTGCTCATATCGCGCGGCTGATTTTGGTGGATATGACGATCTTAACACTCTGATCCGTGTTCATAGGAACAACACCGCTTCACCCATCCGCCAAAGGGTTCGCATGCACCACAACCCTCTGAATCTTAATCGGCTGCTGTGGCCTATTCTTTACATCCACACCGACCGCCTCCATAGCATCTAGCGTCTCCCACCCCTCCAATACCCGTCCGAAGACAGTGTTCTTCCCATCCAAATGCGGAGCCCCAGCAAACGTTATGAAGAATTGACACCCGTTCGTGTTAGGTCCCTTGTTCGCCATGCTGACGATGCCGCGAGCGTTGTGCCTTAGGGTAGGTTGGATTTCGTCCTCGAACACGCCGGTTTCCGTGGGGTAGATGGAGATGTTAGATTTTGGTGTGGCTTCAGCAGGAGAGCCCCCTTGTATCATGAAGTTCGGAATGCTGCGATGGAACGGCGAGTTATTGTAGGCTGAGCTGGCGCAAAGGGCGAGGAAGTTATAAGTCGTGCGCGGGCAGGCTGTGCAGAAGAGTTCAAGCTTGAGGGGCCCATGGGTGGTGTGGAGAGTGACTGCCATGATGGATTTATGAACTGAACCCAGTCAAGCACTAGATTTTGAATTTACTGTCATGTCGCATACTCTTGCCACATTGTCCGCTTCCTGTATATACACAATCTAAAACCGCCATTGAGGGAGCCATGACTCGTAGTCCTTCACCAGCCACGATCAACATGTGACACACAAGCAGGCCTGCAGGGTCCACTCGGGCCATGGTGTAAGCCACGCCGACCCAGCGCAACGGCCAACGGCGTCGTCGAGGCGAGCCTGTTCTCCGAGCACATACCACTCGCATACATCAGCCAGTCTTACACGTCCGATCCCGAAGCATACGATTGGGAGCATTGCCATTGTCACGACTGCAGCATAGCATAAGGTACAGAGATATCAGACTCTCGGGATACACAAAGCTTATAGGCGACCCGGCTCCGCAGCACAGCTACAACCAACACCCTACCTACTGAGACCGATGACGACTATCTGAAAGCTGTTACAACGCCATACTACCACTATAACACACTTCGAAACAACGTGAAGCGCTTACTTTCGCTTTATACTGGCGACCCGCCAAGGACGATCGTGCGCAAACAGTCACCCAAGCGCCAGCGTAAGCGCAAACAGCAGGCAACCATACCAAGCTCATTCACTACATCGTCGCCATACAGCATCGTTCCTGACGGCGCCCTCCCAATGTCATAGCGCCAATGTGCGCCGACGCCCGTCTCCGCAGACCGCCAAGCGGAGCAGTACCATTCCCACACCACACTACCTTGCGCCGACGTAGTCATTACCATGGCTGCCTCCGTTCGCGTTGCCGGCCCGCCCAATAGCAACTTCCTTGTTGGCTACCCTGGCATTTCCGCCACTCTGCCACGAATAGAAGGGCGTGTCGAGATCCGGCCAGCCGCAGGCGTGTCCGCTCCCGTCAATGTCTCGCTCGTGACCGTCTCGCTACAACGCCGGGAAAGCATCAACCCGGCCGCAGAGAGCATGATACGATCACAATTAAGCTCAGCGCGAAAGGAGATGGTGGACATTGTCGGCAAAGAGATGCTCTTATTCCGCTGTCCGCAAGGCCGAGAAAGCGAAAGCGTACTGATCATGGACCTGCCGTTCGTCATCTTCATCCCCTTTGGACGCGGCGGAGAAGAGATAGCGCGAAGAGTTCCTCCTGCGTCGCTACAGCTCGACAAGCGGACAGCAGAGACGTGGTACGAGATCGTGGTCACGGTGCAGCATTCGCATGCCGAACAGCGCAAGTACGCCTTTCCCGTCCCCATCTCGCGCTATGACACCCTTAGCACGTTCGGGATGTACAACCGCCCGGAATCTGCAGAGCGCGTTTCCGATCACCTCGTGAGTCTAGGCATTACCCTACCACGATGGAGTTACGGACCGTTAGATCCTGTTTCGGTCTTCATAAAGCTCTCGCCGAACCCGGATTGGTTGAGCAAGGCGAAGAAAGTTACCATTCAGTCCATTACGGTGGGCATCGAGGAGGAAGTGATCTACAACCACGAAGGCGACGAGCCAAAGCGGAGTGTCAGAGTCTTGGCGAAGCATAATCAGAGCGTCGGAGTCAGGATGCCGGAGGCTGGGTACTGTACGAATCTGGGACTGGTCTTTCCGAGCAGAGAGTTGCGGGATGGAGAGGGCGTACTGCCGAGAGGGAAACGCGAATTCCCCATGTACGCGGTCTCGGGCTTCACGACCACGGGGACGCTTTACAAGATTGAGTACTATCTTACGGTCAAGGTAACGATTCGCCTTACAGCCATGGTTTCTACTGGCCTCTAAATCTATCCTTGCTAACTTTTGCCAGGCCAAAATGTCGTCCGCACGCGACATTATACTCCGGCAACCCATTGTCGTCTGTCCGTTTGACCATGCGGGCTGCAAGGAGGAAATGGAAGCCATTGAGCAGGCCGCGAGAGATGCGGCGCATATCAGTCAAGATAACCCGATGTTGCCTGCAGCGACGATCTTGAAGGCGGGTGACCCGGCGGGACTCAGGGCGCTGGGCGTGACGGAAGTCGGGAGGTTGAAGAAACCACTGATTGAGTGAGTGAGCGATCATCGCCACGCATTACTGGAACGATACTCGATGCGTCATTTAATGATGATTACCTGCTTTCTGCCTGGTGCGGAGAGCTGTGCGGCAATACGAAGGCTGCAAGCGACTTGTGAGAGGTTGACGAACGATGATCGACAGCTTGACCTCGGATGCCAACTCACTCCAAGGCGACGGAGAAGTCAGACCGTGAAATACAGGACGGGCACTCGGCACCGGCGGCCAGTTAGTGATTGGCTCCCGACGCGAACGTCAGGGTCAGCGGATATCTTTGGGCAAGCATTACTGTTCCATTTGCCGCCCGGAGACGAAGAGGACGACATCACCTACAGCGGACGATGTCGACGAAGTGAAGTGAGATACAATACCCATTCCGCATTGCGGGCGTTCTGGGCCACAGGGAGAAGATCGGCTTGGGGGTGTTTGGGCGTGCGTGAAGGTTGATGCCGGAGCACGACGCATCTCATGGGAGCCTGGCATTGTTGCAAGGGATTTACAGTGCACGAGGAGTCGTGGCAGACGCCCACAATCAGCCGAGCAAGCTTGTAGCATGGCGTTGGCCTCTGTAGTGCTATTGTCATAGAGACGATTGGTATGCCAGCCAATGAATTTCTCCACAAAGACGTGGACTTTTAGCTTTCCGTCAGCACCGAAGAGTTGTATGGATAGGTTCAATAAGAAAGAAGCATCACTGGGATCCTGCTGTCTCACAACGTTGTAAAGAGTGTGGTTGAGTGGCTGTCGTCGTGCCCTGCTCGTGCTACTTCCGCTCTAGCAATTGTTGTGGTGCGCCGCTGCAGACAACCGTCACAGCCGTCACCCCTGCTCCTGCATGCCATGCCGGGCCGTTGGTGCGCTCTTCCCCACTTTCATTGCCTCAGACCTGCACCTTGGAACAGAGCGAGCTCGATTACCAATTCAACCTCCAGACCAACATACACTCTGCGCCTCGCCAGCTTGCGTCAGTCAATGTGACGGTGCAGTTGCGAGGATTATTCATTGTTCTCCATCAAAGCCGACCTCAGCGTTAACGGCACTCGGGCAATGTGAGCCGGCTCTACGCAACGCCTCCTCGCTATCGGCAGCGCCACAGGGAAGGCCTATCAACCACAACTGACTCTCGTTGCACCGACACAAAGTCTCCCTTGTAGGGGGTGGTAGCGGCAACAGCGACCACCAATACGACTGTTCCTTGACCCATCCAGATAAACCTATGCAGCGACAATAGCGCCTCTAGCCGGCGTGCGAGCGGCATACGATCACTAGCATTGTCGCATAGCGGAGCGGACATTGGCTCCGCTGCATGCGACGCTGGCAATGACAGCTCTTGCAGCCAAACGTAACAACTCCACCGCCACCAGCAACATGCCCGCCGGCGAAGGCAAGCGCACCTTCTCCGGACTAAGCCTCAACGCGAACGCCAAGGTCAACTCATCCGCAGGCCAGAAGATCAAGAACTTCTTCCGCATCAACAGCAAGAACGACGGCTCTCAAACCGGCTCCGAGACAGGCTCACAGAAGGATGGCCTCGCTCCGACTTCAGAACCAGCAGCCGGTACACGCACGCCTTCATCCCAGCACACGAAGAGCAGTCTCCGCAACAGTCGCTTCATTCCACATCTCGGCCGGCAAAGAAGCACCACGGTAGCGTCAGAAGGCAACCCGCTTGATGATGGCATGAGCCCAACAGCACATGTCAACCCGTACTTCCAACATCAAGGCCCGCCGGCAATACGACACCACAATGACACTAGCGTCCCGCCTTCACCCCCGGACACTCCTCAGACGCCGAAGAAGGGTGCAGACAAGGACGCAGTTGCGGCAGGGAAGGAGGAGTTGGCCAGGAAGCTGCGAAGGGTAGCCAGCGCGCCCAACGCGCAAGGTCTCTTCAGCAGCAAGAACAAGTCCGACAGCCGGCCTCAAACAGCGGAAACGAAGAACTCGCCGAAGCTGAACGGTTTGGCAGCGCATCATAGCAATGCGAGTACGCTGAGTATGGTCGAGACCGTACCGCAGGATAATGTCGAGAACCTACTACCCGTGCCCGGCATCAATGGCGCCATCAGTCCTGGGAAGTTGAGGAATAGTATTGCTTTTCGACGGACCTACAGCAGTAATAGCATCAAGGTGCGAAATGTGGAGGTGGGACCGGGCAGTTTCGACAAGATCAAGTTAATCGGGAAGGGTGATGTGGGGAAGGTGTATTTAGTACGGGAAAAGAAGAGTTCGAGGCTGTATGCCATGAAAGGTAAGTTACGCTGCAAGCTCGGTTTTGGGAAGATCTTTAGTGTAACGTGATGCTGATGTTGGCGTAGTGCTGTCGAAGAAAGAGATGATCAAGCGCAACAAGATCAAGCGGGCGCTGGCTGAGCAGGAGATTCTGGCCACGTCGAATCACCCGTTCATCGTCACGCTTTACCACAGCTTCCAATCTGAGGACCATCTGTACCTGTGTATGGAGTATTGCAGTGGAGGCGAGTTCTTCCGCGCACTGCAGACGAGACCGAACAAGTGTGTGGACGAGGACGCGGCGCGGTTCTATGCTGCCGAGGTGACGGCGGCGCTGGAGTACTTGCACTTGATGGGCTTCATTTACCGAGATCTCAAGCCTGAAAGTGAGCAAAGCACTTTTTCACGACGAAACGGAAACTGTGCACATGCTGACTTCGCTGAAATCCAGACATCCTCCTTCACCAATCCGGCCACATCATGCTCTCCGACTTCGACCTCTCCAAACAATCCGATCCCGGCGGCGCGCCCGCCATGATCCTCGCCAGCGGCAACGGCAGCACCTCCTCCGGCCGTGGCGGCTTCGGCATCTCCTCCAACCCACACCCTACAAACTTACCCACCATCGACACCAAGTCCTGCATCGCGCCCAACTTCCGCACCAACAGTTTCGTCGGCACGGAGGAGTACATCGCTCCTGAAGTGATTAAGGGTTGCGGACATACGAGCGCGGTGGATTGGTGGACGCTGGGGATCTTAATATATGAGATGTTGTTCGGTACGACGCCGTTCAAGGGCAAGAACCGGAATGCGACTTTTGCGAACATCTTGAGGGATGAGGTGCCGTTTCCCGAGGGTAGTGGGGGACCACAAGTTAGCAAGTAAGTTCGCCTCCATACTACGGGACAAGAAGGAATGGTTGTGACTGACTTCGTTCGCGCACAGCCTTTGCAAGTCTCTCATCCGCAAACTCCTCATCAAAGACGAACTGCGCCGTCTCGGCTCTCGCGCGGGCGCCTCAGACGTCAAAGCCCACCCCTTCTTCCGGACGACCTCATGGGCGTTATTGCGGCATATGAAGCCGCCCATCATCCCCAACGCGGGCCGCGGCATCGACACCGTCAATTTCCGAAACGTAAAGGAAAGCCAGAGCGTTGATCTGGGAAGTGGCGAGGGGTTGAAGAATGGTGCGGTCAAGGCAGGCGGTCCAGGGTTTGTGAACCTGCCGGCAAGCAAGATGAAGGGTGTGCCGCTCGATAGTGGATTGGCTACGCCGGGGGGCGAGATTGCGGATCCGTTTGAGGAGTTCAATAGTGTCACGTTGCATCATGATGGGGATGACATTGTGGAGGGCGAGGCGGAGGGGGGGCGATAGGGTGCCTATGCTTATGTTGAGCGCAGTATGGTAATGGAGGACGTTGAAACGCTTGTTCCACCAACGAAAGGTGGGACACGGAGGGGAAGGATGAGGCGCGTGGCGGAACAACGTTCCCTGAACGAGACGTGCGCGCGGCGCATCCGTGGGGGTTACAATGGTTGATTGTGCATGGCGATGGAGGTGGGAGGCGCACACTTGGGCTTTCGAGACGTGAAAGGGAGGTCTTTCACTGCTGAGAACGAGCGAAAAAGGCGTCCTTTACTGGAGTGAGGGAAGGTGTTGATAGGATGCAAGGCAGAGGAGTCATCGATCCCAAATTGCTTCATTGTTCGCTCTCCCTAACTGTGCTGTGAAGCGCACGTGAGAGCGCGTTTCCTCGAACGCGCTAAACTTCGACGTCAACCTTTCAAGTTGCGCTCAACATATTGCGGATCCACGTACGCGCTTGATGTGTGCTGAGGACATTACAGCACCGAGCGACAAGGATGAGGGCTGTTGAATACACACGGTCCCCGATGATCACATTCTAATACATGATGGACGCCGCTCAACCTCGCGCCACGGCTCCTTCCCATGCTCAGGGCGGGGGTGAAGCAGAACCGACACCGCTCGAGCAAGACGTGCTGAACGAGTACGCGAAGCTCGTCGGCAACCTCGACAACGTGTGTCTCCCCTTCAATACTCATTCACACGAATATACTCACAGCGTATTGTCGTACAGCTCTCCAGCATCCTCGCGGAGCTGGCGGCAAACCCCTCGGTGGAGATTCTGGATGCTTTGCGCGGGTTAGAGCGCAAGACGACGACCGTTTTCACGCTGCTAAAGGCGAGTGTGTATAGTATTGTGCTGCAGCAGGAGATCTATGGGGAGGATGAGCAGCAGCAAGGGGGGTCATGATGTGCGTGCTTCAGGCGTTGGGGCCAGTGATGACTGGTAAATGTGCGATGAACTACCCATCGACGGTGCGTGAGATTTGCATGGTTTTCCGTCACTAGTCAAACACCAATCTAAGATTACAGATGCTGTACAAGCAGAATCGACATTAATACGGCTTGTATGCTCCACTCGACGCTCCAACCCATCGCTCCTAGCCTCGAGATGCCCTTACGCCGCGCTAATCCAACAGTATCATACACTGACGCGCGCATGCTGTCTTCTTCTGCCGCTAGGCTTTGCCAATTTCTGTACTGTTACGCCAGTCTGCCATCCCACACAAGCTATAAAGCTCATCGCAGCGCAGCAGCCGCCGGTCCTGAGCGCGCCTTATCGACTAGATCCGCCGGGAAGACCTTATGCTTCGGCACCGGCGGAGCTCCACCGTTCATCTCATTCTCAGGCTGCGCTACCTGCTCCCTCCTCTTCCTAGCCAGGTACGGTGACATACCAACTACATTCCCCTGCGGCAGTCTCGCCCGTATACCATCGTCCGCCGGGTCGGGCGAGCCGAAGTAGAAGGGATACGTCTGTCCGCTTGCAATCGCCGCCGGCTCGTAGAAGGTCGGAGGGTGCACCCACCACTGCTCCGTCCGCTTGATACCTTCAGGCGTGACGTACTCTTTGTTGTCGCCGTCTGTGCCTTCGAATTTGCGTGCGGTGAAGCGGGTCGGCAATATGGACTCTGTGGCATTCGGCTGCAGTTTCGAGACAAACTCGGCGATCGCCCATTGAGTCTTTGCCCCAGTCCGTCCGGGGAGTTCCTCTTCGGCGATCTCTGCGTAGCCGCCTTGCACTGGGACGAAGTGTCTCGCAGGCAGTACCTCAATGTCGATGATCGGCAAAGTCCGATGGAAGATATGGTGGTTGTGGATCTCTCGTGTAATCTCCTCGTGCCTGATCTCGTGCACGTTCTGTATGACAGTCTCATGCACGACAGCGGGTGCCCATGACTCGTGGAGAGTGGTATCCTCGGTCTTGGAAAGATCCACGATGCCATCAAGATTGATGTCTTTGTCAGCCACAGTCGCTGCTTGTGCAGCAGGCCGGTTCGAACGGCCAGCCTCCCGTCGTGTAACTCTGTCGTTCTCCAGCCCGTCAGCGAACTCATCCGACGGCCGGGCAGGCAACGGCTTGTCCAAGCTTGTACGTGTGGCGTACGGTTGCTCCAAATCACGACTCTGCTGCGGACTGCGCGAAGACAAGACTGGACTCTTCGTGCGAGCAGCATCAGACGACCGCCGCAAGTCACTGACATCATGTTTGTGTGACAGACTACGCGAGGAGATGGGCGAGACTGGTGAGCCTGGCTCGTCCGCACGATAGTCCATTGACGCTTTCTTCTTAATCTTGAGTGGCGTTGGCAAGTCGCTCAAAGAGCCAAGCACCGGCTTCTCATGCTGTACACCGTTCCAATCCGCTGATTCGTTCGAGTAGCGCGGGCCTTCCGGCATCGAAGACTTCACGTTCGACGGCAATGCACCGTTTGTGGCTCCACTCTGTGGTCGTGCTGCTTTCGTCGCCGCAGTTTGACCGTTCGATGGGATCGTAGCCATGATAGTGTCCTCAACAGGCCGCTTCACTTCAGACTTGCGTGGTTTGCGCGGGATGGTGCCACGGTCGACCATGTCTCCACGCTGCGAAGTCGTAGGCTCAGGGTCAGACAAGGTAAGATGCCGGAGATCAGCGGAAAGATCCGTGGGATGAGCGACATTTGGAAGGCGCAAATCTTGCTCTGGCTGCACCGCCCGTGTAGGACGCCCTCGCTGCATCATGTCTGCACTTTGCTCAAGCTGCGTCCTTTCGGTAGACTGCTTGAGCTGTGTTGCTGCAGTAGTTTGTGCTGGCTGCACCGATCTTATAGCCGCCGCGCTGGCCGCAGCAGTTGCGGCCGAAGTGGTCTCTGCTGAGATAGCTGGGTCTATAGTGGTAGAGATTCCGCGACTTCGGGATCTGGTAGGAAAGCCTGTTGGCGAACAGTCAGCTCCAAACCACGATACCTGCACCGCCTTGGCCAACGCATCGGGCGAGCATGTGGAAGGCAGGTATTCGTACCTGTGCCGTGCAAGACATCACGCAACGAGTTCCGCGAGAGCCTCCGATGTAGACTACTCTGCGCTCCAGATGTGGGTGAAGCAGGGGCTGCAGGGGTTGCATCTTCCCGCTTCGTGCCGCTCTCATGCTTGTGGAACAGCTTGTGCAAGCGCTCGCGTGGACTCTTCGACATGCTGAGCCAACCTCTGGCAGCTAACAACAACACGACTGAGCTGCTGGGTTTGTGGTGTTCTTTGCGGATCAAGCTTCCACCTGCTCTGCAATCGGGCCGCTACCGGTTGGTATACGGCGAAGTTCTACGGACTCCGTACAACGGTGGCGCGTGCTGTGACAGCCAGCCAGCCCTGCGTCACGACTCACAAGCCCCTCCCCTTTCAGATGGTCCTCCACCGGCCGGACCCAGTCGTCATAGGCCACGTGTGCTTAGCTTCTTTGTGATGTCGTATCCGCTACAGTGAACTCCCGAGGAGCACGACTACACCTCGACTCGAGCTGGGCACATCACTAGCCACAGAATGATTCTTTCTAGAAGCTCAGCGCGCTGCCAAGACACCATGACGCGGTGCACGCGTAGTGGCGCTGTGGCTACTATTCGCAGAGCAATCAATTTCCCGCGTTTGGACGGCTCGGGAGCAGTAGATCGCAAAAGACGACGCTCTCATAGGGTGGCACAGCAGCAATGCGCGGGACCAGCTTTGAGCTCTCTCGCCTGATCGCGGAAGAGAAGTAAACACTGACGTCAGGCGCTCAACAGCTTCATTGCACATCGAAGCATTGCTTGCTACATCGTACAATTAATGCATGCCATTGACCAATATCACTAGCCTACTGTACCTACACCCACATTCGATGTATGTAGACCTTCCGCCTCAACTCAAGCCTTGTGGCTCATCGATCAAGGCCGGGGTTGTTTTAGATCCAAATCGCCGGAAAACCGCGTTAATGTACCCATGTCGTCGATTGGGGGTGCGATAAGCTCCGCTGCAGCTCGGCCCGCTGTGGCTTGCAAAGCAACAACAACGAACGTCGACCTTGTGATGACCGGGTAACATCGTGGAGAGACTGCAGGGTTTAACACAAGTGCAGTGGAGCAAGTTTGCGGGTTCATGGCTGCGTTGCAACATACGGTTTGTGGTCGCGAGAGTCGACAGCCTCCTAGTAAGTCCATTGTGAGCCTTGGATCGACACCCGCGCCATACAGTGGACATTTCGGTATGGGCCGAAGAATTTCCATAGAACCTGTTCGGCCACGATGCTCGTCAGTGAACGTGGGCCTGTAGTGCGACGATCGCTTCTACACGCCGGCATCGCTAAGCTAGGCTAAGCTAGGCTGCGCGTCAAAGGAAAGGGCAGGTTGTGCGCACGATGATCTCACACTGAACGAAGGTGCACCGTGA